CGAAGTCTGCTAGTAGTATTGCCCATCGAGCTTGTCGACCTGTGATGCGTCTCTGTGACTTGAAGTACTTGAGGGCTTCATGGTCAGTGAGGATGACCAGTTGGTTCGGTAGTCCAGCTAGCATGTGTCGCCACTGAGTGAGGCAGGCGACCACAGCTAGGAGCTCCTTATCATGGATCTCATAGTTCTTCTCGGCAGAAGACATCTTCCTAGAGTAGAAGGCCACTGGATGCCATCGTCCTTCATGCTCCTGCTTGAGTACTCCTGCTATAGCAAAGTCACTTGCATCAGTCTCCAACCTTGTTGGAAGGTGGTAGTCGAAGTGCTGAAGCACTCCTGCTGATGTGAAGGCCTGGATGAGATTATGGAAGGCCTGTTGGGCCTCCTCTGGTAGCTCGAACTTCTTGAACCGTTCTATAGGCTTTACCAGTGCTGTCAAGGGCTTGGCTATGCGAGCAAAGTGGGCTATGAACCTTCGATAGAAGTTGGCAAAACCCAGGAACCTCTGGATGTCATGGATTGACTCCGGCATTGGCCACTCCTTGACAGTGCGCACCTTTTCTGGGTCCATCTCTATGCCCGTTGGCTTGATGATGTACCCCAGGAACTCAACTGTCTTGGTGTGGAACTCACACTTTGACAGCTTAGCAAAGAGCCTGTTGCTCCTTAAGCGAGTGAGGACCTCAGTGACATGCTTCACATGTGCTTCTTCAGTGTCACTGAAGATCAGGAAGTCATCTAGGTATACTACCACATATATCCCAATGATGTCTCGGAAGATGTCATTGATGAATGACTGGAAGTGAGCCGGAGCATTGGCTAGGCCAAAGGGCATCACTAGGTACTCATAGAGTCCCAACTGAGTGCCAAAAGCTGTCTTCCATTCATCTCCTTTAGCAATCCGGATGAGGTTGTATGCTGCTCTAAGGTCTAGCTTGGTATAGATCCTTGCCTTCCTGAGTAAGAACAGCTGCTCCTCGATGAGGGGCAATGGTGCCCTGTTCTTGACAGTGATCTCGTTGAGACCTCTGTAGTCCACACAGAGTCTGAGACCTCCATCCTTCTTTGGTACGAAGAGCACTGGTGATCGTGCCGGGCTCTTCGATGGTCTTATGAACCCCTTCTCGAGGTTCTCATCCAAGTACCTCCTCAACTCGGACATCTCCTTGGGTCCCTTAAGGTATAGGGGCCCTTGAGGTGGCTTCCCTCCTTCTATCAACTCGAGGTGGAGATCATGCTCGGTATGATGGGGCAGCTTGTCTGCTTCCACCTCATCAAACACATCTCGCAGGTGTTGGTATGGCTTTGGTATGTCTGCAGCCGTCACCACCTTATCTACCTCCACCTCCATCTCGACTCCTTTGTCTGCGCCTGTAGGTACAAAACCAAAGGCTGGGAGTGATGATGGTGGCTCCTCTAACAGCATGAACCCTATGGGTCCATCTTCCAGAGCTGCTCGTAGTATGCGCTCTGCTGAGACAAACTCGTTACCATGAAGGGTTGGTCTCCTCATGGTTAGGTCCCCTGCTCTTGCTGCTTCAGGGGGTCTCCTAGGGGGTCGGTCCTGCTCCTGAGTCTTGAACTCCAGCTGGCCCGTATCCCATTGTATGGTGGGTTTGAGCCTCCGTAGCTCAGTGAACCCCAGGATGAGGTCATAGTCCGCAGTGTCGGCCACTGAAGCTTCGACCACACCCAGATTGTGTGTACCAATAGATACCTGCATGCTCGCAGAACTATTGATGGAGAGTTGGTGCCCGGTGACACCATGGATCGATCTTGTTTTTATGGGTTTTGTGGGTATTCGGTACTTACTAATGAAAGAATCTGAGACTATGGACAAACCAGCACCGGTATCAGCTAGTATCCGAGCAGGATGGTCTTGAACCATTCCAGAGAGCTCCAGTACTGCTTTGCCTCCACTGGTAGAGAAACATACTTGACAATCTTGATATATACAGAGTGATGGCGAGGAGGTTTGTAGAGCAATGCATGCCATCAGTGCATCACCCCACTGACGTTTCCCTCGTCGTCATCATCATTGTGCTCCTCCTCGTGATCGGGGTCCATGGGTTGCTGGTATGAGCTGAGGTCCATGGCCTCGGGGTCACCCGTCTCAGTGCTGCCTGTGTGGCCATCTCCTGAGTCGGTGGCCTCCTCGAAGGGGTCTGCTGTGGTGACCATAACCTTTGGTCCCATGGGTCGAGAGCTAAGAGGGTCTACCCTCCTGCTGGGGCAGTCTCTGGCCCAATGGCCAATACCTTTGCATACATGACAGGTGTTGATACCTGATGGAGCAGGGCTTCCTTGCTTCGAGGGTTGGGTGGGATGATGAGGAAGGGGTCGGTTTAGGTTTTGTATATTTGCTTGTGTAGTTGCTTGTGATGGTGATCGAGCTGGATAAGTTTGAGTGGGTTGTTGGATGGGGATCGAACTTTGATTTGGCCGAGACCCAGTTCTTAGTGGAGGTGATGTGGCGTTTGGGAGTGAGTGTCTAGCTGAGGACTGCTGTAGTAGCATCCTCTGTCGATCGATCTCCTCAACCTCTCGATACCACTCCCATCTCTTCCCAGGTGGATTCCTCTCGAACTTCTCCTGTATGCTACGAGTGAGACTACCTCTGAAGAGATCAATCACTAGCTCATTGTCATCTAGGTTGACCTGTCCTTCCAAGTCTCTGAACCGCTCTACATGACGTGTGGCAGCACCAGGAGCATCACTTGTGAGTCTGAGAGCCAACAGCTTGTTGTATGCCTCCATCCTAGCATTGCGTGGGTTGAACTGCTCTGACAGTCGCTCTGTGAAGTAGTGCCAATCATTGAACAACCTTCCTTCTCTAGCTCTATCAATACGGAGCTTGGAGGTCCACCACTCTCTTGCTGTCCCTTCCAGTTGAGCACCCATGTGATTGATCATCCTAGACTGCTCATACACCTGGTTGAACTTAAACCATGCTTCGGCTTCTAGAATGAAGATCTCCATGTCTCGGGGATTGAACTTTGGAAAGGGGGTGGCAATGGGCTTTGACCGGTTAAGCTCTGCCATGATGCTGGTATCCTCCTCGTGGTCCAGGGGGTAAGGGTCCGTCCTAGTCCTGCTGTAGGGGTCCAGCTTAGTCTTGACATATCTTGGCCCAGTAGGTGAAGCATACTTCTCGTAGTTGATGTCCTCCTGCTCATCCAGGTTGAATGAGACTGATCGTCTTGGTCGTGGAGCTGGAGTAGGAGTATGTGGGTCTCCTATCATAGACTCATCTCCTCCTCCTGCTTGGTCTTCTGAGTGAGAGAGGTCCATTGTCTCCTCCCTGCTCAGTTGAGCTCGTTGTAATCGTTCCTCTCGATGACCCTGTCTGGTAAGCTCTAGCTGTGCTTCCAATAGAGTGAGTAGTCTATCGAGCTTATTGTTGAGGTCTGGGTCCGTCATGGTGATCGTGAGGAGCTGCTTGAACGATCCACTCTAATGTCAGGGGTCTCGCGCCTGAAACCCAGGTCGGTCTGTCGAGATACTCGGTGACTATTAAACTGTGTGACAGCTATTGTCTCGGTATCGGTGACTATCAAGTTGTGCAGTGACAGCAGGTGGCGTTCGTTGTATATACTATCGTAAGTTTCGGCTGACCTCTGTGGACACTCCGTTCAGGGGTAGCTCGGCACGATCAATATCAATGTTATGATGACACCAAGGTCTGGTGTGGGTGTTGATGATGATGAGGTTGATGGTGTTGGTGATGAGATTGGTGATGTCGATGATAATGAGGTTGATGGTGTTGATGGTAAGGTTGGTGGCGTCGATGATAATGAGGTTGATGGTGTTGGTGATAAGGTTGGTGGCGTCAACACGAGTGTCCAGTGTGTTGACTTGATGCTTGAAGTGATCCCCGGACCGCAGTGGACTACTGCCTTCGGTTCTATCTATATCCGGACTGCTAACCTGCTATGGGCGCCTTCGGACGTCAGGTAGTGGTGATACAACACACACACTACGATGAGGAGCAACCTTGATAGATTGCTGCTATGCTGACTGAAACTAATGTATACTTATGCTGAAGTGATAACTAGTTATGGTGAGTAGAGTGGATGGGGGTCCACTCGACCTATGATGATGAGAAAGCATGGTTATATACCTCTTCACAGCATCGCCAGCGATGCTGCTCCTGCTCTCTCTCCAGAGAGTACCTTCTTCATCGAGTACTGCTCAGGGGCCTCTCCTGCTTGGCACCCCTGTTCCTCTTGAGTGGTGTCGACTCCTTCGACACTGCTCCTCCTCCTCATGACCTGTGTCGACTCCCTGTCTCTCGAGCCCCTGAGTGGTAACCATCTGCATGCTCCTTGAGCTTGGTCCTCCTCGTGGCTGTGCCTGCTCCTTGAGCTTGGTCCTCCTTGTGGCTGTGCCTGGTCCTCCTCGCATGTGGCTCGGTTCTCCTTTGCATGTGAATCCATAGGAGTCCATGGTCCCCATGGAGACTGCACTACGACCATGCTCTCTACTGGTATCGACTAGGTCTTCGATACCTGTGCTCCTTCCATATGAACCAGTGACCCTCCTGCTTCTTGAGCATCCAGGCCCATGACACTTCCTTTGGCCTGGATAGTTCTGATTTCTTGTATCAGCTTCTGAGCATCAGAATGGAACATCTTGATGTCACCCAGCTGGGTGATCAGAGCAAGCCAGTGGGAAGTTCTGGTGGCTTTGTCACCTAACCTTGCTTCTATCTTACTCCAGACTTGATGGAATGTAAGGTAATCTCTTATTATGTCTAAAAGAAGATAGTTTACATTACACTCTCCTATGGTGTTGATGGTTCCATGTAAGGCATTCATCAATGCATCATCAAATGAGTGACTCCATTTTGAGTGATTCACATCATATGTTCCTTTGAGGTGTTCCATGGTGTAAGGTACCAATCAGAGGAAAGACTTTATGTGAGCACTCCAGCTGTAATAGTTCTGGGTAGTAAGCTTTGGCACCAGTTCAAGGAGTTTGCTTAAGGTGCAAAAACTGTATCATTTACCAATGTCATCATCATCTGATTCATCTTCAGGGTCATCATCAATCTTGTTGTCATTGTTGGCTGTATTTCCGGTTTGTGTCTGTTGGACAATTGTTACCTTCTTGGTCCTTTTAGACCTCTTGGCAGCCTCGCTGGCACCAGCTTGAGGGTCAGTGTCATCCACCATGACTAGTCTGGTGAAGAAGCTTCAGACTCTTAATCAGTTGAAGTTATGTGATACACCTCTTCATCCAGGCCACATTCTAGCTCCTTTCATACTGGTGTATGGTAGATGCAACACTTAGATTCCAATAGACTAAGACTACAGTAATGTGAGGTTATATATACCTTTGGTTCATTTGTGAGATTGGCTATTCACACCCTGTGAACTAGGTGTGTTGTGATGAGCCTCAGCATTTTCCTCCTTAGTCTTGGCATTCCTCTCTCTAAACATGTCCTGATTGGTTGCCACTGAATTTACTATGCATGCATGATCCTTGGCCTGTTGGTGGTTTGGCTCTCCTGCATGTTTGTCTCATTCTGGTGCAACTTCAACTGAAACCTTAGAACCCAAACACACCAGCAGCATCCTTATTCACCAAAGCAGCAATAGCTTCCTTCCTGTAGGTATCCGGAATAGCGGTAATATTGTCTCCTTTCAACTGCAACAGCTTCTTTCCCCTCTGCATACTTTGGCCAATCCAACCCTCTGAGCACATTTGGGTCATGATAATACATGAAACTGATCCATGCCCTTAGCATCGTATCTGCCAGTACAGGACCCTTCATCCTTCCATCAGGTCAAACAAAGAAGTAATTCAACTCAGAACTGTGGAATGCGCCCAAAGCCAAACCTGTACAGTGCTGAAGATTACGATCCAGTGAGACGCTGAAGGATGACGCAGAGCCGATCTGATCGGAGATCAGGCAGAGCCGATCCGGTTAGATGACCGATCTCACCAGAGATCGGGTACAACACAGTCCCGCTCGTTGTCAGGCTAGATCATTAGATACAACAGCTCCCACACTCGGCATGTGCCACGACGATGCATATATATCAAGCTGAGAGCACTAGGCTCTCACCACGTTCTTTTAGTCAATTGAGTATATACAGTATGTTTCTGTCTTCTAGCAGCAGTGACATCGTACTCAGACCCTCCCCGATCGCCAGTTATCGGGACCAAATCTTCTCTATATTTCCACATACAGTGCCTGTGTGTAAGTTTGAGGACAAACGGGTAATTTCCTAATTTAGCCGGATACCCCTTATACGGGTCGTCGTCGTCATTGAGCAATAGCACTACCATCATACTAAGCAAGAACACTTCAAACACCAACATGGTCCGTGGCAATGAGCTCTCTCCAAGCCAGCGTGCCTAGATCGTTGCAATGCATGATACTGGGCTCTTGTCATTCTGACTGAATTGGAAAGACCAGGTCTTATCTTTGTTCCTTCTGCCCCGCAGCTGTGTTCCTTGCAAGTAAGTTCGACGGTGAGCGTTGAATGTGAAATCACCATAGAAGGAGGATGAGCGTTTGTACTGGTTGCTTGCGAAGGGTTCGTAGATGCGAGAGTCGAGGTTTTGGGTTGTACCCGCTGAAGTGGCTGTTTGGGCGTTGTAGTACGGCGAAGCCTCGGATGGGACGTCGGGGTAATTCTCAAAGACTTGCTGGAGAGCAGTCTCGGCGTAAGAAGTGTTGTAGATGACGGCAGCAGAGCGAACCCATGTCTCGAATTCAGCGGAAGAGTTGAGAGTCTTTTGACCGAAGAGGGTACCTTCGTCGAGGTTGTTACCCTGAATGACGGGGATACATGCCAACTTACCCTGAGGGAGTTGGACGGAAGGATAGTTGGTGATCAGCTTGTAGTCTACCAGAGGCAAGAAGGCGAGTGCTCCGGCAACAGGGTCAATACCTGTCAAAACGGTAGCAGCTTGCTGCACAGCACTGGCATTGGCTTTGCGAAGACAAGCAAGCAAGCAAGCAGGCACAACATTCGCACCCACTAAGCCATGACCGTCGTTCAAGGCGAAAGCATGAACAGAAGAAGAAGCTCATTCTCTCTGTCTCCAACTCTCTCTCTGTCTCTACTCTCTCTATCTCCACTGTCTCTTCCTGTGCTTTCGCTCGCCTCGACTGAGCGTACTTGTGTAGGACGCAATTAACTACTATCTTCCGACACCAAAGCCCCGCCTAGCTATCCTTCACCCTCTTCAGCTCATCTCCTCTTGATCATCAAAGGTCGCAACGCCCTCTCCTCGCCGTACCACCGAGACGAGATTCGATCCTTGGTACCTTCATTTCGCTCGCTTGCTTCTCTTTCCTTAGAGCTTTACATCGCGCACGACTCGCTGCCTCTCCTTCATCCATATCAAGCCACGTCTCGGTCACCGCTACCTCTGCGAAATAGTAGACAACAACGTAATCCCCACCGATCGGACCGCACCATCACTGCAAAGTCTCGACGTCGGTGTAACCTTGGCTTTCATATCTACGCTCCTTATCTCCCCATCTTTTTCACCTGGCTTCCTTGAGCTTAAATCGACATGCTTTAAGCACACCCCACCAAGCTTTCTTTTCCGCTTCGCTTCACGTCACCAAGAGCATGCAGCCTTCTCCAGACTTCTAGCGAGTTAGCTCCACACGTCCACCTGTATTCCATCGCATCCTCGTCGTCAGCAGCCTCACCATGTCTGAAGCTGCTAAAGCTACCGTCAACACGCGCATGCCCAAGGGCGCAAAGCGTCCCAAGACTTGGCGTGCCTGCCTCGCCTGTCGCAAGCTCAAAGCACGATGTGAACCAGCTGCAGGCGCAAAGACTGTTCCAACCGACGATCCACAGTCATCCAACCATCCACAGTCATCCAAACCGTCCTTCGTCATCTGTCATCGTTGCAAAACCCTCTGCATCGACTGTCTCTACGAGTCGCCCACAGGTCAAGTCGTCAAAGGAGAACATGTTCAGCCCACCAACTCAACCCCTTCACCCTTTGCAGAGCACAACAAGCCACCACGCTCACAGAAGCGTTCGCGACCCGATCATCTCAACGCCGCTGCTTCCGACCCATTCAGCAACGATCGAGCCATCTTTCTCTCTCCAGCTATCTCGCCCAGTGCATTGACCCGCTCCATATACCGCGACATCGAGATCTGCTCACTCAACCTCGCTCCGCCAAGCTGCCTCGAGCGACCTGTCCTGCCCGCAAATGCCTTCTCCAGACTCATTGGTGCCAACCCTGCTCTCAAACGTGAAGCACAAGACTGCATCCTCAATCTTTCCGGCGCTTTTGGCTCAAGCTCTTCACAGAACTGGAAGCAAGCATCACAACGTCTTTGTGCTGGCAAGGCAGCAGCACGCATCATGTCAGGACAGTCTCTGTTGACGCCATACCCAAAAGAGGAACTTGACTTCCTCTGCCGATTCCTCGTACCGCACGAACATCATCTGCGCATCCTCTTCCAGGGACTCTACGGTGCATTCTCGCCGTTCCTGTCAACTCCCTTTGAAGACTCGCTCGGTCTCGCAACATGTCAGACCGAGGCGCAGACTTTCTTGCTGCTCACCATCTACCTCACTGCTCTCCCACATCGCGAGGCGACTAATCCCATTGATCCAGCATGCAAGCCACTACGCAAGGCCGTCGACGCATTGCTTCGTCGTGCAATGCATACTCCACTGAATGACCACCTCAACATTTTTGCATTGCATAACTGCGCATCCTTCTTGCTTTTACCAGTTGACGGCCTCGCCGAGGACCATCGTCCCCTCTCTACATCAGAACAGGAGAACGACGGCCTGCTAGAGTTCGCGCTCGACCTCAATCCAAGAGCAGCCTCTATCACTGCTCTTGGTGTGGCTCAGAGGCTGGGCTATGCAAGCCTTGCAGCTAAGTTGCCTACGCTCCGTCAGACTTTCGATGTCGACTCGCCCGCCACTGGTATTCCCTCGGATACTTCGCGCGACGAGTATGCTCATGCAGTTCTCTGCACCTTCACCTGGCTCACCCTCTTGCAATTTCGAGCATCCATCGACGTTGCAGAGGACCGCATCGAGTGGGACGCTCTAGTCCAGTTCGAGCACGACATTCCTCGTGTCCGAATCCAAGCTTTGACCGCTGCGCTCTTACCACCACCTGCTTTCTTGTCGCCCCGCGAACAAAGTCGATGCTGCTGGACGGCTCAACGTGCCGAACTGTACGCCATCGCTCGCGATCACCGCCACACAAAGCGCGCAGCAGCAACTTTGACCAAGAAGGAAGCTGAGGAACAAGCGCTTGGATATAAGAAGGCTCTCGATGAATGGAGGTACAAGTTCAACGAACAGATGCGAAGCATGAGTACCGAGTTCCGCAAAGATCCTCGTGGCTTAGGCTTACATCGATACTATTCGATCTTTTCTAATGCCGAAGCTGCTTCGCTGCAAGTCGCTATTGGCTCGGTCTACCACAAGGAGTTTGTTGCTGACATGAGGCAGCGTCTTACGGAGCCATTCTATCGAGACAACTTGCCTTGGAAGTCAGCAGCGACCATCATGATCGGACACGAGGAGGATCAATTGACAAAAGCGATCCTGATCAACTTTGCTTTCACCGACGCAATGCTCAAAGCGATGGGGTTGATATCCAGCTTAACCCCTGTCATGCCGCAGCTCTACGATTTCGTCTCGTTCGAAGAGACGGCGGGTAGCGAGATTCCCTCACTTTGCATTGTGGCTCCTCCCATTGTTCAGGCTGGGTTGTTCGCCGTGCCCTTGCTAGCAGCGGCTGATTTGCGATTGTCGGTGGTCGAAACATGGGGTGCTAGTGCATCTTACTTCAACCACCATCTCTTACCGCTTCTCACCAACTGTGTCAAATCTCTGCGAGCTTGCCACGTCAACGTGGATCTGCCAGGGGTACTCAAGATGCCTTTCACCACCGCCAACCCCATCGCGGATTACCTGCAGGGACCATTCGAAATCCTCATGCGCAAAGTCGCTTCCGCTGAAGAACGGCTTCAGATCTCCCACGTAGAGTCCATCCTCAACAACGCCTTTCTCCTGTCTAGCAAGAAGAAGCAGATCGAGACGCTTGCTGAAGAATTGGCGCCAGACACACCAGAGATGGTACAGAGCATAGCCGATAGCCAGAAGGTGGAAGATGAGATCGCGGCGAGCATGATGGGTTCCCTCCATGTACAGGCTATTCAGGAGATAGAAGATACCGAGTACGCCGTCAAAGTGTTCGGCTCGGATATGAGGGAAGGTGATGTAAGGCCAATCAGGAAATCGGGGAAGAACGCTAGTAGCTCAGTCACCACACCTGACGCAGGGTCGACGGGTGAAGGTGCGCATCGAAAAGCGAGTAGTAATGCAAGGAGTGTGAGTTTGGATAGTGAGCAGACAACAGCTAGTCCAAGTGTGCTGACGAATAGCTCGGGGAAGCAAAGGTCGCCGATGCATACGAGTGTCAGAAGTGTGGCGGATAACTCGCAGTTCAGCAGCCCGGGTAGCTCGACGCAGAGCGGTCCTGGGTTGTATCCCGAGCCCAGCGTGTACGGGAAGGATAACAAGCAGATGCAGCAGCAGCAGCAGCAGCAAGGATTTGAGGTGCATGGCCCGCGGCAGATGTACCCAGCCCGAACGGGAGGGACACAGTTCGGAACACAAGCGTCGCATCTGCAGCACGTGCCGAGTCCTTATCAAGTGGTGCATCAGGATCCGGCTTACTCTGAACCATACCAAGACAGAAACGCTGGTGGACCAACGCATGGCTACACACAGGGTCAGCAGCATCGCGATGGCAAAGCCACCGATCCGAGCGCACTAGCGCCAGGACAGGATTCAGCGTCGTATGCACCTTATCCAGCACCGCCTACCGACCAGACCTACGCGAACAACACCAACGATGCCTATCGTTCTGATACATACACCTATCGCCCATCCCACCCCAACCCAGACGTGCCATCGCACCTACAAATGCAACCAGCGCCAGGCTACGATGGGATGCAAAGGCACTTCGGCGACGTCGAATCCAAAGGCGCAGTGTACGATGATGGCTACCCAGATCAGCAGCAGTGGGCCCAGTGCAACCCTCAGCTAAAGTCACAGTATGGTCCTGGTCCGCCGTATCAGCCAAACCAAAGCCATGCGAAGTTTGGCTCATTCTCAGATCCATCTGCGCATGCTCCGCCGCAGCACACAGATATGAGCAGTGGACCGTACTACCCAGCGCAGCAACAGGGTTACTCTGACCCACAGTACCAGTCAGTGGGCTATGCAGAGGGTCAGCAGCATCCAGCGCAGCAAGGCTTCGATACAAACGCTCATCACATCGACGGACAGCGGCAGTATGGCCAGCAGCAGCAACAACAAGACCAAATCTGGGACGCTTCATGGAATTGGATCCCTGGTCAACCGCATCCTCCCGCGCAACAGTATCGCACCTAATCCCGCTGTCCCGCCTTCTTTGTACTTTTAATGTCACTTTGCAACACATTCTTGGGATAGATTGATTATCATCGTTTGGATACAAACGCAAATAGAATACATTCCCCTCCCTGAGGCTTACGCAGATTCCTCACTACCACTTGCACTCTCTTCACTCTCCAACCCGAAAAACGCTTTAACAACAGCATTCAATGCCGGAGCAACACCCCATCGTCCCATCACCTTCTCTTCTGCCTCATCCACTTGCTCCTCCTCCTCGTCCTTATCCGGTAACCCAATTATCCCATCCTGAGCAATGGCAACTTTGAGTAGATGCTGCACTTCCTCCTCGAATCCATCTAGAAAGCTCCTGCTTCTTGCATCTAGCATTTTCCCCGGCACCTCGGCTGTGACTGTGATATTCGGTGTTGCATATCCCCACCTGTTCCATCTTATCACAAACTGAATTGTCAATTTTGCTCCATTTCCATTCTGTAGTACGAAAGGCTCGGCTAGGGAAGGGAGGATGAGCGATCGAGCTAAATCTTCATCCACGGCAGCAGTGGAGGTACGTTTGCGAGAGGAGGTATTGTGGGGATGGTAAGGAATGAAATCCGTTCCGGTCGTAGACTCGAATGTTCGTACGTGTTCTCGAACCAAGTTCGTGTATTGTTCCATGAGAGATGTGTATAGATTACGTCGGAGGGAGAGGAGGGGGAGCATTGTTCGCAGCATAAGAAGGATTGAGGGGAGGTCGTTTCGTTTCAATAGTTTTGAGTACAACTTGTGTGGTTCGTCCAGGGTTTCTTTTAGCCACGAAGGAAGGGTGATTGCTAGATTCTGAATCTGTGGGGAAGATGTGCTGGAGGACGAGTCCTCAGAGACGCTGAACTTCATATCGATAAGAAAGAGTTTTGCAAATGATCCCTCGATATGTACTCTTCTAGCTCTGAGCCCATCTAACGAGGCTGCTGTGTCGGTTTGTGCGACGTTAGAGATATCTAGATGCGTGAAGCGAGTCAAAGAATCGACCAGTGAGGTTGTACGTCGTTGTCGATCCTTCAACCAGTCATGAACACTTTGTTCATGTCTCTTCTCTCCCAACTCTTCCCTCACTCCCCTCCCCTTTTTACCTCCTCTCCCATTCCCTTGCTGCAGCGCCAACCTCTTATCAATATCACTTCCACTGCCGGTACCTTCAACACCGACACTTTTACTCGGAACCAAACCCAAATCCACCCATCCTTTCCCCCTCTCCTCACTCTCCGCTTTCTCCGCGCTCGCGCTCCCATTGGTCGCTATCCACCTAACCAAACCCTCCCTTGACGTAGTTAAGAGTGAAGTCAACGCTTCATCATCTATCAACTTTAGCTTTTCGAGCAAAGCTGACTTGATTCCTCTTCCATCTCGCAGTTGATCCGGATCCAGAAATGAGAGTGAAAGCGAAGCAGAAGAAGAGGAGAGGAGAGAGGTAGAAGAGTGGGTGGAAGAACGACGCTTCTCTCGTTCAGCAGCAATCTGACGGCGCAAATCGTGAATCTGCAGATCAAGGTCTTCAATGCGATCCAGGAGTGTCGCTCGGTCGGTGTTGGAGGATGTGGATGTGTTGGATCGAGCCGAACCGGGTGTATCGACTGCGAGCGGACGGCGACGGGATGGTGTTTGTGACATTGTGCTGGGTGCTCTAGACTCAGGTTTCGCCTGGAATGAGATGCTATGTGTTGTCCTGCGAGTCGGTACGTTGTTCCAAGCAAGTGCGTAGTAGGTGTGGCTTGTTCGCTTCGGAAGATCAGAGAGAGTGTATCAAAGGTTGAGGTGTGAGCAGGACGCTGGGGATTGCGCGAGGTGGCAGAAGTACAAGGTGTGGTATAGGAGCATAAAGCGGTAATATAAGGGATGTGCAAGGGGATAGCGGATCAAAGCCGTCGAAAGGGTTACACATGGATGATGATGGTGTTGATGATTTTGAGAGTGCTTTGGAAATATGATGGTGTTGGTTGGTCGCAAGCTTGGCTGCAGGGTCGTTAATCGGGCGCGTCGCGCGTTGCGCGTCGTTGCCCAAATTTCTCCGTTTGTATGATTTGTTCGATCGAACATCAGCCCGTCCGACCAAAAATCACCATCCCGTCTGGACTCAATCGCACGAATGAAACTGAAAATCGACTATAAGAACACGCTAAACTAGGTGGATTGCAGGCAAAGAGCCGTGAGGTCCTCGAAGCTCGACAAGGAGGCTCTCAGCCCGCCGTAAGAGGGGCCGGTCGAGCGCAGAAACGAGCGGCAAGGGAAGGTGTACAGGACGGGCGAAAATGACAAAACAGGCTGCTTATCGTATGCCTGGTGTTGGAGAAGATGATGGTAGTGAAGAGAGAGGCGGAGAGTAAATATGTTGTGAAGAGCGGAGCGGAGAGCAGAACAATGCGATGGCTGAGTCCAGTCCAGACGCGCACGCCTTTTTCTGAAAATCACGTGATGCATTCATTCTCTTTGACATCACTTCTTCGCGCTGTGTTCAAACAGTTTATGCTACAAGAAACCTTGGTTGGCGTACGATGCTGAATGCTGATATCGTAAGGATATGATACATTGACATGCTACCTTCGAAACATAGCTCGCTTATTGCGAGACTGACCAGAAGGCCCACCCTCAACCATCCTCTTCCTCTTCGGCACAGCTGCACCCTGCCCTTCCCTCGCAAACCCGATCCCTGCCGGCATATCCCTCTTCTCCTTCTGCGCATTCTTTCTCCTCCTCCTCTCCAAAGCCTTCTTCAACTGTTTCTTCTCTTGTCCACTAACCCTCTTTCCCCCGTCCTCACCTTCCCCACCACCTCCTGCAAGCTTGTCATACTTATCCTTCAACAACAATTGCTTAATCTCCCTCTGTTTCGGATAAAAGGGTTGCAGACCCTTTTCCACCCTCTCCTTATTCTCCCGTTTAATTTTCCCCTTCACCACCGACTCCCTCTGTCTTCTCTCCCTTTCCCCCGCTAAACCTTCCGCTCTCCTCAACGCCGCTTCCACCTTCGCCCTCTCCTCTCTAATCGCTAGAGCTTGTTCACTCTTCGCTTTCGGCCCAGCTTGGGTCGCTTCTTGCCTCTTCAGCTTTGCGAGGGTTTTCTTGAGGGTGGAGAGTTCATCTTTGAACATATCGGGGAGGAAAGAGTAAGATTTGGAGAAAAGATCTTTGTTGGTGCTACCTGAGAGTGATTCGAATCGAGGATCACGGAGATGGGCGGTGGAGGTGGAGGGGGTGTCAACGACGTTGCGACGACGAGAGACGGGTCGTTTGGAAGACATTTCGGTTGGGGCGTTTTTGTTGCTGCGTTTGGCAAGTTCTTTGCGTTCCTTCTCCTGTCGTCGGGCCTCTCGAGCTGCGCGGGATTCCGCCCAGCCGCTGTTCTCGCCATTGGCAGCAGATGAGGAGGAAAAGGGAGCGGAACCACTGAGCTGTCGTAACCGTTCGCGAACTTCTTGTCGTTTCGCTTCAAGTGCGTCGTCTCGGACAGATATGGATTTGGACAGTACTTTGCCTTTATCACTGGAGGAAGAAGCAAGGCGTTGGCGGTCGGCAGCAAACTCGTCCTCTTCCAAGTCAGAAATGTCTGGGTCGTCGCTGAAGTCGTCGTCGTCATCGGCTTCGCCGAGCTGTTGTTGTGCCTTGATCAGCGCTGAGAATGGGATTTGCTTCATCTGTTGTTGGAGGTCATCGACGTCGTCTGAATCCGAGGCGACGCTGCTGTATTTTTCTTCCTCTTCCTCTTCGGAATCGTCCTGAGAGTCATCGGATGCTTTTTCCAGATCAGAGTCGTCCATGAACTGTGCATATTTCGGTCTCTCTTCTTCCTCCTCCTCCTCCTCCTCTGCTTCATTCTGGGCATCATCGGACCCTTCTAGGTCAGACCCTAACTCACTACCTGATTCGAGCTGTAGTGATCCGGCATCCGAGTCCGAATCTTGCTGAAAGACAGCCGCTTGCTTCGGGTTCGAGGATGGTTTCTTGACCATTTTGAAAGGGTATATATGCTAAGCGTTAGTGGGTGGTGATGGTGAACGAGGGAGAAAGTGTGAGAAGGAGAGGTGGAGTAAACCTCGCATTGAAATTGAAGTGAAAGTGGCGGATGTTAGGGTTTGTATTGCTCGAGCAAATTTTGTATACAAATTTTTTGAAGAATTCAGGGTTCGGTCAATTCAAAAAAAAGGTCGTTTCGACAACTTTTTCTTCTTGAACTTCTCGACCTGCTCAGCAGCACATCATCACGACCCTTCTGACCCTTGTACCATCATCACGACTCCATCTGACTCTTCCTCAACCCTACGACACTATCAGACCAGGATCAGAGTTACACGAAACAGCTCTGGACGCCTCTCTGGGTCGACTCCGGCCCCGCATTCCGGACAAACCCGCGGCAACAACAACCGCAAACTGTTCTCCACTACGACCAGCTTTACTACACCTCGATCCTCCTCCCTTGGAGCTTCGAGCTCAAATCAATCGCCACGATGGAAGCAGGACCTTCCAAACCCAACCGCAACAGCGGCAAGTCCAACAAGGAGAAGAAACCCTACCACTCCCAAACAGCGCTCGACAAGCAAGCCAACTCGATCTCGTCGGCCACCTCTCTCCCCCGTTCCATCACCAGCTCCACCCCTGTCTCCCTCCGTGATGCCAAACTCCCCACCGCAGTCACCTCCGTCAAAGACAAGAAGCTTAAATCCAAACTAGCCCATCAACATCTCTCAGCCAAACGTGCAGCAGAATCAGCCCGTCTCGCCAATGAATACCTCAACACTTCCGCGCCCAGCGAAGGCGCTGGAATGATCGAAACCGAAGGAGAACTAGAACGGAGCTTCAAAGTCACCCAACAACAGATTCGTGACAACGTCGGCATAGACACTGCCACCAAGGGTTTCGAGCTCAAGCTTGATGGGGGGAAACAAGGTGTTGGACTTGGACCGTATAGATGTGATTATACGAGGAATGGAAGGCATCTCGTGATTGGTGGGAGAAAAGGACATCTAGCCGCATTTGATTGGCAGACGGGAAAGTTGAGCTGTGAGATTCAAGTGAGGGAGACGGTCAGAGATGTGAAATGGTTACATAACAATAGCTTTTTTGCAGCGGCACAGAAGAAGTATGTTTATATCTATGACGATGCGGGGATTGAGATTCATAAGTTAAAGAACCATACCGATGTGAATCGGTTGGAGTTCTTGCCGTATCACTTTTTGTTGGCATCGGTGGGGGCGACGGGGTATCTGAAGTATCAGGATACGTCGACGGGTACGTTGATCAGCCAGCATAGGACTGGGTTGGGGAATTGTAATACGATGACACAAAACCCTCTAACTGCGGTGCTTCACTTAGGACACAGTAATGGAACGGTTACAATGTGGACTCCAAACCTTTCCACACCCGCTGTCAAACTCCTCGCCCATCGCGGTCCGGTAACAGGGATAAGCATCGACGCGCGGAACGGCGGTCGAGACATGGCCACTTGTGGTATGGACGGAACCATCAAAGTCTGGGACACACGAATGCTCGGCAAAAGCCCCCGACGAGAATGGCAAGCCCGTCGACCCGCATCGGATATCCAATACTCTCAGCGCGGTCTCCTCGGTGTAGCTTGGGGCCCACATGTTTCGGTCTACGACACCCATGCACCGCTCGGCAACGCCCCACCTGGACCATACATCACTCAAGGATTCCCACGTTCTGAACCACTGCAAGTCAAATTCTGCCCTTTCGAAGACGTTCTCGGCGTAGGCCACTCCAATGGGTTCACCTCTCTCCTCGTCCCCGGTGCAGGAGAACCCAATTTTGACTCTTCCGAAGTCGATCCCTTCGAAACTCGCAATGCTCGTCGCGAACGCGAAGTTCACCAACTTCTCGACAAAATCTCTCCCGATCTTATCTCTATCGACTCTTCCATTCTTGGTTCTGTCCATGTTGCGCAAACGAATGTTTCTGCTGCTGAACAAGATCGGATTCTCTCAGAAATTGCCAAACGAAACCCGAACGCGGTTGCACGCAGTGCGGATGGGAGGGCATATTCTCAGCTCTCGAGAGTGGAGAGGATGCAGCTCGACAATCCAGACGCAGAACCACTGGGTGAGGATGGAGAGGAGGAAAGCGTGTTCAAGGCTGATGGTGTCGGTTCATTAGCAGAGACGATCGCAGCTCATGAAGGACCGAAGAAGGAGAAGAAAGAGAAGAATAGGATGAGAGGGAAGAATAAGGCGTTGAGTAGATATTTGAGGAAGAAGAGAGAGAATGTCATCGATCCAAACAGGATTGCGGTCAAACAGAGGATGGAGAAGATGAGGAAAGAGGAAGAGCAGAAGAGGAAGAGAAAGGTTGCTGCGGGGATTGATGTTGATGATGAGAGTTATTCTGCGCTCGATATGTTCAATAAGCGACCCTAACCAATCGCTTTCTATCATTGATTTTTTACTCATGCAATCTTACCGCATACGCATAACCTCATGGTTTGAAGCTTGATACTGATACCAAGATTGAAGCGATGACAACAAAAGACAGACGAGACCAGAAAGGTTTATTCAAGAGAGTATTCTCCGTTGTTGTACTTGATCCCAACGCTTTTCTTCATATCCAAGCTCCTCCTACCCGCTTCCAAGATCGCCGTCGTCAAAACAGTATCCTTGATCGTCGGCAACACAACATCGTAATCCACCGCTTTGCGCTCACCTCTGTTGATCCTTGTACAAGCATTCACAAAGTTCTCTAATGAAATATACCCATATCCATGCTGGCCAGCAAAGTAACCCTCTGCATCAGGCGTATACCTCATATAGAAAGGGTTGTAATCCGTACAAGCACCCCCCGTTGCCTGTTGGGAGCTATCCTCTTTAGTAAACTGGTATCCACGTCTAGCTTGGTTGATGCGGGTTTCACCTTGGGTGCCGACGTAGTGGAAGTGTTGTTCGGAGTGTACACCAGCTCCTTGGGGGGCGGTCCAGGAGGCGGTGAAGATTGCGGTTGCTCGCTTGCCTTCTTGTATCTCAGTGCTGTTTTCTTTCAAAATGGCAAAATCGACGAGGAGAGTGATGGTGTCTTCCGTTGCCTCCACGCAGCCTTTTTCGGTGGCGATACCTTTCGATGCCGAAGCGGTAACTCGTAGGGGTGTAGCACGGTTCTGAACCATCCAAAGACAGATATCGATATGGTGAGAGTTGAGGTAGTAGCTAATGTCGCTGTCTCGTCCAGCCCAAGCTTTGAACGTTTCGAGTTGGTTCTTAGGCTGACTCATGTAAGAGTAGAAATAGTTGATATCCCCCAATTCATCCCTAGCTCGTTGTCTAGCATCAGCATAAGCAGGATCGAACCTCTTATGATGCTCTACCATGCACAGCACACCCGCCTCCCTTGCTGCCTTAAGCAACTCCTGATGATCTTTCAGCGTTTGTGTTGCTGGCTTTGTCACCAACACATGGATCTTTCGCTGAATCGCATAAAGCGCAATATCGAAGTGCGTCGAATCCGGAGTGAAAATCGTAATCGCATCTCCAGCCTTCAAGCTATCAATAGCCCCTTTGTACGCATCACCGTCGCGCACACCTGCAGCGGGATAGGAAGTGAAAGTGGTATCCATCTCTCGGTATCTAGCCTCGATGTTGGTCTTAAAATGTTGACGAATACCGGCAAACTTGTCTCCATTGGTACCAACCATCTTAATCTCGGGCGCGATAAGGTTACGACGACGAAGATCGAACATTACAAGACCAACAACGCCGAGTTTCTTGTCGGAAGGCGATTGAGAGTTGCCAACGAATCCGGTTGTGTATTCGCCTGTGCCGACGGCAAGGACTGTTGGAAGGCCATTGTTGGACATGATTGCTGTAAACACCTGGTGTTTGGGTTGGTGTGGAGAAGGTTGAATGTGGACCCAAGAGAAGTGCGGGAGAAGACAAGTGCGGGAGGTTTGAAGAGAGGCTATATAGGAGTGTAGCAAAGGGTGATGCGGCGGAGTGAGGGGATGCGTCGGTAACCAAAGCGGGGGTTGAGGAGGAGAAGAGATGCAAGAAACGGCACGACACAGTGACAGGGTCGGATTTGCGGACCGCGGGGGCCGGTTGTGCATGCCTCCTCTTCTTTGAGAAGAAAATATCCGCTTGGAGAGCGCTTTGACCAATTTCTGCACGCGCCCACTTTGATATTGCCTAACCCCCCACGCTCAATTGCCCCCACGTGAACCACGTTGACATGTCTAACCCACACGCTCCCAATCGTTACTGCCATGCCTCGCCCAATGCTGCTCAGCCCACATCTGCTCACCACATTGGAAGAAGGAACTCGGACCAAACCACAAGCTAGGACAAAAGAAATACTGTAATCAATCGCGTTTGTGAATTCTATTAGAGCTTCAAAACGGAGTAGAGACGGAGACAAACAATAGGCTTGGCTTCACCTCAAGGTGGTACATCGAGCAGCCCAGCTGACTTCGGAATAGTATCGCGATGCAGCCTAGGAAGGAACAGAATAAGCCTCACCCCTCCTACCCGCACCCGACACCGGCCCATTCGCACTCTTCTGCGCCTTCAACGGATTAACCACCCCTGTCCTACCCTTCGCACCCGACTTAAACCCAGGTCCATCATAGAATATCGTCTCATCGGGCCGATTCAATGTTGGCCAAGCAACATAATCCAACCCCCTCGAAACCATAAACTGTGCACTACCCACCGCCACAACCAACCAGAGCGTGAAGAAGTACACGTGGCTCGAAAACGCCGACTGTTTTACCGCCTCGCCTGCACTCTGACCTCCAATACTTGCAACAGTCTGAGCAGCCGTATGTCTCGGCAGCACCAAACTGGCAAAGATCATTGTTAGCGAAAAGAGGTACACCCATGGCATGGCTCTGACCAGCACAGCACGCTGATCAGGGTGAGGGAGACCTTTGGAAGGTTCCCAAGCACCGGTGAAGAGGTCGTATGCGTCTTGTCGAGCTCCGTCGAAGTAATTGTTCTTGATATAACGGGTGATGGAGTTGACTCCGTCTTGTAGGGCTCCTCCTTTGGATCGTTTGCCTGTGCGGGTGAAATCGGTTTTGAGTGCACCCGTGCCACTGTACGCTTTGGAGATGACATCGGCATGGTCGGCCCAAACGTTGCGGTAGACATGCATGAATTCATTCTGCGTTTCGACTTTCTCGCCCGAGGAAAGGATGCCAATAGCCCGCAACTGCTCGTTGAGAATCCATCGTGCCAATGTGCCTTGAACAACATTGGTACGGTCAAGACAGTCCATGCAGTTGGTTCGCACCACCGAGCGCTGCTGACTGACCACCTTGCCGTTCTCGGAAGCAAAGTAGTCGTTGCTCTTCAAGCCCTTGGTCTGCAAGCGGTCGATTAAGTCCATGACCCTCTCAAACTTCATCCCCTTGCATTCGTGGTGGAAGTCGTAGTACGTGTAGTGAACTTGCGGATTGTGCAGCTTCTCAACAGCACGCTCGTAAGCCTCCTTGACCGGCTTCTCGTATCCCTTCTGGTTGACGAGGTTGACGAGGTAGTTATCACCGTAGCAGGCCACTTGGTCTTCAAAGTGACGACGGGTAGCGTCGGCAGTCTCGGGCTTCTCCATGATATGCAAATCGGGCTTGTAGCGGAGATTGTTGACTTCAGCCCAAAACACGGGCACACTACCACGAGTCTGAACGTAACTCTTGCGAATGCTGCCATCCGCTTTGTTCATAGTCGGACCTCCCTTGGGATTGGTGATGAGAAACTGTTCGGTCTCGTTAAAGTTGGACACGTTACCATTGAGATCGATACCTCGAGAGAAGTAGCGTGTACCAACACGATGACGCGATCGACGAGCAATGAGACCGAGCACAAAGGCATGGTTGTTGATCTTGACCTCTTTGACTTCGAGGAAACCAAAGACGCAAGGCAGGATGAAACGAGAAAGATCGTGCCCGCTCGTCTGTGTAGTCTCTACCAAGCGTTGCATGAGGAAGCGGTTCCAGAAGAAACGGTCGTCGGTTCTTTGCCAGAGAGAAGCAGAAGGATTCTGAATGCCTGCTTGACGCTGCATGCTGCTAGTGAGATCGTAGTCGTAGCTAAAGTAGAAGGGAGCACTGTAGAGATGTGATTTGAGCAGACCAAGCAGGGTCTTTTCGACTGGGTGCTTAAGCAACGAAGGGTTTGCCTCCTTCTCCAGGGGCAAGACGCGGAACTCGGTTGCCATGTGGACATCGGCACCTGCGATCTCAGCAACTTTCTTCTTGCTTGTGATCACAACGAGGAACTCGGACTTGTGAAGCTTGATGATACCGACAATGCCCTCTACGGACATGGTCTTGTCACCGCTGGGTGTTGAGCCATCCTTGGCGAGTCGAATCGAGCTGTCATTGCGGTCGATCACGAGAGTTTCCTTGGCTCCAGAAGGGGACGTTGGTTCAAAGAGGTACGCTTGCGGCGAGATGCGCAGGCGGAAGCCATCCCAAAGCTGGGGGAGGCCGTTCGAGGACGACATCTTGGCTTGTTCCTCTTCCAGACAGAAGGGGATGAGGTGAGGATCCCTGTTACCTTCAGAAGGAGCAACAAAGTGAGGACGAGACTGAAAAAAGGCAGTGGTTGCCCTTTGTGCGATCGGTGACGGTCGAGTGGCAAGAGAGGGATGTGTCAAGGAGGATCTTCTGGCTGAGTCGATGGCGGCAGCAGCGGACAGGCATAGCCAGCTAGCTCGCACAAAAGAGGTATGACGCTTGTGCCGCTGCTCAACCTCAAATTCGCGAATTCCAAAACGGAGGCTCTCCTATGCGTAGCGTGTGGAGCACAGTCCATCCACACCAAAAGAAACCAGCGAAATGCTGCGTGAAAAAAAAAGAAAAGAAAAAAGCGATCCGAGCGTCACTCTTCGGAATCGCCCGATTCACTTTCCCGATGCCGGCATCTCTATCCGATGAGTTGAGTTGCTGCGAAAACTGCAAACAAACAACACTCGCACACACACACACACACACACACACTTGTCTGGGCAATGGAGATCGAACGCCGAGAGCATTTCGATAGCAAGATGTTCCGAGTCTCACCACGATCAAGCAGCGAGAATATCTCAAACCAGCGCCTGCGGGTCCTCGAAGAGAGCTTTCTGGCGCGAAAAAGGCTCTCAGCAACGCTGAGATGGAAAGCAACCGAGTCAAAGATCAATGCAGTAAAGTGTTTTGGATATCGCAGCGAGGCTACATGTACAAATGAATGACAAGGGAAAGGTGCTGACAGCTCTGCTATGCAAACCAGCAGTCAGGTCAGTCGAGCATTTTTGAGGACGAGTATGCTGGTTTGTGCAGCGAGCAGTTGTGCATCTGGTGATAATGGATCGCCAGGAGACCGGCCCATCTATAGGTTCGGAATGCAACGCTCAAGTGAGAAGAGTGAGGCGGGAGGAAACCTCGGCCTGGGCGCGAACAACGTTTGCGAGGTAGGAAACCATGAGGACATCCTGGAGGTGAGCGTTGAAGAGAGTCTCGAGCTTGTTGTCGTCCATGCCTGCAGGAACAACGCTGATGGTGTCGTTAAGGAAGCGACCGACAGCCTTGTCACCCTCCTTCTCTCCTGAAATGACAGCACGGACGTAGGTAAGAACACGGTCGAGTTGTGCCTGAACCTGTTTGAGGCTGACAGCGAGCGCATCGAGGTCGCTCAAAGGCGAAGAGACGTTTTGCGAAGCAAGAAGCGAAAGCGAGGAGTGCTCTGGTGTCGAGTGCATGAGGTTAGTGGGCAATGGGAGGAAGACGCAGTTCTCGGCCTTAGGGGTAGCACCCAACGGTGATGAGATGTAAGACTTGATGCCGAGACCGGAAGCTTTGGAGCCGTCGATCGAGGTGTCCATGGTCAAGTGGACAGCCTGGTGAGGTGCAGTCTCTCGCGAGTAGAAGTCCTGGATCAAAGCACTGTAGGTGTTGAGTTGTGGCGAGGTAGCGTACCAACCAACAATGACCTCATCCGGTCGAACCTTCTGGCAGAGCTCATACATGTTGCGGTGGTACTCCAGGTCGACCTGAACCTGGCCCTCCTCATCGTCTTCATGGTGAGGAACAGCAAAACAGTTCTTGATCTCGATCTCGGACTCGGTGCGGGTGCCGAGAAGGGTACCGATGACACGGTGCTGACCATCGTTGCGTCGGAGGTAGTGGTCGAGAATGGAGAAGAGTGCGACGGGGTGAACGTGAACACCAGAGACGGAACGAGAGTGCATGACACCCGAGCCGGTGGAAGCCGGGAAGTCGATGTGAAGGGCAGAGGAGGAGGATTCGGCGAGCGACATGTTGGCGGTTGCTCTATGCTATGCTACGTGCGAAGGATTGCTGAAAGGGTTGTTGAGTTCCGTATCAAGGATATACTTGGCAGCGAAGGTCGACGTCGTCGTCCAGAAGCGAAGTAAGGTCGGAAAGCGGTCTCTAGGCCAGAACGATTGCAAGGGGTACTTTCTGGCGTTGAGATGGTGACGGGTTTGGTGGAGGTGAGAAGCTTGGATGATAACGACGTGTTCTTGACGATACGAACCATGATACATTCGAGGTTCTTCTTGGACACCAAGCCTGTGCACAAGCAAGCTCGAGCAAGCTATTCTCTGCCGTGTGAGCCTGTTCTGAGGCTTGGACGCGCCGCACAAAAAGCTCAGAAAAATTTGACATTTCTTCTTGCCCGATTTTGTATTGCGAATCTCAAGATGAAGGCTTGGCTTGAAATTATTCGAAGAGCACCTTTGTACTCAAGATTTTGAGATCTTGTATTCGCCATTTCTCCTCTGGCTGCGACACGGTTCAAGTCTCTTGTATTCGCCATTTCTCCTCTGACTTCGACACGGTTCAAGTCTCTTGTATTCGCTATTTCTCCTTTGGCTGCGACACGGTTCAAGTCTCTTGTATTCGCCATTTCTCCTCTGACTTCGACACGGTTCAAGTCTCTTGTATTCGCTATTTCTCCTTTGGCTGCGACACGGTTCAAGTCTCTTGTATTCGCCATTTCTCCTTTGGCTGCGACACGGTTCAAGTCTCTTGTATTCACGCCAACTGGAGAACTTCCAAACCAGTTGTGAGAAGAGTCGCGCTGCTGACTTGTCCATTTTGCGCGCTTCTAGCTCCAGCTTCGAGAGTTGATCTGATCGAGCCAAGTCGACTTGATTCGTGTTGGTCAAGCGCAGTTTCGTCGTTCGCATCATCTGACTGCCGATCTTGTCTCCATTCATCGTCGCTGGAGCGCTCAACTCCTTTTGCGTCTACCATCTGCAAGCCTCAAGCCAACGCTCTTTGCTTGGCTATTCCTACCTTCACGCCACCATTTCACCCCCGTCTCTAGCATCCTTGACCCTCAGCGCCGAGGCTGCCGCGCTTGCTCATCCATCCCCGCAATCCGCAGGAAGGGATCTTGTTGATCTCAAGCGCAGTTGCACTCAGCTCGACCTCGACCTCGCCACTTCAGCTTCACACTCCGACTTTCTCCTAAATAGCTTTCTGACCGAGTGGACGACGCACCCAACGCCCATCCAACATGCGGGACGAGGAAAAGGTTCCCGCTCCTTACTTTCAGGATGACGAAGAGGGAGAGCCATCAGATCAAGGTGAGGGTGTCGACCTCATGAGGTCCGATGGCGACCTCGTCGGCTCTGGAGGCGAGGACAGCAGTGACGAAGAGGAAGATGACGACCCAGAAGAAGCCAGACGTATTGCCAAAGGCTTCATCGCCGAAGATGACGAGGAAGAAGAGGAAGACGAAGAAGCACGGAGAGAACGCAGGAGGCGCAGAAAGAAGAAGAGAAAGCAGAACGAGGAGGACTTCGAAGTCGATCAGGACGATCTCGAGCTGCTTGCAGAAAACACAGGCCAGTCTCGGCGCAAAGAGGCCGGAAGACTGAAACGATTCCGCCGAGGGTCCGCATCTCCACCTGCCGACGATGAAGCCGCTGCAAGACAAAAGACTCTCGATCAGATTTTCGAAGACGATGACGATGAGGACGACGACGATGACATCCGCTCCGGACGTCGAGCAAACTACGACGACGACGATGAAGATCTACCACCTGTCGGCCAAGCACTCCGAGCCGGTGTAGCTCGCAAGCAGCGCGAGGCTCTCGGAGGCTACGAGGATGACGGTCTTGATGACTTTATCGAGGAAGATGAAGATGACGACGAGATGCAGGGTCTCGACGAGGAAGAGCGAGAAGCCAGACGTCAGGAGCGACGCGAGCAGAAGCGCAGAGCACGCATGTCCGGATCCGCGGCTGACCCAGCCAAGGCCGGTATTGACCGAGAAGCATGGGACGAGATCCATGAGATCTTCGGTAACGGTGAAGACTACTTCTGGGCCCTCGAGGACGAAGAAGAAGACGCATTCGAAGAGGAGAAGAAGAACAAGATGGAATACAAGGACATCTTCGAGCCTGCACAGATTGCAGAGCGCATGTTGACCGAAGAGGACGAACGCATCAAGCGCATCGATATCCCCGAACGTCTTCAGCTCGCTTGTCCAGGCGAAGAAGGTCTCAAGTTGCTCCAACGCAAGCTCACCGACGCAGAGCTCTTCGAAGCCGCCAAATGGGCCTCCACTCGCATCTCCTCAAGGACGTCCGCCGAGTTCCTCGACGACGCCGGTCTCTTCTTCCGTTTCCGTGCCGAGTTCATCAAGGCTGTCCAGCTCATGCTCTCTTACATGCTCAACGATCTTCTCGAAGTCCCTTTCCTCTTCCAGCACCGATTCGACGAACTCGAGCACGTTACCTTCGATGAAGTTGAGCGACAGTACCGCAACATCGACCTTCTCACACGTCGAGAGCTCTACACCCTCAGTGGTCTCGGCCTTAAGTTTAAGACGCTACTCATCCGCAAAGATCAGCTTCGAGCTACCTTTAACAAGATTCACGTAGACATCAAGACCGAGCCCGGTGAGGACAACGCCACAGCTGATGCAGAGTCAAAAGACCCAGCTCAGGAAGAGAAGATTGAGTCTGCCCGCCAGCAGAGGGCCATCTTCGAGGACATGCTTGTGCAAGCAGCCAGTCTCGAGGAGATCTCCGACATCACTGAATGGCTGACATTGCGTTACGGCCAGAAGATGCGCGACGCACAAACACTCCAGAGCACCAACGGCACAGATGAAGCAGCAGAGGACATGGAAGGTCTCACCATCAACGGCGAACCTGTAGTCAGTGCAACACCTGGCTTCAAGAAGCCAAGTCTTGTCGGCCAGTACGAGCGCACCAAGAACACGGTCCTCTCGGAGCTCGCCAAGAAGTTCGGCATCTCGTCCGATGAGCTTGCCGCCAACATCTCGAGCCCTGCTCGTCAATACTCGCCCAAAGATCCCGAAGAGTCGCCCTTCAAGTTTGCTGAGCAGTTCGCTGGTGCGGCATGGGGAGCACAGTCGCCAGAGATTGCTCTCGCCAAGGCCAAATTGATGCTCAGTCAGGAGATCGGCAAAGATCCCATCCTCAAGCGAGAGTTGCGTCAGCTATTCAAGGACGCCGCCGAGATCAACATCGAGCCTACCGAGCGTGGTATGACTGTCATTGACGACCAGCATCCATATGCCAACTTCAAGTTCATCCTCAATAAGCCTGCGCGTCTTTTACCTCAGCAACCCGCACAGTACTTGCAGATGCTCCAAGCTGAGGATGAGTTACTCATCAAGCTCGACATTGGTTTGAAGGACGTAGTGCTCTCGCGCTTCGAGAACCGTCTCCACAGCAACTATGCTAGCGAAGGTGTTAGCGAGGTCAGCAAAGCTTGGAACGACCAGAGACGCGAGGTAATCAAAGAGGCGCTCAAGTCGCATCTCGTCCCCAATGCACGACTTTGGCTAAAGGAATGGCTTCGTGAAGAGTCGCGCGAGATGCTGCTGCGACACTGCGATGTGCTCATGACCAAGCGTGCCCAGGATGGTCCTTTCATGTCAAGAAGCATGATGGCGAGGAATCGGGATCCCAAGATCGAGGAGGAAGATCGCATCCCACGTGTTCTTGCTGTCTCGCACGGTGGTGGTGACCCGAGGAAGGATGTCGTTCAGGCAGTCTACCTTGACGAGCGAGGGCGATTGCGTGAGCATGCCACGTTCGATGACCTTCGCCCGCTGGGTCTTCGTCAGATTCAGGAGCGCGAGCTCGAGATGGAACGCACAAGAGGCAAAGCAGAGTTTGTCGACCACCGCGCCGACTTTGTCAAGCTGCTCAAGCAACGTAAGCCAGATGTTGTTGTCGTCAGTGGATGGAGCGTCCGTACAGCCGAGCTCAAGAGACATGTTAGGGAGCTTGTTGACATGGCTCACCAGGAGATCTGCGACGAAGATCAATTGGACAGCGACCTTGAACGCGATCAGGCACTCATCGATGTCGTCACCTGCCACGATGATGTAGCACGCATCTACCAACACAGCAGTCGTGCAGCCGAGGAGTTCCCCGAGCTTCAGGAGTTGGGTCGCTACTGCCTTGCCCTAGCACGATATGCCCAATCGCCAGTCAACGAATTTGCCGCGCTCGGCAACGACTTGACCGCTGTCATCTTGGACCCCAATCAGCGATTGCTGCCACAGGAACGCCTTCGTCTTCACTTCGAGCGTTGCATCGGTGCCGTCGTCAACGATATTGGTGTCGAGATCAACCAGGCCATGTCGAGCCCATACACCCAGACGATGCTTCCCTTTATTGCCGGTCTTGGTCCAAGAAAGGCACACGCGCTAGTCAACGCCATCAGCACGAAGCTCGAAGGTACACTCATCAACCGTACGCTGCTCATTACTCGGAACATTTTGACTTTCCAAGTCTTTCAGAACTGCGCCTCATTCCTTCGTATCGAGCAAGACATGTTGCTGGAAGCCGACGAGGACGATGTACCCGATGTACTGGACAGCACCCGTATCCATCCCGAAGACTACGACTTCCCACGCAAGATGGCCGCCGACGCACTCAACAAGCACGAAGAGGATCTTGAAGGCGAACACCCAAGTTTGCCATGCAAGGAGTTGATGGAGGATCCTGATCCGGAGGACAAGCTCAACACTTTGGACCTTGATAACTACGCACAGATGCTGTACGAGCGCAAGGGTGAACGCAAGCGTGCCACACTCCACTCTTGCCGAGCCGAGCTCATCAAGCCTTACGATGATCTGCGCGAGAAGCAGCGCGAGCCTAGTCCGGAAGAGATCCTGACCATGTTCACAGGCGAGACTCCCAAGACTTTGGCAGAAGGCTTCGTGGTTTCGGTCGAAGTCTTGCGCGTGCAGGAGGGTAACCGTCAACAGGAAGGTCATGTTCGAGCACGTCTTGATTCGGGCATTGAAGGCACGATCGAAGCTGAGTTCACCACCGACAACTACGCTCCTGGTTCGGTTCGATTGCGGGACTTAATACGACCTCAACAGACGCTGGATGCACTAATCAGGCAGATCGATCCCGAGACGTGCAGTGTCAAGCTCAGCATCCGACCTTGGGATCTGCAACACCGAGCGTCGCACCAAGGCAAGACACCTGTCGATGGCAAGTTCTACGACCACCAAAAGGCCAGCAAGTGGAACGAGCAAGCTTCTGCCAAAGCAAAAGCACGTGTTCAAGCTCGTCGTCAAAATCGTGTCATCGACCATCCCAACTATCACAACTTCAACTACAAGCAAGCGGTTGTGTTCCTTCGCAACCAACCTCGTGGTTCGGTTGTGGTGCGTCCTAGCAGTAAGGGTGATGACCATCTTGCTGTTACCTGGAAGGTCGACGATGACGTGTACCAGAACATCGACGTTATGGAGCTCGACAAGGAGAGCGAGTATTCGCTTGGTCGAGTGCTGCGTATCGAAGGCATGGGTTCCTACTCGGATCTGGACGAATTGATCGTTAACCACGTCAAACCAATGGTGCATATGGTGGAGATGATGATGAACCACGAAAAGTACAAGGGAGCAGATGAGGAAGATTTGCATCGATACCTCACCAACTGGTCGCTGGCTAATCCTTCACGATCAGTCTACGCTTTCGGTCTGAACAAAGATCGACCGGGATACTTCAATCTTTCGTTCAAAGCGAACCGTGATGCAGCTATTCAGACTTGGCCAGTGAAGGTGTTGCCGAATGCGTTCAAGTTGGGACCGGCTGACCAGTTGGCTGATGTCGCGGCGTTGTGTAATGCTTTCAAGACGCAGTATACGACTCAGGCTAGTATGGCAAGGGGAGCAAAGACGCCGTATGGTGGAGGAAGGACTCCTGCGCCTGGAATGGGTGGAGCTACGCCGTTGGGTGGAAGAACGCCTTATGGTGCCGGTGGGATTAGGAATGGTGGTGCAACGCCAAGTATGGGCGGCGCAGCAGCAATAGGGCTGGGGTATGGGACGCCGTTGGTGAATGTCGCTTCTGCTACATCGAATCCTTATGGAGGTGGGTACGGTGGTGGAAGGGGTGGATACGGTGCACCTCCCCCGCCGGGTAGACCTCCTTCGATGCCGGGTGCCCCTCCTATGATGCCTCCTGGTATGATGCCTCCTGGTATGATGTACGGGGCAGGTGCAGGAGAACCTGGTCCACCGCCTAGTAGGCTGCAGGTACCACATGGGATGCATCCGGATCGATATGCTCAGGCTGAATATGGAGGTTCTGGTGCTGGTCAAGGACAATACGGTGGTCAGGGTGGAGTTTATCGTGGGCCTTACTAAGTCGCTTCTCCTATCATCGAAATGCTACTTGCGTGCCGTATGATAGCTGTACTGATATCCAAATCACAGAATGAAGAAGCCTTATGCATCGATTCACCATTTCAAGCCTGAGCATGGTGGTGGTTGTGAGAAAGAGTGTCTCCAGCATGTAGTGAGGTTCGAGGTGAGAGAGAGCGGGTATGGATGATTTTCCTCCACTTTATTTTTAGTAGCCCTGACCTGCGCATCCAGGTCGGGCTTCAAGGGTACACGTGCGCCGGGACCTTCCACATCGCACACTCCAACACCCTTGCTTCTCATCCGTTATTATAATCACCATCACCATAGGCAACCCCATCAACTTGCATACCACGTCGTTCTAGCAGCGATGACAGATACAACACACTTCACATTCGGTAGCAAAGTCGGCAATGTTGGTTTCGACAACGCTTCATCTACCTCCTCCGCCAATCAAGAGTTCACTTTCACATCCGACCGCGCTCTAAACTCCAGCACAGAGAGTGGATATCTCGACGATGAACCTGTCGAAGCATCTTCTTCATCTTCGAAGCGAAAAGTCAACGCAACAACGTTATTCAGCCACCTAGCACAACGACAGTTTGAGCAACAACAACAACAATCTCGCCAAACGCTTTCTCAGGCTGAGTACGATGATCCTTCCTCCTGGTCCCATTCCCCTTCCTCTCGGTTTCGCAGGAATCGAGCCGAAGGGGAAGGGCAAAGAGAAGATTCAGAATACAGCTATGATTCGGACTCGGAAGATAGCTACGACTCAGCGCAACTTCAAAAAGAATGGGAAGAACAACTGGATCAACTCAAACTCATGTTTCAAATCATCATCTTTCCTTTTGTGGGCAAGTTCATGGGTAGGAAATTTAGCTTTTTCTGTAAGTATACAACCCCCTCCACCCATTTTAAAACAGGAGCAAGAGGGGAAGCTGATACTTCTATTGCCTTGTCGGTGGTATATTGTGTAGTGTTTGATCGGTATAGACGGTTGGGTAGTCCTTTTGGTGGTGCCTTTTGGCGCGGTGTTACAGGCTGATCTCTCCAGCAAATCTATTCAAGGTCTATCACATTCCAAGTGTAACACGGCGCGAGGCAGGTCGACAGACAACGCTTGTGAGCTGTGCGTGCGGAGAGTGGGAAGAAGATTCAGAGCAAAGAGGAGTGCGAAAGATCAACACGGGCCAAGTGAGCGGGAGGAGGGAGTGTATGATTAACGCTTCAACAATCGCATATGAGAGAAAGTAAATCTATGGACGAGAGTACAGTATCTATGTTGGCACAACACCCCTCGATCCTCTATGCTGTGCTACTATCTGCTAAGGAAAGTAGGCAAGCTCTTCGCCCTTCTCCCAATCAGCACTAAACTCAGCACCACCGCCACTCCACATCCAACACTAGTCGCCACGAATACCTGGCGATAACATTCCTCGCCATCCATACATAAATGTCTTTGTGCTGGGTGATCATCCCTCCCCTTTCCACCCTTCAACTCCCGAATCGCTTGGCCGATTACCCTTAGAATAGTTGTATCTTGAGGAACATGAGAATCGTAAATCCTGCCAAACAACAGGTTGAAGATGTTTCCTGCTACGACGGGGGATAGGGAAACAAAACCGTAGTTTTGAGAGAAATGCTTCATCCCGAACCATTCGAAAACCAACGTAGGACACACGCCGAAGAGTGTTCCGTATGCAAGACCGGTCAGGGTAGAGATGGCGAAGAGGCTATCGACGGTGGAAATTGCCCCTGGGAATGCGGCGAGTAACTGGGAGGCGAGAGCGAGGGTTGTTACAACGATAAGAAGCCAAACTCGATTGGCGGGGGAAGAGGTGTGATTGACTAGCCAATCCGACAGGAGGCCGATGATGATGCGACCGGAGAAATTGCATAGGGAAATGGCGGAGACTTGGCGCGCTTGCATCTGCTGAACAGAGCTCTTGGCGGAGAGCTTCATAGAGGTGAATTTGGAGTTGGTGGTAGAGCGGGGACGGAGAAGGTCGGAGTTATCAGCAGCGACAAGAAGAGGTTGATCCCGATGGTTGTAGTCCCAAAGAGTCTTTGTGATTGTTCCGACATTATTGATGAGGAGGAGTCCGGCGCCGGAGACGAGTGTCATTACGCCAAAGATGAGATAGAAGTCCATTTGTTTGAACAATCGTCGACCAGAGATATCGATTTGATGCGGGTCGATCTCTGCTCGAACACCACGTTTGGATTCGTCTATACCTGAGAGAAGGCCTTGTGATTCTGGATCCACCTCTACCTCTCCTCTCCTCTCCTCGTCTACTGCTGTTTCTCTTGCGGTGTGAGAAGCTTCTGGAGTCTGCTCAGATTCATCATCAGTGGCATCCTCAACCTCTGGTTCCTGCCAAATAGTAGCCCTAGCTTCAATATCACTACTTGTCCTTCTCCTTAGATATCTCAAACTCGAATCCTGACCGCTCCTCCTAACTGCCTCCTCCCTTTCGCCTTCCAAATGCTCCGTAGGCGGAACAATCTTAATCAACCCCAACCCAATCAACATACTCGTCATACTTCCTAACGCCAACAACAACAAATAATCCCCCGTATTCCCCGGAAACAACAAATGCGATAACGTCGAATAAAAGAACGCACTCAATCCGAATCCTGACAACACCAACGCTGTAGCCGTACCCCTCCTACTCCCACCCCAAGATTTAGCTTGGGCGTTCATTGCTGCTGTCAATCCTCCACTATTCCCCAACCCCGTTAACAGGTTCAGGAAGAACAGCATCGAGGTTGAGTGTAGCGACCAGTCGCGGTTATAAGATGCGGATAACCCAGCGTAGCCGAGTGGAACGAGAATCGCGGCGGAGATCAGGGCGGTTTGAGGTCCACGCTTGTCGATAAACCGGCCCCAGAGTGGGGACGAGAGATAGACGCCTGCGTTGCCGGCGATACCGATTAGGTTGATCTGAGTGGAGGTCAGGTGGAGGGATTCTTGGAGTTGAGGAGCGAAAGAGGAAAAAGCATAGTTGGAACCGGCGGATAGGGCGACTGCGACGGAACCGAAGAGAGAGATCAGTTTCCGTTTGAGGATTCGGGAACGTTCTTCTGGTGACAACTGGCGGTGGTGGTGTGAGGGATGGTGGGCAGGGCGAGATGAGTCCGCGGAGGACGGGTTGGTGAGCGCCATAGCGGCGTCTGTGTTGCGATGGGTGACGATGCGAGCGATCGGTGGATCTATGGTTGTTGGTAGGGGTTGAGCATCGGAGTAAGGTTAAGGTGGTTGCGATGGTGGGTGTACTGAATGAATGATCGTGAGTGTGCGTGACGGTCAACTGTGTAAATTTGGGAGCAGCAGTCGGTGCTGAAAGTAACAATCCAATATGATGATGTAAGCTGGCATGAGACTACACGCAGAGGGATCGGGCAGAGTTGATCTCATCAGAGATCGGGCAAAGCCGATCTGACAAGGAATCGGGTATAACTTGGACCCGCTCGTTGTCATACTTGGTCATTAGGTAGGATGCACCCACACTCGGCATGTGCCACGAAAATGTCAATATATCAAGCTGAGGGCTCTAGGCCCTCAGCATGTTCCCGTGATGTCAATATAGTAAAGTGTTTAGCTCAGCAGCTTGAACACCGTACTTAGACTGATATCTCCCGATCATCGTCGCTAAGAGTCAAACCTTTTAATAGTCGGTTGTGGCCGAGTGTTGTGTGTGCTGGGGCGTGGGGTGAAGTGAAACTATGTAAGCTCTGGTTCGATCTCACATTGTCGCCATCTTCGCTCACTCGGATCCGTAGCATTGGCCAATACCACTCACCGCTTCTTGACGTCCTCGCATACTTCATCTCCATCTCAAACATCACAACAGACTGTTTGGTAGCGAACGACTCCTGCAATGAACATCAAGACAATATGATATATAATGAGAAAAGAACAAGAGATGAGAAATAAATCCTAAAGTACAGTGACTCGAATCTCCTGATAGGCCCCCTCCTGCTTCACCTTGACTCTCCCCCCACTCGCCAACACCAGTGTATGATAAAACGCCTGAGCAGCCACCGCAGGCGTACTACTTGCTACTGGTGCCAAGTCGCTAAAGAACATGATACTTGGATCTTCCAACTCCTCTCTGATCGATCTAGCATACTCCAAAAAGTTTCGGGTTTCTTCTTCCATGTCTTCTTCAAACACTTGGGAAGGCGGAGTTAGCTCCCTTTCCCCTACTCTCTCTGCTGGTGCTGTGGGGAGTCCGAGTCTGAACCGTTCAACAGAAGGAGTTTCCGGCATCGGATACTCCTCCAGTGGTGCGACGGTGGAGGGGGAGGTAGGGGGGATGAACAGTGGTGATTCGGGTGGGATTCTGCGTAAGCCCGTAGGAGTTTCCACCGAGATCTCACGAGGAATACGTAAAGGAGTAATTTCTCGATCGTAGGAGATAGAAGGCATCATGGAAGATCGTCGACGGTGTTCGGCGAAGATGTTCCATGGGAGTGATTCGCGTGCGCCTCGGAGAGCTGCTGGGATTTCAGGCACCGCAGCACGTGCGACGCCAAGTTCTTCCACCTCTTCCTCCTCAGGTGTTGGTGGTGGGGGAGAAGGGGGAGCTCCATCGAGCGGGAGAAGGTTGGCTTCGTCACGGAGTGCTCGAAATCTGGCACCGCGGGCGGAGAGGTGGGATGTTACAGTGGATTCCCATAGCTCGCTGAGTTCCGGGTGGAGGCAGAGGTCGGAGGGTGGGGCAAACATCATTCGTCGTGCTGTGACGGCAGCTTTTCGTGCAGCGGTGCGTCGACGGAGGGCGGCTCGTTCAGCGGCCATACGTTCCGGGTAGTTGGCTTCTGCAGCGCGTCGTTGAGCTTCGCTCAGTTCTGTGGGTCTATCTTCGAGCAGCACCGGAGGAGGACGAGGGCGGAGTGCGGGGGCCAGGGGTGGTTGGACTTGCTCCTCTTCTGCTCGCGGTCTACGAAGAGGGGTAACAGTAGGAACGCCTTCAGTGACAGGTCCAATTCCCATTCTAGCCGCTTCTTCAGCTAGCCTCTCCTCCAGCTCAGGCCACTCGACAATGTGTTCGGTGAGTGCTGTTTCGTCTCCTTCGAATCTTCGTTCGATACCTTCCAATATACCAGGTTCGATAGGTTCCGGGCGAGTAGGTGGCTCCAACCCCAAATCCAGCCCTTCGAACTCGTCTTCCTCGTATCCCTCGAAGCCTGGTGCACCTATTCCTTCACCTTCTTCATAAGCTCTAGCAAGCCCTAGGTCGTCCTCTTGAAACGCTCTCTCTAGAAGTGTAGTTCTTTCTTCTGGCGCAAGATGACGAGTTGGTGTAGGCGTCCTAAACGCATCCTCCAACCCGTCTTCCTCCATCACTCTTCTCTCAGGCGGCTCGACACTCCAACGGTATAACATTTCCGACCCCAGTTGGTCAAAATCCAACGTGAAAAACGCTAGATCCAAAGGCAGCGTGATCGCTTCCACCTGCTTTGTCGCCGTTCTCATATCTATCTCCCTCGTCGTTGGGGATATGGTGGAAGTGGTGAACATACGTCGCCTTACATCGCTATGAGCGTTGCTCGCATCACTGAGCAACAGTTCTGTCTGATGAGAGTATAGCTTTACGACACCGAAGAGGAGCTGACTGGAAAGGCGCAAAGCAAAAGGCTCGGATGGATGCTGTAAGTGCTCGCAGGTGAGGGTGATGTTGACTGAAAGGATTTCTTTTCGAGTGAGTCGACGAACGACGGAACGATCGCCAAGGGTGGCGGCTAGCCAGACAATGCCGAGACCGGTCTTGCGTCGGCTGAGGATGTCAGAGCTGTAGAACATCCTTACTTTAGTCTGCGAGAGAGATGTTTCAGACGATGGGAGGGAGAAGGAGGGCTGATTGGGTGAAAAGAGCTGACACTCGAAGGAGGGTGGGAGCTTTATAGTACATCAAGAGAGGTGAGGAACGATACTGCGAGACAAAGACAAAATGCGTTGCGAAATGCGAGTGAAACTGCGGAAACCACCCAAAGAGAGGATGGGTAGAGGGTATCGTCCGAGGCCCCTATCTCACAAACCCAAAGGGTTGCAGAGAGGTAGGATTTGGATGAGTATATCTTGCAGCCACATAGACGACGGTAACGATTGTAATAGAAAGAGAAACGATTCGGTCCGAGCATGATTTCCGCTTCCGGGCGGACGTGTCGAGGTATAGTCGAAAACGAGACGAGAGGGAGAGAAAGTGTCCATGGAAGTTGAGATATCGGAAGACGGTAACCGTCACAGTAAAGAAGCTTGATGCTACCATCACCGGAAGAGATGTTGATCAGGGAGTTGACAGCTAGTACGGTCTCAACTGAGCAGCAGGGAAATGAGCAGTCCAAATGGTTGGTGTGCTAGCCCCGCTAGTACCGAGTGTATCGAATTGAGCCAACTTCTGCATGTGCCGGGTCTTTTGCCGTTGTCTCCTCTGCAAAAGGTTATCAATGCTAGCCTCTGCATCCTCGCTGACAGCACCACGGGCGTGATGCATTGCTGCCCAGTCTTCGTAGGCTTCGTCCACTTCCGATCCATCGCAGACCTGCGCCAACCGGGATGGCCCGGGCGAAGGTAGACTGTCGGCGAGGAAAGGAGCCAACCGAGGCGGTCGATCATGCACTACAGAAACTGCTTGACTGACTTCACCGCTAGAAGTATCGCTGCCGAGTCGAAGTGCGTTCTGAGATGCACACATGGTTGGGTCTACCTTGTCGTTGATTGCATCGGCATCTGCATCGGCGTCTTGTTGCTGTTGAAAGTCGCTAAAGCGTGAAGACCAGAAATGGACTTCATCTTGCTTTTCGCCGTTGGCTGTGCGGATGTAGGTACGGATGAGACAGCCGAGGAGAGCAAGGCTCACAAAGATGATGGCCCGAGCTGTCTCTGAGCTTGGCATTTTGTTACTGTTGAGCTTGTCGGCAGGGAGAGGTCCGGTGATGAGGGATGTGATAGGGCTTGAAATGCGGGTTTGAAGAGGAGGCCACTGCGATGCTCTTTGTTGAGATGGAAGTGGCGACGATGGAACGTAGTCAAGGCTTGCAAAGAGAAAGTGCGCTGAAGATGGCTGAGCAACAAAGTTTTGAGGAAATGAACTCGAGCAAAGATGCCGGTGGGTCCTGCGATCGGAGATGGCCGCGAGCTTGAGTGTATACGAGGCGGTCCGGCCACCGTGCTGTCTTGGTTCAAGGTTTGGTAGAGTTGAGTGATAGCTCAGAGCTTGGCCTTGAGTAGCGAGCAACGGCAACTGCGAGCTTCTAATGAGCGAGAAAGATCGAGAGCGCCACTGCCATGAAGGAGCGAGAGGATGGTTGTGGAGGCGCCTTCTTCTCCCGCCCGATTGTTTTGCTTGCTGGTGAACAAACTCGATTCAAGCCGAAGTTGGGAATGATGGTTGTAAGCTCGAACGGTCGCCGGTGGGTCGAGAAGCCCTGCTCATGAAGAGTGGGTCAAAGGTGGATCGATGCAAGCTTTGCAAAGGCTGAGTGTGAGTTTGATGCTCAGCTCTTCCATCTTTCACTCTCTTGGTCAGCTCTGCAAAGTGTGTTGAAAGCGCAAAAAGCAAAAGCAAAGCACAGGGCGAATGGAGTCAAACGGCATGTGCTCGCTGATTCGTTTCTTCCAATGCTCCCATGGGGACAGCACACACAACTCACATTCGTTCGCTGGCTTGCACCTCTCTCTTGCCGCTCATCTTGCTGTCGATGCAGGGGAAGAGCAAAGACTGCAGAGCTCACATGACTGTGCCGTCTCAAAAGGGGCCGAGCGAGGATGCGTTCGGGAGCAGAGGGCCAATCCGATGATCCGAGCATGTCGATCTGCGGGCGATGATGGCTGCCAACTGTACAGTCAACAGGCGCTTGATGGAGGCAGGGCTGACGAAAAGAACGCAAAGAAGGGTCTCGAGATCTTGATGAAGGCAGCGCTTGGGCGATGCGTTCGGACTGATGGATAGACACATCCACACACGCCTCTTGGTGGAAAGAAATGGCAAACAAGCAGAGCGAGCTAAGCGAGCATCGTGACAGGCATCTATGCATCCAACCCAGCAGAATGTGTGGAGCGGAGTGTAACAAAGCGTTGCTGCCCTTGCTACAACATTGCATGCACGCCATCAAGCAGAGAGCTCCTATTCGAAAGCTTGGCCTCTCTCGGTGCTTTTGTGTGTTGCCTTGCAACATGCATCTTTTGCAGTGAAGCCTTGACCGCCTGTGCCAGCATCCGTAGTTGCATGAAAGTAGCCGGCTCGGGAACGCCAAGCAGGTCTATCCATCTACCCATCGACCTTTCGGCTGCGGAGGACATGGTCTAGCGTTGACTGACATGCGAGAGACCAAAAAGCTTGCAACAGTGACTGTCGAGTACTGCTCATCGTCTCAGAAGGGCTTGTTTTTCCATCCGTTACTATTGTGAGATCGAAACAAACTTGCGAGCCAGCAAAGAAAATTCAACCCGGCCGAAAGTTGTAAAAAGCCTCTCCTCTCCGTCTTCCGACTTTCGCTCTCTTTGCCGAAAAGCAAAAAAAGCAGCGCCGGGTCCATGTCATCCGACAGACGTAACACACACACGCCTGTCCTCTTCACCATCAACCATCTACATCCTCCTCCTCCATTCGGAATCTCTCCGAGTATTGCATCTTGCCGCCGCTCGGTGTTCATGGTGCTGACTACTCGTCTTTCTTTCACAACGTTGTTTCCTGTTGCCGCTTCTCGGCCTCTTCGCTCGTTCGCTCCAACGCTTCGTTCTGGTTCCGTTGCTTGCTTTGCTGCTTTTTCGACTCGAGCAGCACGCACTCCAAGCATCTCTCAAACATCACGCCTACCTTTTCGATCCTCCATTCGCTGCCGCCATATTAGCAGCACGCCTGCTCTGCACGCTGGCACCATGACCTGGACTCCTCCCAACCCTACCTCGGTCTGCGCACCTACCCCTCGCATCCCCGAGGACACTCACACCCATGCCAAGGTTGCCGAATACAAGCCTCTCCACCTCCACCTTGACTGGAACATTGACTGGGATGCCCGCATCATCTCCGGCCGTGTCTCACACCTCATTGAGCTCATCCAGTCCGGTCTCACTTCCATTACCTTGGACGCCAGCTACCTGAAGATTAGCTCCGTCAAGGTTGAAGGCAACCATGTCGACTACAAACTCGGCACCCAGCGTGGTACCCTCGGTGCCCCCCTCGAGATCCCTATCCCTTCCTCGCTCAACAAAAAGGGCGACAAGGTCCACGTAGACATCCACTACAGCACCACCCAACACTGCACCGCTCTCGGCTGGCTCACCAAAGAACAAACTGCAGGCAAAACCAACCCTTTCCTCTACTCCCAATGCCAAGCCATCCACTGTCGATCCCTTGTACCTTGCATCGACTCGCCTTCGCACAAGATCACTTACACCGCTACCGTTTACTCTCGCATCCCCGTCCTCATGTCTGCTCTCAAAGACGACTCCAAGCCGGACACCAAGGACACTTACAACTTTAAGCAGCCGGTGGGTATTCCTTCCTACCTCATTGCTATTGTTGGTGGTGATTTGGAGTTCCGCAAGCTAGGCGAGCGCACTGGTATCTGGGCTGAACCTCCCAATGCTGATGCAGTCCAGTGGGAGTTCGAGGCCGACGCAGAGAGATTCCTCCAACACGCCGAGAACGTTATCTCACCCTACTCCTGGACGCGCTACGACTCTGTCGTTCTCCCCCCATCTTTCCCTTATGGTGGGATGGAGAATGCCAATCTCACCACCCTGACCCCTTCCTTGGTGTGCGGAGATCGAAGCTTGACAGACGTTCTACTGCACGAGCTCTGCCATTCTTGGTCTGGAAATCTCACCTCCTGTGCCAACTGGACTCACTTCTGGCTTAACGAGGGATGGACCGTCTATCTCGAACGTCTGCTTCTCCAAGACGTACACGGAGCTAAACAAGGACCTGCTCATCGAGGTTTTTCGTACATTATTGGCAGTAAAGCTTTGAAAGACGCATTGGAGCAGTTTACGGATAATCCTCGATTTCAGCGACTTATCCCAGCGTTTAAGGATGGGGAAGATCCAGATGATGCTTTTAGCTCGATTCCTTATGAGAAGGGATCGAACTTTTTGCTGTACCTAGAGAAGACAGTAGGAGGGTTGGACAACTTTTTGCCTTATGCGAAAAGTTATTTCCACGCATTCTACAATCGGTCCGTTACCACGGAAGAGTGGAAGGAGCATCTTTATAAGTTCTTTGAGGGCAATGCTGAGGCAAATGCGGCGTTGGAGAAGGTGGATTGGGAAGCTTGGTTCCATGGCGAAGGAACTGAGTTGCCGGTGAAGATGGAATATGATACTACTCTTGCTGAACAGGCTTTTTCTCTTGCCCAACGCTGGATTAGCGTTATTGAGGGCAAGACCAGTCTTGATAAAGCTCATTTTACAAAGGAGGATATCAAAGGCTGGAATGCAAATCAAGTTGTTGTCTTTTTGGAAAGACTTCATTCCGGACCAAAGGTCCCACTCGCTATTACCAAGAAGCTTGACGAGGTATATGGATTTAGCACGGCGACCAATGGGGAGGTGTTGTTGAGGTTCTTTGAAGTAGCACTTGAAGTTGAGGGTGGGCAGTACGCTCAACAGGCAGCAGAGTGGGTCAAGGGTCAAGGAAGGATGAAGTTCTGCCGAACCGTCTACAGGGCACTGAACAAGGTCGAACCAGACTTGGCAAAGAAGACGTTTATCGAGAATAAGAGCTTCTATCATCCCATTGCTGCGGCGCAGATTGAAAAGGTAAGTACCTCACTACAACCTGGTGGAGAGGGAATGAGGAGCGGTCGTGTGCTGTTAAGCTACGGCTCGCTGTTGCTGAACCGTAAAGCTGACACACATTGCCTCTCTCTTCCCTTTCTGTCTTGGCTTCGCAGGATCTCGGTCTTTGAACCCCTCATCAAGCGTTTCTTACTCAATTCAAATTGCTTTTCTTCCCTTGTTTCTGTCTGATCTTCACCTATGCTGTGGCTTGGTAGGACTTTGGACAGGGCTCAATCGCCAGTAAGGGACTCGGGGGAAAAAGGAGTATAGTGACGATATGCGGCAGCACAGGAACAGGAAAGACCAAGTTGTCTGTTGAACTTGCTTTAGCCCTTTCCAACCCCTCCTCCTCCTCCCTCTCAAACCAGCATAAGGGAGCGGAAATCATCTCGTGTGACAGCATGCAAATCTACCGCGGCCTAGACATCATCACTAACAAAGCAACGACTGAAGAGATGCAAGGAGTACCACACCACCTTCTCGGCTTCTTGGACCCGGCGGAGAAAAGTGGGGAAGGATATGATGTGAAGCGGTTCGTAGAGGATACGAATAAGATTGCTGAAAGGTTGGCCGAGGAGGGAAAGTTGCCAATTGTTGCTGGTGGGACGACGTATTATTTGCAGCATTTGATGTTTCCTGGTCGATTCATCTCTACGTCTCCCGCGGACAGCCGAGTGGAGGAGAAAGTGGATTTGACGACCGATCCAGCATATCAGAGCTTAACCGAAGAGGAAAGGGAGTTGCTGGGGCAGGTTGGGTTGGGGAATGATGCGAAGGCAGATCTAGCGGCAAGAGCAGCAGCGGATCAAACGTTGGCGATCAAGTTGTGGAAGCTACTTGAGAAGATAGATCCGGTCATGGCAGGGAGATGGCATTATAGAGATTCACGAAAAGTGGCCAACTCTTTGCGAGTGTACAAGGAGACTGCTCGTCAACATTCTTTTTGGATTTCGCAACAGGATCAACACTCCTCCACCACCAAAATAACCTCCTCTGCACCCTCGACTGGGATTAGTGGATATCGAAAACTACTCTTCTGGCTATGGTGCGACCCTGCCACCTTGCGCCAAAGGTTGGACGATAGGGTGGATGAGATGGTAGCACGTGGCCTACAGAAGCAAGTTAGGGAGATGAGAGAAATTGCAAGATCGATGCTTAACGACGCACTTTCCAAGGGTGAGGGAAAGTATCAAACCGGTATATTCCAAACTATCGGCTACCGGCAATTCGCCGAGTATCTTGATAAACTAGAGGCTCTGACAGAGGAAGCCGAGGTGTTGGAAAAGGAGAAGCAGCAATGGTTCAACGAAGCAGTGGAAGGGACCAAGACGAGTACCCGACAATATGCCAAATCCCAACTGAAATGGATTCAAAATAAGCTCATACCCGAAGTTAGACGTGCTCAAGCAGCTCTCTCCTCAACCTCTTCCACCGATGATGTCCAGTTGTACCTTCTCGACACAACCGACCCCTCTTTATGGAGCCAAAATGTCCTGAACCCAGCCATAGAAATCCTTTCTCGATTCCTCGACCACCAACCGCTCCCCGACCCGACAACGATCTCCAACCCTACCGCGGCCACCAACTACCTTTATTCCGGTCGAACGCCCAACCAAGCTCTATCTAAACTCTCCCTCACTTCCTCTCCCGCAGAAGAAAGCAGAGGAGAGGGGGTGAGGACTATCGAGGCAAACAAGTTGTTCACTTGCGAAATTTGCACCTTCGACCCACAACATCCAGTTCTGGTAAGAGAGGTCGATACCAAGACGCATAGAAAGGGAAGACATCACAGGAATAACGTAAAGAGGAAGATAAGTGGGGAGGAAAAGGAAAAAAGGATTCAGGACAAGATTGAAGATGGGGAAAGCAAGAGGATTCTTAGGCAGCAGTTGAGGGCTGAGGGCTGAGGGCTGAGGGCTGAGGGTGGAGGGTGGAGGAGGGGAGAAGAACGAATAGTGATTCTCGCATTGCAACCATCATAGGAGATTCTGTATTCGTACCTAATCGTATACCCCGGAGCGAACGAGCGAACAGACATCAAACACATCACTTCTGTGCAACGACTGGGTTTGGTATGATGCGATTGCGAGATATATATGCATGACGAGAAGCAAAAGAATCTACAAAGCCTGAGTGGCATCAATCTCAATAGCAGGAACGATAGATGCCATGAACTTGAGGAAAATGATCATGTACTGATCGACACGAAGACCTTCAACCTCTTCCTCGCCATCTGCACCAGCTTCGCCCGCTGCTTCCCCTGCCCCTGCCCCTGCCCCTGCCCCTGCCGAACTTGCACCATCCGCCCCGGCCCCCGACCCACCAGTAACACGCTTGACAGCACTTGACACGCTCCAACCTTTCTTCTTTTTTTTCTCCCCCGCTCCTGGTGTCGCCCCTGACGCAGCTGCTGCTTTCCTCTGCTCCTCAATCACCGAAGCATTCATACGCTCGATAACTTTCTTCATCACACTTGCGTGCTTGCACGGATGGATGCTCGCCGTTGCCACACCAACCGCTGAAGCGGACGAGGTAGCTGAGCTGTCCGGCCCAGCATGACCATGTGGGAAAGGCTCGATGGTGACTGTCTTCTGTGCGTAGTCAGAGGAGACATCTTCAAAGATCTGTGCAGGTTTGAGTGGCACACCATGCTCGTCGTAGCCTACAAGCCACATGCGCGGTGTTTGATAGTACTTGTCGTAGGTTATGATGCAGTCGTACTTGCGGACCGAGAGAAGCTTACCATTGTCTGCGCCCGAAGCAGAGGCCGAAGCAGTATTCGAAACGTTTGGGACAGCGGCTGTGGCAGGATCGTCTTCCTCTTCGATACCGCCTGCAAGGTCGTCCGTCTCGTCGTCCATGTCTGGAATGTCTGGGATATCGCCGATCTCGTTGGCTGACGTAGCCGGCCCTTGCGAGGAGCCTTGGGTGCTGACGGTGATGCCAGCCACGCGAGCAGCGAGATCGTCCTCTTGACCCTCTGTAAGCTGATTCTCGGGCGCAGACTGGTCCTCACCGATATCAGGAATATCCATCATCTCTCCCGCACGCCCACTTGGCCCTCTTTGCGGATCGAAATGCGTTGCAACCCATTGATCATCTTCACCAGCTTCGGCACCGCTCTCGTCGAAGCTCATGAGCTTTTCGTCGTCATCCTTGACACCTACACCGACGCCCTTCTCGATCTGACTGACACGTCGTAGCGAAGGTACGCCGCAGGAGATGAGGAACTGCTTGTCTTTCGGGAGATAGTCTCTTGCCTTTGATGTGCTGCCCGCACACCATTGCCATGTGGGAAACTTGTAGGAGAGGAAGTCGCCAGCAGCTACGAATTCATCTGTGGGGCAGCAGAGCAAAGATATAGCAGCAAAAGGTATACCATGATACATTGGGTCAGCAACGATCGATCCGACTTGGTCTAATCAGCAATTGTAGGACATACCTGGAGTGATTCTGCCATGCTCCTTGAACTTGGACTCTCTCAATACTGGTGCGAGATAGTCTCGAACTGCCCAGAAGTGGGTCTGCAGAGTGTTCATGACGATACTCTGCTGGACAATACCGTATAATGCAGTGCTATGCTGTGCCGATATCAAGCCGAGTGCTGTGTTGTGCTGGATAGTGTGGAGTTGAAAGGTTGGTTGATGCGCAGCAAGTGCTTGCGTGTGTGTGTGTGTCTGTGTGGCTAGCTCAAGTCCGGCAAGACCCTGAATTGCCAAACAAGCACGTGAAGCGATTTTTGTAAGAATGTTAGAAAGCTGCGTGAAAACAACGCAATCCAAATAAATAAAATTATCGCGAAATCGGGGTCACGAAAAGGAGATTCGAAAATCGACATGGCGATGCCACTCGCAAAAGTACCACCAGATCGCAACGCTGCTTCAAGCATCGACAAGAATCTCCATTCTTGCCAGAATGGTCTCGTCTTGTCGTCTTTCGAAAGCCATAAAAGGCAGGATCGCTGGCGCTGTGGGAGAAAGCACAGAGGACGGCCAAGTTGACAGAAAGCAGTAAGGCGTGTACGGTTGGACAGGTACGCAAAGTCACACCAGCTTGAGCAATCAGGGACCACAATAAAGACTCGTTGCGTACACTGTTCGAACTAGTTTTGTTTGACGTTTCATGCCTGCACAAAAAGTGCGTCGCTCGGATCCGTTTTTGACGGTGGTTTTCTGCGAGAAATGCTGCTATATCGACGCGCCGATACCCACGTCAAAAATCAAAATCGACGCAGAGACGTCATGGTGATCGAGAAGTGCTTCATTTGCCGAACTAAATGCGCGCTTCTCCGTCCAGGCACAACCCCCTGACGGCAGCAAGACCTTGTGTAAGTATGCTGATTCTCGTACAAGGCCGTTTCCGAAGCTGTAAGAGGCTTGTTACGTTACGGCTCTGGGCGCCTGTGTTCGACTAGATCGGAAGTTCAACATGGCCAGGTAATGGAGCGATGCAGGTCCGTGCTTGGTGATGAAATCCATAGGCCGGTTGATCTTCAATAGCAGCCCAGCGCCTTCGGAAACAGAGTGTGCTTCCATCATACCAGAGGTGCCGGCCAGCATGCGAATCAGGTGGTGCGACTTCACTTGAGGAGAAAGCCTCGGCAGCTACAACTTGGCATTCACATGAACTTGGCTCGACACAGAACCACTCGTCGTTTGCTTGCGCCTTATCTACACGAACGGCGAACATCGATCCTCACGGTACATGCGGAACGTCAGAAGCGAACCAGCTAAACAAGCTTTCCTGGCGTTCCTGTGAACAAGACTGAAAAGAAAGTGGATGGGGAATAGGAAATCTCTTTTTGTTCTTGTCAACCGCACATAACTGCTTTTTCGATCTGCGTGGATGAACAAGAGGAGGAGGAGCAAGGAGCAAGGAAGAAGGAGCAAGGAGCAAGGATAGGCCGAACACAGAGGCAGCCTCTTTCTCTCTATCTTTACAGTCAGTCAGAGTTGTCAAAAATCATACAAACAGTCGTCAAGAGCGGTTTGCTTGCCTCCAACTCCGACTGGTCCTTATGCCGTTCCGCCCGTCCTGACCCTGAGAGCACGCTTACTTGCAGTACACATGACTCTCCGCTTTCCGCTTTCCGCCATTTGGCTTAGTTTTGGGCTCACTTGCCCTTCTCACTCATCCCCAATTTCGAGCATATGCAAACCATTCAATGCCGGCTTTTACAACTGACAAGAAACTTGCTCTGGCGGCGTGCCTATTGTCAAACACCTCTGTGAAGCTGCCATTTTGGACATCAGCCTGCCTGCCTTGCCTCCCTTCGGTCCTTCGGTATTGACCCTGATCCCCGTGCCAAACTGCTTAATCGATGCTGATGATGGTTGGATGAATGGTTGGAGAACCGCGTGCACTCAGTCGCAGGGTTGCTGGGGTCGTGACCAGGATGCCGGATACTCTTCATGTGCACTGTTTTGGCGTCGCCAACGGTGCTTTGGATGATTCAGAGGTTTGCCACTGCTCTTCTGAGCTTTTGGCTTTTCTCGGGCCTTGTTGGCCGCATCTTCGGCTTTTGCTTTTGCCCTTTGCAGCAGCTAATGGTGGCGGGAGCCACGTCCCTTTGCCAAAAAAGATCCGGTAAGAACTCTCGTTTCCCCTGGTCCCGACGTGGCCCTGAGCTCCCTTTTGTCAGAAGTATTTGTGGGTGTCCTTGTTGTTCCCTATCCCTTGACCACCATCATCTACTTCCTGTTTGGTTTTACATCCTCGCCAACACAGCGACACATCTCGTATAGGACGTCTTTACAAATAGCTCCATTCAGCTGACCCTACGCCCTTCGATATCGTCTCAGCTGTTTCTCCCTACGCACTTTATCTCTACCACCAGCAGCTCCTCAAGTCCGCATTATCTGTCGCTATAGAAAGTCGGCCTCACCGTCGATTCCACCTGGCTCTACCTCAGTATCTTATGTACACGATGTTACACCAGCGCAACGCCTCTAGTGGGCCGATGCAGGTGCAAAGGCCAACAGTGCACCTAGAGTATCCACCCTCCGTTCCTCGCTCTACCGCGCATTCTTCCAACACATACCACCAGTTCAGCGGATCTGCTTCTGCACCGCCTCGACCTCCAGCGTCGTTCACCCGCAGCTCAGATAGTATCCCAGTGCTGAGTAGGCCATCATTAAATCACTCGTCGCGCCAGTCCTCATCGGAGTCGATTGACTCCGTCACCACCGCTATCTCCTTCAACCACGTCTCTCCGGCCGGCAGCTTGGACGCTGGTCTGCCCGAAGAAGAAGACCTCATTCAAGTCGTTTACACTTCATCAGCACGTTCTCGTCAAATGACTAAAGACGAGGTCAAGTCGATTCTCCGTACTTCTCGCACCAACAATACTTGCAAGGGAATCACTGGTCTCCTCCTCTACCATGACGGTTCTTTCGCGCAATTCTTGGAAGGACCAGCAGCAGCTGTTGATGCGCTTTATCACAAAATCGAACACGATCCACGACACCACGGCGTCATCCGCGTTTTGCGACAGCCTGTTACCAAGCGTGATTTCAAGCAGTGGAGCATGGCGTTCCGTGACCTAGACATGATTCACAAGCGCTCTCCATCCGCAAGCTCCGACGAGGTTGGAGATGAGATGGCACCAGAAAACCATGTCAACGAAGGGTTCAGCCAGCTCATGAACGTCGGTCTGCGTGTAGGCGATGCTAACGACAACGACTACCGTCCCGACGCTTATGGTCATGCTAAGCTCGATCTTCCGGCTGACATGTCAGTTCCTATGCGAAAGCTGGTTTCTACTTTCTACCGGCTTATGGATAGGCCCCTCTAATTCTATCTTTTTGGTCACATCTCTTCTCTCTCTCACTCTGGTTTCTGGTCTCGGTATCCCCGCATCTGCTGCGTTCTCTTTGTCTTTTCCTCTTGGTTTTCTGCTTCTCTCTCGTACTCAGGCTTTTCATGTGATATCAGTTCTTCATCATCTCTTTGGGGTTTCCAAACAACGTAATTACCTTACTCATTTTGCGTTCACTATACACGGGCAATTTAGGTCACTGTCATCTTCTCATCTCTCTTATTTCCTCTTCTGATCATGTGGGCTGCCTGGCTCTTGAGTGTTGACAAGACGAGAAGCCCGCGGCTGAGTAAACGTCGGCGATGTGAATCATTCATCATATTCCTGAAACCGAAAGAGAGGCACAATTGTGCACAATGCGAGTTGCCTGTCAGACCCAAAAAAAAAAAAAAAAAAAAAAAAAAAAAGAAAATAATTATTGCTGAGTTTTGTGTTTGTGTAAGTAATTGCTGAAAATTAGCAATCCAACATGATGATGCGAGAAAACATGAGGCGATAAAGGGGGGATCGGGCGAAGCCGATCCGGTCAAAGATAGGGCGGGGCCGTTCACATCAGAGATCGGATACAATATCGTCCCGCTTGTTGTCAGGGATCGTCATGAAGGAGGATACACCCACACCTGGCGTGTACCGTCTAGATGTATATATATCACACAGGGAGCGCTAGGCTCTCGCCACATTCATCCAGTCAATTGAGTATATTTGTTCTGTCTATAAACTAGCAGCGACATCGTACTTAGACTCTCCCCGATCACCAGTATCGGGACCAAAACGACTTAAGTTTTAACAGTAATTTCTCATTTGTCTGGATCCCAAGGTCTAGATCGAAAGACCACTTTCGACACCATCTCTCATCTTTGTTAGACTGTGTCGAGATGAACAGTTTCGGATTTCGGGAGAGTCGCAGAACCCTTTCTTCGGAAATATTTGATTTGCACGAGAAAGTCTTCTAAACTTACAAAGTTCTCACTCTCCTACTGAGCCATCCTATCAACAGACACCATCTTCAGCCACCAGCTCCTACCTCAACGATGGCAAACGGAGGCAAGAGCTCAGGCCGTGGAGCGGCGAGCTTCGGCGACGCGCCCCTTACTACCGATCCACGTTTCGCTCGAGTCCACACGGATCCCAGGTTCTTGAAGCCCAAGCGGGACGACACTAAGGTTGTAGTCGACGAGCGATTTAAGGGACTTTTCGAAGATGATACGCGCAGCAAGAGGAACAAGACTGATAAATATGGGAGGAAGGTCGGAAAAGGAAAGAGTGGTGCCGATCAGATGAAGCGTTTTTATCGTTTGGAGAATGAGGATTTGGATCCCGCCAAGGCGATCGATGGGTTGGAGGATGAGGTAGAGGATAGCGAGGATACTGATGGCGAAGATGCTGGACTGGTTGATTATGCTCGTGGTGAAGGTAATCTTGAGAGTAGTTCTGAAGAAGAATCTTCCGAGGAATCGGAAGATGATGATGAAGACTCGGAATCCGAAAACGAGGACGAAGACAGTGAGGAAGACAATGTCATGATCGGACCCTCTAGCGTTATCGACCGAGAGAAGAAGAAAAGGGCTTCTCGTGCACAACTCGATGAGGACGAAGACGACGATCACGGCCTCGGTTCTGACATTGGAGAGATCGATTTGGATGAAGATGTCGACGAAGGAGTCTATGCTCAGCTCGACGCACAAGCCGAACGAGCTATTGCAGAAGGAGGCATCGAAGACGACCAAGACGACACTGACGCCGAAGCCGCCTCTTCCTCTCGCAAGAAGGATAAAGGCAAAGAGAAGGCCCGCAAGACCAAACCCAAATCGAGCAAGAACAAAATACCTCGTGGTGACGACACCCATCGCCTGGCAGCCGTCAATTTGGACTGGGACCATGTTCGAGCTAAAGACATCTACAAGGTTTTCAGCAGTATCGTTTCTCCCACTGCCTCAGTTACCGCTGCTGAGGCGCTGCAAGCACATCGAAGAACTGCTGCTGAAGGTGGTTCTTCTGCTTCGTCTTCGCGCGCAAGAGCTGCACCTGCTATCTCGCAAGTGCGGGGCAAGCTTTTGCACGTCCGAGTCTATCCCAGCGACTTCGGTAAAGAGCGTATGGCGAAGGAAGATCTTGAAGGGCCACCGCCTGAAATCTTCAAAGGTTCCAAGCGACGCGGCGGAGATGACGATTCGGAAGACGAAGAAAAGATCACGGCCAAGTCGATCGTCCAAGTTGACGAAGGTGGAGAATTCGATGAAGAAGCACTTCGCAAGTACCAGCTTGACCGTCTGCGATACTACTACGCAGTAGCAACCTTTGACAGCAAAGAGACTGCTCGTCACGTATATAACGAGATTGATGGCACAGAAATGGAACGTACAGCGAACGTCTTCGACCTTCGTTTCGTTCCCGATGGAATGGAGTTCCCTGATGGCGAAGAAGGCCGAGATGCCGAGTTCCGAGATGAAGCCACGGAAGATATCGCCAACTACAAGGGCGTAGACTTCAAGACCGATGCACTTCGTCATTCTCGAGTCAAGCTGACGTGGGATCAAGACGACCCTGAACGTTCCAAGCTCACTCGTATGGTCGCTCGTGGAGGACTCACTAAAGATCAACTTCGAGATGATGACTTCAAAACTTACCTCGCGTCCGACACAGAGTCTGAGCCAGACGAGGATGAGAAAGCGGCTAAGAAAGGCAGGGATCGTCTTCGAGCTCTACTCAATCTGGATGGCAGTGGCGAGGATGGCGGTGGGTTTGGCAAGAAGGGCAAACGCAATGGTGGAGCGTTCGATGATCCTCGACATGACGATGAGGAGGAAGAGGGAGAGATGCAAATCACTTTCATGCCTGGTCTTTCTGAAGCTGCTGCGAAGAAGTCGGTCAATGGAAAGAAGGCAGGGGATGAGCACGAGACAACCCTTGAAAAGTATCTCCGCAAACAGAAGGAGAAGAAAGAGCGTAAGAAAGCCGCACGCTCCGGCACTGCTGCTGCTGATGAGGACGCTAAGGTCAAAGACGCAAAGGACACCGATGGAGCAATTGGCAGCACAGATGCAGGCTTCGACGATCCATTCTTCAACGAAGATGTCGATATGGAAGCTGCTCTGGCTGCTGAATACGGCCAAGACGGTCCTACATCCAAGTCTAAGAAGTCCAACAAAGCCAGCAAGAAGTCCAACACCACCTCCGCTGGCGACTCTGATTCTGATCTTGAACAAAGCGCCCGTCAACGCGCCCAACTGAAGGACATTATCGGAGACACCAACGACGAACTCACCCAAGACGGTCGACAGCACTTCGATATGAAAGACATCCTCCGCGTCGAATCCGGTAAAGACGCCAAACGAGCCAAACTCCTTAAACGTCTCAGCAAGAAGAAGCAACGTGAAGAAGAAGCTTTCCAGGAACGTAAAGGTGCACCTTTGGTTCAGGATACTTTCGAGATCGATGCAAAAGATGAGAGGTTTGGAGCGTTGATGCAAGATCATAGGTTTGCGATTGATCCTACTCATCCAGGATTTGCGAGGACCAAGGCTATGCAGAAGATCATGGAGGAGAGGAGGAAGTTGTTGGAATCGAAGAGTGGGGAGTTGGAACACAGAGCCCGAGACAGTGTGGAAAAAGATGGAAAGGAGAATGGTGGGGATAACGAGTTGTCCGCGCTCGTGGAGAAGTTGAAGAGAAGGAATGGTGCTTCTGATGATGATGCCGAGAAGCAGCCTAGGAAGAGGAGTAAGCGAAAGTCCAAGGCGTCGGCTTGAGTTCACCTCACTCGGAATCTGCATGTCACACTAGAACAGCAACTTCTTCTCATCATTGCTCCACGCTCTTCTTCGTCCGCCTATGCATCTCTGTTCCCAAGAATTCTTCGAGCCCCATCATGACACAGAGTCTGCGTGCAGTCCTGGATTTTGATCATGACCGCGTACGTCAGCCTCTTTTCTCTTCTCTTCCATCGTGCAACGGACATCATCGTCGAGAGCAGGAGTCGAAACTGTCTATTCGGCTTAATTATCACCCACAACTGATTCTGGCATTGTCCAGTCGAGCAAAACGGCATGTTTGATGTTGATATTGTTGTGTTGTCGCAGAATACAAGTACATGATTGTGATGTTGCGTGCCCCTGTCAGTGCGGGTCTAGGCGTCCTCTGGGCCTTCCGATCCGGGGATGAGCTGCGAGTGACGACGTGTGATGCAATCACAGAACGAGTCAGCGATCAGAAAGCTACTTTAAGAAGAAGGCGTGTGTACAATGGATGGACTTACCATGCAGATGTTGTTACCGTTAAGCAGCGTCTGACCGAGTTCGGTCTTCTTCTTTTTGCCGTCTAGACATGTTTCGCTGCAAATCAGTCAAAGCAAAGCAATTGATCTTCGTCAGCTTCGCGATCCAGTCCTACTCAAACCATGGATTGGTGGTACTTACTACTCTGTGACATCTTCAAGGACCATATCTGAATCGCAGCGAGAACCCAAAAATAATGTCATTCATTAGCAACTTCTTCATCCTTTATCTCTCCGCAGCCGTTTCTGATCCGCAGCGGACCGAACGAGGGTTGAGTGTTAGGCGGTTGTGTACTCACTGACATAGTCGTCAAAACCCAACAAAGTACCACTGAACTCTCTGTCGGTCTTCATAATAACCCAGATGCTTGAACCGATGCACTTGTCGATCAACTCGAGTGGAAGGATGGTAGGAAGAGCTGCTGCAGCTGCTGCATTCCCTGCTGCTGTCGGTTCGCCTGGGGGTGCCATGATGTCTTGTGGGTGCAATAGGTGATGGATGCGGGTGGAAGAAGGGAGACTGTGGAAGCTTGATGTTGCGTCTCGAAGCCGCCTGCCGAGGTTGTTGGCCCGAGTTCCGAGGTATTCTTCTGCAACACACACTGCTCAGCATGTCTGTTTGCTCCACTTTCCTTCTTCACACCAACGGCACTCTTCAACACCACACCACCCTTCTAGCATCACAAGGGATCTTTGGGACGTTTCTACCCCTTGCGACTGCGCCAGTGGCTGGAGGATAGTACAGCCACCATGCCAGACCCAAACCTTCAATCCTACATAGCCTCGCACTACCTCTCTGGTCCAAAAGCTGACGCTATCCTAGCTCGGTCCTCAGACGGCAAGCTCAAACGCAAGAAGAAGAAGCCCAAGACCGAATCCACGGACGCTTCCTCAACTGGCATTGTTATCAAAGACGATGCAGATTCATGGAAAGTTGCTTTCGGTGATGACGAGGATGAGGACGGATTGATGCCTCAAATTGTCAATCAGGCAGATGGGGGACCCAGTAAAGCGTTTCGCAAGATCAGCTCAAGCAGCAAGATCATCCCGGACGATGCAGATGTCAAGGAAGAATCGTCAACAGCAGTCGAAGAACAGACAGCATTCAAAGCAGGGTTGAGGAGCAAAGAGGAGATGAAAGCTGCACGTTTGGCTCGTGAAGAACGGCGCAAACGCGAAGCCGAAGCCTCTGCATCTACCTCTACCTCACAAGCTGCTGTCGGTAAGGGAGGAGATGAAAAGGATGAAGAGGCAAGACTAGCCCAAGAAACGATCTACCGAGACTCCTCCGGTCGCATTATCGACATCAAAGCGCAAGAAGCCCACGAAAAAGCACTCGAACGCGAACGGCAGCTGAAAGAAGCAGAACGCAAAACATGGTCGCAAGGTCTCGTGCAGAAACAACAGAAAAGGCAGGCTGAAGAACAATTGGCTTCTATTCGAGACAAATCTATCTCCCGTAAAGCGACAGATGAAGAGTATAATCGGCACTTTAAGGAACAGGAGAGAGCAGATGATCCAGCATTGGCATTTATGACGAAGAAAAGAGAAAAGGGACCACAGAAACCAAAGTACAAAGGTCCTTGGCCTCCGAATAGGTTCAATATTCCACCTGGGTACAGATGGGATGGAGTCGATAGAGGGAATGGATTCGAGAGGGCACTGATCGAGAGAAAGGCTGTGCTGGAGAATAGGGAGAGAGAGGCTAGGGCTTGGGGTCAAGCTGATATGTAAGTTCGCTTCGACGAAGCAGTGCATCATATACCCGCACGATGAAATGCAAGCATCATAACCACACGCAAAGGGATGGTGCAGTTATCAGAATGAGTATCTGAGATTAGCGATGATAAGGTACAAATACAGATGAGGTTGAAACCTTGTGGAATGAAAGCAAATGTCACAAAAGAATGGTGTGGCATAATCAGTGGGAGCTGCCTCGTCCATATCGTATGCTCGACTGCGACGGAAGGCTAGCATGGAACTACAAATACAAATGAAACACAGCAAGTTGCAGTAACTTATACTTCACGAGAGATGGGCGAACCAATAGACTCTTCTTCCTCTTGCAAGCTTCCTTCCCTTGGCACGGATCTGCTGGAGTCCAAACGCTGAATGCTTCTTGTCCCGCTGCTGCCAGGTCGACTTCCTGGCCGACTGAAAGAAAAATCAGTCTTCTCATTCAAGCCGCCAGAAGGCGCGAAGAGAGTAGCGTCAGATGAGCGTCTGGACTCGTGATGCTGCAGAGCGTAGTTGATGGGAAAGTCTATTGAGATGCCATCGGTGTTGGTGCCAGGTGCGCTGACAGGAAGGTACTGAGAGCGCTCCTCGTTGGTGGAGCTATTGCTGACCTGGTGTGCGGAAGACTTTGGAGAGATGTCGCCTGCAGTATTGCCGCGAGGTGTTGTAACGCCGTTGCCATCGATCGTGATGCCCGTGAGACCTGCATCGACATTTTGCAAGCTGTGACTGTTCAACCCACGCTGCCGAGAGTCGAGTGATGGGAGGCGAGAGGTGATGAAGTTGGGCCGTGATGGTGTCTCGAACACGACCGATTCGAGAGCAGGGACGTGGCGTGTGTCGCATGTGGGTGTTGCACCAGTTGCGAACAGATCGTTGGCATCTCGCATGCCTGGAAGCACAGCATTGTCGGGTGCCAAGTCGTCGGTGAAGCGATCTTCCCTCCACTTGTAAGCACTTGACAAGGAGGCAAGGACAGCACCGAATGCCTGGACGTAGACGTTGGCAACGAGCATGAAACCCATGTCGACAGGCGATAGTGACAAAGCTTTGCAAAGCACAAGAGCAAGGGCGTAGATGGTGGGCAAGACGTAGCCAAAGGCGATGGCGAAACCAAGCTGCTTGGCCCATCGAACAGCAGGATGAGACTTCTTGTTCATCAATTCGTTGTCGCGACGACCGAGATGCCAGTATCGCCAAAGGAGAATGGCCGAGGCATAGAGTGTGTCGACAAGCTGGAAGATGAGGGTAAAGAGGTTGCTGATGTCGTTGGTTGCTTTGGAGACTGTGACACCGAAACCATTCTGGTGGTAGGCAACGGCAGAGCGGTTGAGGGTGATGCAGATGGAGGTGAGACGTGCTACTTTCATGAGGGATGGGATGATGCCAATGAAGATGCGCTTGCGTCGGCTCGCTAGAGTTGGGGGGTAGAAGGAAAGCAGACGAAGCTCGATGGCGACGTGTGTGATGAGCGGCACGAGATAGAGTGTGGCTGTGGACGACATCCAGAGTCGGAACATGGTTCCTTCTGAGACGTTGCCGAAGAGTTGATATGCCCAGAAGACGGTGTTGAGCGTCGAGCCTAGCAAGCCTCCTAGCATGGCGATACCGAGCACCCAGACGAAAGGGAGACGACGCTTCTGTGGACTGAGACCATTCTTGAACAGAACGGCACAAAGAAGGACGAAGAGAAGGGTTGCAAACATCGAGTAGAGAATGATGTAGGTGACACCATTTCGAACGAGGTCGACGGAAACGTATTGTGTAGCGCGAGTCTGGTTGGTTGAGGCATGCTCAACGACGAGCAAGATACGATGCCGGAAGGCAAAGTCTTGCTGCCATGTTGAGTCTGAGTTCGACATGATGCAAGTGTTGAGCCGGCTGGGCTCCAGCGCTTACGACGTCGAAGAAGAACACGCCGAGATCGAGAGTTGGCAGTGGTATTATCTAGGAGCGATGGGAAGCCATGAGTCGTAGATGAACAGCAATCATGAAAGTGTCGAGTAGCCGGATTGAGAATTGTCAAGTGTGGCAATAGAAAGGAGTTGATATGGACTGAGCTAAGCCGGTGTTGTTGGAGCGCTTAAAATCTATCCGCGCCTCTACGAATGTAGGGTTTTGCTGTGCTGTCGAAGGTGCTGAATGATAATGCGGGAACAGGTAAGCTCTGGCTAGGGGACGTTGCGGTTAGGCGCGCGGAACAATAGCTCTGGGATCACTTTGCCGGGAAGGTGGTCTGCGATGGAGAGCTTCTAGCGTCAGCGGAACCTTGAAGCTGCGCAAGCGTGGGAGCACAGATGATGGAGAGTGGTGGTGGTGGTGCGGTGCTAAGGTCAATTTGGAGACACGAGAGGTTGATAGGGTTACGATGAGAATGGAGCCAGGGCAAGGGGGAGCAAGAGAGGCATCGATAGAATCGGCGGCTAGGGCGGCTAGCTCTATGGCGTTTGCAGAGGCTGGAAGTCGAAGGGAAGGACGGATTCGCCTGTCGTAGTAGTAGTAATCGTGACCACTATCTCGGCGCGCATCAATGAAGGTGGAGGGAGGCGAGGAAGAGAAAGCCAGCAAAGCTCATTCAGGACAATGGTGATAGGAGACTAGCCAAGTTAGCAGCCAAGCAAGCAAAGCAAACGAAAGCGAGCAAGTCGAAACGCCGAGCCTATGAGACTCATTCTATGAATGGATTCGACGTGCAGCAATAGTGGCAACAGGAGCAAATGCTGGAGTCAAAGTCGGAAAAAGGTTAGCGTTAAAGTGGCGGCGGCGGTGGCGGCGGCGGCACTGGGCACAAAAAACGGGGGAAGGGAAGCACAAACGCCGACTAAGCCTGAGGAAACTGACATTTGGGCAACCCAGAGAGGGAGGAGGGAGAAAGAGAGGGAGAAAGAGAGGGAGAAAGAGAGGGACGGGAGAGGAACAAATCTGAACTGTAGTGTCAGGCGGGAGTTGTGCATCTTACATCGGAAAATGAATAGGAGCAGTGCAGTAAGGCAAGAGTAGCAGTCCACCACGCACTCAAGAGTCAGAAACAGAGACAGCGGGACGTTAAGTTGGGATTAGCGAAGCGCTAAGCAGCATAAAAACCAGCATAGCCGAGACTGTGATTGAAATTCCACACTGACACACACCAAAAAGGTGCTGGAGTGAGGTGTATAGAAGGCTGATCGGAGGCGTAGCGGTGTCGAAGTGCTGATGTCGCGGAACACGGAGTCGGAAACTTGAGACTGGGTGAGCCAAAGAAGAGGAGCAGCAGGAACAAAGTCGGCCAAGTCCACAGATGGAGAGGGAGCGTAAGTAAAAATCGGCTCGTATCGCCTCGCACACAACCGAGGCTGGGCTTTGGAATCTTGAAACTTTGGCCAAGACTGCTTTACAGCGTCCTGAGCTGCTCTTGCATCTCTGTGTATACCCAGCCGAGTGTGCTGTTACCCTAGCCAAGTGGGCTTAACTAGTGTGTACAAGTTGGCCTGCATTCGAAACCTCGCTTTCACTCTCTTGACGAACATCGCAGTCAACAGATCTGCCGAAATTATGTCAACTTGACGTGATTGAGGCGAGCCAGCTAGCATCCTTCGGCAACGGTCAACTCAACTCAACTTAACGAGCGAGCGAGCTCGGCGAAGAGCGATAGATTGCTTCCAAGGGTCTGATCTATTGAGTTCTAGATTGGAAATGAGCCAGCGTTCTAGAATACGATCTGTATTGAATGCATGCAGTGGAGAAAGGGCGTTTGGCCATCGGAAAGAGAGAAAGATATGTCACTATGGTCTAGCTTCTGGGGTGTGTGAGAGGAGGCTTCCTTTGAGACTGCAGTTCGGCTTGCAGAAGACTTGAGTCAGCAAGCCTTGTCGCCACATGTATGCACACACTGACAGCAAGTGGCGCCGTGATGAGAATTTCCAGGCGTCGGCCAACTGCGACAGGTAACAGCACGTCAAAGAGTGAATTGCATCGCAGATTTGACAGGTGAATTGCGATTCAGGATTAACTTGAAACGGACGGGGATAAGCAAGTCGAGAAAAGAACTTGATTTTCTGAATTTCAGTTGCTCTTGCTCGATGCTACTCTGTAATGCCGGAGCAAGTTCGGCCGCATAGAAAACTTGGAGAAGAGCTGCCCCTTGCAGCGTTCTTGCCAGCAATCGCGAGCCTTCAAGATGTCACACCTCCTGTGTTGCTGCAAGGTCACCATCAGCCGAGTTCAGAGCGCAGAACAACTTGTCCTTTCTCTCACGCAGGGACAACAAGACCCGTGTAGGAGTGTAAGAGTGTCTCTCTGGTAAGCGCCGGTTTCGATCGGGTACAGAGTTGCTTTTCTTTTCGAGCCAAGTTCCGAGTTGCAAGCAGCAGCTGATCTCTGAGCAAGCCTTTGACATTGACAAGCATCTGACTTGGACACTGGCGACGAGAAACAGCTTGTAGCAGCTCCAGTCAACTTGAGCCGCTTCGGCAGTTCGGAAATATCAGAACAATATCTGCAAGCAAGTGACATCCATCGCCTTGCATCGCAGTGCGTCGATTGCGATGATGGTAGACTGAAGCTTGAGCCCCTCTGACGAGCAACTGCAGCGGACACCCGAGCCTCTCTACTTTGTGTTCTAGCATCGACGTTGACGATCATGAAGCGATCAGTATTCCCACGATCGTTCGAATGCGGTCTTGAGTCGTCCAGAGGATAAGGAGGCGATTCACTGTTGCTAGCCACTTGTTGAACATGCTTGTCCCACGGTACCATCTTCTCGGCGAATCACAGTGACCCTTGCAGCGCTTCAGGCCGGCGGAAGCGTTGTCATGGTCTTGAGTCAACATAATCGCATCAAGCCGCAAAGACGCTGACGATCAACATGCTGCCATTGTTGCACCGCGACAATTCCCTTTGCTGGCCGGTGTCAAAGACTACTTTACACCTACCAACACTTGTGTGAGGAACCATAGCGACAGCGAGATAGCAGCTGCAAGGGCCATTTCCCTCTTACCCACACTCGTTGTCCTTGTCTTCCCGATCTGTCCTTGCATGTACATTCCACGCAGATCTTTTCTCACGCCGACATCGCTGCAAATGTCGATTGGATCGTTCCTGATATCGTCACAGCCTAAATTGGAGCAACTCTTGTCAGCCTCGAGTTGTAGTAGCGCCGGCTCTTCGGTCTTTGCTGCGTGAAAAGTCAGGCGCTGCTGACCTGCTTTCCCTTTCTCACGAACAGTGCATGCCTGCAAACTGTGCTGCAGAGTTGCAGGAAGCCATTGCACAGCCGTCTTAAGGCTTCATTGCCCCAATTTATAAGGAGGAATGCGGGCAAAGAGTTGGTCAAGTGGTGGATACAGTTGTCATGATCACCTCTAAAGACGGAAGCATGGCTTCATCGCCCGATCCTCAACAGAGAGAACCTGACGTTGTCCCGATCCGACACGGCCTCCACATGAACACCTGCCGCTTCATGCTTAGACCCTGACAAGCTTGAAGCGTAAAGCTGTAGACACGTTCTGGCATGTTCGTCCCATCATCCTCGACAACATCTTGTTGTAGCACTAGCTATTAGGATTGGACTCGCTTTCTAGCTACGTGTATCGCTTGGTAGGATGACATCTCTGATGCCGACAGAGGCTCGCGTGGGTCGCGATGGACGGATGGCCTCAGCAGCATCCTCAACATGGCTCACAACGCTTGGATTCAAGCGGCAAGTCACTTGGCGCAACCTGACCGCCTTCCTCGTACACTGCTCGGCATCGATCCTCTTTCTCGTCTTTCTCAACGCCTCGCAGCCCTTTCTGATCCATCAGCTCGAGTCGAACGCGAAACACGGCAAGGACCTGCCGAGCAGAGCAGGCTCACTCAGCGGCTCTCTCATCTTCTACGATGAGCTACTCTCGACCTTTGTCTCGCTAATATGGGGCGCGCTCGCTGAGATTGTTGGCCTAGCTGCCGTCACTTCGACATCCTACTCGTTCATCGCCATTGGTCTGGTATCTTATACGATTCCAAGAAAGCCATGGCCGGATCTGATACCAGCTCGTCTCATCTTTGCTATCGGCGGCAGCGGTGCTACAGCAATGCTATCAGGGATCATTTCGGAGTTCTCCGGCTCGCAGGGAGGTGGCTCCGCCATCATGGTGACGAATGCTTCTCTGCAGTCGTCTGGCAATATGGATTCGGAAACGACGTCTCACGGCACTTTGCCGCCTCCGACACGCCAGGCCGATGCCAACGGTGATGCCGAAGAAGTAGATCGCCTGCTCCCTTCAGGACATTCAGGGGCCAAGCTGGCTAGCCGTGTTGGTAGGAAGGACTTGCAGAGGCAACGGCATGGTCGTGTGGCTGCTGTTGCTGGTGTCTTCACAGGTCTCGGAGCGCTAATAGCTGTGTTTGTTCTGGTTCGCTTGCCACAAAAGCTTGCCGACTACCTCGAGGACTACGATCCATCCACCACCTCTACACCAACGCATGAACACAAGGATGTACCTCCGACCGACCTGGATCTTGGAAGGGCAACGGTAGCGACTTTCTTGCTGGTAGCAGCCTTAGCGCTCCTGGTCGCTGCCACCACAGCGCTCGGTCTCAAGCAGGCCCAACCCACAAGGCAGCGTCTGGGAGCAGCGGATGCACTAGAACGACGCAATCAGCAACGTCAAGAAGACTACGGCGCTTTGCGTGACAGCACGATCGGTTTGGCAGATGACAGGCGACAAGCACGCCGCGCTCGATTGCGATACAGGCTTGAGCATCAATCACAGGCAAACTGGACCAAGGTGATCCGTGATCATGTGCTTCGGTTCATGATCGCTTCTATCGGAGGCTTCCGGATGGTAGCACGCGTGCGTAGCGGTGGAGCAGCGTCGGAAGATACGAGATGGTTGAAGAGACGTCATCGTCTTGCCTTGGAACTGAGGATGGCTTATCTCGGCGGCGCCTTGGCTCGAGCTTTCACAATTGGAACGACCGCCTTCTTGCCTTTGCTCGTCACACATCACTACTACACATCGGGACTTTGCCGAGAGCTGCCATCACCCAAGCCTGAGGCACCTCTGCCCAAGGACGAACTGAAGAAGCTGTGTAGAAGTGCTTTTACAGCAACGGCTATCTTGGGAGGCACAGCTCAACTTACTGCCTTGCTGGCATCACCTCTGATTGGTCTGTTGTGCGACAGGCTATCTCCAACGACAACCATCTCATTCACCTCAGCACTTGGTGCAGTGGGCTTCTACTTGCTTGGCGTCGGCACATCTGGCTTGAAGGGTGACAAGACGACAGGGGCACGAGTCGCTGATCCTCTGACCAGGCTGTCAATCGCTGCTGCTGTTCTTGTTGGCTTGGGGCAGATCGGTGCGATTGTCTCGAGTCTGGCTGGATGTGCTAGAGCCAGAGGACTGTTAGCTAAAGAAGAAGGGGAAGAGGAGGCAGTCGTGCAGCCACAGAATGGAAATCAGGGTGGAGACGCGAGCAGTGCTTCAGCTTCTGAGACTGTCGTCTCGCGCAGACAGCAGCGGACTGGATCAGAGGCAAAAGATCTGGCAGAAGAAGCAGGTCGAGGAGGCGGTGCAATTGCTGGAGCATACACTTGCACAGGCTCCTTGTCGATCTTGATCATCTCGAAGCTCGGAGGGCTTCTATTCGATATCTACGTTCCAAGCCCCTTTCTTCTGATTGGCGGCTTTTCTGCCTTTGTCTCGCTTTGTGGGCTGGCTGTTATGGCTACAAAGCGGTTTAAGGCGATGTAGAGGTTAGGGAAGCGATTCGGAATGGAGAGACAATACCTAAGAAGACACAAAGCAATCGGGACTGCATCACTGTGTTGTCCCGAACATGAATGCCACTCTACTCCTACGGGACTTGTTGCCAACAGAATGGTGGGGAACGGAAGGCACCTCTGGGAGATGAGTTCCGATGTGGCTCGTGTGGCGGGACGGGAGGGCTGCGAGTGTGAGTGTTTAACTTACAGAAGAGATCCTGACCAGCCACCAAAATGGCTGCAGATGAGCGGCGTGCATGTCGTTGACAGATTTGCTCGATCTGCATAGAAGAAAGTGGTCTCTTTAGTCAAATCTTGCTCTCAGTCGTCGAAAGGATTCTCAACCGTGTTGATGGGAAGACCACGGAAGAGGTTCACTGAATCGAAAGGGCCCAGCTGTGGTTCTTGATGAAGCTTGCGACAGGTCACGAGTTGAGAAGCTTCTTCTTTTGTCTCGGCATTGCTGAGGATTTGGGAGGGTGCAATCTTGATCCCAGGGTGGCTTCGATTTGAGCAAGAATGTAGCCTGGCTGGAAATGGTGTGGATGAGGAATCAACAGAGCCCGTCACTTGTTCTGAATTGGTTGCATTTCATACAGAGTCTTTGGTGTCGGCAGTCGCGACAATGACTTGCTCTCGATGCTCCCGACGCAATTTTAGTCGGACAAGTGAAAGTGGGGGCGGGCCGAACGGCTCAAAGTGGTTCCGACGCTGTTGTCAACGCAACGGTGGGCTGTGAAGGAGAAGAAGGCAGTGTCGAGGTCGGCAAAGCAAAGGATAGGATCGGTGGTTGCGGTAAATGACGGTTCAAAGCCTATTCATGAAGCGGTGATCGAGATGCTGCTGTGATTCTGACTTGGCTCAAGGTTGTCGTAAAAGCATCAAGATGAAGAAGCTCACTCTCCTGTCTTGTCATTGTGAAGCAGACTGTGCAACGAAGCGATGGTCGGGCAGCCACTCTGATTGTTTGCGTTGGCCATAGTCTCTGCTCCTCTTGCGCCCTTTTTAGGGCTGGATGGGATGGATGCCGATGTCAATGAGAGGGCCACCTGGTCAAGGCGATGGAGAACGAGTAGAGAGCGGAGGAAGAAGGATTTGCGCGTGCTCAAGAAGCTTGCTGTTGGTGAGGAAGCGAGGTTTGGCGAGTCTTATTCAAAGTAGGCTCTGCTCGCTTAGGAACACAAACAGTAGTGATAAGCAGTTGTCAACCTCGGCCTCTCGATTCGTGAAACAAATATATATATATATATGTGTGTGTGTGTGTGTGTGTGTGTGTGTGTGTGTGTGTGTGTTCCAGCATTCTGTGCATAGAGTATGTACAGAAGGTGTAGAGAAGGTGTATGATACATGACGGGGAAACTATGTCCGGTATCTGTTAACCGGCTTCGGACACGGTTTTGTCCATGTGATGACATTTGGCGATGGCTTTTCTCTGAATCGATCGAGGGAGGGCAACATGATCAAGCCTTGTTTCAGCGCGCGTAGCTTGTGGGGGGAGACTGAGCTAGGCAAGAAATGATTTCAGTTGGACCATTTGATTATTATTATTTTTTGGCTATTATTCTGTTCTCAGCCTGTTTGCTCTTACAAGGTTGCAAAGATTCGCTCTTAAAGCCTCTTCTCTCCTTCCCAAGTCAAAGTAAGAGACTGAGTTGATGCTCTCTTACCACTGGAACGACAGCATCAACTAAGCGGAAACTCACTCTTGGCTTGGCCTGTTCCTTTTGTGCCTGCAACATCCACAACACGCAGATCTGCGAGAAGCAGTGATCTCTTGCACAGCCAGAAGCCGTGAAGAAGAGTAAACTATGCTATCCGCACTTGCTGATGAGTTTGCAGCGGCCATTGCTTCTCTCTTTCTCTCCTTTCCCATCTCCTCCTCCTCCCCTCTCTGCAACGTTGCATCTTCTTTGCTCTTTGACCTCTCCTTCTTTCCATCACCGATCCGACTAAACCTCTTTCCCATCAATCATCCTTGCCACGCGATCCCACTTTCCTCTCATTCCGACAATCACCTTGCTGCAATCGCCGCCACCAACCAACCAACCAACCACCATCATCATCGTCATCATCATCATCATCATCATCACCCCCACCGCCCACTGCCCACTGCCCACTGCCCACTGCCCACACTTCAAGTCTTTGACCGAGGCAGTAGCACCCACGCACAGTGCACCAGCGGATCAGAGCGCCTCGCTCCACTTCTCATTTGTTCGCATCTTGGCCTGCATACACCATTCACCTTCCCCCCCCCCCCCCCCCCCCCCCCCCCCCACCACCACCATCTTCCACCATCCCGCCGGCTACAATCCGCCTCACTTACGCTCTCGCATCTTGGTAGTCTCGTGCACGACGGCCCGTGGTTAAGACCATATCATCACCACATTCCTCACCCAAATAGGTCACTCTCCTCATCATCAGAATCATTCACCGCACGGCTTGGTTCTCCTCCTTTCATTCCGCCACCTCATTGCGCTATTACCCGCCGACTCTTTTTCAGAAGCATTATCTTGACCTTGCCTGCGCTTGCTGATGATGCAAACTTAAGTGGCTCTGTAGTAGTACATCACCCTTGCTCCTCTCCTTTGCTAAAGCGTCGAGATCTTTCCAACAAACCACCATCTCCACCTGCCTCTCTCGTCAATCATTTCGCACCGAATACAGCTTCCTCCATCTTCACTGCACCTCGGCCTAAGCATCCTCACACCTTGCCTATTTGGCCTACCCATCTTCAAATAAGCTCGCCTGCCGGCGCCCGCCCGCACATTATCTCGATCGAGCGCAACAATATCCACCACGAATTTCCTCCCTCCCTACCTTTTCAAGCATCAGCCCCTCACTGCCTTAGCCCTACCTCCACCCTTCTGCAGTCCTGCTGCCTCGTCCATCGAACCGCAGGTCAAAGTCGACAGTCGAGATCAACCCACCTCATCCTAGCATCGACATTATGGCGCAGCATTCAATGCCATCTGCCTACGGCTCTGTGCCTGCCCCGCCAAACCATCTCTACGCCAACGCGCCAAGAGGCATGAAGGAATACGACCTTGCCGGCACCAGCCATGGTCCCTCTGTTCCTCGTGCACCTTGGCATCCGGCACCACCTACACATCCTTACTCTCACCTCCACCCAGCCTTCCAGCAACAAAGTCCCATGCCCTATCAGCCTTTCGAGCCACGCCATCCCGGGGACAGCGAGCCTCTTCGCCCGCCCCCTGCCCATCACCATCATCACGGCGGCCCGCATCATCCACATCTCCACCACCATCCCTACAACAACCCTGCTCATTCGCTTCCTCCATACCCCTCCTCTTCCCAGCAAGCCGCCGACATGCATCACAGACACGTCTCCCGCGCTGCCTGTCTCTCTTGTCGTTCCGCAAAGCGCAAGTGTGACGGTGTCAAGCCCATCTGCGGGCCCTGCGCTCTCAGAGGTGTCAAGGATGGCTACCAGGGAGACGACGGAGGCTGCGTTTACGTCGCCAGTAAGCGCGGAGGCCCTCGTTTCAAGGGCATCAAAGGTGCTGAGGCCACCAAGCGCAAGCTAGATGAACGTGAGAAAGGTGGCAAGCTCAAGGGCGGCCGAAGTTCCGACCAGCATAGCCATGATGAATCTCATTCTCAGTCGCCTCCTGATCATGGATCGCATCCACATTCATCCTCGCTCTATACGCCGCCCGACGCCAACCAAATCCATCCTCGCTATCCTCAAGCCGACCAGCACGCTTCTATACCTCGATCCACTGCGCCAATGCCGCTTGCCAACCTTGATCTCTCTCGAGCTCGCGCAGACATGGTAGCCACTACCACTCTCTCTCCTGACGCTTTGCCGCTCAACGAGGAGAGCAATGATGCCTTTTCCTTTGATCGCGAGCGAAACGCCCTCACATCCTGCAGTCTCTTCCGCCCAGACGCCGCCGTCAGCGGTGGTCTCTTTGACGACTTGCCAGCCACCAACTACGACTTGCTTCAGAAGCTCTCCGCCACACAGGCCTCCCTCGGTCTTTTTTTGGCCAATTTCTACCACAAGCTGGAAGAGCTGCCCAAAGCAGGTGCCCTCGCCATGTTCAACGTCGACGAGTTCGGAAGCATCGAAGTTGACATGCCCCAGGCTCTACTGGAGATTGAGACTGCCAACAAGTCGAGCGCTGCGGTTAACTCGGAACAGCAGGCGCGCGCCTTGTTGTCAGACTTTTACGAGCTCGTCTATCCAGCTTGTCCAGTCATGTTGCCCTCCGGTCACCTCTCCTCTCTCGCCTTCCACTTGTCCGAGGACGAATCGTCGGCTCTTCTGGCGGCAACATCCGCTTGTGTTGCCCTCCAGTTGCCGCAGACTGAGGCCAAGCGCATCGTTAAGGGCAGTCTGCTCTTCCACGACCCCAACGATCACGAGACCAAGGCCGAGCTTCTCGACCTCGAGCATGCTTCTCGTGAGGAGATTGCAGCCTATCACGCCAAGTCTGCCGAGAAGCTGCTGTTGAAGAAGGTGGCCATGTTGGCAAGAGCAAGAGCCTCTTGCTTCCCTTCCGAGGCAACGGCCAAGGTGATAGAAGCTACCAAACTCCTTCCAATGCATCGCGGCGCAGGAGGTGCCGACATCGAACTTACTCGAATCAAGCTCATCGCTACCCACACACTCTTGGCTCATTACCATTACGGAACATCCAACAGCCGCCGCGCTTTCCACCATGCATCCCAAGCCTGGAATCATGCTCAGGCTCTCAACCTCGACTCGAGCGAAAGTGTCTCGTCTGCACCTTCTTGGTTCAACCACGAACAGAAATGCGAATGGGCTCGTAGAGCCTACTGGACCTGTTACACCGCTGCTACCGTCATGTCGTGCACTGGTGGCTTCAAACCGCTCTCGGTGACAAGAGACATGCCTTCCGATCTTGGCCTTCTCCCCAACCTCCGCGGTGACCGCTCCAGTTGGAAGGCGCTCGTGCGTGGTGCTCAGTTTGTCTCGAGGTCCTATGCTAGCCTGTATGACCTCGACTCATACAAGAACCGGCCGGAGAACAAGCTGCAGGATCCAGTCAGCCAGACACGCGAACAGCGACGTCGATGGGAGACCATCTTCGAACGCATGCAGAAGGTGGATGCCGATGTTATGCAGTATGCTCGCTCCGACCCTGTTTGGAGCGACGAGAGCTGTTTTGCTCCCAACATTGGTCTCTCGCGCCGTACGGTCGAGTTTGAGGAGGAGAACGAGATTCGTCTCAGTCGCAGTCTTCGAGTTGCAGGTAAGCTGATGACGAGTGGTGCGCTCATCATTCTTCATCGAGCACAGGCGTTTGCCAATGCACGCATCTTTGTTGCGCCCACCTGTGGCATCCCGGGCGCATGTGAGGATAATAGTGACACGGCATCCGATCTCTGTGGTCGCACCAAGGGTCCTGATCGTCTTTGGCACCGTGAGGCGGAAGGTTTGCCGCCGTCGGGTAAGCCAGCAGGCAGCGATGAGCTCAGCCCGAGCATCGAGGCGCCCGGCAAAGCAGGAGCAGCGGGTACAGGTCGATCGCGCAGTGCTAGTAGTTTGAGCAGCAGTGGAGCCGAAAGCGTTGGTAAGAGTCTGCTCAGTTCATCCTCCTCCTCGATGGGCAATCAGATCACTTTTACTGCTTGCGGCATCCCTGTCAAGTTCAACGGTGGACCATTCGAGCCTTCGGACTCGCTCGGCAGATGTCGATTTGCAGCAGGTGTCATGTATACCCAGCTGGCGCACATCAACACTAGCACCTTCCGACACGGACGTCGTGAGTCGATGACTCAGCTTCCTGTTGAAGCCAACAATGGTCGAGAGAATCGCGAGCACTGGTCTGCACCCTCCTTGCCACCTTTCTCTGCATGCTCGCTGGTTCTTGCTGCCTATGTGTTGCTGATGGAGACGCTTCATGCTCAGATCGCAGCAGGCTTGGAGGATGATTTGGACTTTACCAATCAGGAGGCGCTCGAAGAGGTTGGTGAGGAGGCACTCTATCAGCTCTCTCCTATCTTGCAGCCTAATCCTCATCGTACGGCACAGATCCCTCAGTTGTCTGGAAGACAGGCTTACATGTTGGCTATCAAACTTAGGTCGTGCATTCTGCAGATCGAAGCAGCGCTGGAGAAGTTTTCGAGGGCTTGGGAAATTGCTAAGGGTTACGCGCAGGAGGTTAAGCTGCTGTTGGAGGTCAATCAGAGCCTTTTCACCGGATCGAACGTTGCTCAGATCAAGTTCTAAGCAGACCCAGGATCTAAGCATGTTTCCTTTCGTTTTCGTTTCGTCTTCATTCATTGTTTCCATGTTACGGGTTAACCACTCTCGATACCCTTTTCGTTTCTCTTTTTCTTTTCTTTTCTTTTTTTCTTTTTTTTTTTTTTTCTTTTTTCTTTTCTTTTTTCTTTTCTTTTTTCTTTTCTTTTTTCTTTTTTTCTTTTTTCGTTCAGCTTTTCGTCAGCATGTACTTTCGCAATTTCAGCATTCACTCGGCATCACACCACTACAATGTCACGCACATTTTGCAATGGAGCTTCTGTACCTTGCTCGCGACGCTTGGACCACTCTTTTCCCATCGCATCGTCGTGCTTTTGGCTCAATTGGTTGAAAGGCTTGCTCCCCTGACGGACGACAGTTGGATCGTGATGATGAACTACACCATCTCACATATTCCACACACTTGCTCCGTTGATCAAACGGAGCTCTGAACATCCAACATCACCACAGAGGGACGATAAAAAGATGATTCTTATTAAGAACAACACAAGGACCAAGTCGAAAAGTCGCAACAGAATTAGGTTTGACAAAGGTGAGCAAACAGGCAGTTGGTATCATCGAGACGGAAGGTAAAGGAGCGTGTAAATTGGCACTTGAGGGTAAACAGTTGCTGCAAGGTTTGGTTGGTGGGCAAGAATGATTGTTTTGTTTGGTTGACAAAGTGTTTTCTTCTTGCTGTTTGTAGGTGCGTTTGTGGTTTAGACTGTATCTAGTCTCTACGCGAGAGCTCGATAACAGGGAGAGTAAAGTAACTTGTGTCTGGAGTCAAAAGACCAGCGGCACCTACATACCAAGCAATAGCAGCAGTAAGGATACCAAACGAACCACCAGCAGTCTGGATCTTTGCGTTACCCGTGAACTCTGCTACAAACAGAAGCAAGAAGGTAATGTCCAAGAAGAAAAACAACGCAACCAAACCAACCGAGGATCGGAAGGAAGCCAACAGCATAATAAATGTAAAGATGAACCAAGCGGCGAGATAGATACCGACTGCATTTGCCAGTTGAGTCTCGGGAACACCTTTAGGGTTGTAATTGTTCTCTGCAATACCGAACCAAGGGATTTGAATGATAGCATACGACCACCAGAAAGCACCGTAGGAGGAGAAAGCAGTAGCACCAAATGTGTTACCAGCAGCAAACTCCCACATTCCAGCAAGAAATTGAGCCAAACCACCATAACCGATCGCAAGACCAACAACCACATTAGGGACAGTAACGCCGCGCGCTTTAACGTTGAACATCGAAAGAACAAACGTCGTTGCCGCGAAACCGAACAGACCCAGAGGTGCAGGGTTGGCGAAGCGTCGATGATAGATGGGGAAAGCGGGTTGAGACGTGTCTTGTGGGTGTCCACCGGGAGTGAGAGCTCGGATGGGCTGAGCTCCTCCCTGGTAGCCGTTCTCTTGCTGCTGCTTGATTTCGGACATGGTTGTCGAGTAAATGGGTTGTGGGATGGTGGTGTTGGTGATGATGGTAGTAGGGTGAAAGGGGGGTGGATCAAAGATGACGAAATGCAAGGATGCGAGCCGTTGGGATGGCGCTAGTGGTGGGGCCTTAAGTACCTTTCTCAAAAAGACAGGCGAGATCAAGGAGCCATTCAAAGAAGGGATTGCCCTTTTCCTCTGCATGCAGCATCAACTCTTTGCTACAGGACACCGGTGCATAAAAGCAGTCCCAACTCAGCTTCAGCATCGGCACAGGGAGAGAGAGCAAGAAGGAGGAGGAGTTAAGGTCACGGGCATTACACCCCAAAGTGCGCCACATACCAAGGCTTGGCCCTTGGCCTCGTGCAACAGTGTGCAAGTCAGCCCATTCGGAACTACTGAGTGACACTCTAAGATCACCGTCCCTATCGATCCCTCTGTCGAACAAAGCAAAGAGGTGCGCTTGAGCCGAGATCCCAGCGACATGTCAAAAAACTCGATCTATATTTGGCAAGACTAGCTCCCCCGCGCCGGATAGAACCTTCCGTCGTTGCCCCCCCCACAAGTCACTCGAGCTTCAACTTAGCATACCTCTCTACTTTGATGCACAATACATTGACAAGGTTGTGTCCACATCGCATCACAAGCCCGAGACAGGCACGGAGTTCGATCCTTAACTACAAGTTTTGTTGAGCATTGTACAGAGGGGAGAGACGCCACAACTTTTTTTTTTTTTTTTTTTTTTTTTTTTTTTTTTTTTTTTTTTTTTTTTTTGGCTTGCTTGGGGTGTTAGGAACAAGAGTCCAGTGCCTTGAACTTTTTTCTTCTTTTTTTCTTCTTTTTTTTTTTCTTTTTTTTTTTCTTTTTTTTTTTCTTTTTTTTTTTTCTTTTTTTTTTTTTTCTTTTTTTTTTTCTTTTTTCTTTTTTGATGTTTTGGCAATGCACAAGTCTCGGTTGGCTACGTTGGATCTGTGAAGCAGAAATGCAGAGGAAATTTGAACGCCCCAAGGAAACGTGGGGAACCAATACGGCCGATATAGTAGGCAACCTAACAGTAAGCATATAAAACACGACGGGGCATTTATCTTACCCTCCTCGGGTTTCGGCTAGCCGGTATGCCGATGCCTATCGCGATAATCGGGCCCAACTCAAGCCGATACGATGCACAGGCCCCGACAACATGCTACGGATCCGAGTGAGCGAAGGTGGCGAAGGTGTGAGATCGAACGAGAGCTCACATACTTTCACGGTTCGGCAGCAGATAGCTATGAGTCTATTCTGCATAGGCGAGAGCGATCTCACCTCCCGACCCCCCTAAAAAAAAGATTGCCAACCGATGCAGTGGCAAATGGTATAAGAAAAGTCAAAACATGATGTGATGTGATATGATACTGTGCAAAAAGAGTCCCAAGAGCCAAGTTGCCTTTCAACCCAACCACAACCCAAGCAATACTCGTCAACAAGTCTTGTCAATCCAGATCCATATGTTGTACTTTGCGTCGAGCCACATCATTATCATCATTTGTGCTGGTGGTGGTGGATTGAGCGCTCGAGTTGCTGAGATCAAGGGCAGCGCAGGCTGGAAGCGATCGTTCCAAATTGAATTCGGCAACACATTGAGCTGCTTGAATGAGGATATCTCGGCAAGCTCGGTCAAGAGTTGCTCAAAGTCGGCTCAGATCTGCAAAACGTGGAAGCAAGGATAGGCGTGCTTGTCGGTCACACCTCGGATGCAGAGTTGAGGGCATTCAGTGGCATTGATCGTCTGAAACATGATTACACAGAAACAGTCCATATCGTGACTATAGTGCAAAGAACAGGCTTGTGGGCTTTCACTTGTCCCAAGCAACCCTACCACCGCCAAAGATGTAAGGATAAGCAGTCTGGTAATAGTTGACAACAGTCCTTCGACCAGCAATAGAAGGAGCAGTAGCAAAGCTGCCACCCAAAACCACGCTGTGCTTGCCATCAAAGAAGTCCGAGCTGTATCCTGGGTACAGCGCAGACGACTGGAACCCTTTGTACTCGCCAAACACCGTACTGGTCCATTCCCACACACCACCATTGTGTCCTGGAAGCAGAGTGCCGTCCGAGTCGTAACGAGGCAAAGTGGCAGGAACAGGATGCCAGTTACGGAAGCCAACGTTGGATGAGGGCGCTGCTTGACCCTGTGTTGGGTTTTGCGAGCCTCTGTGCTTGGTGGTACCCAGCTGCTGCTGAGAAGAATCCGTACCTGGACCATGCATCGAGATTCCAGGTGGATGAATCTCGGTCTTGAGCACTCTACGAGACTTGTTCTGCGGCTTAGGAGCATTGGTGTTCTCCGTAACGTAAAAACGACGGAGCATCATGATCGCTTCGTCGCGCAAGTATCCACCCACCGACTCGTAGCCTGGCGAACTGACAATTGCATCATCGTCGTGAAGACCAAGCACACTACCATTGCCGCCAAAGCGTTCGTTACCAGCACCAAATACAACGCGCTGAATCCCGATCTGTCTCAGCGCAGCACCGCACATGATGCATGGCTCAATGGTGACGTAGAGCGTTGTATCCTTGAACGGGTTATCGCCTTCAGGCCCCGAGTGAGGAGACACTGCAAAGTCAGCAGAGGAAGGTGGCAACTCGGAAAGAATGTGATCGATCGCTTCAAGCTCTGCATGTCTGGTAGCGTTGAGCAGCTCGTTGGTGCGGTTACGACCACGAGCAATGATCTTGCCCTTGCGAACAAAGACACCGCCAACGGGAACCTCGTTGGCATCGAGAGCTTCTTGCGCCATTGCGAGCGCTTCTCGCATCCACTTGAGATCTTCTTCAGACTGCTCCTCTGGTGGAATGTATCGAACAGCTGAGCCTCGGACAGGGGCAGCCTGCTTGCCAGGAGGATCAATGTCGTTGTCCTCTGTCTCAACTTTTACCGCTGCATCGCGGTGGAAAGGTGGCACGTTAAGATCGAGGACCAGCGCCTCAGGAGGGGTATCCATGAATTTGCGCAGCTCGGCATGGGTGGGGAGTCGACCACCCTTCCAAGCAGCATAAGCCGAAAGCTGCTTGCCAGAAGCCTGAACAGGCCAGTGTTGAGCCACTGCCATGTCAACGGGGCCATAGAAGGTACGAACCATGTAGCCTTCGCCATCGTCGCTCTTGACCCACGAGGCCGGAGCTTCTTCGATGTTGGTTGCCTTGAGGAATTCCAAGTACTGAGCGTTAGAGATGGGCATAGCCGAGATCGAAAAAGCCTTGGTTTCGACGCTTCGTCGAGGATGCTCGTTATCCCATCCAAACTCGGGCTGACCGAGCTGCATGTTGAGATCCCGAACGTCGCTGGTCGGACGAGCAGCAACAATGTCAAAATCTTGTGTGTCGTCATCATCGTGGCCAAGCTCCACAGTTGATGCTTCAAAGTGGAAGCATTGCTCCAAAGCACGACTGCCACCACGCTTCTCAAATTCTGCCTGCCATCGCTCCTTCAGAGAAGGCCAGTCAGGCGCCATGAAGCCAGCAGGGGGTTTGGTGTTGGGAGACTGAATCAGCATGTACAACAGCGTCTCGAGGTGAAGATTGATGTGTTCGAGCGTCATCCAGAGCATTCTTGCGAGCCTGCGGTTCATGACGAGATCACCTCGGGCAACGTCTTCGTAGACCTGCTTAACTCGTGACTGCACCTTTTGCTGATACTCGAGGATCTCATCCAGCGTAGGCCAGTCTTCTTCGCAGGTGGGGACCTCGCTGTGTGGGTTGCAATGGGTGACGTCGTCCATGTGAGGGTCGATTCCGCGTTCGAAGATGGCAGAGAAGCGATCATTGGTGTGAGGCTGCTTCAGATAGGTCGCTACGTGAATGTCGATAAAAGCTGGGATGTGACCAAGGTAGAACAAGCAAATGTGACGAAGATCGATTGGCTTCTCATGCAGTTTGTCTTGAGGGATCATGGTCAAGGTGACGCAGTTCCAAGCATCCCAGACCGTTTTCCAGTCTCGCAGACTGGGCAGACCAATCAGAGCAGCCCTTTGGGCGACCTCGTCCAAGTTACTGCCACCCCAGCCATTGTCGATCTTTGCCAGAGCTTGATCTTGGCTTGTCTGCTCCTGTGACGTCTGTGTCACTGAGAGCGAGAGAGGCTCGGCTGCAGAGTTGGAGAAGTGGAAGCTAGGCTTCTCGACGAGCCAGATGTCGTATCGATCGGTGTGGTCGCTCCAACGATGGATGACACGGAGTCCGGCGTAGTCGAAGAGGTTGAGGGCCTCACGCTCTCCGAACTTGTAACTCGCTTCCATGTGGATGAGTTCATCCTTCTCAATCTTGATAGGCTCCGTCAAGCCAGCGATTCGAATCTCGTGAGCCTGCTTGGCACGGTAGTAGGACTCATGACGACCTTCGCGAGCGTTATAGCGGTCAAAGTACTCAAACTTGCGATGGTCGATGGCATTGCCGCCGAGCGCTCGATCAGCGTGCTCAAGACCGTTCATGATGAAGTCCCGAGTGAGGCCGGCAGGGTCGTTGTAGGCTAGAGCGACGTCGGCCGGTTTGTTGCGGCGATCGATCGAGATTAGCATGGTGTCGCCAGGTCGCATGCTGTCGCGGGCTGTCTTGGCGAGGAACTCGGCGGCAGACTTGCGGTCAAAGTTGCCGATACTTGAGCCGAGCCAGAGGAGACATCGGCAACCTTGCTTTTGAGCACCAGCAGCGGTGGACTGAGCATGAAGACCGCCTTTGCCGATGAAATCGAGACCAGCATCGTACGTAGCCCACAAGCCATTGATGCCGACTTTGCCGCCGTGGATGGTCCATGCATCTTGATCGCCGCTGATGGCCTCTTGCTCGCGTAGGTCGCGCAATGTACGCTCTAGTTCGGCCTTATCGAGGTCGAGAGCGTAGTAATGGACGCTAGGTCCGCCTGCAGGAAGCGCAGGGAGAAGTTTGAGCGCACGCAAAAGATGGATCGTCTTCTTGAGCGAACCTGCGCCGAGCTCGACGAGAGAACCGGCTCCGATGGCTCGATCGCCATCGAGGCCTTCTTCGGCATTGACACCTCCATTGAATCTACCTACTTTGCTGTCGCCCCATTTCTCCTTCTTTGAGGCGCTTGCATCTCGCTGAGGCGGCAAGGTGTCTTGGTTCGGAACTTGGTCCTGATCCAGTTTGGGCTCTTCTGTCTGTCCGGCGTTAGTCGTGGACGACTGTTCAGAGGCAGTCGTAGGATGACCAAAGATCCTCAGCGCTATTTCGGGTGCGTAGTCCTTGAGGATCTGTAGCTCGGCATTGTAGAGGTAGTACTCGGGAGCTGCGGTGAGCTTGTCATAGAGAATGAGGCCTTGCTCGTCATAGAGAATGGTGGTGGGCAAGGTCTTTGTGTAGGAACACTTAAGATCTTCCGGGTCGTTCTCCTTGCCAGGAATAACGAGCTGATTGGATTGAAGCCCAGAGATGATCTCGAGACGCAGCTGGTCATCGGTTGAGGTGCTCGAAAGACTGCCGGCGCTACCTGAGTAGAGGTCGATGACTGGGGCATCACGGAGTTTGGCTGTAGACTGTACTTTTGACATTGTCTTTGCGAGCGGAGCGGAACTGGAATCGAGCGATGGAGTTGACACAGCAGCTGGAGCCATAGTGTGTGTATCGAGTTGAGGCAGGATCGCTTGGTATCTGATGAGCCTGATGTCGATTGTGCCGTGTCTCTGGGCTCGCCCTGTCGTTGGCAAAGCGCTGAGAGAGGGGTTGTGGGTGGGGGTGAGAGTGGTGAAGAGAGACAAAGGAGCTCGCGAGTGCCGGCGGTGAAGTAGGAGGCGAGCAGGCAGGCTAATAAGGCCCAATAAAGGCAAAAGCAGCGATGGAGCTGTCTCAGGACCTCACGGACCTTTACTCGAAAGCGTCGACAGGCACAGATGGACAGCAGCTGAATCTCCCTGTCATGCTTGCTCTCTCTCTGTGGCAACTCGGCTGAGTCAATAATGATTCATGGCTGCAGCCCGGCTAGAGGGTAAGAAAGAAAGCGAGAGAGGGATTGGCAGTCGAAGCGGGGACGAGTCCGTGCACTTCCAGTGGATGAGAAGAGAGAAGGCTTCGAGGTTCAAGCTCAGTCAGAGGGCGGTGAGCGCCAATCGACAGTCGCATGTTGTCTGCTGTAGGTGACGATCAAGTTTCCACTCTCTCGTCCTCCACTCTCTCGTCCTCCACTCTCTCGTCCTCCACTCTCTCATCCTCCACTCTCTCATCCTCTCTGTCTTCAAGGCAGCCTTTCTAAGCGGAAAGAAAAAGAAAAAGAAAAAGAAAAAGAAAAAGAAAAAGAAAAAGAAAAAGAAAAAGAAAAAGAAAAAGAAGGAAAAAGAAAAGAAAATCAATTTAATTTACTCAAGAGGCGTAGGAATTTGGCTTTTTGTGCGGGAAAGGGACGGTTGCCTCCTAGAAGGCTCAGGTGCGAGCGTCTCCACCGCCGCCGCCAGCAACCAGATCGAGCCTCCTGACAGACTGCCACCGTTGACAGTGGATAACTAGAGCGAGATGAACGAGGGTCCTTGCTGATCGTGCAAACCGAAAGCCATGCCCCACAAACATTCAGACTGCATGAGTGTCGCATCCCCTGTTCTCAGGAAGCCTTTGCAAGCACTGTATGCCTCCAACGCTTCTTCACAGTTAGCTTCTGCAGCAGATACGCAGGCATCGTAACCTGCGACCATGTCTGACATCAAAGGGTTGGCATTCTACACAACCTCAATCTCGTCAATGCATCTCTCCTCTTCGCCGGCCAGTCATCACTTTGCAAGGCCTGTGTGCATATTCAATGTGCGAAACCATCGTGAACCCAATCTGTCCACACAAACCAACAAAGAAGAGATGATGCTGGCGTAAACAGACCTGTTTTGCTTTGAGCTTTGCTTTTGTAGAGGTACATGGTGAGACCAGGACGAGCGTCCGCCCTCGCCTCAGTATCGAAAAGGTGTGTGGCTACCGGGGAAAGACAACGCAAGCTCGCAACGTTGCCCCGATCGCACGTGTAGAGGTAGAAATTGTGCGTAGCGGCGGTCGTGTCTACATAACGACCGTCGGTAGGATGCTGAAAACAAGGGATCCTAATAGCCGAGAGGAATCAAGATGCAATTGCGAACCATCGACTTGACAAAGAATGATTTACTCCTGGTCAATCACAGTGGTCTGGAGACCCTTGGCAGTGCCCAGGCCGAGAACGGGCATGGCGTAGGTGTAGAGCTTCTCCTTGGCACCCTCGTCGTCGTTACGCTTGCCTGTTGGTTTGCAAGATGCCAAGATCAGGTTCATCACACAGAAACGTTGAAACGGTCAGCTTTCTGTTTTGTGCCATAGATGGACTGCAATGTATGGCCCAAGGCGCACATCCGAAAACAGCAGAAAGAGACAATACCTACGCTCAAGACGAACACGGAGACGGCGGGGGAAGTTCTTGACACCGTACTTCCATACCTCCTGGTTGAGCTTGGGGTCAAGACGAACGTCCTGGGTGCCCATGGCCTTCTGGGCGAAAGAGACGACCTCCTTGATGGCGCGGGGAGCACGCTTCTTGAAGGCAACGTCGTGGACGCGCTTGTGAAGGTTGACCGTGTACTCGCGTGTCACAACATCGTTAAGGGCAGAGCGGGTCTTCTTGCCCTTCTGAGACTTGTCCTTGTGGTCCGCCATCTGTTGGGTAAAGAAAGCAAGCCGGGCAACAAGAGTGGTTGTTGGTGGTTAGGTTGACATTTCAAATCACGGCTTTGTGGGACGTTTTGTATGCCAGCAGCCTGCCTGCAATCGTTTCCTTGTACATGAGCCATTCCTAATCCAGATCCAACAGAGGCGCCTGCACTCCAGTCTTGCTTTACCATCTTCCCGCATCTACATCCATTTGGCTATCCTCTCATGTCGGCTGAAAATGCTTATCCGTCTGCTTGTCGTCATATCAATGCTGCAAGATGTTTCGGGATAGTCGCTGGTGCCAATGCTAAGATGACCTCCTACGGTTCCACTCATGCTTGAACGTAGGGATCATGCCGGTGCAAATTGAGCGTAGCAAGCCATTGTGTACTGATGCATGGTGATGTTGGTTGCGCTGCGATACTACTCCTAGCGAATTGCGGTAGGTGTTGCAAGTCGACAAGATGCATGGCCATCATACCTGTCGTGAGAGTCCAAGGTAGGTGATTTGCACTGTTGGCTGCAGTTGTAGTATCTTACGGTGAAATGCTCGAGTGTGCGTCGAAGGATATTCGTCGCTTCTGCACGATGTATGTATGTCGATCAGGGAAGCTGGACATGAAGAGATGCATGATGCGTATCCTAATGCCTGCGTCTTGACAGAAATGACCTTCAACTCTCTCCATTAATCCCAATGATTTACTGCGGGCTCGATCTACCATTCCAAGCTTTGCCTGAGGCACCCTGTACTGCTTGTATGTCTTACTGCTGTAGATATGCGATGGCTGCTGGATGTATATTGAGCAACACTTACGGTTGATATCGATCTTGAGGTGATGGTATCGCAAAGATATGGAGGAAGAATTCAGCGTCGACAAACCCATACTCACTTGGCCATCTTCGCTCCCATTCTCAGGCCAGACGTTTTGTGTCTCCTGCCTCGAGCAACAGCAGATTCCGCCTCAGATTCCAGACCCATAGCCTTCCTGGAGTCTGCTCACTGCAGAATTCGCAGCGTTAGGCTCGATGTTGGCTTCAGATCTGAGAAAAACTCGGAGCCGTACAGTCAATTTCGGCCAGCACATCACGTGCGTATTACTTCAAACTGTACTTTTGTTTTTTCGTACGAGCATTTGGCATTTTCTCTTTTCAGCCGCACTACAAACATGTCGTGGATAAACGACCTAACACCTTTGCGAAAGCGAGTAATTGCATGCACCCGTGGCTCATCTGGGTCCATCTTTTGCCTTTGGCGGCATGCATCTTCTGATGCTCATGCAAGCGCACAACAACCTCATCATCAAATCAAGGGCACGGAGCAGTGGATTGTGAGCGTACAAACAAGCTATGCAAGGGAAGCAGGGTGGGAATAAAGTACAAGAGCAGTATGTCTAGGATAGATCAAGATGATGAGCTCCGAATCAGATATGGCCTATGTGGTGCCCTTTGCTTAGAGGGGAGGCCTCAAACACATCCACAGTCTTAGTGGCAACAGCTTCAGCCGTCACAGTGTTGCAGCAAAGATGGATGGTATCGGGAGCTGAGACAGTGTCATGCTCCTTTTGGGCGTGGTTTCATGTGATGCGATGTATGCTGCATTGCAATTTACACTGCGCCTGTCTTGGCGGCGTTGAGTTGGATGACACCAAGAGCAGCAGTCTCGGCAAGACGTTTCGCCGAGCTGTCGATCTGGCCGAGTAGCAAAGTAGCCTCGAGACGCGAGGGCTCGGCAGGGATCTTGAAAAGACGGTTGACATCCTCGATGGGCAGGGGAGCGAGACCCTGAGCCTCTCGTGCCGCGTTCTCGGCCTTCTTGCGGGTAAGGTAAGCCTCAGCCTTGGCCTTCTCTCGAGCAAGCTGACGGGCCTGGAAACCGACATTACCGGCCTCAGCGGCGTGCTCGTCCATGATCTCGAGCGTCGACTCAAGGGATGAAGCAAGAACGGGCTCCAATGCAAGGTTCAAAGAGGTGTACGATGGGGTCAAAGCGGCCGTGGGTGGGTTGCGGAGAAGATCCGAGGTGCTAGGCTGCACGATCGAAGGACCGGGCGCGCTTGGTGTGGAAATGCTGCTGAGGAAGGCATCCAGAAGGGCAGTGTTGCGGAGCGAAACAGGGATCTCGATCAAGATGTTGGCGAAAGTGAGCTTGTGGTCGATGAGGCTCTGTGCGTGGAACTTGCCCTTCTTGTGAGCCTCGACGAAGGAAGGCGAGAGTCGGTATGCCTTAACAGAGGTGTTGCCCTGAGCGGACTGGGCAATGTCGTGAACGATAAGAACACCCTTGCCACGACCGCTGGCACCGTCACGCTCCATCAAACCAGCAATAGCAGCGAGACCGTCAACAACGGAGGAGCTGAGGAAAGCACCAAGGAAGCAGCCCTGGTAAAGACCGACAGGGTTGGCATCGGCGTTAACATCACGCAGCAATCGAACCATGTCGGAAGTATATCTGGTGGCGTTGCGGCTGCTTCGGTCCTCCTCCTCGTCACGTTCTCCGCCGCTGCGTCCTGGGTTTGGAAGGGCAAAGACGTTGGAAACTTCCAAAGTTCCGCCAAGATCCATGCCGAGAAGGGCACCGGAAGCCGAGGCCGGGTGAGCATCACGGCAGTGCTTTACGATCTTAGTGAGAGCGAGTCCATCGAGACGAACAGATGTGATGACGTCTGAGTCAAGTTCGAGGGCTTCAAGGGCAGCTCGGTCAAGGTCGGACTGGGCTTCGGTGGTGGAAGCCTTTGCGATGGCAGCGGCTGCTGATGGAGCCGGGGTAGCTGCCGGTGCTGTACGTGCGGCTGTGGACATGGTGTGTAGTGATCTCCGAACTAGACGAGATAAGTGACTGTCGAGATGAGATGGTGGTAAAAGCGATCGCGATCAACGTCAAGGGAAAGCGCAGTGACAGCGAGCGACACTTGATCGAGCGTCAAACAGAGAGGTTCACTTGTGCGCCTGTCGTCGCAAAAGCTCGAACTGCGAAATTTGAGTGTAGAATCTTCGCGGCGCTCCTGATTTGCCTCTGTTGCCACGACAAAGGGACAGAACCGAAGTTCTTCTTGACGGTTTCACGCGACTTGGATTGTAAGCAAAGGCGGTGTAACATTTTGTTCCGAGACCCTCTCCCACAGCCACTTGTGATCCACTCGCTCTTACGTCTCTCGTGCTGGCGTCTCGTGAGTGAGCTCAAACTGTCGATATCACAAGTTTGTCCGATTATCTGAGCCATTACTTAGACTCTGAGTGCAAATTGAGATGCTGCCTTCTCTGCTACAACACAGGCAGTAATGCAAGCAAGGAACCAAAGCCTTCTACTGTATCAGCGACCAATTTCACAAGCAGTTGGAAAGAAAAAAGGAATAAATAAATAAAATGAAAATGCAAAAAAAAGGCACGATATAAACATGTTGAAATGCGGGTCAAAAAAAGAGGACAGAAATAATGGAAAGTAAAGAAGATCAGTTGAAGATTTACAGGTAAAATGCGACTGTTTAGGAGCTACTAGCAAGCTCAACTTTTCAGGCATATAACAGTTGTAATGTGTTTTAATTGATAGGTGCTACAATGTGAATGTATATATACTTGATTGCTATCTTCAGCCCATACTAGATCATAATGAACTATTCTTCATATCACCCCTGTGTTGTCGCCTCCTGAGCGTTGCCATCTCCTGAGTGTTATTGTTGAAGTACTTATATGTCCCACATGCATATTGATGCATGTTGACATGCAGCTCTGACTCACCGGTGTCTCGCTTGTGCTCCGCGAACCACGTGGTTCAGTTTTAGGATGCCGACGCATCTTCAACTAGATCAGTCCCGATAATCAATGATCAGTTAGAGTCGGAGCACGATGTCACTGCTGTTTTAGACAGAAACACATATACTCAATTGACTAGAATAAACGTGGTGAGAACCTAGTGTTCTCAGCTTGATTTATATACATCTATAAGGTACATGCCGAATGTGCGAGTATCCTTCTTCATGATCTAGCTTGACAACGAGCGGGACTGTGTTGTACTCGATCTCTGGACAGATCTGTTCCATCAGATCCCCGATTGCGTTTATGTCAGCATGTATCATCATATCGGATCGCTTCCTTCGGCATCAACAAGCTAAACCTTTTCCAATAATTCGATTCTACGAACTCTACCAGGTACAGACGATCTATATGAGCAGGACGGAAGAGACGACGCAGTGTCCTTGATCGTCATAACGTTACGTTGCTGAACGGAATCAGCGGTGCGGGTGGTGACGGGGGGTTCACAACACAACACCACAATCTCACCACCCAAAAATAGAACCGCTCGGTGATCGCGGTAAGGTCGATTAACTAGCAGACATGTCTTGTCGGGTAAAAGAAAGTGTTTGAGCACACCTTAAAACAGAGAGAGAGAGGACTCTTGATACTTGTCGGAAGCCGGGCGAAAATGTCTCAACTGATCGATGCTTGGACCCTGGCGAGACAATGTGGCGATCATAGCATCTGAGCCGAAATGAGAAAAGAGGACCCGTCATCATTTGAGAGCCGGGAGAAGTTGAAGTTTTCGTGTGATTGATGATGATGGTAGGAGAGAGAAAGCGAGAGAGCAAGGAGAGAGAAGAAGTCTCTATATATATACAAAAGAAGAGCGGCAGAGAGCTGCATTGACTGCGGAACATAACAAAGCATTTGTCTTGAGTAGGTTGTGACACATGTGGTCCATGCTCAGATGCTCAGGCCTTTTACTTGGCCATAAGCACTACCTTCACTGTCTCTATGCTTTGTGTAGCTTTTATATACTTTAACTCCCCCCCTCAACAGCATATGTACCCCATTCATTATGCTGTTGTTTCAAGGTATATCCTCCATTCTTTAACATCATCACATAGCTCGGGGACTCCGTTTCGTATGCTGCCACTGTTGGTATTTGCAGGTGTAGCCCAGATCTCGCTTGCTGTATTGCCTGTCTCCTGATTGGCTTGGTGAGTACATCTGCCAAATTCCTTGTTGTGTCCATGTACTTGATTTGCACCCTCCCCTCTTGAACATTGTTATGGATGAAGTGATACTTGGTGTCAATGTGCTTAAGCTTCCAGTGCTGTGCTGGGTCTTTACTAACCTGTATGCATCCAGTGTTGTCTGAGTAGACCGTTGGGGTGCCTGTGGCAATACCAATCAAGTGCAGCAGCTGCTTGAGGAAGAGCACCTCATGTGTTGCTTCCGTGGCTGCAATGAACTCTGCCTCGATGGTGGACAGTGATACACATTTTTGTGTTGCTGACTTCCAGGCTACCGGGTTCCCATACACTAATGCCACTGACCCCAATGTACTCCTTCTCTGAATGGTGGCATCACTTGCCCAGTTCACATCACTATGTGCAATCAGTGGCTCTTGCGACATATTTCCCCTATAAACTAATCCAACATCCTTTGTGCCTTTGAGGTAGTGTAAGACCTGTTGTGCTGCCTGATAATGCTCTTGGGATGGTTCATGCATGTGTCTAGTGAGGACACTCACAGTGAGGCTAAGGTTGGGCCAGGTGCTGTTGGCAACCCAGAGCAGCTTGCCAACAATCACCAGATACTCCTTCTGTTGTGCTGCACTTGCAACAAGGGTTCCCTCCAGTATGCTCTGCATTGGAACCATGGTTGGCTTGGTGCATTTGTCCAGGTGCTTAGCCAGCACTTGGTCAATGTACCCTGACTGACCAATCGTCATGGTGCGCATCATATGGTTTCGACTAATTTTGATGCCGAGGAAGTGAGAGACCTCGCCACTATCTTCCATCTTCCATCTCTGACCAATCTGCTTCTTAACCTTTAGGACTGTTTCCAGCTGTGGTGCTATGACTAATGTATCATCGATGTAGATGACCACAATGGCCATATCTTCACCCCATCCCTTGGTGTAGATGCAGGGAGCACACTCTACCTGGAAGAATCCCATGCATCACAAAGACCTGTTGAACTCCTGGTTCCATCCTTGCCCAGACTGTTTTAGGCCATACAGGCCCTTGACCACTTTGTATACCTGTCCAGGTGCTACTCCTGATCCCTCTGGTGGTTTCATATAGATCGCTTCTTTTAACCTGGAGTTTAAGTAGGCCATTGTGATATCCAGTGCATGCACCTCCCAGTCATTCTGTACTGCTAGTGCTAGGATAGCTCTGATTGCTCCAAGGGGTGCTATCAGAGAGAAGGTTTCCTGGTAGTCAATTCCCTCTCTCTGTGTGAAGCCCCTTGCCACCAGTCATGCCTTGTGCTTTATGGGTACACCATCAGCATCGAGTTTTAGCTGAAGCACGACCTTAGAGTCCATGAGTGGTGCCCCTGGCAGGTGATTCACCACCTCCCAAGTCCCCATTGCCTCGAGTCCTTCCAGCTCTTTTCATATTGCCTCCTTCCAGAGCTGGGCATCCTCACCATTCATTGCTTCCCCAAGTGTTGGGTCCAGGTTCAGTACTGCTGTGTTGGTGGTGCCTACTGTGCTGTCTACAGCTGGTAGGGGATCCTCCACTATGGCTGGCATGACACCCTCCTCCTCAACCTCCATGGTCACCACAGGCTGGACTGCCTCCTGTTGGCAATCACTCCATCCTTTGTCCTCATGGAATGTTGCTGAGTTGCTCCATTGAATTGATGCAGGCTGGTCCAGGTTGCAAAACTTCCACACTTTGTGCTCGTCATCGTATCCAATCATGATGGCTGGCTTTGCTCTAGCCCTGTACTTGCCCTGCTGATCCTTCTGTTGAACATGGACCCATGCCAAGCATCTGAAGACTCACAGCTGCTGGGCCAGCTTGTGTGTGGTGGTTCCATAAAAGGCCTCGTGGGGGATGGTCTTGGCAGCTGATGGGGTGAGGTTCATCATGTGTGCTGCTGCTATGATTGCATATGGCCACAACTCTCTGGGGCAAGCTCAACCAATGAGCATTGAGCACATCTTTTCTTGGACTGATCTGATCACTCTCTCTGTCCTTCCATTCTGGACACTGATCCCCAGGATGCTCTTTTGCCACTTGAAACCCTCTTGAGTTTGCCAGTCTTCAGCTCCTAAGCTGCACCACTCTCCTCCATTGTTGCTGTGGAGTGTTTTGAGTTTCCTGTCTGTTGCTCGTTCCATCCTGGTGATCCACCTTCTCAGCGCCGGGAGTGCAGCACTCTTAGTGCAGAGTGGTTCCACGTAGATCAGGGAGGAGAAGTCGTCCACAGCAACTAGTGCGTAGTGGTAGTTGGTGTTTGTGCAATTACGAGTGATATGATTGGGTCTCCCACATGCATAGCATCTTGGAGGAGCTGAGGGATTACGTGGATCGCACCTGCCTCTGGGCCCCTGCTCCACCTGACCAGTACCCCCTTGCTCCGCACTTGTAGCAACCCTGGCTGCTCCTCTGATATGACCTGAAATCTCACCATCCTGCTGTTTCTTGGTGAGTGCATGGTAGGCTTCATCATACTTACAGTCTGGTTTGGCCATCTTGAGTGCATCAATGGAGTTAGCATAGAACCAATCTTGTGCCATGCAATGGTAGAGCATGGATTTCTTTAGGTCCTCATCAAGGTGCTTCCCAAAACATGCAGCATCATTCCAAATGGAGTCAAGTTCCTTGCCTAGCCTGACTACATTGTGATTGTACAGACACATGGTGTGGATGCGGCCCTGCAGGCCCACTCACTTCACTGCATCGTTCAATGTTAGTGCCTTCCTAAGCTTGGCATAAAGCATACTTCCAAGTTGGGCCTCCTCATCTGCACCCCTAATGGTGTATGTGTTGATGCGGCTTTCTGGGCTGTGATCACAGCAAGCATGGATAAGACCTACCAGCACCTTGTCCAGGTCCTCATCATATCCCTTGCTTCCAGGTGCTATTTCGCCATATAAGATTTCCTTTGCATTATGCACCCATTGCAGACAGTCGATAAAGGTGGGCTCCCAGGTGTGCCAGTTGTTGTCACTAAGTTTCTTAATGTGTGCAATGGCACTCGAGATGTCCTTGGGAATCTTCTCTGCCTCCCCTCTTGGAGCTTGATTGCTAATGCTGATGAGGCCCATCACCCATACAATTGCCTCCTCTGCTGTCAGCACCGGGTTTGCCAACTGTAGTATCCTGACCACCTGCATAAGCCAACCCTCCTCCCGACCATTGCCTGCAGTCGTGGCTGCTTGATCATCATCTCTCTCCTCCCTTCTTGTCTGTCCTGCTCGTGTCAATGGTGGCATTGTACTTATCATCGGACTATTGATGATGAATGTCATGGGTTCGAGCCCCACGTTGGGAGCCAGTTGAAGTTTTCGTGTGATTGATGATGATGGTAGGAGAGAGAAAGCGAGAGAGCAAGGAGAGAGAAGAAGTCTCTATATATATACAAAAGAAGAGCGGCAGAGAGCCGCATTGACTGTGGAACATAACAAAGCATTTGTCTTGAGTAGGTTGTGACACATGTGGTCCGTGCTCAGATGCTCAGGCCTTTTACTCGGCCGTAAGCACTACCTTCACTGTCTCTACGCTTTGTGTAGCTTTTATATACTTTAACTGGAGAAGGCCTGCTCACTCACGCCTTGCGTTGGAGTGCATGGTGAACAGCCAGCTAGTCAGGTTTCCGTACCTGCTTGTCCAAATATCCGGTAGGCATCAGCTACTCTGTAGTTTGATCTGAGTCTGAATATTATACTGTCCATGCGATGGGTCCAGGCTTGCAAAATCGTTTAATGTGCTTTGCTCTTGGCGCGCGCTTGCATGCTTGCATGCTTGCTAGCTTAGTTGCCACCATGAATATCGGCTATGAAAGGACCTCGTGGACAACTCTAGTCGTCGAGAACTGTGTGGGAGAGATGCGGGCTGTGTGAAGCTCTGTTCCTATAACGGCATCCAAGCACCCGCTTTGTTTCCTTGGATATGATTGGCTTCCTTCAATGTGAATTTCTCGCCGACTAAACTGACCACGGCCCTCCGAAGACGCTTTTGAACCTTTTGCCACCACGACAAACCATGCTTCAATCGCTGCTTGCTCTTTGGCGACGGAAAATGGGGAGAGTCTCTTTTCATGAGGGTGAAGCAGTGTGGAAATGGCAGAATGAGCATACGAGACTGGCACAACTGATGTGATGGGAGGGAAAGTTGCGCTGCGGGATGCAACAGTGGGTGCTGCAAGAGCTGCATGCCCTTTGCTGCAACACTTGATCACCTCCTTTACTCTTCATTCCAAGCTGCTCTGTAAAGACCTCCTGCATCCTCACAAGCTGTGTTGGTGGTATCGAATGTCGTGGCGCAGATAGATAGAGATAGACTTACTCCTGAGCGTAGCCCTGAGTGGCAGCTAGCTGACAGCTCTTCTCTGGAATGTCAATTTGATTCTTGATTTTGATTTTTCTTCTTTAAGAAAAGAGTATACTGTGTAGAGTAGTACAGCTACCGATCTTTCGAGATACTTGTTCGATCTTAGGCCGTCAAGCGCCTCTTGCGCCATAGTCAAAAGTCATCCCATCCTCTGCCTCAGCTCGACCTTGTCCTTGCAAGCAGACTCCCACCATCTCACCCTGCCATCTTGCTGCTGAGCAAAGGCTTCGACTCTGGAAAGATGCTGCTCCAGCACCGTATTACTGCCGCACTAGGCTTCGGTCTTCTGTCTTTGCAGGCCTCTCTCGCTCAGGAACCAGCTCAATCTGCCTCGAATGCCAGCCTCTCTGGCAGCACAGCAACGCCTGCCCCCACGAACACCTCCTCGACAGCGTTGCCTGCTTCAACGACGCTGATCTCGACAATCACAACCACTCTCAGCAGTGGACAATCCCTCCCCACTAGTCTCACCTCCTTGGCATCATCGAATGGCAGCGTCTACTACATTCCTGTCATCACTGCCGTTCCAGTGTCGAACAATACGACGCCAACCACCGCTTCGTCTGCAGCCACTCCTTCTGCGTCGGGCAATGCGACCGCATCGGCACTCGACAAGCCCGCCAACGTCAGCCTGCCACTCCGTACCATCATCGATCCAGCTTTTGGTGTTCTCGGCGCAATTTTTATCATCACCGGTCTGCCCATGGGCTTTTACGGACATCGCAATCGATGGTCCAGCTACTTTCTCGCCGGCTTCTTCGCCTTGGCCCTGATCTGTATCTCCATCATCCTCAAAGTCGGCGTTGAGCCAGCGGTCAACCCTCCTTCGAAAGGCATCCGAGGTCTCTTCCTAGTCGCCGCTGTTGTAGCTGGCGCTGTCGGAGGCATCATCTCGATCGTCTTCTGGCGTGGCGCTGGTCTCTTCGCCTGCGGTCTTGGTGGCTTCTTTTTTGGTCTCTTCCTCCAAGCCGTGCGACCAGGAGGTCTCATTCGCTCTGTCGGCCTTCGTTACATCCTCTACATAGGCCTCTATGCAGTCTTTTTCACTGTCAGCTGCATTGAGCGCGTACACTCGCTTACGCTGGCACTGGCAACCGCCATCATCGGCGCAACAGCCGTGACGCTCGGTGTCGATTGCTACTCAACGCAAGGGCTCAAGGAATTCTACATCCGCAATCTTGGCTTTGATTCTCTCTTCAGCAACAAGTACCAACCTACTTTCCAAGGCGGTCGCTTTCCCTTGGTGCAGGGCATGCAGATCGAGCTCGGCATTCTGGGCGCGCTGATCCTGATGGGCTTCGCCTTCCAGATGCGGCTCTGGTCTGACCTTCGCGCCCAGCTGGCAGTTCTCAGGCGTTCGGACGAAAAGCGCAACATGCGCACCAAAGCAGAGCGCGCTGCTCGTGCAGTCGCTCGCACTGCAAAGCGCGATCTCGAGCAGTGGGAGGCTCGACATGGCTACAACAAGACTGCCGCCCGCAATCCGGCTTCTCGCGATGAAGAGATCGGCCTTCCAGAAGTGTCTACTCCCGATCTCAAGGACGCTCGTAGTCGCACAAGCTCTTTCATGACTCTCTTCCGCGCCAATACCGAGGCCTCTCAGCTGGCCACTCCCCTGTCGCATACCGAGAAGCTCGCAGAGTCTCCAGCTGCATCAAGTCTGCTCGATAATGCCGCTTATCCATTCCCTGCTCAGACTACTGGTCGTCGCAGCTCTCAGTTCCTCGAGTACATCCAAAAGGGTCCAGAGCGAGTTGAACCAGAAGGACCTTTGAAGCTTGACCTGCCAGCCATCACTTCGCCACTGACAGATTTCGGAGCGAGTTCAGTGGTCTCGCCCAGTTCGGACGCTATGCTCATGGGCCCGATGTACAGTGCGCCACCAGCTACACCAAGTCTTAGTGGGCCTCAACACCCAAAGTCGCTCGACCTTTCGCGTGCACCTTCGACGGACCGCTTGGCAACTGCAGACTCTTTCCGACGGAGATCTGCCTCGACAGCTGCATTGATGGAGAATGCTGCCAGCTTCCTCGACCCGATCTCAACCAAAACCGAGGCTGGCAACATTGCGAGCAGCTCGAGCTTGATTGAAAGCGAAGGTGCGAGCCGTCTTAAGAATTCTGCGACGCTCAGTCAAAGTCCAAGCGTGGCTCCCGTCTCTGTCTTGGGAACGACGACACCAACTTGGAATGAATCGCTCGAATCGACGTCGCACGGGCGCACCTTGTCGAACCCTGCGGCTCCCGCCGCACCGGGCTTCGCCGCTGCATCTTCGATGGCCAAGAGTCATTGGCACCAAGATCAGCTGCAAAACAACTTGGGCGCTCCCCATGTGGACCCTTGTGCAGAGCGACATTACATTCAGCGGCAGCAAAGTCCACTGACATCGCCCACTTTGAGTCCTGTCAAGGCTGTCAGCGGCGGCCAAAGCAGTGCTGTGATACAAGCACGCCGATCTCTGGCGATGCGTCGAAGTGATCAACCTGCTGTACCTTGGACCAACGCAGGTGCCGAGACTGGCAGGACAGCTCACAAGCGTGCTGCCAGCGCTGAGGCGCAACCTCGGGTGCAGGCCATGTCCATTGAAGAGCTCGAAGCGCGCCATCGAGCCAAGCTGGCAGCTCTGCAGGCTCCGGCAACGCAGACTGTGCAAGAAGCTGATGCTTTGCGCAAAGCCAAGGAGGAATGGGAGAGAAAACAGAAACTTGAGAGGAGGCGCATGCAGGAACGAGAAGCACAGAAACAGGCTGCCACGGTCGCCACTGGGACTGGTGGATCCGCGTCCGGCTCTAGGGTCGCGTCACCTGTACAAGCAAGTCACGACCTGAACAGGATCTCAAGCTCTGGCTCGCGTGACGATCGTCGAAGATCGCGCAACCTTAGTGCCACGCTCTTAGAAGCTGTGGGCGAGGAAGTACGCCAAGTTGGCCGAGTCAACAGGGCAGCAGAGTGGCGCAAGTCGATCTCTGGTCTAGATCAGTTAGACGCTCGTGCGGCAAAGGCTTGCAATCCTACAACGCCGATCAAAACTCGACCCACGTCGTATCAAGCCGTGGGCAGCGCAAACCCGTTTCCGGTGCAGTCGACAGAGAACCGCAAACGGCTGAGCGAGACTGATCGCCGACGTTTGAGTCAAGGTGCTGGTGACCATTGGCAGCGAAGTAAGAGCCAGCCTCTGCTCGACTTCCACCTGCCCGATGGCAACCAGTAACGCTGCTACTCTCGACTGCTCTTTCCTGCATCTCCAGCTCTATCTGTCTCTTTGCATCTTTGCTACTGTCTATACATGCTGCATTTTTTTCACGAACAATACATTGCCAGTTGTGCCGAAAGCACGAGTCGTCTGTTCTCATACAGTGTCGAATGAGCCAGCTCAGTTCTTCGGATGGAAATCATTGTAGCATCGGGTAGCCGAAATCGGGATCTGATTCTCCGTTAGACGCGTCACAGCCGATTTTTGTAAAGCCACGCGACGCTGTTGATCCGCTTTGAACAGCTGCTGCCGGCTTTTGGTTTCGAAATGAGATCGGCAGCAGGTTGGCGAGCTGTGACTCTGACTTTGAGTGGGCTACGATCTCTTCCATCTGCACCCTTATCGCACCTCCTCGCCCACTAGAGTCACCTTTTCTGGGGTTCGTCTTTGATACTTTTTTGTTTTTTGTTTTTTGTTTTTTGTTTTTTGTTTTTTGTTTTTTGTTTTTTGTTTTTGTCCCAAGAGCAGGCTAAAGCTCAGGCGGAACTTTTTGATAGGCAAAAACCGACGGTCTTTGATTCAAAGCAGTTGCCGCGCCTCTCTCAGACATGACCAACGCACGAGCCGATTCATCAAATTTCCCCCAGCCGTTGATGTCTGTCTCTCTGATTCGCCCGCGCTCTTTCCTGCCATTTAGGTCATGCTTGGCTTGCTTGGCTTGCTTGGCTTGCCGCTTACTGCAGTCGCTTCAACTAATTTCCAATAGTCAACCTGGCTATCCAAGTTTCGGCAGTGCACTATTTGAATCGAGTCAGTCGTTTTGTCAAACGATATCTTGGCTCGCTTCGCCAGAAAACACCATCAGCAGCATCAGCATCAGCATCAGCATCAACTTCCTCTGCGATTATCTGGTGTCTTGCCGAGATCAGAAGCCCTCTTGCCGCTCCTTGTTCTTTGGGACATCACATACTAAAGCATCCTGCATCCCTCAAACTTCGCTCCTGCTCTTCTTATCGCCATCTTCCCAACCACATCATCTTACCGCATAAAGTTGCTCCGTACGATTCTTATTTTTATTGGCAATCAGCCCCTTTTGTGCTGCCTCGCACATCCCCGTCTTCAACTATAGGGAGCATTTGGATGTGCACAGCTCTTCCTCGCTCGTTGCTTTCTAGCATGGCTCGTAGTCACAGCTCTTCTGCCGACTTGTTGCAACGCCTTCCTACCAGTCGAACCTTTACCACTACCTCACGTCTCGCTTGCCGTAGTAGCAAGTTGACCCCTCAAGCATCCTCCATTCGATCGCACTCGACTAGCTCCTCAAACACCTCGCCCAATATGGTTCAAGTTTCGGATCTCCTCTCGAAGAACAAGGCCTGGAGTGCCAACTTCTGCGCTAACAAGCCTGAGCTCGCCGCTCAGCTTGCCGAGACACAGACACCCAAGATCCTCTGGATTGGATGCGCTGATTCCCGTGTCCCCGAGTCGGTGATTTGCGATGCCGACCCAGGCGAGATCTTTGTCACTCGTAACATTGCCAACCAATTCCGTCTGGACGACGACAACGCATTGAGTGTTCTGACCTTTGCTGTCCAGGCTCTTGGTATCGAGCATGTCGTTGTTGTCGGTCACACCTCGTGCGGTGGTGTCAATGCTGCTATTGCTGGCGCTGGCGCTCCTGCTAGCCAGGATGCTCTTCAGTCCAGCGCTCTGCTTCGACACCTTGTTCCTTTGACTCAGGTCGCTAAGAGGGTCCTTGATGCTAACCCTCGTCTTGAGGAGACAGAGCTGGCACAGAAGATCATCTACCAATCGGTCAAGTTGCAGATCGACAACATTGTCTCGACCGACATTATCCAGGACAACTGGAAGGGTCTCACTTCGCCATTGTCCGGCAAAGTCATGAACAAGGTTACTATCCACGGACTTTGCTATGACATTGCCAAGGCTCAGCTTGTTGACCTTGACCTCACTCGATCATCCTCCTAGAAAGCAAATGCAGAGCTGCAACATTGGCTCTTCTGAACAATCTCTCTCTCGTTTGTCTCTCATCTTTGCTAATTCTATAGAGTCGCATTTGTACTTTTCTACTTTTCTCTCACGCTTCACTTGCACTCAGACAAGCCAAGTCGATCTTCGATGCGATAGTAGCGCATCTTAATGCGCAGTCACAGCTTGTTTCCGTCCATTCGATATCTGTACTTCTACGACAAGACACGCCCGAGAAGATTCTTGCATGGTTGCATGGATGAGTGTGGGCCTCTAGCTGCAAATTTAGGTCTACAACGGATCGCTAATGAAGCGCAAAGGCAACTGACTGCCCTCCTTCTCGAATCCAATCACTGCCGGCCTCTGCACAACCGCCTCGACGCTCTTGTACTTCAACCCTTCCACCGGCTCGATTCGATACTTGGCCAACGTACGGATCATGATGATCTTCATCTCGGTCATAGCGAACTTGCTACCGATGCACACCTTGGGTCCACCGTTGAACACGAACGACCCGTAAGGCGAAGGGAGCTTCGACTTGGCGTGCAACTCTGGCAAATTGTTCCATCTCTCGGGTTGGAAGAGATGAGTTTCAGGGCCAAAGTACTTTTCGTCCAAATTGTTGCCTGTGACAGAGATAGCGATTTCTCTTCCAGCTGTGACGGGGATTGAGCTGAGTGTGCGACCGTCTTTTGTATTGAATGGCCTTGTGACGGCAAGTTGGTCGTCCTTTTTGCAGTAACGGAATGTGGTGACTACCGGTGGTCGCAGACGTAGGGTCTCTTGAATACAATGGTCCAGGGGTCGCATCTCTTCGCTGTTGAGATCGGCGTAGGTGAGGTCGCCGATTGCTTCACCGTCTTTGCCGAGCGCACCAAGGGCGGATTGCATCTTGCCGCGAAGTTTGCGCTGATACTCAGGGTTGAGAGCGAGCAAGTAAGTGCACCAGCTCATCGTGGTTGCCGTCGTTTCATGACCTGCAAAGATGAACGTGATAATCTGACCAGCAAGCACCTCGTCTGACAATCGGTCTTCCTCTCGAATATCTGGTGACATGTTGGCTCGCATGAGAAGATGCAAGATATCCTTCCTACCTCCAAAAGTCTCTTTGGCATCAACACCCGCTTCGAGCTCCTTTCGAATCTGCTTGGCTTTAGCTTCAACGATCTTCTGCGAGGTCTTGATGAGCTCGCTTCGCATCTCGCGCAGTTTTCTTACATTATCCGTGAGGGGGAGAATGTAGAGCAGAGAAGGAACGACAAAGAACATGAATGCACCCACGATGGCATCGAGTGGCTTGACATTCATTGTCGATGTCATGGCTGCGTGGAAGGTCGATCGGACTGCTTCACCGTTGGGACCCTGTTCGACAGCTCCAAAGTCATAGTCGAAACCTGCACGGCCGATAATGTCGAGTGTGACACGGCCAAACCACTTGACAGTATCTTTGACGCCATGTCCCCACCTCTTCTCCAGCGAGGTATCCTTTTCGAATCGATCCATCATTTGGTTTGTGGCATGCGTAAAGATTGGCATGAGCTGTTTAAGCGAATCGACGCTGAAAGCGGGTGCGAGCATTCTTCGTTGCTTCTTGTGCCCGTCGCCGAAGACAGCTACTATGCCGTTACCGATGATGATCTTGGTCGCTTTGGTGCCGGCGGAACTGCGTGTATAATTGTAGCTGTCGTTGAGGACGTGGTTCATCGTTGCTGCGTCCCGAGTGACGAGAAGCTCGCCGCCCAAAGGACGAGGCAAGACGAGATGGTCCGTGTTATGTTCTTCAAACAATCTTGCATTGGAGACACCGGGATCATCAGTGATGTCTGTGCCAGCATCTCCGATGATAGGTTCGCGGTCGAGTGCCTTGGGGTTCTTGACGCCGAACTTCTTCTTGGAATCGCGCGAGTAGCCGAGCAAGTATGAGCTTCTTTCAGGGCCAGGGAAGTGTGCCCAAACGGATGGACCTTTTGTTGCATCCTTGAGTCCAATGTAGAGGGTCGCTACGAGGAGCAACCCCAAGATCCCGGCCGCGATGGGGTGCGAGTGTGCCCAGCGAAGGACATTGTCAGACACCTTGGTTGACATCCTTGCGCAAAAAGATAGCTGGGTTCGATTCGATCGCACACCGGTTCAGCAGACTGGAAGGACACAGAGGGGAGATTGTATGGTGAAGGAAGAAGGTTGACTTGTTGAAGGGAAAGTAATGCTCACAAGAGAGTTCCAGAGGAAGGCGAGCCAACAGGGTGACATCAGCGACCCTGTTACCACATCTCGCAGCAGACACATGCGGATATACACTTAACCCGGTCCTTGCCTGTTACACAAGCACAAAGACAGCAGGGGAAAGGCGAGCAATCGCATGACAAATGGCCGATGGCTGAGAACAAAAGGTGGACCCTTGCCGTCGGCGTCCAACCAGTAATCAGGAGAGAATTGCTCACTTCCCCACGAAGGGTAGCCATGTCTCAGTGTCGAACGGCATCGCCGCCTCGAATTCCTCAGCACCATTGACCGGCAGGTGGCTTTGCCAATACATCATTCGACTTTATTCTATATATATACTCAACATGAGCCACTCAAAGCTCGACAGTCGATCGAATGACGGTTTGTGAGTCAGGTTGTAGGGAAGAACCGTCTCTCAGGGGAGGTAGTAGAAGGAGCCGGAATAGCAATCGGAAGGAGCCTGATTTTGAGGCTTCGAATACCTGTGGACTTCCTGTCTCTGCGCTCCACTCACGTCGGCGGAAGATGCTATCTGGCTCGACGGCAAGTTGGCTCTCCCGCGGCTTCATGCTCGACAGGGGGCTGTTTGGTCGACAAGTCGCCATTCGTCACTGCTACGATGAAATCCGGCCAACATTTGCTTGAGCTCGGCTTGGTGGTATATGCCAAGGACCCTTTTCAGGCCTCCTATACCATCAAAGGCAAGAAGCATCTTGTCAATCTTCGCCCACTTCTCCCTAGAAAACACACACATCATTGACGACCTAACAGAGGCCGGAACATGGTGAGAACAAACTTTGTGATGAGCTTCTATTGTATGATGAAGGAGCTCTACATTTCTACACGCGAGCCCTAAAGATAGGCGCGATAGTCTGACTCGGTCAGGTCATATCCCCACTGCCACAACGTCTGCCTCACCACCGGATTGACTTTTGGATCATCCCAACGGCCTCCGCCCTTTGTCGCTACATTGATGGCTAAAGACTTGCGGAAACGTCCGCCTGGACCACACGCCTTGAGCCATCGCCCGATTTGACGTGCGTCATCCGCGGATCTCCGACCCAAAAAGAAGCGATAGTACCATTGGAACCAGCCGCGAGGATCAATTGGTCGAATCCAGCCTGCTTTCTCCCAGTCTTCGAGCGATTGCCCTGCTTTGGCCTTGAACTTGTTCACTGAAGGCTCGAGCTGCGATCGTCGAAGCATGTCGTCGACATCGAGGTCTTCCAGCCAGTGTTCTGGAAGTTCTGCAAGCTCTGCTTCTACGTCTATATCGCGTTGCAGCACCCTTGAGTAATAGTCACTGCGAGAGCAGATCAAAGTGCGAGGGCACAGAAGAGTCAGTATCTTCTTGAGCTTGTCGAGCTTTTGCATTGCATCTACTCACCGGAAGGCTGTTCCGCCGAAAGCACCTTCCCGTAGCATCTCGTCCGGTGTTACGTTGGGTCGAAATTGTGAAAACTCTGGTTCGAAGATCAATGCACCCCGACCCCTGTCATCGACAATATGCTCCCGAGAAGGCAAGGGCATCCTTTCTTCGTAGATCTCATCACCACCCTTGGATGGGAGTGGCGGTGCTGCTGGATTTGAAAGCTTGTTGAGGATACGTCGGCCAGAGAGATCGAAAGTGCGCGAACCTCGGCTGCTGTTGGCTTCGTCGCTGTCGTCGTCATGGTCTGCTGAGCCTTTCATGCCCTGTCCTGGAGTGCTGCCTCCGTGCCATCGAGGTACATATGCATCCGAATCGTTCTCCTCGTCCGAGTCCCAGTCGGTGTACTTTGTCCTGGAGGATGTGGAAGCACGACTGCTCTTGCGCGTCCCTTGTCGTAGCTTCTTCTCCATGTTCTGCTTTGGCCTTGCGATTGAGGGCAGCAGGTCTCTTTCACGATAGGAGCGAGGACGACTGCCGGATGCGATACGCGATGACTTGCGGGAAGAGCTGCGCTGATCGCCCGAGTCTGGCGTTGCTCTATCTGTTGGACTGCTTCGTCTTTTTGAGATAGATGACTTCCGTTCTGGTGACGACGGGCGAAGTCGTGTCGAAGTCTGCGAGGTGTACAGACAGGATTCGGAAGTGAAGTCAGACTAGTTCCAGGGATGCTTGTGGCAGGACGATGGACATGCATGTACTCACTGGATTCAATCCAAGGCTCAGCATGAGTTCGGCATTCTTACGGATGTTCTCCTGCCGGATAGCCTCGTAGTCTTGCTCCGAGTCGTCCATCTTGACGATCTATACGAGCGAATGCTCGTGTGTTGGTGAGTCCAGATAGAAGAGGAGGCGATAGTCGAGGAGCTGAAGACAGGTCGTGAGCAAGTGTTGCTCCACCTCATCGAACCTTGAAGGCGGGAAGGGTCCAGTGAACCGCCAAATTTCATATGAAGGGCTGCTTTCCTCCACTTGCTTGTGCTAAAGATAACGATTTAGTGGCAAGTCAAAGTGGCGAAGGATCGGGCTAGATCGATCTAGAACGTAATCGGGAAAGGAGATCTGATCATGACTCAAATGGGGGCAATCTGACCAGAGATCAGATACAACATAGTCCCACTTGTTGTCAGGCTAGGTCATGAAACAGCATACTCCCACAATAGGTATCAGCCTCACAAATGTATATACAGTACATGCATAAACTGTCCCAAGATTTTACATGTCACCATACATCACTCTAATGCTCAATAGCTATAAGTTGTATTGCCACACTGTCTGATATTGTCTGAAAGCACTGCTTCTTCTCTCCAAGACTGTGGAATTGATATTGACATTGACTAAAAAAATTGTGCTATGAAGAAGAGCCGATTTTTTTTTTATTGTAGGACAGTTTATGGAGCACTCCTTGAGAACACCTTAGTACTTTGTATTCCCTCCTTTGGCCTTCAGAACCACCTTGATGCAGTCTGGCATGCTCTCTATTAGTATCCTACATGTTTCTGGAGTGATTGCTGTCCATTCAGCTTTGCATCTCTTGAGCAGTTCATCCCTGGACTTTGCAATCATACTATACCATGAAAGTCACATTTTGAGATGGTGCCAGAGGTGTTCAATTGGGTTCAAGTCTGGCAACTGCCCTGGCCATTGCATAACCTTAATGCTATTGCCTTCCAACCACATTTTTGTCTTCTTTGACATGTGTTTCGGGTCATTGTCTTGCTGAAACATGACATTGGTGTATGCATGCTGAAGCTGCAAATCTGAGATTGTTTTCAAAAGCTTGTCATTCAGGATATCAATGTATTGGTCTGAATTCATTGATCCCAGCACCAAGCATATACCTCCAACCCCTTCCCATGTCATACAGCCCCAGATCATGATGGAGCCACTGCCAAACTTGACTGTTGGCCTGACAAGCTTGCTGTTGAAGCCAGTGTTCTTAATCCAACAGAACTGCTTCCCATCTGGTCCAAAGAAGTTGATCTTTGTCTCATCGGACCATACCACCTTCTTCCAATCCTCAACAGTCATGTCCTTGTGCTCATTTGCAAATTTGAGATGTGCTTTGTAATGCCTCTTGAGTAGCTTTGGTTTATTCACTAACCTTTGTGCTTTGTAATGACAGTAATGAAGTGCTTTTCTTACTGTTGTTGGGCATGCTTTGATGTGAAATGTCTCCTGCAGTGCATGACATGCTTTCCTGACTGTGGACATTGAATTGAGCTCAAAATAGTGGTCCAGGAAGTGAGCATGATGAGGCTGGAGTTTTCTCAGCTGGCCCCCCTTTGACTTTGGAGCATCAGCAGAGGCACTTTTGCTGATGCAAGACACTGTAGACTTGCTCAGACCAAGTTTCTCAGCAACTGAACAGGTAGATTCTCCATTTTGGAGGTGAAAGAGTGCCGATCGGTGCTTCTCAGGAGTGGCTTTTGTCATGATGGTATAGATATGATGGTGTCAGACTGGAAGTGCTGCCAGATCACTCACAGTCATCTGATTGAGCTGAAACTTTCCATGTCACTACTTTTGATGTGTATGAAGGTGCCCACCAAGTTACATTACAAGTTTCATTGTAGTCAAAAGCCCACAAGGTCAGGAATGGAGTGGTGTTGCTATTTGGGAGCATGCTCCATAAACTGTCCCACAATAAAAAAAATAATTTGGCTCTTCTTCATAGCACAATTTTTTTTAGTCAATGTCAATATCAATTCCACAGTCTTGGAGAGAAGAAGCAGTGCTTTCAGACAATATCAGACAGTGTGGCAATACAACTTATAGCTATTGAGCATTAGAGTGATGTATGGTGACATGTAAAATCTTGGGACAGTTTATGCACATACTGTATATCAAGCTGAGAATGCTAGGTTCTCACCATGGTCATTCAGTCAATTGAGTATATATGTTTCTGCCTTAAAAGTAGTAGTGACATCATACTCTGACTCTCCCCGATTGCCAGTATCGGGACCAAAATGTCTTCAAACTTCAACTGCTTGAAGCTCCAAGTTTGTGTATGCAGAACACGCAGTGCAACACATGCCCAAGACTTTGGTGGGAGGTGTTGTGTTAAATTGTTAGAGTTTTTTGACGCTATCTCATTCGGCCGCAAGGAGAGTCATAATCGGCGATCAGCCCAATTTTAGCCTGAACCTGTGCTTCATCCTTCGCTCCAAGCACAGCAAACACAGCCGGGAAACTGGGAAACTTGGCGATAAGGCTTGTGCTACGCGGGAAATGATAAAAATGCCAAGAATTTTGCCAAGCAACCGCTGTGTGCAATGGGCCCTGAAAAAATGGGGTGGCTTTTGAGATTGACAGCTCTTCTCCCTTGCCCCACAGCCTTTGCCTTTCTATGCACCTTTGCTGTGCTTGGCAGAACCTGCTCGGGGTCTTGCGCGCGGCAATTCGTCCCTTCTCTGCCAGTTTGTGCCTAATCGTTCTGCTCTGCCGTGTCTATCTCTGCTGTGCTCTGCTGTGCTCTGCTGTGCTCTGCTGTGTTGGACCACTGCCAACCAATGAATAGCTATCGGTCCCTTGGCACCCGGTAACTTTGCTACTGTTTCTTCAATTTTGGCTCGTGGATTGCCTCTCGGCAGTATCAGATGGAAATGGCCTTGTCTCGTGAGCGTGCAATTGGTATATATGCCCCGAGGAGGCGGCATTCGAACCTCCGTTTCTTTCCTCTTAATCTCTCTACAACAACCTGGACTGCTGTTCATCTTTGACAAGTCCTCCAGTTTAGTGATTCTAGCATAAGCCTAAAAAGCTTCACTCTCACATCCAGCCCGAAAAGCGTCCTTTTCGTGATTCTCATCAGTGATCCTCATCAGATCGTCTGCTAAGCGCTTTTCAGCGACTACACAACTCTTATCTTTCTTACCCAAAACCGATGGTTCAAGGTCATGGCTGCGACTCTTCTCCTGGCAAAGGATCTTCACAGCCCCAGCTGCTCGCCGGAGACCAAGCTCGTGCTACTTCCGACGCTGAAGAGCCCCCTTGTAGTGGTTACTCCCACTACCATCACCACCACCACCACCACCAACAACATCAACAGCCTCAACCTCAGCACCAACCTCAACAGCAACACCAGCACCATAATGTCGAGAAAGCTCAGCTCGACCATGAGCATCGCATCGCCGTCATCGACGTCTCGAATAGCGACTCCACGTCGTCGACTCCCAGCCGCCGATCCTCCACCCTTACCGCAACGGTTGATCTGCATCAACCGCATTCCCTAGAGTCCAGCCGGGTGATTGCACAGTTTCAAAGTGATATCAACGCTGGTCTCTCGGAGGACCAAGCGGCCACCCGCCTCAGTGAACATGGTCCTAACCAGCTCAAGGAGACCAACAAGGTCAGCGCCACCTCCATCTTGATTCGTCAGATGGCCAACGCCTTGACACTCGTCCTGCTCGCTGCCATGGCTTTGTCCTTCGGTGTCAAGGATTGGGTTGAGGGTGGTGTCGTGACCGCCGTCATCGTCACCAACGTCCTCATCGGCTTCATCCAAGAGTACAAGGCTGAACGCACCATGGCTTCATTGCGTACGCTCTCGTCGCCCAATGCCAACGTTCTCCGTAACTCGAGCATACGACAACTCCCCTCTACCGGTCTCGTGCCCGGCGACATTGTCCACTTCCGCGTCGGTGATCTGGTGCCCGCCGATGTTCGTCTTGTCACCATCAGCAACCTCGAGATTGACGAGGCTCCCCTTACTGGTGAATCGGTCCCCGCCATCAAGACAACCGGCCCTCTCACTCGACCTCACCTTGGCCCTGCTGACCGCACCAACCTAGCCTATGCCGGCACCACCGTCACCAAAGGTCGAGCTGTAGGTATCGTCATCGCCACCGCCATGAACACGCAGATTGGTCAAATTGCCACCGCCCTGGCCAAGAAGGGCAACAAGGAGGATGGCGAGAAGGCTTGGTATAAACGTGCTTGGGACGCCACCGCTACCTTCCTCGGTGTCCGTGAGGGTACACCGCTCCAGATCAAGCTCAACAAGTTCGCCTACGTCCTTCTCTTCCTCGCCGTCGTCTGCGCCATCATCGTCTTCGGTGTTGCCGAGTTCGACATTACCAACGAGGTGATCCTGTACGCCATCGCCCTTGGTATCGGTGTGATCCCCGAGTCGCTCGTCGCCGTCTTGACCATCACTTTCAGCGTTGGTGCCAAGCGTATGGCCGAGAGCAATGTCGTCGTTCGTCGTCTTGATGCCCTTGAGGCTCTTGGTGGTGTCACTGACATCTGCAGTGATAAGACTGGAACACTCACTCAGGGTAAGATGGTTGTCCGTCAGGGCTGGTCCTTTACTTCTGCTGAGCAGCAGAGTTTCGAGGTCGAGCAGACCGGCGCTACTGCCTTCGAACCCAAGGGTCGTGTCCTACTCGCCGCTTCCTCTGCCGACGCCGAGCATGTGCCTGTTGAACATGATCAGATTCCTGTCGCTGTTCGCAACCTTGCCACCGCCGCCTCGCTCTGTAACATTGCCGAGGTCGAGCAGCAGGCCGATGGCTCTTGGACTGCTCGTGGCGATCCTACCGAGATTGCGCTTCAGGTTTTCTCTACCAAGCTCCAGCTCTCGCGTGACTCGCTCACCGAGGGCGAGGGGGCTACTTATAAGCACGAGCTTGAGTTCCCCTTCGACAGTACGCTCAAGCGCATGACCAGTGTCTACCGCCGCAAGGACGAGAGATGGGCCGACCACATCTTCCTTATGAAGGGTGCCGTCGAGCAGGTGCTTGCCTGCTGTCCCAACATGGATGACTCTGCCCGCAAGATCATTCTCAACCAGGTCGAGACGATGGCCAGCCAGGGTCTTCGTGTTCTTGCCTTCGCCGAGCGAAGCATGGACGAGGTTCAATTCAAGGATGAGAGTGCTCGCACCCGTGCCGCCTCTCAGGCCGAGGATGCTGATGAATCTGGTACCATCATCAGTACCGAAAAGAAGCACGCTGACAGTGGCGATGCTGGCAGCGGTCTCTCGCGTGCTGCCGCTGAGCAGGACTTTGCTTTGATCGGTCTTGTTGGTATCTACGATCCTCCCCGTGCCGAAACTCGTGCTGCCGTCGAGGCTTGCAAGCGTGCCGGTATTGTTGTCCACATGCTTACCGGTGACCACCCTGCCACTGCGCACGCCATCGCCCGCGAGGTCGCAATTGTCGATGGCACAGAGCCTGCTTCGGCTGTCATGACTGCTGCTCAATTCGACGGCTTGACTGAGGATGAGATTGATGCTCTCGAGGACTTGCCCCTTGTTGTTGCCCGTTGCTCGCCTGCTACCAAGGTGCGCATGATCGCCGCTGGTAAGCGTCGTGGTCGCTACCTTGCCATGACAGGTGACGGTATCAACGATGCTCCCTCGCTCAAACAGGCGCCTGTCGGTATCGGTATGGGTACTGGTACGGATGTTGCCAAGGACAGTTCTGATCTTGTGCTTACTGACGACCGATTCGACTCGATCGTCAAGGGTATCCGCGAGGGTCGAGCGATCTTTGACAACATCCGGCGTTTCTTGATCGGTCTTCTGGTCGCCAACGTCGCCGAGGTGCTCTTGCTCCTCTGTGGTCTCGGTGTGCGTGATGCGGATGAGGAGTCGGTCTTCCCTTTGGCACCCGTCGGTATTCTTTGGGTCAACATGGTCACTGCTTCGCTTCCGGCCATCGGTCTGGGTCTCGAGCCCGGTGAAAGCGATATCATGGAGCGTCCTCCTCACGACCTTCGTGCAGGCGTGTTGAGTCGATCGGTTATCGTCGACACGCTCGTCTATGGCACTTGGATGGGTATCACCTGTCTGGTCGCCTTCTTACTCATGATCTACCCGATTGGTGGTGGCAACATTGCCCTGGACTGCAACCACTCTTCTGCTGCATCGTGTGAGCCTATCTTTCAGGCTCGTTCGGCTGTCTTCACCACGTTGACGCTCCAGCTTCTCTTGATCTGCTGGGAGCTGATTAGTATGGAGAAGTCGTTCTTCAGCATGTCGCCTGCCAAGCATCTTTGGAAGAACCCGATGCTGCTCTGGTCTGTTGTCATTGGCATTGCTACTATCCCCATCGCGCTGTATATTCCCAAGTTCAACACGGACGTTTTCCGTCATGCACCCATGGGTGGCGCTGGGTGGGGTACCTCGATTGCCATGACAGTCACTTTCATTGCTGGGGTCGAGCTCTGGAAAGCTTTCGCCCGTCGTGGACGCTGGCCCTGGCTTGCCAGGATCTCTGGTGGCCACCGAGGTCTTGAACGCCGCCAGGCCAAGAAACGACTCAGCGACAAGTCTGTCGCTACCGCCTAACGAGTCTCGGCTTGATGACTTTCCAACGGTAGCGTCTGGATAAAGCATGTTCAGATGAAGCTTGCATCAAGCTCAAGATCGGATAACGTTTTTCAACCACGCCGCTTCCGCTGGGTTTGACAACATTGTATCTCTTCCTTCCCCTCCGGCCTGAACTTGATCATTGCTGACACTGTATGAGAGTGAGCTGCAGTGAGCTTTGGTTGTGCTGTGAATTGTCGAAAGCAGATCCGGGGGCCCATGCTGATTCAGCGAGATGGAGTTTGTCGGGCGAAAGAAGCTTGGACAGCATCATCTCAGAGCTGAAAAGCCGGATTGTGACGATCGAGAGAAGCCGAGTGTAGTGACTCAGGGTTGCAGCAACTTTGTCCTTACAAGAGCGGATCTGCGTTAGGTCTTTTTGGACGGCTCTTCTGGTGGCTTGCGATGACGAGAGGTTCCGACTGGCCAAGCGGGAGTGTCACTCTTTTACATCACAAAAAGGTCGAGGTTTTCAGCTCGTCACAAGGCGTCATGGCAGATGTGACTGTGAGAAGTGTCCGTGCACACAAATCGATGGTGAGATCCGGGGGAATCAGACGGGTATAAATGAGCCGACCTTAAAAGACCTCATGGTTGGAGCCTGACAGACAAGCAATGCAAAAAGAGTGAAAATGGCAGCCAAAGTCAAATGACGTTTCTTGTGAGACGGACGCCGAGACCTTTTCCATCTTCCAAGTCAAGTCGTAACGCCGAAAAGAGTTGAGTAGCTATACCAAATATAGCCACCAAGCCGATCCCGGGATGCATGGTTTTCTAGAAACAGAAAAGACAGGCTAAGGCTGTGCTGTGCTAAGTTCAGCTTTCTCTCGGTCCTGCATGGTGGAAGCTGAGCCGAAGATGACCGAGTCTGAGTTGGCTTTGCATAACGTCTACTGTACCTTCGACCGCAGTGACCAGAGGGTAAGGTGTCAGTGCCTTGACGATGACCTGCGATTGCGGTGATTTTGCATCGTGTGGAGGCATTCTTGCTGCGTAGAAGAGAGTGACAACATCACAACACAGCGCTTTCACTCCAATCACACTGCCCTGTTGGAACAGATGCCGCAGTCGGGAGGGAAGAGACGCTTTAGCTGCAACTCGAGCATCGAATTACGCCACGCTGACTGTCAAGGTGCAGAAGCGTTGCACTGTTTTGTCGTTGTTATTGTGGTACTTAGTTGCTGGCTGTAATTGTCATGGGGTGCCAAAAATATTCCGATGCAGAGGGAGCCCATTGACAGCCAGTCGGTCCTTCTGTGACCTTTCTTGCACTGCCCCCTCTTGTCTGGGTGGCAAGCAGTGAGAGCTCACGAGTCTCTACGCAAGCTTTCAGGCGGCCCAACTCTCTGTCGGCGCCTCTCACATAGAGTCTCCAGTGGGGTGGTGTCAGAGACACAGTATGTCGTCATCGACGCCCCCGCCTTGCCGCTCTCATACAGCACTCTCCTGAGAACCCTGGCTTGAGACGGCTGCCTCTCTCCTTTCGTGTGAGGTGCTAACCTAGTGCCAGCTCGCCCGTCGGAGAAGCTGCACTTGTGTTGGTTGAGAGACAACCAACTGACCCTCTGCGTTGGCTGGTCGATCCATTCCTACCCCTCGTAAGACTGGCTGACTGGCTGACTGACCGACTACGCAAGAGTCTGTCCCCTTCCCCAGTCGCCTCGCATTCACAGACCGAGCGTTTGCTGTCTCTTTTGAGTGGAGTGAGTGGAGGTCTTGGCCTCAGATCGGCCCGCAAGTTGGAGCTCGAAAAGCATATATACCCCCTCCTTACCGCCATGGCACCCTTCTTCACACCACACACACTCTTTCTCACACACACCAATCCTCATACAACTCAGAAATCGCAAACATGTCTGACGCTGGACGACAAGACTTCACCGACAAGGTAGGTTTCGTCTCTTCGCCAGTCCTTATCACCATTTTCACCTCTTGAACCTCATTACTGACTTTGGCATCATCTTCCCACTACCTACTGCTTGAAATTTAACAGGCCTCTTCGGCTATGAAGCCCGACTCCCAGAAGAGCTTCGGCGAGAAGACTAAGGAGAACCTCGACAAGGCCGCCGGCACCGTCCAGCCTGACTCCACCAAGTCTGACTCCCAGAAGATGGGTGACAGGGTCAGTGGCTCTGATAAGTCGGACGAGTCTATGCTCGACAAGGCCAAGAACGCCGTCGGCCTCGGCAACAACAACACCACCACCCACTAAACCAAATGCTGTCGTTGTTTGACTGATCCACCTTCTTCGTAGTCCTTACGTAGATGCTTGATCGAGTCAACACTTTGCAATCAAAGATTTAAAATACCTGATCTATCCCTGTCATGCTCTTGTGTCCGTGCGCTCATCTTCGTGACGTTCTGGCTTTGTTTTGAGCTTTAAGCCTTGTCACCGCACAATTCAGTCATGACGTTCGGCGTCTTATCGAACATCGTGATTGTCCTGTTCAGTTGCCAGGTTCCAATGATTTACAATGGATCGACAACGCCACGAGTGTTTCTTGTGAGTGTTTCGACGTTTCTTCATCACAGACAACCACAAGTACAAGTGCAAAGAGACTTGCTCCCCTTCCTAATGGAGGTTGCAACTCAAGATATGATCGATTAAGTCAAGATAGTTTACAAAGCAGACATGCCCGAAGCACGCCCAGCATCAATGAACAGCAGCTCCGTCTGCAGGTCGAGAGGCATCCATAGCTCTACCACGTGTCTCGATAGGCAGCAACGCCATAGCTCCCGTCACAACCAGTAACACCAACGTTGCCATAAACAACGGCACTGCAGGTGACAGCGAGAAAGCCCATCCCGCCAACAAGGGCGCTACAATACCCGCTACTCGACTGATAGCCGAGGCAGTCCCGCATGCCGTTGCCCTGATGGTTGGGGCCATCACTTCTGGCGTGTAGCCATAGATAGCAGCGTACGATATCGAGCTCGATACGGACACCACCGTCAAGCTTGATCTCCAATACGTGAGCGAAAAAAGCAACACAGAAGCAGCCATGACAGCAGCAGAGCTGACCATGGTGCCTATCCTTCCCAGTCTCGTCTCGACCATGTATGCTGATATTAAGCTGCCCGGAAGGGACGAGAGCGAGTAGACTAGGATGTCTAACATCGCTCGACGGATTGATGCCTCGTCTCGTTCGCCTGCCATCGCCGGCACTTGCAGAGTGGAGGGTGAGGTGGGAGCCTCGTAACGCTGTTCGAGCAGCTTAGGCAGGAGCACGTTGAAGGTTGTGAATCCGTACGACATGCCTCCCCAGATGATCCAGATGAGAACAGTGGTGCGTTTCCATTCGGGTGACAACATCTCGCTGTATCGAGATGCCAAGTCTGCTGCGCTCGGATGCCAGCTTTCGGGCAGCCAGGCGAGTGATGCGGGCAAGGCAGCAGTTCTTCCCTGTAGTGTGATCGCGCTGCCATTTCGTTCGTGCACACTGGTCTCTTCGTCGCTCTTTCTCGAGTCCTCAGCTGTATCGTCGTCGGTATGATCGAGCAAAGGTCTTGCGGCATCTTGGCCTCGAGTCTCAACCGCTCCATATTCGTCTGCTGCGTATTCGGCACGAGCCGGAGTTGCACGACTGCGCTCCTCTGTCTCGTCTGCAGGCGCCGTGGCCTTGACTGAGAACGCCGAGGAAGAAGGTCTCTGATGCATCGAGTGTTGACTGCTCTCCAGATCTTCCCCACCACTCAGGCCATTCGCATGACCATCATCCTCAACATCTTGTATACGAAGCCGTATTGCAGCTCCACCATTGTACTTGTGAATTTTTTGCAGAATCTCTCTCGCCTCTTGTGGTCTGCCCGCGTGTACCAGATACTTGGGTGATTCCAGCAGCTTGAAGAACACCACTCTAGCCGAAACAAATAGCACTGTAACGAAGGCTAGTGCACCCAACAACCACCTCCAACCTTGGGGATCATGAGCTGAAAGCACAGCCAGCCCAATGAGCGACGACACGACCGATCCTGCCGAGAAGAATACCGACAAGGCCGTCACGTAGCTATGCTTTCGAACCGGCAGATTCTCCACCAAGTTCGAAGAGTCAGTTGGCATACTGCCTCCCACCCCGGTTCCAACAGCCAAAAGCAGCAGGCACAGAAGCGGGAAGGAGCCAGCTACAGCTGAAAGACTACCGAAGATCGCCGTGACAGCCAGCGTCACGTTGAATGCTGCTCTGCGGCCGTATGCGTCCGAGATAGTACCCCAAGCAATTGACCCAATGAACATGCCAACGAAGATGGAAGAGCTTGCTAGCCCAACGATGCCGTCTGAGAGAACAAAGTATCTTTGGATGTGCGGGAGAATGATGGCTATCGCTTGGATCCACATGTTGTCTGCTGCCCAGCCGAGACCGGAAAGGATGAGGACTGTCCATTGGTATCGACCCATGCCGATGCGGTCCATTGTGCGGTCCAAAGGTGTTGCGCCAACTGCGGTTGCTCGCCAGCCATCGCCTCCTTGTCCGCCGTCATGATCGCGGTCTTGTGGTAATGAGTAGCTGACCGAGGGTAAGAAGAGCGATCGTGAGGAGGTGACCCGGTCGACGAGAGGTGGTCGACGTGTTGAATGCATGCTAGTGCGTGCTGATGTGCCTGCTGCCCGACCTAATGATTGTGTGCTAAGATATCGAGGTAGAGAGGCTGGTAGTGACGTTGGTGTCCTTGATGGAGAGGATATTGATGGGAAGTTGGGTGCTTTGAGACCTAAAGAAGCTGCCTCGATGCTATGCTGGTTACCGTTGTCTAGTTGAGATGCCTGCCCGTTTGGAGGTTCAATCCAGCTTGAATGCCCTCCTTCATCGTCAATGACGAAGGCCGAGGGGCCTGCTGCTATCGACTGGCTGTCCTCTGGCAACGAAGGCATGACTGTTCGAAAGCTAAAGCGAGTGCAAAGCCATGATCGAAAAGAAGTTCTTGTGCTAGGATGATGTCTGTGCAATTATTTCCGAGGCTGAAGTTGGTCAAAGGCTCCCCCACATATCCTCCTTTCTCGCAGTGCATACAGCCGGCAGATATCGTCGGGTTTCGGTCGGACTTTTTCCAACTTTTCGGACCTTTTCCAGTTGAAGTAGATAAAGCCACACAAAGCGTAGAGACAGTGAAGGTAGTGCTTACGGCCGAGTAAAAGGCCTGAACATCTTAGCACGGACCACATGTGTCACAACCTACTCAAGGCAAATGCTTTGTTATGTTCTGCAGTCAATGCGGCTCTCTGCCGCTCTTCTTTTGTATATATATAGACTCCTCGCTCTCTCGCTCTCTGTCTCTTACCACCATCATCAACAAGACGCCTCAACTCCAACCACTGATGGATGACTTCAACGCACTGACGAATGACTTCAACTTTTCCAACTTTTTTGACCTTTTCCAACTTTTTTGACCTTTTCCAACTTTTTTTTTTTAAATTTTTTTTTTTGGAACTGTGAGATCCTGAAGAATCAGTTGAAAATGCGTCGGCATCTCAAGAGGGATGCACGAGTTATAGCCGAGACACCGAGGGACAGAATGCATGCATAAGTGATGGACACAATGAAGCACATGAAGGTTGCCATAGCAATGGCTCAGGGGCATTGCATGAAGCAACAACACAGGGGTTATGAGAGAAGTGACTCATTTGGCTTGGACATGACTAAGGTGGTAATAAGGTATATAGGTGTTTGTCATTAAGATCCATACTATGAGAAATTTAAGCATCACAAGAAGTCATTTGACTGTGTTAAAGGGAGCCTGATCATGGCCCCGATAAACAGCATATTCTAATTGTTATCTTCAACTGATTAAGAGTCTGAAGAAGATATCAACCAAGCTAATCAAAGCCATGGTGGAAGATGCCAAAACCCAAGTGTCATGGGCCTGGATGCTCAAGAAGCAGGAGGGTCATGGGTTCATATGGAAGGAGCACAGGTATCGAAGACCTAGTCGACACCAGTAGAGAGCATGGTCGTAGTGCAGTCTCCATGGAGACCATGGACTCCTATGGACTCACATGCAAAGGAGGACCAAGCTCAAGGAGCAGGCACAGCCACGAGGAGGACCAAGCTCAAGGAGCAGGCACAGCCACGAAGAGGACCAAGCTCAAGGAGCATGCAGATGGTTACCACTCAGGGGCTCGAGAGACAAGAGCCAAAGGAACTGTCACTGATCAAAGGAGGAGGAGCAGTGTCGAAGGAGTCGACACCAGGTCATGAGGAGGAGGAGCAGTGTCGAAGGAGTCGACACAGCTCAAGAGGCACAGGGGTGCCAAGCAGGAGAGGCCCCTGAGCAGTACTCGATGAAGAAGGTACTCTCTGGAGAGAGAGCAGGAGCAGCATCGCTGGCGATGCTGAGAAGAGGTATATAACCATGCTTTCTCATCAATAGGTCGAGTGGATCATCATCCACTCTACTCACCATAACTAGTTATCACTTCAGCATAAGTATACATTAGTTTCAGTCAGCATAGCAGCAATCTATCAAGGTTGCTCCTCATCGTAGTGTGTGTGTTGTATCACCACTACCTGACGTCCGAAGGCGCCCATAGCAGGTTAGCGGTCCGGATATAGATAGAACCGAAGGCAGTAGTCCACTGCGGTCCGGGGATCACTTCAAAGCATCAAGTCAACACACTGGACACTCGTGTTGACGCCACCAACCTTATCACCAACACCATCAACCTCATTATCATTGACATCACCAATCATATCATCAACACCATCAACCTCATTATCATCGACATCACCAATCTCATCACCAACACCATCAACCTCATCATCATCAACACCCACACCAGACCTTGGTGTCATCATAACATTGATATTGATCGTGCCGAGCTACCCCTGAACGGAGTGTCCACAGAGGTCAGCCGAAACCTACGATAGTATATACAACGAATGCCACCTGCTGTCACTGCACAACTTGATAGTCACCGATACCGAGACAATAGCTGTCACACAGTTTAATAGTCACCGAGTATCTCGACAGACCGACCTGGGTTTCAGGCGCGAGACCCCTGACATTAGAGTGGATCGTTCAAGCAGCTCCTCACGATCACCATGACGGACCCAGACCTCAACAATAAGCTCGATAGACTACTCACTCTATTGGAAGCACAGCTAGAGCTTACCAGACAGGGTCATCGAGAGGAACGATTACAACGAGCTCAACTGAGCAGGGAGGAGACAATGGACCTCTCTCACTCAGAAGACCAAGCAGGAGGAGGAGATGAGTCTATGATAGGAGACCCACATACTCCTACTCCAGCTCCACGACCAAGACGATCAGTCTCATTCAACCTGGATGAGCAGGAGGACATCAACTACAAGAAGTATGCTTCACCTACTGGGCCAAGATATGTCAAGACTAAGCTGGACCCCTACAGCAGGACTAGGACGGACCCTTACCCCCTGGACCACGAGGAGGATACCAGCATCATGGCAGAGCTTAACCGGTCAAAGCCCATTGCCACCCCCTTTCCAAAGTTCAATCCCCGAGACATGGAGATCTTCATTCTAGAAGCCGAAGCATGGTTTAAGTTCAACCAGGTGTATGAGCAGTCTAGGATGATCAATCACATGGGTGCTCAACTGGAAGGGACAGCAAGAGAGTGGTGGACCTCCAAGCTCCGTATTGATAGAGCTAGAGAAGGAAGGTTGTTCAATGATTGGCACTACTTCACAGAGCGACTGTCAGAGCAGTTCAACCCACGCAATGCTAGGATGGAGGCATACAACAAGCTGTTGGCTCTCAGACTCACAAGTGATACTCCTGGTGCCGCCACACGTCATGTAGAGCGGTTCAGAGACTTGGAAGGACAGGTCAACCTAGATGACAACGAGCTAGTGATTGATCTCTTCAGAGGTAGTCTCACTCGCAGCATACAGGAGAAGTTCGAGAGGAATCCACCTGGGAAGAGATGGGAGTGGTATCGAGAGGTTGAGGAGATCGATCGACAGAGGATGCTACTACAGCAGTCCTCGGCTAGACACTCACTCCCAAATGCCACATCACCTCCACTAAGAACTGGGTCTCGGCCAAATCAAAGTTCGATCCCCATCCGACAACCCACTCAAACTTATCCAGCTCGATCACCATCACAAGCAACTACACAAGCAACTATACAAAACCTAAACCGACCCCTTCCTCATCATCCCACCCAACCCTCGAAGCAAGGAAGCCCTGCTCCATCAGGTATCAACACCTGTCATGTATGCAAAGGTATTGGCCATTGGGCCAGAGACTGCCCCAGCAGGAGGGTAGACCCTCTTAGCTCTCGACCCATGGGACCAAAGGTTATGGTCACCACAGCAGACCCCTTCGAGGAGGCCACCGACTCAGGAGATGGCCACACAGGCAGCACTGAGACGGGTGACCCCGAGGCCATGGACCTCAGCTCATACCAGCAACCCATGGACCCCGATCACGAGGAGGAGCACAATGATGATGACGACGAGGGAAACGTCAGTGGGGTGATGCACTGATGGCATGCATTGCTCTACAAACCTCCTCGCCATCACTCTGTATATATCAAGATTGTCAAGTATGTTTCTCTACCAGTGGAGGCAAAGCAGTACTGGAGCTCTCTGGAATGGTTCAAGACCATCCTGCTCGGATACTAGCTGATACCGGTGCTGGTTTGTCCATAGTCTCAGATTCTTTCATTAGTAAGTACCAAATACCCACAAAACCCATAAAAACAAGATCGATCCATGGTGTCACCGGGCACCAACTCTCCATCAATAGTTCTGCGAGCATGCAGGTATCTATTGGTACACACAATCTGGGTGTGGTCGAAGCTTCAGTGGCCGACACTGCAGACTATGACCTCATCCTGGGGTTCACTGAGCTACGGAGGCTCAAACCCACCATACAATGGGATACGGGCCAGCTGGAGTTCAAGACTCAGGAGCAGGACCGACCCCCTAGGAGACCCCCTGAAGCAGCAAGAGCAGGGGACCTAACCATGAGGAGACCAACCCTTCATGGTAACGAGTTTGTCTCAGCAGAGCGCATACTACGAGCAGCTCTGGAAGATGGACCCATAGGGTTCATGCTGTTAGAGGAGCCACCATCATCACTCCCAGCCTTTGGTTTTGTACCTACAGGCGCAGACAAAGGAGTCGAGATGGAGGTGGAGGTAGATAAGGTGGTGACGGCTGCAGACATACCAAAGCCATACCAACACCTGCGAGATGTGTTTGATGAGGTGGAAGCAGACAAGCTGCCCCATCATACCGAGCATGATCTCCACCTCGAGTTGATAGAAGGAGGGAAGCCACCTCAAGGGCCCCTATACCTTAAGGGACCCAAGGAGATGTCCGAGTTGAGGAGGTACTTGGATGAGAACCTCGAGAAGGGGTTCATAAGACCATCGAAGAGCCCGGCACGATCACCAGTGCTCTTCGTACCAAAGAAGGATGGAGGTCTCAGACTCTGTGTGGACTACAGAGGTCTCAACGAGATCACTGTCAAGAACAGGGCACCATTGCCCCTCATCGAGGAGCAGCTGTTCTTACTCAGGAAGGCAAGGATCTATACCAAGCTAGACCTTAGAGCAGCATACAACCTCATCTGGATTGCTAAAGGAGATGAATGGAAGACAGCTTTTGGCACTCAGTTGGGACTCTATGAGTACCTAGTGATGCCCTTTGGCCTAGCCAATGCTCCGGCTCACTTCCAGTCATTCATCAATGACATCTTCCGAGACATCATTGGAGTATATGTAGTGGTATACTTAGATGACTTCCTGATCTTCAGTGACACTGAAGAGGTACATGTGAAGCATGTCACCGAGGTCCTCACTCGCTTAAGGAACAACAGGCTCTTTGCTAAGCTGTCGAAGTGTGAGTTCCACACCAAGACAGTCGAGTTCCTGGGGTACATCATCAAGCCAACGGGCCTAGAGATGGACCCAGAAAAGGTGCGCACTGTCAAGGAGTGGCCAATGCCGGAGTCAATCCATGACATCCAGAGGTTCCTGGGTTTTGCCAACTTCTATCGAAGGTTCATAGCCCACTTTGCTCGCATAGCCAAGCCCTTGACAGCACTGGTAAAGCCTATAGAACGGTTCAAGAAGTTCGAGCTACCAGAGGAGGCCCAACAGGCCTTCCACAAGCTCATCCAGGCCTTCACGTCAGCAGGAGTGCTTCAGCACTTCGACTACCACCTTCCAACAAGGTTGGAGACTGATGCAAGTGAATTTGCTATAGCAGGAGTACTCAAGCAGGAGCATGAAGGACGATGGCATCCAGTGGCCTTCTACTCTAGGAAGATGTCTTCTGCCGAGAAGAACTATGAGATCCATGATAAGGAGCTCCTAGCTGTGGTCGCCTGCCTCACTCAGTGGCGACACATGCTAGCTGGACTACCGAACCAACTGGTCATCCTCACTGACCATGAAGCCCTCAAGTACTTCAAGTCACAGAGACGCATCACAGGTCGACAAGCTCGATGGGCAATACTACTAGCAGACTTCGACTTCATATTGCAGTATCGACCAGGAGACAAAGGTGGTGAACCCGATGCTCTCACCAGAAGGACAGACATGCAACCAGCCAGTGAAGAGCAGGATCACAATGTGAGGCAACTACTGCCTCCTCGAGTGTTCAAGGAGACAGCAGACCATGACTCGCTCCTAGTGGCCCCCATGATCTCGATGGAGTCCATAGCATCAAAAGGTCTCAAAGACCTGGTCAAGATCTTCCAGCCTTTAGACCAAGAGCTACAGGAGATACATAGGAAGAAGCCTTTCGAACTCAAGGATGACCTATGGTACAGTGGAGGAAGGTTGGTTATCCCCAAGGTGATCATGCCAGGGAGGACCAACAACCGACACTCAAGGAGTGCCAAAGAGGTAGATGGACAGTCTCTCTCTGTAGAGCATCTGCGATTCATGGTGATGACCCAATGCCATGATGGTATCACTGCTGGACACGTAGGAAGAGATGCTACCATCAAGGCAGCTCAACGACATTACTGGTGGCCAAACATGACAGCTTGGATTGCAGACTATGTAGCAAGTTGTCCTGTATGTGCTAGGTACAAAGCTCCTCGTCATCGTCCATATGGTTTGCTACAGCCACTAGCAACCCCAGACAGGCCCTGGGGCTCCATATCCCTCGACTTCATTGAAGGACTACCACCATCAAAGAAGTATGACTCCAAGACCTATGACTCTATCCTAGTCATCGTCGACAGGTTAACCAAGTTTGCCATACTAGCTCCAACCCATAAGACAGTCACAGCCAAACAGACTGCAGTATTGCTATATGGACACATGGTTAGACTTGTCATGGGCCTGGATGCTCAAGAAGCAGGAGGGTCATGGGTTCATATGGAAGGAGCACAGGTATCGAAGACCTAGTCGACACCAGTAGAGAGCATGGTCGTAGTGCAGTCTCCATGGAGACCATGGACTCCTATGGACTCACATGCAAAGGAGGGCCAAGCACAGCCACGAGGAGGACCAAGCTCAAGGAGCATGCAGATGGTTACCACTCAGGGGCTCGAGAGACAAGAGCCAAAGGAACTGTCACTGATCAAAGGAGGAGGAGCAGTGTCGACAAGAGGCACAGGGGTGCCAAGCAGGAGAGGCCCCTGAGCAGTACTCGATGAAGAAGGTACTCTCTGGAGAGAGAGCAGGAGCAGCATCGCTGGCAATGCTGTGAAGAGGTATATAACCATGCTTTCTCATCATCATAGGTCGAGTGGATCCCCATCCACTCTACTCACCATAACTAGTTATCACTTCAGCATAAGTATACATTAGTTTCAGTCAGCATAGCAGCAATCTATCAAGGTTGCTCCTCATCGTAGTGTGTGTGTTGTATCACCACTACCTGACGTCCGAAGGCGCCCATAGCAGGTTAGCGGTCCGGATATAGATAGAACCGAAGGCAGTAGTCCACTGCGGTCCGGGGATCACTTCAAGCATCAAGTCAACACACTGGACACTCGTGTTGACGCCACCAACCTTATCACCAACACCATCAACCTCATTATCACCGACATCACCAATCTCATCACTAACACCATCAACCTCATCATCATCAACACTCACACCAGACCTTGGTGTCATCATAACATTGATATTGATCATGCCGAGCTACCCCTGAACGGAGTGTCCACAGAGGTCAGCCGAAACCTACGATAGTATATACAACAAACGCCACCTGCTGTCACTGCACAACTTGATAGTCACCGAGTATCTCGAGACAATAGCTGTCGCACAGTTTGATAGTCACCGAGTATCTCGACAGACCGACCTGGGTTTCAGGCGCGAGACCCCTGACAAGACTCTTCGGATATCCAGATCACATGGTCTCGGACCGAGGCAGGCAGTTCATATCAGGAGCATGGAAGGCATTTGCAGAGCAAATGGGTGTGAAGCACTCATTTAGCACGGCCTACCATCCTCAAACTGATGGTCAGACAGAGAGAGTCAATCAGGTCATAGAGCAATATCTCAGGATGTACTGCAACTATGAGCAGAATGACTGGGCCAACCTGCTGGACACTGCGGCCTTTGTATACAACAACACGGTCCACAACAGCATTGGTGTCTCACCATTCTTTGCATGCTATGGATGGAACCCCAAAGCTCATCCTGACATCCCTCAACGATTAGGAGTCAATGATCCAGGTCGCTTCGAGTACCTCATGGATGGAAAGGAGCGTTGCAAGTACCTCCAGGAGCAGATCAGAGAGGCACAACGTAGATCAGTAAACCAGTATAACAGGAAGCACAAGGACATCGAGTTTAAGGTGGGTGATATGGTCTATATCAACCGACGAAACTGGAAGACAAGGAGACCCACACCCAAGTTAGACACCCGGTTCGCAGGACCCTACCCAGTTCAGGAACGGGTAGGACGCCGAGCTTATCGAATCACATTGCCAGCAAACCTTAGGGTGCATGATGTGTTCCATGTCTCCATGCTCGAGCCAGCAAGAACAAGTTCTCTTCCTCAACGTGCTGAACAGCCCACCATACCATCACTTCCAGATGAGGACCTCGATTTCGAAAGTCGAAGCACTCATCGACAAGCGTTCACACAATGGGACTACGGAGTACAAGGTGTTGTGGAGAGGGTACTCAGAGGAAGCTGCTTCATGGGAACCAGTAGAGAACCTCAACTGTCCCGACCTCATCCAGGAGTATGAGGTGTCGGAGGGGGGACGAGTGAGTAGACAGAGTGGAGAGAGGAGGAGAGAACAGGAGGAGTAGAGAGAGGAAGAGGAAGGAGGATGACGTTGAGAGAAGGAGGAAGGATGATGTTGGCGATGTTGTCAAGGAGGAGGAGTCAGCATGAACCAGACCAGAGCACGCCTCGACGGAGCTCGGCTCTTAAGAGGGGGGTAGTGTCATGGGCCTGGATGCTCAAGAAGCAGGAGGGTCATGGGTTCATATGGAAGGAGCACAGGTATCGAAGACCTAGTCGACACCAGTAGAGAGCATGGTCGTAGTGCAGTCTCCATGGAGACCATGGACTCCTATGGACTCACATGCAAAGGAGGACCAAGCTCAAGGAGCAGGCACAGCCACGAGGAGGACCAAGCTCAAGGAGCAGGCACAGCCACGAAGAGGACCAAGCTCAAGGAGCATGCAGATGGTTACCACTCAGGGGCTCGAGAGACAAGAGCCAAAGGAACTGTCACTGATCAAAGGAGGAGGAGCAGTGTCGAAGGAGTCGACACCAGGTCATGAGGAGGAGGAGCAGTGTCGAAGGAGTCGACACAGCTCAAGAGGCACAGGGGTGCCAAGCAGGAGAGGCCCCTGAGCAGTACTCGATGAAGAAGGTACTCTCTGGAGAGAGAGCAGGAGCAGCATCGCTGGCGATGCTGAGAAGAGGTATATAACCATGCTTTCTCATCAATAGGTCGAGTGGATCATCATCCACTCTACTCACCATAACTAGTTATCACTTCAGCATAAGTATACATTAGTTTCAGTCAGCATAGCAGCAATCTATCAAGGTTGCTCCTCATCGTAGTGTGTGTGTTGTATCACCACTACCTGACGTCCGAAGGCGCCCATAGCAGGTTAGCGGTCCGGATATAGATAGAACCGAAGGCAGTAGTCCACTGCGGTCCGGGGATCACTTCAAAGCATCAAGTCAACACACTGGACACTCGTGTTGACGCCACCAACCTTATCACCAACACCATCAACCTCATTATCATTGACATCACCAATCATATCATCAACACCATCAACCTCATTATCATCGACATCACCAATCTCATCACCAACACCATCAACCTCATCATCATCAACACCCACACCAGACCTTGGTGTCATCATAACATTGATATTGATCGTGCCAAGCTACCCCTGAACGGAGTGTCCACAGAGGTCAGCCGAAACCTACGATAGTATATACAACGAATGCCACCTGCTGTCACTGCACAACTTGATAGTCACCGATACCGAGACAATAGCTGTCACACAGTTTAATAGTCACCGAGTATCTCGACAGACCGACCTGGGTTTCAGGCGCGAGACCCCTGACACCAAGCAGGTGTCATGGGCCTGAATGCTCAAGAAGCAGGAGGGTCACTGGTTCATATGGAAGGAGCACAGGTATTGAAGATCTAGTCGATACCAGTAGAGAGCATGGTTGTAAGTGCAGTCTCCATGGAGACCATGGACTCCTATGGACTCACATGCAAAGGAGGACTGAGCCCATATGTGAGGAGGGCCAGGCACAGCCACAAAGAGAACCAAGCTCAAGGAGCATGCAGATGGTTACCACTCAGGGGCTCGAGAGACAAGAGTCAAAGGAACTGTCACCAGTCAAAGGAGAAGGAGCAGTGTATAGGACACTGGCAAGCAGGTCCTGAGGAGGAGGAGCAGTGTCAAAGGAGTCGACACCAGGTCCCAAGGAGGAGGAGCAGTGTCGAAGGAGTCGACACCACTCAGGAGGCACAAGGGTGCCAAACAAGCAGGATAGCAAGGAGGAGGAGCAGTGTCAAAGGAGTCGACACAGCTCAAGAGGCACAGGGGTGCCAAGCAAGCAGGAGGGGCCCCCTGAACAGTACTCGATGAAGAAGGTACTCTCTGGAGAGAGAGCAGGAGCAGCGTTGCTGGCGATGCTGTGAAGAGGTATATAACCATGCTTTCTCATCATCAAAGGTCAAGTGGATCCTCATCCACTCTACACAACCATCATAACTAGTTATCACTTCAGCATAAGTATATATTAGTTTCAGTCAGCATAGCAGCAATCTATCAAGGTTGCTCCTCATCATAGTGTGTGTGTTGTATCACCACTACCTGACATCTGAAGGTGCCCCATAGCAGGTTAGTGGTCTGGATCAAGATAGAACTGAAGGCAGTAGTCCACTGCAGTCCAGGGATCACCTCCAGCATCAGTCAACACACTGGACACTTGTGTTGATGCCACCAACCTCATCACCAACACCATCAACCTCATTATCATCGACATTCACCAACCTTATCACCAACACCATCGACCTCATCATCATCAACACTTGCACCAGACCTTGGTGTCATCACAACCTATGCATTGATATTGATTGTGCCAAGCTACCCCTGAACGGAGTGTCCACAGAGGTCAGCCAAAACCTACAATAGTATATACAATGAATGCCACCCACTGTCATTGTGCAACTTGATAGTCACCGAACAACTAGCTTGTCGAGACTGATACTGAGACAATAGCTGTCACACAACTTGATAGTCACCAAGTATCTCGACAGACCGACCTGGGTTTCAGGAACGAGACCCCTGACATTAGAGTGGATTGTTCAAGCAGCTCCTCATGATCACCATGACAGACCCAGACCTCAACAATAAGCTTGATAGACTACTCACTCTATTGGAAGCACAGCTAGAGCTTACCAGGCAGGGACAATGAGAGGAACGATTACAACGAGCTCATCTGAGCAGAGAGGAGACAATTGACCTCTCTCACTCAGAAGACCAAGCAGGAGGAGGAGATGAGTCTATGATAGGAGACCCACATACTCCTACTCTGGCTCCACAACCAAGATGATCAGTCTCATTCATCAACCTGGATGAGCAGGATGACATCAACTACGAGAAGTATGCTTCACCCACTGGGCCAAGATATGTCAAGTCCAGGGTGGATCCATACAACAAGAGCAGGACAGAACACTACACTCTTGATCAGGAGGAGGACTCTAGCATCATGGCAGAGCTTAACCAGTCAAAGCCCATCACCACCCCCTTTCCAAAGTTCAATCCCCAAGATGTGGAGATCTTCATTCTAGAAGCTGAAGCATGGTTTAAGTTCAACCAGGTGTATGAGCAGTCTAGGATGATCAATCACATGGGTGCTCAACTGGAAGGGACTGCACAAGAGTGGTGGACCTCAAAGCTCCATATTGATAGAGCTAGAGAAGGAAGGTTGTTCAATGATTGGCACTACTTCACAGAGCGACTGTCAGAGCAGTTCAACCCACACAATGCTAGGATGGAGGCATACAACAAGCTGTTAGCTCTCAGACTCACAAGTGATGCTCCTGGTGCTGCCACACATCATGTAGAGCAGTTCAGAGACTTGGAGGGACAGGTCAACCTAGATGACAATGAGCTAGTGATTGATCTCTTCAGAAGTAGTCTCACTTGCAGCATACAGGAGAAGTTCGAGAGGAACCCACTATCAGGGGTCTCGCGCCTGAAACCCAGGTCGGTCTGTCGAGATACTCGGTGACTATCAAACTGTGCGACAGCTATTGTCTTGGTATCGGTGACTATCAAGTTGTGCAGTGACAGCAGGTGGCGTTCGTTGTATATACTATCGTAGGTTTCGGCTGACCTCTGTGGACACTCCGTTCAGGGGTAGCTCGGCACGATCAATATCAATGTTATGATGACACCAAGGTCTGGTGTGGGTGTTGATGATGATGAGGTTGATGGTGTTGGTGATGAGATTGGTGATGTCGATGATAATGAGGTTGATGGTGTTGATGATAAGATTGGTGATGTCAATGATAATGAGGTTGATGGTGTTGGTGATAAGGTTGGTGGCGTCAACACGAGTGTCCAGTGTGTTGACTTGATGCTTTGAAGTGATCCCCGGACCGCAGTGGACTACTGCCTTCGGTTCTATCTATATCCGGACCGCTAACCTGCTATGGGCGCCTTCGGACGTCAGGTAGTGGTGATACAACACACACACTACGATGAGGAGCAACCTTGATAGATTGCTGCTATGCTGACTGTAACTAATGAGTACTTGTGTTTCTAAAGTATTGACTAGTTGTATGGTGAGTAGAGTGGATGAGGATCCACTCGACCTATGATGATGAGAAAGCATGGTTATATACCTCTTCTCAGCATCGCCAGCGATGCTGCTCCTGCTCTCTCTCCATAGAGTACCTTCTTCATCGAGTACTGCTCAGGGGCCTCTCCTGCTTGGCACCCCTGTGCCTCTTGGTCGACACAGCTCCTCCTCCTCATGACCTGGTGTCGACTCCTTCGACACTGCTCCTCCTCCTCATGATCAGTGACAGTTCCTTTGGCTCTTGTCTCTCGAGCCCCTGAGTGGTAACCATCTGCATGCTCCTTGAGCTTGGTCCTCTTCGTGGCTGTGCCTGCTCCTTGAGCTTGGTCCTCCTCGTGGCTGTGCTTGGCCCTCCTTTGCATGTGAGTCCATAGGAGTCCATGGTCTCCATGGAGACTGCACTACGACCATGCTCTCTACTGGTGTCGACTAGGTCTTCGATACCTGTGCTCCTTCCATATGAACCAGTGACCCTCCTGCTTCCTGAGCATCCAGGCCCATGACACCCACCTGGGAAGAGATGGGAGTGGTATCAAGAGGTTGAGGAGATTGATCGACAGAGGATGCTACTACAGCAGTCCTCAGCTAGACACTCACTCCCAAATGCCATGTCACCTCCACTAAGAACTGGGTCTCGGCCAAATCAAGGTTCAATCCCCATATGTCAACCCACTCAACCTTATCCAGCTCGATCACCAGCACAAGCAACTACACAAGCAACTACACAAGCAACTATACAAAACCTAAATCGACCAACTAATTGACCCCTTCCTCATCAACCCACCCAAACCTCGAAGCAAGGAAGCCCTGCTCCATCAGGTATCAACACCTGTCATGTATGCAAGGGTATCGGCCATTGGGCCAGAGACTGCTGTCAGCGGTCGCGCGCCTGAAACCTGAGATCAGTAGTAGTATCAGTACTATCACCGATTCTGTCAAGTTATGCGACAGCACTAATGGTATTTCGATTCCTAGTGAAATATGCGACAGAGCCTTCTCTGTCACCTTTCTTGTTGGAATCTGTAGTTGTATTATTGTTATGACAGACTTCGACTAACTGCTGTGGACACTCTGTCCAGAGGTAGCTCGGCATGATCAAACTACAATATGACTCTAAGTGAGCTTGATATTGACACCAATGGTCTGGTGTGAGTATGGATTGTTGATGCCGACACAAGTGTCCAGTGTGTCGACTAACACTTGAAGTGATCCCCGGGCTGCAGTGGACATCTGCCTTCGGTTCTATGGTTATCCGGACTGCTGGTTTGCTATGAACCACCTTTGGATGTCAGGAAATGGTGATACAACACATGCACTTCAATGAGGAGCAATCTGTTGATTACTACTATGCTGACCATGAACTAATGATACTTATTTGTTTGAAGTAATACTAGTTTGTTTGATGAGTAGAGTGGATGAGGATCCACTCGACCATTTGTGACAAGGAGGCAGGACTATATACCTCTTCGCAGTGTCACCAGTGACACTGCTCCTGCTCCCTCTCTCCAGAGGGTACCCTCTTCATTGAGTACTGCACAGGGATCTCCAAGGAGGCATCTCCTCCATATCAAGCCTTGTCCCTCCTGTCTTTCCTGAGCTGTGTCGACTTCATCGACACTGCTCCTCCTCTTCATGTCCCTTTCACCAGTGTCCTATACACAGGTCTCCTTTCTTTGACCAGTGACGGTTCTCTTCTACTCCTGTCCTGTGGGCCCCTGAGTGGTAACCGACCGCATGTCACTGAGCTCGGTCCCTCTCGCATGTGAATCATCATATGGACATCCTTACTACCGATCTCCATGGAATCTGCCACACATTCTCGCTTGCTGCAGATTCTGGTGGGATTCATGATATCGATGATGCTCATGCCAATTTCGCTGTGGTCTGCCATAGAGCAGATTCTACTGCTGATCTCGGTGAACTCTGTCGCAACTCCTACGATCTACCTGATTCCACGATTCCTGTGCTACCTTCATATGAACTTCGGTCTTTCCTCATTCTGTGCACCCAGGCCCATGACATTACCCCCCTCTTAAGAGCCAAGCTCCATCGAGGCATGTCCTGTGCCCTGTTTGGATCCTACCATCATCTCCTTACCAACTCTTCCCACAATGTCACCCTACCTCACCCGATCAAAAACCGCTGCCCGAGCACCTCCTGCTGAGGCGGTGATGACACCTTCTCGTCATCGCCAAGTAGTACTGCAACTCTGGGCTTGTGAGGAGCCAACTGTAGAGGTGGGCTCTTCTGTTCCTCCAACCTCAGCCCCTGTGGCTGATCTTCCTGCTGTTCCAGTGGTTCGTTCGCCACTGGAGCCCCTTTTCCTGGGGATGGATGACAATGACGTCGTCCCCAGTCCCCTTCCCTCTCCTTACCTTGTTCCTGTCATTCCCGACCCTGTGGGGAATGACTTTTCTCCTACCTCCCCTGTGGTCGACCTGTACGAGGTCGACGCTAGACATTCTGCAGCGGAGATGACTACTCCAGAATGCCAAGCAGCTTGGGAGGCAGAGTTGGCTAGGTCCCCAACTCCCCCTCCTACTGCAGATGAGATTGTCAACGTGGTCCTGGCTGCTTCCAGAGCAGGGACCCCCATCTATTGGCCAGAGGTACAACCTCTGACCCCTCCTCCTCGTTGGGTTGGGTGCTGAATGCCACCCCCACCCCCACCAGATTGTCATCTCCCCTCCAATTGGGAGATTGCTGGCTGGGCCGAGGGGTATGTTACAGCCGACCTCCTAACCCGAGTCGCGGATGGACATTATCCCCTTGACTGGGAAGTGCCTGCCAGCTCTCTAGCGGCAAAGAGGCTTCACTGCTTGGTGATGCTTCATCTCACTGAGGGTTGCATGCCATGGCCAAGTTGGCAATGCCGCTGCTGCTTCAACCTAGGCATACCGTAAGTGATATTTCTCGAACCCCATCCTTGATTCCAACCAATACTGACATTTCTAGTCCCTCTTTTTTTCTCAGCTGTTTTGCTTCCACATTCACCAACCCGTTTGGTGAAAGGACTCAAATTCCACATGCATGTGTGCATCGCTACCTAGCTGGGCTGGGGCATTGCGAACGTAACATTCCTGCCCATCTGGGCATGGACTATACTGGTGATGGGACTCTGAGTCTACAACCTCGTGGGTCTCATCAGGTAGAACATGCACACTTAACTGTGGCGGATGGATATGGTCCTGGCTTGGTTCGGTCTGAGGAGCACACCATTGATCTGGTAATGACTTGTGGCTGGGTGACCACAATGCAAGTTGTGTGGCACTTTTGTCAGCCAGAATTGGTGAGTTCTATACTCCATACACTTCAACTTTATGTTGAACATCATGACCGACTGTACTCGGAGCATCAACCTCACGAGTCTGTGACAGAGTCTGGTGGTCCCCCAGACTTCCTTCACGAGTGGGTGGCTCCTACCAAGGAGGAGCTAGTGATCCGGTCCTCCCTTGCTCCTCCTCCTGCTCCTTCTTCATATGTCAACATGTAGCAACATGTCTCCTTCTGCAATGTTGATTCTTCTTGATCCTAAAATGAGTCTGTGGCCTGACTCTTGTGTTGTTGCTTATGAGCCTGGCTGTTGAGTACCATGCTCTTGAAACACTTCTCGTATGGTGAGAGTAGTATTTCAGGTCCTCTCCCTGAAATCTGCCATACCACCAGTACTGCAACAGATTTCCGCATAGTTCGTAATAGTGCCTCTACTCTCACATTTTTCGCTCAAATCAGTTCTAACACCCTTCTTACTGATTTCTCCTTCTCCTCATGCTTGTTTAGCCTCATCCCCCTGCCGAAACCTCATACTCCCAGATGAGGTCAGGACAGTTGAGATTCAACAATGGTTCCCAGGAAGCAGCCTCCTCTGGGTACCCCCTCCAAAGCACTTTATATTCTGTCATTCCATTGTGTGAACACTTGCCAACAATTGCTTCAACTTCGAAGTCAAGGTCTTCATCTGGCAGCGATGGTACGATTGGCTGTGTCGATCATTGTGGAATGGAACTGTTCTTTGCTGGTTCAAGCAAAGACACATGAAACACATCATGGACTCTGAGGTTTGCTGGCAATGTGATTCTATAGGCTCGTTGGCCCACCCTTTCTTGTACTGGATAAGGTCCTGCAAACCTGGTGTCCAGCTTTGGTGTGGGTCGCCTCATCTTCCAGTTCTTGTGGTTGACATAAACCATGTCACCAACCTTGAATTCTATGTCCTTGTGTCTCTGGTTATAATGATCGACCGTATGATGCTGTGCCTCCCTTATCTGTTCTTGAAGGTACTTGCAGCACTCTTTACCATCGAGCAAGTACTCAGAGCATTTGGGATCATTCACTCCTAGGTGTTGGGGAATGTCAGGATGGGCTTTCAGGTTCCATCCATAACATGCAAAGAATGGCGAGACACTGATGCTATTGTGTATGGTATTGTTGTACACAAACGCTGCAGTGTCGAGCAGACTGGCCCAGTCATTCTTTTCATAGTTGCAGTACATATGAAGGTACTGCTCTACTACTTGATTGACCCTTTCCATTTGCCCATCCATTTGAGGATGATAAGCAGTGCTGAGCGAATGTTTCATACCCATTTGATCAGCAAATGCTTTCCATGCTCCTGAGATGAACTGCCTGCCTCAGTCCAAGACCATGTGATCTGGATAACTGAAGTGTCTAACCAGATAACACCATAGTAGCACAGCAGTCTGTTTCACTGTGACCATTTTGTATGTAGGGGCCAGAATAGCAAACTTGGTCAATCTGTCAATGATGACCAGGATTGAATCATATCCCTTTGAGGGTGGTAATCCTTCAATGAAATCCAAGGATATAGAGCCCCATGGTCTGTCTGGAGTAGTGAGTGGCTGCAGCAAGCCATATGGGCAATGGCAAGGAGCCTTGTATCTGGCACACACTTGGCAACTTGCAACATAATCAGCAATCCAGGCTGACATGTTTGGCCACCAATAGTGTTGTTGGGCTGACTTAATGGTAGCATCTCGCCCCACATGTCCAGCTGTGACACCATCATGACATTGAGACATGACCATGAATCACAAGTGTTCTACAGACAAAGACTGTCCATCAACTTCTTTGGCACTTCGCGAACGATGGTCATTGGTTCTCCCTGGCATCGTTACCTTGGGGATAACCAACCACCTGCCACTATACCATAAGCCATCTCTGATTTCGAACAGCTTCCTTAGGTGAATCTCCCAAAGCTCAGGGTCCAGAGGCTGGAAGATTCTGGCCAGATCTTTGATTCCTTTCATGGCTATAGACTCCATCATGAGGATGGGAGCCACTAATACAGAATTGTCACCTGAGCATGCAGTTAGAATTGATTCCGCTAAAATCGGCAATATCATGCTTGCTATTACATTTTCGGCTGAAATCTGCTGCAACTTGCTCCCCATTGCAATTTTGTTTTCGACTTGTTCAAACACCCTGGGTGGCAGTAGTTGTCAAATGTTGTGCTCCTGCTCTTCGCTGACTGGCTGCATATCAGCTTGTCTGGTGAGAGCATCGGGTTTGCCACCCTTGTCTCCTGGCTGATATTGTAGCACAAAGTCGAAATCTGCTAACAATACCGCCCATCTTGCTTGTCTGCCAGTGATATGATGTTGCAACTTAAAGTACTTGAGCACTTCGTGATCCGTGAGAATGACTAACTGACTTGGAAGTCCTGCTAGCATGTGTTGCCACTGAGTGAGGCAGGCGACCACTGCTAGGAGCTCCTTGTTGTGGATCTTGTAGTTTTTCTCAGCTGACAACATCTTCCTTGAATAAAATGCTACCAGGTGCCAATGCCCTTCATGCTCTTGTTTGAGCACTCCCATGATGGTGAAGTCGCTTGCATCTGTTTCTAGCCTTGTAGGGAGGTGGTAATTGAAGTGATGAAGTACTCCGGCTGTCATGAATGCTTGGATGAGTTTGTGGAAAGCTTGTTGAGCTTCTTCCAGCAACTCAAACTTCTTGAAACGTTCAGTTGGTTTTACCAGGGATGTTAGTGGCTTGGCAATTCGAGCGAAGTGAGCAATGAATTGCCTGTAGAAGTTGGCAAAGCCAAGGAATCTTTGGATATCATGGATTGATTCCAGCATTGGCCACTCCTTGACTGTCCATACTTTCTCAGGATCCATCTCTACCCCTGTGGGTTTGATGATGTATCCTAGAAACTCTACTGTCGTGGTGTGGAACTCACACTTTGACAGTTTAGCAAACAGCTGATTGTTTCTCAAACAGGTGAGAACTTCAGTGACATGTTGTACATGTGCTTCCTCCATGTCACTGAAGATGAGGAAGTTGTCCAAGTATACAACAACATATACTCTGATGATGTCTCGGAAGATGACATTGATGAATGATTGGAAATGAGCTGGTGCATTTGCTAGCCCAAATGGCATCACAAGGTACTCATATAGTCCCAATTGTGTACCAAACGCTGTTTTCCATTCATCTCCTTTTGCAATGCAAATGAGGTTGTATGCTGCTTGGAGATCTAGCTTGGAATAGATCTTTGCCTTTCGGAGCAGGAACAGTTGCTCCTCGATGAGGGGCAACAGAGCCCTGTTCTTGATGGTAATCTCATTGAGTCCCTGGTAGTCCACACAAAGCCTGAGACCTCTGTCTTTCTTAGGTACAAAGAGCACAGGTGACCTTGCTGGACTCTTTGACGGTCATATGAACCCCTTTGCGAGGTTCTTGTCCAGATACTTCCTCAATTCAGACATTTCTTTAGGCCCTTTGAGATACAACGGGCCTTGAGGTGGTCGACTTCCTTCCATTAGTTCAAGGTGAAGATCATGTTTGGTATGCTGGGGAAGCCTGTCTGCTTCCACCTCATTGAACACATCACGAAGGTGTTGGTACAGCTTTGGTATATCTGCTGCCATCACCTTCTTCTCAATCTCAACCTCCATCTCTACTCCTTTATCGGCACCGGTAGGAATGAAACCAAAGGCTGGGAGTGATGAGGGTGGTACTTCCAATAACATGAACCCTATGGGTCCATCCTCTAAAGCTGCCTGAAGTAAGCACTTTGCTGAGATGAACTCGTTTCCATGCATGGTTGGTCATGCCATTTTTTCTTCATAGGAGCCCATTACCACAGATCTCATTGAAATCAGTGGTAAGCTATCTCTTATGGCGAGCTCCTGTTTTTGCTTGCCTGTTGCAGTGGCTTTCATCAAATTCTGCAACAGTTCCACTACTATGACCGATTTCGATGGTTTTGATTGTAAACCCCTAGTTGTGGCGGCTTCAGGGGGTCGTTTTCAGTCCTGAGACTTGAACTCTAGTTGGCCTGTGTCCCATCGTATGGTGGGCTTGAGCCTTCTGAGCTCGGTGAATCCCAATATAAGGTTGTAGTTGGTGGTATCAGCTACTGATACTTTGACTACACCTAGGCTGTGCTCACCAATAACCACCTGTATGGTCGCAGCACTATTGATAATGAGCTGGTGTCCAGTGACACCATGAATCGATCTTGTTTTTGAGGGTTTTGTTGGTATTAAGTACTTACTGATAAAGGAATCTGAAACTATGGACAAGCCAGTGCCAGTGTTGGCAAGTATATGAGCAGGATGGTCTTGGACCATTCCTGTAAGCTCTAACACTGCTTTTCCTTTGCTGGTGGAGAAACATATTTGGCAATCTTGATATATACACAACAATGGTGAGGAGGTTTGTAGAGCCATGCACGCCATCAGTGCATTGCCCCACTGTCGTTTCCCTCATCATCATCATCTTGGGGTTCCTCATGATTAGCATCATTAGGAACTTGGTATTGACTGAAGTCTAGGTCATCAGGGTCACTCGTTTCAGCACTGCCTGTATGCCCATCCCCTGAGTCGGTGGCCCCTTCTTCAAAGGGGTCTTCTGTGGTTACCATGACCCTTGGGCCCAAAGGTCATGGTCCCAGAGGATCTGCCTTCTTGCTTGGGCAATCTCTGGCCCAATGTCCAATGCCTTTGCAGATATGGCAAGTGCTATTGCCTGGTACTGTGGGGCCTCCTTGTTTTGGGCCCAGTACATACTGCTGAGGTAGCAGCTGATTGGTTGGTCTGCTTGGGATTCCTGCCATTATTGGTGCTGGCATTCAAGCAGAGTTTCTTTGTGCCAGTTGCTGAACAGGGAATGAACTCTGAGCGGGTGGCATTGGTCAGATTCCCAGGTTCAATTGTGGAGGAGCAGCGCTTGGGTGCCTAGCAGAGGACTGCTGTAGCAGCATCCTCTGTCAGTCAATATCTTCGACCTCTTGGTACCATCCCCACCTCTTTGCAGGCAGGTTATGCTCAAACTTTTCTTGCAGGCTATGTGTGAGACTGCCTCTGAACAAGTCAATGATGAGTTTGTTATCATCCAGATTGACTTGTCCCTCCAGGTCTCTGAAACATTCCACATGGCATGTGGCGGCACCAGGTGCATTGCTAGTGAGTTTGAGAGCCAACAGCTTGTTGTAGGCTTCCATTCTAGCATTCTGGGGATTGAATTGTTCCGACAGCCACTCTGTAAAGTAGTGCCAGTCATTGAATAACCTTCCTTCACGTGCCCTGTCAATTTGGAGCTTGGAGGTCCACCACTCCCATGCATTCCCTTCCAATTGAGAGCCCATGTGGTTGATCATTCTTGTTTGCTCATATACCTGGTTAAACTTAAACCAGGCTTCAGCTTCGAGAATGAATATCTCCACATCTCGCAGATTAAACTTAGGAAAGGGTGTGGCGATTGGCTTTGATCGAGAGAGATCTGCCAATACACAAGGGTCCTCCTCCAAGTCTGGGACATAAGGTTCCGTCCTAGTCCTACTATATGGATCCACCCTGGGTTTGAAATACTTTGGCCCGGTGGGTGAGGCGTACTTTTCATAATTGATGTCATCCTGCTCTTCTGTACCAGCAAACGAGACAGATCGCCTTGGTCATGGTGCTGGTGTAGGAGTTTGGGGATCTCCTATCATGGATTCATCACCTCCTACCCGCTCTCCCGATGGTGAGAACTCAATTGTCTCTTCTCCACTTAGATGAGCACGGCGAAGACATTCTTCTCGTTGACCTTGCCTGGTGAGCTCGAGTTGGGCTTCCAATAGTGCTAGGAGCCAGTCGAGCTTATCGTTGAGGCCTTGGTCTGTCATTGTGATCGTGGGGTGCTGCTTGAACAATCCACTCTAATGTCAGTGGTCATGCACCTGAAACCTGAGATCAGTAGTAGTATCAGTACTATCACTGATTCTGTCAAGTTATGTGACAGTGCTAATGGTATTTCGATTCCTAGTGAAATATGCGACAGAGCCTTCTCTGTCACCTTTCTTGTTGGAATCTGTAGTTGTATTATTGTTATGACAGATTTCGACTAACTGCTGTGGACACTCCATCCAGAGGTAGCTTGGCACGATCAAACTACAATATGACTCTAAGTGAGCTTGATATTGACACCAATGGTCTGGTGTGGGTATGGATTGTTGATGCTGACACAAGTGTCCAGTGTGTCGACTAACGCTTGAAGTGTTCCCCAGGCCACAGTGGATGTCTGCCTTCGGTTCTATGGTTATCTGGACTGCTGGTTTGCTACGAACTGCCTTCGGACATCAGGAAATGGTGATACAACACATGCACTTTGATGAGGAGCAATCTGTTGATTACTTCTATGCTGACTGTGAACTAATGATACTTATTGCTTGAAGTAATACTAGTTTGTTTGATGAGTGTAGAGTGGATGAGGATCCACTCGACCATTTGTGACAAAGAGGTAGGACTATATACCTCTTCGCAGCATTGCCAGCAACACTGCTCCTGCTCCCTCTCTCCAGAGGGTACCCTCTTCATCGAGTACTGCACAGGGATCTCCAAGGAGGCACCTCCTCTGTAACAAGCCTTGTCCCTCCTGTCTTTCCTGAGCTGTGTCGACTTCATTGACACTGCTCCTCCTCTTCATGTCCCTTTCGCCGGTGTCCTATACACAGGTCTCCTTCCTTTGACTGGTGACAGTTCTCTTCTACTCCTGTCCTGTGGGCCCCTGAGTGGTAACCGACCACGTGTCACTGAGCTCAGTCCCTCTCATGTGTGAATCATCATATGGACATCCTTACTACCGATCTCTGCAGAATCTGCCACATGTTCTTGCTTGCTGCAGATTCTGGTGGGATTCGTGATATCGACAATGCTCATGCCAATTTCGCTGTGGTCTGCCATAGAGCAGATTCTACTGCCGATCTCAGTGAACTCTGTCGCAACTCCTATGGTCTACCCGATTCCATGATTCCTGCACTACCTTCATATGAACTTCGGTCTTTCCTCGTTCTGTGCACCCAGGCCCATGACACTACCCCTGAACAGAGTGTCCACAGAGGTCAGCCGAAACCTACAACAGTATATACAATGAATGCCACCCACTGTCATCACGCAACTTGATAGTTGCCGAGCAACTAGCTCGTCGAGACTGATACTGAGACAATAGCTGTCGCACAGTTTGATAGTCACTGAGTATCTTGACAGACCGACCTGGGTTTCAGGCGCGAGACCCCTGACAGAGTGCACCATGCCTATACTCAAGAGGGACAGGTGACAGAATCACAATCATCACAGCATATGTAGATGACATGTTAATAATGTCACCCAGCCATAATGAGGTTGACTGCACTAAATGGGAGATCATGGAAAAGTGGGAAACAGAAGACAATGGCAAAATCAAGGAGTTCCTGGGTATTAAGATCACATGTGATAGGAGGAGGAGGAGGATATCACTGGGTTTAACTGCATATGTTAAGGCAATGGTGAACAAATGGCTAGAAGGAGCAAATGAAAAATCATGGATACCCATGCTGAGCATGGCAAATGTTGCTGGGGGCAAGAAGTGTGGCCCTCAACAGGCAAAGCAGTGATGATGTATACCAATGCAAATTGGGCATCAGACCCCATGAACGGATGGAGAAGTACATCAGGAGCAATAACATATGTATACAGATGTCTGGTCAGCTGGAAGTCTCATGTCCAGAAATGTGTGGCATTGTCTGCAGTTGAGGCAGAGTTTGTCACCACTTCTGAAGCAGTACAAGAAGCATTGTTCTTCTCATATTTGCTTCAGGATCTGGAAATCATGGATGTCCAACCAACACTCTACACAGATAGTCAGGGATGTATCCAGGTAAGTAAAGACCCAGCAAAGCACTGGAAGTTAAAGCATATCAACACTTGATATCACTTTGTTTGTGACCACATGCAAGAAGGCGATGTGATGATCAAATTTATTGGAACAGTGAACAACATAGCAGATATCCTAACAAAACCTCTGCAGGGCCTCAATACCTCATGATTAGCTAGGATGATAGGGCTGGAGATCCTGCCAAGGGGGAGAGTTGAAAATGCTTCAGCATCTCAAGAGGGATGCATGAGTTATAGCCGAGACACTGAGGGACAGAATGCATGCATAAGTGATGGACACAATGAAGCACATGAAGGTTGCCATAGCAATGGCTCAGGGGCATTGCATGAAGCAACAACACAGGGGTTATGAGAGAAGTGACTCATTTGGCTTGGACATGACTAAGGTGGCAATAAGGTATATAGGTGTTTGTCATTAAGATCCATACTATGAGAAATTTAAGCATCACAAGAAGTCATTTGACTGTGTTAAAGGGAGCCTGATTGTGGCCCTGATAAACAGCATATTCTAATTGTTATCTTCAACTGAATCACATCCCAATAAACTTCGGAAGGTTTAGCTCAGCTTCAGCAGCTCTAAAGTTGGCGATGTTAGAGTTGCGAGGATCTCGCCGAGCGCATTAGTCAGAGGCAGTTAGCTAATAGAAGTGAAGATGTTTTGGTCCCGATAACTGGCGATCGGGGAGAGTCCAAGTACGATGTCACTACTATCTTAGGGCAGAAACATATATACTCAATTGACTAAAGTGAACATGGTGAGAACCTAGTGTTCTCAGCTTGATATATATACATCTATGAGGTACGTGCCGAATGTGCGAGTATCCTTCTTCATGATCTAGCCTGACAACGAGCGGGGCTGTGTTGCACCCGATCTCCGGACAGATCTGTTCCATCAGATCCCCGATTGCTTTTATGTCAGCATGCATCACCATATTGGATCGCTTCCTTGGGCACAAGGTGGCCAGGCTTTGGAGGCGTGCGAAGAAATTCAAGCTCGCTTACACACAATCTGAACCCTTGCAGTGACACTCAAATTCCAGCTGAGCTGAGTTGGCCGTTGATTCCACTTTGTCATCTCATACAACCTCTTCTAGCTACAACCTCTTCTAGCTACAACCATCTCCTGCCATTGTAGAAAGATCATGTTTTCCACCCTCAACAACATAAACCCTCTTCTACGCAAGAGCTTGTGATACAACAGCAGACACCGTTCTTGCTTTGGAATTCACGGCCGCCACTTTAGGCCTCCATTTTAGGTACACATTTCGATCTCGTAGGTCGAACCGCTCGACCTCGAGGCATCCTGCAAAATGGTCGCCACTTTCGACAAAGCTGCATCATCATCACCATCCTTATCATCCTCATCCAGACCGTTCAATATGGAGGAGCCAGAAGCATACCCCTCGATGTCGGTCACATCACTGGAGCGTCCCCAGCTGGGGCGGAGAAGATCTAGCTTTGGCCAAGGCGCCCCACGCAAGCCCGTCTCTCGGAGCAAGAAGGCTGTCGCAGCTGTTACTGGTGCTGTTACTACTTCCTTCCTCATGACACCCTTCGATGTGGTCAAGACAAGGCTTCAGACACAAAGCAGTGCAGAACCCTTGTTCTTTCCCTCTCAGCATTTAGCAGCAACATCAGCATTAGACAAAGGCAAGCAAGCGGTACGAGGCACACCTTCTACTCTCGCCTCTGGTGGCTTCCACGCTCATCCAGCCACTTGCTGTCAACAGACATTCTTCACATCCAATCGTCAACCAGAATCGGTTCTGTGTCGATTCGATCCGAGACAAGCAACATCTTCAGCCGCCACTGCATCTTCAGCATCTTCAGCATCGTCATCAGCATTCTTCTCCCCCGCTTCAGCATCCACGTCCACGCCCTCAGCCAGATCAACCCCACGCAGCACAACATCGCGCTTCGGCCGACACAGCACGTCCTTCTCCTCCGCCACCCCACCTCGATCTAGCGTCCGCATCCTACCCTCACCACCACCGGCACCTTCAGCGTACCTTCACCCAACACCCTCCGCAGTGACTGCCAACGGCTCCTCCTCTTGCGCCTGTGCATTCCCTAACGAAGCCGTTGCTGCACGAGAACTTCGCGCTGCAGCCTCCAAACAAGGTCGTCTCACCGGTTTGTGGGATGGAGTCATCAAAGTCGGTCGTGCAGAAGGTATTCGCGGTCTTTGGCGTGGTTTGGCACCTACACTGATGATGACTGTTCCTGGTCAAGTTACGTACATGTCTTGCTACGATTTCTTCCGGTCGCATTTGCTGGCTGGGGAGGGTAAGGCTGAGGTGCAAGCAGCTTTTGCAGAAACTCCAGAGCTGAATGGAAGGGGGCTGCGTTTGGCTGGCAAGACTCCGAGTTTGTCAGCTATCACAGCACAGAGTCTGTATGCTTCCTTGCTGGCTGGCGCATTGGCAAGAGGGATCAGCGCGACTTTGGTCACTCCATTGGAGTTGATTAGGACGCGACTACAGGCTAGCTCGAGGAGCCAAGCTTCCCTCACCTCCATTCTGCGCGGGTTGTGGGTCGAAATCCGCACCACTTCCCTTCGTTCGGGCGGTGGTCCATTGATCCTATGGCGCGGTCTCACCCCGACTTTGTGGCGTGATGTTCCATTTAGCGCCATCTATTTTGCTGGGTATGAAGCCGGGAAACGATCCCTCACAGGCGGAGGACTCGGCGAAGGAAAGGCAGCAGGTAGCGGAGAAGAATTTGGTGTAGCATTTGTCTCTGGTGCCGTCTCTGGTTCTATCGCCGCTCTTCTCACACATCCATTCGATGTAGTGAAGACCAGGTTGCAGACTCAAGGAACAAGCTCAGATAGGGGTAATGGAAGATTATCGGCAAGTCTGAGAGGTGGTGCAAATAAATCTTCAGCAAGTGTATGGACAGCAATGCAGGAAATCCTCAGCAAAGAAGGGAGTAAAGGCTTATGGAAGGGTTTCAGTCCAAGAACAGCAAAGGTTGCTCCGGCTTGCGGAGTTATGATTGCTAGTTTTGAGGTTGTTGGGCGTGCACTTGCCGATCTAGACATCTAATAGCTTTTCGTGCAGGATGAAGCGTAAAGCATACTTTTATTTCGGTTGTGTTTAGCATACTGTAGCAAAGCAAAGCAATTTTAAAGCAGCTTTCGAGCATCGTCATTGGCATGTGTGTGGTGTTTGTGTGCATTGCAAAGTGTGCGAGTAAGTGTGTGACTACGAATACATGCGTGGAATGTGTGTCACCGCAATGCTAGGATATGGTGCGATACAAACGGATCTCTTTCAAGCGACAGGCAATCCAATTCCTGATCCTACCAACCCCGATTCACGTCGACTGGGAGTACCTTTATACCCTTCAACACCGACCCATTGCCAGACTCTTAGCCACTCGCCTTTCTTCTGTGCTTGTCTTGTTCTGACGTTGCTGTTCTCCTCTACCACCTTTGCTACTTTTTTCCAAAGCCTGTTTCTTGTCTTGCCATTGTGTTCTTCGCTGAGAATATGATCGCGGAGATGAGAGAGGGGAACGAAATCATCAGGGTAGAGGACTGGGTCGACTGCGTGTTGATACTCCTGTTCTTGTAGTCGTTCTAGTGCTGCACTGACTAGGAGAGCTACTTTGGCGTTTTCTGCACGAGAAGCTGAGAGACGATGGCGCAGATAGAGGACGCCGGAGATGGCTGAGAGAAGGAGGAAGAAGTACAGGCGAGCTCGGAGGACCCAACCTTTCAGAGCCAGACGGGATCGACACGAGAGCGAAAGTGCTGGCTCTTTGGCCGCGAGATAGTATGAGGTGTCGACTTGTTCTTCTCCATTAGAGGTGACCGGGGAGGAAGAAATGGGGATGCGGACGATGTTACTTCTAGGATCGGTCAGTTCGAACAACGCCATGTACCAGATCTGTTCAAAGTAGTCCTCGTCCACCCTGGCATCGCGTGTTGCCGACATGGATCGTTTGACTGCCTCTTCTGCAATGGCGTAGGCCAAATTGCCGTTCTCGAGTACGACCTTGTTGGGCAAAGCCCGAACAGTAGCATGGGTCTTTTGAGTACCGCAGACGATTTCGCCTTTGAACTCGGAGAGCATGTGCGAGATGGCTTGTGCGAGTTCGGATGCAAGAACAAGCTTTTGGGTGTCCGGGTAGCAGCGGGGAGCTGTGGTGCTAAGGGGGAGGAAGAATCGAGCCAAAGGAATGTGCGAGCAAAGGTTGGGTTGGAGAACCCAGTCATGAGACGAACAGCCGAGGACTTTGCCATGCGCACATTCGGCGTGAGCAGGGCAGGGCGTGCATGTGGGCTGGAAGCGAGCCGGGAGAATCGTGGTATCTTCGACTGTCTCGTTGGATGCTTGAGCGAAGGCAAGTGCGGTAAGTCGACGGTCTTCGACGATGGCGTTGGTGTCCGAGTTGATGTCACAGAACCCGAGTGCGCGGGTTTCGCGAGCGTACCAGACAAGCCATGAAAGCACGCCAATGATGGCAAGCGTGTAGAAAGAATTGGCAAGGTAGCTAGCCAGAGACTTTCTGCCGCGCTGTTCTCGACGTTGCTGCTTGTCTTTTTGACGCCGGAGAATACGCATCTTGGCGAGTGCGGAAGGAGAGGTGAACGCGTCAAGGTCGAAGTCCTCCTCGTCGGCTTTCGCACCGACATCAGTTGAGACATGCTTCCCACGACGAGCGGTGGCCTCATCATCAGCGGCGTGCTCACCAGCCGAGTTGGCAGACGTCGTGCCGGTCAAACGTCCAACGATGCGAGGAGGAGTTCCGGCTGCAACGGCTTGGTCCATGTAGTTGCGGAGGGTACTGATGACGCTCGGGCTGCTGGATTGTTGCTGTTTGGTCGACTTTTTTGGCGGCGAGTCGGATTTCAGCGACTGACCGGAAGTCTTCTTGCGCAATGTGGTGGTAGCATCGGTTGTCTTGCGCCTGGCCTTGCGTGCGGAAGCAGCAACGGTCGCAGCGACACCAGGTGCAGGAGATGCCTCGCTTCCTGACTGGAAAGGGTTGCTGTCGGAGAAGGTGCCATCCTCATCGCTCTTCCCACCGTAGCTGAGACGCTTCGCTTTGCGGGACGTTGAGGGTGGAGGAGATTCTGTGCGACCAAACGAGATGCGTTGAGCGGAACGAGTGTCATCTTCAGGCTCAGATGCCTCGACAGCAGCTGCAACGCTAGCTGGCGCTGACTTGCGAGGACGGCCTCGTCGGCGTTTGGCGGGGATTTCGACAATTACTTGCTCCTGCTTGAGCTCCTCCTCTTCCGGCTCGGCATCGCTGTCGGCCGCTGTAGCAAGCTGATTGGCGAGAGAGGACTTCTTGCGGGCGGGCGTACGTGCCGCTTTTGCTGCAGGAGTAGAGGCGGTCGAAGACTTTGCGGGTGTGCTAGAGGGCATCGGAGCTTCGCTCGTGCTGGGTCGACCTGGTTTGCGCTTGGCGGGAGTCTGCTCGGGAGTAACCTCGGTGTCGCTGCGACGATCACGCATGTCGATGATGCCACTGGAGCTGGCCACGATGGAAGCATCCTTTTTGCGGAGAGAAGCTGCCTTTGGCAGCACTTGGCTGTTGAAGAGATCGACAAGCTCGGCTTTGCGTGCCACACTGCTGAACGGAATCTCGTGTTCCACCAATATGCCTCGAAGCTGTGCGACCTTGAGCGAGTTGGGATCGAACCCTTGGCGCATGTAAACGTCGCGCTCGACCATGATTGCTGAGAGCCGTTCGGAGCGAGCGTCCCGATTGGAGGTTGAAGGAGTGTGTTGGTGATGGTGGCCAGAAAGGAAGAAGACGACGCCGCTCGAGAGTGCAAGTTGTTCCCTGTGCGAAGCGGTCAGACACACGAACTGAGCCTTCCATCCGGAAAGTTGGCATTTTTAGAAATGGACGTCATGCGGGCGTAGCCAGACTCACAGGACCCTGACCAACTTGTATTTTTATTTTTTTTGGACGCGTTTCCAATGTTACGTTTGCACGTGATAAAAGACCAAAATTACTCACTCGTTGTTAGACTGACATCTGGATGACGTAATCCCGGTTTCGGGATACAGTCAAGGTCGGTCAATTGGAAACTTGTGCAAGCCAAGCTTCTGTTCGCACTGCCTTGACTTTGTATGGGAAGTCTTGTATAGATTGCAGCCCTTGATCGCCGATGGCATCAAGACTTGGGTTCTCGTAATGGTTGCTGAGCATGCTACAGTCAACCCGCTGAGATGATGAAGGAAGATAGATTAGCCTTATGAACGATACTGGGCAAGGGGCAAGGGTCGAGGGCTCGAGTGTAAATAAAGGTGCAACGTTGGCCTTGAAAGACGGTAAAAGGCGGATAAAGTGTCGGCCTCGAATACCGTCTAAAGCCAAGTTAGCCGTAAACACTGTTAGAGTGGCGAACGGAGACATCCGAAAAATACGGATCCGAGGACGCGGAAACAAGCGACCAAAAACCCAAAAAACCCAAAAAAAAAAAAAAAAAAAAAAAAAAAAAAAAAAAAAAAAAAAAAAAAAACAAAAAAAACAAAACAAAAAAAAACAAAACAAAAAAAAAAAAAATCAAAAAAAAATCAAAAAAAAATCAAAAAAAAATCAAAAAAAAATCAAAAAAAAAAAAAAAAAAAAAAAAAAGCCAAATCTCAAAGAGGCGCGCGCACTAGGGGGTTTCAGTTATCTCTGAGTTTTGAAAACACAATACTTTGAAAATATGTTTGGGCCCAATTTTTGACGCCCCAAGAAACTGCACAGGTCTGTGACACGTGCATCTTGGAGTTTCACTTGACTCACCCGGTAAAAACAATCTCTGATTCCCTACACCAGGTCAAGATCAAAGTGATCATATCAGACATTGTTGAACACTATACTGAACAATGCCAAAACCTTTGATTGAAAAGCTAAAGCAAATAGCTTACATCACACCTGTTCTGATCACTGTCTTCTGCGAGCCTCATGCCATTGGTTTTGTCTCTCCTGCCATTCAGTGAAGGCCAATGTTGTCATTCCCATCCTTTGAGATTCTGCTGTTGTGTCCTCAAAAGGGTGGCCATGAGAAGCAAAGAGTGCAGTGAGCATCTCCTTCCTAAGATCCAGTGCTTTCTCCTGCCTGAACTTCTGGACTCGGTTCTGAGACATGCCCTCCATGGCAGCAGCCTGTTCCTGTTCATATTGCTGCTGGTTTTCCCTTCGTTGTATCCTTGCATCTTCAGTAGCCTGCTGATATGCTTCCATCCCTGACATGGTCTCCAGCACCTCAGCTTCAGATAGAGTTTCTGATGCCTTAAGGTATTCTGCCACCTCATCTGGTCGATCATAATGGCTTGCGAATGTATGTGCAATGATACAAGCCTGGACCATATGTGCAGCTTTCTCGTGGTCCTCTTCTCGATACAGGTTGCCTCGAAATCCCATGAGACATTGGAAGCGGTTCTTGAGGTAGGCAATGCCATGTTTGGCCTTGACACGAATGTGGGAGAGTGAATAGTTGAAGTAGTGGAGATCTCTGCTCTTTGCAGCTGCAGTGTTGCTGTACAGTCCAACTGTGTAGCTGGAGTAGCCATAACCAGCATCAACCCAGACAAACTCGCCTTCATCAAGATGCAAATGAGGCTTTGCAACAATACCACTGCCTGAAGCCCAGACTCACGCATCATGTGATGACCCAGGATGTCCAACCACCAACTCGACAATGTGCAAGGAATGAGGGAGGAAGACAAGGGCAATGTTGAATGTATAATCACCCTTGTATGAGTAATGCTCGCAAGCATTGAGTGCTGGCTTCCAAGCAAGATTGATGTGTGTACCATCTACCACCAACCATCCTCTAGACCATTCCTCGACTCCACTCTTATCAGCAACCCATGCTTTTGCCTTAGCACACTCGTCTTCAGTTGCAAAGGTTACTACCTCACTGTTCAGCTCGTATAGGCCTGCAATAGTCCTATCTGTCCACACATGAACTGAGCCCCAACTGCAACCACAGGCAAATGCAACATCACAAACTCCACCACCATTTCCTGACCGTCCAAGCCGATATAGACCAACTGCCACTTGCTGCTGAACATGCCGAAAGCTTGATATTGATCTGAAGGCATTGGTTGTGCTGAGTCTGTAAGTGAGAGCTTGGAATGCATCTGGGGTCATGTGAACAGCCCCTTGAAAGAGCTTGCAGTTGATGACAGCATATCGATCAAGCATGTTGATGAGGGGATCCTTTCATTGCAGCAGTTGAAGGCATTCAACTGTGTATCGAGACTGGCTGATGATGTCGTAAGTCCTGATGAGCGCAAATGAGATAGCATGATTGAACATGTCATCATCAGAATCTTCAAGGTCATCATTAGGGTGCCAAGTGGCATCGACATCCATCAGATCAAGTTGCATCTTGGATTCCACCATCAATGAGTGCATGATGGTGGTCTCAATGTCATCCAGGAGGTGCTGTTTGTCAGAAGTGTGCACCATGGTTGAAGTAGAGGGCCAGAAATAGGAGAGGATGATGTGGTCTGAAAGAGAGTCCAAAGCTACAAACACAATGCAGCTGAGTTCTGTGCAGCTGGGTTCTGCGCAGCTGATTTCTGCACAACACGCATGCTCAGAACCGGGGCTACACCAATCAGCATCTTGTATGTGGAACAATTCATCACATTGAAGCAATCTACATTTGAGAGATTACACAGAAGACTGGGTATGGGGTATGCTAGTCATACATATTGAGAGCTAGCTTTACAGAGAGCAATGGTACAACAAGTCGGAAACACAGGAACAGAACTTGGAGAACTCAAAAGGAACACCATTCTTGCCAAATGGTCTACTCACAAGCTGAATCACTATTGTCCTGCTGATCCATGGCAAGAACCAGTGGGTCAAGATCAAGATTGCTTTGACTACTTCCAGCGATGTTGCCAAAGGGTAGATTAGGGTTCATCATCTGCACCATCTCCATGAGCCAACCATGCTCTTCAGTTCGCATGCACTCTTGTCTCTCACTTTCTTCCCTGGCAAATTGAATGCACATTTCCTCCCTCTTTGTGCATTCCTCCTCAACCTTGATTTGTGCCTGAAGCATGTCTTGGGTGCAGGCCCACACAATTTCCGACAGCTCTTCTCGCTTGCTCTTGGAAGTGAAGGGTCGAGACTTCTTGGGTGTTGTACCTGTGGCTGGAGAATGGTAAACAGAGTCACCATCACCATCGTCCACTTCATCAGCCTCAAAAGCAGTGCTGGATGAGTGCTGGTGGGTTGGAGTGTCTATAGGGGTAATGGTGAAGGGGGTGGGGCCAATCGAAGACAGGTTGGATGAGGAAGAGAAGGGCAAGTGGGATGAAGATGAAGCAGCAGCTGGGGTGGCTGCAACCGAAGAAGAAAAAGATGAGATAACTCTTGCTCCAATGGGGTCATTTTGCGACTCCTCAAGAATGGATTCCATGCCAGGAATGTTGCATTGCTGAGGGTAGTGAGCATCACTGGCATCATCCATGTTCACATTGGCATCAACTGAGTTATTCTGAGAGGAGGCAGGGGTGGCATCATATGGGTGACCAGTGAGAAGAACAACTGGACCAGTCTGTGCACAGTTGGTCATCATCTTGTGCCAGTGCTCAAACCAAGGGTGGCTTCAAACAATGGATTCACATGTGGCATAGTCCTGCAAGTTGATAAAGAAGCATAGACAGAGATATAAAGTATAAGAACGTTGGCACACTTAACATGAATCAACTAAGTTGTACTTACCAAGCTGTTGTGATCCATGTCTTGAAGAAGTACTCCAGCACCGGTCTGCTGCGAGATGGTCTTCTTGATGTTGTTGTATTGTTCAGTGAGCCAGTGAATCTTAGTCTTTACTCGACCAGCACCACCAACAGTAGACTTGTCTGGGAACAGCTCCTGCCATATCTGCCCACAGATAACATCTTTGTTTGTCTTCAGACCCTTTTCCTGTTCTGCAGTCAAACATCCTGGCAATAGAACACGTTGGTAATGATCATTATTGTAGATGATATCAATGAGGTTATTTATGTCACTAGGCGACCAATTGAAGTAGGCAATACGATCTGTTTTGTTGAACCTGCTGCCATGAGTACTGGCTTGATGTCTGTGAGTTGCAGAGATTCGAGTTGGCCGGGTAGAGGTTTGGCAAGGCAAAGAACCGGCAGATGTGGTGGCATTGGAACCAGAAGGAGTGGAGGAGGACAAAGGGGAAGTGGGAGAGGTTGCTGGCTGAGTCGACTCAGCCCCAGCCAAGGTGCTGGAAGTTGCAGAAGGGTGGCACTGACAAGAGCAATCAAGGTTGGACTGAGCTGACATTATTGTGTTGTGCTGCGAAGCAGTTGAAGACTGCTCTGATGCTGGAGCCAATCCAGAGGCTTGCTGCAAAGCTGTGAATAGTGTAATGTTGTTGATATGGTTGTGAGGGGATGGCATGTCCATGTCCTGGCACTGACAGGGAGGAAATGCTACTGGAGATGGTGATAGAAGTGAAGCAAGGACAGACATAACTCAAAGCATGAGAAAGTGTAGACAGTGCAGAAAGTGGAGGTCAAGGGTTGTGCACAGAATTGTGTTAGAATCACATGATATCAGCACATGACAAAAACTCCTGCTGAAAACTCAAATATTCAGAAACCTGGGCTCACAGCAAAAATAAGTAGGGGTTTTCAAAACTTCCAAGCTTTTCTTTCCTGGCAGAGCTTACTTAAGCAGCGAGCTTTCAAAATCCAAAAAAACCATGAAAACTCGGAGTTTTGAAAACTCAGAGAAAACTGAAACCCCCTACTCTTCTCTGCGTATCGTTTTCTTTTTAGCAGAGTTTTTCGAATGACAGCTCATTTCTCAATTGCGAGTGAGTGACGCGTTCAGCTGAGCGAATCTCATTTATGAGTCTGTGTTTGGACATCGTCAACCCGCTCAGCCTTGATTGCAATCAACCTTGACACCACTCTCACACCTACCACCATTCGTCGCTATCTGAACAGCAAGAACCATTGGCGCAGATCTACGTACCACTAAACCTCTATCGTCTGGTCGCCACTTCAGGACACTATCTGATACAGTCGCAGCGCTCCAACAATTAACGCTCTAGGGAAACAAACTCTGCTTAAGCAATCTACTCTGTAACAAGACAGCTTTGGACATTATGTACTCCACTTCCCCGTCTTCATCTTCCATGGCCTCTTCGTCCGGTCGCTCGTCACCTGACCAGCCATCACAACAACAATCAACATCACAGGCGCAACGAAGCAACTCGTTCCTCCTTCCTCAATTTTTCTGGTCTTCATCCTCAAGTAAAGGCCACACTTCAGACAACACCGCACATCCCCTCACAACCGCTTTGCTCTCACAGCCTCCTCGTCGCACAAGCTTCGGCGCTGGCTTCACCAACAGCGGTCGTTTCTCCGCACTAAGTGCATTCGGCTTCATGTCCCCCTCCACAGGATTGAGCAGCTCGCCTCCTCTCGGCTCGTTCGTAGGTGCAGCTGAGCTCTCAAAACGAACAGGAAGCGCTATCGACTTGCCATCATCCGAGGGCCCCTCCAAGGAACCTGAACAACCTGGGAGCCACAGCACAAGCGCCACCACTCCAGCTGCAACACCTGCTCCTCCTGCGAAACGACACCTTTGCTTCCCAGATGCCCATGGTGGCACTATGTGTTTAGAGATCAAAGATCGCAATCGGCGCGGCTCTTCCGTCAACTAGACACCTTACATCTACAAATATGGCGCCGCGCGCGAATCTCGTCTTCAAATCTAAGTCTACCTCCTTTCTCGTTTGGTTCATTCTGTCACCCAGTCTCGCTCAGTTCCAGTTTTGGCACTTATCTTGTAACAACAGTATCTAACACTCACCTCTAGCATTCTTCTAATAAGTCGGTCGTATATTGCAATTCGCATTGCGTGATCTATACATAGGCTTTTATGCTGTGACAACCTGCTGCTGTGCCAAGCCACTAAATTGAGGATATGGCGCATCCAAATCATCCACCAATCCTTCCGGATACTTCTTATCCTTCGGTCCGTATTTCTTGGCCAAGTAAGGGATCTTCACAAACCACGCCATTGTTGCAATAAACCTCTTGAACAGCCACCTTGTCCACGCATATTGAGGGTGAGCAATACCAGGTACGAACCAAGGAATGTTTTGAATCTCTTGTACAAACGGTTTGAACTCCTTTTCGTACTCTTCGAAAGCCCTTCTCGGATGCTCTCCCTCTTTGAGCTGTGAGAGGTGTCCAGCGAGAAGATAAGCGCCGTTGATAGCAAGTGAGGTGCCCATACCTGTGAACGGAGTCGGGGCGTACGCTGTGTCTCCCAAGCAGATGACTCTGTTCTTGCTCCATTTGGAGAGGCGGATCTGTGAGACTGTTTGGAAGTATAAGTCTTTCGCTTCTGCCATCCCTTCAAGCAAACGAGGGACGGGGCCGTAGGGGATATCGGCAAGTTCGCTTCGTACTAGGTCCATTTGGGTCTTGCGATTGTGGCTGCGAGCGGCACTATCCCAAGCCTGCTTCTGAGCGGGGGTGGGGGGCATGGTAGTAATAAAGAATCGAAGCGTTCCATGGTTGTCAGGGCGAGTATGAACAGCGCGAGAGCGGAGAGCTTGATGGATATCCCAATAATCACTATCTGCATTTGTGCGCGGGACTGTTGCGTACACGCAGTAGCATCCTTTGTTGATGACTTGAACTGCATCCGTAGGGAACACAGCCTTTCGGATCGGTGACCATTGTCCATCTGCTGCCACTAGCAGATCGTACTCTTCCTCTTTACTGTTGCTTAGCTTCACCCGCACCTTCTCCTCGCTATTCTCGACAACTTCGGTAATGGTCGTACCAAATAGATAGTCGATATTCCCATCTTGACGAGTAGCCTGGTAGAGCAAATCAGCTAGATCTCCACGTAGGATCTCGAACGGCGACGTCGGACTACCCACAGTGCCTTCTACGGGGAAATCAGCAAAGACTTTGCCGTTCTCGTCGAGGAAACGTGTTCCCATTTCGGTCGTGTTACGTTTCTTGAGCTCAGTGAGCAGACCCATTTTGTTTATGATGTTGAGCGCTGTTCCGTGTACATCGATGTTATGACCTTGTGTGAGCATGGTCGATGCCTTTTCGACGATGGTGACCTGGGTGCCGAAACGTGAAAGAAAATGGGCCAAGGTGGGGCCGGCAATGCCAGCTCCGCTGATGAGGACTTGCATTGTAGCAGAGGGTCGAATTGTATGTTGAATGGTTGAGGGTGAAGGATGGGGATGAGCGTACTACGAGCCAGTCGAACGACGAAATGGCCAAGTCTTGTATCTTTCGTGCGTCTACCCTGTGGACGGCACTGCGACATGCGGGGCAGTGCAAGGGGTCATGCACGGGAAGCACCTTACGGCACAATACAAAGCGCTGTAAGTTTCCTGGGATACGCCGGCGGGCCATCCACGGCAAGAAGGTGCAACACCATGAAAACCTTGCCTAAGCAACACCAACCGGACCTATCCGGATGCCATGGAGGTTTACTGTCGATTATGTCAGCCGAAAACGCGTCTCAGGCTTCCCTCCATGGAACCTGCATCTTCTAACACCTCCACTTTGTCAGGCTGGATGGTCAGTGCGGAGGACACGGACCGCCATTCTGTGCACCAAAAAACAAAAACAAAAAACGCGTTGTTTGCCGCCCACTGTTTTGGCTCCTTCTCGCTTACTCCATCCTACCATCTTGCCTTGGCTGATAGGCAAAGGTGCGAAAGATGAACGTGGCCTGCACTACTACTGCAGCTGCCCTACCGACAGTTGGGGCGAGTAGTGGCTTGCCCACACCGCCCTTGGGGTCAGCAACGGCGCCAACAACGGCGGCGCATCACTTTAGGATTGGTACAAGTAGTAGGCGTAGTAGTAGTTCGGGGAGTAGTAGCGGTGGAAGTAATGCTGCCGGCACCGCAAACATGAGTGCGGTCAGTGGTGGTATGGTAGGGAGTAGAGAGCAGAATAGGAAGAGAAGAAGACACAGTACGCTCTCTAGCAGCGGCTTTGCTTCAGGCGATTCGGATAATGACGCACCACCCACGTTTCGGCTTCGACTTGGTAGCTATGTCTCCGACTTCCGCCTGCGGGGTGGGAGGAGAAGAAGAAGAAGAAGTCATTCATCCAGTCCGCAAGTGCAACCTCCTTCGCCATCCGGTCTAGTGCGACACAGACATCAGTTACGCATCCAAACCTCGCTCTCGGACAAAGACCAAGTGGCCAGCTCAGTCTCACCAACAACGATCACTCAAGCAGTATCAACAAGAGGCGATACAGCAGATGTAGAGATGGATCTCGACGTACAAAACACATTCCAAGCTATGCAAGTAGACTCTCCTGCCGCTTCACCTTCTCCTCTGAACCCCATCAGTACTTCTTTCTTCTCTTCTTCCGCAAACCCGCTCCTCATCCCTAGCCGCTCCTCATCTACTTTAGCACTGCATCGTCGGCCATCGCCAATCCCGTCAGGCCTCTTCCAACCGCTACAGACAGATACAAGATACCCAACACGCTCTCCCTCGGCCCCTTCCACTCCAGCGTCAGTGTCCCTCCCAAGCATATCGATGGTCGCACACGCAAACGCGTCTCCATTCACACCAGGTGTCTTTCCAACTCAAAGCACCATCTTAGCTGCCAGGAGGAATTCAAGACAACCTCTAAGCAGCTCTTCGAAAAATACACCCGTCAGTCCGTCTCCTCTGGCTAATAGTACAAGTTATACCCAACAATCATCGCATCAGCATTTTCAGCATAGTTCCGGTTCAAGTTTACAGCATTCAAGTAGTTTCAGAGGGAGGAGAAGTAGGAGTACGTGCACTCCACCCGATCCCAGTCTCAGTGAGGAGGTGTTGGGGGGAGGAGCGGAAGGGCAGGTTCCGCCATCTCCAGTGAGACGGCATTCGGATGGGAAGGCTGTGCCTTCTCCATTGCGGTACGAGGGAGGTCCTTTTTAGTCACATTGCGATTTTCCAATCAAGTCATGCTTCGGTTTGCATTCCTGAGAAGCAGTGATGTGCGATGTGTGAATGTTGACTCTTATGGGGTCCGGTCTAGGCTGTCTTTAAGCGACTAGCAGCTTTGAGTGGGCTTCCTCTTGCGACTCCTGTCCACCACATGACTCGGAACTAGGCGATAGTAAACCGCGGCATTGGTCTTGTCAGTATCTTTGTCTTAAAGCTTCGTGTACGGTAATGATGTTGTACTTACGCAGAAAAGAGTGAACGTAATGATCACGTTTCCAAAGAGCTGTTCGCAACCAGGCAATACAACAAGACTTATTGTTAGCTTCAAAATAAAACCACATTGCACGAATCCTGAAGAAGCACTCACCAAGCTGTTCCAGGAAGCAGGTTTAGCCAGAAGCGCAACTTTTTCCATTACACCAGCCTTCTGCATCCCAACCAACCCACTCCTCTTCGCCGGTCCATTAGGCAACAACCAAAGCGTTAAGCCAATATGTGTCCAATCCGCTACCCCCAATACCACGATCAAATACCTCACCATCCTCTCCAGCACCACCTCATCCCCCTTTCTCCTCAAAAACTTCCTTAATGCATAGAACATGAGTGCGGAGTTCAACATGATCAGCAAATAGCACGAGCCAAGCTGACCCAGAGCCATTCGTGTGGAGTTGGTCAAGACTCCTGCTTGTCGAAGAGAGGATTGGGCTGATGATTCGGGGAGGAAAGAAGGGGGAATGAGCCCGTCGTTGTATCTTTCTGGGAGGATGAGGGCATAGTATGCTCCGGCTAGCACTGAGATCGGTTCTAGAACTCCGAAGAAGTAGTACTATTAAAGCCATAATAGGGAAACAGTGTCAGTGAAGTCTAGGTGGGGCTGGGTGAAGCGTGGTGAGAGAGAGGCTTACCCAGCGATCTGGTAGCGGATCTAGAGCCTTGTTGATAGTTTCCGGCATTGTGACTGTATGATACCGGAAGAGTGGAACTTCGAGGTGGAAGATGGGAAGGCGAAGTGTAGGATGAGCTGGTTGGAGGTAAAGATAGCCGCCGGGATTTGCAAGAGATGTGGAGTTTTTAATGCAGAGATGCGGGGGGTTGATGGTTGAAAGGCGGTCACAAGTCACGTGCCACAAAAAAAGGCGCGATAATTTTCGATGTTAGCAAGAGGAGTTGAACATAATGAGAAATTGGCGCGCGTCAACGCGAGTCAAGGAAAGGTCAACCAACACTTTTTTGTGCACATCAACACCTCTCCCGCACTGTATGAAGTGAGCATCTTGCGCCTCCAACACCCTTTGTCACCATCATCGTCAGTACTACCATCATCCAAGTCACATTGAATACCCAGACACTTTTCAGTACCCTCACACTCCAAATCATCGATCAATCGATAAAACATCCCACAATGTCAACCGCAATGCAAGACGCTTCATCATCACTCATGCTCCCTCCCCCATTCCCAACTTCCAACCCAGCCACAACACTCGTCGAAGAAGCTCGCTTAACAGACGAAGACATCGACTCGCTCATCTCCTCCCTTCAACCTTCCACCGAACTTGACACTCTCCGCTCGATCGAACTTACTATCCGAGAAACTCAGCTGCGTCGACGAAAAGTAGAAGAAGAAACTCGAGCAAAGATTCACGCTCTCGCCACTTGCCTCTCCGATCTTCGTAAACAATCAACTCGACAAGCTGCGGACTGGAGGAGTCTAGCACAACATGCGGAAACTATTGAAAAGTTGGACAACAAGAACTTTGATCTGGCCAAAAAGATTAACGAACAGGAATCACAACTAAGCGCAATGCAGACCGAAGTGCAAGAGTTGAAGCGAATGCAAGAGGAATTAGAGCAAGTGGATGTTGAGGATGAAGTTGAGTTGGACAAAGATGCGTAAGTTACCTCCTAGCCCTTTTCAGGGAAAGAAGATGGGACTGATGAAGAATTCCTTTTTTTTTTTTTTTTTTTTTTTTTTCTTTTCCTTCTTCTTTACTCGTGCGCAGGTTATGCCTTCGTATCTTCCGAGGCCTCGGTTTCCTCCCAAGCAAAACCAGCACGAACGAGGAAACAACAACCACAGACGAATGGTCAAGCATCATGGTTCGTTCCGATACCCGCAATACTGCGATTCAATTCGATATTCACACTGCACACTTAAAGCAGAACGAAATCTCCCCGCTCATTCTCGCTGATCAGTTGTGGAAAGCTGCCGAATAAACACCCTCCTTTTACCCCTCCTTTCTTCCTTTGTATACTACACACACTCATACCCTCGAATCTATCGCTGGAAAAACAAAAACAAAACTAAAAAACTAAATAAAAAAACTTATCCTGTTTGCATTGCAATATGCGACAAAGGCTGTGGAGAGAGGTGGTTTAGCGCATCTCGAAAGAACTACTACTAGCCTGCGGTGTATGGTGGAGGGAAAGTTGTTGATACGGTTCGGAGTTCTCATGGAAATAGAACCCGGACATTTTTCCGATTGCTCCCATATCGTCCCATTCCTCGTCCTCCAACTCAGGCCATGAATGGAAGAATAGATCCCCTTCCCCTCCTGCGCTGGCTGAAGGGAGAGGTAGGTGGGGACTGGTGGGTGAAGCTGGCCAGAAACCGGGTCCTGAAGGCGGCAAGGGATTGGGTGAGTGGGGGTGGTATATCGGATGATAATAGGGGATGTTGTTGTTCGTCGTCGAGGCTGGATTAAGATTGCGGTTGTTGTAGGATATGAGCGAAGGACTTGGAGCAGAGAGGGATACTTCCCGACGGCGTTGTGTTCGGGCTGCATACCACTGCTGACCCGAAACCTGCGTTGCCGTTGGCGCAGCATTGGACAGCGTTGGTGAAACGCTACTTCCACTTCCCATAGAAACATTGCTGCCACTCCTCCCTCTTGCACCACCATCCCGCACACTCTCCCCTAACTCAACACAAACATAGTAAAACCCAGCAAAACTCGCCCCATTGATATCCCTAACCCTATGATCCGGTACCAAAAACTTCTCTTTCCATCGCATAAACACAAAGCCTTTATTCAGATGATCGAATCTCAACCCTGGCTTACTCAACGCACTCCTGAGCGGTCTGAATGGCGCGAATCTAGCCCAGTGTTTGAGATCATCCGCTTCCGTCGCACCCCATTTCCCCGTCACAAATCCATACCGATCACCGATAATTTCAGCATCGAAATAGGTGGTAAGCTCCGGCCAGTCTTCTGTTAAGCCTCGAATATTGAGATACCCGCAAAGATGGGAAGCTTCGAGGTCAACATTGACGATGCGAACGGTGACGTCGTACGAGTTGCGACCGGATTTTTGGGTGCCGTTGAAGGTGGCACCTGGATAGAGGCAGCCTCTGGATTTAGGCGGGTGACGGAGAAGAGATAGTTCGAGGAGGGGATCGGCTTTGAGTGGGTCGAACCAACGGAGGTTCTGGTGGTTGTAGGTGAGAGGCTGGGGTTCTTCGCCGTCTACGTCCATGCCCTGCTCGCCATCCTGTGTTTGAGCCTTGTCGAAGACAGGGTTGGTGTGAGAGAAAGAAAGCGGATCGACATGATACTTGACCGCTCTGGCCGGGTCGATACCTGCTGCGTGTTGTGCGGATGATGCAACGAGTGAGGTGGATGTGGAAGACGAAATGAGCGACGGTGGGCGAGTTTCGCGTGCTGAGTTGTAGATCTCATCTGCAATGACTTGCGTTGGAAGTAGGCTGAGCCGTGGCCGTGTTACTGCTCCAGGCCCGTACGGATCGTCATCTTTTGATGTAGCAACGACTGCTGCAAAAGGTAACGTCGTTGGACCGCTAGACGAACCGGTCCGGCTCGGCCGACGCGCTGAGGAGGGACGCCTCTGCTTCGCCCCCTGAAGCGAGATGGATCCCTGCGTGCCTGTCGAATGGATGTTGCTGCTGTTAGGTAATCTTGTCTGTGCAAGCGAAGGTGCAGAGGTGTAAGTGCCCGTACTTGGTACCGCCTCGGATATGGGACTTGTTGAGTTGGAGGGAGGGAAGCTAACAACAACCGGAGCGGAAGAAGAGCTTACACTCTCATGGTAGCTGAGACTTCTGGAGAAGCTGCCCGACCTGCCAAGGCTGTTCGACGAAGAAGCTGCTGCGTTGCCATCAGTGTGCTGATCCATTGTTCCGTCCGCGAAGCGTATTCTGCTGCGGCTGCGAGACCGACTGGTGCCGTTGGGTGAGAGAGGTGCGCGCTCAAGAGGTGGGAATGCGGAAGGGTCGTGCATGTGGACGTCGTCAGCTGATGGAGCGAGGGCAGCATCACCACCAGCACCCATGTTGTCGACCGAAATGGTGAGCTGTGCCTGCGGGGTGGTGGTTTGCGAGTGTGGCGCCGAATTGGCGCTTGAAGCGCTGGAAGCTTCTGCCTGCGCTCCATGAAGTGGGTTTGCGCCGACCGGTGCGCTGCGTGACTGCTGGGTATCGTTGGTATGTGAAGCTGCCAAGTCGGGCACAAGCTGTGCAGAGGTCGTGACAGCGGCTTGATTCGTACTGCTTGGCTCTGCGAGTTGAGCAGCACACTGGGTGCAAATCGCATGCCCATCTGCATCTGTTGGGATGGTCTCGTCGGCGTCGAGATGACGAGAGAGGGCTACGGCAGCAGCGGCATGGATCGCCGAGGTGAGACTCTGGCCAGGCTGAAGCCGATGTTGTGAGCGAAGCGAGTCGGGTGCGAAGGCATATGATGAAGGACTGGGCGCTGGCATTGATGCTGAAGAAGGCGTGCGAGGCAAGCCCGGCTGAGGATCGTGTGACGGAGGCAGAGGATCGAGGAGCTGGTTGCAGCGTGCGCAGTGCTTAGGTTGTGCAGGCATGGGCTCTGAGCGTGTGGAAGTGCTGCCACCACCCATCTCTGCTGGTGCATTATCAAGTCGGTGTGTCGATGCTGAAGGCTGGGCACTAGCCAGTTGATGCTGATCTGAAGCAGCGTTAGCAGCTGATGACGAAGCGCTAGGATCGGCCCCAGCCGGAGCGGGAGTCGAGGCCGAAGGCATGGTGAAGGAAGGAGCCGGAGTCATGGTATGAAAGTCTGGCCTTAGGGGGGTTTGAGTATGGCGGGCTGGCAGGTAGAGGAGAGCAATTGCAACCCCTTACCCAAACGGAGTAAGATCGCTAGACTGTCAAGTTCCTGGCTGGAGAAATGGACCGCAACGACTGGCACTCAGCCAACGAGTATAGAAGAGAGACCTAGATGGTCACCTCGATGCAATCCTGGCGCTATCGAGCGATGATAATGTCGCTGATGTGGATGCGCTGACGAGGTTGGACAATCGTTCGACCAATCCAAGCGCAAGCGATCCTCCTCTTACAGTCTGGCGAGGTTGATGCGAGAGATGCCGAGCCTCGTGCTAGATGGGCGTGCTGTAGCAGGAGAGAGTGTATAGATGAGCAGGATCACTCGGACGACGATGAAGGATCGAGAAGAAGGAGGAGCAAGCCATCTGTGACGACTGCACACTAGAGCGTGTCACATGACGCAGCAGCCGAAATGGACGATTTCCGGTGATACAGTCGAAGGATTAGGCACTTGACCACTCTCTCTCTCTCTCTCTCCACAACTGTGACTACGCGCTGCTTTCAAGAGGAAAGTGTGCAATTCACCCAAGATAACGTTGGCCTCACAGATCACGTGACAGCTTGCTGTTCCACTCAGTCCTCATTCAGTTGGCAGACAGACTTCTCTAGAGTCGATCTTGTTGCGTTGTGTTGCGTTGTGTAGAGTCTATTCTATCACGGCAAGGGTCGAGTAGATGAACGAAGAGGACGACCAAAGATACAGCGTAGAAGCATACCAGGCAATTCGAAGAGACCACCGACGTGCCGGCCATATCCTTCAAAGATATCGCCAATGGCCAACGGTCGAGATCGCAATTTATAGCGGCCCGTCTGCAGTACTGACTGTTCATCCTCTTGCCGGACTTGCTTTCGTGTTGGCACTTGAGCCTTCATCTCCTGCATCCACACCCCCGCAGGCAATCGATGAGGATCCTTGAACCTCAGCATAAGCGCAAACAGAGGAAGATGATTCAGCAGACCCAAGCCTGTCTCCACCACGCCCACCTGGAACGCAACGACAGCAAACCTAATCAGTGCAAAGGCCAAGTAGTAGACGTACACTGTTGGGAACAAGAATGCCACCAACGTAAACAAAAGTGTTCCGAGCAGCAACTGATCCAGCTCGTAGCTTGCATCGTCCAATCTGCCTCCTCGCAAAGCATTCCGCTTCTTGCCTCTGAACACATCAAACAGTGCAGATAGCACGTAGATGAATGCCCTCAACGTCTTGAACGACAACGTGTAGAAGATGGTAATGTGTAAAGTGCAGATCGAGACCAAGTCTTGCATCATACACAACACCATTGTCACTCCCGTCAGCCTACCCACTATCGACATGGCAACGATGATGATTTCCAATCGCGCCAGCATGTGGACTAGAACTTGAAGATGCCAAGCAGTGCTAAGTGACGAGTAGGCATCGCTGAAAAAGAGCGTGAGCTCCGTGTTGAGCTTGAGACCTGCTGGCCAGTTCTCCAGCCAGGAAAGCAGCCAAAGCACCCATTCGAGCCAGTAGCGTTCGACAAGACCGCGACCAAGATTCGAGAGATTCGTCTTGTTCTGCAGAAGGAGGACGCTGATTGCGTGTCCTAGAATGATGTCGTTAGCGATCAACCAGATGGCGTTCCAAAGACCAATGTATGGAGCGGCAATGCAATCAATTGGCAGCTTCTGCTGCTTGCGAAAGTACCGGAGTCGGGACGCGAGTCGCGGTGCGATGACAAGTTGTGAGATCCGAACATCAAGCTGTCGAGCGCAAGCCGAGATCGAAGTCAGTGTCAATGGCGATGACTTTAGAGTTGGATTTGGACGATGAGCTAGACCGCCAATTGAGACCACGCGTTCCTTTGGGGTGTACAGAGGATGTCGCAGGAGCCTCTGAATAGCAAGCGCAACAGAAGTGACAATGCTGCCGAGCCTGGCAACCGGGTGCTTCCAGTCGGAAACCCGAGCTTGCATTGAGGCCGATCCATTGACAACGCCATCCTTGGTCGACTTGGTCGACATTGGCCAAGAGCGGGTGACAAGCTCGAGCCGAGCCTGAAGCTGGTTGATCACCTCTATAGATCGACGCAATGCCGTGCCCCTTGGCATGCGACCTTGTTCGGGTCGAATGTAGCGCTGTGACCTCCAGCGCACAGGATCGAGCATCAGCAGCTGCATGAATTTGTTCTGCAGCTTCGACGGTGATGAAGCGGCGGCCATCCGATCAAGGAACTCGGCCAGCTTGTCATGCGGCAAGAGCAAAGCACTGGCTGTCGAGACGAGCTTCATGCCGGACACTGGAGCGAGTCGGAGCGATTCGAGTGCAAAGTACTGCAACATTCGAGTGTTTGGTAGCGAGTAGCTAATCAAGCTGACTGTGCACGGGGCAACTTTGCAAGAACGTGGAGAGGATGAATCTGCCGCGTTCTTGGGAGCTGGAAAACTGCTAAAGCGAACCGACTTGATCGACGGCAGCTCGTTCGGTGATGACGGTGGAACGGCGGTCAACCATACGGAGGTCGAGGCACGAATACTGTCATCCTGGCTGAAGCTCTGGTCAGCAGAAAAAGTGCCGACAATGTTAAGACCGTAAGATGCAGTCTTGTTGAGCCGGTCGCTGACATTGCTCAGCTCAAGGGTGCTAACAACAACGACAGCAAGTTGGCATGGATGACCGTGCACAACATGGCCGATCAGGTAAGTGGACGAGGATGCATCGTGATCTGGGAAGAGTTGAGCATTAGCAGATCCAAGATGAGTCAAGTCGACAAGCCGGTCGGGCCAAAAGACAAGCAGATTGTCGATACTAGCTACGTCAAAGGCCGACGAGCCCTCTTGCGCTTCTTGTTGTAGGAGTCTAGATGACTCTATGTTGTGGGATAAAACTTTAAAATGTGACATCTTGCGAACGCCAATCTACCACGACCTCGAACAGGTACGCGGAGGACAGGGAGGAAGTTGAGCAAACGGCGCGCGCATCTGTGGTAGAGACGACTTGCTCGATCTGCAGTGCAGGCAAGATAAGGATGCAATGACAATGTATGGTCAGCTAGCTGTCGTCAATCATCCGTGTGCAATCGCAAAAGCCTCGCATGTGATCAGCCAAAAAAAGGCAATAAAGTGGTTGTCCTCTGACCCTCTGAGCATGATTCGGCCCAAAGGTATATCGGATCAGGTCTGTGAAAGTGGATTTCATCCTCTGAAGCATGCGTGGTTCAGGCGATTGCGATTGCGATTGCGATGTGCTGAAGATGAACTTACTCTATGGCGGATGGATGGGCAAGAAGCCATGTCGTTGAGAGAAGGAAGGAAAGCTTTCGAGTGTCAAACTGTGCAAGTCTTGTGTCCATCTTTCCCTCTGAATTTTCGCCTTTCCCGCAAACAGCTGTCCGACTGCGGAAAGCGATGTTCGATCGCCCAAGCCAGGGTCTAACATGCTCGCGAATTTTTGCCGGACAGCTTTTATTGAAAATGACGATCCAATATGATGATGTTGGTTGACGTAAGCAGCTACAAATAACAAAGGGATCGGGCCAAGGACGATCTGATCGGGTACAACCTAGTCCCGCTCGTTGTCAGACCTCGTCATTAAGTAGGATGTATCCACGTTCGGCATGTGCCCCCGCCACATTCTTTTCTCAGTCAATTGAGTATACTGTATGTGTTTCTGTCTAAAACAGCAGTGACATCGTGCTCCCACTCTCGCCGATCGTCGATTATCGGGACAAATCTTCCTCATCTTTTGTTAGCTTTTTGTGTTGTGTTGCCATCGGCGAATTGCTCGGCTAATTCGGAGAAGGTCGACCATTAGGACCGATGGAGTGGCCGATACAAGACAGATAGATACACAGACAGATAGATACACAGACAGATAGATACACAGACAGATAGATACACAGACGCTCTTCTCTTTTGTCTCCAAGTCCATTCCCCACTCAGCACTGGCAACACTGCAACACCATAACCCCGCTCTGCGTTTTGCTCCGAGCGTGTTGCAACTGCTGCCCCTTCTCGCCAACTTGTTTCATCATCAGTCTCTCTCGTCTTGACCACCATCAACCACTGTTGTCAACATAGCAAGCATGCGCTCCCTCACCATGCTCCGCGCTATCAAGCCCACTGCTGTTTCGACACGATGCCTCTCCACCTCGGCCGCATCTAGGCTCGCTCAGCCCGCTGCTGCTGCTGCTGCTTCTTCGGGTGCAGCAAAGGCACAGCTCAGTCAGATCGCTCTTTCCCGTGCTCAGCTTGTCGACTCCAAATGGCAGGGAACTTCGATGCTCGGTGGCACCACCAAGAACTATATCGACGGCAAGTTTGTCGAGTCTTCCACTTCTTCTTGGCTCGATGTTAACGACCCCTCCACTCAAGCTGTTCTCTCCAAGGTGCCTCTCACCACTCCTTCCGAGTTCGAAAAGGCCGTAGCCAACGCTGAGGCTGCCTTCCCCAAGTGGAGGGAGGTCAGCTTGCTCAGCCGTCAGCAGGTCATGTTCAAGCTTCAAGCTCTTATCCGCGACCACATGGACGACATTGCCAACGCTATCGTTCTCGAACAGGGCAAGACCTTTGTCGATGCCAAGGGTGACGTTCTTCGTGGTCTTCAGGTCGTTGAAGTTGCTTGTGGTATCACCAGCACTCTCATGGAAGAGCGTATCGAGGTCTCCAAGGACATGGACACCTACGCTCGTCGTGAGCCTCTCGGCGTCACCGCTGCCATTGCTCCCTTCAACTTCCCCGCCATGATCCCGCTCTGGTCTATCCCCATGGCTACGGTCACCGGTAACACCCTCATCCTCAAGCCTTCCGAGCGAGTCCCTGGTGCCTCTATGATTATCGCAGAGCTCTGCGAACGCGCAGGAATGCCCAAGGGTGTGCTCAACGTTGTCAATGGCGCTGTCCATGTCGTCAACGCTATCTGCGACGACCCTCGCATCAAAGCCATCTCCTTCGTCGGCTCCGACAAAGCCGGGGCTCACATCTACCACCGTGGTACCGCCAACGGCAAACGTGTCCAGGCCAACCTCGGTGCCAAGAACCACGCCATCCTCATGCCCGATGCCAACAAGAACTTTGCACTCAACTCGATCGCAGGTGCCGCCTTCGGTGCTGCAGGACAACGCTGCATGGCTCTGTCCGTCCTTGTTGCTGTTGGCGAGGCTCAGTCTTGGCTTCCTGAGCTCGTGGAACGCGCTAAGCAGCTCAAGGTCTCCGGTGGCTTTGAGGAGGGTGCCGATCTTGGCCCCTTGATCTCTCCCCAGGCTCGTGAGCGCGTCCGCAGCCTTACGGGCAGTGTCGAGCAAGAAGGAGGAAAGATGCTCCTTGACGGACGAGACTACTCCTGCCCCGACTACCCCAACGGCAACTTTGTCGGCCCTTCCATCGTCGAAGCTGGTCCCGGCATGAAAGCTTACGACCAAGAAATCTTTGGTCCTACCCTCGTCGTCGTCAAAGCAGACACTCTGGACGAAGCCGTCTCTTACATCAACAAGAACAAGTACGGCAACGGGGCGGCTATTTTCACCACCAACGGTGCTACAGCTAGGAAGTTTGAGAAGAATGTCAATGCTGGTCAGTTGGGTGTCAACGTTCCTGTCCCCGTACCACTGCCTATGTTTGCTTGGTCCGGTAACAAGGGTTCCGTGCTTGGTGATATCGGATTCTACGGCAAGTCGGCTTTGAATTTCTACACTAGCTTCAAGACTAGTACGAGTTTGTGGAGGAGCGACGATGCGCAGTTGAGCGAGAAGGCTAGTGTTAATATGCCAACTATGTCCTAGTGTCTCTTCCCCTGCGTTGAAGTGTTGCTGATTTGGTTATTGCTCATAATGTAATGCAAGAAAGAAAAGATGCTATTCAAAGATGTGGTGGTGTCTAGATTGATGTGATACTAGCATGGGGTACAGTCTATGATGAGATCGGGTTGGCTAGTGTAAGAGTATGAAGCGCAACCTGATCAGTAACGTAGTCCGAATCCGCATAACCAAGCACGGAAGAGATCTGAGAAGACTTGAGACCCTTGATCCTTTCACTCTCGATCGAAGTGTAGTTCGCCAGTGCTCGACCCACCTCTACCAGCTGCCATTGCCAATCTTGGCCCTCTGCTCCACCTACTGTTTCTGCCGGTACCACCGCTTCACCACCTGCTCGACTCGGGCTGGGAGCAAGACTAGCATCCTTCCTCAGCGAGTCGATCACTGGTGGTGTCTTTGTTCCAGATACCAACCCTGCCTCTGAGTCAGCCCTGAGCAAGTACTGCCCGAGGCTCCTTGCACTGGCACTCAAGGGTGCACCTTCCTCCAAGCCTGAAGTGTGCGGGATTGACTTAGAGATTCGTCTGCGCACGACGAGACGAATAGCTTGCATCCTCTCCCAATTGCCCTCGACTCCCACTACTCCTGCTGGTAGCAATCTACCACCGGAATCGTGTCGTGCAATCCTATTGAACGCCCCTTCATCGATAATAAGTGCACCTGCAGGATGCAAAGCATGCAAAATACTCCACTTCCTGGAAGACAAAGGCTCTCGTTTCGGAAGGAAAATTGTATGCGCCGGCCCATCTAGGGGAGGATAGCCGATCAACTCCTTCTCCTCCGAAGCCAACGAGCTTACTGAAGATGCCAATGAATCCATCCTGAATGCGCTTCCCTCCGTTGCTGAGCTAGCCAGAGTGAGGGCAGGGATACCTTTTGCTACAACCTTGAGCATATTCTCCGGATGTTTACCATTCAAGATCACTGTCGCTACCCCTGCAGCTGTTGCAAGTTCAGCTGCAATCAGCTTGGTTTGCATTCCACCGGTACCAAAGCTGGAGCCCATTGTCGCAACACTGACCGCCTTTCTTGCAGCAGCTACATCCTCTACCACACCCAACCTCCTCGCATTCGGATCGCTCCTCGGATTACCCGTATACAACCCGTCCACATCTGTACACAAGAACAGATAGTCCGCATCCACCAACCCTGCCGTGATCGCCGACAGCGTGTCGTTATCTCCGAATCTCAACTCGGATACACTAACCGTATCGTTCTCGTTCACGATTGGTATTGCATTGAATGGAGGCGAAAGTAGCGTATTCAGCGTCGTCCGTGCGTTGTTGTACCTCGGCCTATCCGCAATGTCGTTCCTCGTCAACAGGACCTGGGCAACATGAATCCCAACAGTTCCGAAAAGCGAATCCCACAATGCGATAAGTCGGAGCTGTCCTAGAGCTGCAAGTGCTTGTCGTTCGCCCATGGATTTGGGTTTCTCTGTGATATGCATTCGGATTCGACCCATACCTATAGCACCAGAGCACACTATGACGACGCGATGCCCGAGCGAGCGAAGATTGTGACATGTTTCGACGAGAGAAGAAAGGATTGCAATCTTGGGTAGTTGAGTGGACTCAGAGATGATGGAGGATGTGCCGAGTTTGATGACGATGGTTTTGGAGCTGGATGGGGTTGGATGAGATATGCTTGCGCCTGCAGCGGAGCTGTGAGAGCCCGTCATGGCGACAGTCAAGTGTCTAGATTGACAATGTAGCACAAATGGTGCAGGAGTGGTCTTGTAGGGAAGGTAATGCTGTTGTATCAGGAAGAAAGGGTGGGGGAAGATGAAGGAGGTCCGTGCGATAGTGACTCGCACCTGGCTCCGAATTTGGCATTTCTTCGCGTTGCTTGAAATTAGCCGTTTCTTTGTCCGTGCCTGGCACAGCCAGCATGTAACTAAGGCCAGTTGTACATGTACCACACTTTGGTATTCACCTCACGATGATACACACATCTCAGTCTCTTCTAACACTTTGTCGTTGGATGCATATGTGATTGCGCTAGTAATACAAATCGTGCAGTTGTAAGCCCACAGGATGAAAGAGAGAGAAAAGAGGATGCTGGGCTTTAGACATACGCCTTGCCGTCGCTCGCAACTACATCTTGCAACTTCAAACAAAGATTCAACAATTGCAACTCTTCATCCGCTCCATCCGTCAAACACTTGTCCATCTCTGCCATCAACAGCGCCACTTTCGCTTTGATCTTGGCCAGCAATGTCGGATGAGAGATGATATAGTCGTGCAATTGCACCAACAGCTGTGTGATCGAGTAACCTTCTCTTGTAATGATCTTGACTTGTTCCCTGATCCTTTCGAATGCGTCTCGCTTCTTCTTGCTGACAGGGTCCATGTCCTCGTCTCCGTCGGAGGTGTAGGGTTCGATAGCAACAGCGTCGGCAAGGGAGGTGATGACTCTGGTGGGGACAACACCTGCGATTTCGACGATGGACTCGGAAGTGACGGATGTCTTATCGTCTCCAGCGATGCTATGAAGTCGAGAGGCTGATTGGAGGTATGTAATGGCTCGACGAAGGTCTCCATCCGACGTCGTAATAAGAGTATCAAGAACGGAAGAGTCTTGAAACGAAACAGATTCGGCCCCGGCAATCATCTCCAATCTTGTCTTGGTCGAACAAGTGTCGAGCGATCGAAAACGGAACTTGCTGCAACGAGAAGCCAGCGGCTCAATAATACGAGTGACATAGTTGCAAACCAGACAGAACCTCGTAATCCTACTATACTGCTCCATGATCCTTCTCAACGCACTCTGCGCATCTTGCGTCATACTATCCGCCTCGTCCAAGATAATGATCTTGAAAGGTGGACAGGGGAATCCTTCCTTCGGGTTGGTCACTGCTAGCTTTGCAAAGTTCTTAATCTTCTCCCTGACGACTGTGATACCTCTTTCGTCGGATGCATTGAGTTCCAACACTCGCGTCTTGACCAATTCTGGTCCGAAGAGTTGCCTTGCAAGTGCCAAGATGGTGGAGGTTTTGCCTGTGCCTGGTGGTCCGTAGAAGAGCATATGCGGGAGGTTGTTGGACATGAGGGTCTTTTTGAGGACGGCAACCGTGTGTTCTTGAGCTGCGACATCGTCGATGGTTTTAGGACGATACTTTTCGACCCATGGACGAGAGGTGGCCTTTTCGCGGGCTAGTTTCTCCTTTTGAGCTGCTTGGTTGGCGCTGTGCGCTTTCGATGCTTGTTGTAGAAACATGGTGGCCTAGCACCCTACGGGTATGGGTATGCGGGAGAGCAATGGAGTTGACAGGTTGAAAAGATGGATGGGAGTACGAGGGGTGTTGAGTGTTGCTTCTCAGGCTCAGCCACGCTTTTGTGAGCATCTCTCGCACGGGTCGTTGATTACCATTTTGTGTGGAGCAGAAAAAGCTTCGGACTGTAGCACGACGCGACGCGTAAAGACACGATCACGGCCGTGTTGCGTGTTGCGTGTTGCGTGTTGCAAGGCCGGCGTGTTGGTTTGTTCGACATCTCAACGCCTCTTCATCTCGACTGCGCTTCATCACTTCCGAATACACCTTACCTTACACCAATTCCGTCCCCATCAAGCATATCAGCCTTGACCGCGGACACCATCGCATCTTGCCGACACCACGACTGTCTCTACGGACAAGGCTCGGCATTCCCCGACCCGCGGTGAAAAGAAAGACCTCTGGGACCTTGTGATCCCCTCACCCAGCATCGGCTTGCTTCCCTTCTCGCACCTGTCCTCCCGAACACAAACGAAGCATCTCTCCTACGCTCTCGAGCACAAATATATATCTCCTCGGGTCCAGCGATGAGCGTACTTGCTCCCCCTCCTTCGCCTTCGCCTTCATCGTGTTTTGATGCTATGCTTTCCGATTCGGACATCAACATCGATCGGGCCATGTCTACCAACACCTTGAAGCGGAAAGCCTCTACCACCACACAGCCACAGTCCAAGCCTACCAACGCTTCTTCCAGCGATGCCGACAATCGTCCGATCATTCAGACACCAGCGGAACAGTCAAAGATGAAGGCGAACAGACTCACAAAGACGCACTCAGCTACAACTGCAAAGCCATCGCAGCCCTCGTCTTCGCCTTCAGCTCCTGCCGCAAAGAAGGCAAAGCTCAGTAGCAGTGGCACTACACCGCTCGTCGGGCTCAAAAATGGTAAGCTGGTACTGAAACAGAAGGCTATCAACTGGTCAGGAACCCTACCCGTTCTCAAAGCCGTCATCAGGTTTCAGGAGTTCCTCGACAAGCAAGACAAACCCGATGAAATTCCATCAGAGCACCTTCACGTCATTGCCAAGCTGGCTCACGAGAGCGAAAAGTCGTTGGTAGAACTTTCAAAGACGATCCGAAATCATCTCTTGCCAGAAGCGGAATTGGGTTCGAGCGACTCGGAGGCATCAAGTGCGTCTACGAGCGGTAAGAACAAGCTGCCTCTGCCTAGCATTCAGGCTGCCATCAATGCTGTCGCTGAGAGGAGAAACTACGGTATCGACAACAGCGCTTTTGCGTTACAGTCGTCTACTGAAGATGCCAGTGCTGTGCCTGCAGCTCTCCAACTCTGGCGATGGGAGGTCACAGATCAATCCATGCTCCCATCTGACTTTCTAGACAAGCTCACCGAACGCCGAACAGAGCGTGAATCAGCAAGAGAACAAGCACAGCAGATTTTCAGTAGCTTGACGGAGGAGGACAGACAGGCATTGCTCAGCAAGGGCGTCAAGTCAAAGATTTCCGCTACTGTCGCACTCTACAAGCCGTCGTCATCTGCGTCCACTTTCGCCTCTACATCGACGCCATCTAAGTTCAAGTCGAAAGCGCAGGCCTGCGCAGCAGGCTCGGCCTCTCAGCCCATCGCCAATGATAGTGACGACCTCGACGATGGCTCAGTCGCCGATACGGAACACGACAATGCAGGAACCACCGCTCCCTCGACTCCTGTCGCCTCTCGCAAGCGCAAGTCGCCTTCTTCTGCATCCACCCCTCAACCATCCGGTAAGAGTGCAGCAACTGCAGCCGAGACATCGACACCCTCCGCCTCGTCCTCGCCAAAGGAGAAGCGCAAGGCTAAGGAGCCAGCAGAGCTCTCATCCGAGAAGCAGAAGGAGAAGGAAGAGAAGGAGGCGGCCAGAACGGAGCGTTTGAAGGCCAAGGAGGCCAAACGACTCGAACGTGAAGCCAAGGAGCTCGAAAGGCAAAAGGCAAAAGAAGCAAAAGAGGTAGAGATAAAAAAGGCAGAAGAGCAGAAGAAGCGTCAAGTTAACTTCTTGACCTCGTTCGTCAAGAAGGCCGCCCCTAAGAACCCTACCAAGCCAAGCGCGATCGTGGCCGTCGCTTCTGGCAGCGGCGCCGGGGGAAAAGCAGCCGCGACTGTTTCGGACTTTGACCGCACTTTCCTGCCTTGCCAGTACAAGGATCTGGCTCCGATCAACCGCTTCATCCCCTCCAAGAAGGTGGATGACAAGCCAAAGGAGATCGCTCAGCAGGACTTGAGCCGCGAAGAAATGCTCTCGCAGTTCCTTGCCCGAGCATGCGTCCTTAAAGGTTCATCCTCATCCGCCAACCCGAAGCTTGCTCGACGGCGCAAAGGAGTCCATCCCCCCGTTTCCGTCCGCGAAATCAAACGCATCGTCACGGAATCCGACGTCCTTGGCGGTAACGCCCAAGAACAAGCCGAAAAGGCCTTCGAAACTCTCCAAGATCGATGCAAAGTGCAGCTTAAACTTCTTCAGTTCGAATCAGACCGTCGTCCAGGTTGGTACGGCACTTGGACCAAGTCTACCAATCTCATCTCTCCTCGATGCCCGCTTGGACAAGATCCTGTTAGTTTGGACTATTCCTACGACTCGGATGCCGATTGGGAAGAATTGGGCCAAGTGGAGGGTGAAGATGTACAGGGGGGAGATGGAGATGAAGAGAAGGAGAGTTTGGCGGATGAAGAGGAGGATTCAGAGATGGATGATTGGTTAGTGGATGATTTAGAGGTGGAGGAAGAGGAGGAGCAGCAGCGTTTGGCTGCGATGCAGGTGGATGGAGATGATGAAATTGTCGAGGTGGATGCAAAAGGTTTGCCTCTTCCACCTGCGCCAAAGGTTGACGTTACCAACTTGTTGCATCCGAAGAAAAAGAAGAAGGTTAAGTTGCTAGGCAGGAGATTCGACTCTAAGCTCGTGCCCTTTTCCACAGGGCCGCACTGGGAGTCGGAATTCGGCAAGTGCGAGTATGAGCTCTTCTCGGCGTACAGAATCGAGATGCTCAATGATGCTTGTTTTGGACTCAATCCCTTCACATTCACCTCGGTCGAACGTTCCAGCGACTCTGCGACCGTGCCGATGGAGGAGGATACGCCCACCAAAGTCCGCAAAGCAGCTTTACCAGCCGGAGGAGTCCTTGCTGCACTTTGGAACGAAGCTCAACCCTCCTCTACCTCCACCCCTTCCACCTCTAACCCTGCGGAGAAAGCTCAAGGAGAATTCAAGCACCAACTCAAACCAGAAGCAATCCCACACCTACTCAAAGCAATCGATGGATGCACAAAAACCCGAGCCGGCCTAGTAGACGATTTGAAGGAGTTGCTGGATAAACTCTGTATGAGTGCAAGTAAGAATGCGATCGCCGAAAGAATCAGCGCTTATGCGAAGAAAGAGAAGAAAGCCGGAAGTGCTTGGATTGTCAATGGCGAGATGAGGGTGTTGATGGGGTGAGAATCTTTTCATGTTTTGCTCAAGTTTCATTTTTTATTTTTTTTGGGCATATCGTTTCGGCAATTTCATTTGTGGTTCCATGCCTCACATGCACAAGAAGAGATGTGTGATGTGAGAATTGTGTGATGCTGTATTGCGATGGTGAGAGGGGTATCAAGATTGAGGATGGTTTAGTAGAGGGATCCGTATGTACCGCCTGGTCGCGGTCCTCCGGACGGTGGTTGTTGTTGGCGAGTATTCCAGCCGAAATTTGATCCTCCTGCGCCCGGTAAGGGAGCATTTGCGCCTGTTCCTGGTGTGAAACCTCCTCCCCCTGCCATTGGTGTTGGTGGTGGTGGTGGTGCATTATACCCACCACCACCTCCACTCGCCATCCCCAACCCGGGAAGTACAAAACTATCATCTCCACCAAACCCTGCTTGTACTAATTCCATCTTCGCCGGAGTAGGAATAAAGCTCTTCCCCGCGCCCAAACCCGGAATGAAACTATCATCTCCTCCGACTGCCAAGCCAACACCACCTAAGAAACTGGCGCTCACATCGAACCCTGCCTGTTGTTGCTGTGAGTGGCTAGGAGTGGAATCAGCAGGTCTAGCTCTACTCCAAAACCGAGTCATATGATCATTACTACCCGAACAAAGGATGTGTCCGAAAGGATGCCATTCCAGACTCCAGATGTTACTCTCATGCGCTGTGTCATTTCTATACAACAAGCCTCCTTCCCCTGCACCACCCGCAGCCCCAACTGCTGTTCCAGTGTGAGTTCTGCGTCCTTCACCAGCATCCATACCATCTCCACCACCACCAACCAAACTTTTCTCAGCCAAATTCACCCCACTCATCGCTTCCGCACTCGCTCCACTCAAATCCCAGAATAACATACTCCCCTCACTTCCTCCGCTGACCAACAGATCGTGATGCAAAGGGTGCCAATCGAGTGAACAAACTTCTTTCGAATGACCACGGAGGGTGAGATGTTCAGCCATCATTCGAAGGTCGTAGATTTTAACCGTCATATCTCTGCTCGCTGTAGCAAACCGCATTCCATCCGGACTGAACTTTGTCGCTTGAACCGTATTCTTGTGATTGTGGAAAGTAGCTAAGCAAGTTCCGTTAGGGGTAGATCTCGGATCCCATACCTTAACCAAGTTATCCTTCGATCCGGAGACTAGGAGACCTTTCGAGTGGTGCCAATCGAGACATTTAACATCCCATCCATGCCCCGTGAGCTCTCTAATCTGCCTTGCTGAGTCAAAATCCCATATTTTCAACAAACTATCGTCTCCACACGAAGCGAACTTGCTATCGTCCGGACTGAACGCCAAGCCTCTAGCTGAATCGGCGTGCCCTGGGAAGGCCTGTAGAGTGTTTAGATTGGATTGGAAGTACTTAATCGTCCCGTTTTGATCTGCCGAAACGAGGAAGGTTCCACTTTTCGACCAGGCCATAGCCCTAACCGCAGAATCATGAGCCTGCATAATCGTTTCAAAGTTAAACGTCAATCCGTTCCACAACGTAAACTCTCCACTCGTACTTCCTGTCAACACCCTCCTCCCATCCGGCATCCATCTAACCACGTTCACCGGACACCTGATCTTATTTGTCGAAGTATGAACCATTACCTTGGCAACGCTCGTACTCAGATTCCCATACCCCACGGGAAGTAGGAAAGTGGGAATACTATGCGGTGTGGGATATACTCCACCCAGCAATCCATCAGCTCGGTTGCAAGTGCGAAGGTTGGAACGAAGATTGTAGTGGGAAAGGGAACCGAAATAGTCAACGGTTCGACGCTGCATGAATTTTTTTATGCGTCTACCTTCGTATCCGAGAGCGGTGGCTGCTGTCTGTGCTGCCATTTCTTGCACTGTTCGTGGATCGGGTTGCGGAGGGGCGGGAGGTTGGGTGAGGTGTAGGGTAGGTGTCCATGTTCGTTTTTTGTAAGGGGGTGGGGAGGGTAGGTGAGGGAAGAGAGAGCGGGCTTCGAGTTCTTCTTCTTCTTCGAGAGTTCGTTTGGAGGTGGACGGATGAGAAGAGTGGTGGTGGTCATCGACGGGGGTAAGGGGGGAGGGTGGGTTGGAAGGGGAGGAGTGTGAAGATGATGATGCATTTTTGGTTTGTTTAGGGGAGGGTGAGCCAGGAGAGGCGGTGGCTTGAGCGACGGCCGTTGGAGACATCGTGACGAGCTTTCTTGGACCGTGGTCTTGTCCCGATGCTGATTTGTGGTCGTCGAAGGAGTTGGTATGAAGAGGGTATGGAGCAGAAAGAGGATGATGACAGATTGTCTGGTCAAAGTGGAAGTTGTTGGAAGCGATGATTTCTACGACTGTATCGCGGACTGTTGTGATAGCTCGACGATGTCGACTTCGGAGTCGTGGGTCAAGAGCCGCTGTAGCCGCTAGAGCAAAGGGGCGAAAGATAGGACGACCGACGATGAGGAGATGAAGGTGATGAAGAGTGAGTGGAGAGAGGATCAGCTGTGGGCTCGACAGAGAGTACAAGAAAGCAAAGAGATGTCAGATCGCCTTCTTCAGTGACAGTTCCGACTTCCGTCTCTCGGCCGAAATCTCACTCATGTTAAGCCTGCTCAACTGTCGCCCACGTGGCTGAGCATACCTTGACCCTCTCGCTCACTCGACGTCTTCTCCTCATTCTTCTGCTCATATCCACACACACACAGACACACACACACTAACTCCGAGGGCTTACTGAGTGAATCATGCTTGATGAAAAACGATAAATGAAAGAATCTTAAAGTACAAATTAACCAAACCTCCTTCTTTGCCTCTTTAGACACCCCCATGACCAGCGCCAGCATTCACCGCCGCCGTCACATGATCCCCCAACCCGGTCGCCACACCAAACGTCAAGACCAACAGATTCTGTCCCACCACATCCACAATACTACTAACAAAGGGCAAACAGTAGATATCGGGATCATAATCCCTACTCCACAGCACCAAACAGATCACATGGGCCAAATACAAGGCAAACATGTTGGCCGTTATACTAGCCGCGATGAAGGTCAGGGTGAAGATCCACCCAAACGTCATCTGACCAGAAGCTCTGATGAGAACGATGAATACCGATTTGATGCCCACGCCCATGGTGAGGAGTGAGAGAGGGACTAGCCAGCCTTCGATGGGTGGGATTGCAAGTACGGAGCAGGTGGATGCGATGATGCCGCGGAGACCACCCATGTTGCCCGCTTCGCTGCTGGCACGGAGAAGCGTTGCGCCTTTACCGGAGTGGAGAGCTGTCGTGATACGCGAGGCGAAGATGGCTGCGCACGCCCCGGGGAGGCCGGAGATGACAGGTGCTAGTAGTGCAAAACCTTGGTATTTGCCAACAAAGTTGTCCAAGACTAAACCAGCGCCAGAGGAAATGAACATAGCCACCAAAAGCGGGACCCAGCCTGAAGTGAGCAGTTCCCTCACGTACGCATTGCGGTAGGTCACAATGAACGACACGATGCAAGCCACTGCCATTGCAGCCAGAATAACAGTGGCGAGGAATGTGCCTTCGAAATGCACCAATGCGCTGGCGAGCAATGCTAGCAGGGTAAGAGTGGTAAGATCACCTAACGATGCAGCCAGAGGGGAAGCGATGTTATCCGGATTCGCACCTGCTCTTCTCGCAATCACCACGAGCGCGCACATGAACGATCCCAACACGGCTGAAGACAACGAGGCAGAAAGCATACCGGTAGCAATGACGAGTACGAATTCGAAGTATCCATTGCGCAGACGCAGTGATGGATCCGTCGGCGGTTTCGGGTGGTGGTGAATGATACGTCTCTTTTGCAAACTGCCAGCTGAGTTGGGGATCGCTCGACGACGATTCCGCAAAGTAACAGCTGAAAAAGCACTCCTGACGATACTCTGTATCAACGCATTCTCTGGTGTTTGTGGTGGTGTTGTTGGCAAAGGTGTCACAGCTGGACCTTGCACCTGCGGATCCGGTGTCACTACACCCAACACAAATGCTAGTACACCTGCGAACATGGAGACGATCAACGCCTGCACCTGCAGCAGCGCCAAATTGCCCTTAATCAGCGTCTCTCTTGTTCTTCTCACGTCGAGTTCTCCGATGTTGGCAGATGTGGACATGCGAAGGGAGAGGTTCATCTCGAGATTTCCCTTCATGTTGAGCAGGATGGGGATGAGGATGAAAAGTTTATCGACTTTCCGAAGGACTGGCCAGCGAGCGAGATGTACCAGCAGCTCTCCAGAGAACATGAGCGAAAGAACCGAGACAATCAAGGTGGGTAGTGCCTCCCTCGCGATCTCCCAAAAGCGGGAAAAAGCAGAGCGAGCAGCGAGTCTGGGAGCTGTGCCACGACGGTCCACAAAGCCAGCTGTACCGAGGAGGGACGCTTGGGTCTCGTATTCATCGTCGACGTCTTCATTTGGGAGAGCAGGGCGTAAGCGACGAGGTGGGTTTTTGTGGGCCCCCTCCAAATCGTATTCCCCCTTTTGGTGGGAGCCAGCAGAATACGCCGAATCGCCAGCTTGGCGTGTTTTTGCATCCGCGTCCTCGTCGTTATCTTGCTCATCATAGTCGGTGACCCGAATCTGTTGTTGGGAGGATATTGACTTGAGATTCGAGGAGGCGGCGTCTATTGGGCGGTCTGAAAAGCTGCCTACGTTTGTGCTTGCGTCATCGTCGTCGCCGCTATCGCTGTCGCCTGTGATAGTGTGGTGCGGTGCCTGCACTGACGAGTCGTCTTGGGCATCAATGAGGTTGGCTGTACCGGCACCGGCACTGGTGGAGTTGAAGTTCAAGGCTGAGCTGTTGTTGTTGCCATTGTGGTTGTTTGTGGTTGGAAGGGTCGAGTTCACCATGAATCGACAGCTGTCAGTATTGTGGTCGTTGTTGTTGGATGCAGGATATGAGATTGGAGATCTGGAAAGTTGATGCTGTGGATGCTTTTGATGGCGCAGAGAGATAAAGAGTTGAAGAGATGATGTGGAATGGAAGAAGAGTGCAATCCTAAAGTGAGGCGGTGATAACGCTAATCTAATTCCCCACCGTTCAAGCAGCTCTCATCCATCCGCACAATATGAAACAGATTTGCAACCTCTTGCCTGCTCTCTCTCGGACGCATGGCAGCGTAGGAGCCGATCGATAGCCTTGCAGGAGCATGGGAAGCAATCCCCTAAGTTGATCTTCTTCTTCTCTTCCCATTGTTCTCTGCTTTGCATGAACCGTTGTTTTTATGCAAGACTCGCAACAGCCATGATCGAGACCTTTTTGCTCGCAAACTTATGGCTAGCTGAGCGAGATTTGCGAAACGGAGCGACGTCCTGCCTTGAACCGTCGGTAAGTCAGATGTGTTTGCAGCGCCGGGGCGGCGTCGAATCAGGTACGATTGCTTTCACAAACTTCTGTTTGCTCGACATGTGGTCCAAAGCGAGGCGAGATTCGCGAACACCGGCTTTCCGCTGCTACAAAGTCGGGTTTGTCGGCTTGATAGAGGGAGAGAGTAAGCGAATCTAGCATGCAAAAGCAGAACAAACAAATGAGAAAAGATGAGGAGGACGGCGATGATCTACGATCGGCGATAGTCGCAGCACACTACTGCTGCTATTTTAGGCCAGAAACACTTGTACTCAACTGACTAATCGAACATGGTCAGAGCTTAGAACCATCAGCTCGATATATATATACATCTGGGTGGCACATGCCGAATGTGCATGTATCCTACTTAATGACCAAGTCTGACAACGAGGGGGGAACTAGGTTGTACCCGATCTCTGGTGAGATCGGGTCTGTCCGATCTCTGATCAGATCGACTTTGCCCGATCTCTTCCGTATCCGCTTAGGTCAAGCAACATCATCATATTGGATGGTTATCTTCAGTAACAAATGGATCGTCATCAGGTGCAAAAGGAGCCCTTGCCCTTGATCACCCATCTTTCCCCAAGGTTTGACGGGCCAAATCGGGCAAAGCTAGTATCACCGATTACTGGTGCAGCGCAGAGCAAGAGGAAAGAGGTTTTGAGCAGCAAAAACAACTGCAGCACCTAGGATTCCCGCGTGGTCCCCCACCGCAGTACTGACTAGGCGATACCTTGCTTAACTTCGCAGATCGGACGGGATGCGGTGCTTTCAAGGTTCTATGGCCGCAGATGTCATGGAATGCACGAGAGCTTATTATATATTCACCGAAAGACATTGGAACAGCTTTACTCACTACACGGTGTCTGAGTCTGTCGGTACAGCGCTTGTCCTACACAGTGGTGGCCGACGAATCCTGTACTTTGCTTTCGGTGCATTACCAATAAGGAACTTTTCACGCTAACAAGCCCTAGTTCATTCCTTTGACGCAGATCACGCTAGGCGCACGATTGAGTCCAGTATGTCCAAATGCTGAATGTATCGATAATCCTCCTGGCATACGACAAGGCAGTTACGACAGGCGAATGAGACTCGCTATGTCGAGAGTTGCAAAATGCATACAGATTTCGAGCTGCTAAAGGAGAAGCGCAGGTCTACTTCTTCTTACCACCATTCATCTTGGCAACAGCAGCTTTCCTGGCAGCCTCTTCCTCCTTCTGCTTCTTCTGGAAGGCAAGGTCCTACAATACCCAGGAAACCAATCATAACATCATCAGCAACCTTTCTTCTCTCAAGATTCAGAGTGGGTGGGGCGCACTTACTTCATCATCAAGCTCCTTGTTCTGCTTCTTCGGAGCCTTGAGCGGCTTGGCTTTACCTCCTTGACGGCCGGACATGGCGTATGATGTGTGAAGAGGTGACGAAAGTTGGGTGTTGGCGTGGAGGAAAGCGGATAGGAAGGTTGAAGGGTCGAGGGGAAAAAAAATAAAAGGGTCGTTGATGAATGCCATGGGTTCAGGGTCCAACTTTTGACATTGTTCGGAGCCGAATTTCGACACCAACAGGCTGTTAGAACTCGATACAGGGCAGCACCGTCACATACAGCAAGAATTGTGGAGAAGTAGAATGTCCATTGAGATTGTATTGAAGAGTCCAACAAGAAGATGCGATTACGAGTGCACTGCAGTTGAACGACGATCAGACCGATCTCACAGAGTGAGGCGCCTAGTAGGGCGTATGGGCATGCTTTCCACCAGGGGTAGTAGCATACGAGTCATAAGCATTGGCTCCATCACCGTACCCGCCATCCCTCGCATAACTACCCTGGTGCTGTCCACCCGCATATCCTCCATACTGATCAGTCGGACTGGGCTCCCACACCGCCGAATCCCTCGGGTTCATCGGAATGTCCTGATAGCTAGCTTTGCTATCCCGAAACGCCTTCCTCTGCTCTCCACCGTACGCCCTCTGAGCAGCCAACATATAGATCTGCGTCAAAGCCATCAATACAATCAACCCAGCCATGACACCTGTCTGAACCCAGATCAAGAGGTTGCAGATCGACCTGCCATCCTGAGAAAAGGCATCGGTAGACTCACCGGAAACATCTGAAAGGGAAATGGAAGAAGATGAGGTAGAAGTGGCAGGCATGACGCCGTACGTGTTGACGCATGTAGTGATTGCCTTGTTATGCTGTGCCGCTGCGACGACGAGGAAGGCGACGGTGGCAGCGATGATGGCGAATGTGAGCACGGTGTTGATGCGGAGATAGGTGCGGTAGAGGGTGGGCTTTTGACGCGCAACGGAAACGAGACCGAGCATCTGCCAAACAAGGGTGATGAAACCAAGGGCTGCGACGAGTTTGTTCGACCAGGACGGCACGACACCTTGACCAGCGACAATGGCGGGTGGTGCAAGCGCGCAAATGCCGACAGCAAGACTAACAAGTGCAGTCTCGAGGACAAGAAGGTAGGCGCCTACATTGACAAGTGGAAGATAGCAACAGCAGAACTCCATCGAGCCGCCACTCCGTCTTCCGTATCGTGCCATACTGGTTAGACTATGCCGTTGCAATGTGATGAGGAGACCCAAAGTTGCCTTCGATGGTTCGGAGATTGATGTGGATCCGGTTTGATGACGAAGAGGTCAGCTCCTTCGGTTGCTTGCTTGCTTGCTTGCTTCGAGTCGAGACGAATGGGCAGTAGTGATACAGAAGCGGACGAAGATGTTGGCGATGAATGAGGAGAAGCAAGCCTTACAGCCTTGTGTTTAGGGCAAAAAGACGATGAAGCTGACGTTGGTGATGTTGAAGAAGAAAGTATCGTCAAGCAGCAAAGCATTCATCAAGAGGAGCAGCAGCCGGCAACCGCACGGATTCTACACCGGCTCGTTCAACGTCGATGTTAGATCGCCGTTAGCGGAAAAAAAAAAGAAAAAAAAGGGGGGGGGGCCAGCCAACACAGCGGATCGTCAGTGTGTCGCTTTTACACAAGAAAAGGCGGTGCTTGCGGTAAAGTCGGCGCGCACTCCAAGTTGACCGTGTAAGCCAGTTTAGCAGAATAAGTGGATCAGAAATCTTGTCTCGGCCGTTTCAACTCCACAGCGACACTCACCACCCAAAAGTCGCCGACAATTCATCTCCCGATCCAACGTTGCCGATACTGAATAAAGCCCCTCTTTGCACATACACAATCTTTTCAAGTCAAGTCATTGTTGCTATTGAGGTGATCAGGTGATGGAGTGATCAGGTGATGGTGAAGATCAGATCCGAGCGCGCCAAGTGACATTACGACGGGCAGCTACTTTGCATCGAAGAAAGACAACACTAATGGCAGAGATGAAGCAAATGCTGCCCATGACGAGGAGAGCTGGGCGATACGCGCCTGTGCCTGCTCTGGGTCCACCGAAGGCATCTAACAGGTAGCCTGCCAAAGGGCCACCTAAGAGAGATCCAAATGCTCGCGAGCACATCATCATCGACTGCAATGAAGAAAAGAGGCGGGAGGAGGCGGTAGGTTGGTTAGCTATAGAAAGATAGTCTGATGCTGTGATGAGTGTGCCAGAACTTACCATAGTGAGAGCGGTCTGATGGACGCCAAAGATAGCAGCATTGACAGGAGGCTGTAGCGACAACAACGCGCCTGAGCTTCCGCCGTTCAGCACCATTGCCAGTGCCAACGTCGCCAAGCTGTTTGACACAGTCCAAACCGCCAGGATACTGATACTTGCAAGCACCAGAGCAAGCATGAGACTTGTCACTGGCCCGACTCTAGTATCTGCTACCATCCCAAACCCCACTCGTCCTACTGCTGATGCCAAGCTATAACCTGCCACCAGCCATGCACCTGTGTTTGGGCTGAAGCCGGCCGACTTTGCATACGTCGGTAGCAAGAATGGTGGAACAAAGAGAGGGAAGGTCCCAAGTGCAGTAGCAAACAGCAAGAGGTTGAAACGAGCATCGAGGAAGAGCGAAAGACGAAAAGCTTCAACACAACGCTCCCTTCGTTCATCCTGATGCGGCACAAGCCAGTATGCCAGTGGCAGCATTGCGGCTCCTGCGCTGATTCCCAGGATCCTCACCGACCATGCAAGGCTGACCTTGTCCGCGATCACGCGCAACAGCATTGCACAGCTTGCACCTCCAAAACCACTTGCGCTATACACGATACCAATCACGAGCCCTCTTTTGCTCTTGAAGTATCCGACAGCAATTTGGCTTGTCGAAAAGAAGACCATGCCGTATCCTATACCGAGCATCAGCCCAAATACGACCATCCTCTCCATATGCAGTTTGAGACCCTGATGCACACCATCGCCAAGTGGCAGTTTAGGCTGGTCGGTCGGTGACCAGCAAGTAGAGAGACAAGCATAACCAACAGAGACGCAGATCGCACCGGCCGAAGCAACAGCGCGGTTGCCGAATCGAGCCACGGCTTTGGTGAAAGGAATCGAAAAGACCGGCATTGGTATGATGGCGAGGGACGAGATCCAGCCTAGTGTTGCTGCGTCAGATGCACCTGCTGACACGATTGCTTCTTGGATGATACCAAGCGAATAGACCAATCCCAAAGTGAAGAAGAAGTAGACAGATGCACAGATGACTACTCGCCATCCTTGCCAACCGCCTTCCACTGCCATCACTTCGTTATCTGGATTGATGGCTGCCTCGCTATCGCTATCCACCAGCTCCATTGGTGTCATTCCAGGTCGAGCTGGCCTCACGTCTCCTGTACTTGATATGGTGGTGGGTACCACATCGTCTTTTGTCTTTCCGCTTTCGAGAGTCATGCTGGTGAATGTAGCCTCGATTGGCACTCGAGGTCGTAGCTGTGCAGTGTTCGGCTTGACAACTGGCACAGAAGAAGATAGCGAGCTGGTTGCTGAAGCTGACATTCCTGTTGCTGAGCGAGTGTTTGTTCCCCTTCGATAAGAGACACTCGCTTGAACGGATCGAGATGAAGAGCCGACCGTTAAGCGACGCCCTGTTGGCGCCGCCGCCACCACCTGCTGACCAGACATTTAAGATATTCCAAGATGCCGGCCGTGTAATGAAACAGATCAAAGATTGTTCACAAGAAGGACTATGATGGCTTTTGTGTTGAGAAGGAGTCGTCAGTAACTTGGGGTGATTTGCGGGGAAAGGGTCGTATTTGAGGTTGTGATACCGGAGAGGCAGGTATATGTATGAAGCTTGCAGATAACGGGATGAAGGGCGCACCGGTGACCTTGATCAACACCTTGGCACCTATGATAGCCGGCAAGGTGGGGCAGCGGTAAGGCAAGATTAGGCCGGATCGACCCGAGGGATCAGCTGATGGTCGTAGGCTGCCTTCTCGCTGCCGGTTACGTGGTACGGAAGAGCAATTCGTTCAGGGTCCGCCTTTGACAGCTCCAACGGTAAGAACGCTATTCAGACTGAGCAAGCTCAGGTCTGGTGACTCGTGTAACCTATTGTCACATCAGTGCACGACGATACGGCTTGCACCGGCTCTTCATCAGCATCTGCATTGCCGAACAAGGCGGGGCGAAGAAAGAGTGTGGGGAATGTGTGTCGGGAAGGACCGGTTCGCCGGCAGCACAAGAAATGTCGTTGCAAAAGCCCGGCTTCATCCGTCAGCGCAAAATTTCTGGCTCTGTTAAGAATCTGCGCAACTAACAAAGGGAGAAATTGACATCTGTCCTTTGGTCACCTTGCCCTGTAGCTTCTGCTTCTCTCCCATTTGCTCTCATGTACTTCGCTACCCATACAGCAGGCATGCTTCAGCCCTCTATTTCCCCGGCTTCCGAATTGCCATTCCATAACTGGTGCTTACAATAAGATTTCAATGTGGCAGGCTGCTGGGCTGAGCCTTATTTCAAAGACCGCGAAAGAACTCCACTTTAGCACGATGATGAACTCCAAACTCAGATTCTGGAACATGCCAAGCTGTGCTGCCCCACTCTCCTTTTCGCCGTCGACACACTCTTCACACCCAACACCACTGCATCGGTGCAGCCTGAGGCTCAGAGTCAGTTCTCGTTTCTAACCTACACCAGCAATTTCACCGCAGGTGGATGGAGGTTCTTGACCTATTTCGGACGCGATACCATGTCGCCACACGTCTTTTGATGAACAACAAGACGCTCACTCCTTTCGCAACCGAGTTGGTACACGGTGGAGCATATCAACATCGCTTCTGGCGAAGTCTGCCAGGAAGAGACCATCGGAGACTATGCTACTTTCGTTAACATCGCAGATGGCCAGCCCGAAAAGGGCAACGAGCCAGTCTTTGACTACAAGATGAAGGACATTCACTATGTCCTTCTTCCACAACTTGCCGACTATCTGATTAGATACAACGCCACTTCAGCCAGCGATGCTGCTACGGAATCCTTGCCGCGCCGTGCTCTGCTACAGAATGGAACCGCATATCGCGAGTTGCTCTACGCAAACGTCCAGTACGTGCTCAACAGCTCTGCTGCCTTCGTTCAGGACCCCAGCGACCACAAGAACCTAGCTAGAATCAAGGCTGATAACCCGGTTGGCAATTGGCGCGACTCAAACATTAGTCTTGGCTGGGGCGTGTACCCCGTTGATGTGTCAACTGCGCTTGTTCCAGCAGCCCTCTACGCCATCTCAGATACGGCCAAGGCCAGGCTGATGCAAAACTTCACCTCGAAATCGACCAACATCACCGAATCCGATCTGGCCGAAACCGCAGAGAGGTATGCTACAGTGTGGGAGCAGGAAGCTCCCAAGTTCTTCCAGTACAATGTGACTTCCGATCAGGCGCAAGAGAGGCTGCAGGGTTATGTCCAGCGGGCCAACCTCTCCGACTCGTTGCTGTACGGCCTGGGCTCGCTCAATGGTTCTTCGTCTTGCGCTACCTCTGTCGAACAGCAGCAACAGCGCCTGTGCTGGTGGAATGCAGCGTTGTTGGGGAGGTGTCACTTTCGGTCGCGAAGCCGAGTTCTCCCTCCTCACCCCTCGACAGGAAGCCAACGACACCGGCAGCGGAAGTAGCAAAAGCAATAGCAGCACAGTCGCAGCTAACCAGACCACCACCCTCTACGGCCTCTCCCTATTGAAAGACGTCACAGTCGTCCCAGTGACGAACTCGGATCTCTCCTTCAACCTCCTCTACTCCCGTCGACCTTCTCGATTCCTCATCCAATCCGTCATCACTGCTCTTCAACCCTAACCCCCGAGGTCTGCTCACCAACGTGGGCATGCTAGTCACTAACCCAGCTTACGACCCAAACACCACCAAAACCACCGAGCTCGACCGAGCCACTTACCACAGTACCTTCTTATGGGGATTCCAGACTAATTCCATGGCTTCGGGTCTAGACCGAATCATTGCTTCCTGCGATAGCGCTTCGACTCGTACGGAAGTGGAGAAGTCCAGTCTGAACGAGTGACCGGAGTGGTGTGAAGAGGAAGAGGTGATCAACGGGCTCAAGGAATGACAGCAGAGGTTGTGGCAGGCAGTCAACGAGTCACGCGCCTCCCTCTTCCATATTTTGGGGCCAACTCCCATAACCTTCTCCCTTTAACCCCCTCCCTGTCTCCCTTGGCTTTCCCCTCCAGCGTCCCAAGCAAAAGGTGGAAAGCGAAACAACACTTCTGCTTCTTTGCTACGATCATACGCGTGCCTAGTACACGATAGCTTCAGCTCGCTGCAACGCACCTTCTTCCCCTGATTGACATCTTTCCTCTCGACACATATTTTCTGATACCCAGACATTTTCCTTTCGCCCAACTTCACTGTTCTTGTTTGCAGCCACTCGTGTATGTACCTTGTATTCTATTCATCCTTCCAGCTATCCGCATGTCCTCTTGTGCCATGTGGATCGTAGTTGATCTGATGTGGTTGCCGGGTTGTGCGAGTGCACATCATAGTTGGTATAAGGTTTTCCATTGTTTGACAGCCGCAATTTCCAATGTTAGCAAGCAAATTTACTCTTTTTTTTCTTTTTTTTTTTTTTTTTTTCTTCTTTTTTTTCGATTGCTTCGGCACACCTTTTTATTTAATATATTATATTTTACATTTTATATTCCATTCTCTCTGCAAAATGAACTTTACCTCACCCCAAGCTCGTACGAGAGCCAAGTGACAAGCACGAGCAACCTGTAGCACAAACATCAGGCAAAGACCAAAACAAAATCTCCAAGCTAACCACCGCACCCGAGAGCTATACTGAGCTACTGAAACAACCCCAACCCCAACCCCAACCCCCCCCCCCCCGGACAGTGGCAGTGGATATCAACGTCAGTAGCGTAGGATAGAAGGCCAAGATGAGTAAAGAGAACCGGTAAGCGGATGGAAAGCGAGTTGTGCAGGCATTCCAGAGTGTTGCAACGAACCACGTTGCGCAGATGCTTCAAGATGCACTTACAACCAAGAATAAGCTCGGATGAAAGTGTGTGGGATATGATTGCATCATGGGAAGGAAGCATCGGATTGCTTGAAGCCAGCAGCATTACGCTTACTCTTGAACTCGACCAAAACTGTATGCATTCTACTCAAACTTGCATGCAATTCCGCCAACTGCGCAACTTTCCTCGCTAAATCCGTGTAACTCAATGGTCTTTCGCCATCCTCCCGCTGAGTCTGGGTGGTGGGTCGCCAAGCCAAATTATCCGGACTCTCACTTCTTCTTATCTCTTGCTTTTCCTGTTCATCATCAGATTGCATCTCTCCCTCCTCGGGTGACTCATTCCCATCGCCACCCGCTTCCTTTACTTTAGACGTCTGGGAATTGATACTAGTGTTCACCGCCGTCTCTTCTGCTAAATCTTGCATCTCCACATTGACCTCTTTCTGTTTGTGTGGGGAAAAGAGAAGACTTTGACGTGGAGTGTCTTGTTCTTCAGCGGATGCGAGCGCGAGTTCTCGATCGAGTCGTTCGCTTTCTGCTTCGAGCCGTTTACGCATGGAGAGGTATTCTTGTTGAGTTTTGGCGAATCGTTGGGCGAGTCGATGCCAGTCGGAACGAGAACGGACGTCGAGCCATGGTTCAGACCAGTGGGTGGCTCCTGGACCGACGCCTTTGATGGGTCGATCTTGTCTAGAAGGAGATTTGACTGCGGCGACAGTGGATGATGTGGAAGAGAGTGCACGAGATGAATTTCGATCGTCGGCTGTTGTGCTGCGTCCCCGCTTGGAATCCTTTTTTTCCAGATTGGCTGCTTCGTAATCCTCGTCATAGTAGCGATCGCGACGCCTGTCGTGGTACTCTTCCTTGTTTGTACGACCAGCTTTCTCAGACACAGCTTGTAAGCGCGTAGCTGAGGAAGCGAAGGAAGGCATCGACGCCGAGACTGGTATACTGCCCCGCGCTGTGCTTTCGCGAGGTGATACCGGTTCGACCCGTCGTAATGAACCTTCTCGACTTGCCTCTCGTGTTCTCGGTAGGCTTTCGTTTCGATGAAGAGGAGTCGAGCCGACAGAGGCAGAGACTTTCTCGTCACGATGCTGCTGCATGAGACGGTCGCAAGGGTCCAAGTCGTTGGTGCGGCGACGCTTCCGCTGTCCAACATCGGCGGAGTGATCGTCGCTCTTGCGTGCTGCAGCTTGCTTTGTGGGTGAAGTTGAAGAAGATGCAGTTTCTCGATCTGCTGGTCTCTCCGACCGACCGTTTGTTTCGGAATGAGTTGGACGGCCACGTTTTGCAGTTTCCGTTTCTGAGCGCCGAGAAGCACGGGAGGCAGTCGAAGCTTCTGCTACAGATTTTTTGGATGGCGCGGCGTCGGCAGCGGCGGAGGTCTTTGCTTTACGCATGGTAACCACCTGCACTGGCGCAGGAGAAGCATGCTTTGATGTTGCTGCGGACTTGCTGCTGCTACTGCTTGCGACAAGCTTGCTGCTGGTTCTAGGCACATTCCTGTCATCGAGGGGTGATACATCGCTCTTTGCCTTGGTATCGACAGGTTTCCTCTCGACCGAGGTTGCTGAGGCTCGGCTCGACGTGACGGCGGTCCCATTACGTCTAACTTGAACTTGTTTCTGTGAGACAGACTCGTCTGCGCGTCGCTTTGAGCCGCTTGATGCCTCATCCTTTATTAATTTGCTAGTTGAAGCTGGTGTTGGCGATAATTTGCGACCTTTCTCAGCAGCCGTTCTGCCTCGTATACGGCCGTCTGCTGGACGATCATCTCGCTCCGGCCTTGCTGTAGGCGAAGAACGAGACACGGCCGCCTGACTAGCTTTCGCCTTTGGCGAGCTTGCATGGTGAGCGACTGATGGCTCATCAGCGACTGCTTTCGGGATGGACCTACTCGCCTCAGTCAGGCTATTTGAAGCGCCTGCCTTGGACGGCGGTGAGACCTGCGTGCTTGATGGTGTTGGGCGCCGTTCGGGAGTGGCTTTTCGTTCAGATACGGCAAGGAGACGACTTCCTGCTTTCGTCGCCTTGGCTAGACGCTGACGTGTCGTGAGCTTATTCGTCTTCTTGGCCGCACCATGGGCCAAATCAGAAGCACCAGAGGCTGGTGAAGATAATACAGCGGGCTGCCTCCCCCTCTCTTCATCTGAGTATTGCCCCTCCTCTCCGACATCATTGGGTCGGTGATCGAATAGGCCGCTACCGGCCTTCGGCGCCGGGCTATGTTCCGCTGTAGCACCTCGCGGATGAGCAGCAGCCGCAGTCTTTGGTGAATCGGTACTGGCCCTGCCTGTCCTCCCCGCATGATACGAAGCACCTTGCAGCCTGGCATGTGCCCCGACCGCAGGCGAGCCACCGCTAGCACCAGCACCAGCACCCGCACCAGCACCAGGCGAAGGCTCTCGACTTGCAGCATTCGACACCGAAGCAGCTTGTAACAGACTGGGCTCTCGACGACTTGACAACTTGTTCAAGCTACTCGACCTGGACAAGGGAGAAGAGGCCAACAAGGTAGATGCACCGGCAGCTCTGACGCTGGCCAGCGCCTTGTTGGTTCCAGTTCTGGAAGATGATGAAGCAGAAAGCTGTGGAGAGGCACCGGCGATCAAAGCCTTACGACGCTCTTGCTTGCGTTGCTCCTGCTCTTCCTTCTGCTGCTTGAGTCGTTGGGCGACGGCGGAGACATCGCGAGTGGGCTTGACGGTAAGCTTGGTGGAGATGGTACCAATGCGGTGTAATGTCGACTCGTCTTTGGAAAGCTTGTAGAGCTCGTGTGGTGCTGTAGAGGTTGAGGCAGCATCGGAGGCTGACTGTGAGCCGCTTGCTGGGAGGGGTGCATGCAGGGAGAAGGAGGTGTCGCCGATGAGCAGGACTGGATCTGACGGGTCGACGTCGATGCGTATGTGCGCTGCAGAGCGAGTTGAGGAGGTGTATGCATTGGCAAGCTGCTGCAGAGCTTGTTCCGTAAGGCGGATCTGGAGGACCTCAGGTGGGAATTGGGCATCTTTCTCCACCTCTGCTCGCAAGTCGACACGGTAGACCGAGTCGGCCCGCAGAGACATGACGGTATGCTCTCTTGCGATGGGCTACCGTTGGCGTTGGCTGGCTGGCCAGTATCAAGAGCCAACAGGCCTCAACGTCGTGATGGGGCCATGAGGAGATTGAACGGTGCCCAAGGTATGGTGTGCTGGCCGGCAAGTGCGTCGTCCTGGCTATTGGGGTAGTGGATGGGAAGATGATGAGCTCGCGGTGAAAGTGAATGCTTCTTTCATAAGGGTCCAACGGTGGTCCGTGCCAAAATCTCTAGCCTCGGTTGGCATATTCCATCATCTTTGCGACGGCCGCCTATCGTCTAACTAATCTTACGCCTAGCCTTGACCCCCCGCCCAGATAAGAGGGCCTCTTGCCGATTTTCGGGCCGAGAAAATGAAGAAGTTTTCTCGCACGAAAGGGCAAGATCCAGATCGGGCTGATTTACAAGATCAACACTTAGGCCGATTGGCTCAACGCCTCCACCATCACATCCCTTCCTCCCACCAAGCACCTCACTCGGCCACTGTCAGCTTAGTCGGAGTCCCCTAGCATCGACTGTCGGGCAAGCTGCCAACACGATGGCATTGAGACGAGGAAAGGATCGCGTCTCGGCCGCTGGCTCGGAAGGTAAGCCCATACCGTCTCTCGCGAGGTCATACTCGCAAACCTCACCACTGACGATATCTTTTGTGTCTCTGCACAACTGTAGAGCTCCAACTCTGGTATGCAGTGCGACAAAATCTTCGTACGCTCGAAAAGATCCGCATTGCATGCGTCGACAAAGCGTGTTCCGCCGAATCACTTCGTACCGATCTCGTGACGCTCAAAGAGAAACGCGAGACCGGCGATGAATACCGTACCAAGCGACGCAAGCTCGACGACACTTGCCACGACCTTACCAGTCGAACAAAAGATGAACTTGCAGCTATCGAGTCGGCCCAAGAGAAGCTCGGCATCTTGGTCGCCCTTCGCAGTCCTTCCGATGGTGCTGGTGGTCGAGGCGCTACACCGCGCAAAGATCTAGCCTCTAAAGTCAGAAGCGCTTCCAACACTCCAACTCCTAGTGGCAGAAGAGCAGGCGGTGCTTTGGGTCCATCCAATCTCAGCTCCTCCTCCAGTGCAGCTTCCAACGCACCGAATAGAGGCCGACGAGAGACGCTTACAGCTCAACACCCTCTTACCTCAGGAAGAAAGGTTGCCGTATTGCCGAGCAAAACAAACGAAGAATCAGATTGGCTCAAAGCGTCCGTCCTCTCCTACGCAAAGTCTTCAAACGAATATACGGTGCAAGACGACGATGAACCAGGTGCAGAAGGAACATACAAGGTTGGAATGGACAACATCATCCCCTTGCCGGTAAGTTTGCAAACTATGCCAGCTTCGGATTACCCTCCAGGCTCGAGGGTGCTAGGGATGTATCCAGATACAAGCTGTTTCTATGGTGCTACCGTCAAGAGTGGTGGTCCGGGCTTGTCTAGGAACGCGAACTTGGCAAAACTGATCAAGAAGGAAGCAGAAATGTTGGAGGCCAAGTACAACTTGGAATTCGATGACGATAATGGTGAGATTAGACAGGTTCCCGCTTGGTTGGTTGTGCAAGGGCCTGGGATGTGATTCAGTCATCGCTCTCTGAGCACCCGAACTTCTTGGTCTTTTGTACTTGTACAGTTGTAATAATATCTCATCCTCTTGACATAGTTTCTGTGAGAGTCTGACAAAAGCGCAAGCCAAGGACAGACGAGCGCATTCGCTTTCTTCCCGATGACCAGAGACTCAGACAGAAGAAAGCCAGACAAGATGATCGTGACAAAGATGCATTGCAAAACAGCACAAGGCCAGTGTCCTGAAAGATAAGAGGTTCTATGTGCAACAAGAAATCAGACTTCCTCAGAAGCAACCTGCTCATAACCCGCACCCTGCCCTGGCCGCCGGACTGCACGACCACCGCTCCCGCTCCCCAATCTCAGACTGGAACTCATCAGCACAGCCTCGAACTTAGCCAGCACCTGATAACCTACATCCTTCAAGTTCGCCAGGACCCTATCAAACGCTCCAGCATCCGACCTATCCAACAACTCGTGCATCTGCAAGGGATCCGACATCTCCTCCCTACCCTCCGAACTCAACTCCTTCGGTCGCTTATACCATTTCAACGTCAGAGAGCTAGCCACGACACTGACACTCGAAAACGCCATCGCAGCACCGGCCATCATGGGATGCAAACTCAACCCCCAAGGCAAAAAGATGCCCATCGCCAGCGGGATGCCGATCAGATTGTAGATGGTAGCCCAGATAAAGTTGAGTTTGATCTGACCAAAGATGCGGCGAGAGAGATGGATGGAGGCGGCAACATCGATGAGATTAGATCGCATGAGAACGATGGATGCTGCTTCGATGGCCACGTCTGAACCTGTGCCTAGTGCGATGCCGAGATCGGCGGATGCGAGGGCAGGCGAATCGTTGATACCGTCACCCACCATAGCAATGCCGCCGGATTTGGATTGACCATTGGCACGGAAGGGAGAGAATCTGCCGCCGCTCTCGAGATCCGCTGCAGCGGTGGCTCGTCGAAGTTGCAGGATGAGCTCTTGCTTGTCGATGGGACTCATTTCTGCATAGACCTCGTTGTCTTGGTCCATGCCAAGTTCGCGGGCCAAGGCACGCGCTGTGGCTGTAGCATCACCTGTCACCATGCCACATTGGATACCCATTTGACGCAGCGCAGCAAGAGTGCGTTTCGCTTCAGGCTTGAGAGTATCGCTCAGACTGAGCACAGCGGCAAGAGATCCATCGACGCTCGCCAGCACCGCTGTTCGTCCTTGAGACTGCTGATCAGCGAGCAACTGCGATGCCTGCGTGCCAAAAGCGCTGTTGTCCAGCTCGTGCTTCTCCGAGTTGGCGACAAAGTCAGATGTGCCAATACGAACCTCGTGCACCGTCATGGTCTCGTCCAGCTGTACACGGCACACGATGCCTTTACCGGTGAAGCTCTGGAAGTCTTCGATGGTAGTTCCTGCAATGGTGATGTCCTGCTTCTCGGCAAATCCCACTGCCGGCGCAGGGCTCGAGCTGTCTTGAAGTTGGCGTGTTGCCCACAGCGCGATTGCACGCGCAAGCGGATGTTCAGAACGAGCTTCAGCAGCTCCAATGATGCGTATCACTTGGCGGCGTGAAAGACCACCTACAGCAATGAGATCGAGCCCACTTTGCTTCTTGTCCGGCCAGATTGCCTGACGCAACGTGAGCTTGCCTTGTGTCAATGTGCCGGTCTTGTCGAAAAGCATGCGCTTGATCGTAGTTGAAGCTTCGAGCGGTCCACCGCCCTTGATCAGAATGCCGTTCTGAGCACCGACTCCGGTGCCGACCATGACTGCTGTAGGCGTTGAAAGACCAAGTGCACATGGACATGCGACGACAATGACACTGATGCAGAGCTTCAAGCAGACCATGAACTTGGTGACACCTTGCTGGTTGAAGATGGACGGAAGCATGTGTCCGGACAGCAGGTGGGAGATGACCATCCAAGCAATGAATGTCAAAGCGCCGAGACCAACAACAGTGGGCACAAAGTAGCCTGCCACGCGATCAGCAAAGGCCTGAATGGGAGCTTTGGATGTTTGCGCCTCGTCGACCAGCTTGACGATCTGTGCCAGACTGGTGTCTTTGCCGGCATGTTGAACGAGAAAGTCGAAAGTGCCTGTACCATTGACGGTGCCGCCGATGACGCTGCTGCCGGTGAGCTTGTGAACGGGGATAGCCTCTCCTGTCACCATGGACTCGTCCACAGTCGACTCACCGCGGACGATAACTCCATCAGCAACGATCCTTTCACCCGGTACCACTTTGACGTAATCACCACGCTGGACAAGCTCAGAAGCGACCTTCTTCTCGGACTTGCCTTCTGCGCCATCCGTGTAGATCGTCGCTGAGGATGGTGTCAAGCCAATCAAACGTGAAAGTGCTTCACTCGTCTTGCCCTTTGCAGTGTTCTCGAGGAAGCGTCCAAAGGAGACAAAGGTGAACAGCATCGTAGTCGTCTCGAAGAAGGTGGCTGGCTTAGTGCACTGACCTGGTACCACGATGGCGGTCTTGGATGCTGGGTCTACTGGTTCGTCGACGCAGAAGAGTCTTGCGATCATGGAAAAGACGCTGAACGACCATGAAGCGGTAGTGCCGATGACTATGAGAACGTCCATGGTGGCGCTTCCGTGTTTGATCGCTTTCCAGGATGTGCGGTAGAAACGGAGACCGATGCCGAACTGGACGGGAAGAGTAAGCGCCAGGCATGCAAGATCTTGAAGGTAGAGTCCAGGCAGCGGCTGGAACATGAGTATGCTACGGGTGAATGCGAATTTGGGCAACACCATCGACAAGAGGAAGAGGGGCACTGCCATCGATAGGGAGAAGAGGAATGCGGAACGCCATTCTGCAATCTCCTTGATTCTGCCAAGAGATGCAAGCTGTGTCGAGTTGCGATTGTCGGTGAGCACTGCGTCGAAGCCAAGGTGCTCGATATGCTCCACGAGCTCGCGAATGCCGAGTTTGGATGAGTCGTAGTCGATTCGGGCTTTTTCGGTAGAGAGTGAGACAGCTATTGACTTGACGCCATCGATCTTGGCGACCTCTCGCTCGATGGTGGAGGAGCACGAGGCGCAGGTCATGCCATATACGCTGAGTTGGACCGTGTCGAGTTGCGGACTAGATGAAGTAGCGTGTGCGGAAGCTTGTTTGGAGATGAGGCCGTCGTTAGGTGGTTCTGTCTTGATGATGTCGAGCAAGGTAGCATCGAAGCCGGTGTCCTCGATCTCTTCGACTACCTTTTCTGGTGACCATATTGAGTCGTCAAAGGTGACGATGGCCTTCTCAGCGAGGAGAGCAACTGATATTGATTCGATACCTGGTTGCGACCGAATGATCCGCTCGATAGTCTCGACGCATGCGCCGCAGGTCATGCCTCCGATCTGGAAGGTGGCTGTCACCTTAGCACCGGTGGCAGGTGAAGATGACCCTGAGGCGGATGCCTTTGGCTCTTCTGTGGCGGACATGTCTGGTGATGCTGGCGAATGTTGAGAGGGCGTATGCTATCCAAAGAAGGCGCGGTCGAATTGCGAACAAGGGTATCGAGAGCCTCTTGGTGTGTGTGTCGCTGTGGCTCTGGTGAAGTGCCAAAGCTGCGATTGCGAGCGCAAGGAGAGGCAATGATGACAGTGCTTTCGGAAGAGGCGATCCTTGATGAGCGTTACGGCAGCTGAGCCGAAGCCTTTTCGAGCGCACTGCCGGATGTGCCGATGAACCCACTGTCGGATGTGCCGATGGACCCACTGTCGGATGCGCCGATAGACCCACTGAACTGCCTCTGCCTTGCCTTGTCGGCCCTTCCGACGTTGAAGCTGACGAGTCGATGGGTCGCGGTCCTATCGACTCTTCGAAGAGACTGGTGATCGAGATGATGGTGATCGATATGAGAGCTAGGAGATGAGAACTAGGAGATGAGAGCTAGGAGATGAGAGCTAGGAGATGTATGCGGTCTGCATGGTTGATAGTCGAGTGAAAGATTGTGTGTAGTTAGTTGGTTTCCCTGGTGGAGGCGCTGTTAGCCGAAGTGTAAAGTGCGCATGCCCGGCGTCGCAAAAAGAGAGAGAGAGGCTGGCTGCGACCCTTCCGAAATGTATGAAAAGATCGCGCGCTTGCTGGCAAGAGCCCAGAACCGGACCGCGAGAAAATTTTCTCAGCGATTGAGGTGGTGCAAATGCGGATGTAACAGCTTTGAGGCACGTCCCAACTGCGGCCCCACTCTCATCTCAATGTCAACCCATGTGAAGGCGCTAACTAATTGATAAAGGCTGAACTCTCCCACCTCTTTGTTGCTGCCAACGTAGATATCTCTCTCTATTGCAAGGCTTGCGCTAGGGCACCGCATGGGCAAAGCCATAACTCCCGTCCCTCGCGGAAGCAAGATTGATGAGCTTCGGAATCCGACTAAAGAAAGAATGAGGTCGGCAGTCAAAATCGGCGCTGGGAGCAAATCACATGTGGCGGTGGTCGGCTCCCGCTTTTAGATGTCAACCAGTGAGATATAGGCTATTGCCGCCAGGCCAAGTTTGTTAGGCTGCGCTTCCATTCCACCTCTTCGGCGAGTCTCGCAACCGGAGGCCAGGGCCAGTTGGCCGGGTTTTGACAGAACAATGCAGATTCATAACCTGTTTCACTCTGTCATCACTTTCCGTTGCTCCATCTCAAAACCCGCGCGGCGAGTGCACGTCAGCTCAGTCACAACCAGGACCGATGTGAGTCAGAAAAAGAATTCTGTGTCACTCGAGGCAATCGAACTCCGCTGCCGTTCCACTCGACCTCGCAATGTCCAGGAAAGAAAAAGAAAAAAAAAAAAAAAAAAAAAAAAAAAAAAGGAGGGTTGCTTTCCTCTGCCTTTGCTGAGAAAGATGACCGTTTGCTTGACTTGTCTCCGAGCTAGCTCCGGTCATCGTCAGCATTGTTGACACTTTTTTCTTTTTCTTTTTTTTTCCGCATAATCCTCGAGGGATCAACTCTCTTCTGGTACTCTGAGACTGCGACTGCACCTGCACTCTGTTTTCATGCAGGGCGAGGCTGAGCAAGTCGCATTTCTCTCGTGGCTCTTTCTTATGCCCGACCTCCGTGCTTCTTCGACAGATACATACATACATATATATATATATATATATTCAGTATTCAGTCGATTGACCCGACTCGGTTGCATGTGCCTCCCCCCCTCACCAGCTCGACTCGGTCTTGCCTACCACTTGCACGTGCTCGTACCATAGGCCATGTGTCTACGTCTTACACTATCTACACCTTCATTAACGCAAAGCGAAACACAAGTCGAGCATTCCAGATATCAGCCAGCGCAACACATCTGCTCCATCTGACTGCACATCTGACTGCACATCTGACTGCACATCTGACTGTACAACATACCTACTCATCGAGTTCGACCAGCCATGAAGCTCGAACACACACGCTTCGGCGCGCTGCGCGAGAAATCGCGTTGGCTTGGCCGCAAGAGCGATCGTACACGGATCCAAGCCTCTTCTGCTGTCACCTGTGATGGCAGTTTCGCCTCACCCAAGGTTGCCCACTTGCAGCTCTCGCACGAGGAGCTTGACACGCATCGCCACGGCGGTCCATCGCGTACCTCGAGCGTCGACAGCTTTGGCCTTGACCACCAACAGCCCGAGTACTCGAGCAACAGCCCAGTGCTCTTTGGCGACGACAAAGAGCTTCACGACCCCAATTTTGTTCGACACAACTGGGAGATGATGTCCGGTGAAGCAACCTTGGCTGATAGTCAGTTGCACATTGGATGCGTTGCCTCTCCTCGCCTCACAAGCCGACGAAGCACGCTTTCCTCCCGAATGAGCTCTCGATCTTGTTCCCGCTCTGGTAGTGATGCCGGTGGCCACCAGACTCGCACGTTCGGATTCGGTGTCAAGGCCTTATCTGGTCTTTCCAGCTATGCTCACCCTGGATCCCGTCGTCAGGGTTCTCGATCGTCTCGCACGAAAGGATTGCAAGTGGAAGGTTCTATCTTGCGCGATGAGGAGGCAATCCTCTACAGCGACGATGACTCGAGCGATGAGGATGAGGATGAGGATGATGAGTACAGACACGATCTCTACCCTTCTCGTCGTCTCGCGCTCTCTGGTCGTACCAGTGCTTTTTCGCACAACGTCCCTCCTTCTCCACGAGCATTCTTGCATCCTACTTGGGCAACTTCAAGGCCTCCTTCTCCCGTCCTGCCCCACGCTGAGGTGAACGCGTATCACCGCCGTCGACACTGGACCGTAGCTGAAGGCAGTCGTGCTTGTAACGGAGCTAAGCTTGATGCTATGCCAGATCAACTCGGTGGCCATCCAGGCGCACTCAAGGAAAGGAGCTACTCTCAACCGGCATAGATTCTTGTCAGCATTAGCATGGTCGCAGGCATTGACATTCGTACTTGTATCCCAAATCATTAATGTACTATCAGCATTGTAGCAACAGTGTACCCCGCAGTCTCGCACTGCAAGTTGAAGCATCGATCTTTTGAGTGTGTTATTCGTCGCCTGGTGGCAAAGAGGCAGCAGATCTCGGATGACGCATGGATGCATAAGATAATGTTATGGCCTTTTCCCACGAGGTTGATGGCATACATTCGCCCCATCACACCATGGCTGTCTTGTTCTTTCATTGGATGGTAAGCTGCATAGAACACTGCTGATAGCAACCAAGGATGACCAGGATTGTTCTATCTAGGGAAACATGTCATGAGATCTCATCGTCATAATGATGCGGTTGACAGCGATGCCCCTCCCCCACACGCACAGACAGACACCCTTGCCGATTTTTCACAAGCTGTCAACTCAAAATAATAATTAATAAATAAAAGTTGCATCGGAGTCGATCCTTTTTGGCTCTAAATTTTCCCATGAGCTTGGATTTCGATCCCGCCGCTCAATCTTGCTTTGGATGACCATTGCATCGAATTGCTTGATCAGCTGTGCGGAGTGAGAAAAGCTTTGGCCTGTATGGTGCCTGATCTGCTCCCCTTTGGACCCTCCTCCTTGGCAAGGGTAAAAAGGCCGGGGGGTTGCTGACTGACTGCGAAAGTGTGTTGGTGACCAAGTCAAGTTGGCTTGCGATTGGCCGAAGCGATGGTCGATAGGCCACACGTATCCCACACAAAGCACCGATATCGCAGCGGATGGGAGAATCGAGCGGGCAAGTAGGAGGAGGTCGCGTGGGGCATTCTGTGATTTGGTTATTCCGAAGCAGCTCTCCCACATTCACACAATCCGCTTTCCCTTTCTTGAGCCTTCGATGAGCTGCCTTGGAGCAGCTCATGGTGACTTGTAGCAGTCTGTTGGCTTCTTTCAGGAGGGCCAGTTGCCTTGGCTTTTTGACTGGTTTTTGGTTTTTTTGGTTTTTTTTTGCACCTTCTCCTTTGACCACACTGCACAACCTGGATCCCCACCTGGGAGCCGCTCACTCATAGCCAGCGATACCGTCGAGCCCGGGCTGACCCATGGGAAAGCCCGTGTTCTCGTTGCTATCGGCTTTTGCTTTAGCTTCGTCCCCTGCTGAGCCTGGTCGAGACCGGTCCATCTCTAGGCGGAAAAGCATCACTCAGCAGAATCGGCTGTCTCGATACCAAGGAGGGAGGGAGAACCGCCCCTTTTCGGCCTTTCTCACCGCAGCGCCCTCCGTCAGTCAGCCTTTTCGGAAGGCTCCCGACAGCTCATCGGCTCTCTTTCCGCGGCGGTCTCTCCCCTCTCTTCCTCCCTCTCTCTCTCTCTCTCTCTCTGTATCGTGACATTTGACCTTTGGCACTTTTATCCGCTGGCCAAGCCCTGAAAGAGTCGGAAGAGTCGAGATGGCGTGATTGCTGCACTTTGTCGGCTTCTCGTATCAAAGCCACTTTCACAGGAAGGACTCAGGGAGAACGAGCGATTGGGCGAGCCAGCGAGAGGCCACTTTGGTGACTGCCCACACGGCGACTGTTCACACGGCGACTTAGCAGAGCCAAAGCCGCAAAGGACCGTTTGCTTTGTTGGACACTTGTAGCGAGACAGCGACTTCCCCTAAGCACTCGCTGTGCTTGCTTGCTAGCAAGGATCGCAAACCCGGTCGGACCTCATAAAGAGAGCCAGCCCGCGCACCGAACGGCGACAGGGTCTGCTTCCGCCAACCCCCGTATGAACGAGTTGGTCGCCCGTAGCAACACGAACTTCTTGGTCTTTCTTTGGTCCTCTGTTTCCCGCTTCGCTGGCATCATCAAGCACTTTCTTTGAGTCCTCACCTCTCCTTTCACAGCGTCGACCACACCTAAAGCTGGCTTCGACGCCATCTAGCCGAGTCTTGGACCAGCATATATCGACAATCCAAGCTATTTTCTGCGCTCGCCTGCTCTCCAAGCCAATCCCTCCAGGCTGTCACCCATCTTTCTATCTGGGGGGATCCCGATCTAGGCCAAGATCGACGGCATCGTCGACACCTCCCCCTCTTCTCTACCTCTTGGTAGGGTCCACCACTCGACAAGACTCCATTAGGTCTACCAACATCAGCCTCTGCCATGATGACCCCCATCCTCGGAGCCTCCGGTCTTGGCCGTTGTGGTCGATCGACCCAAGCCAGCACACTCGATCTCTCGAGCTCGAGCTCGTCCTCTCGACGTCACAGCAGCTCCTCCCAGGCTCGCAAATCCTCTCACACCAGCTCCCTCATGGACGACTGGAGTGACGCTTTCACAGGTATTGTCGATCTCGACCGTCGAATGCGACAACTCGCCATGTCCGAACAAGGCCTTGAACCACTCGACTCCTCCACTCAACTTGATGTCTACGAACCCTACTCTCCTCTCTCACCCTCCCGGCTCGAGTCTTTGCAGCATGTGCATTCCCGCAGGAAAAGCTCAACCGATGCAAGATCCGGTAGCATCTCTCAACCCTCCCTCACTACAGGTCGAAGCTTTCCATCCTTCACCTCGCACCCAACCAACACTACCGCATCGTCCAGCTCGACCACCGCGACTTGGCGCTTCTCACAGGACTCTCGTGCCCACTCATCCTCTCTACTCGCAAAGCGAAGATCGAGTGCAACAAGCACAATCGATTCCTTCGACAGCACCCACAGTCCAATACGTCTTGCACCACTCCCTGCCTCACCCTCTGCTTTCGGCAACTACCGTCTAACAGACAGCACCTCGCTTCCTCGAACTCGGCTCATGCTCCCAGCCACATGTTGGTCCAGCTTGGACGAACAAGACCCCCTAACCCCACTCGCTATCCCTTCTTCTCAGCTCGACCCAATCACACCCACAACGGCAGCTGCTGCAACATGGACCGATCCCACAGCTCCCTCTTATTTCCCAGCCGGACTAAGCGATCTCAGCAACAAAAAGAAACCTCGTTTGCTGCGGAAGAAAGCTGCCCGCCCTCCTTTACCCAGCTTGGTTTCTGCCCAAGTCGTCTCTTCGCCCACGGCTGAATCCGGACTAGTTGGTGACGATAGGGATCGCCTGCAAGTAGCCGTTACCCTTCCCGCTAATATGGGTAAAGATGAGTCGGGTCGAGCTTATACATTGAGACGTTCAGCACAATCTTTGGCGCTCAGCTTTAGGTTTAAGATGCTCAGAGCGAAACGCAAGGTGAAAAGGTCTGGTCAAGGTGCTGTAGACCTTTTTGCCGCGGCCGCTTCCCAGACGAGTTCGGGCGAGGCAACTAGCATTTCGATTTAGCTACAAGTGTTTCCTTTCACGCTTCTCGTCTTGTTCTGCGCTCTGTAAAGGGTTTTGTTTGTTTATGTACTTGTATCGCATGCGGGGAAACGATTATCGTTATACGTCTTGCCCTACTTCTCTAAGCACAGACTGGATTGAAAGAAAGATTGGAGAACGTGGCATGTCTATTCGCTCAACTTGTGAGGGTAGGTAAACTAGTATCCGAGCAAAAGTCGGCGCAAGCGCTTAGTATCAGCCCTCCGTTGATTTCTGAAATCTGCCATTCTACTCCATCCTTCATCCTCGGCAACTACTGGCCTTCGACTTTGCCCAATCTCTTTCCCTCCGGTTTCCCCTCCGGTTTCCCCTCCGGCTTCCACTTCCTCTGTAGCTTCCGGCACCTTCACCATCTCATCCTCCCCCTTTTCCCTCAAGTATTGTGGTAGAAGGCTGAGCAGCGCATCTTGATAAGCACTGTCGCTCGGAAACGCTAAATCACTGGTCTTATTGCCTCCTTCCTCACCTTTTCCCACCACACTTGACCATTTCTTCGCATCCGTACTTGGCACTGTTGGATCCAATCTAGGCAGACCAGTCGAACCTCGCCAGGGTGCTACCTCTCCAGCCCAGCACGCCGCAACAATACGAGATTGAACATGTGTTAGGGGCATGGGAACGATCCTGATCGGCGCACCAAGGACGCATATTGAGGGGTCTGGCGCATAGAATAGCGACCAATCGTCCAAATTCGTCAGGAACGGTGCGGTGTGTGATGGTGGGATGTAGTCTCCCCCTTCTTCCCCGCTCTTCTCCCATGCGTTCGGAGGTAGAGGGATGAGCGGTTTCTTATCGAAGGGCGGTTGGTCCTGGGGGAGATAAGGAAAATCGTAACTATAACCAGTAGCAAAAATGATCACCTCAATCCCATCCTCACTCCACTGCGCCTTGTCATCCTTAAAAACCACCTTGCGCTCTTGATCTATGCTCTCTATGCTCGGCACAACCGTTATCCTCTTTGCCCAATCGGGACTCTCTTCTTCGCGGGGATCATAATCTAGTGGCGGTGGTTTATGGAAGTGTTCGTACGAATGCAGCACCCTCCTGCTCTCCTTTCCCTTCTTCCCCGCACTACAACGTTGGATATACGATTGCGTTGCTGCTTCTCCTTCGGGTAGAATGCGCAAAAGATATCCTGCCAGCTCTCTAGCAATATCACTACCCGAACTAGAGTTGCCAACAACCAACACCTTTTTCCCTTCATACGGAAGAGGAGACCTCCACCAAGCACTATGCAAAATGACCCCCTTGAACGTGTTTAAGCCTTTTATGTAAGGTATATTTGGCGTACTACACCTTCCACTTGCAACCACAACGTTCTCAAATGCCTCGACTGTTTCCTTGCCCGATTGTATGTCTATACTTTTGACACTCCACATGCTACCCCAACCGATCTTGTCCTCTATCCTTTCGTATGCTACCCTTCTAACGTCACTGACTGCTGTGTTCAATCTCACATCAACCTCCCTACCCTCGAGCACGGAAGAAGCAAAAGAACCGATGTATGCCTCAACTTGAGCCCTAGAAGGAAACAGCGGAGTGGAAGCAGGATAGGGAAAAGAACGATAAGCCATAATATCACACGGAAGGTTTGTTCTAAGCCCATCATACATGACCCCCGGTGAACAAAAGGCTTCCCCCCGCAAACCGTGCTCGAGGGAGGCAGACCATAAAGGATATGCTCTACCAGACGAATCATAGCGGATTACACAATCGCCTGGCTCTGGATCGTAAGTCCAAACCCCACTGTGATTCTGGCGCCTATCGAAGAGTGTCACATCAAAGGTCCTGGATGCGCAAGTGGAGGATAGAGAGAGTAGTTGGTGGGTCGCTGAAAGGCCTGCTGGGCCAGCACCGATGATTGCTACTCTTCTCGTTTTTGGTGGTTGAGTGGCCGACATAATTGTTCGTTTGAAGAGATGGTGGAGGAGGAAGCAAGTGCACTTTGACGTCTACGAAGGAATCACTGAGATTCGCACCACGGTGTTGTCGAGGAGATGAGCAGCGACCAAGAGCGTTAAATCACGTCAGATAGCGTGGAGGCAATAAAGAGCGCTTTCCCAGCCGTGGAATTCACCGAAACCCAGACAGATCCTCAATCCGAACCCCAGACAATACCTCATCTCAACGCAGCTACATACCACATACAGCACCAGCATACAAGCTGCTTCACACTCTCAAGAGAACACATATCGCTGGAATTCCAAGGTAGTATAAGCTTTCTACCTTCAGTGTCGGCGTGCATGTTTAAGGAAACTTCTAGTTGAAAACAACAGTCTTGCCTCCATTCAAGAGGACCCTTCTCTCGGCAGTCCACTTGACCGCCCTAGCCAGTACTCTGGCCTCAACATCGCTACCCGCCTGCACTAAATCGGCTGGAGTCATTGCATGCCCAACCCTTTCGACGGCTTGTTCAATAATCGGGCCTTCATCCAAATCCTTTGTCACAAAATGCGCTGTTGCACCGATCAACTTGACTCCCCTTTCAAATGCCTGATGATACGGCTTGGCACCCTTGAAACTCGGCAAGAAGCTGTGGTGGATGTTGATGATCCTCCCGCTGAACAAGGAGCACAACTGCGGAGAGAGGATTTGCATGTATCGTGCTAGAACGATCATTTCTATGCCGTATTCTTTGGCGAGTTTTACTGTCTCGCTCTCTTGCCATTCTTTCGTCTTTCCTTCGGCAGCGTTGATGGGGAGGTGGTAGAAAGGAATTCCATTTGCACGCGCCAGAGGTTCGTAGTCAGCATGGTTGCTGATAATCAGGGGAACGGTAATGGGAAGCGTATTGTTCGACAACCTGAACAGAAGATCGTTCAAACAGTGTCCGATTTTAGACACCATAATAAGCGTACGTGGCTTCTCTTCAGCGCCGAAAATCTTGACCGACACCTCGGCAGCTGTAGCAAATTCCTCTTCGAACTCCCTTTTCACCTTGGCGAGGAAAGCACTTCTATTCTGCGCATAATCGGGCGAATGAGGATCCGGATGAGAAGATCCGTTTTCGGGATCAGGTTCGGAAGCATGTACACGCATAAAGAAAGTGCCGGTGGACGGGTCACCGAATTGAGCCGAATCCATGATGTTCATGTTTCGTCGCGCGAGAAAGCCCGAGATTCGATGGACGATGCCTGGACCATCAGGGCCGGAGAGCGTTAGGATGATGGAGGGTGGGGGGAGAGCCGAAGCTGGTTGCTTGGGACGGATTTTGGTTGGGAGGATCGAGGCCGATGCCGATGCCGAAGCCGAAGCAGCGGAAGGAATAGCGGCGGAGGGTTGCCCGGTCGTCATGGTTTCGAGTTCTGCTAATGAACGGAGACCACGGGTTAGAGCAGGCGTGATGGTACGCGTGGTGGTGGTGGTGGTGGTGGTAGTGGAGGCGAGGCGGAAAGAAGAACGTGCTACAGAAGGAGCGATGTGAGTGTGAATGAAGTTGAACATGGGGAGATGGTGGTGAGAAAGTGAAGGGAGAGAGATTGGAAAAAGAAAAAAGAAAAAAGAAAAAAGAAAAAAGAAAAAAGAAAAAAGAAAAAAGAAAAAAGAAAAAAGAAAAAGAAAAAGAAAAAGAAAAAGAAAAAAGGCCCGCACGGTTCCATCTCGCTTGGCGGGTGGATGATTAGATTAGTTTTGACTGATCAGATCATGCATCACCGAGCAGCTGGCAACGAGGGTTAGGGTTGCTTAGTCAGCATCACCTAAACACAACGTTGCTCCACATTTCCGAGTGTTGCAAGCACGGTTCATCCTTGTTGACTGCATCTTATCTTTCGACCCTCGACAACCATCCAGTGGGGGACCATCGCCCCTAAAGCCTTGATCAAACCTCCATTCCATCCTCCTCCGCTTCCGACCACACTCGGCCTGAATCACGGGCGAGAGAAACGCAAGCCACCATGAAACGCAAAGTCCTCCTCATGGGTCAATCGGGGTGCGGTAAAACCTCCATGCGCTCCCTCATCTTCTCCTCCTACCGTGCCTCCGATACCCGACGGCTTGGCTCCACTCTCGACGTTGAACATTCTCACGTTCGATTCCTCGGCAACCTAGTCCTCAACCTCTGGGACTGTGGTGGACAACAATCATATATGGATTCCTATCTCGACAAGCAACGTTCTCAAGTCTTCTCCACCGTCGGCGTTCTCATTTATGTTTTCGATCTAGTCGGAGCCGAGGGTGGCGATGAGGGGGATGAGGAATGGGAGCGTGATCTGCGATACTACAAAGACTGTCTTTCAGCGCTTTATCAGTTTAGTCCTGATGCACAGCTTTTTTGTTTGCTACACAAGATGGATCTTGTCGACAAAAGCAGGAGGGCAAACGTGTATGCGGAGAGGGTTAGGGAGTTGAGGAAGAAAAGTAGAGAAGTGGCGATGCAAGCAGGTGGCAAGGAGGGAGAAGGATTCAGGGTCAACGCATTCGCAACTAGCATCTGGGATGAAAGTCTCTATAGAGCATGGAGTAGAATCGTGCAAACTCAAATCCCCGCTCTTCATATCCTCGAAAAACACCTCTCGCAACTAGCAGCCACTTGTTCTGCAAGCGAAGTCGTACTTTTCGAACGAACGACTTTTCTCGTCATTGCCAAATCTACACCCTCCTCCCTTTGCTCCTCCAACACCACCACTTTAGCAAATCACGAGTATGAAGAAGAAGAAGCAGGTTTAGAAGGCTTCCGCGATACATCCACCCGAACCTCCACCCCATTAGGGTCGGGTTTCATCCAACCTCCCACCTCAACCCCTCTCTCATCAACCCGCACCGCAACAACATGGGATCCAGAAAGATTCGAAAAAGTATCAGAGTTGATCAAAAACTTCAAGCTATCATGCCAGAAACTTCCAGCGAAAACAAGTCAGTGCGAGTTCCAGGCGGTGGAACTCAAAGCACCCAACTTGTCCGCCTACATCGATAGCCTAACCAGTAACACATACATTATGATATTGCTCACCGATCTGCAAGTGCAGTTGGCAAGTGTCAAGTTAAATGTACAGTTGGCTAGGGACCATTTTGAACGTCTGCAGGCAATCAATCTCAGATCCTAGCAGCAGGGAGACGTGGTAAGGTACTGCATTCATACCCAGAACCTCGATCGATCATTGTCGTTGTTGCTGTGCATGCGTGAGTTGATTGCGTGATGTGCAAGTGAGGCAGTACCATAGAAATGAGACCCGAGGCTAGGTGTCACGTTTGAGAATCTGCATCTTGCCCAGAGCTGTGGGTGTAGGAGCAGGTGTCGCTGAAGTTGTAGCAGCACTGCTGGGCTTGTCCTTTGACCCGCCTTTCTTTCTCTGCTGCTGCTGCTGCGAGGGAGGAGACTTTGCTTTCGCTTTAGCCTCGTTTACCGCCGCCGCTTGACTCTGCTTAGCCATCTTCTTAGGTGCTTTTGGAGCCTGTTTTGCCGCTGCTGAACCCTGCACTACGCCCTGTCCATCTGCTTGTTTGGGAGCAATACTTGGCTTCTTCCCTGCACCACCCTCAGCAACAACAATACCTTCTGCTCCACCTTTACCCTTCCTCGACTTCTTCTTGCTCTTCTCCTTCTTCCCGAGTTTTGCTTCTACAGCAATTCCTGTTTCGGCTGCCTTTCCTTTCGAGGCCGCCATATTTGCGCTCGCGGAGGGAACAGCCTGAGTTGTTGTCGTCTTACCCACCGCCTTGTTCGCCGCCTTGTTCGCCTTCTTCAGCCTTGCCACACTCTCCCTTTTCGCCATCTTAACCGCTCTCAAGTGCTCCAACAACGGAGTCATTTTCCCTTTCTCCACCTGCTCCTCCCTCTCCCGAACCTTTTCTTTCGGATCCCACAAGCTGGCCAGCAGATCCCCTTCCGACCTCTTCACCCCTTGGTCCTCCACATTTTCCAGCTTTTCAACAAACGCTAGATAGTCCGCATCTTTCTCAATACTCCCCTGTTTCGGGTCGGGTTTCATCCTTCTTCCTCTCCCAACCCCAGCACCAGTGGTACTGGGGGAAAGAACGACCTTTTGATAAGGAGCAAACTCAACAATGGAAACAGATCCTTTCCCCTTTGCATCTCGAAAGATATGTCCATCGAAATTCTTATGGAAAGTGACGAGAGAGGTGGGGTCGAGGAACCGAATGTAGGCTCGAGCAAGCTTGTTTTGTTTGTTGCTGTCTGATTTGAGTTTTCCGCGAATGAAGCTCTTGAAATCTACTGTAGGCGTAGCTGGCGTTGGTGCAGGGAGGGTTGATGAAGATGCTTCAGCACCATCAGAGCTGGACGTGATGGCCTGGCAATCAGCAGCATCCCTAACCCAAGGAGAAACAGCCTTCCAAAACACTTGTTCAGGTAAGTTGGGCGGCAACCGACGAACTACAACTTTGCTCTTGAACTGCGTTTGAGCCTGAGCTTTGCCTTGAGCCTGACCTGCGGCTTTTTTGACAGCGACTTCTTTCTTGACTTGCTTTTTGGGCTGCTTGGCTCCGGCACCAGCTGCAGACGTAGAAGATGAGGCTTTGGAGGAGGATGGACGGGACTTGTCTTGAATGAAGCGGACGTTTTTTTGCGTTCGGTTTTGAGCACCTCGTTCTCGGTTTTGCTGTGCTTTGGCTTTGTTTCCGGTTGCTTTGTCTTGCGTTGCTGCTGCTCGAACGGGTTCTTTGGCTTTGACTTTGAGTGTCTGTGGATCGCCAGCAGCAGCAACCATGGGGCATCCTGGTTCAGGCCGAGACATGGTCTTGAAACTCAACGCAAAGTCGAAGCTGAGCTGAGCTGTGGTGTGGTGGGAGGGCAAGCAGGTCAGTTCAGGGTCCAAGCTTCTCAACCTACGCTCAGTTCTGTAGTTTGCGAGGGTTGATTTGTAAGCATGACTTTGCAATTAAAAAGAATTCACGGGAAACGGAAATGGAGAGATCGCAACAACTTGCCTTCCATCAACATCTTGGACCATTGCAAGCTCTTAATCACCCTCACAAGTCACCACCTCCCACAGCTCCGCTACAATGCCACCACGACGAACAAGAGCAGCCAAGGAAGCTGACCGTCACGATGAAGCGACGCCAGAAGTAAAAGTCGCAGAGTCATCTTCATCAACAACGGCATCACACGGTATCTCTACAAAGACAGAGCGACCACCATCCACAGCACCTACCAAGTCGAAAGCGAAAGCAAAAGCAGCTCGACACCAACCACTACTCCCCGATGGACCATCCACTCCCACCACCACCACCACCTCCTCCTCCTTCTCCTCCAACCCCGAACCTCCACCCACTTCACCATCCGCCGAAGCAACCCGGAAACCAACAATGGAAGATCGACAAGCGCGACTCTCCACCCTCCGATCCAAGATGGCCGCCTCCACCCGAGCCAACCGACGTGAGATCCTTTGCGAACAATCTCGCTCTCGCTCTCTCACCTCAGAACTCAAAACCGCCTCTACCTCGCGCAAACTCGCCAAAGCAGAGTCCTTACTCGAACAAAGAGACCTTCGAGAATCAGGAGAGCATGTCGAGAGACACAGGAACATGACCTATTCTCTCGAAGATAACGAGAAATGGGATAAAAAACTGCAACAGAAGCAAAAAAGCAAAGATCAAGGTACAATTGATTTCGCTGATGCTGCTCAACGTGCTTACCAACGGCAAGTTGGATTGTTGAAGCCGAATATTGCGTTGTATCAGAAAGAAAAGGAGGATCGAACCAAACCGCTCGTCAGAAACCCTAAAGGAACCATAGCTAACTATACAGCACGAGTGGCAGAAGAAGCGCAAGAGATTCATTATGGAACACACAGCCCTACTCACGATGCCATAGATAGAGTTGTTCAGCATTTGAACCATGAAAAACAGATTATACAGAATAGAAGTAGGAGGCGAGAGGAACATGAGGATGCTGAGGTGAATTATATAAACGATGCTAATAAGCACTTCAATAAAAAGCTCAAGAGGTTTTATGATAAAGAGTCGATCGAGATTAGAGAAAATCGTAAGTCGATCTACCCACATCACCTTAGCATGGGCGAGGGTGAGATACTGACAGACACTTCTTTGCTTGCCTTGATGGTCATGGACAGTCGAGAGAGGTACCGCTTTGTAAGACCTTGCATTCGTTCATCGCGGTCAAGATGCACATGCAAAGCTAGCTACTAGGCATCGTTGCAATCGCATTTCTCATACCCGTTTCACACAAGAACAGCAGAGAGAAGAGCGCGAGTTGTGTTTGGAGATTAGCGGAAATGCTTTTGATGCCGAGTTGCTACCCTCGCTGGCTACCATGCTTAGCAACGAGCATTAGGCCTGGAGTTCAAGTTATGCGTGATCCATCCACCCCTCAAACCTCTCTGATAATCCCAATCAGCGGCACTCTCCGTCTTCCAAGTCCAATAAATCCAACCACTTGCTCTCTCATACACCGAAACCTGCGTCTCGAACAACCTCTTCAACTGAGCCTTATACGCATCGCTAAACCGACTTCCATCACCAGACTTATTCGCACAACTACCCACATAGTAGCTTCCTCGTCCGAAACTTGCATCGTATCTCGCTCCGACAAATCTTCCGTTGAGATGCTTTGCGCAATCGGTGGGAGCTGTGGACCATTCCCCGACGATCGTCCAAAGGTTCTTGTCGGATGAAGCAAGACCGTCTGCCTGGGAGCAGTAGTTGTTGAGACGTTGGTCTTCCGACATTGCGACCTGGTCGGGAGAGAAAACGGAATAGATGTGCGTGTCGAGTAAGATCTGCTGGTATTTAGGGGGAGAAGCAAAACCGTTCCAGTAAGGTAAACCCATAAAAGCATCATGAATCATAACCGCAGCGTTGTAGAATTTGGAACGAGAAGCAGAGATACCATTGTAGTAGTAGCTTTTGGTGTAATCCATGATGTTGCCCGCAACGAAACCGGCAGGTTCGTTGAGAAGTTCGATCGAGGTTACTGTCCCGTCGTACTTGGCGTAACGAGCAGCGATGGTGGAGATAACGTTAACGGCACGTTTGGCATTGTTTGGATCGTTCGGCCAATCCACATTTCCTTTACGGCCTGAATTGTCAAAGCCATTCTGAGAACCAGGTGCACCGTGAAGATCGATGATCACTTTGAGACCGTATTTGGCAGACCACTGGATGGCTCGCTCGAGATAGTCAGCTTGGTTGGCTTTGACATAGGGTTCACCGGCCGAGGTATCGAAGGCCCAGTAGCCGATGGGGATGCGGACATGGTTGAGACCGGCTCCTGCGATGGCGGCAAAGTCGGCTTCAGTGTAGAAGGTGGACCAATGTTGTGCGAGGCGACCGTAAGCATTGCTTGCGTATTGGCCAAAAGTGTATTCGTCAATAACACGAGCGTCACCGGTGTTGTCGAAGAGACTGGGAGTGATCCAGGGTTCAGCTACGAGCCAGCCTCCGATGTTGACTCCTCGGACCTGCAAGAATGAGCAAGCAAAGCAAAAGAAGATGTCGTAGTCGGTGTCAGTATCGACGCTCTGGATTGTGAAACAAAGCTTGTATGGTGCATGTTTCAACTTACCTTCTGACTTCCATATGGGAATGCAGGACTCTGGCGCGACTCAAGAACGATGCGAGGGTTGGGAAGAAGCTCGCCACGTTGGTCGAAAAGAGAGTCGAGAAAGTTTCCATTGTTATCGGCACGAATGACAGGACGAGTGTCGTTGCCAGCGGGAACGAAGGCACCGATGGGAGATGGGGCAGCAGCAGTCTGTTGTGAGACCAAGGCAAGCGCCGATGCCAAGAATGGCAAGAGTGTGAGCTTGAGCTGCATCTCGAACCAGGTCAGCAGCAATAGAGACGGGTGGAAAGGGTCGAATAAGGGTGGGTGGAGCTGTATCTAACAGCGAGAAGAGGAGAGTGACAGACGATACTTGACGAGGGATGCAGACAGTGTAATGGAGAAGAAGAGGCGGGGAAAGGGAGGAAGAAGGTAGGGGAGATGGAGGAAGAGGCGGGGGAAAGGAGGAAGAAGGTAGGGGAGATGGAGGAAGCTGGTGTTGTCGAGTTGGGGAGTAGCTCGAAATGCGATCGACCTGAATCTGGCTCGAAATAAAGGGTGGTATATATGTGAATGAAGAGGATGGATATATGCACAGAGCCCTGAGATCCGACCTGCGGACAGCGGTAAGCTAGGAGCAGTGAGAGGGAGCCTAGTCCCAAGGAAACGGAAGACGAAGACGCAGAGAGACGGAGGAAAGAGAAAGACAGGAGAAAGGAGGAGGGGTCGAAGCGCGCAAGGACGGAAGCAGGTTAGGAAGGATGCAGGTTAGGAAGGATGTATGCACGTCTTAGCGCGAAAAAGGAAGGAGGACGGGGTCAAGGTGGAAGGAAGAGAAGGTGAATGGGAAGCAAGGAGTGCCTGAGAAGCAAGGAGCGCTTAAGATGGCAAGAGCGGAGAAGGACAAGGCGAGATGCGAGCGGAGGGACAAGAGACGTTGTGCGGACCAATATCGAGCATCGGCAACGAGAGACGAGAGACGAGAGACGAGAGACGAGAGACGAGAGACGAGAGACGAGAGACGAGAGACGAGAGACGAGAGACGAGAGACGAGAGACGAGAGACGAGAGACGAGAGACGAGAGACAAGGCTGCAACAGCTACCTGTAGGGTCAAGCTCGGGCGGCAAGAAAAGGAGCAAGGTTCATGAACAACAAGATCGTGAGAGAGTTTGTTTGGTGGCACAAGACGAGAGCAAGAGACGGCATCCTTTCGCTCAAGTTCAGGCGAGAGACAGATGAAGCGATATAGATCTGCGCCCGAGCTCTTGGTAAGTGGGAGGCGGCACTCAACAGAAGTGACGGCGGCTGCGGGATTTTCAAGTGGAATGCAGGAGCGAAAGGAAAGGGGGAGGGATCATAGCGTTGGAGAGCAAGCAAGCAAGCGAGCAAGCAAGCAAGCGAGCAAGCAAGCAAGCGAGCAAGCAAGCAAGCGAGCAAGCAAGCAAGCAAGCAAGTATTGAGAAGGGCCTGTACTGCAAGAGAGGGGAGAGGAGGTAGAAAAGTGTGGTTGCGTTGTTGAACATGAGGAAGAGCAGCATTGCAAGTGGAGAGCAAGTTGCGCTAATTAGCCATTTGAGATGGCCATTTATTGGAGCATATACCTTTGGCTAAAAGAGCTCAACCCCTTTCTCGCCTTTTTGTGACAGCTCTACACGAGAAAATTTCTTTTTTTCTTTTTTTCTTTTTTTCTTTTTTTCCCGCGACTTGGGCTCTTTTGTTTTGGGTGTCTCTTCCCGCTTGCTTGTCTGATCGCTTTGGCACTAACTCTAGCTTACCACCACACAGGGGAGTGTGACGAGACGACGAAAGTGGCAACTGTCTCAGCGCATCAACCAGCGTGTGTCGTTGGGGTTGCTGCCAAGATGCGCGCGACGGATCGGCTACAGTCTCATCCGACGGAGCGAAAAAAGAAAAAGAAAAGAAAAGAAAAAAGAAAAGAAAAGAAAAAAGAAAAGAAAAGAAAAGAAAAAAGAAAAGAAAAAAGAAAAGAAAAAAGAAAAGAAAAAAGAAAAGCGAAAGCCCGCCTTCGTTCCTCACTTTGACACTCTATAACACAGTCACATTGACCGACAATCCGAAGCGGATCTGATCGTGAAGAGCAGGCCACTGTGACGATATAGAGCATGTACCATATCCTGTCAAGCTATCGTTGGTCGACGAGGAGGACGTTGTTGAAGAGCGCACAAAGAAGCGCGGGCTAATAACAGACAGATCCGAATGAGAGGAGAATAAGTACGCCTTCTTTCTCAACTCAGCTCGCACCCTCCAACATCTCATCTGGCCGGGGAAGCCTTTGCATCTCTCTACTCCTGCCTCAGGCCATTGCCCCAATGTCGTTGCTTTATGAATACATCTTGGCCTTGCAACAGTCGAGAGTCGTGTCGAGTTGTCTCTGTGTCTCCTTTGACGTGTCGTATACAACCTCGGATGAGCATGCGAATTAGGCCAGTGCATAGACTCGCAGCCCTGAGCTTCTGCTTACAGAGTCGCCTAGGCTTCTCATCCCCGCCCCTTGCACCAGTCTGGATCGGTTCAACTTACAGAGATCCATCGGCCAGCAACCGATTCGCTCAAGTACAGACATGACCAGAACTTATACTCTAGCTCGAATGGCAAGCTCGAATGGCAAGCTCGAATGGCAAGCTCGAATGGCAAGCTCCCGCTGTTGCACTCCTCGGATTAAGTGGCCTTTGCTTCGAACTCGTCGCATAAAGACAAGATTGTGAATGCGCTTGGCATCTTGCTTGGAAGCGCACAGTAGGAGCCTACTCTGATCGTCGACAAGGCAGAGAGAGGGTGATGAGAGATGTTGCCAGTTCTGCATTGCAATACCTTGACCATGGACGTCGGCCTTGTGAAATGAGGCGACGAGTTATATTGTTGTTGTTGTTAGACCGTGTCAACCTTTGCTTTCAGTCGTCCCTCTGTCCCTCTGATCCTTTGCTTACATCACGCTGACAATGATTGATGGCGGTGCGCAAAGCCCACTCTAAAAGTTTGACCTTGACTGAGCGTTTCCCTTTCCCTTGTTCCGAGATTTCTTTCTTTTTTTAACACTTGGTGTGACATGCAACTCGACGTGTCATCCTCCCGATCATCCTTCCTTCTTCCCCCAAATGTCGGCGCTCATAGTATTCTCACCACCTCAACAAGTTCCACTCAGCCGTCAGAGCTTATCGCATCCCTTCCTTCCTGCTAGCGTCATCAGGTTCTCATTACCGCCCGCTAGCTTCTCACCCTCCGCCCATGCATTGAAATAGTCCACCAGCTGTCGATCCGAATCGACCCCTGCCCACTCACCATGTCCGAGCACTACAACTTCGAGCACTTTGATGGTGCCTCCAACTATGGTGCTAGCACTTCCGAATACTCGTACTCCGAAGCCTCATCCCACGCATCAAGTCGCACCAACGCTCATGCCCATAAGCAGCACACCAAGCCCAAGGCTGACTCGAGGCGCAAGGACATCCATCTTGACCTCGACCTTGATGCCATTAGCGACCTACACTTGACCGAGCACCACCTCGATCCTTCGCGCTCCCATGCCCACGCTCATCTCCATGGTGCTCCTCATTCGCATTTCTCACACAGCAGCTTCGAAGCTGCCAGCCCATCCTTGCCAGCACATGGTGCTCCTCTTCTAGACAGCATCCCCGACGACTCCGACCTTCTCTCTTTCCAGAACCTACCAGAGCATGCTTGCGCCTATTGCGGCATCTTCAACCCCTCTTGCGTTGTCAAGTGTCTTATCTGCAACAAGTGGTTCTGCAATTCCCGCGGATCCACTTCCGGTTCCCACATTGTCAACCACCTCGTCCGCGCCAAGCACAAGGAGGTCTCTTTGCATGCAGATTCGCCTCTTGGAGAGACGATGCCCGAATGCTACAACTGTGGTGTCAAAAACGTCTTTCTTCTCGGTTTCATTCCAGCAAAGAGCGAGACCGTCGTCGTGCTACTCTGTCGACAGCCTTGCGCCGCCATGTCCAACTCCAAGGACGTCATCTGGGACACCACTCAATGGTCGCCTCTCATCCAAGATCGTTGCTTCCTCACTTGGCTCGTCAAGGTTCCCACAGAGCATGAGCAGCTCCGTGCACGCCCTGTCACATTGCAGCAGATCAATCGTCTCGAAGAGCTTTGGAAGGAGAATGCCAACGCCAGTCTCGAAGATCTCGACAAGCCTGGCGTTGACCAAGAGCCTAACGGCATCTTGCTACAATACGAAGACGCATACCAGTATCAGAACATCTTTGGCCCATTAGTCAAGATCGAGGCAGACTATGACCGCAAGCTCAAGGAGTCGCAGACACAGCAGGACTTGGTCGTTCGATGGGATCAGGGTCTCAACCAGAAGAAGATCGCATGGATGATGCTGCCCAAGCTAGAGAGCGGAGAAGTGCGTCTAGCTGTCGGTGACGAGTTGAAGCTGCGCTACCGAGGCGAGATAGCTCCACCTTGGCAAGGTGTGGGTCATGTCATCAAGATTCCCAACAACGTCTCGGACGAAGTTGCGCTTGAGCTCAAGCGATCCGATGGTGTGCCCGACCACTGCACACACAACTTCTTTGCCGACTTTGTCTGGAAGGCTACATCCTTCGACCGTATGCAGAGCGCCATGAAGACGTTTGCTGTCGACGAGCAGAGCCTCAGTGGCTACATCTATCACAAACTGCTTGGTCACGAGATTGAGAGTGCTACCTTGCGCACCACCATGCCCAAACGCTTCAGCGCTCCTGGTCTTCCCGAACTCAACCACAGTCAGGTCAACGCTGTCAAGAGTGTACTCCAAAAGCCACTCAGTCTCATCCAGGGTCCTCCTGGTACCGGTAAGACGGTGACCTCTGCAACGATTGTCTACCAGCTCAGCAAGATGAACCCAGGCGCGGTGCTTGTCTGCGCTCCCTCCAACGTCGCCGTGGACCAACTGTGTGAAAAGATCCACCTGACAGGTCTCAAGGTCGTGCGTCTTAGCGCAAAGAGTCGAGAAGCGCTCGACAGCCCCATCAGCTTTCTCACGCTCCACGAGCAAGTTGCTAACAACGATACCCATATTGAGCTGCAGAAGCTCATCCAGCTCAAGAACGAACAGGGCGAGCTCAGCAGCAGTGACGAGCGCAAGTACAAGGCTCTCACCCGTGCTTGTGAAAAGGAGATTCTCAGCACTGCCGATGTCATTTGCTGCACCTGTGTCGGTTGTGGTGATCCTCGTCTCTCGAAGATCAAGTTCCGCACCGTGTTGGTCGACGAAGCAACACAGGCAGCTGAGCCAGAGGTCATGATCCCTCTCGTGATGGGTTGCAAGCAAGTCGTCTTTGTTGGAGACCACCTCCAGCTAGGCCCGGTGATTATGAACAAGAAAGCCGCACGAGCTGGTCTCAGCCAGAGTCTGTTTGAACGTCTTATCATGTTGGGCAACCGACCGATTCGATTGCAGGTGCAATACCGTATGCATCCATGCCTATCCGAATTCCCTTCCAACATGTTCTATGAAGGTACGCTGCAGAACGGTGTCACCGCGCCAGAACGATTGCGCAGGGAGGTCGACTTCCCTTGGCCTGTACCTTGGCTGCCCATGTTCTTCTTCCAGAATCTGGGTCAGGAAGAGATCTCGAGCAGTGGTACATCCTTCCTCAACCGCACTGAGGCCTCCAACGTCGAAAAGATTGTGACGCGCTTCTTCAAGGCAGGTGTCAAGCCATCGCAGATCGGTATCGTGACGCCATACGAAGGTCAGCGAAGTTACATTGTCAACCACATGCAGTTGCACGGCTCGCTCAAGAAGGAGCTCTACAAGCAAGTCGAAGTGGCAAGTGTCGACGCCTTCCAGGGACGAGAGAAGGACTACATCATCCTCAGCTGTGTTCGTAGCAACGAACACCAAGGTATTGGATTCTTGAGTGATCCAAGACGACTCAACGTAGCTTTGACTCGTGCTCGATACGGTCTTGTGATCTTGGGTAACCCGAAGGTGCTCAACAAGCACCCACTTTGGCACTACCTCTTGGTGCATTACAAGGAGAAGGGATGTCTTGTCGAAGGTGTGCTGTCCAACTTGCAGGCAAGCATGATTCAGTTCCCCAAGCCACGTCGACCTCTGCAGAAGCCAGGTGATCTCATGGCTCGTCATCGACACGATCTTGCCGGCGCTGAGGCACATGGTCCTTTACGAGGTCGAGGCGATGCGGGTGGGAAAGGAGGCAACCAACTAGGCTTCTTGCGCACTCACGATCCCATCTCGTACATTCCAAGCGACGCACAGAGTGTCACAAGTCTGGGCACACAAGCCACTTACCCATCAGCGCATCTGTCGGCGGGAGGTATGCATGGACCGTACGCCAGCAGCATCGTCAGCCAGGACGTCGACGCCGAGAGTCTGGCAGGAAGCACAGCACCACCAGCCAGCATCACCTACAGCCAGAGCGACAGACTGCACCGCCGACTCAGCATTGGCGGTGCTTCGGACTTGACCAGCTTGGACAATTACAAGGGCGATGGTGGATTGATTGGGTCGCACGACGACGATGCCGGATCGACATTCTCGGCTGCCATCTCTCAGTCGTCGTTTACCACATTTTGAAGCATGTAAGATCGATGCATGGCTGATGTATGCCATGAATGATCAGCGACAGCGACAGAGTGAATGAGATGGGAAGCGCTATGCTTTTGCACCAACGATCCTTGGAAATGTTAAAGTTTGGGTCCCGATAACTGGTGATCGGGTAGCGCTCCCAGCTTGATATACTGTATATTCATAAGTGTCGCACATGCCGAAAGTGGGAGTTGCTATAGTTAATCATCCAGCCTGACAACGAGCGGGACTTGGTTGTACGCGATCCCTAGCGAGATCGGTTATCCTTGATCTCTGATGAAATCGGTCACCTGATCGGATCGGCCCTGCCTGATCGGAGATCAGGTCGGCTTAGCGTCGTCATTGGATCGTCATTTTCAGCAGGAAAATGTTGGAATGTTAGAGTTGCAGTTGCAGTTGCAGTTGCAGTTGCAGTTGCAGTTGCAGTTTTTTTCTTTTCTTTTCTTTTCTTTTTTTTTTTGCTTTTTTCAAAGTGGCGGCGAATTTGAGAGCTCGAGCGCCTCCTGTCTGAGATTTCGAGTCTTGTTTCTCAGATTATCATGCAGCCAGAAAGGAGAGTCAGCAAACAGCGCACAGGCGTGAGATGAGGGGCTGCATATTGCCGCTGAGGATCAGTTGTGGCAGCCGAGAAAGAGAGAAAAGGCAGCGGTCGTGCGCTGATGCAGTTGCAGCTTGAAAACGCCTTGCTCTTCTGACACTTACGCAGCAGGCTCTCGCTTAGTGTCATTTGGGCGATCCGCCAACTCCTCTTTCTTCTCGCTTGCACACCGACAGATTGAGATACGCAAAGTCTTCTGTCCCTCGCTGCTATCGCCACTCTTGGCTTCCATCAATCAAGCGAGCAAAGCGAGCAAAGCGAGCAAAGCGAGCAAAGCGAGCAAAAGCGGCTGGCTGCTGAACTAGCTTGTAAACACACAGACGCATTCTCGTATGATTGCCCTCAGGAATCAAAGCTACTGTAATTCCACATACCTTGCTTTACGCCCACAACCATCATCCTGCCATTTCTTCTGCGGCCAAGATCACCTACGCCCACCTCACCTTGAGCGACAAAGGGGATTGGAACAATATATTCGACCATCCGACCGCAACCGCTTTGACCAGCATCAGATATACCCAGCACCTCTAGCTCTCTCTCTCTCTCGCCCTCTCTTCACGATCACATTCTATTCGCTCTCGATCTCGACAATCAATGGGACGATGAGATTGAATTGAAGAGAGCGGTATCTTTCATCTCCGGATCTTTCCCGCCGCCGTTTGGCAAGTTGTGCTGGACAGTGCTGTGCAAAGCGACGATAGCTTCTGCCGCGCCGTCCGTCGTCCACCTCACTTCATTTGCAAGGAAACGAGGCTTTCTTTCGGCATCTGTTCCCACTCGATCGAGTCCCCTGAAGCTCTCTAACCCCTCCCCCCCCCCCCCCTGAAACTCTCTCTCGCCCCGATCTTTGCTCCATCTTGACCTTGTCACATCACACCCCTGCACTGCGGTAAAGCATGTTCTCACGGTGGCGTAGCAAACGGCATTTTCCGAGCGACTCTGAGTCATCGTCATCGGCTTATCCGAGCAGCTGCCAACCCGCTTCTCCCCTTGACTCGCTCCTGTGCCAGAGAGAGATTCGACCGATGCCTTCGATTGGAGGATCTAGTGGAGCAGGAGCAGGCGTCAAAGCATTCGGCGGCAGAGTCGCTATTGGCAGCAAAGGTCCCAAGTTCAGGCCAGGGACAAGAGAGGGCTCAAACGGTGCACGCTCTCCTATCAGCTTCGCTGCTGGTCCTCGCTCCAGCAGTAGAGGAGGCAACAGTTTCGAATTCGGCGGAGGTGTCGTACCTGATGACTCGCATTCGGAAGCGGGCCGATCGGATTCATCCGCTTCTCATTCCTCCGTTTCTCCCCTCTCTCCACCCTACACCGCAAGCACAGTCGGCAAACCTAGCACAGTTGGCAAACCTAGCACAGCCTCCGGCCGGCAGACCGAGAGGAAGGCTGACCCTTGCTCGGGACACGCAAATGGTGCGCAGCAGCAGACAAAGGCCGATGGAAAGGATCCACATGCTCGACTGGCATCGATCGACACGGTGGCAAGCTTCGAGGACTTTCGTTCCTTCATCGTCTTCTCCTCCCCTTCCAATCTGCTCGACGAGAGTCCAGCGCTGACCACTTCCACCAACCTTTCTAGTCCAGACATTGTAGCAAAACACAAGCCCCTTCCCGCCCTCCTGTCCAACAAGCCTCAGCCGCCTATTCCAACGCCAGTCGAATCAGAATCAGAATCACAAACCACCCCCCCTTCTTCTTCCTCCTCCTCCAACATCAACGGCAGCAGCAATGCTCCACAATCTTGTCCTCCTCCTGTAAAGCGAGTTGTACTCAAAGGCAGCTCCACCATTGCCGACGAGCCTCTTCATCTCAAAGCACAGTCAAACGTTGCCGTACAGCGTCCTTCCACCGCCTCCAGCTTACCCGAGACAGTTTCTCAACCTCGCTCCTTCCAGCTTGCTAGTCAAGAGCTCCGATCGCCAAGTCGCACGACCTCCAATCTCGCTGATCCCATGCCCACGCTTGAAGAGAGCATTCACCACCCTCCAGCAGGCACAGCCAAGTTTGGCCTTGGTATCATCTCGCCGGACGACTCGCAGCCAACTATCAACACCGCCACATTCCGCAACAGCCTCAATGCACGCAACAGCCGCAATGCACGCAACAGCCTCAATGCACGCAGAAGCACAAACACCCGCAGCGACTTGTCCAGCCGCAGTTCAGCAGATAGTTGCGCCCGCTCCTCCTTCGGTCGAAATGCTCTGCGTATGCTCATCGACTCGGAGAACAGCGTCCAAGCATCGCACAAAACCCAAAAGACCCATGTCAGTGACAGCGCTCATAGCACCAACTCAACAGAGACTAGCACCGATGTTCACGATTCGGACCAGCTATCTAACATCAAGGAACGCACCGAGTCGCCCGAGTCGGTGCTAAAGCGTCAAGTTTCGATCGAGTCAGGCTTGAGTCAGTCTGATGTTCCCACCCAACCAACTTCTGCTTCTTTTGCCAGATCGGATGCTTCTACCACAGGCTCTCCGCAATCGCGTCTTTCCAGCACACTGGCAGCGCCAAACAGTTCCGGCCCTGCTGGTGCGCTTCGCCAAAGCGAGAAAGGGTCGACATCCCTCTTGTCGGCACAGTCTCAGGCTGGTGTCAATGGTATTGGCTCTCCTACTTTCGGCTTCCGACAGCGAAATTCTTCTTCTTCTTTGCATCCTTCCACTGGGAACGAGTTGCTGCCACCTCTTGATCTTGATGCTACATCATACAGCACAGAGGCTAGGAGAGGATCGAGTGGTTCTTCGACATACTCGCCAAAGGCTCCGATCGATCTTGCCGGCCTGCGACCTGGTTCGATTGGTGTTCTTCCTACAACTCCCGGATCGCGACTGGCGGCAGAGCCGTACACAGTTCCCCTGCCATCGCTACCCTTTACTGCATCTACATCAGTTCCCCTGCCATCGCTACCCTTTACTGCATCTACATCAGTTCCCCTTCTGCAGGCGAGCTTGTCGCGGTCAACAACGCAGTCATCAGAGCCCAACACATCCAATTTGGCTTACGAAGCAGCATTGGCGAAAGCAGTGGGCAAGCAACGCAAAAACAGACCAGCAGCATTGGCGCTCAACCTTTCAGCATTGTCCGCTTTCCCGTCCAACGGATCGCTCATGTCGCCCAACAATCTCACCTTCAAGGGACTCACGAGCCCTGGCAAACCGCGTCCACCTCCGTCCGCTCCGCCTACCCAACCGTTGCCACCCATCCCGAACACTCCATCGCTGGCACCCAAGAGCCCGAATCCATTGCAGCCCAGTGGATCTGGCAACACTACCCCATCTCGATCGAATGTCGCCGTCAGTGACGAAGCGGACCCGCTCAAGACGCCAAAGGGATCTCGATCTCCGTCTTCAGCCAATAAAGTGAGGGATAGTAAGAGCTCGCAGTCGAGTCCAAAGCACCATTCAGGATCAGCATCACTATCAAGCGGCGAGCTCCTCGGTGTATCAGCGGCAAGGCGAGGCAGTGATGTTGCGAAGCAGGCCGAATCAGGATTGCCAGCCAAGATTCAAAGTGTTCAAGTGGCCGAGCCTACAGTGGCAATCGGTGCAGCAACAAGCCAAGTTGCGTCAAGTGACTCATCGGAATCGATTGCTTCGGTGGATGAGAGGGCCGACAACATTTTGACGACAATCGCTGCGGCTCAGAAACTACAGCGTGCGGCCTTTCGACCGGTGCGCTACTCTATCAGAAGGAAGGAGGCTGGTCCCAAGGAGGATTCCAGCACGCCGGCCACCAAAGCAGCATCCTCAAACCCGCCGACTGATGAGGTCACTTCTCTCATTACTTCGACGCAGCCCACTGACAGCATCAGCAGGGGTGTGACACCAATGGTCAAGGTGGAGCAACAAGGTCCCCTTCCTTCTCCTGTCGCTTCAGGTCAGATTGTCAGCTTTGACGTTGAGCCAGAAAGGCGAGAGACACAGAAGCAACAAAAGCAGCTGCCTCAGCAATCCCAGACTCAACCTCGTCACATGACAGCAACCGAAAAGCTCTCTCGTCCACCTCCCAGTGCATGGAACGCTCGCAAGACCACCTCAGTTGCAGCGCACGGCGGCAATTTCGACTCTGCCTCGATCACCGACTCCACCGTTGCCGCCAACGCCAATGCCTCTCGCTCCGAAATGGGCCACAGCGAACTACGCGACGGCGCCACCAGCGTCACCAGCTGTCACTCCACATTCTCCAGCATCAGCGATCGTCGACGCGAGATCCTCTCTGACAAAGAAACCCTTCTCGGTCAACTCAACGAATCAACCCGCCAAGAAATCCTCAAGCGCACAGAAGGTCGATTCGCAGGAGCATTCAACGAAGTCGCTGCAGCTTTCAGGCAACTCCAAGCCGACAAACTTGTTCTCGAGCAAATCGTTCGCGAAAAGACACCCTTAACCGGAGTCGGAACAAACAACGAACAGCTCAGCAACTATCTTTCTACCATGAATGCTAAGCTCGAACATAGCAACGCCGAGATCCGCAAGTTGCTTGCTTTGCTCGAACAGCAACGAGAAGTCATTGAGCAACTCTTAGCGACTCATCAACTAGAGAAAGAGACTTTGGAAGAAGATGTGGAGCGATTACACGAGGCGTTGACCGAGATGGAGAACAAAGCAGAGCGAAATCGCGATACGATCATCCGATTGAACACAGAGTTAACCAGAGCGCATGCTGCAACAGTGCAGGCGAATGCAGAAGCAATGCGAGCTAGAACAACTTTAACCGAAGAAGGTCGAAAGCGAGAAAAGGTGGTAGCTTTGTTACGACTGGCAAAGGAAAGATTGAGACAAGTTGAAGCAGAAGATCTCTCCTCCTCCTCCTCTTCCTCCTCCTCCTCCTCCTCCTCCTCTTCCTCTTCCTCCTCCCCCACCTCCTCCCCCCCCCCTCAATCCTCTTCCTTCCGAGCACCTGGCGAGGGAGAGAAAAGCGAAAAAGACATCAAACTATCAACCCTACGCAAAATACTCGAAGAACGAGATGCTGAAATTGCCTCGCTCCGTCTTAGCCATGCCGATGCGGTAATGCACGAATCATCCACCACCACCTCCTCCCCCTCCCAGTCTCAATCCCAATTCCCTGAAATCACCTCTTCTTCTTCTTCTTCTTCTTCTTCTTCTTCTACCACCACCACGTCGGACACGGACGAGATAGTTCGCCTTCGAAACCAGATCTCGGAGCAAAAAGAAAGAGAAAAACAAATTCGTACAGCCTACAGGTACGTTCGTGACGAACTTCGAAAAGCTAACACCGATCGTCGTCGTTCTTCCACGCTCGCACCCGCTACCGCTCCTTCCACCACCACTGCAAGGGTTAGTGTCTTCAATGGAGAATTACAAGAAGTTTTATCCAATGCAGCTATGGGGGGAGCGGGAAAAAACGTGGAGACTCCGGTAAAGTTGAAAAGGTTAAGCTTGCCTATTGTTGCCAGAGCTAATGGGATCCATAGTGCGGGCGGTTCGATTGGGATAGAGAATGAGGGAGGTGGAGGTAGTGGAGGGTATACAGCTCCTTGGTCGTTTAAGGGGAATGAAGGCGGGAGTAGACATGGTAGAAGACATTCCAGACAGGTCGTAAGTCGTAGCTCACCGAGTCGTAGCTCACCAACTACTCAGCAGTAGTGATGTCGTCATGTGCATAGCTACCACCTTTTCTCTCGTCATGTGTATTGCATGCGTATTGCAAAGTTGACCTTGGCATCTGTGATGTACAGTAGAAGCACCGTACTAGAGGGTAATTTCAAACTGCGAAAAGATGATGGGTCGCAAATTGCAACCTAAAAAAAAATGCAAAGAGACGACAAGTTTACTTTGATTCCCCTTGCTCAGTCTTGACTTGTTACTGCTTTTCCTTCTGTTGCTTCTGGTTTGCACTGCTATCTTGGCGCTGTGGATGGATGTGTCTCTGTGAGGCGAGCTTGTTCTGTTGCTGTTCGCTTTCCGAGAGGAAATCTTGTTTCTTTTTCTTCTTTTGCGCCAGAGTATCACTGAGATGTAAATTATTCGCCAAAGTTTTTGCTTTTTCTGCTGGTCCATAAGCAAATCCTAAATGCAATTGTGCTTTATCCGCTTCACTTTCGCCTATTCCAACTCCTACTTTTCCAACACCATATACATTCATCCCAGTCGGAATATCGTCAGAAGCTATGCCAGAGTACATGAGATACATCATACTACCCCATTCCAGAATTTTTTGGTTTAACCATGGCAAGGAAACAGGTTTGTTTAAAAAATCATTACATCCTGCTGCTAACGCTTCCACTCGGTCAGAAGAAAGAACGGATGCTGTTAAGGCAACAATGATGACACTTGCTCTGAACGCATTGATTCCTTTTGCACTTGCATCGCTGGGATTTCGGTGGGTAGGGTTAGTGTTCCGATCGTTTGCATCCTTGATTAAGGTACCAGAGCGAGTCATCGATGATTCTCCTGATACCTGTTTCTTTTCGGTTTCGGTAGCGGAGGTGTTGGGAGCAATTGCATGCTTAACCAAACCTTTCGTAGTAAGTGTTCTACTTGTTCCACTAAGCACTTTGTTCGCTTCCTCGGATCCTTCGCCACTGGTCTGAGTCGCGGATTTATCCTGAACGTCGAGTACAGCTTTCACCTCCCCCACAGCAGCCGGAGAGTTAGGCAAGATACCAATATTCGCAGACCTCTCCAATCTTCTAATTTCCTTTGTTGCTTGAATCCCATCCATCACTGGTAACTGAATATCCATCAGAATCAGATGGTATCCTCCAGTCTTCCACTTTTCAACCGCATCCCTACCGTTGTTGGCCACATCATACTTGATCTTCTTCTTGCCCATAAACATCGACAGGATACGTTGGTTGATCGGATTGTCTTCCACAATCAACACTTTGATTGGAGGTAGAACTGCTTCTCGGATAGGCGCTTTTTTAGGTCCGCGTCCGCGGCGAGCGGAAGAGGCAAATCCCATACCCATCATAAAGCCCGATTGCGCAACCGCTGACGGTTTCGTTTTGAATTCAGAGGCAGAGGTGGTGGTCGTGCGGGCTCGGTTTGAGGTGCGATTTGCGCAATTTGGTGCAGTGCCAGCGTTAGGGGTGTTGGTCGTGCTGGAGGCTTTGGTGCCCGCTACTGGCGCTGAGGGTTTACGAGGAGCGGCGGAGGGGGAGGTGATCGTGGTGGTTGCGTTGGCCGCTTCACTTGTTGTTTTTGCTGGCGCTGAAGCTCTCTCTGATGTTGCTGTAGCATCATCAGTGGCACTTTTGGCAGCAGTAGATTGCTGCTCGGCTTGCTTGCCACTAGCATCCGCCCCAGATCCGACCTCGCCTTTACCGCTAGCTACCTGCGACCGACCCTCACTATCCTGCTGAGACGCCGCCTTACTAGGCCCCAAGGGAGTAGTCATCGGCGGTCTAGACCCATTCAAAACCGAACGAATCCCCACCTGAGGAGCAAACATACTTCCACTCGGATACTTGCCCACATTTGGAACCTGCAATTGCTGTGCTGGCCCCTCGCCCTTGCCATCCGCCGATGTGGTTTGCTCTGCCACCGTAGCCAAGGGGCCATTTCCGGCTCCGTTGCTACTGGTTGTACTTCGATTCGCCAACCTCCTCTCCCCCCTCGCCCCCACATCCGATCCGACACTCGACTTTTCCTCCGAACCATGACTCCTCCTCAACGAACTCGCAGAAAGGCCACGGGAGAGAGTTGGTTTGGACGCAGATGCAAAACAAGGCGTAGCTTTAGGTTGGAAAAAAATCCCCGCAGGTCTACCATCCGGACTCTGAATCACCATTCCACTTGCAGCAGAAGAACCTATTTTGGCGGCTGTTTCACTAAAGTACTCCAACGCATCGGCTGGCATGGGGCTGCTAACCGCATGCGATCTCTGAGGTATTGAGGATAGAGGGGAAGTGGCGCTGTTGCTTCCAGATCCTGCATGGGTGGATTTTTGCGTTGAGATATCCTCCGCACCTGCACCCCCACCTGATGCCGCCTTGCCCACAGGCGGACGAGAAGCAGTCGATCTGGGCGCAGACTTAGTCGTGCTATTCGACCCCGGCGGAGCAGTGCCCGGAATAGCATCTCTAGCAGCATCCCGTGTATGGTTGGTCCTCACACTCGCCCCCTGTCGCGGAACCTCGGCTGCGAGGGGTAGAGTTTCGCTCGTGAGTGGGATTTGATTAGCAGAACTACTATCCGCAGGAGTCTTTGCCGCATCGATCGGAGTCCATGGCGTCCCTGGAGTAGCATCGAAATCTGTATCTGTCTCAGCTGTCATCCGACGGGTTAGAGTCATAATCCCTTCCCCCTCCCCTTGCTGTTTTTGTGCCGTTGCAGGCGTCCACCAAGACTTAGCCTGCGTAATGAGCGGCGATAAGGGTGAAGTGGCAATCGGAAGATAAGGCAATTGAACAACCGGTTTGTGCTCTGCCAGATGCAGCGCAGTAAGAATCCTCTTGGCACCGGCCGGCTTCGGTAGGACCATGATCTCCGGAGGTGAGGATACGCCGTGAAAACTAGCTGAATCGATGATCGGCTGTACTGTATCCCGGACAAGACGGTAGGACTTCATCGAGGTGAAAAAGATGATGGTTTGTGAGACGCATTCGTCCATATTTTCTACTTTTCCTTCTCTTGCACCTTGCCCTTCCAGATGGACGCCTTTGTCGCCGCTCATGAGGACGGTACCAAGTGAGCCGAAAGAACGAGAATGCGCATCTTGCTGAGACCCCTTAAGCCGATTGACTTGCGGGCTCGATTTGGTCCGATGATCCAGAGTCAGCCTTGCAGGTTTCTCCTCCTTGTTCGCAGCTGCACTTTTCGAAAGCAATGCTGACTTGAGTAACGGTACAGCAGACCGTATACGCAGCAACTCCTTCTGCAACGTAGCAATATCATCATCGATAACAACAAAGCTGAACGGCACAACACGTCTTCCCGTCGCATCGATCTGCGTTTGCGTTGAAGATGCATCTCTCGTCCCATCAACGGGCGCCGGCGTTGGCCCGGTGGCAGAAACACCTGTTTGTAAGGGAAAGTTGTCAAAAGTAACAGGCACGCCAGTGACAGGATCCAACACCGCAGTATCAATCGGATCAACTCGCTCCTCGGTACTCGCGCTTTCGCTCGATTGCTCTCGCTTCCCATCCTTGGCCGACTGCCCGGCATGCGCCTGCCTATCGATATCACTAGTATAACTAACCAACGCCGGTCTCCCCTTTGTCAAGGCAACCGCGGTATGTGCCTGTTTCCCAAAAACAACATCATCCCCCTCCAAAGAATCCTCATCGACACTATCCGAAAATACAGGCGCAATATCACATCCCAACCCGCCCAAAAACCTCGCCACCTGCCTTGCGAACAAACTCTGAGACGTCGAATACAACGCTACCTTCTTTCCCCTTAAAGAAGCCGCGAATTCGACAAGCTCATCTTCGTTCGGCCCGACAGCATGCTTCGATTTCGCCTCTATCTGTTGTTGTTGTTGTTGTTGTTGTTGCGATGGTGCGGTGGCTTGTTCAGGATCGGGTAGTTGACCGACAGGAACGCTGATGTAATGATCTATGATAGCTCGGTCAGGACTGCCTGGGAGCTTACTTGTTGAATGTTCGGTGGTAAGTCTTGCACCGAATGCATCCAATAAAATCGAAGCAGGAGTACCTGATATCGCCGACATCAACTCTGGCGTACTTGCAACGGCCCTGGGCAAAATAAGCCGCAAGCCAAGCGAAAGAACCATGAGCTTCATCTCTGCATTCCTATCCGGTCTTACAACATTCTCCTCCTTCTCCGTCAACGTCGAAGTCAACACTACCCCGGACGCAATCGGCGCATTGTGCAGCAGCCTGGAAATGCAGCTTATAAACAGAAACGTCATAGCTATCCTGTCTGCCCAAACGGTACACGAGCCTAGCTTGTAATTCCTCTGATTATCCGCTGGTTGACCTTGCAACTTGGGCTCCAAATCCAGCACCAAATCGATCCCTCTCGATGCTGCTAAACCACTAACCACATCCGCTACCTTCTGAAGCAGTTGCAGATAATCGAAATAGGCGAAATCCACCCCGTCATCGCTCTGCTGCTGTTGAGCAGCCGAATTTCGTCGAGATGCGGATGCAGATGCGGATGCGGATGCGGATGCGGATGCGGATGCGGATGCGGATGCGGATGCGGATGCGGATGCGGATGCGGATGCGGATGCGGATGCGGATGCGGATGCGGATGCGGATGCGGATGCTTTGTCTTGGTTTTCAAAGTTGGCTGCCTGAGCAGCAAGCCATTCGAGCGCTTTACAGGCTTCGAAAAGAGCATTGAAGCTCGTCACTGGAACTTGCAATGTGCTTGCACTAAGACCTTCGTCGTGCGATGCTGGAAATGCATTATCAGGGATAAGCGAGCGAAGAAGATTGATGGGCATGGTGGCAGCGTTTCGAAACATGTCCGGAAGGAAAGCGGGGAATTGGTGAGAACCTGCCACCAAGGTATCCCCCTTATCCGAACCAGCTGACTTGCTAGTTCCGTTCGACTCTGTTCTCTGCATACCGTGCGGTTGAGCACTCGGGATCGGCATGGGCAAAGACGAAAGCTGTGTTGTTGTTGTTGGTGGTGGTGGTGGTGGTGGTGGCGAGAAGCTTGTATTTGTCGGCGAAAAGCCGTGCCTCCTATCATCCTCAATCGTATTCAACGCATTCGCAAGCTGAACCGACAATCTCGGATGATCCAAACCAGACATGGAATCGGAAGGAGAATGTTGAGAAGAAGCACCGTGATGCGCCTGTGCGATGCGATCAGAAATGTCCCGATTGGCGTTTTCGAGAGTCTTCTGGGATTCTTGTGGTAGAGAGTGTCGTCCTTGGTTAAGAGGCTCGGAGGGCCATTGGAAGTTGGTTTTGGATGGAGAGCGTGCAACGTTGGGGGGAAGGGCTTGCTCGCTGGAAGCGGACGAGGTGAATTGAAGACTGGAAGAGTCGTTGTTGGTATTGCTGCTGGTTTGGGCCTGTTGGGCGGATGGTTCGGGTTCGGTCGACATGGTGGGCGGGGATCGAGGAGGGTGATGAAAGAAGGCAGGGTTGGTGGGAAGAGATTTGTCAACTAGATGGGTTGAGGCTGCGAGATTGTGACGAGGTGGTTCATCTTGGTTCTTGATGAATAAAGTGCTGGTTGAGCTGCGGGGTGGAATGAGCTGATGATGATGATGATGATGGTGGCGATGATGATGATGAATGAAATGAATCAACGCTGAGCTTTGTCGCCAAGGATCCAATGTCTGTGCCCTATGTCCTATGTTTGTGTAGTACCAACACTTGTGCCAATCGCGCACAGTCAGTCGCCGAGACACTCAGAAAAAGTGCAACAATTTCACGGCGACGGCGATTTGTCAGCCGATCTAGGCGGGAGCCCGATCGATCCCTTTGACTCTTCCCGATGCTGTCGATTCAAGCATGTATTCACGTGATCCTCTCTCACACATGAGCCTCGCTGAGGACTTGGAAGGCGCATTCGAGATCTGAGCAAGTCTGCACTGACAGAGGCCACCAGATGGGATAGTGATGCTGAGATTGAGAAAGGATGAATCTATAGAAGTACACGACCAGCTTGCATTACAATGATCAAAGCTGGGTCAAGATGAGCGCCTTTTAAGATGAGCGCCGTTTGGCTCTAGAGTGACTGTTGGCAATGACGTCCTCTATTGCCAGCCGTATCGTATCGTCTTTCCACCAAACAGTGCTCTTGCTTCAGGAGCATCCGAATTCGAATCGATTCCTCCTGATGTTCCCTTTGGTGTGATCTGATCCAGCTTCTCGCCAAGCTTGAGTGCAGTCCATTTGATCACTCGTGGATCTGCTCGAAGTCGATTGTTGAGCGATTTGAGGACAGGTGCGTTGGTGTCAAAGTGCATCAACCAGTAACTGTGCAAGCAGTAGAAGCAACAAGGCAAGTGTTTGGGTCAGTATCAGATGCGTTCCTCAAACAATGCGATAGGAATTCGGACGTGCGTTGGAGCGGTTCGATGACTTACTCTCCAGTGTTATGGTATTGTTGATGTCTGCGTGCTCGTTGTGGAAGTCGTCGTTGCCCCCAATATTGAACACCTCGAACCGCACCGCCATTCTCCAGGATCAACTTGGATGTGGACTTGACCAGATCACGCAAGGGTGCCGATTCTGCCGATGACGCGGCGATGCAAATAAGTTCGTAGAGACTGTCGATGACGTTGACGTAGCATGTCGAGAGAAAAGGTGAGCGAATCCGCTTCCTCGCAAGTGCCGAGTCTCGCTTTTGCAGCGAACGAGTACTGTTACCATGACTACTTACGGCATATCCGTATCTGATGCTCAGCTACGATGACTGAAGCTGCTGTTGCGGATTCGATGGTGGTGAATATGATGTTGCGAGATGGGTGTCTGTCAATTTGATCGAGTTGAGAAGCTTTCCTTGGCTCATTCGTCACGTGCGCGCTCTCCTTCAACGGTCAGTTATCGCCCTCGATAACGCGTGAAAATTGTTGCAAAAGGAGGCTGAGAAATTGAGAAAAACAAGGGGAAAAAAAAAAAGGAGAAAGTGTTAAGTTGCCTAACTCGAGTGAGAATTGGTCACGTGCCCCATCGCCGCATCTATCCATTCGCACGATAAGCTTTATTATTTTTCTTTCGATTTCAGAAGAAATTCTGACAGCTGCAAACAAAGTCGTTCAATTCTACTCTGCTCAGCCTCCATCGTGCTACCATCACCATCAGCAAGAGAGTCTTCCCAAGGGCCTTGCTACTCCTTTCACCAACTTCACCATGGCATCTCTACAACGATATCAGCAGCAGCAGCAACAGCCTGGCACTGGAGCCCAGCAAGCCTCTCTCGCCATCCACCGTGTCCGATTCGTCAATTGGTCACCTTCCACCGTCACCGCCCTCGCCGTCTCTCCTTGCTTTGCCGGCACTGCTCGAGGTCTCCTTGCCGTTGGACGACAGAATGGCAACATCGAGCTTTGCACTTGGGTAGGTCCTCGTGTCGCTCAAAAGTCTGAACTAGATGACCGATCCTTCCAATCAGACGCAGCTGGTTGGGCAGTCCATACCATCTTGCCTGGTCAGACCAACTCCAAGATCGAGCAGCTCTGCTTTGTCAACCCACCCACCAACGATCACACTCAACAGCGCAAGTTGCGTCTCTTCAGTATCTCTGGAGGTTCGATCGTCACGGAACACTTCATCCCTCTTCACCTTGCTAAGCTCGGTGCTCGAAGAGATGCTCGTGTCGATGACGAGGACGAGGCTGCAAAGGCTAGGCCAGGCACTGTTTCATCGCTCTTTGCCAGCAAGTCGGCGTCCGATCTTGACCCACACTACCCTGGCGAAACACGATCCTTGCCATCCCTCGCTGGAGCTGTGTGGAGTATGGCACCTAGCGCTACTGCTAGATACCTCGCCCTCGGCTGCGAGGATGGCTCGGTAAGAATCATCGATCTCGAGGATGACCGCTTTGAACACCTCGCCAGTACTTCCGGTCAAGACCGCAGGATTGTCCCGCGCTTTGGCAAGGCTAAAGGTAAAGTCATCTCCCTTTGCTGGGGTCCTCCCCTTCGCACAGCCAAGCGTTCCACCAAAGCTGCTACTGCAAAGAAGGCTTCAAGCTCCGACTCTGATGACAGCGATGACAGCGATGACAGCGATGACGACGACGATCAATGGCACGAATCCTTCCTCGTTGGTGGTCTCGCTCTCTCCACAGCCGTTGTCTGGGACGCTTCCACAGGCAACATCGCCACCAAGCTCGCAGTGCAGAAGAATCGTTCCGAGTCTACCATCGTCTGGAGCGTCGCCGCTCTCTCCGATGGTACCATCGTCACTGGAGACTCCACAGGCCGTGTCATCTTCTTTGACCCTCGCACTCGCATCCCCATCCCCGATGGCACTTTCCGTGCCCACGCCGCATCTTCCGACGTTCTCGCTCTCTGTGTCGGTCCGGACGGCAAGACCATCTACAGTGCCGGTGTAGACCAAAGGGTCGCAGAGTATACCAAGATCGACACGAGCAACGGTCGAGGTCGTTGGATTCATATTGCTTCTCGTCGCCTGCATGCGCATGATATTCGCGCACTTGCACTTGATCCTCCCTATTCGCCCATCGATGCTGCTCAGGCTATTGCTAACGGCTCGGAGGCAATGAAGCCGAGCCGACTTCCCGTGCTCATCAGCGGTGGTGTAGACTTTAACTTGGTCCTCACACCCGCTGCACCCCCATCTGCAGTTGTCAAAGCTCAAAAGTCATCCACCATTGCTCAAATCCCACTTGCTTCCGTCAAATCCAGCAAGAAGACGCTCACCAAGGTCGAACAAGAACACTCTTCCATCAACCCAATCTCTTCTAACCCACTCACCACTTTCGCTGACACCACGCAGCGTCGTGTACCCTTTGTCCCCACCTCTTCTCGCTCCGGCTTGCTCGGTGGAGGATCCGTCGCTGCACTCTGCCCTTCCAAAGCTTGGATCGTGCTCCGTCGCGAACAATCCATCGGCATTTGGGATCTCGGTAGCCCCGAACAACTTCTCTCGGTCGCTCACTCTGATCTCTCCCCTTCACACCAACCCAGCTGGACCAAACTTGTCGAAATGGAACTCAAACTAGATTCCAACCTGGTCACCCTCTCCATCTCTGACAACGGTCAATACCTCGCCTTTTCTGATCTCTACGAAACCAAGCTGTACGAGTTGAAAGAAAGACGCCGTCCCGATGGAGCGGTTGAGATTGAACCCAACAAGATCAAGAGTTTGGGCAAAGTTTTTGGAGGCCAAGATAAAGTTGCGCCCGCAGCGAGCGCGGTGAGGTTTTCGCCGGATTCGACTAGGGTTGTGGTGTGTTCCTTGACAGGGGCTTATGTGCATGTGTTGGAGTTACCGAGTGGAGCGAATGAGCAGAAATGTAGACTTTTGAGGTCCTTCGGTCAACATCGTCGTTCTCCCACCACTCATTCTAGTGGGGTGGGTGGTGATCAGAGACAAATTGCCGGTCAAAGCAGAGTCAACGGCGAAACCAAGGGTCACATTGATGGAGCAGAAAAGCAACAGGATAGGGTGGAGAGAACTACAAGTACGATCATTCAACATGCAGAAATATCGTACGATGGAGCTTGGCTTTCTACTATCTCTTCTGATCTTCAACACCACATCTTTTCCCTCGACTCTCTGACCTACGGACGAACTTTGCCCTCGCCATCGTCGTTGCCAAATGGGACAGTCTTCCATCCCTCAACATCAGCGAGGTTTAGCAGCATGCTAACGCTGATCTTTCCCGAAAACAAGATTGAATTTTGGGACGTCGAATCAGGAAAAGAACTGACCTCGCTCACCAAAGATGCCTCGGACTCGTCCAGCAAGACACCTCGTAAACGCGGTGGTAGACACAGCGCAGCAGACGCCAGAAACATGCTCTTGCGAAACCTGACACATCTTAGGCAAGCGTTGCAAATGCGTCTCGCAAGTCTTCGAGATTTTGCTATCAGTGCGATCTGGGTGGGAGGAAATGGAAGTGCGAAGTTAGCAGATTATACATTGGTAGTTTATGGTGCTACTTGGATGGCCACTGCTAGACCTATAACTTGTTCCTCTGTTCGTGCTTCTGATGCGGTAGATGCGGTGGAGGAGACGGGAGATGGCGATGTGGAGATGCAAGATGCAAGCAACCGCAACCCTACTTGGAAAGCAGAGCAGAGGGAAGGAAAGTTGGAATGGATGGTGAGAACAACAGCCAAATATCAGCCGCTGTTGCTTGTTGCACAAGTACAACTTCCAGCAGCAACGGTAGGGGCAAAGGGAGAATCGCATCTGGTAGTGGTGGAAAGACCTTACTTTGAATTGGCCAAGAAGTTGCCTGCTGCTTTCCACAGAGGTGCTCGTTACGGTGCTTAATCACCCACCTACGTTTTGTATTCTACACTATAATACCATCATGAACCACTCGTTTCCCACTCTATTCTGATCTGATTGAAATGGTGAGGTTTGCATGGTTAGAAGGTGTAAGCGTAAGCATACACGATGATGAGCGGGGAAATGAGGGGTTTGGCGTTTGCGTATCGCGCTCTACCCATTATCACTCATGAATTTTCTCCAGCTCCGGCCCGAAGCGCAAAACTGCGTCGATTTTTCGAGTCTCGACATTCACAACGAACAACCGAAGGAACCAGAATGGACCTATCCTCAACTCAAGCAGCTTACTCCATCCCCCAACCACCGCACTATCCAATCCAACATACAGGCTTAAATTGCTCGGCGAGTATCCATTTGCGTAAACTGCCAAATCGAAACACCAAAGCGAAACAATGAACTCGGAAATCCTAGCTTAAACAAAACCTTTCTATCGCCCCCCATCTGCGATTTGCGATTTGCGATTTGCGATCGACGTTTACAGATGCTCTTAATGCGTGCTTGGCAAAGTATGCACCCGACATAAGGTCGTAAGTACAACAAAGCTCCGAAGTGTTGTGGTGCGAAAGCGAAGATGTAGTGTCCGGATATGTTGTTATTGTAATGCAAGACCTATGTTATACTAGCAGTTTTCCTGTGTGTTCGGCGGTTGTGGGCAGTTGTGAAGCGACACATGCAAACAAGAGATTAGAGTGTTTGCGATTGAGAATGGTGTGCATACGTATACAAGTTGCTGTGCAAGCTTGCAAGTTTACTTTTGACGCTTGTGCAAGTTGGCAGTTTTCTTGTTCGCTGTTTTAGCTTCCACCTTGTTCTTCGCAATAGGAGTTTGATCGACCTTGTTCTTTTTTGGCATCTCCTTTTGGGGAGGAACTTTTTGCTTGGTCCTTTTGGGAGTAGTCTGTCTCCCTCTTAAAACATCATCTATTGCATCGCTCGGCCTTAGGCCGACAATCTCACTATGACTTGTCTCGGCATTCACAAGATCTTGCACCCAACCACTGCCTTCGACTCCGTTCGCAGTTAGATATCTATGCGACAACCCTATGGTCGTCACTGGTCTACTTAACAACTCGGCTAGTTTGGATTTGAGTTGGTTCAAATTGCCCTCTCCCGCTCCGCTCGCTCGCTTTCTCGAACTGATAGGAGCATCTGGATGTACATATTCCTCCTCCAGATCAAGGTCGGCATCCTCAGCGAGTTTTGCCAACCAATTACTGTCATGTGTCTGTTTGTTCACCATATGCGTCTGCTTATCTATCTTCAAGGCCAATTCCACCCTCTCCCTTAACAGTGCTAGTGTTGAAAAGGTAATCGGAAAATTTGGCATATCCGGCTTGCTGGAAAACGAACGGCAAAGTTTCCCCCACAACTGCTTCTCTTTCGGCTCGATGAGTGCTAGTGAAACACCGCTGCTACCAGCTCTGGCAGTTCTACCACATCGATGGATATATGTATCGGCAGATCGTGGCAGTTGGTAATGTACGACGTGGTCTACGCTGGGAATGTCGAGTCCTCGTGCAGCGAGATCGGTTGCTAGTAATATGCAGTTTTTCACCCGGCCTCCATCTTTTCCTTTTCCTTTCGCTGAATGCGGTGTTGAGTGCAGAGAGAAAGAACTGAACCGATCGAGGTTGTTCAAGCGTTGTTTCTGTTGCAACTGACTATGTATAGGATAAGACCTAATACCAAGTTCCCCAAGCAAAGGGGTCAACCGACGAATTGCATCAATAGAATTAACAAACACCAAACTGCGACCAGGGTAACGAAGAAGAAAATAGTAGAGATATAAATCTTTATCTTTGCGGACACATTCCAACTTGGTCTGCATCAATCCCTGCGGCATACCCTGAGCGCGAGTCAAATCGATAACTGCAGGGGTGGGATCGCGAAAGTCTATACGAGACACGAGCTCGTCGAGCGTGGTAGAGTTGGCATTACGTTTGCAATGACGTTTCTTTGTCAACTGTTTAAGCTTGCGACGCTTTTTGAGGTTGATCTGAAGAGTCTTGCTGAGAGTGGCGGAAAAGATAAAGGTTTGCATGTTGCAACTTGGCTTGACTCGGTGCGTCTGCACCTCTCTCTCAGATTCCGAATCGGATTGGTGGTGGTGCGGTTGGTGTTGTTGGCCATCTTTGCCTGGGACAGGATGACGAGCTTCGGTGCGATTGACTAGGTTGAGGATATGTTCCATCTCTGCAAAGTGTCCGACTTGCACCATTCGATCGGCTTCATCGAGCACGAGGAAACGCGTCTGTTTGATCCGAGCTGCTAGATGATCGTCTAACCTGGTCATCTCCCAGAGTCGACCGGGAGTGGCGATGATAATGTCCACGCCGGATTGACGATCGCTTGCGCGAGAACGACCTTGGAGGAGACGACGCTGTTTTTGTTCCGACATTCCACCGCAAACTACGGCGATTTGCGGTCGACCGAGTAGTTTCTTGTGCGAAATTTCGGCCTGGTCATCATCGTCGTCGGCAGAGATGATACAGCTCGCACGAACGATCTCAGTGAGGTGGGAAGAGACTTGAAGTGCCAACTCGCGGGTGGGGCATAGGATGAGAGCTCCCAGAGGAGGCGGCACTTGTTCGAGCGCATTTCGACGCGAAGAGGAGGAGGCGATTGCATTCTCTGCATTCTCAAAAAGATGGTTGAGAATGGCCAGACCATATGCGAGAGTCTTACCACTACCGGTTTGGGAGACTCCAACGACATCACGCTTCTTTTGCGAGCTCGAGGTGGCGGTGGCTTGTTTTGCGTCCTCATGCGAATCGTCGATGGAGGATTCTGCTTCTTGTTGGGATTGCAGACCGAGTGCGAATGGGAGCGAACGATCTTGGATCTCGGTGGGTTTTGTAAAGCCTTTGTGAGCAAGGGCACGCTTGAGAGCGGGATGTAAAGGAAGGTGCGACCAGGCGGGGAGAAGTTGATCGTCGAATTCGTCAACATCTCCTTGGTCGTCTTGAAGATCGAGCTGGTGGGCATTGCGCAAGGCTTCAGCGAGGTCGTCATCGTCGAGATCTAGATGCGAGTCGTCGTCGTTGCTGTCGTCTTGTTCTTCAACAGCATCGTCAGCGGCGGGCATGGTCACGTCTGCTGCTGTTTCGTATTCGTCATCCGACTCATCCTCTGCCTGGGTGATGAAGTGACTAACCTCGGTACCAATGGATTGTGTGGTCTCTGGCTCGACATCGGAAAGAACCTCCTCAATGCTCCTCTTGTTATTCTTTTTCGCCTTTCGCTTCTGCGTCTGCTTCTCCACTGCAGCTGATGGGGGAGTTGAAGATGCAGCACCTTGTTTCTGCTTGCGCTTGTCCTTGAGCATCTTTTCGCTTGCGAGGAAACTAATGGTCCGCGACCCATCCGGACGTTCCTCCTGCAACACATCAACATGATCAATCTCCTGTAGGCCCATAAAATCATCATCATTCCAATCAAGAGTATGGAAATAGTCGGATTCAGTGAGACCAGCTCCTCCAGATTGAGCTTCGGAAGGCAGATGCACCGCCGACCATGCTAGGGTGGTAGGGTCTACTGCTTTTCGTTCTTGCTTTGCGGTGGAGGGTTGGGAGGAAGAGCTTGGTTTATTGTGGGATTTCTTCGAACGCTTGGCCGACGGCGCGGAGTGAGCTTTTGCTGGGGACTTGGACTTGACCATGACGTATGTTTGTAAGGTCTTGAAGGTGGTGAGGTGAGGTGAGGTGAGGAGTGGCGGAGTGGTGGAGTGGTGGTGAGGAGGCTGGTAGGGAAGGGAGGCGAAGAAGGGTCTTGGGTGTTGTGTGCAATTATTGTCCGTTAAAAATCCGCGAAAAAGCAAAAAAAGAAATTCACATTTTATTATTATTATTATTATTATTATTATTATTATTATTATTATTTATTATTATTTATTATTATTTATTATTATTTATTATTATTTATTATTTTTTTGGCGGAAACTCGGAATTCGGAGATTGCAACAGTTCATGTTAGAGTCGCCCGTAAGTAAAGCCTAAGCCTAAGCCTTAACCCTAAGGGCTTCTTAAGGGCTTCTTGACAGAGAACAAGAGCTTCACATCCATCATCAACAAATTACCCTTCAACTGCAACACTTGGTCGAGGGAGATGTCGCTTTTCCTACAACTTTGACGCTATTCGTCCTTCAAGAACGACAGATCCGCTACAGCCTCCGAAGTTAATATGAGCGCTACTACGGACAAAAGAACGGCATCGCAACCCAAGGTGGAAAAAGCCGCATTGCTGGACGATGAAGGAGATCTCACAGAAAAGGTCCGTACATCCCAACTGGACCACTTGAATCACCGAGCTTCACTGCTGACCCGCTCCTTATTGACTTGTTGGTGATGGACAGTTTGAATCAGCCCTGATCCGCATCTTTGCCCGTTACTCAAGCTCATACAAGAAAGCGCATCCCGAATTTGACGCTTCTGGTAGCAACGCCTCCTCGTCACTACCGCGCCCTGCTGCCACAGATGTGTTGACAGAAGCCGACCTAGATAGATTCTCATCGGTAGCAAACGGCGCTGCACTACCACAGGAGTCGAAGGACGAGATCAAGGAGTTCTTGGATACCGACAAAGAGGGCAACCTTAGTTTTCGTGGATTCGTGGAAATGTACCATTTGCAAAGCGATAACGATCCGCAAGAGACTTGGAAGGATCTAGACAAGCACGGATTTGATGATCAATTAGAGTACAAGGGTGGAGATGGTGAGGCGGAGGGGGAGGATGAAGCATGATTCAGTTGTCTGCCTCTTGCGGGCGATATTGTATACTAACTAGGTTGCAAATGAGCTGCTGGGCTTCTTCTTTTGAGTCTGTTAGATCTTGAATTTGCACAAAACACAACAATCCGAACAGCTGGCCAGAATGAAAAATCATTAGTAAGCAAAGTAGGTTACATTCCTCTCAGAAACATGCCAAATCCTAACCCTAAGGGGGCCTTGGTCAGCGTCCACGCCCTAAAAGGTTGACTTGGCTTTGCCAAGGGAAGCGATCCAATATGATGATACGTGCTGACATAAACGTAATCGGGACATGGAGGAGCAGATCTGCACAGAGATCGGGCTCAACAGAGTCGCGCTCGTTGTCAAGCTAGGTGATCAAGTAGCAGTGCTCCCACCTTGGGCATGTATATATAGCTAGCGGGGAGCTTGAGGATCCCGCCAGAATCTCTCTTCAGTGTAAAACAGCAGTGACATTGTGCTCAGACTCGCCCCGATCACCAGTTATCGGGACTATACTTGTTCACATTTTCTCAGGCTTCACCTCGTTTAAAACTCAGCCTGGTCTTTGAGGTCCTTGCCAAGGCCGTATAAGCAGTGTCGACGTTGCTAGCGAAGCCTCACTTCTCTCCTCCCCCTCTCGCTTGAGTGAAACTGGCAATGCAAGGCTGGAGAAAGGGCACCAGTCCCTTGCTTCATTTGCAGCACAGCAAAGCAGAGTTGAACTCTTGCCAAGATCTCGACTCAATATGATGTAGTGAAAAGAGAGGTAGTGAAAAGAGAGGCAGTAGAAGAGAGGCAGTAGAAGAGAGGCAGTATTAGCCCAGACGCGGAGGCCTTTCTGACAATCACGTGATGCATCCTCAACCTCGGCTCAACTGGCGAAACAAAGAGGCCACGCGCAGCTCTGTTGCGTTGCTTTGATTGCATTGCATTGCTGTCTATCTTTCTCCTCACCATCATCTTTGTCCTCCAGTATAGCTCTTGCTTTGCGATACACGCCTTGAAGCTTGCACCACACGCCTTGAAGCTTGTACCACACGCCTTGAAGCTTGTACCACACGCCTTGAAGCTTGTACCACACGCCTTGAAGCTTGTACCACACGCCAGCTTCTTCATACCCATCTGCACATCCGCCTTTGAAACCATCACACCCCACACCGATCCAACGTAGTACGGCGTAGTACGGCACCGTCACTCGCCTCCTATCCCTAGCATCACCTTGCCATAGCTCAGATTCACTTCCGACCCTCCATAAAAGGCCAGTCTCTCGCAACTTTTGCAGCTGCCGACACGTCCAATCGCCCCCCGTCATGTCGGCAGTCTACTCCATCTACACCTCGCCCAACCATGCGCCCATTCCTAATCATCTCCCAACCCTCGTTGTCACGCCATATGGTCAACCACACCACACCCTCTACTCCTATATTCACACCAACTACAACAAGGAGACCTACCTTCTCACTCCTTCTCCTCAGGGTGACCTTTGCGTCGCCAAGATGGTTCCTCCCCCCGGCTCCCGAGGTGCCGCTTCTTCTTCCGAAGGCGGTCACTCCAATGGCCATGCCGACAAGACAGTTCGCTGTGAAGCATCCCGCAATTTGAAATGGTCTATCACCAACACCGGCATCAACGCTCCAGTATACAAGCTCACTCTGCCAAATCCCGATGCACCTGGTCACCAGCAGCCCCTCTTCCAGATCTCGAAACCAAACCCCAACGCAACCTGGTGGACCATGTTCTACTTTACATATGCTGGCCATTTGATTCCACCAAAGCGTATCGAGTTCGGCAAGATTCAGAAGAATGCAGCAGCAGGCAGCGCAGGTGGAGGCGGAACTCGTGTTACTATTGCAGGCAAGACACCAGAGGAGAAAGCAGTATGGCAGACATTGGGAGAAGGTAACGAGGACATGGTAGAATGGATTGTGCTCTGCGCTGCACTCAATGTACTCGATGACGAGATCATCAAGGCTGCACAGGCAACTGAGCCAAAACAGGTTGCACCTCCTGGTGCATCCAAGGCTGTCCCATCTAGCCGACCGGCTGTTGGTGCTCTTCGTGCAGCTCCTCCTCCCAACAAGATGCCCATACCCCTCGCACAACCACAGGGAGGCGTCAATGCTGCTTACAGAGGTCCCAATCAGGCTACAGGCCCTCCTATGCCAACAGGTCCTGGAGGTCAGCCTAACCCACAAATGTATCAGCAGCAGCCACCACAACAAAGAGGTCCACCTCCTCCCCAAGCTTACAGAGCTCCTCCGCAACAGGGTCGCCCAATGCCACCACAGGCTTACGCTCCACCGCCGCAACAGCGCGGTCCTGGTGGGCCTGTTCCTGCTAGCGGTCGGAGATTCTAGGCTGACCACACACCTCAAAGGCTGATTGTGCTCTCCACATCTCCTGATGGGCCCTCTTGTCTCGTTTCTCCCTCCCCTCCCATCGCTCCAACCTTTGCTTCTTGGCGTCTCAGTCTCGGCTCTCGTTCCGCTTTGTTTTCCCGCCTTTGCTCGCTCTTGTATTCAGATCTCTTTTGACACTCGTTTGAATTCTTGCCCTCGACCTGCTTTCCAGCATGCATTCTCACTACGGTCGCTTACTTTTTCTCAGATCACCAACAGTATCTTTTCTCTATCCGCTTCACTAATCGCAGATCTATGTCTTTATCGGCCATGCCCCTCAACGTTTAGTGTAGTGATGCAAAGTTCAAAGCGGCTTGACGCCGAAGAGCGTTCGGAATCTCTCAAAGAGCTGTTTGCATAGAAAGGAAAGCGATCTTTAGCTCCACTTGTCCGATCTTGGGGGAAAAGCAGTGGGAGGCGGCAATCGACTTACTATCAACGAAATGACTGTATGTGATCCTAGGCGAGCCCAGCACATTGCAAAGCTGATAGCAAAATCGACAGAAAAGTTGTCAGTTGCTCTCTACCGTCGCTCTTTTGTTGCTTGCTATCCTAAGTATTGTAGAGCTTACCCTTTGTATAGAGCGAATGGACCTTCATGGGCGACTAAGTTTGCTAAGCAATCGAAAGCTGTTTTGAACTCTCTTGATTTGTCTTGCATTAACCTAACTTTGACTGTATCGAAAGGAGCGCTCGTGAGGGAACAGACGAAACCGGCAACCATCGAGGCGGAAAAGTGTAGTGGCAAACCTTCTTGCATGATTCGATTGCTTTTGAGCATGTTTTTCACTTGATCGTACGAGGCAATTTGAGAGCTCGTTAGCACTGCTGCTCGCATGACCGTCGGACCTACTCCGCGGTATAGGGAGCGGATTCCGGGGATGAGACCTCCTCCACCTTCGTGATAGACGTGGGAAAAGGCGATCAAGGTGTTGCGATAGGGTCGTTGACCTGTTGGTCGAACTGCTTGCATTCTCACTACCACGCCAGAATCAACAAGATAGCGGTTGTCAGTAATACAGAGGCAAAGAGGTCAAGGGGAAAGGAGGGGATTGGATTACCTTTAATCAAATCCGTAGGGCAAGCAAAAGCACTTCCTATCGCACCACTTGATATCCCACTGAATGCTTTCAAAGCAAAACTCGTATCCCCTAACCCTAATGCTGTCCCATAGAAATCTTTGAACGTTTCATACAGCCCGAACCTAACCGTACTATACGTCAACTCTCTCAGACAGGATGCTGTTACACCATTCCACATTGCTTTGACGCCTTCCTTACGAATCATTTCGGAAGCTACACCAATGAAATTCGCTCGAGATTTGTCCAGCATTAGCTGCTGACGAACTTTTACTATATCCGCCGGATTCGTACATGCTGCCGAGATAGCATTGCCAAAACCAGCCGAGGCGAAGGTCGCGGCTAGGATATAGCTCCAAGAATCGACAGAGGTCGGGCAGAGTGGGGTTGAGGGATTGTGTTGGGGATGCTCTGCTGCTGCTATCGCTTGATCGCGGGATAGGGGTGTTGGTGTTGAGGTTGACATCCTTGGCGGTGCCTCCAGAGGAAGAAGGCGGGGGGAAGTGATGGTAGGGTTGGATGATGGCTGATGGGTGGATATGATAAATGGTCCCAACGTCGTCTCTATTGTTGTACGAACAGTCGAGACCGTCGGCTTTTTAGCCGGCTAAACGGAAACAAATGACGTTTGCTTCCCCGCATTTTATTTTATTTTCACAGAAACTGTATCCAAGCTACGATCTCACAGTCTCTTTCCTTTTTTCCTTTTTTCCTTTTTTTTGTTTTTTTTTTTTTGTTTTTTTTTTTGTTTTTTTTTTTTTTTTTGTTTTTTTTTGTTTTTTTACGTTTCGACTGGATCTGATCCCCGATTGTTGCGATTTCTGAACCTCCTCGGCCGAGCTTGCTTTATAGTTTTACGAAAACGACCTCAAACACCGCCAAAGTGTCTAACACACACAGTCACAAGTCTACTCTGCAAGGTCGCAGCTGGCAGGCGAGTCAATCTCAATTCGCAGCCGCAAGTTGGTGCAAGTGTGTTGAGTTGTGCCGACTCAATCGAGCTCGCGATCAGCAAACCCCTTGTTCCTTCTTCACCTATCGTCAAGTATCCATTTCTCGATATCTCAACTCACACATATAGTCAAAATGGCTTCCTCGTAAGTTCCAAACCTCAACACCCAACATTAAACGTGGCAGAATAGCATCTTCTGACAAAAATACATTCTTGCACAATCAACAGCGATCTTGCCGCCACCTACGCTTCGCTCATCCTCGCTGATGAGGGTCTCGAGATTACCGTATGTATTCAGCAACAACATCAATCAGTGCAGAGATGGAGAGGTGTCGAAGGATCGACGGAATAGCATCATCAACAGCAACAGCAAAAGTAGAAACAGTAAAGCAGTAGTAGCATCAGCAACGATGAACAAGGACAGCATCAGCACCAACAACGATTCATCCATACAGCATCGGAGGACCAACGAGAGTGCAGGTTGGGTTTGGAAATCATGCAAATGTCCGACATCGACATCAGCAACAGACATCCAAGTAGTCGGTGACAAAAGAGAGACACAAGTTGGGATCATTGGTCAGGCGTTGGAAGAAGGTGTGCAGCAGCGCTATTGTCGGTCGCTGTCAACAACATCGCAACTGCAGCATACAAAGGACGCGTCGTTGTGCAAGACATGACAAGGGTCAGTTTGACAGACAGACGGTAGACTGGATCCCAGTGCCAAGGACGATGACATGACTTCTTTCTCAGGAGGATGATGCTGTGCGCATGCTTCTGGCCGTTGGTATCGTCATCTTGTTCGGTCCAGTACGTTTGTGAATCTGCCTCGACTCAAGACAAGAAATGATAACAGACATGGTTTCGGGGGGCTGATGGATACTGGAAATCTGTACAGCACACGATGGAATGCACACATGCGGCCATACGGGGATGATATACACATGGATTGCGGCAACTAGTCAGGGAGCATCTGGGCTTGCACCATTTACTTTATCGATGCTGCCACTGCTACTGCCAAGCACTACCGCCGCAGCTATTGCCACGATGTTTTTCCCACCAACTCCCGTCCACCTCTGCACTCCTAACAACGTCCTTTCTCGCCCCGATACATGAAACTAACCTCATCATTGCTTGCCACCCCCAACAGTCGGAGAAAATCGTCCAGTTGACCACTGCAGCCGGTGCACCCGTCGAACCCATCTGGGCCACCCTCCTTGCTAAGGCTCTTGAGGGTAAAGACGTCAAGGAGCTTCTTACCAACGTTGGTGGTGGAGGTGCCGCTGTTGCTGCTGCTCCTGCTGCTGGTGGTGCTGCCGCTGCCGCCGGTGGTGCCGCTGAGGAGAAGGAGGAGAAGAAGGAAGAGGAGAAGGAAGAATCTGATGACGACATGGGTTTCGGTCTTTTCGACTAAAACTCTCTACTGCCACCTCGACTTTTCCTTTCCCTTTCTATGATTGTAACATCAGTTCACATACTTGGTTGCACGCTTTAGCAAGCATCCCAGCAACTGGCGGGTTGATGAGCACTGCGTTGGATCACCCTTGACTCAACCGACACACACATCACACTTGCATACACAAACCCAAAATCTTGCATTACTGGCTCTTTTGCTATTCTCCAATCCAAACCGAAGATTGCACTTCTGTAGCCTCTGCGATCCGCTCTAACGCAGTGCGACGGAAAAATTTGAGTGAGCTCTGTAACCTTTTTTTTATTTTATTTATTTTTATTTATTTTATAAGTGAGCAATAGGGAGCGACGGGTACAATAATTCGCATAAGCAAGTGGGAGCATATATGGAGTTGCGGCTGGCAATATGGTAACTTCGGGAGCACATCGGGTTTGAAGGCGAGCATTTCATTGCTACTCAAGACTTTCATTCGTCAGACATGAAGAGATTGGAAGAGTAAACTTGTTGAGGAAGGGTATACCGATAAGGTTGCTAGATAGGGCAACTTTGTTCTGAGAATATAGTGGTGGTGTTTAAACACCTCTTCGTTGGAAAAGAAAACAACCCTCATAACCATACATGTTCTCGGGTGTAAAGGTATCTCTCCATCTGCCGACGAGTTTTCCACCAGCAACACAGTAACCTCTGTACAACCACTTGCCTCTTCCATCGGGCCTGTACTCCTTTGTCATAATCAACATTCCATCCCAACTTCTCACCCTACCCCTCACAACAAACCTTCCCCATGCAGAATGGCCCGTTCCGGAGAGAAGAATTTCGTATCTCTCACTTGCATCTTCATCCTGATATCTCGGATATTGCTCCCAATCATTCGGCAAGTAAGCTCTCCCCTTCCCCTTTCCATCCCCCACCCCTGTCGCAACATCTAGTCCATGCGAACCCCCAGAAGTATAACCTGCAGCAAGGATGCTACCCTTGCCACCTTGGAGCTGTGCGGGACCAAGTTTGACAAGCTTCTCGCGAATTTTCCAGATTTGCGGCTGTTCGCCAAAAGGTCCTTCGTAGAGACTACGCATACGACCAGCAAGCATTTCTCGATAAGAATCGAAATCGAAAAAGCTAAACCTGCCTTCCCAAATACCTTCGAACATGCCTTTGAAGAACAATGGCGGTAGTCCTGGCGACTGGCGTGCATCGAGACAGGCTAACAGTCGAGTAGCGTCTTTATCGTGATCGAGAGAGGTGAGGGAGAGGGGAGAACGAGTTGCAGCTGGTTGACGAATGGTTGTTTCTGATGAACCCTCGTCTGGGTCCGTGAGAGCGGCCATACCTAGTACCGCGGGATCTTTTTCAACTTTCATGAAAAACGAGAAACATGCACCTTGGGCGAGGATGGGCGGAGCAATGCGGAGCGGGCCGCAGACGTGTTGGATTGTGCAACTGCGATCTTTGGGGGTGAGATCGGCGAGGAATGGATTGGTGGCTGTTGATGTTGCGTTTGCTGCTTGTGCGGGTTCATGCCATGTGCCGTTGCTGTTTCTGCTGCTGCTGTTGGTGGGCTGAGGTAGATTGCGAAGCGTCCAGGGAGCCATATAGGCATCGAATTTATGCGCAGCAAATACGAAAGGTCGTAAAACGAAGAGCATTTCCACTGCCTCGCTTCTTGGTTCGTACGCCAGTTGTTCCGGATCAGTCAACAGATAGACGAGATGCAAAGCGAGAGCCTTATGAACCGCATCTGAAGGATAGCCCGGCTGTACAGCCCCATCCAACATATACGCTGCATGGTGCAACGCCAAAAAGCTGTGGAGTTGTGCCCAACAAAGTTGCTCATAATTCAAGCCATCATTCTCCAACATCATCAAATACGCTAACCACAACATCTCTGTCACCGACTCCTCAACCTCCACCAGCGAATTACCACCTTCGGGCGGGAAAGCGGCGGATAGAACACAGCGTCGCATCCGCTTGAGTAAAGTACAGCGTCGTTGGAGTTCCTTGGCTAGGTTATGAGAGGCTAGTGCGGTTTTACCGAATCGACGGCCAATGGCAGCCGTATCGAACTTGCTTCGGAACACTCTTGCATAGAGACGAGGGTTAGACTGGAGGCTGAGAAGCGAGTGTAAGCGTCGACAAACGAGTTGCAGCGCATGAAGGTCGGTGGGTGGAGTAACGACATGAGAGGAGCGAACCGATGAGTCGTAGAGAAAACTACAAGGCGCCGAAGGCGTGGCGGAGGAGAAGGAGCTATCGGATGTAGCGGCGTAGGTTGCGATGCTGTCGAGGATCTCGGGAGGTAGGGAGAGAAGGCTTGCCTTGGATGTCTCGCCAGCGTCGGTCATTTTGATGTGTATGTGTATGTGTATGTGCTGGTGCTGTGCTCGAATGCGGCTGAGATTCTGTGACGCCGACTTTGTTATCGAGGGCGTTGCTTGAGGACTCTGAGACGTTGTTCTGATGTATTATGCGGGACAATGATGCTTTGTTTGAGTAGGTAGATGGTGGTGGTGGCGCGGCAGAGTGATGGTGGCGGTGGGTCAAAGTGAGTGGGAAATGTCAAAGCGTCTGGTCTCCGAGTTTTACGGCTGCGAAACTTGTTTGAATAAACAAACTTAACATTGATCGCCCAAATCCGCTCTTTGCTCTTCCTCTTCGTCAAGCAACTCCATTCCTTCCCACTTGTCACTCTCCATCACTCCCGCAGCGGAATGCATACAACAATCACAGTCGTCTATCAGCAGCACAGACATGGCCAAACACACGTTCTCCAGGCTTTTGATACTCGGTAAAGATGTATTGTTGCTTTTGCCTTCTGTGGCTGTGCCATACATCGGCGGCTGCTTGTAGGTCGTTTACTCCAAAAACACCAATCTGTGCAGCTCCTTTCAGCCCGTATGAGCAACAACCTCAGTCTTGACCCGGCTCTTACCCTTCCCACCGATCGCGTCAACAGTATGCTTCAGTTGCTCAGGCAAGGCAAACTCTTGAAACTCCCCCTCCTCTCCACCCGGAACTGGCAAACTAACATTAATCGCGCTGCACTTAGCTGCAATGATCTCCGAATCCAGCGACTTGTCCGAAAGATAGATCTGACCGCTATCACACGAGTCCAGCAAAATAGTCGGTGCACGGCCCGTAATCTGCACCGCAAACGAAGGCGAACCGGTCACCTCGAGCGACGAAACAAGCGTGTCGACCAAGATGGATGTTTTGGTGCAGTTCGTCATCTGCACAGCATTGATCTTGCCTTTGATCTGAACGATGCTGTTCTTGCAGTTGAAGATGTTGACGGTTTGGTTGATCTCGGTTTGGTCGATGAGGATGGAGCGGTTGTCCTCGTGATACTCGATGGTCCACTTGTTGCCGTCCAGTTGGGTCTTTGGTGGTTTCTTGGCTTTCAGCTGGGCTGGCTTGGCGGCAAGCTTGGGTGGTGCAGCTTTGGTAGCAGAGGGAGCAGCTGGTGCCGCAGTGGCTCGTAGTTCGGGATTCTTGTGTGTCATTTGGCTTGTATCGACTTTCTTGAGTCCCTTGGTGATCTTCTCGCCCTGGTTGAGCTGTCCGAACACAGCGTCCATGCCGCCAGCAGACGCAGCACCACCACCAACCGCACCAGCAGACAGGTCAGCGGCAGGCGGAGGAGGAGGAGGAGGGGGAGGTGCACCGCCGGATGGAGCTGCACTGGATGTACCCTTGAACGACGCAGCATCTCCACCTTTCGGGTTCCACACAAGACCAGTAGTGTGCGTTTTGAGGACGTAGGCCTTGAGTGCATCAAGAAGCTTGGTGAAGGATCTGCTCCACTCGACATGCGTCTTGTCGGAATCCTTGAAGTCCTTGATGACACGGTTGGCGTAGAACTGCGCGCTGTCCTTCATGTCGCCGACATAGGGAGCAGGCTTAGGCTCAACAGCAACCCAGCCTAGCGCGGGGATACCTTCGCTGACGGTGCTGAGGTGGTTAAAGAGCTGCTTATCGCCGCGATTCTTGTCACGCATCTCGATGACGTCGGTGAGAGCAGCCTGAAGAGGCTTGAGCAAGTCAGCGAAGACGGGGGATGCGGCACCTCCAGCTGGCTTCTGACTGGATGCAGCCAACAAGATGAGATCACGCTGTGCTTTAAAAGTCTTCAAAACGGCGGCGGCCTGCTCCTGTACTGTGCCGCCAATCTTGGCACTGAGCTGTTTGTATTCGTCGAGAACCAGATCGAGCGCTTCATCGAAAGCCTTGACTGCAGGTGGACCATCCTTGGGCTGTTCGACCGCGGCGGGTGGGGGAGGGGGAGGGGGAGGTGGCTTAGCAGAGCCGCCAGCTAACGCACCTGCACCTGCGGGCGTGAGTTCTCGCTGCGAAGAGCCGGAGGTCTGGTGGAGAGCAATGTCTTCCAAGCGTGAGGTCGCTGCTTCCAGCCTACCCAAAATGGAAGCCAGAAATCAAGACAATAGAACAAGTCAGTGACAAGGCCCGGGCTGGGAACAAGCTGGTATTCAGACAAGTACTTACCTCTTAATGAGCGTGCTGAGGTTGCCGATGCCTGCAGCTGACATGCTTGCTGTCCGTGTGCAGTTCGGAGATCGAGATAGAGGTAGCAGGATGTGGTTGATGGTAGATGGTGGATCTGCAAGTGGAAGCACGAGCAAAGGCCTCAACACATACACACATTCGCACTGCTTCTGCGCACAGGCCATCTGATCTCGGAAATCGGGTTGGATTTCTAGCCGATTCCCGATTGCTCTTCGATGGAGAGCCGGCAAAGTGCCACTTGCTCATCAGTGCACAACAAGCATCATCTACATTCTCCTTGCCTGTTCCCAACAAACGACACAGTCCGCAATCCAGCTTTGCTTTGTCCTGAATGGTCGTGTTACATCTGGAAATGGCGGGGCATGGTATACTCGTCCTAAGCAAACAAAAAGGCAATGTAACGCGGAAAGCTAGGTTCTACAGATAAGGATGGCACAGCGGCACAAGTACAATGAGTGGAAAGCAATACAGAGGTAAATAGATGCAAAGAGGCGGTCAGGCAAGATAGCGGAAAGTGGACTAGCAGGTCGATCGATCAATCATCGCGGCTCTTAAGCGCCACGGCTGCTTGGATTTCACGCAGCTGTCCGGTGACATCGCCCTTCATCTTGCTCAAGAGCACGACAAAGTTGAGCATGTCTTCGTCCACTCGAGATCGTTGCTGGCTCCACTCCTCTTCCTTGTGTTCGGCAGTGAGTTGGAGACTTGTCAACCTCGACTCGGCCTGTTGAAGGTGGACGCTTCCGGACGCTTCCGTCTCGTAGGTCGATCTCTCCAGCTTGCCTTCGTCTGCTTTGTATCGCTCCTGTACTGTCTTGCAGCTCTTTTCGTATTCAGCGGCTTGCCTGGACAAGGCCTCACAACGCTCTCGGTCCGAGAGGAGCTGTGTCTCTTTGTCTGAAAGCGCTTCCTGCAGCCTCTCGTACTCCTCCTGCATGGTGAGACGCTTCTTGGAGGCATGACGGTACTTGTCGGCTTCTTGCGAGCGCAGCATCTCGATCTGTCGACGGAAGGAGCCCTTGATGTCGACACCCGGTTGCAGCATCGTCGAGGCGTTGGATGGTGTCAGTTCGAGCTCCTCAATGACAGCACCAGAAGTGAGCTTGAATGGCAGAAGTGAAATGGATCGCGCCAAGGGGTTAAATTTCGAGATACGGTCTTCTGTGTCGGCCTGCTTCTTGGCGATGGCTATCTCGAGCGACCATCCGTCTCCAGCTGCCTTCTTGTTTTGTTCGCCCAACACCTCGAGACGCTTGCTGAGACGGTTCCTCTCCGCCAACATTCTCTCGTATTCTTCCGCCGACATCTCCTGAGCATTGACCTGTTCCTGCAGGTCGACTTTGCGCTTCTGCTTGTCATCGATTTCCTTTTCGGTAAGCGCAATCTCCTTGATGAGCCTCTCGATGGCCTTTTTGGTCTTGTCGAGCTTAGGCATGAGCACCTCGTCGTAGTATTTGTGGAACTTGGAAACATCCTTGGTAAGCATCTCGTTTTCGCTTCGCTCGATCTTGAGCGGAGAGTCGTTCTTGAGGTAGTCGGAGAGCTCTTCTTCCAGCTTGATATGCTCTGCTTGAAGATCCTTGAGTTGGCGCTCTATCGCCGCGTTCTTCTCCTCAAAGCGAACTCCGAGCTTAGCATGCTCTTCGGGATAAGTGTCCTCGTTCTGCCAGAAGCGATCGTAACAGTCCCACAGATACGGGAAGAAGAGAGACTGCAAGTCTTCGATCTCGTCTGGTCGTGATCTGGGACCGGTGCCGATGGTCTCTGCTTGGTTGCCAAGGTTGACCATCCACTCGAGCATAGCGAGACAGTAGGGCCAGTGACTTTGACTACCAGCAGCAGTGAGCTTGGTCTTGCTAAGTTCGTCTGCCGCAGGATACTTGATCTCTTTCATCAGTGTTAGCACCTCCTCCTCGAATTTCTTGCCGTCTGCGCCCATGACAAAGTTTGTGTCGATGCAAGTGGCGTAGATGTGCTTGAACATGCCGACGAAAGCAGATTGAGTTGGCTCGTGAACACCTTTGTTCGCATCCCATCCCATCATGGTGAATCCTGTGCGCTCGAGATGCTCCTTCACTGTGAGACCCATGCGGGTCTTGTAGTACTTGTCTTTGATGGGCCTGCTCTCCCTCACGCCTGAGCCACCAGTGTTGCCGATGTTTCCAGGAGCAATTGACAGCCTTCCGGCCATAGATCTTCTGGAGCTGTACCAGAATAACAGAGAAGGACAAGTGTAGTGAGTATCATGGCTTGGAATGCGCGATAGCTTTGTCGGGCGAGTTGGGTGTCAACTTACTTTGGTGTTGCGTTGACTGCAACGCTCAGGCGGCCTGCTGAGGCGACACTCTGACGGCCAGCATACATGCCAGAGTCACCACGACGACCACTCTGTGTTGCCGAGTGTAGGGGACCTGAATGTTGCGAGCCTTGTTGAACATCTCGTGCAGTGGCTGTTGCACTGACCTGACGGACTGGGTTGGACTGCTGAGGGATCATAGAAGCACGAGGTTGGAAGGGACCACTAGAGATCGTCTTGACAGACTTGGCAGCGGAAGCAGGGAATGGGAGTGCGGATGGAAGATGTCCATTGTTCTGATTCGGATCGATGGCAGCCAGCGTCGAGCGACGCATGTTTGTGCTCGCCATCTCAATTGATGTTGTTCGACTCGAGTCCAAGGTGTTGAGGTTAGGTGCGGAAGCGGATCCAAGTGGCGAGCGGTATGCCTACCGAAGCTGATGATGGAAAGGACCAGTAGGTGTCGTTGAGCGGGCAATCTACGATGAAAAGTAAAAGATAAGATGATGGTAGTAGCCAGCTTTGGATGGATGGCGGCAAAAGCTGTCAGTGTTGGACAGTTGAACCACGAGTCTATCAGCCAAAACACACACACACACACACACACGCGCACACGCGCACACGCACACACACACAAACACATATCAATTTTGGCGCAGAGTTGCGTTCAGCCAGAAAACCAACAAAAACACGCGTCGCGAGCTCTGGAATAACGATCTAACATTGCTCACGTGACCCGCACAATTCTCAAATTGCCGATGAGCAGAAGCGATCGACACGTGGTGAAATGCACGGACCACTGGGCAGTTGTCAATTGGTTGATCCACTTGGATTTACTCCACTCGACGACTTGTATTCTCGACACTACCTCATCTTGGCCTCTTTCGCCTTGTCATATCGTCCTTTCCCGAGCAATACTGTCGATCGAGTGGCGAGCTGATCACGCACTGATCATCGCTGCGCTACGGCGGAGCTGCCGCCCATCTCGATTCAACTTCAATCGGCAAAGGCAATCGTAGTATCATCTGTCATCTCATCCACCATCAACCTGCACCGTTGACCGACCATGTCGATTTCAAGCTCACACTCGCCCATCACTGGCGAGCCGGTACCCGACTACTACATCCATGCCTCTGATGCTTTCTTCCGAGACACAAAGGGTCGTGCTCTCTTGCTCCGTGGTGTCAACCTCTCGGGTCAGAACAAGTCTCCAATCGGTCAACCCTCACAAAAGCTCGAAGGCTTCTGGCAATCAGCAGAGTCTGGTGGAGAAAGCTTTGTCGGACAGCCTCTTAATCTCGAAGATGGTTCGGCTGATGTCCACCTCGCTCGTCTTCGGTCATGGGGCTTCAATTGCTTTCGCTACGTCTTTACATGGGAGGCCATCGAGCACAACGGCCCTGGTCAATACGATACCGAATTTCTAGACTACACCGTCAACGTTCTGCGCAAAATCAAGCAGTATGGCTTTCGGGTCTTCATGGACCCTCATCAGGATCTCTTCTCTCGCTTCACGGGAGGCTCTGGCGCTCCCTACTGGACCCTGATCGCATGTGGCATGAACCCTCGCAACTTTACGACAACACAAGCTGCCTTCATTCAGGCCGAATGGCCAAACGCAGCGAACCCAGATCCAGCCGACTTTCCCGATATGCTCTGGGCAACCAATTACACTCGCCTAGCAGCTGCTACTCTCTCTGCGCTCTTCTTCGCTGGCAAGCACTTTGCACCACGTTGCATCATTGACGGTCAAAACATTCAGGACTGGCTGCAATCACATTATATCAATGCTTGCAAACAGCTCGTCAACAAGATAGTCGATGCGGGCGATCTCGTAGAAGAATGTGTCATTGGCTGGGACAGTGTCAATGAGCCCAACCACACCTACATCAGCCTCGACAGTATCTCTTCTATCCCAAAGTCCTGGCAGCTCAAGAAGGGCCCCGTCCCCACTCCAATCCAAAGCTTCCGTCTTGGCGCTGGGCAAGCTCAGACAGTAGAGAACTGGACCTTCGGTGCTATGGGACCCAAACGCAGCGGCTCGGTCACTGTCGACCCAAAGGGCACCTCAGCGTGGCTCACGGAAGACGAGGAGCGTGTTCAAGGCGGTTCAAGGTGGGGCTGGAAACGTGATGACGCCTGGCCCCTCGGTCAATGTCTTTGGGCTGCCCACGGCGTATGGGACGAGGCTTCAGGGGAAGTACTCAACGACGCCTACTTCCGTTTCTTCGAAGGTCCAGCCGGAACCAAGCCTGCCGAATTCGCCGAGGACTACTGGTTACCACACTACCGCAAGTACGCCGATATGATCAGGTCCATTCACAAAGAGGCTATCATGTTCATCCAGCCTCCAGTCTTTGAGCCACCACCCAAGTCTCTTAACAAGGACGATCTCAAACAACGCGCATGTCTCTCTGGCCACTTCTACGATGGTCTTACCCTCATTACCAAGCATTGGAACTGGTTCAACGCAGATGCTGTGGGCCTTTTGCGGGGCAAATACCCAGGTGTTCTCTTTGCCATACGTATGGGAAGCAAAGCCATTCGACAGTGTATGAGAGATCAGCTCGGGTATCTGCGAGAGGATTGCCTCGACGGCCTCGGCCAGTATCCTAGTTTGATCGGCGAAATTGGCATTCCATACGACCTCGACAAGAAGAAGTCGTACTATGGCGACAGCAAGGGCAGAGGAATCGGCGACTATGCCTCGCAAACTCTGGCGCTGGATGCATCCCTCAACGGTTGCGACGGCAAGAATCTACTCAGTTACACCGTTTGGACCTACTGTCCTGACAATAGTCACGAATGGGGCGATGACTGGAATGGCGAAGATCTCAGCATTTGGAGTCGCGACGATGTCAAAGGTGCCGAGCAGGAGGATTCATCTGATTCCCCCTCTGTGGCCAGTCCAAGTTGTTCATCTGCGTCCAGCATTCGTTCCAAGTCCAAGAGCAGTCTCACTGGCCTGTCTTCTGGCTGCAACTCCAAGTCCAGCATCAACCTTCCCGAACTCGTACCTGGCAACGGCGATTACAATGCCCCAAATCTTCTCAACGGTTCTCGTGGCGCTGCCGCTTTTTGTCGGCCTTTCCCTGTTGCCACAGTAGGTACTCCTGCCAGCATTGAGTTTGACATCAAGTCATCCGAATTCTCCTATGCTCTCGATATCACAGGCGCTGAGCTAGATCGCGCTCAAGCCGGTTTGCCGACCGAGATCTACCTTCCTTTTCTACACTACGGCGCTGATGGTGTGGCTGCAGCTGCCAGTGGGGATCTACGCGATCGACGGAAGAAGAATGGCCCTGCATCAGCACGTTGGGCCCGTCAAGAGGAGAGAAAGCTCCGCTTCGCCTCTTCGCTCGCCTCTTCGCAAACCAGCATTGGCAGTAGCGAATCGTCGAGCATTGCCGAGTCATCATGCTCCTCTGCATCGACCATCCTTGCTGATTCCACTGAGCTTTGCAGAGCTGCTTCAACAAGGTCTGCAGCCGTGCGCGAGGCTGCGAGCGAACAGCTGCTTGCTGTCGATGTCCAAGTCTCAGCTGGTCGCTGGGAGGTGGAAGGTCAGTATTTGAGGTGGTACATCAACAAAGCTGAGGCCATCGCAGAAGATGCTGATAACCCTCCCAATCGCCTCTTCCGACACTCGATCAAGGTCAGAAGAAGCGGTGGGTCCGTTAAGCTCGAAATGTCAGGTAGTGCCTGGCATATCTTGACCTCCTGTGGCATTCTTTAGCATCTTACCATCCCTGTCTTGCGGACAATCATTCCTTTGGTCACAATAACCTCTTTCTCACCGCATCCTTCTTCTCTCGTATCCATAATTCACTTGGCACCACATTTTGCGTGCAAGACAACACAGAACATCGAGTCTGTACGAAAGAACTTTGCACATTCCATCACATGTGAGACACTGTATGAAAAAAAGACAAAAAAAGAAAAAACAAAAAAACAAAAAAAAAAACAAAACAAAACAAAACAAAACAAAACAAAACAAGCATGTTTGGCTTCAACATCAAAAGTGTACCTAAAACAGAGGCAACAGTCCCGCAAACGACTGAACCAGCGGATCGTGGGGACGTCGAAATGAAGCAAGAAATGGAAAAGCTGAAACAAAGATCAAAAGACGCGCTTGGTTGCATGTTCGACTGTACGATAGCGACGAGGACCGGACTCGAAGCGGCAAACTGCAGTGCCTCATCCTGTGATGCGGAATGCAAATCCTTTTGATCGTCTCCTTCCAAAGCATGAATTGACGAAAGCCTAACAAGTGAACGTGAATGAACGAACGAACGAACGAACGAATGAATGAATGAATGAGATACTGGCCGGCAGAAGATGAGAGACAAGATAGAGTCCATAGGCACCCAGCACCGCGTTGGAGGGCAAGGTCAAGAGAAAGGAACAAGGCGTCTACGAGTCGGCCTGCTCCATGATGATCTTGGAAAGACCGTCGTAGAGGTTGGCAAAGTTGTTGAGGTTGCCTGTTGGCGTCGCAGCGGTGGCAGCGGCGGCAGAGGCGGCAGAGGCGGACAAGAGGGAGGAGGCGGCAGCAGCCGACTTGCTGGCGCGAACGCTGGCACGCGACTTGGCAGCGGCTCTGGAGACGGAAGCGCTGGCACGGGCAGCAGCCTTGGTGACCGAGTATACTGAGGCACGAGAAGAGGCAGCAGAACGGGAAGCAGCAGCTGACGAAGCGGCGGCGGCGGCGGCGGCAGAACGGGAAGCAGCAGCGGCTTGCGATTTGGCCTCTTCTTTGGCTTGTTTAGCAGCCTGTTGAGCCTTCTTCTTGGCAGCGGCAGCGGCGGCTTGGCCGTCATCGTCGTCGCCATCGTCATCGTCATCGTCATCGTTGTTGTTGTTGTTGTTGTTGTTGTTGTTGTTGTTGTTGTTGTGCCCACCGCCGTTGTTGCCAGAGTTTCCACCGCCTTCACCAGCAGGCCACCAAGTGATAGGGAAGACACCAGTGCCAAGGCTTGTGAACTCGGTGAAGAGGCCGACACTCATGTCGAGAGAGCCATAGAAGCAGTTTCCTCCGCCAGTAGGGCAAGCATCCTCGACACGAGCGGTGGCAGTCTTTTTACCGTTGGAGATGATGATGGTCTTACCACACCACGAGGAACGCTGGCCGAGGTCACCGTACATGGGCTGGTTCAAAGCGACGACGTGGTCGTTGGGGTTGAGGAACTGACCACAAGCACTGTCGAGCGGAAAAGGAGAAGAAAAGGTTAGCTACATGCTCTGTTGTTGCTGACGCAACGAGATAAGAGAAAAGCAAGCGAGAGACACGTACCCAGCGTTGCCGGTACCAACGTCGTACCAGGTGGCCATACCAGAGTAGGTGGCGCGCTTGACGATGGCCTGCTCTGCATCGAGGGGGCCCTTGTTGTGGTGTCGTCGGCGAGGGGTGGTGTGGCCGTGAGAGGAGGCCAAGGAGGTCGAGACCAAGGTGGTAAGTACAATCGCAGCAACCGCCTTCATGTTGGATGATGGTGAATGCGTATGTGTCCAAAGCGATTGCGAGAGACTGAGCGATGCGTGACAAGATTGATTGATTGCAGACGGTGGGGATCCAAATGAATGTATTCTATACCAGAAAGAAATGGCGGCGTATGTCGTGAACAGTGGATGGTAGGGGAGGGGGAGGGGAGAAGGGGAACAGAGTGGAGAGAGATGGTGGTGGTGATGGGTGGTGGTGGTGGAGATGGCGGAACGAGCATGTGTGTGTGTGTGTGTGTGTGTGTGTCGACGAGGATGAGGGGGCAGCTGGCCCAGCAAGTCAAAGGGAACAGACATTTCAGTGTTGGACAAGCATGCCAAGGCGACAGAGCAGTCAATTTACCCCATTTTCCCACCTGGTTGTCCGAGGCGTGTGTGTGTGTTGAAAATGTGCCTTGCTCGTGTGCCAGTGCAGCGGTCAAGCAGAGGAACAAAGGGGTCCATTTTTGCAATTACAGGACTGTGTCAGTGTCAGTGTCAGTGTCAGTGTGGCTATTTCGCTGGAAAAGTGAGGGGAGATTCGCTGCCCAACTACGAAACTCTCTCCAAGTGACTTTTCCAGAGAGTGTGTGTGTGGCTTGGCGCATTTGTTCTTGTGTGTCCTTTTTCCCCCTTGTTGTCCCACCCCTGTTCCACTCATTTCAAAATGGCATGTCCGAGGCCGATCTTGCCCTTTTCCGTTGCCCTTTTCTATTGCCCTTTTCTATTGCCCTTTTCCGAGGCACGCCATCCCTTTCCCTTTCCCTTTCCCTTTCCCTTCATTTCATTTCATCTATTTCAAACTGAAACTCAGTTTTTGAGAAATACAAAATGCCAGAACAAATAGTGAAAATCGCTGTAAGAAAGGATCGACACCACGCTCTACCGAAGCAGTCGACGCCTTCTAGCGCAAAAGAAACTTGACACTCTCACACTCCTCTCTGCTCTCTCTCTCCCTGTACAACACTCGGCTTGCCTTAATATTGCCCTCTTCTGCCTTGCCGCACTTTTCCCAACCACGCTGGATTGGGAAGCGTTGGCATTCCGCTCCTCCTGCCAACGATCTTCTTGGAATGCCAAGGATACACACAGCTGCAGCTCTCTTTGCTTCCTTCTCTCCATCTCAGTTGCTCGAACCTCTGCTTTACATCCTTCCAACCGGGTTCCAGTCAACACCACCGTCTGCAGCTACCATCCTGGCTTGCCTCCTCTTTGCTGCAATCCTTCTTTTCTCGCTGTCCTTTCAACGTCTTCCTCTTTTTCTGTCTCTTTCATCCTCTGTCATAAAAAAAGTGCAAGAAACAAAGGTAAAAAATTTCAAAGGGAAAAAATCCAAAAAGACTGGTGACAAGAGTGGGATTCGAACCCACGCCCGAAGATAGCAGGTTCTCCCGATTTCGCAGGATATCTTCCTTAATGCTACGCCTTAGACCACTCGGCCATCTTGCCTTGACAGCAGAAGCTATTCTGTTGTATATACAGCTCGGGCGTAAATTGTCCCACGAATTTACATGTCACCATACATCACTCTAATGCTCAATAGCCATAAGTTGTATTGCCACACTGTCTGATATTGTCTGAAAGCCCTGCTTCTTCTCTCCAAGACTGTGTAAATGATATTGACATTGACTGAAAAAATTGTGCTATGAAGAAGAGCCAAGATTTTTTATTTTATTGTGGGACAGTTTATGGAGCACTCCTCAAAAACACCTTAGTACTTTGTATTCCCTCCTTTGGCCTTAAGAACTGCCTTGATGCAGTCTGGCATACTCTCTATTAGGGTCCTACATGTCTCTGGAGTGATTGCTGTCCATTCAGCTTTGCATCTCTTGAGCAGTTCATCCCTGGACTTTGCAATTGTACTATACTGTGAAAGTTGCATTTTGAGATGGTGCCAGAGGTGTTCAATTGGGTTTAAGTCTGGTGACTGTGCTGGCCATTGCATAACCTTAATGCTATTGCTTTCCAACAACATTGTTGTCTTCTTTGACATGTGTTTTGGGTCATTGTCTTGCTGAAACATGATGTCAGTGTATGCATGCTGAAGCTGTAAATCTGAGATTGTTTTCACAAGCTTGTCATTCAAGGTAATCAATGTATTGGTCTGTATTCATTGTACCCAGCACCAAGCACATGCCTCCCACCCCTTCCCATGTCATACAGCCCCAGATCATGATGGGGCTGCTGCCAAACTTGACCATCAGCCTGACCAGCTTGCTGTTGAAGCCAGCATTCTTAATCCAACAGAACTGCTTACCATCCAGTCCAAAGAAGTTGATATTCATCTCATCAGACCATACCACATTCTTCCAATCCTCAACAGTCATGTCCTTGTGCTCATTAGCAAATTTGTGATGGGCTTTGTAATGTCTCTTGAGTAGCTTCGGTTTTTTCACTAACCTCCATGCTTTGTAACAACAGTAATGAAGTGCTTTTCTTACTGTGGTTGGGCATGCTGTGACTTGGAACATCTCCTGCAGTGCATGACATGCTTTCCTGACCATGGAGGTTGAATTGAGCTCGAAATAGTGGTCCAGGAAGCAAACATGATGAGGCTGGAGTTTTCTCAGCCAGCCCCCCTTTGACTTTGGAACATCAGCAGAGGCACTTTTGCTGAGTGCATTTCACTGTAGACTTGCTCAGACTGAGTTGCTCAGCAACTGAATGGGTAGATTCCCCATTTTGGAGGTGAAAGATTGCTGATCAGCATTTCTCTGGTGTTGTTTTTGGCATGATGGTATATATATGATGGTGTCAGACTGGAAGCACTGCTGGATCACTCACAGTCATCTGATTGAGCTGAAACTTTCCACATCACTACTTTCGATGTGTATGAAGGCACCCACCAAGTTACATTGCAAGTTTCATTGTAGTCAAAAGCCCACAAGGTTGGGAATGGAGCAGTGTCACTATTTGGGAGCATGCTCCAAAAACTGTCCCACAATTAAAAAAAAAATCTTGGCTCTTCTTCATAGCACAATTTTTTCAGTCAATGTCAATATCATTTACACAGTCTTGGAGAGAAGAAGCAGGGCTTTCAGACAATATCAGACAGTGTGGCAATACAACTTATGGCTATTGAGCATTAGAGTGATGTATGGTGACATGTAAATTCATGGGACAATTTACGCCCGAGCTGTATTAATGCTTCAAAGACAAATGGTCATGCACACATCTGGCGTCATTGCAGCGAGGGATGAGATTCGACTGAGAAACGGAAGCCTTTCTTGGTCTTCTTCCGGTCTTCTCCTTATGGTAACAGACAATGACTATATTATAGATACGTGCTAGGGTATATGAAAAGTCTTACAGGACTTGATGAGGCACCGATGCGTTGCAGTCGCCTCTCTCTACCGTCCGCTGTGCTTGCGAATGCTCTCAAACACTTCCACCACCACCTCTGAATTTGTCATCAGACTATGGCTTGCTCCCTCCACGACATGCAGCGAACAGGCTTTCATCTCTCTAGACAAGTTGATCGAGCTCGACAGAGGAATCCGCTCATCCTTTGATCCGTGCCATACCTCGCAATCGGCTTGCAGATCCGTATAGCCAAATCCCCACGGCCTTTTTCCCAAAACCATTTGCAAATCATCCACCAAGCCGCGTGCACTCTCCGCATGAGAGGCTTTGAGCAGCTCAACAGCGCTGTTCCGTTCCGCTTCTGCCATTTGCGAGTTGCTTGTCTGCCAGCACAAGACCGGCCTGCTACCGTCAACCACCTTTCTGCTCTCTGCTTGTGTTTCCCCTGACTTGCTGCTTGGCAGCGACGTGCCATGCTCGGCCAAGGCCTTGTTTCTACGATGCGTCTGCTCCTTGGGAGGAGGCGTTGGTCCTCTGTCAAATTCCTCCAGGTCGTACTGCCGAACATCGTAGCAAGGCTCTTCGGCCTGAGTCAAGGCATTTCTGTTCGCTCCCCTCGACCCTTCTTTGTTCAGCTTCCAGTTCTGGATCTTCCACTCGGCTGCCTGTGCCGTCTTGATAACGCCGTCCGGGACGTACCGCAACCAACGATAGCCACTATCTTGTTGCATGCCCGTCCAGGGAGCAAGCAAATGCAGCGGCCCCTGAATGCGGTGAGGAAAGAGGAGCGCTAGGGCCACCGCGAAAGGCGCACCGGCGCTATGGGCCAGGATCGAGAATCTATCAATCTCGAGAAGATCAGCTACCTGTTCGACAACAAAGCTCCAGCCGAGAATGTTGCGTCCTTCCGACTGCACACTGTCTGTGCGGCCAATGCCCCACCTATCGATGCATATCAGGCGCAGGCCGAGTGACGCCGCAACCTCGTCATACAGGCCGATAAGATGCCTCGATGCCCCTAGGCCAAGGAAGACCATGACAGGATGCCCGCTCTCGAGGCCCACATCGGCGAACGACACTTGAAGGAGCGGTGATCCGGCAACCTTGACCTTCGTGCAGAGTGTCAGGCTCGTCAGCCCTGAAGCTAGGCTCTTAGTATTCACCTCTCGCTGAACTGGAGACTGTAGTGCGCCGTGAGCTGTCTCTGACACGCTTGAAGTCGTTCCACCGATGGAAAGTCGCGACAATCTCCGTCCGATGTCGTTGGAATGTGTCGTCCTCAGTACAGCGCGGGTCTCTTGCTCCACAGAGCCCTCCGAGCCTTCCGAATCTGATTTTGAAGGCTCTTCATCGTACGTCGAGCTCCTTACTGAGTTTGATTGCGATAGGGGCGCTGTGGACTCGAAGGCGGACCACGAAGCGGAACGTTGTGGGCCACGCTGTGATTGAGGAGCGGACAAGAGGTTGTCGGAATGCATCTTGATGATTTCGTCGATGGACTTGACAGGTTCCAATGTGATGGTACGTGGGCGAGCCCTTCCCAGCGCAACCAAGGAAGCGGCGTACGTGCTCGAAAGCGAACGTCTTACGGAAGTTGAGCCTTCAGTACGCTTGCGGGACGTGTCTGGTGGGAGTAGGAAAGCGCCGGCGTGTCTCTTTTCGGAAGAATGTGAAGCCTCTTTGCGTGCCGGTTCGAGTCGGCTACTTGAACGAGATCGACAAACAGAGCTACCTTCCGGCGCTGGCGATGCGGATTGACTTGCAGCTTCTTCAGGAGATACGAGAGCAGACTTTGGGATGTAGGGCCCGGTCTGCTTCCGTTCCGGATACAGATCGTAGTAGCTTCTCGTCGTTTCACCGCTACCGCTCACTTCCCTGCTTGCTTGCGATCTTGCCAACGGCCTGCTGCGGGTATGTGATCCGACCTTTCCACTGGAGGATCTCACCGACCGTAGTGAGCTTCCTCGCTCCATAACTGGGTATATTGGTGTTACGATCGTAAGGTCTGAGTAACCAAACACCGATGTTTCGTGGGGCACCGAGAGCTTTTCTGTATTTCGCAGCTTAAATATTGCACATCGGGCACTATCACGAGCCGATCTAATCTTCCCCGCGTTTGAATGCAATCTACTGCTAAATCTTTCCATGCGATTAGTTATCTGCACCACCATCGTACATCAAGACACACGAAAGCCGTTCGCCACCCCTCTTTAAGGGGGAGGGGGGGCTGGGGTTCGCTGGCTTACAGCTCCGACAAGGTTTGGTCCCCATGCAAACGTTCGAGCGTGCTATGTCGATCATCGAAAACAGTCATGAGGCGTACAATAACATTCAAGGCAGTGACAGCCAGACCTCAGACAGTGGCGTAGGGCCGGGAGACATCAACAAGAGAAAGCCGATGAATCAGCTGCTGGGGGCAGCAGACAGAGGCAACGCATCTCGCGCGACAGTGAACGCTCCACTCAGCAAGTGACCGAATATTGCGATATCAACCAGGCGCTTCTGAAATTCTTCAAGGACCCACAATGGGTGGAGTTGGAGGGAAATATACGGGTCTTGACGAAGCCGAGAAGCCGACAAGGGGGATATCGTCTTGCTTGGGTTTGCTCAAGGTTACGATCCAGCAAGATGTTGATAGAAGCATGAGCCGATATAATAAGGGATCGGGCAAGGCCGATACGATAAGAGATCGGGGACCGCTTGGTCCCGCTCATTGTCACACTTCATCCTTTGAGAGGCATACTCCCACCTGCCACTACTGTATATATATATCGAGCGGAGAGCTCCAGGCTGCCACCATGTTCGATTAGGTCAATATAGTATAGTGTTTCTGCCCAATAGCAGCAGTACTGTGCTTTGGCTGATATCGCTCGATAAGCGTCGCCAACTGTCGCATTTTCCATTTGAAGGAGGGCTATCGACTCGCATCAGGAAGTCGACGGAGTGACCGATGTCTTCCGACGGGATGATCGATGCATCCAATGGAACGGCCGACAAGTCTTCACACGATGATAAGCTTAGTCTGGCACCTTCCGTCAGGGTGGCAAAGTTCCTCTTCAGAAGAGACCGGACTCCTCCTTCAAGGGGCTCTCATGTCCTGCCTCTCCATGCTTCAGATCTCCCTTCTATCTTTATGTCGATGGGTCAAGGTGTAAATAAAGTGCTCGAGTCAGCTAGTTTTGTTCCCGATATATCATCCATCACTTGTACTTACTCACCAACGTCGAGAACGCAATACGACCATGCCCTACCATAAAGAGTCTACCATCCCTTCAACACCATTAGCATTGGCCTCCCACAACTTGAGTGAGAGGGTACATCTTTCAAGATGAAGTGTGGCCTCGAGCTGGATCAAGCAGTGCCTGATCTCTTACCATATTGGCCCATGTCCCCATCAGCATCTTGCTGGATCGTATCCTTCAGCAGCGAATTGTAGTTAAGTTATCTTGAAAGTTTACGCAATGGCATCCAACCCCGAACGGGAATGCCCAGGAACGAAGTGGGGGATAATACTAAAGCTATAGGGGAAGCTCACCCCAGTCAACATAAGCTGCCTGCTACTCCCTTCCCAAAGTTCAACCCAAGGGATGTGGAGATCTTTATAATTGAAGCTGAAGCCTGGTTCATGTTCAACCAAGTCTATGACCATAAGAGCATGATTCATCATACTGGCTCTCAGTTGGAAGGTAACACTTGCAAGTGGTGGACTTCCAAGTTAAGGATTGATTGTGAATGGCAGAGAAGGCTATCCCAGGACTGGCAGTACTTTAAACAGTGTTTGACTGAGCAGTACAACCCTTGCAACCCCAGAGTCAAAGCATATAACAAGCTTCTCAATATCCAACTCACAAGTGCTGCACTGGGTGCAGCCACACACCATGTCAAGTGATTCCGAGACCTCGAGGGGCAGGTGAATATGGAGGATAAGGACTTGGTTATCAACTTGTTCAGGGGCAGTCTTATGTGCAGCCTGTAAGTGGTCGCGCGCCAGAGACTTAGTTTTGGGGTGCTATTGAGTTTGATTGAGTAAGGTCTACTTGATATGTTTTGCCTAAACATAACCAAGCATCACTGCCTGGTAAGTCTTGACTGACCACCTTGAACACTCCATTCAGAGGTTGTGCAGCACAAACATTGTTTGTTGGTGAGTGGGTGATACACCCTCTCCTACAGTACAAGTGTTCATAGTACTGTTGATAATGCTCTTGGACATCATCTGGACTGCAATATGCTAATTGCCTACAGAGGATGGGAGTTACTGGACTGCAGGTGTGAATCACTGCCTACAATAACCAACTGGACTGCTGGTGTTGAGCAACACTGCCTACAGCAAGGGACTGGACTGCAAGTGTTGAAGAACACCACCTACAGTAAGGGACTGGACTGCAAGTGTTGAAGAACACCACCTACAGTTGTTGACTAATGGTGATACAACACACATGTTGAGAGTCATTGCAAGAGCACTGCTATTGCAATGGTATGTAACTAAGTAAGTAGATAGAGTAAGTAGTATAGTATGTAGAGTGGATGGGGATCCACTTGTATGCTATGGTAGAATGAGAGTATTTATGCATTCAATTGGTGTTGCCCATGACACCTATCCTGCCCCTCTTGAGGGGCCTTTGTCCCCTGTTTGACACTGTCTTGTCCTGCTGGCATCAATCCCATTGATACTGCACTCCTACCATTTGCACAGTGTAAGGGTTATGCAACACTGCCCTCTCACCTTCATGCTCTCCTTCTGCCTGATGATGTGTGATGCCCCCTTTTGACACAGCTCCTTCTCAACTTTATCTTGTGAATCCCTTTAGCCACTTGTTGAACCTCATGACCAAACCCCTTGGTCATGTGGTCACTTTGACACAGCTCCTAGTACTTGCTCATATCGGCTGACTTGTTGAAGCATACTGATCTGACTGATTCTGACCAATCCCCAATGAGATTAATCTGGAACCCAGGGTTTGATTGATCTCATAATTCATATGCACTGCCAACCCGATTAATCTTGTTGATCCCTGATGGTTTGGCACCAATCAATCTGGTGTGCCCTCCATATATTGATCCATTGCGCCCCCTTCATATACTGCTCCATTGTGCGACATCACCATGATTGCCACTGATCGATTTGGCGCACTCTCTTGCGCTGGCCAGCCGACCCTGTGACACAGCCTACAGGAGAAGTTTGAGGGTAACCCACCTACAAACATTTGGGAATGGTACCAAGAGGTTGAAGACATCGACCACCGGCAGATGTTAATGCAGCAGTCCGCCTCAAGGCACCCACCTACACCCTGTCATGGGCCTGAATGCTCAAGAAGCAGGAGGGTCACTGGTTCATATGGAAGGGGCACAGGTATCAGAGATCTAGTCGATACCAGTGGAGAGCATGGTCGTAGTGCAGTCTCCATGGAGACCATGGACTCCTATGGACTCACATGCGAAGGAGGACCAGGCCCATATGTGAGGAGGGCCAGGCACAGCCATGAGGAGGACCAAGCTCAAGGAGCAGGCACAGCCACGAAGAGGACCAAGCTCAAGGAGCATGCAGACAGTTACCACTCAGGGGCTCGAGAGACAAGAGTCAAAGGAACCGTCACTGGTCAAAGGAGAAGGAGCAGTGTATAGGGAACTGGCAAGCAGGTCCTGAGGAGGAGGAGCAGTGTCGAAGGAGTTGACACCAGGTCCTGAGGAGGAGGAGCAGTGTTGAAGGAGTCGACACCAGGTCCTGAGGAGGAGGAGCAGTGTCGAAGGAGTCGACACCACTCAGGAGGCACAGGGGTGCCAAACAAGCAGGATAGCAAGGAGGAGGAGCAGTGCTAGAGGGGCCCCTGTACAGTACTCGATGAAGAAGGTACTCTCTGGAGAGAGAGCAGGAGCAGCGTCGCTGGCGATGCTGTGAAGAGGTATATAACCATACTTTCTCATCATCAAAGGTCGAGTGGATCCTCATCCACTCTACACACCATGACTAGTTATCACTTCAGCATAAGTATATATTAGTTCCAGTCAGCATAGTAGCAATCTATCAAGGTTGCTCCTCATCATAGTGCATGTGTTGTATCACCACTACCTGACGTCCGAAGGCGGCCCATAGCAGGTCAGTGGTCCAGATATAGATAGAACCGAAGGCAGTAGTCCATGGCGGTCTGGGGATCACTTCCAGCATCAAGTCAACACACTGGACACTCATGTTGATGCCACCAACCTTATCACCAACACCATCAACCTCATTATCATCAACACTCACCAACCTTATCACCAACACCATCAACCTCATCATCATCAACACTCACACCAGACCTTGGTGTCATCATAACCTACATATTGATATTGATCATGCCGAGCTACCCCTGAATGGAGTGTCCACAGAGGTCAGCCGAAACCTATGATAGTATATACAATGAATGCCACCCACTGTCATCATGCAACTTGATAGTTGCCAAGCAACGTAGCTTGTCGAGACTGATACCGAGACAATAGCTGTCACACAGTTTGATAGTCACCAAGTATCTCAACAGACCGACCTGGGTTTCAGGCGCGAGACCCCTGACACACCCCACCCAAACCCAGTTGTACAATCAACTCCCTCAACACCATTGCTGGCATGACAGCCCGGACTGGTAACTCCCAGAGCCCTGTATCATTCTGGTAACCATCTGTTGCCTCCTCATCTGACACAGAACCTGAGGCCATGGGACACCACACCTCTGGGTAGTAACACCTGCCATTGGTACAAGGGCACGGGGCATTGGGCAAGAGATTGTCCAAGCAGGAAGCAGCCTGTGTCATCAACACCTAGACCTATGTCAGGGGTCATGCGCCTGAAACCCGATATCTGTAGTAGAAAGATAACTACTACTGATCCTATCAAGATCTGTGGTAAAGGGCCTTTATTATTATTCTTGCTGAAATCTGTCATAGAAGCCTTCTATGACTTTTCTTGCTCAAATATGTCATAACTGATATCTATTGTGGATTTTGACTGACCACTGGGGACACTCTGCTCAGAGGTAGCTTGGCACAATCACTAGTTGATAGATACTTTGAGGTGGGACCAAGGTCTGGTGTGAATATGCTGAGGGAAACGATCCAATATGATAACACATGCTGACATAGAAAGAATTGGGACATGGAGGAGGAGATCTACATGAAGATCGGGTACAACACAGTCCTGCTCATTGTCAAGATAGGTCATGAAATAGGAGTGCTCCCACTCTAGGCATGTGCTGCATGTTTGTATATATATATAGCAGGGAGCTCGAGGCCCTCACCACACTTGCACTTTAGTCAATTGAGTATATATGTTTCTGTCTTTTAGCAGCAGTGACATCGTACTTAGACTCTCCCCGAATGCCAGTATCGGGACCGAAACAACTTCAGTTTCTCTCAGAATATGCTTGCGCCGACACAAGTGTCCAGTGTGTCAACTGAATGATTGATGATCCCTGGACTGCAGTGGACAACTGCCTTCAGTTCTAATTATTGAGAGAGCTGGACCACAGTATGAACTGCCTTCAGTGTCAATCAATATCCAGACCACAGAATGAACTGCCTTTGGATGGCATCAAGTGGTGATACAACACATGCACTAGGTAGTAGCAATGCTCTGCAATTGCTACTGATGATGAATCTACTAAGTATACTTATTGTGAAGTTATAGCTAGTAATGTAATGTGTAGAGTGGATGAATGTCAGGGGTCTCGCGCCTGAAACCCAGGTCGGTCTGTCGAGATACTCGGTGACTATCAAACTGTGCGACAGCTATTGTCTCGGTATCGGTGACTATCAAGTTGCGCAGTGACAGCAGGTGGCGTTCGTTGGATATACTATCATAGGTTTCGGCTGACCTCTGTGGACACTCCATTCAGGGGTAGCTCAGCACGATCAATATCAATGTTATGATGACACCAAGGTCTGGTGTGAGTGTTGATGATGATGAGGTTGATGGTGTTGGTAATGAGATTGGTGGTGTCGATGATAATGAGGTTGCTGGTGTTGGTGATAAGGTTGGTGGTGTCAACATGAGTGTCCAGTGTGTTGACTTGATGCTTGAAGTGATCCCTGGACTGCAGTGGACTACTGCCTTCGGTTCTATCTTGATCCAGACTGCTAACCTGCTATGGGCACCTTCGGACATCAGGTAGTGGTGATACAACACACACACTATGATGAGGAGCAACCTTTGATGGATTGCTGCTATGCTGACTGAAACTAATATATACTTATGCTGAAGTGATAACTAGTTATGGTGAGTAGAGTGGATGAGGATCCACTCGACCTATGATGATGAGAAAGCATGGTTATATACCTCTTCACAGCATCACCAGCGATGCTGCTCCTGCTCTCTCTCCAGAGAGTACCCTCTTCATCGAGTACTGCTCAGGGGCCTCTCCTGCTTGGCACCCCTGTGCCTCTTGAGTGGTGTCGACTCCTTCGACACTGCTCCTCCTCCTCATGACCTGGTGTCGACTCCTTTGACACTGCTCCTCCTCCTCATGACCTGGTGTCGACTCCTTCGACACTGCTCCTTCTCCTTTGATCAGTGACAGTTCCTTTGGCTCTTGTCTCTCGAGCCCCTGAGTGGTAACCATCTGCATGCTCCTTGAGCTTGGTCCTCCTCATGGCTGTGCTTGGCCCTCCTTTGCATGTGAGTCCATAGGAGTCCATGGTCTCCATGGAGACTGCACTACGACCATGCTCTCTACTGATCTCGACTAGATCTTCAATACCTGTTGAACCTGTGACCCTCCTGCTTCTTGAGCATCCAGGCCCATGACAATGAAGATCCACTCACTTGCTATGACAAGGAGCATGGTTATATATCCACTCCTGCAATGTTGCCTGCGACACTGCTCCTGCTCTGGGAGGCCTCTTTGACACTGCTCCTCCTCCTCACCCTTCCTATCCTTTCCATCCACCCTGCAATGCTGTTTGTTGACACCACTTCTCTCACCTCATGCAGATGGACGATTTTCACACTGCATCATCATCAACAGGGGGCATTCCCACTTCATCTGGGTGGCAACTTGCCTCCCTCACTCATCTCACCCACCCTCCTGTTCTGAGTTCATTGTCAGGTCAGCCCCCTGTTTCATCAGGGTGGTGGACCCAATGCCTATAACGTCTTGTCCTGCTGTGAGGCTTGTGAGAATCGGTGTGATCTAGCCAGCTTCAGCAAGATCTATCCTATGATCAAGATACTACTGGTTCTGGTGGGATTTGTGATACAATCCTGCTCATGCCAATTTGGGCAAGATCTGTCATAGACCCTCTCTACTACAGATCTCAATGAACTCTGCCATAACCCTTATTTTGCCCAATCCTGCGATTCCTGCACTCCTCCTCATATGACATCCGTTCTTCCTGCTTCTGCGCATCCGGCCCTATGACAACCTAGTGGTCCAAAGGTCATGGTAATTTTAGAAGATAATCCCAAGGAAGAGGCAAATCACAAAGAGGAAGGCCCTACTGAGGAGGAGTCACACAATCCCTCCATAAACGATCAAGAAGGCTCCAACCTTATTCAACAACCATCTGTCGAAGATTATGGTGAAGACTATGATGAGGACGATGAGGGAAACATCAGTGGGACAATGCACTGATGGTGTGCATTGCCCTACAACCCTGGTTGCCATATATCTGTACAGTCCCTGTGCATAAGTTTGAGGACAATTGGGTAATTTCCTGATTTAGCTGGTTACCCCACATTTGGGTCATTGTCATCATTGAGCAATAGCACTACCATCATACTAAGCAAGAACACTTCAAACACCAACATGGTCCATGGCAATGAGCTCACTCCAATGCAGCGTGCTTCAGTTGTTGCAATGCATGATACTGGGCTGCCAATTCGATGAATCAAGGAGCTAAGTGTCAGAGGTCTCACGCCTGAAACCTGATATCTGTAATAGAACTGCATCTATTACAGGTCCTGTCGAGTTATGTGGTAGAGTGCTGTGTATTATTATTCTTGTCAAGATATGTTGTAGAAAAGCCTCTATGACTTTTCTCGCTCAAAGATGTAGTAGTGTGTTTGCTATTACAGGTTTTGACTGACTGCTGTGGACACTCCATCCAGAAGTAGCTTGGCACAATCAATAACAATGAATGTATTATGAAGACACCAAGGTCTGGTGTGAATGATGTTGTTGACACCAACACAAGTGTCCAGTGCATCAACTGAGTGCTTGAAGTGATCCCTGGACCACAGTGGATGACTGCCTTCAGTTCTATGATCACAAGCCAGACTGCAGGTTACTAGAAACCACCTTCAGTGTCAATTGTTATCCAGACTGCAGGTTTCTATGAACCATCTTTGGATGTCAGTGAGCAGTGATATGACACATGTGCTACAATGGAAGCAATCTATTATGATTGCAACTTGCTGACTGAAACTAAGTATACTTATGCTGAAGTGATAACTAGTTATGTATGGTGTAGAGTGGATGGCAATCCACTCACTTGCTGTGACAAGGAGCATGGTTATATACCATCCTCGCAGTGTTGCTTGTGACACTGCTCCTGTTCTGTGAAGCCTCCTCAACCCTATGTCTCCTCCTTGTCCTTCCTACCATTTTCCATCCACATTGGGCTGCTGCTCATTGGCACTGCCCTCCTCTCTTCCTGTGGATGGATGGCCCTTGTGCTACTTCATCATCGTCAGGGGCCGTTCCCACTTCATCTGAGTGGCGACCTGCACCCCTTCATCTCCCTCCTGTCGCCAGCACCCTGTCATGGGGCCGGATGCGCAGGAAGCAAGAAGACCCAAATTCATATGAAGAGCGCAGGAATCGCAGGATCGGGCTAAGCGGAAGCTTACAGCAGAGTTCACCAAGATCTGTAGTAGAAACAGCTCTATGACAGATCCTGACCAATTCAGTATGAATGGGGAGGATATGGCAAAACCTGCTGGAATCTGTAGTATTGCGATTGTACAACAGATCCCACACAGGAGGTGCCAATCTCATGAATCTCACCACAAGACAGATGTCAATACCATGAGTGGGTGGCAAAGACATCTGGGTCCACCATCAATGAAGCAGGGGACCTGCTTGGAAATGAACCCCAAGCAGGTAGATGGGAGGAATGAAAGGGGTTGCAAATTGCAGCTCAGATGAGGTGGGAATAGCCTGTCAATGATGAAGTGACAAGAGGACTGTCCATCCACAAGTAGTGAGAGACACAGTGCAGGTGAGCAGCAGCACAGGATGGACAGAGGGGATGGGAAGGACAGGGAGGAGGGGCAGTGTTGGAGAGGTGTGCCCAAGCAAAGGCAGAGTTGCAGGCAACACTGCTAGAATGGTTATATAGCATCACTCCTTGTCACAGCTGTTGAGTGGATCTGGTATCCACTCTACACCATACACTACTAGTTATAGCTTTCACATAAGTATACATTAGTATTTAGTCAAGCAGTAGCAATTGTAAGACATTGCTCCTATCATAGCACATGTGTTGTATCACCGCTTGTTGACATTGATCAACATCCGAAGGCAGTTCATCCAGCAGTCCAGCTCTCTTGATCACTAGAACCAAAGGCAGTTGTCCACTGTAGTCCAGGGATCACTTCAAGCACTCAGTTGACACACTGGACACTTGTGTCAGCAGCAACAACCTCATTTGCACCAGACCTTGGTGTCTTCACAATACATTCATCATTATTGATCATGCTGAGCTACCTCTGGATGGAGTGTCCACAGCAGTTAGTTGAGACCTGCAGTAACAATCACCTTATCACATCTTTGGATGAGAAAAGTCATAGAGGCCTTCTATGACAGATCTCAACAGGAACAGTAATAGAAAGCACTCTACCACATATCTCGACAGGATCTGTAATAGATGCATTTCTATTACAGGTTTCAGGTTTCAGGCGCAAGACCGCTGACACGCCTATTGGCCTGCATCAACTTCATCGTTGTGCAAGGTCCCTGCTTCATATGGTGGTGACTCTTCCCTTGTTCTCTGCCGTCCCCTTGCTGTATTGGCAATAGAGGTTTCTCTTGAACTGATTCCCATGAGGCCTGTTGTAGCAAGCATGATCCTGCTGATTCTACTGACTCCTGTAATAGGACCTGTGTTCCTACCAATCACAACAACTTATGTCATAGAGTCATTGATCCTAATGATCTCACTGATCCCTGTTGGAACTCTACTTTCCTGCTGGTTCTACTCCTGTAACAAGACCCATGCTCCTACCAATCACAATGAGTTATGTTGTAGAGCCATTGTTCCTACCAATCTCACTGAACTCTGTTGGAACTCTACTTTTGCCCAATCCATGATGGTTGTGCCAGATCTCTTCATATGAGTTCTGTTCTTCCTGTGCATCCATCTGGTCCCATGACATTACCTCCCCTCTTAAGAGCCAAGCTCCGTTGAGGCATGTCCTGTGCTATGTCTGCTCCTCCACACCATCCTTCCCTTGTCATTGTCACCCAACTCATCCAACATGACAACCTCACCCTACCAAACTCGATCCCAGACTGCTGCAAGTGCACCTCCTTCCGAGGTGGCTGCGGCTCCTTCTTGATGTCATTGGATCATTGTCCAACTACATCCTTGTGAGGTCTTGGCTGCTAGGGCCCTACCTCCTGCTTTCCCTATTCCGGCTCATGGGGCTGACCCTCTCGCCTCTCCAGTCCCTCTTTCCCCATTGGAACCCCTTTTCTTGGGGATGGATGACGACACCATCATCTCGAGCCCTCCTGGCTCACCATCTCCGGTTCGTGTCGAGGCTGGTCCTTTGGGTGAGGAGTATTCTCCCGCCTCTCCTCCTCCTCATGATCTCTACAACATCGACGCGAGTCGACCTCCTCGAGATCTGACGACGCTGGAGTGTCAGGCCATTTGGGAGGCCGAGCTGGCTCGCTCCCCTCTCCTCCTACTGCTGACGAGATCATCGACGCAGTTTTGGCTCCTCCTCGAGCCACCACTCCGGAGTATCGGTTGGAGGTGCAACCTCTCACTCCTCCCCCTCGTTGGCTTGGTCGCCAGACCCCACCTCCTCCTCCTCCCAAATTTCATCTCCCCACAAATGGCGAGATTGTGGGATGGGCCAAGCAATTTGTGGTTGCTGACCTTTTGGTCCAAATCGCAGATTGCCACTTCCCACTTGGTTGGGATGTTCCTACTGGGTCCCTGCCAGAGTGTTGGCTGCACTGCTTGGTCATGTTGCGCCTGACTGAGGGCTGCATGCTATGGCCCAGCTGGCAGTGTCGCCGCTGCTTTAATCTTGGTGTCCCGTAAGTGACCCCCCCCTCTTGTGTTCTCCTTCCTTTGCCTGGTACTGACAGCTTGATTTTATTCTTTGTTTGCCAGGTGTTTTGCCTCTGCATTCACCAACCCTTTTGGTGAGCATGTTCGGATCCCTCATGCATGCACTCATTGCTACCTCGCTGGTCTGGGTAACTGTGTCCACAATGTCCCTGCTCATCCCAGGATGGAGTACCCTGGGGATGGTACTCCCAGCTTACAACCTCAGGGTTTGCACCAAGCCAAGTGCACCCATCTGATGGTTGCTAACAGGGATGGGCCAGGTTTTGTTCACTTGGAGGAGAGGGTGGGTGACCCTGTCATGACCCCTGGCTGGGCAACTGCTATGTGAGTTGTGTGGCACTTGCCCAATCCTAACCTGGGAAGTTCTGTCCTTTGTACTCTGCAGGACTTTGTTGCTTGGCACAATTGTCTCTACTCAGAGCATCAGCCACATGAGTCGGTGATGGTGCCTGGTGGTCCTCTGGACCCTCTCTCCAACTGGGTGGCCCCCACAGTTGAGGAGAGGGTGGTTCATTCATCTCTTGCCACTCCTCCTGCCCCTTCCACATATGTCAACATGTAGCGACATGCCTTAACCTGTAACGATGTCACCTCCTATTCCTGATGAGTCTGTGGCCTGTCTCTTGAGATTGCTCATGACGTTGTTCGATGGTCTCTACCTCTCTTGTGTGTGATGAAAGGCTGCTGCCTCCTACGCTTGCTACTCTTGTTGTGAAATCTGTCATACCACCCCTTCTACTACTGATTCCCGTGTATTCTGTAGTAGCGCATCTTTTCCTACAGATTTTGCTCAAATCGGTCCCAACTCCCTTTCTACCAATTTCGCTCTCCTTTGTCCCTCGTGCTTGCTCCTTCGTCCCTCATGCTTGCTAGTCCCATCTCCCCCCTGACGCCTCATACTCCTGGATGAGGTCAGGGCAGTTGAGGTTTGACACTGGTTCCCAAGAAACAGCTTCTTCTGGGTACCCTCACCATAACACTTTGTATTCAGTCATCTGGTCACATGTGCATTTCCCAATGAGTGCTTCAACTTCAAATTCAAGCTCCTCATCTGGTAGTGGTGGTACAACTGGTTGGGCTGACTGTTGAGATAGTGAGCTTGTCTTTGCTGGCTTGAGCATAGATACATGGAACACATCATGGACCCTGAGGTTTGCTGGCAATGTGATCCAATATGCTCTGTGGCCCACTCATTCTTGAACTGGGTAAGGTCCTGCAAACCTGGTGTCAAGTTTCAGCATGGGTCACTTTGTCTTCCAGTTCCAGCAATTGATGTAAACCATATTGCCAACCTTGAACTCAATGTCCTTGTGTTTCCAATTGTATTGGTCCACTGTCCAATGTTGTGCCTCCCTGATCTGCTCTTGGAGGTACTTACAGTGCTCCTTTCCTACATCAATAGGAAGAACTGGAAGACACGTAGACCCACACCGAAACTCAACACCAGGTTTGCCAGCCCATACCCAATCAAAGAGTGAATTGGACAATGAGCATACTGTCAGGGGTCTCGTGCCTGAAACCCAGGTCAGTCTGTCAAGATATTCAGTGACTATCAAACTGTGTGACAGCTATTGTCTTGGTATTGGTCTTGATGAGCTATGTTGCTCAGCGACTATCAAGTTGCATGATGACAGTGGGTGGCATTCATTGTATATACTATCATAGGTTTTGGCTGACCTCTGTGGACACTCCATTCAGGGGTAGCTCGGCATGATCAATATCAATATGTAGGTTATGATGACACCAAGGTCTGGTGTGAGTGTTGATGATGATGAGGTTGATGGTGTTGGTGATAAGGTTGGTGGTGTCAACACGAGTGTCCAGTGTGTTGACTGATGCTTGAAGTGATCCCTGGACCACAGTGGACTACTGCCTTCGGTTCTATCTTAATCCAGACTGCTGGTTTGCTATGAACTGCCTTTGGATGTCAGTGAGTGGTGATACAACACATGCACTACAATGAGGAGCAATCTTGATAGATTGCTACTATGCTGACTGAAACTAATGTATACTTATGCTGAAGTGATAACTAGTTATGGTGTGTGTAGAGTGGATGAGGATCCACTCAACCTTTGATGATGAGAAGGTATGGTTATATACCTCTTCACAGCATCACCAGTGACACTGCCCCTGCTCTCTCTCCAGAGAGTACCTTCTTCATCAAGTACTGTACAGGGGGCCCCTCTAGCACCACTCCTGTCCTCCTTGAGCTATCCTGCTGGCTTGGCACCCCTGTGCCTCTTGAGCTGTGTTGACTCCTTCGACACTGCTCCTCCTCCTTGCTATCCTGCTTGCTTGACACCCCTGTGCCTCCTGAGCTGTGTCAACTCCTTCAACACTGCTCCTCCTCCTCAGGACCTGCTTGCTGGTTCCTTATACACTGCTCCTTCTCCTTTGACCAGTGATGGTTCCTTTGACTCTTGTCTCTCGAGCCCCTGAGTGGTAACCATCTGCATGCTCCTTGAGCTTGGTCCTCTTCGTGGCTGTGCCTGGCCCTCCTCACATATGGGCCCAGTCCTCTTTTGCATGTGAGTCCGTAGGAGTCCATGGTCTCCATGGAGACTGCACTACGACCATGCTCTCTACTGGTATCGACTAGATCTCTGATACCTGTGCTCCTTCCATATGAACCAGTGACCCTCCTGCTTCTTGAGCATTCAGGCCCATGACACATACCACATCATACTACCTGCAAGCCTCAGAGTACACAATGTCTTCCATGTGTCCATGCTGGAACCAGCCAGGAAAAGTGCATTGCCACCCCACTCACAAGTGTCAGTGGAACCACCACTTCTGGATGAGGACCTCGATTTCAAAATTGAGGCCATCATTGACAAGCAAGTTCACAATCATGGGTTTGAATACAAAGTGCTTTGGCAAGGATACCCAGAAAAAGCCACTTTTTGGGAGCCGTTAGACCTCCTCAATTGTCCAATTCTCATCCAGGAGTATGAGGTGTCGGCGGGGGGACGTTCTCATCAACGTTTTTAACCACCGACAGCAACGGGAAGGATGGAAACGAAACTGACCGGAAGAGACAGACTCGGTTGAACATGAACCAGGCTTCAGCTTCGATTATAAAGATCTCCACATCTCTCAGGTTGAACTTTGGAAAAGGTGTAGAGAGCAGCTTAGGCTGACTGGAGTGAGCTTCCCCATAGCCCTAGTATTGTCCCCCACTTTGTCCCTGGGCATCCCCATTTGGGGTTGGCTGTACCTAGAGCTGGTAGGCAATGCATACTTCTCGTAATCAGAATACAATTGTTTGCTCTGGTCTAGGAATGACACAGACCTTTGTGGTTTTGGTGCCGGGGTTGGTGTGAGCGGCTCCTCTATCATTGATTTGTCAGTTCGGCCCTCGTACTGGGCCTCCAGAGCTTCCAGCCTTAAGCAGTGGTATTTGCTAAAGAGGACGATCCAGCACGACCCTAAATGAGGTGATCGGGCAGAAAAGATCGGAGCATAGATCGAACGAAGTCGATCTGGTTGAACAATCGGGTAACACCGATAGGAGAGAGGAATCGGGTACAACTACGTCCCACTTGTTGTTGCATATCGACATTAGGTAGGGTGCCCTCATACTTTGGGCATGTGCTGCACGTTTGTATATATATCAAGCAGAGAGCACTAGGTCCTCGCCGCATTTCTCTAGTCAATTGAGTATATATGTTTCTGTCTTTTAGCAGCAGTGACATCGTACTTAGACTCCCCCCGATCGCCAGTATCGGGACCGAAACGACCCCAGTTTCCAATAGTATTCGATGACTTCTTGATTTTTTGCCTGGAGCTTCTCCACCCTTTCCTCTGTTCTCTCCAGGATTCTCAACAACGCATCGAGCCTTTCCTGTGTGGGGCACAACTTAAACGATCCACTCTAATGTAAGCGGTCGCGCGCCAGAAGCCTGAAAACTGCTATAGAAATCTAGTATGACAGATTTCTGTGAGAAGTGTGTGAATGTTTCCTTACGTTGTATCTCCACAGGATATGCCGTAAAGATGAGTAAGAGTAGGTCTTGACTAACCGCCTTGAACGCTCCGTTCAGAGGCTATGCGGCACGTCAATGGGTGAAGGTGATCTTGCTATGCTATGACAAGTGTGGGGCTTTGATGTCAGGCTCTTCCTCCTGGACGATGTGTCGGTCCCCTTGACACAATTCCCCTTCCCCTTCCCCTTGTCTTGTGAATGCTCCTGACCTCGTGGACACTTCTATTGTCCAACTCCTGTCCTCGTGAGCTCATCCATTGTCCTCCTCCCCATCCTGTGTGCTACCATTTCCCCATGTGGTAACCTCACCGCATGCTCCTATGCTCGGACCCCCTAAGGGCTTCCAAGCCCCTTATTGCAGTTCGCATGGTTAAACCTATCAAACTAGCTTGTTACAACCTTTTTTTTACTGAAAATGATTGTAACTAAGCAATCCAACTGTTTTCGCATTTCTGTGCGCACATTGCACATCCATGCATGTACAGGATCTTCTGCGCAGACCCTGTGACACCACGTTCCTTTAGTCAATCGAGTATAGTGTTTCTGCCCCAATAGAAGCAGTACTGTGCTCTGACTGACATCGATCGCTGAGTGTCGAAATCCGTCCTTCTTTTAATTTTTTAACATCGACTTGTGTCACTTTTAGTGTCTTGCTGAATCATTACCTTCAGCACGTCGTGGCGCCCTTAGGCGAAAATCATTGAAATTTTGCACACGAATAGTTAGCGAATTTCGCCAACTTTTGAAAACAAAGATGACAAAAGTCGCAAAATTTCGACGATCATGGCTCAATAACAAGCGCTTGCTAGTACCGAAAACCTGGGATGAGCTTGTGAGAGCTGCAGAAGAAGTGTGGAACACACAGATATCGCTCGAACATATCAACCCTGTGAGTCAATGGAGCAACGGGTGGAGAAGATGCTTACTAAGCATGGAGGTCCGCTCAAGTATTGCTCCGAGACCCACTGCAATCGAAAGCTCTCGTCTCAGACTTGATCACTGTGCGTTTCGTACAGCCTGACACTCATGAGACATCAGTCGTCCAAGCGATGGAAGGTATGCTACCTCCGTTCCGGAGCAGCCCCGACGCCTTCCATGTTGAACCATTTGTGGAGGTTCTCTCCGATAATGATCTGTTGGTGTCAGCCTGTCTCGTGTAGACCTGGCGATAATGCATGGCGACGCACCAAGGGGACACACCATCATCCTGGGGCATGCTCTCTCACCTCCTAAGATAAGAATGACGAACGATGCTCAACAAGCGGTATCAGTCAAAGCACAGTACTGCTGCTATCGGGACAGAAACACTATACTCTATTGACTTAGATCAAGCAGCGTAGCAGACTGGAGCTCTCTGCTCGATATATATATATATATATATACAAGAGAGAGAGGAGTCGTCGAAGGTGGGAGTATTGGCCTCCCACAACTTGCATGAGCGTACACCATTCAATATGAAGCGTTGCATTGAGCCGGACCAAGCCACATCCTATGTCTAGCCGTATTGGCCCGAGTTTCCATCAATACCTTGCTGAATTGTATTTTCGTATTTTTCTGCGCCTGCTTGTGATGCTCATCACATTATTGTGCAGTTGACTGAGAGAGAGACGATGCATAGGCAAACTTTGTCAACTACTGCATTCCTGATCTTGCCTGTTCTCGACGGATGGAGGCAAGAGGAGCCTTTCAACGCTACAAGGAAAGACGTGGCCGAACTCACGACAAAATAGTTTCATTCGTCGTAATCACCAGCCTGAAAGGCCCTTCAATATGCAAAAAGAGTATCATTTTGATCAATTAACGCAGTGTTGCAAAGCTGATTTGATAATTAGTGCATTTCTCAAAATGCGGTGCAAGAATCACAAATGTTCTGGACTGATCACAACGACCAAGTCGCAACGGTTAAAGTTCTGGCTCAAACGGCCTACTGGCAATTCTGTAAGCATGACGTTAAGTTAGCGAAACACTTTCCAGCTTGAAAAAATGGAGCCATTAAGTGTTGGAGATTACGATCCAGTCCAATCTCAAGGATGTCATATATCAGATCTGCGAGAGATCGGACAAGACTGATACAAGAGAGGGATCGGGTACAACCATGTCCCACTCGTTGCTGTACATTGTCATTAGGTAGGATGCACCTACACTTGGCTATGTGCCGCACGTTTGTATATATATCTAGCGGGGAGCTCGAGGCCCCCGCCACATTCTTTGCCTATGTCAATATAGTATAGTGTTTTGCTCTTTAGCTTGAACACCGTACTTAGACTGATATCTGCCGATCGTACGTCGACAAGTGTCACTCTTAATTCAACATTAAGCTGCGAAACTTACTAGAGTCAGCAAGTAAGTTTTATTTTGGATGATTTAGGAATTTTGATGCCTTGTTGGAAAATAGAAAAAGAAAAGAGTCCACTCAGAGCTTACAAAATTGTCATCAAACATGATTTCAGACAAGTTGACGCAATTTGATAAAAGATTAAAAGGAGAACGGATGTCGACGCTGAAGATAACGATCCAGCAGGACAATAAAAGTGACATAAGTCGATATGGTAAAAGACCGGGTAGAACCGTTCTGATTGGAGATCGGGCGGAGTTGATATAGTAGGGGATCGGGGACTGCTGGGTCCCGCTCGTTGATACACTTCGTCATTAAGTGGATAAGACCTGATAGCCACCAGCTGGAGAACAGGCGCAGTTGCTGCATTAAGTAAGCCTTTGTTGCGAAAGAGTCCGGTGACGTTCGTCTCCGATGGGTCGGGGCGGCTTACATTGCTATGCGTTGAAGAAGCAGAAGATGCGTTGGGCCAGCGTCAGACCATCTGCCGGAACCTCCTCAGAATGACGAGCTTGATCAATGGCGCATGTTGCGCGATTAGGTGGAACACGGAACTTACCCTTTGGCTGAGCATGAGGTCCTCAGAAATGTACTTGCTCGTCATGTCGCTCGAGAGCCCTGTATTGTACCACGGGTCCGGACCGGTGAAAGACCCGGCAACTTGGGACTGCTGGCGAAGACGAGGATAGCATCCTTGCTCGACATTATTCCGGTCGCTCACAACATCGGTCTGAGCAGATGGAGGACACGAAGACGAAGCATCTCGCTTCTGCGACGGCGTGAAGGCAGTGCCCAGCTCACAAAGCTGCTCAGGTGAACCCGTGAGGGAGGCAGGTGTGTAAGCCATTTGCGGATCGAAGGTCGTGATGTTTGTTGACGTTGGCGAGCGCCTCAGACTTGCTTGAACTCGACTCCTTCCTATGACGAGGCCATCCAAAGCCAGTCGTGCCAAAGAAGCGCTCGAAGGACAGCAATACACGGCAACTGCCTGGCTGTGGACGCTCGTTCCAGGTGCCTGCTCAGGCGAGTGAAGTTCGACAACGTGTCCGAACGGCTCCGTTAACGCTCTCACCATTGCAAGAGACGTGATCACGCTGGTATCGAGAACAGAGAGATACAACGTTGCGTCGTCGCTGCTTTGATCAAGCAGGCCTCGAGGCACTTTCTGGTCCAGCCTGACGGAAGTATCGGATGCTGGCATATGCTCGAGGGGCTATGTCTCCCAATTCACAGCAAGTTTTCGTGAGCACTCGGTGAGCTGTCGACTTCAAACGGTCCGGTCCGTTGAGGGAGCAAGGAGGTGGAAGAAAGGCACACTCACCTGAATGGAAGTACTGGTCTGTGTGAGTTGTGATGGCTTCTCCTGACGAGAAGCATCGTCAGCGACATCTTGAGAGAAAGGTGTTCCGCTCCTCTGAACAATAGCAAAGGAAACCTCGATACGATAATGATGCCAAACGTAGCCATTGAGACTATCGATGGCGGCTCTAGCCTGAACAGTGTCGGCCATGAGGATGAAACCTCTTCGTCGTGCGAGGTGGTCAAGCGTAGCAAGAATCACTGTATGTTCGACCGAGTCATACTGAGCGAACAGAGCTTCGAAGTGGTCTGTGGTGGCATCAAGGGGGAGGTTGAGGACATAGAGATTGCGTTGAGCCCGTTCGCGACCGCCTCTCATCCTTGCAGAGATTCAAGTGATTAGGACGAAGGATGACTACGGCAAGGCTGGAACTGAGCCGTATCGGAAGGAGGCTGTCTCAGCGGTGAGATATGTGTCTCGAAGTTATGGTCGCTGAGGGTATCTGTGCTTGGAACAGGCGGAGTATGGAGAAGAGAGGAGGAGTTCGCAGCGTCAAGGTGGACCGGATTCTTAGAGCTCAAGTGGGGCTCTTGTTGTGGCGTCGTCACGCATACATCCACCTTGAAAGCAAAAATAGTTGCGGCGTTTCTGCGTCTCACCGCTTTCAACAGGCTCCTTTTTGGATCTTTGGCTGCTGGACAGTCGCTGCAGCGAGATAGACCACAGAGACAGAGACGGTGCCCGGGCATACAGTAGGACTTCTCAGTGACTCAGCAGATCAGCGGATCAGCGACTCGAGGTGTTGACTGCGAACGGACCTTCCTTCACTTTTGCTCAGCCATAGACTCATTCGAAGCTCTGATCAAGCTGGCTCGCTTGACAGCTTCTATCCCTTGTCACACGCGCTCGTCATTCTCCAACATCAGCAAAGCTCATAGCTGAAGTATCGTTTCTTCCTGATTGTGGTTGACCCTCTTTCCTAGAGATCAAGAAGCAGCCATGTCCTCGTCTAACTCTGCCGGGCAAAGACATGACGGAGTCCTGTATGCGGTTAAAATTGCCGCGTGGTGAACGAGCGACCGCAGGTTTGGACAAGCCGGAAAGTGAAACACACACACAAATTCAACACACTAAGGGAGTAGTGTCGGCCAGAAAATGAAGCAGTTCCGGAATCCAAACCACCTTGTAGCTCCACCATCTTTGACACTCTCATTGCACAATCAAAGTAGATACAGTCTTTCATATTGCCATTGCTATGTCTGTGAAGCCTGTTGAACATCCCCTGTATGCTGTGAGCTCTCTGCCTGCTGCCTCTGCCTTTGTCTTCTTCATCAAGATTCACTTTGCCTGCTCTGTCAACCTTGGAGCTTGTTATATACCACAGTTGTCATAGCTTTCCTCCTTGATTCAGCCATGGTATCCTCAAATGATTTGCCATTAGCAACAAAGAGAGCACTGAACATCTCTTCCCTGAGATCCAGAGCCTGATCAGCACAGAACTTGTTCTTCTGATTCTGCAACATACCTTGAGTAGCATCAGCAATTATCTGCTTGTATTGTGCTTGTTTGTCTTGTCATATAATCCTGGCTTCCTCAGTTGCTTGATGGTACAAAGGGAGACCAGATGTGACATCTGCAACATCTTCTTTAGAGAATGACTACAAGAGGTAATTGGCCATGTTGCCTGGATGATCATATTGACTTGCAAAGGTGTGAGCCACAATACATGCTTGGATAGTATATGCAGCCCTTTCATGGTCTTCCTTGCAATAGAGATTGCCATGGTAACCCATTAGACATTGGAAGCAATTCTTGAGGTATGCAATGCCATGTTCAGCATGAATCCATATGTGAGAGAGGAAGTAGTTGAAGTATCAGATGTCACAACTCTTGCTAGCTGTGTTGTTGTTGAAAGGGCCTACTGAGAAGGCAGAGAAGCCAAACCCAGCATTGACCCATACAAACTCACCTTTTTCTAGATGAAGACAAGGCTTAGCCACAATCCTGTTATCTCCTGATGCCCAAACACGTGAGTCATGTGAAGAGTGTCATAGGGCCAGATGCACAGGAGCAGGGAGAATAGATGTCATATGAGGAGGAGCACAGGAATCGCAGGATCAGGCGAAATAAGGGTTACAGCAGAGTTCATTGAGATCTGTAGTAGAAAGGCTCTATGACAGATCTTGTCCAAATCAGCATGAATGGGGCTGTATCACAAATCCCACTAGAATTGGTAGTATCCTGATTGTAGGATAGATCTCACATGGGTGCTGTTTTCACAGGCATCTCAGTAAGATAAATGTCAAGGACATTGGGGTCACCACCCTGATGAAGCAGGGGGCTGACTCAATGATGAACTTGGAGCAGGAGGATGGGAGGGATGAAGAAGGGGGGTGGGTCGCCACACTGATGAAGTGGGGGGGGGGAGGTGACTCCTATCATTGATGAGGCAATGTCCACCCACAGGAAGTGAGGGAAGCGGCACCAATGAGCAGCATCATAAGGTCACTAGAAAGGATAGGAAGGATGAGGAGGAGGAGCAGGGTTGAAGAGGCCTCCTGTCATGGGCCTGGGTGCGCAGTACGAGGAAAGACCGAAGTTCATATGAAGGTAGCACAGGAATCATGGAATCGGGTAGATCGTAGGAGCTGCGACAGAGTTCACTGAGATCGGCAGTAGAATCAGCTCTATGGCAGATCACAGCAGAATCAGCACAAGCATCGTTGATATCACGAATCCCACCAGAATCTGCGACAAGCGAGACCATGTGGCAGATTCCATGGAGATTGGTAGCAAGGATGTCTGTATGATGATTCACACGTGAGAGGGACCGAGCTCAGTGACACATGGACAGTTACCACTCAGGGGCCCACAAGACAGGAGTAAAAGAGAACTGTCGCTGGTCAGAGGAAGGAGAGCTGTGTAAAGGACACCAGTGAGAGGGACATGAAGAGGAGGAGCAGTGTTGATGAAGTCAACACAGCTCAGGAAAGACAGGAGGGTCAAGGCTGGACCCAGAGGAGGTGTCTCCTTGGAGATCCCTGTGCAGTACTCGACGAAGAAGGAACTCTCTGGAGAAAAGGGAGCAGGAGCAGTGTCACTGGTGATGCTGCGAAGAGGTATATAGTCATACCTCCTCGTCACAAATGGTTGAGTGGATCCTCATCCACTCTACTCATCAAACAAACTAGTATTACTTCAAGCAATAAGTATCATTAGTTCACAGTCAGCATAGTAGTAATCAACAGATTGCTCCTCATCGAAGCGCATGTGTTGTATCACTGTTTCCTGACATCCAAAGGTGGTTCGTAGCAAACCAGCAGTCCAGATAACAATAGAACCGAAGGCAGACATCCACTGCAGCCTGGGGATCACTTCAAGCATTAGCCGACACACTGGACACTTGTGTCGGCGTCATCAATCCATACTCACACCAGACCATTGGTGTCAACATTGAGCTCACTTAGAGTCATATCATAGTCTGATCATGCCGAGCTACCTCTGGATGGAGTGTCCACAGTGGTTAGTCAAAATCTGTCATAACAATAATACAACTACAGATTCTAATGAGAAAGGTGACAGAAAAGGCTCTGTCACATATTTCACTAAGAATCGAAATACCATTAGCACTGTTGCATAATTCGACAGAATCGGTGATAGTACTGATACTACTACTGATCCCAGGTTTCAGGCGTGCGACCGCTGACACCTCCCAGAGCAGGAGCAGTGTCGCAGGTGACATTGCAGGAATGGGTATATAACCATGCTCCTCGTCATAGCAATTGAGTGGATCATCATCCACTCTACACTTTACCTTACTAGCTATAACTTTCACACAAGTATACTTAGTAGTTTCGTCAACAGTAGCAATTGCAGAGCATTGCTTCTATCATAGTGCATGTGTTGTATCAGTGCTTCTTGATGCCATCTGAAGGCAGTACTATCTGTGGTCCAGGTATCAATCGACACCAAAGGCAGTTCTTACTGCGGTCTGGCTCTCTCGATCATTAGAAACTGAAGGCAGTTGTCCACTGCAGTCTGGGGATCACCTCAAGCACTCAAGCACTCAGTCAATACACTGGACACTTGTGTCGGCACCAACCACATCACTCACACCAGTCCTTGGTGTCATCGCATTACATCCATCATTATTGATCATGCAGAGCTACCTCTGGATGGAGTGTCCACAGCAGTCAGTCGAAACCTGCAATAGCAATCAATCTATCACATATTTGAGCAAGAAAAGTCAGGGAGGCCTTCTATGACAGATCTCGACAAAAATAGTATTACACGGTATCTTACCACATATCTTGATGGGATCTGTAATAGAAGCGTTTCTACTACAGATATCAGGTTTCAGGTGCGAGACCCTTGACAAAGAGCCTGGATGGCCAATGATGGATTCGACAATGTGAAGTGAGTGTGGAAGGAAGACTAGGGAAATGTTGAACAAATAGTTGCCTTGATATGAGAAGTGCTCTTGAGCATGCAGAACTGGCTTCCACACAAGCTTGATGTGTGTACCATCAGTGACAAGCCAGCCCCAGCCCCACTCCTCTACACCAGACTTTTCTACCACCCATGCCAAAGCATTGGCTCTCTCATCCTCCATTGCAAATGTGACTACCTCTTAATTCAGTTCATACAACCCATCAACCATCCTCCTTGACCAAGCATCCACTGAGCCCCAACTGCAGCCACAAGCAAATGCAATGTCACAAACACCACCTCCATTGCCAGAACATCCCAAGCAATACATACCAACTGCAACCTGTTGCTTGACCTTGTGAGAGTTGGTGATGTGTTGAAAAGCAACTGTGGTGCTGAGTCACAGAACCAGTGCTTCAAATGCTTTGGGTGTCAAGCACACCAGTCCTCAAAACCTCTTGCAGCTGATTGTGGAATAGTGGTTGAGCATGTCAAGTAGTGTCTGGTTGTGGTGAGGTATATAGATGCATGGGAGGGAGTATTGTTTGTCATTGATGATGGAATGGGTTGTGATTAAAGCTCATGAGACAGCATGGTCAAAATCATCATCAGAGTTGTTGAGGTCATCATTTGGATGCCAGGTGTCTGCAGTAGAAGTGAGCTCAAGTTTGAGCTCAGTCTCAGCCAGCAAAGATGCAAGAATTGCTGTCTTGATGTCCTCCAGAAGCTCCTGCTTGTCAGAAGTACAAACCATGTTGAATAAAGCAAGCATGAGGAGATAGGTTGAGTTGAGGTGAGGAGATGCTGAAAGCAGACATGGTGATGAAGAAAACTCAAACACAGACTGGGTGTCTCCTCATCATCTTAATTTCTTGGATTTCAGGCTGCACAGAAGTGCACCTTCTGCACAGCCTTCTGCACAGAAGTGCACCTTCTGCACAGCCTTCTGCACAGCATGAGACAGTTTGCACAATCACTCTAGTCTAGACACAAAGCAAAGAGACAAAGTTACACTTGACCAATTGGATTACAGTACAGTTACATGAGATTGGAAGAGATAGAGCCTAGAACACAGAATCACTGACCTCATCATTGCTGCTGATGTGCTGGACCTCATCATCACAGATGTTGTGCTGGCAACAGCTTGCTGAATTGTTGGAGCTAGAGCCAGGCATGTTGGCAAGCATGGTATCAATGTTGGAGTTGGACTGTGGGCCAGTTCTAGCACTGCATGCCATCTGAAACATCCCAAGGAAGAAGCAGTGTGTCAGGGGTCTTGCGCCTGAAACCCAGGTCGGTCTGTCGAGATACTCGGTGACTATCAAACTGTGCAACAGCTATTGTCTTGGTATTGGTGACTATCAAGTTGCGCAGTGACAGCAGGTGGCATTCGTTGTATATACTATCGTAGGTTTTGGCTGACCTCTGTGGACACTCTGTTCAGGGGTAGCTCAGCATGATCAATATCAATGCTTCGGTTATGATGACACCAAGGTCTGGTGTGAGTGTCGATGATGATGAGGTTGATGATGTTGGTGATAAGGTTGGTGAGTGTTGATGATAATGAGGTTGATGGTGTTGGTGATAAGGTTGGTGGTGTCAACATGAGTGTCCAGTGTGTTGACTTGATGCTTGGAGTGATCCCCAGACCGCAGTGGACTACTGCCTTCGGTTCTATCTTAATCCAGACTGCTGACCTGCTATGGGTCGCCTTCGGATGTCAGGTAGTGGTGATACAACACATGCACTATGATGAGGAGCAACCTTGATAGATTGCTGCTATGCTGACTGAAACTAATGTATACTTATGCTGAAGTGATAACTAGTTATATGGTGAGTAGAGTGGATGAGGATCCACTTGACCTATGATGATGAGAAAGCATGGTTATATACCTCTTCACAGCATCGCCAGTGATGCTGCTCCTGCTCTCTCTCCAGAGAGTACCTTCTTCATCGAGTACTGCTCAGGGGCCTCTCCTGCTTGGCACCCCTGTGCCTCTTGAATGGTGTCAACTCCTTCGACACTGCTCCTCCTCCTCATGACCTGGTGTCGACTCCTTCGACACTGCTCCTCTTCCTCAGGACCTGCCTGCTAGTGTCCTATACACTGCTCCTTCTCCTTTGACCAGTGACAGTTCCTTTGACTCTTGTCTCTCGAGCCCCTGAGTGGTAACCATCTGAGCTTGGTCCTCTTCGTGGCTGTGCCTGCTCCTTGAGCTTGGTCCTCCTCATGGCTGTGCCTGGCCCTCCTCGCATATGGCTCAGTCCTCCTTTGCATGTGAGTCCATAGGAGTCCATGGTCTCCATGGAGACTGTACTACGACCATGCTCTCTACTGGTATCGACTAGATCTTCGATACCTGTGCTCCTTCCATATGAACCAGTGGCCCTCCTGCTTCTTGAGCATCTAGGCCCATGACACAGTGCTCATCCACTCACATTCTCTCCATCCTCTCATCCTCCTCTCACTGACTCTGCAATCACATCTCCTCTTGTTTTGTCCTTTCCTCCTCTACCTTGATGTGTGCCTGAAGAGATTCAGCTGTGCAAGCTCACACAAGATCAGCAATGTCATCTCATTTCTTGGAAGCAGAAGTTTTCTTGGTAGGGGAGCTGAGGCCAGCACTTTCAGGTTCTTGATCAACACCAAAGGCAGTGCTAGCCAAATGATTGCATGGAGCAGCACCTGGTGAACCAAAGGGATTGGACAAAGTGGATGGGGAAGGGAAGGCACTAGATGAAGTGAGGACTTTTGGTCCAATGGGATTGTCAGGGGCACCTTCAGCAAGGGCTTCAAGGCCAGGAATTGAGCAAAAAGATGGGAAAGGAATGTTGTCTTCTTCCATGGCATTGCCTGCATCACCATTGCTGGACTGTGAGGCTTGAAGAGGATCATAGGCACCACTAGTCACAAGGGTGACAGTGCCAGCAGATGGGTGCTTCAACATCATCTTGTGAAACATCTCAAACCAGGGATACTTGGCAACTGCAGCCAAGTGAGATGCAAAGTCCTAATCCATACAAGAAGATACAAAGGCAATTGCAGAGGTTAGTCATCCATCAGAGAGCAATGTTGAGCACAAAGAACTACATACCAAATGATCAGGGCTGAGATCACAAAGGAGAAGACCAGAGCCAGTCTGTGAGAAAGTATTCTTTATGGTGATGTATTGACTCTCAAGCCAGCACAGCTTGGTCTTGACACAACTACCACCATTTGTGATGTTGCTGTTGGGAAAGATCTTGTCATAGATCTGCTTGTAGAGCATCTCCTTGCTTGTCTTCAACCCTTTCTCTTGCTCTTTTGTCAATCAACCTTTGAGTAGCAACTTTTGATAGTAGTCACTGTCAAAAAGGATGGTGACAAGTTGCAAGACTTTGTCATTGGACCAAACAAAGTATTTCCTGCTGCCTGTGTGCTGGTTTCGAGTTCTGCTTGCTCTAGCAGCTGGTCTTGTGCAATTGGGGGTGGTAGATGTGCTGGGCAGCTTGGGTGTCTGAGACAGATCTGCTAAACCTTCTCCAATGGTAAGGTCCATCTCCAAGAGGTACAGAATGACATAGCTGGTGTTGTTGTGATGATTGGTGGACATGATTAAGTTGAGGGCAGAGAGAGAGGTTGTAAGGTGGTGGCTAAACAAAAAGAGACTTCTACTCTGTGCAGAAAGGGACAAGGAGAGGAGTCAAGTGAAAGGGTTTTGCTCAGAAGAAAGGGTTCATGCAAAGAAAGCTGTGCAGGAAACGTGGAGGTATTTGTGCAAGTAGATCACTTGCAACATCACATGCAACATCATGTGAGTGAAAACTCAGGTCCAATTTTGAAAACACTGCCACATGAGTCTTGCTGAAGCAGTGTTTTCAAAAACTAGAGTATTTTCCAAAATGGCAGAGCTTACGTAAGTAATGAATATTCAACACAGGTGAAAACTCAAAAAAAATAAATTGAGTTTTCGAAAATAAAATAAAATTGAAACCCCCTACTCTCGGAACGCAGGCGTCACGCCGCATGGACCACCCATTTAAGCGCCGCGTATCTCGAGGCGTAACTGGCATGTTTTACTGTTTGGCAGCTTGGCGCCGTTCGGAAAAATTCAGAGCTTCTCACACTTCTCATCCGTCAGTGCGACCCTTCATACCTCGAGTCCCACCATCATCAATCAAGCCGCAGTCAGGCTCATGCGCAGCGTGGATACACTCTCAACCAACATGCATGCCACGGTGGGATGCAAATAGATCAACATCTCGATGCAGAGAAGATCAAATTCGCCGAACATCCTCTCGAATAATCATGCCCCGTTTAGATGATGGACAGTGTTGGTTCTGTTACCTCACGAGCTGCTTCCACCATCGGCGATACTCCTTTGACGGCATCAGAAACTAGCGGCAGCAACGATTCCCGCAGGCATAGCAGGTCAAGTCTTGCCGATGAGAGCTACAGCAGTCTTCCGACGATGGATACCACTGACTCGGATCACACATTACCATCCCAACTTCAAACCACGGGCCAGGGCAAGCTCTCGTCAGAAGACTTTGTCGAGCTTACTCGCATATCTCGGAAGAAGGAAGCCATCGAGCATCACATCGAAAATCTGCAGAGCTGGTCGCCATGGGACCCTTTTCGGAACGTTTCGTCCTACTCACCGGACGCAGATGTCCTGCAGCGTAGCAAAGAGACCTTAGCCACTTTGAGCAGCGACCTCCATGACCGTCAAGACCAATGTCGGCGACTCGAAGACGACGTGCAGCATTTCAATTTGCAGGAGATGAAGCGCTTGCGTACCGTGGCCAAAGCCGTCTCAAAGCGCCACCTTTCTGGACCCGACACCGACCTCCTCGAATTAGCTTTGGAGACAGTATATGCCTTGGACAAGCTGCTTCGTCTCTTGCGTGAGCAGCGGACACAGCATGATCTCACACAGCTCCGCCTTCAGTGGGAGCATATTGTCTGTTTCAGCTGGCAAGACGTCATCGTCCTGCGACGCGACATCGAAGCGTTCGAACACAAGTGCAAGGCCTTGATGTCTCCTCGGCATGATTCGAACATCTCATCAGCTCCAGACGACACCAATGTGCAAACGAGCCTCGAAGCGGAGAAAGCAAAAGATGCGCCATCAACCTCAAGGATGAGACGTGCGGCCTCGCTCAGTCATTCTTCGTGGAAGCTGGCGGCCGAGTCGGTCAAGCTGGAGTCCTCACGTCTAGTCCTCCGCATTCGAAGCTTCGATTCGGAAAAGGTTCGACCCGCTGGCAGACTTCTCGATCTTCTCATCGACCAGAGACAAATCCCAGAGAAGATGATCGATGAACAGGAGAAGCTTGAAGACGCACTTCCACAGCCATCGACGATTGAGGCCAGGTCCTTACAGGTCTCGGCAAGCCTTGGTCTCGTCAGGACTCCTACACCAGAAGCCCCAGAGGGCGACCCTTCACCAATACAAGAGGCTAAGATTGAACCTCTTCCACATACCATCGGAAAGCAAACCGGAAATGGTAGCACACGCGAGGTGGCGAATGGTGGTGTGCTTGCAAAACACCCGTCTCGGAGTGTTAAAGCTGCAAGCCGCTCTCGCAAAAGCTCTTCCTCGAGCTTGGTTGCTACGCCATCAAAGCAATTCATCAATCGATATTGCTCGGATCCCCGAGATGTGCTTGATGTAGCGATCGGCAACATTGTCAATCGCTTACCCATGTCAGTCTCGATCAGATCTGCCAAGCTCGGCGACAGCGCTCTCCCTCCTCGCTCCAGCAAAGTAGATGCTCTCTGCGGCCAGTACTTGATTGGCGATCCAGAACCTCGCTTGTGCTTTTGTCGCATTCTTCCGTCGAGCATGGTAATGGTCAGAGTCGGAGGGGGCTGGCAGGGGCTTTCCGAATTTCTCACTCAGCACTACACCCACCTCAGCGCCCGTGGATGGGATAGCGACGCCGAACTGCTGAATGCGATCACGAGAAAGTCAGGACAGAATCTCGTGTGGTCGCGTTCCGCTTCTGGTCCAGTCGAATCCCCACGCCTCCGATCGAAATCTTCTTTTGGATCGCTCAAGTCGCGAGAGCCTATAATGAAGAAGATCACGAGTCCGACGCCCTCGAAGGACCATGCATCCCACCATATACCCCAAGCTACCCGCGCACAGGAGAATGCGGCTGAGTTCAGGGAACTGACCATAGCTACTCCATCTAAAACCTCTACACTTTCAACTAGCGGATCTAGTTCGTCCATAGTCATCCATTCACCTTCGCCCTCCAGGTGACCGCGTGGGCTAGGAATCTTTCCTGAAGAAGTCAGGACAGCGTCTTGGCATTAGTGGTTATTATTGGACAAAGCTAGCGCTTCACGCTGACTTGTTTCTTTCGCATTCTTCTTGTCTCGGCCTATTGCTTTGATCTCAATTGTATTTGTATCCTATCCACGAATGGCGAAACCCTGTTCACAGTGTCTGTGAAAGTGCCCAAGGAACAGGAGGATCTTCTGTTTATCGACAACCAAACGTGATCTCTCGACATCGTGTGTACGCTGCCATAGCAGGCGTCACGTACGCACATGTGCTCAAACAGATCCTTTGAGACTGTGATCAGATCTCTCTTTGATTCAACGTTGTTTGCCCGCTGCGGTCCGAACAATGGCAGACGGCTTCTGTTCGCATAAGTGACAATCAATCGAAGCTCATGCCTCTACTCAGGACTTGCTGGCGAGGAGCACAGACTAAGAATTTTGTGATTCAGGAACGAGGACCGGACTCGACCGGACCGGTCGTGATTCGCAGAGCCATGATGTTCCAAATATAAGGCGCGTCGCCCGCGCGGGCTACATGAACTACCTTCGTTCCCGCACCAACCATCTTCGGCGTCGGCATTCTGCATCAGTCCTGACTTCATTCTTTGTGCTTCGAGAGTGGTGAATGTCGAGGCCTTCGACAAGCTCTTCCTTGTCCCAAACTACTTCAGCTGAGCGACCTTGGTACAAAACAGGCAACTCCTGAATCCTTACAATGTCGGTCTCAAACGATCAGATCGAAAACTATCCTCGCCCCGGCAAGACCGCCATCGTGTAAGTTGTTCGCTGACTTGCGAATCTGTAGTGCTCGCACCAGGTCATCAAATTGACGCCTTTCCACTTCCCAATCACTGCCATGCTCCGGACTGCTGAACAGCACTGGCGGTTCTTCTGGAGTAAGTCCGCCCCGCCATCTGCATGGATGGAAATCTGGCTTTCTGCAACCTAGTCTCTGACCATTCACTGCTCTCATCTGCTTTCTTCCTGCCTACAGCTTGGACAAACGAGCGCCATTGCACTAGCGCGAGCCGGCTGGAATGTCACCGTCACTGGCCGACGCGAAAAGGAGCTTCAAGAAACCGCGAGATTGCTCGACGAGGCTGCTGGTCGTGAGGGCGCTGGCTTTTACGTCGCTGGTGACATCACCAAGGAGGACGTAGTCCTGCGTGTCTTCAAGGAGACAGCCGACAAGTTCGGCAGAGTCGACCTTGTCTTTTGCAATGCAGGTATCTCTCCTCCCAATGTGCCCCTCGCTGAACAGAAGTTGTCGGATTGGCAAGCTACCGTCGACGTCAACCTGACTGCGCCTTACCTATGCTCTCGCGAGGCCTTCCGATACATGGAGAAGCAGCAGCCACAAGGCGGGCGTATCATCATCAACGGAAGCATCAGCGCCCATGCTCCACGCCCATTCTCGTCTCCTTACACAGCAACAAAGACAGCTATGAACGGTCTGACCAAGTCCTTGTCGCTTGACGGTAGGAAGTTCAACATCGCCGTGACACAGATTGATATTGGTAATGCAGCGTCTGAGATGACGGCCAAGATCAAGTCCGGACCTGGTGTTCCTCAAGCGGATGGCTCTATGCGCCACGAACCAATTATGGACCGCGAATGGTAAGCATCCGAAGCTAATTTGCACATCACTCAACTGAGCGATCATGTTGAACCCAGCTGACACTCTCTTCCATCTTGCTACCTTCCTTGATACAGGGTCGGAAAGGAGATCGTACACATCGCAGAGATGCCTCTGGGTGTCAACGGTAAGTTGCAGAATCAAAGTCTCGACCAAAAGACAAAGACGGACCCCAGCTGACTCCTGCTTCGCATTCGCTCTCGAACAGTTGCCAACGTTACCATTCAGGCAACGAACATGCCCAGCCACGTCGGCCGTGGTTGAGTTCACATGATTTGTCCGAGTTCAAGAGTCCTTTGCAATGCTAGTGATGAATATGTATAAAAGAAACGAGACCGAAGGTGGTTCTATGGCAGACTTGAGCGATCTGCGGTCCTCGAGAAGGCTTACTCTTCTTCGCCTGTTCATGAGGGCAACAAAACGGAACCGCGGTCAATATGCTGACCGGGAAGAAGAGGAATGGAGCAGCAACGAACGACAAAACTTACCTTCCAAGGCTTCAGGAAGTTGGATGCGGTTGTCACCTCTCCACCATCGCAAGAGGTAGAAGCCGGCCAAGGAAAGCGCAAGCGCAACGAGAGCACAAGTCAAAACGATCCAGCCCCCTAAAGAAAGAACGAGAGAATTATCGTGTGTTAGTGTTGAAGAACGTTCGCTCAAACGACCACTTCGTTAGGAATCACTTACATCTGTAGAACCAATCCGGCTCGTAAGGAACGAGGACGGAGTCAATCTGGAAAACGCCGCCAATGGGAGGTCGCTCGAGATGAATGTCGCCTCTGACTCCTCGAGTCTCACGGCCGAACGCCATCAAAGTGGCAGCGTGACGACTTGCCGAAGAGCCTCTTGTGTTCTTGATGCCCACGATCCAGCCCAGGCCAGGGTTATCAGGATCATCCGGGATCGAGTCGTAAGAAGACTTGCGTCGATATCGACTGGTGCTGCCTGAAGATATCCTTCGGAATCCCACTTGTCCGTAGCAGCTGGGTCCGCCCTGAGACCGATCTAGAAGAGTAGCAAAGGAGCTCTCGTCCTTCATGCCAATGTCGTCGCCGCGTCCATCTGGAAGCAAGGCATCAACAGCCTTGTCGTCCGAAAGCGGAATCAGGTGTTGCTGCACCAGTCTCACCAAGAGGTCGCGATCGTCTAAAATAGCTGAAAGGTTGACCTTTGTGAAGGCGCTATCGGTCGGAACCAAGACGATGAAGCCGTGACTAGTAGCCAGACTCTGATTTTGGGGTATGGTGCTGTTCAGGATGTACTCGTACCCTGCCTGTACCATCAGGTCCTCCATCGTGTCAGCCTTTGCGCCTTTCAACAGATCACGAATGGTAAGATCAAAGGGGATTTGTACGCGATCAACTTCGTGAATAACGCCAGTGTTGGTGAGAATATCTCCCTTTACGATGTAAGAGAGGGTACCTTTGGCATCGCCAGGCTTGTGAACTACGATGCTGCCGCTTTTCTGTTTCTTGATGGAAAGTCTAGCCCCCAGAGTCGGTAGCAGGGTGGGATAGTCGGCTTCTTGGTCGGCGAAGTCCGCTTTGTAAGCGATCTTGTCAATTGCATGGTACTCGACCAGCGCTTGAAGCAAGTGCTGCGAATCTGGTAACAACAAGTAGTTCATGGCGAGACCGAGTCCTGTGAAGGCGTCATTGGTAGGTACAAGGTAGCTGACGCCGGGTGCGCGCTCGACAGCCTTCTTGAGGTCGGCGCTGAAGACAGTAGCGACGAAGGTGGAGAGCGAAAGGTGGGAGACGGCTGTCTGTACGGGATCTGACGGAGGTTGAAGGAGTTGTGATACGACGTAGATGATGGCAGCATCCTTGATATTGACGGGCTCCCTGATGACGTTGGCGTCTCCAAAGGCGACGTCGCCATTGCCCTTTCTGTCGGATGCGTTCGAATCGTCGACCTGAACCGGCATCTTCTGCCGACCTTCTCTCAGCTTCCAGTCACGCAGCTCGGTGTTGAGCAGCATCCCGCTGGTGAGGTCTCCGGGCCGGAGCTGACCTGGAAGGATGTGATAGCGGATCACTTCTTCCAGGCTAGGGTTGGGACCCTTGCGCAATTCGCGCGAGAGCCCCGCACTTGGGTTTGCGAGTTGTGGTAGCGGCGGATGAGCCGGATACCAAGTATCGATGACGTCGTCACGTGGAGCGAGGAAAGTGTATGCTTCTCGGACTTGCTGTTGCAAATGGGCAGGCTTGTTGATGTAGTGCTCAAGGCCGGCCTCATAGATGAGATCGACGAATCGGGTAGCATTGAGGGCCAGGAGATTGGCCTCGATGCTCATGTCCAAGTCACCAAAGGGCAGGATAAGATCGTCGATCAGATGAATGACGCCATTCTCGGTTAGAATGTCCTCCTGTACAACTTGAGCATCCATAACCTTGATCGGACCGTCTTTCTGATCTGCTTCCACAGTGATGGAGCCGCCAAGAGTGGTTGCCAACGTGACGCGTCCAGCGGCTCGAAGTGAAGCCGAGTAGACCGGTGAACGATCGCCGAGACCGCTTCCAGACATGTGCCAGCCGAGAAGTTTGAGACGATCCAAGATAGCCTGCTGGTAATGGCTGAAAAGGTAGCTGGACTCGATCATGCTGAGCTTCTCAAATGCATCCGAGGCGGGAAGGAAGAGAGTGAGGTGTGGGACGGTGGAGAGACTGTGTAAAGTATCATTGGTGATGAGACGTCGGAGGCCGCCAAGACGCGGATGGGTGAGGATGACCTGCTCCAAGGAAGGCGGGAGATCGATGACCGAATCGATGAAGTGGATGACACCGCTCTTGGATCGCCAGTCCTCGGAGAGCGACTTTGCACCACCTTGTCCTTTCTCGTCGGCTCCAAAGCGGAGAGCTTTTCGTTTCAACTTGAGTGGTGCGAACAAGGTCGGGAGCTGAACCTTACCTTTGTCTCTTTCTTCTACGAGAGCAATGCGCATGCGTTGACCGTGGTGACCTAGAAGACCACCGTGATCCTCTTGGTCAGGGACAGGTACACGACCTGGATATGTTGGCTCTGTGAGCATGCGTCGAGATGGGAAGTGCAGTGTCGTATGCATTTGAGGCTGTCCAACCTCCGGAAGGGGACGTTTGACAGAATGAGAACCGGTGTCATCGCTGAGAGCAAAAGGAAGGGTGTAGTTGAGGAGATGGTAGAGCAGGTGCTGGCGAGCTACAGCGTTAACATTGCTTACCGCCACACAGACGCCGTTGTGCCAAACACATGTTGTTTTGTCGGCGTCGATATGGGGTGGTTGTACGTCCTCTCGGCCGTCGACGAGATACTCCCAAAATGTAGGCGAGTCGTGAAAAAGGTCGAGGGCCTGCTTGCGTTGTGCTATTTGCTCTTCCCTCTTGCGGAGGAAAGCATCGTTGGTGGGTGCAAGGACGGTTAGGCCGGAGCCGTCATCAAACTCCTGAAGACGGTTCAAGGTCGGTATGAGACGAGTTCGCTGGAGAAGACGGAGCAAGATGGTGTGGTCGGGCGACTGGGAAAGGAGGTCAATGAGATTGAACGAGAGGGTGTCGTTGTGTTTGCGAGAGTCTGTTATCGAGGGTTCAGGGAGGCGCATAGGGTGCTGTATATTCCTCTCCAACATCGAAGGAGCGGCTGATGCGGAGACATAACGTGTCACATCGAGACTGATAAGGGCCAAGGCCAAGAGGCTCGCCAGCGAAAAAAGGTGCACCATAGTGTTCGGCGATGTGTTTGGCCCAAGTAATCGAGCAAGGCAAGAGTTGGAGATATGCAGTCGGAGGCGATGCCTAAGAAGCAATCGCAGACACCATGTCAGGTGTTGCGAGCAGATATGCTTGCTCCTGCTCTTGCTCTTGCTTTTAGCTGCTAAGTCTCGCTCGATGTTGGTGGAGAGTTGAGAATGATGATGATCGTGATGATCGTGATGATCGCAAGCAGTTGCGCGAGTTTAACATACGAATCACATCCATGAAAGGGCACCGATCCGATGGGGAGCGAACCCCGATTTCCAGCCCAAAATCGGGCAGAGCATCGGCATTTCCGCTGAGCTGACTGTGATGTCGGATGGACCGAACAGCTTTTTGCCACTTTGTCTCCACGTCAATTCAAGTTTGCCTTTGCGCTCAAACTCAGCCATTCTGCTGTATCTCAGAGTATTGCAACATCCTACGCTCCCATCGGCGCTTCGGTTCGAGATAGCTGATATCTTCATCTCGACTCGGTCTCTCTCGTCATGATGTACGCTGGGTCAAGCTCGCCGTCAGGTTGAAGTAAAGATCATGTCGCGAGCTGAGTGGAGCAGTATCGGCTCTGATGCCGAGGTGCGACACGATTTCGATCAGCCGTTTGACACCCACCATCCTCTCCGGACAGCGCAAGACAGCAACGATGTACAGGTCCACCACTCGGATGATGATGATGATGATGATGTTGATGGCGCAGACCTCGCATCGCTGAACGAGTCCCATCATAGCTTCGACTCGGCTTCCACATATCATCCACCAGACGAGCAAAGGAGCCAAACAACGCCTCAGTCGGACTTTGTTGATGATGCCAATGATCAATCCAATCAAGCCATTTGCCGCATCTGCTTGGAATCGTCTTCAAGCGATGCCTCCGGTGGCGAGTCTCTTGGCCGTCTTCTATCGCCCTGCAGGTGCAAAGGAACCATGAAGTATGTCCATGCCACTTGCCTCGATCAGTGGAGAGCTGCTTCAGCTAGGTCCTCTTCCGCAGTTGCATGCGACCAATGTGGCGCCCCATACCGCTTTCGCAAGTCCAAGTTTGTCGGCCTTGCTACGTCTCCATCTCTCCTTTTCGTCGTCAGCCTGTTTCTATTCCTCCTGCTCATCTGGACCGTTGGCGTGATAGCCACTCTCTGCATGGATCTCTACGATACATCTTCCTCTCCGAAAGCTCAATATACCTCTCGCAAGACGAGGTCAAGACGTTGGTGGCCATGGAGAGGCTCCAACCTGGATGCAGAAGCTGAGTTGGCGCCATTCCAGACCGATGCCTGGTCCTACCTCGATGCAGATTCTTCTACTCCCGGTCTTTGGAGCTACAGCACCCTTATGTACGAACCAGCGGCTTACGTCAAGCTTATCAAGGAGGCTGTGCGCTCTTTCGCTTCAGGAGAGGCTGTTGATGCAGTTCGGCAAGTCGTTGGCCTCCAAGAGTCGCCGGAAACTGTTCAGAGCGTGCAAGAGGAAGCATATGACGAGCGGCCCTTTTGGTCTGCGCTCAAGAATGAATGGATGTACGGTGATGGCGGACTGTGGAAGAAGGAAGCCAGCACTCCGTCACAAGTATCAGACGTGAGCACAAAAGCTGGCCCCCTCTCCTCACAACAAAACAATCCGACAAAAGGAAAGTCGAGCGAGAAGTACGATGCACGAGCAGCTGCTGACATTAATGACATCAATGCGATTAAGCGGCGCCGCCAAGGCAAAGCCAAGTCCGTCCGACGCACAAGCAAGCTCGCCGCCGAGCCGCAAGGATGGCTGAACAAACTTTTAGTACAATGTAAGTCTCTCAAGCCGCCACTTTCTCCTCGCCATTGTCAGTCAATTCGCAAACTGACATCGTTCACTTGGCTCCTTCCTTCCCAACACTAGTCTCGGTCGGTTTCTCCCTGGTCGGTATACTCTCCTTCGTCAACCTTCTCGTTGGTGCCTCCTTCCTGGGACCCATCAACCTGCACAACTTTGGTCTCGGTCGATCCTTCGCTCGCATGACATCGGGTGGTCGACCTTCCAGAAACGGCAACCGTGACGGCGTCAATATTGCTTCGATCCTCATTGTTCTGCTTGTGCTCATTGGTGTCGTGCGCGCCTTGCATGTCGTGTACAAGCTTGTACGCAAAGCTGCCCGAAGGGGGCTGAGCAGGCTCGAGGCGGTCATTGTAGATTGGAACCATGAGGACGAGGAGCAGCAGAGCAACCTCGTCACAGCGACACGCTCGGATTTAGATGGCACAGCTGTTGATCGAGGCGAGGGCGTGAGATTCAGACAGCCATTCGTTGGCCTAGCAGGAGACGATTGATACTTGTAGTACTTTACACTATGAAAACATCATTGTGAAGCAGCATCACAACATGTTGGGTTGAATGAGCGACATTGAAAAGAGAGACTTGCTTCTCAGATAAGAGACAGGACCAATATCGACGACAGGTATGGGAGAGGCTTATGTCAGACGACATGCGAAGATGAGCGATTCAAAAATAAATAAATAAATGCAATGCAATGAGAAAGGCGTACAAATACAAATGAGTGTGGAAGGAATGCTTTGGTGTTGAACCGGAACCGCATCGCAATGAAAAGAAGGCACTTCTGATTCACAGAATTCGGGCCGAGCGTGGCTGGCAGGCGTCATGAGCAAATCAGAAGTAGAATCCCGAGTCCACAGCATCAAAGTCGGTGGCGGCATCATCCTGCTCCTCCTCATCGACGAGCATTTTGACCATGTACGGACCTTGCAACTCGTATCCCAATCTCCTGTAATAATCTCTGGTACCTACACCCGAGATGACAGCCAGCTTGTTCGACCCGTGCTCGTCCCTTGCAATACGTTCGGCCTGTTCCATGAGCAATGTTCCGAAGCCTTGATGTTGGAACTTTGTTGGGTCTCTCGAGTGAATCGGCACTGCACTGCCATAGGTATGTAGTTCTCTCACGATCGAGCACTGTCCGTGCTTTGTCAATTCGGGACGGTAAGTACCTGCGGCGGAACACTTTCGCAACCGAAGAAGTGCAATCAGGATATCCTTCTCTGGATCTTCGTAGGCGAGGAAAGACTCCCACCCTCGATTGGCGATATAGTCTCGGCGGATGAACTCTACCTCGTCCGGGCGGACCTTGGCATGAATCTCGTGCAGACCTACTTCTCGATAGCGAACATCACGACAGGTAACACCAAAATCGCGCATGCGCTCCAACGCAAGCTCTCGAAGGTTTCCATTCTCGACACCAGACGAGACGAGAGGCATGGGAATATCACGCTGCACACGGTAGACTCGAGTCCAAGGTGGAACGAGTGCAAGAATTCGAGCAACCAAGTCGACCAAGAAAGAAGGCGTATAGTTCTTGTATCGGCCTGTTCTCCAGAGCTCATAAAGACCAGTGCCGCGAATGACGAGAGTTGGGTAGAGCTTGAGACCGTCGGTGCGGAATGCAGGATTCTCGAAATACTCTTTGAACTGCTCCATGTCACGTTCGACACCGACGTTGGGGAGATCTGGCATCATGTGGGCGACGATCTTGTAGCCTGCATCTTTGGCGAGTTGGAAGGTCTCACAGACAGCCTTGACGGTGTGACCTCGGTTAGTGTCCCTCGCCACATCCTCGTATACGGACTGTACACCAATCTCGAGTCGTGTGCAGCCGTATCGAAGCATCTGTGAAAGGTGTGGTCGCAAGCAGTAGTCTGGGCGGGTCTCGATAGTGATACCGATACACTTTGTGAGCGCTCTTTCGGAGTACTTGACGGCTTCATCGACATCCTGACCGTTGAAGCCACTGAGAGCATTGTGAAGCTGGGCGACGAACTGGTTACGGTAGGTTTCGGAGAGAGACATGAAAGTACCACCCATGATAATGTATTCCACCTTGTCGACGCTGTGTCCCAGCTCTCTTAGCTGCTGTACTCGGTTCTTGGACTGTTCATAAGGATCGTATCGGGCTCGAATGGCTCGCATCGATGTGGGCTCGTATCCTGTGTATGACTGCGTACTGTATTCGAAATCCGAGTCGGGACCACCTGGACAGTAGACGCAGATGTTGCCGGTCAGAGCGATATGCGGGCAGCGATGAGGCTTGCACATGACCGCTACAACCGCAATACCAGAGGCACTTCGGACTGGCTTTGCCTTGAGTGCTGGCACGAGAACCTTCCGGTAAGCCTCGGGGATGGCAGCGATGATGTCGGTGAGACGAGGAACGCCATTGTAGCCATGTCGTTTGCAGGTGGTGGTGCGGATTTGGTTCAACGAAACTGAGGATGATCGGTCATGCGCATCGACGAGCTGTGCTGCAATATCGGCACAGACACGGAGCAAGAGCTCGGCCGTGTTGGAAGATGCGCCCATCTTGGGCCAGGCTCGGAGAAGGGCTTTCTGCTAGCGTAAACTCTGCGGCGATTCGTATCGAGGAGGAGCGATTGGGATCGAATGGCTTCCGATGCTGAGGTATCGCAAGTGTATTCGAGCAAGGTGCTGATGGCGGTTGCCAGATTGAGTTGAGCAAGGAGAAGTTGGCTGAGAAGCAGTTGGTTGAGAAGCAGTTAGCAGTTCATGTCACAGTCGCAAATCAAAAAAAGTTGGTCAGAAACTCGGCAGTCGGAACTGAACTTCTTCAAGACTTAACACTAGGCGAAAAACCTGCGAAACTACCATAAGGTGTTGAAAGGTTGGACTCTTATCGACGATTATCGGGCGATGTCAATTCAAGCACAGTGTTCAGGCTATTGAGCTGAACACTATACTATATTGACGTAAAGAGAGAACATAGCAGTAGTCTTGAGCTCTCCGCTAAACGTCTATATACAGTATTGATACATGAACTCAAGTGAGAGCATACCATCTAAAGGGGGTATCAAAGTTTTTGCGTTTTTAAAAACCCGGGTTTTTTCAAGAGCGCGTTTTTCAAAAAAACGCAAAAGCTTACATAAGCTCCGCAAAGGGGGAAAAAAAAAAAAAACCGCATTTTCAAAAACGCAGCTCAGGAGGCGTGTTTGCGAAAACGCGGTTTTTTTATCACTCCACATCTTCTCTCCTTTCCTCACTCTCGTTGCACTTTTGCTCACTCCCTCTTCCTTGCACTCATTCAACATGACCTCCTCCACTGATGATTCTCGTGACATCTCTGCAGAGTTGTTATGCCAGTCCACTACATGATCTGACAGGCACTCTCTCTTCTGCTGTTCAATACAACTCTTCTCACCACCATATGAAACATTACATTGAGTGCATTGTGTGAAGAGGAAAGCAAGATATAAGCAAGCAATGGGTGATAGCGACGAGAGCAGGACAAGTATCATATGCTCACTGTTAGGTTATGTCTCTTATCGGCTGTATAATTTATGTTTCATATGATTACTGTTAGGTTACACCTCCTTTCGGCCGTATGATTCATGCTTCCTATGCTTACTTTTAGGTTATGTATTTTATCGGCCGTATGATTTCATTGCGTTTTTGGAAACCCGCTTTTCCTTGGGGGGGGGGGTTCAAATTCCCTCCAAAAACGCGCTTTTCAAAAAACTCGTGTTTTTAAAATCGCAAAAACTTTGATACCCCCTTAAGGTCGAAGTGTGTCAACGTGCGGGACCCAGTTGTCCCCGATTGCTGCTATATCGGCTTTGCCTGATCTAGGATCAGATCTGGTTTCCCCGATTGCATTTTAGATCGATTTTGCCCGATCCTTCGTCACTTTAACTTGCTGCTGGATCGTCATCCTCAGCAAATCAGCGAATCAGCGAATCAGCGAAGGAAAGGGTCAATTGACTACGCACGTCCCACCTCTTGGCTTGCTTCATTCGGACCAACACCTTTGCTGACCTTCTCTCGACGACAAGCTCGAACAGCTTTCTGGAGGATACAATGCTCGCTGCCATTCGACCATGCGTCTCGCTTCTCGGCAGGTCCTCCGTTCGCCCCGCGGCACCCAAGCCCTTTGCGGGAGGCCTGTTAGGTGCTGGCTTCGCTTCCAGCGTCCGAATGAACGGTGTTCAGAAGCGATTCACTGAGGAGCACGAATGGGTTTCGTTCGACGATGCTACCAACATTGGCACTGTCGGCATCACCGATTACGCACAGAAGTCGCTTGGTGACGTCGTCTTCATCGAGCTGCCCGAGGCTGGCGCTCAGGTGAAGAAGGGAGGTGAGTAGCGTCATCGGGATCTTGGAGGTCTAGCTTGATAAGGACAGATGGACTCACTTGGCCTCTTGCGATACTTTTCGCTGGACGACATACGATACAGATGACATTGGGGCTGTTGAGTCGGTAAGTATGTGCAACCTCCTATCCGCTGCAGCGACAGAGCATACGATGAGCACACAGGACACAGCAAGCATACTGACCTCGAGCTTATCTTTCCACTGAGGGTTTTATCCCATAGGTAAAGGCCGCTTCCGACATCTATGCACCTGTTTCCGGTCAGATCGAGGCTGTCAACGAGAAGCTCAACAGCGAGCCCAGTTTGCTGAACAAGCAGCCCGAGAGCGACGGTAAGTGACCGAGATCGAGGCTAGATTGAAGAAGACGATCAAGCTGGCTCACGTTTCACATTGCCTTTATCTGCCCTGCTCTGTCGATACAGGCTGGTTGTGCCAGATCAAGCTCTCGAATCCTGCCGATTTCGAGACTCTTCTCACAGCCGAGGCCTACCAGAAGATCTGCGAGAACTAAGCTTTGCTCGCCAGCCTGACTCGTTTCCTCGCTGCCATGTAACGCCTGCGCCCTTTTAACCACCGCACACACATCGCGATAACAAATTTTGGATCGTGCCGATCATAATTCAATCCGAGCGGCTGTTGCTTCTTTCTGAGTCGAGTAGCAGCATCTGAACCCGAAGATTGCCCTTGCTCCGTGGATTGCATCGTGTCGGACAGTTGAGCATCCGGTCTATTAAGGATTGCTGAATACAATGGCGGTAGCGTGGAAATCAAGTGTGCAAGCACTGGAGCAGGACGAGGCATGTTTACCGTCGCCCCTATGATGACAGCAGTGGCGCTTTGGTTTCCGAGTTTGCTTTGACCACCAGTCGATGTCAGAGCTCATGTGATCAGTCTCGGAGGCAGGCTGGGATGTATGGAAGGATCAAGGGATAGCAATACAAACGACGACGTCAACGCCAGAAGGCACAGACTAGATCCGACTCTTAGGGTCGCCATGATCGCTGAGCAAGGTTAGCGTAAGGAAATCAGGTGCAAGGGACAAGTAAGAGTCTAGCGCCATGTCGGTATGGGCTAGCGGTGGCAGAGAATGAAATCGCAATTGCCGAACTCGATGGCATCGATTCTAGGTTGGGACGGAAAGATGAAAAAGCTTGATAGACATGTCAAAGGCCTCACTTGTGCACGCTCGCCAGACTCTTTCTCCCTCTTTGGCGGATTGCGCTTCGGAAGTGGACGCGGAACAAGGCTAAATTCAGTCCTTGCTTTGCACTCTTCTAGACTCGACAAGCGGAGTCAATGCCGAACATGGCCAATGCCTCAGGCTGCCAATGTGAAAGTTCTGCCAAGGACTGGGTGGAAGCTTGGATAATGAAAAGAGATGGTCCCGATCCTTGCTTCTGCTTTCCTGTGATCGAATTGTGATACATGACAGCCTCTCGGCACCATCCCGAAGCGCAATTGCTGCGGACCAAGGACTGAGGTGTGATGAGATGGGATGGTCAGGGTCCAAGTCTGCCTGTGCTGTGCCGGAGTTGGAGGGAAACAAACCGTTCTTGACGAAGCCAAGCAGCCGACAAGGGGGATTATGAGTTGGATCGTGATAGAAGAGAAAACGCCCTGCACTTTCCTACCCTAAATTCTTTGCCGCTGGGCTTGAACTTTCTTGAAAATGAAAATAATAATAATAATAATAATAATAATAATAATAATAATAATAATAATAATAATAATAATAATAATAATAATAATAATAATAATAATAATCATTATTATTATTATTATTATTATTATTTATTTATTTATTTATTTATTTATTTAAATAAAAAGAGTTGCCTTGACATGGCTTTTGTTCCATTTCTTTTATCGGTTGTTGATTGTTAGTGGCGATAGCTGGCAGCAATTCTGTCCTGAATGTGTGACTTTTCGCAAATTTCGCAAATTTTCGGTGGTTGCTACAGTCCAGTCTGACTTTTTCTTTTTTTTTTTTTCTTTTTTTTTGTCCTCTGTGCATTTGCAAGCGTTGCAGCGGCGGCGTTTGTTCGGTGGAAAGAGATCCGCTGATTTGCTGTACAAAGCAAGTGATGCTGGGTTGAGCACTTCTTTTGCAACATACGCCAACCCGTATTGAGATCCGGACAACCGAGCATCGAGTAGTGAAAAGTGGCTGAATGTCAAGTATTAGGCATTACCAAATACCAAAGTGGGGTGGGAAAAGGGGTTGAAGAGTAGGTTGCAATGGAACAGCTAACCCAATCACTACCAGTCAACGCAAAGCGAGCGGCTAGCAACCAAGCAGCAAGCTCATAGACTTGATTGTGAATGTGAATGTGATTCTCTTGTCGTGCTTCCAAGCAGGCGAAATCAAAAAGAGTTCGGTAGAAGATGAAGTCAAGCCTAAACTCTCCCTTGAACGCCTCCTGACAGAAGAAGCCACTTGCGTAATAGCCGACCGAGGCGAAGAACAAAGCGACATGAGAATGAGAGCCTCAACCTTGCTTGACTTGGCAAGCGAATCACGATTGACGGGCAATCAACGCGTTCTGACAGACATACGGTCGGGACCTTTTTCCTCCCCCCTTCCTTTTCCTCTTTCCTTCTCCTGTCCGGTCGCCCAAATGGCTCTCGATTCTCGATTTGTGTTTTTTTTTTTTTTTTTTTTTCCTTTCTTTTCTTTTCTTTTTTTTCTTTTCTTTTTTTGAATAAATAAATAAAAAATGAAATCTGTGCCACACTCTCTCTCCCTCTCCCTCTCTCCCTCTCTCCCTCGCTCTTCCTCGTGCAGTTGGCTTGTGACCGTGCTAGCACGATCCGTTCTCTTCATGCCCTTCCCTTCATGCCCTTCCCTTCATGCCCTTCCCTTCCCTTGTGCTGTCATTGGGCCCTTGCTGCAGCCGAGCATAATGAAGACCATCGTTTGCTTTCTCTCGCTTTGCGTGCCCTGCATCTGAGCTCTCTCCTTCTTCCTCTTGTCTTGGCAATTGTGACTTGTGGCCTCAGCTGACAGCCATTGTGACAACTGCAGCAGCTCTCGAAAAGGGGATTTTCTCTTTCTTTTTTCTGGCACTTGCACTTGCCATCGTTCAAAGCCCACTCAACATGTCAGACCAGCTCTCTGGTCCTTCGAGCTCATCTGCCCTTCATTCGGCGACTTGACACGCTTGCTGCACCTATCTGTATGAGATGGGAACGACAACGACGCCTTTGCTCGGTTACGGTTGCTCCTACCCCGTTGCTCCTCCTCCCGTTCAACGCCCAACCGCCCATCCCTCCGTCCATCCTTCCGTCCATCATCGCCAACTCCAACCTTCACTTGACAAGCGGAAAAGAATAAGAAAAAAAAAAAAAAAAAAAAAAAAAAGCAACCCCTTCTTCGCCTCTGCTTGCCGACTCTTCACGCTCGCGTTCTCACTTTGGCAGCAGCAGTAGCAGCAGCCAGCACACAGACATCTCGAGCCTCGCCCTCGACGACAAGCAACTCATATATATACATCCTCGCCTCCTACTCGCTTTTCTTTCACCACGATCCCAACCCGTGCGTCCTCTTTTCATCTTGGCTCGCTCGACACGCTTGGAAACCCCTTTCCCATCTATCTCTGTCTTCCCATCACTCTTGCTGCTCAGGTTGCTTCCGCCATACACGCTCGTTGCCCTCCTGGTTCCCTTGTGCCATCTCGTCTCGGTTTCTTCACACTCAAACCGCCTCTACAGCCGCCCGCTAGGCCTGCTTTGATAGCAGTGCAAACACATTCAACATGGCGGACCTCATGACCAGGTTCCCCGCCATGGATCTTTCACTCGGCTGCATGTACATCGGTGTCATGCTCAACGTCTGGCTCTATGGTTTCTCCATCGTCCAGGCCTACATCTACTACGTCCACTTCAAGACTGACAAGCCCTTCATGAGGTACTTTGTCCTTTTCCTTGTCGTCGCCGATACCGCCAATGCTATCTTTGATCAGGTGTTTATGTACCAGTATCTCGTCTCCAACTTTGGCAATCTCACCTACGCAGCTAAGAGTAACCGATCCTTCGCTGCTGATCCCGTCACGACCGGTGTCATCGCCTTTTCTACTCAGCTCTTCTTTGCTTGGCGTGTATACAAGCTCATGCACTCCAAGATCATGCCCGCTTTGATCAGCGTCGGTGCGCTCGTCTCGCTCCTTAGCGCCATTGGTACTACCATTGGTGTCGAGATTGTCCTCTACTTCAACGAGTTCCACAAGTTCCAGGTGGTCGTCATCTTGTGGCTTGGTTTTGCTGCGCTTACCGACGTTCTCATCACTGGCTCGCTCGTCTTCACCCTCAACAAATCCCGTACCGGTTTCGCCGCCACCGACGACGTTATCACCAAGCTGATCCGAATGACTCTTCAGACCGGTGCCTTTACCACCCTCTTTGCCACCATCGATCTCATTCTTTTCCTTGCTTCCACCTCTACTCTCCACCTCGTCTTTAACTTGCCCCTCGCCAAGCTCTACGTCAACTCGTTGCTTTCCACCCTCAACGCCCGTGTCACCATTGGCTCGGCAGCTCAGCAGTATACCATGGAAGGCTCGCTCAGCGACAACGCTCGTCGTGGCATGTCAACTCACACCAAGCGATCCAACTTCTTCCGCTCCGGTGGAAACAACCAGCCCACCACCATCCGAACACAGGCATCACACCACGACCATGTCGAGCACGGTCTCGCTCTCGGCGAATACAACAGCCGAGACAACTTCGCGACTGGTATTCACATCAAGACCATCGAAGAGACATTCGAGGAGCGACACGAGGGTGATGACATGCCAGCTTTCGATTCGAGCTCGCACAACGATTCGCTTCCCGTGCTCGAGAAGAGCCGTGGTGACCAGGACTCGCTCTGAGTCTCGTAGCCAAGACAAGAACAGAAAGAAAAAAAAAGCACAGCGTTCGCGCGGTCGCATCAGTTTGTTCGCTTCTTCCTCTCGTTCTTTTATACTCATGAAAAGAGACAGCATACCCTCTTATCAGCATGCATCCCGACCTAGGAGTTCTGGAGCTGCTTGATATGTCATTTCTCTCATCTCATTAGTCGCATTTCGCATCATCTTTGTCCTGTCGCAGAGTACGAAAAGTGTGTCACCGTTTGGTTTCTTAGGTTTTATCTTGTGTCAATGATCAAAACGGTGGTGCTCACATGCACCTCAGCAGAATCAGTCTGACAGATGGTGCATATTGCTCGTGTGAATGTGCTTTCCTTACCTTTGCTGCAGTCAGTGCGTCGGCAACCAAGATAGCCGATCTCACCTTGTTCGATTTGTCAGTCTGTTCAATCGGGATCAAAATCAAGATTGGGATCAAGATCAAGATCAAGATTGGGATCGGGATCGGGATCGGGATCGACGAATTTATCAAAAGACGAGATGAAGAAATGTGCATGATTATCGCATCGCTCCTTTGAGCCGGTGACGGCCAAAGTGGAATTGCAACAGTCAGAACGTGGTGGAGCGGCTGACACAATTCAAGCTGTCTGTTGCACCTCTTGCTCCTCGCCCCCATCTCTTCTAGGATCGCCTTTCCTCTTCTCTCGAAACAGCCATAGCACAAAGGGACAAGTATACAGGCGCTCTATCACAGAACAACGATACTACACAGAACAACGATATTGCACTGGTTTCATCTTTTCAGGCAGCTTCTGCTTAGGACGAACAGGTTCAAACAAGCCGCTCAACGTTGGTCAAGCCAAGGCAGCATAAGCCGACTGGTCGCATTGAGATTGATAGTACAAAAAAGCAGGAGCGTGTGATGGTAGGATCCGGTTGCAACCACTATGGTTGCCCCTGTCGCTCATCAGATACTCAAGCACAAGCTGGTCCATCACGGCATCGCTCCTCCTCACCTTCTCCCGCTCCAAGGCATACCCGTTCATACCCAATCCACTCACCTACCGAACCCGCCTCCTCCACCTCTATTTACAAATCCGCCACAGACTATGCCCGCTCCCTCCAATGGACGAAACAAGAAACCGACGACTTCCTTCTTCGCAATCGCACTCTCGTCACCGCCGGAACAGCCTCACTCGTTTCCACCGCTGCCTCGTTCCCCTTTGACTCTGTCAAATCTCGCCTGCAGGTCCGCGACTATCCATCCATCTGGGCGTGTGCCAAATCAGTCGTACGCGAAGAAGGCGTTCGAGGATTCTTCCGTGGCGTAACGATCCCTCTCATCACCATCTCTTTCGTTCGCACCTCTTCCTTTTCCATCTATTACAACACCAAAGCGCATCTTCATCGTCAAAACATCTTTTCCGACTCTTCCCGACTTGTTCACACAGCGCTATCCGGTACTGCAGGCGGAGCAACAAGTGGAATCATCATCTCCTGCGGTTCTGCACCTTTCGAGTTAGTTAAAGTGCAAAGGCAACTCGAATATCTCATTGCTGTACAGAAAGGTTTGATTAAGAAACAACCCACTACTGAAGGGGCAGCACAAGGTCGAGCGAGAGGCGCAGTGTTTGTTCCGCAATCTGGCTTTCAAGCAGCAGCCAACATCTACCGCAACTTTGGCGGATTGAAAGGTTTCTATATGGGTTTCCCTCTTCATATCGCTCGAGATACTTTCGGTACAGCTCTCTACTTTGGATTTTACGATAGCATTCGAGCACTCGTAACACGTCACTCAAAGAATGATTCCAGTAGCCGTGCACCTTGCTTGTACGGCATTCCAGGACCCGTGGTTTCGTTTTTATCCGGTTCATCAGCAGGAATTTTATCTTGGTTCATAGTCTATCCCGTAGATTTAATCAAGACCAAGGTGCAGAGGGATGCGCTGGCAGGGAATCCAAAGCTGTTTTCAGGTTGGCAGGTGTTTCTGCATATGATCAAGGAACGCCCGCCAATACAGGCAGATGTCAACACCAAGGAGGGGGTAGGGGGGAACAAGAGGATGCTCAAGACAGATACGTTTTTAGCGAGGTTCTTGAGGTTATATCGTGGCTTGGGGGTTAGCGCTTTGAGGAGTTTCATTTCGTAAGTGTCCGCCGCTGCCGGCAGTTTGGCAAGTTAGATATGTGTATGACTGATCTACTGACTCCTCTAATCATTTCTGATGGTGGGTTTGCAGACACGGTTTGACATGGACTCTTATCGAATCGATTTCGGGCAAGATCACCCAACGTACGGGTCAAGCGGTCTCCTATGCTCCAGACAGTCGGAAAGAGAACTGAAAGCCAAACCACCCAACCACATTCATCGTGATCTCCTTCCATTGCATCTTTCATACGTGTGCAAACGTGAAATTGACCCGACCTCAAAGAGGCGCAACTTTCGCGTTCGCCTGCATTTCACATCCCCACTCGCCGATCCGCTTTGTGTGCTTTCAGTGTGCGCCTTACAATGTGCTTCGAGACGCAAATCATGACATGAGATCTCCAGCATGAGGCTCCAGTGCTGACTTTTGCAAAGATGGTTTATGGATTTCCCTGCAAAGTGCTTCTTACTGTTGACCAGAAAGAAGCTTGTCCAACTCGTCTGGTGTGTATCTCTTCTTCGCTGTTGGTTCGGCGGGGATCAAGATGGCTGCAACTTTCCTACCTTCTTCGGAAAGCATGTTGAAAGTCGAAGCTGCATCGTGCTATTTCATTGAGCGCCAAAAAACAATGTCAGTAATCTTTCTCTCGCTCTCTCTTTGCCTCGTAACATTGCAGTGGGATGTGTATACTTACAGTACTCTGAACATCCAACTGAATACCCAAGCCTGCAATCCACTCCCTTACCGGTCCAGGAGGAGGTAAAACTCTCTTTCCCGTCCCGAACAAAATAATCTCTGGTCTTTCATCCACCAACTCAAACACCTTGAACACATCACCCACCTTCCTGGTCACTTTCAACTTGCTCCCCGCCTCTACAGATTGATCTATCCAATCTTCCCAGCCTATTCCCGATGGGACTGCGTAATCTTGATTAAGTGGCGGATGGTCGAATAAAAACACGTGATTGTTCAAGATGACAATCGCTTCGCAAACCACAAGACCATCAGTGAGAGTTAGGGAGGTAGGAGAAGTGGAGCTGATCGAGATCGTCGTTGAAGAGTCGGAGGATTGAAGGATGTTGAAAAAGTCATCGTAAACAGTACGATGTTGACCTGTATTGTATTTTCCACCTGCATCGTTGGACGGGTAAAGGCGCCAGTGCGACATCGAAAATAATGCCGTGCGAGCTTGAACAACACGAGGAAAAGCTCGTAGAGTTGGCAGCCAACAAGTCCTTAGCCTGCCCAGTGTCTGCATTGCTGTCATCATTGTCGGGAAAGATTTATCCCAAAGCAAACGAGCGTGGTGGACGATGTGAAAGGAGAAAGTTGCTCTCAATCAGCAAGCAAGAATGCAGAATGTCGAGTAATATCCAACCATCTGCTAATCCAAATCCGGTCACGTGCCAGTATTGCATCCTAAATGTCCATCTTTCCTCACTCTACTTAGCATCTTCTCAACCATCTTCTTGTTGCTCAAACCCTCATGGACTCTATCACACGCATCCAACACAGACCACACAAACCAGCCTTGAAACGCAAGCGCATCAAACTATCACTTGCAAGACCATCCTCACGACGCTTCTTATTTCAAGATTCAACTCACACCCGCGCTTTTCCTCTCATGACACTTACTATGCCTACGCACTTGATCGGGCCTACTAAACCTCTTACCACACTGTGGGCAGTGGAACGGTTTATCTCCCGTATGGATCCTTGCATGTTTCGTCAAATTGCTACTTTCCGCAAACGCCTTTCCACACCCTGGGAAACTACACAGGAAGGGTTTACTACCTGTATGCATCCTTTTGTGGATTGTCAATGATCCTGCTACACTAAAACCTTTTCCGCAACCTGGATGATCGCAGACATATGGTTTTTCCAGTGTGTGTGTTCGCATGTGTTGCGCCAGGGTATTTTGTTCCGAGAATCTCTTCCCACATTCTGCGCACTTGAAAGGTCGATCGCCAGTATGCGTCTGAATGTGTCGCAACACCTTCTGTTTTTGGCTGAATTTTTGTCCCGAGGCATGACGAGCACAGCCAAGCCAACGACATTCATATTCGCCTTTACCGCATCCAACATGTGCGCTTTCGATGTGCCCTGTGAGCGCAGAATAAGAGTCGAATGAGGAGGAACAGTTTTCCCATCTGCAAAAGAGAGGTTCGGTGGCGGAGGAGGAGGAGGTGGTGGTGGTGGTGCTGGTGGTGGTGCTGGTTGCTTCGCTGTTCTTCCGCTTCTTGCTGGTCCAGGAGGGGATGGTTTCCGTTGAAGGAGAAACAAGCGTTACTGCGCTACTATGGTAAGCTGAGGATGTGCGTGCGTTAAGATGCTGATTACCAGACTTGAGCAAGAATGGTCTGGTAAAATGTTGCCCCAGATGATCGTGCAAAAGATGCTGCAGGATAGCAAGTGAGATCTTATCGTTCTGACCTTGAACGCCTGCACCGTCGTGCTTCCATACCTCGGGCGCAGTTGTTGGAGTTAAGATCGCATCCAACACCAACTTTTCGGGCAGAGGGACTTGATGACAGTCTTTCCAGAGACACTCCAAGCTATTACTAGCTTCTGTTGTGCCCTGCTGCAAACCGGTAGGCATGTGCTGCAACTGCATTGATTCGTGTTCCGTTTCTTGTAGGAAAGACTTCTCTGCCGGGGTGTCCACTGTTTCCGCAGCCGCTGTGGCAGCGTTTTTGCGCGCGAGATGCGAGTGATTGACGTGAGCAACGAGCTCCTCAACAGTCCAGAACCTTTGGTTGCAGCCACCCCACTGACACTGTTGTGGTCTTGCATCTCCCTGTTGACCGTTGTGACCGTTGTGATGGTTCAAAGTGGACTGCACCGCATTTGTCTGATGCGTATATGAGCTAGGCATCCAATGCGAATGCGGAGCGCTCGTCTCACAGATCTCCGAATTACAGAGCGTCATGGCAGGCGGCAAACACCCACGATGACTACTATGCAAATGGGGCTGTTCGAACATGCAATCATTCCAAGACTGTAGCCCTGGAAAGATGTCTTTGAACGACACTGCGCCCGATGGATCGAATGAAGAAGTGTCACTGCTATGATACTTATCCTTGCTCTGACTCGACGTTGAATGCATAACAGCAGAAGACCACGAGAAAGAGGAAGTTGCAGGCGATGCAATGCCAGGCTGAGGTGTGGCAATGGTAGATACAGTAGAGGCACGGGAGTGGGGGTCGTCTCGATAATGACCGCCGCTGGTGATGATGCTTGACGATGGTGTGTCGGATAGCGGTGGCTGTGTGTGGTGCGAGTGATGCTGGTGATGCTGGTGATAGTGTGGTTGGAGAGATGAACCGTGCTGGTGCTGGATATGATGCTGATGGGAAGAGTGCGCAGCAGGACTGAGCTGCTGCTGTTCAGCTGGCAAAGGATGTGGTGCACCAGTATTGCAAGCATAAGCCGTCGATCCTTGCCCGCCCATGCAGCACTGTTCTACCGTCGGCGGCATAGAGCAACAACACAAGTCCAACAGCTCCTGGAAGCTACTGTACAGCTGACCTCCCTCTGCTGCATTGACCGAGGTGATAGAGCCACTACACTGGCGGCACTCGTTGTGCTGTGAGCGATGAGAATGTGCTTTTGCATGTGCTTGCGAGTCTGTGTGTGACGTTGGCGGTACCACACAATCACAAATGGTCGCAACTTTCGCTTTGAGCCTGGGTGAAAGCTCGGACTGGTCGCACGCTTCATCAGTGCAGCAAGTCGCCGCGATGGTCGGTAGAGCAAGAGTCATCGACGATGCTGAGCAATGCGCTTGCGAGCATGGCGAGCTGGGCACATCAGGACAAGTGTTGCCATCACAGCAGGCGACAGCGGTGGAGCAGACGACGGCACTAGTAGACGAAGTGGCCGCTGCACAGGTGGGCTCGGTGCAAGCGCTGGAGATGTGATGGATGTCAGAGCAGGGCGAAGCAGGTGCTGATGCTGGACAGTCCAGGCAGTCGGATCCAGTGCAATGAACAGGCATGACCGAATAGTCGGCATCGCAGCAGATGACATCGACGCATGGTGTTGGCGGCAGGTGCGACAGTTTGGAGGGCTTGGATCGAAGCGGTGTCGACGCCTGCGTTGCTGGCGATCTTGGAGATGCCTTGGCGCAAGTTGGAGGCCCCATGAAAAGTGCAGTCACCGAAGGCGATCGAACTTGAGGTGAGCACAACGCGCCTTCCGTCGAGGCTGCCATGATGGAAGATAAGAGAAAGTCGAGCCGCCAATCAGTCCTTCAGAAAGCTGGCATCGAGGGAGTGAAGATGATGATGATGAAGCAAGAAGAAACCAAGTTGAGACGATATTTCTGACAAAAGATGGCGTAGCGAGCAAGACGGCCAACTATGCGAAAATGAGTCGTTTGGGATGAGCGAATAGAGCTTGACTATGATGCTGACCGGCAAGCGAGCAGAAGGGGAGGAGCGACGGCGGAAAGCCTGTGCAGCTAGAGTGGCCTTGGCTGTCGCTGCTGCGGTGTCAGAGGCGATGGTGTCAGAGGCGGTTGGTGTCAGAGGCGGTTGGTGGAAGAGAGAACAGAGAATCAAAGATACGGCAAAAGTGTGTACCTTCGCGGTTATACAGAGAAGCCTGTCGCTGGACGCTGATAATCGCTTTCCGCCGTTGGAAGAGATTTGCAATCATTCATTCGCGCGAAAGAAAGGCTATCTGCTTGGCCCACCTTGACAAGTCTGCTGTTGTCGATGTTGTTCTTCCTCAGCGGTTCATCCTCATATTCGGGCAAGTCTCAGCAGAGCGATGATCATTGACGTTCAGTACACTGTGTACGCTGTCATGTCTTGGAAATGGCTGGAAGGGCGTGTTTTTGTTTATGATATCTACAGATAGTGGTGTGAGTGCGTGACTGTCGGATGGTAGTGTCGTGTGATCGCACCTTTTTGGGCGCTGTGCCGATCAGATAAGGTCCCAAAGCGGGTCATCGCTGCGAATACCCTCCTTGCGCGTTGATCCAGTTGGCAATGGCTTTGGCGCAGAGGCGGAAGCGAAGGTGTATCCCTCCAACGCATTGTCAATAGCTTGCTGCGGGTATGGCTGTGCCGGTGCGACTGGTGCAGCCTGCTGACGTGCGGAGCGCGAAGACAAAGCGAGACCGCCAATGATAAGCGAACGGAGAGCGTTTGCCGACAATGGCTCAGCTGGAGCAGACTTAGCAGGTGCACCGCTTGAAGCACCACCCTTAGGAGCAGCTTGCGAAGGACCAAGAACAGCAATCCCACCCTTGGGCTCCTTGAATGAGCCAGTGGGTGTCTTAGCCTTGCCAAGGAAAGCAAGGACGTCACCCTTGGTGATCATACCGCGAACTCCGGTTCCTTTGATTTTGCTCTCAGCGTCTTGAATGTTGTTTTCGGCAATCAATCGCTGCACAGAGGGGAAGAGGGGGCCTTTGAAGTGGTGATGTGCGTTCGAGCTGGAAGCGCCAGGTGTGGAAGGCGCTGCAGAGCCGGTCGAGGCTGCAGTCTGGGTGGAGGGTTCTGGTGCAGACTTGTCCGAGGTCTGTCTCGATTTGTCGGAAGCATCTGTAGAGGAGGGAGCGGGAGCATCATCTTTGGGTGTCTCGACGTTGGAGATGTCGTCTCCTTCTTCAGCGAGCATAGCGATGGTCTTGCCGACTTGCACATCCTTGCTTCCATCCTGAACGATGATCTTGGCGAGAATACCGTCATCTTGCGCCTCGACATCCATGGTCGCCTTGTCGGTTTCGATCTCGAGCAACACATCTCCCGCAGAGAAAGCCTGACCCTCCTTAACCTTCCATGCTGCAATACCACCGGAAGTCATGGTGGGAGACATGGCAGGCATGGTAAACTTGCTGATCGCCTGCTGAACCGATGAAGTGGAGAGTGCTCGAGCAGCCATAACCGAACGCGAGCTGGAATCCCAAGTCGAAGCGGAGGCAGCCAATAGCCGCGAAGCAGGCATGAGAAGGCTGCGTGATGCCGACATCTTTGTGGTCGCCGTAACAATGATAGGATTGGCGGCGATGGTGGTGATGGTGGTGATGATGACGGTCAAGTGAGACGAGAAGCAAGTAACAGAAACGTGCATCTTACCGAGACACGCAACTCCGATTCTCAGTTGCGAGAATTTGAGCGACACTTTGGCCGTGCGCTCAAGAATATTAATCCAATTTTTACTCAAGGAAAAGCGCAAAACTCCACCCCAACCAAAAATTAGTTGAAGTTTTCGTATGATTGATGATGGTGCTAAATACAGATGCGAGTCAAGGATTTTCAGATTTTCACTACTTGCACATGCTCGGTGCATGCACACACACACTGCTGCATCCTCTATTCCACAAGCCCTTTTACTCGGCCATGAATACTACCTCTATGCTTTGTGTGGCTTTTATCTACTTCAACTCCCCCCCTCAACAGCATATGTACTCTGTTCATTGTGCTGTTGCTGTTTGACACATCCTCCATACTTCAGTACTGTTGCATAGCTTGGGGGTCCCATACCATGCACCGCTGGTATTTGCAGATGTAGCCTGGAATGTGCTTGTTGCATTGCCTGCCTTCCAATGGGCTTGGTTAGCATGTCTGCTAAGTTCCATGTTGTGTCCATGTACTTAATCTGCACCTTTCCTTCTTGGATGTTGTTGTGAATGAAGTGATACTTGGTGTCAATGTGTTTGAGCTTCCAGTGCTGTGCTGGGTCCTTACTCACCTGTATGCAACCAGTGTTATCTGAGTAGACCATCGGGGTCCCTGTAGCAATGCCAATTGAGCATAGCAATTGCTTGAGGAAAAGTACCTTGCATGTTGCCTCTGTGGCAGCAATGAATTCTGCCTTGACAGCAGACAATGATACACATTTTTGTGTTGCTGACTTCCAGGCTACTGGGTTCCCATACACCAACGCCACTGACCCTGAGGTGCTCTTTCTCTGTATGGTGGCATCACTTGCCCAGTTTGCATCACTGTGCACAACCAGTGGCTCTTGCAGTTCACTTGCTCTGTAGACCAATCCCACCTCCTTTGTGCTTTCGAGGTAGCATAAGACCCATTGGGCCACCTGATAATGTTCCTGTGATGGTTCTTGCATGTGTCTGGCGAGAACTCCTACAGTGAGACTAAGATCAGGCCAGGTGCTGTTGGCAACCCAGAGTAGCTTGCCAATAATCACTGGATACTCCTTTTGTTGCACTGTGCTTGCAACAAGGGTTCCCTCCAGTATACTCTGCATTGGAACCATGGTTGGCTTTGTATGTTTGTCCAGGTGCTTTGCCAGCACTTGATCAATGTACCCTGACTGACTGATTGTCATGGTGCACTTTGCACAGTCTCAACTAATTTTGATGCCTAAGAAGTGAGAGACCTTGCCACTATCTTCCATCTTCCATTTCTGGCTGATCTGCTTCTTGATCTTTAGCACTGTCTCCAGTTGTGGTGCTATGACTAATGTATCATCAACATAAATGACCACAATAGCCATATCTTCACCCTGTCCCTTAATGTAGATGCAGGGAGTGCACTCTACCTGGAAGAATCCCATGCATCGCAAAACCCTGTCAAACTCCTGGTTCCATTCTTGACCAGACTGCTTTAGGCCATATAGGCCCTTGACCACTTTGTATACCTGTCTGGGTGCTACTCCTGATCCCTCCAGTGGTTTCATATAGATCACTTCTTTTAACCTGGAGTTTAAGTAGGCCATTGTGATATCCAGTGCATGCACCTCCCAGTCATTCTGTACTGCTAGCACTAGGATAGCTCTGATTGCTCCAAGGGGTGCTACTGGGGAGAAGGTTTCCTGGTAGTCGATTCCCTCTCTCTGTGTGAAACCCCTTGCAACCAGTCATGCCTTGTGCTTTATGGGCATGCCATCAGCATCAAGCTTTAGCCAGAGCACAACCTTAGAGTCCACAAGTGGTACTCCTGGCAGATGTTTCACCACCTCCCAAGTCCCCATTGCCTCGAGTCCTTCCAGCTCTTTTCATATTGCCTCCTTCCAGAGCTGGGCATCCTCACCATTCATTGCCTCTCCAAGTGTTGGGTCCAGGTTCAGCACCACTGTGTTGGCAGCACCTACTGTGCTGTCCATGGTTGGCAGGAGGTCCTCCACCATGGCCTCCAATCTGGTCTCCTCCTCCACTGTGGTTGGTGCAGCACCCTCCTCCTCAACTCCCATGGGCTTGCATGCCTCCTGCTGGCAATCACTCCATCCTTTGTCTTCATGGAACATTGCTGAGTTGCTCCATTGAATTGACATGGGCTGGTCCAGGTTGCAGAACTTCCATGCTTTGTGCTCATCATCATACCCAATCATGATGGCTGGCTTTGCTCTAGCCCTGTACTTGCCTTGCTGGTCCTTCCATTGAACATGGACCCATGCCAGGCACCTGAAAACTCGCAGCTGTTGGGCCAGTTTGTGCACAGTGGTTCCATAAAAGGCCTCATGGGGAATGGTCTTGGTGGCTGATGGGGTGAGGTTCATCATGTGTGCTGCTGCTGTGATTGCATATGGCCACAACTCTCTGGGGCAAGCTCAACCAATGAGCATCGAGTGCATCTTTTCTTGGACTGACCTGATCACTCTCTCTGCCCATCCATTTTGGACACTGATCCCCAGGACACTCTTTTGCCACTTGAAACCCTCTTGAGTTTGCCAGTCTTCGGCTGCTATGCTGCACCATTCTCCTCCATTGTCACTGTGGAGCATTTTGAGTTTCCTGTCCATTGCCTGTTCCATCCTGGCTATCCACCTCCTCAGCGCCATGAGTGCAGCACTCTTGGTGCAGAGTGGTTCCACATAGATCAGAGAGGAGAAGTCATCCACAGCAACTAGTGCATAGTGGTAGTTGGCATGACCTTTGAAATCTGTCATCAGGTCTATGTGTACCAGCTCTAATGGTGCTTCCATTCTTTCTGACTCTGATTGGCCCATCCATGCTCGAGTCTGTTTTCCTTGGCTACACACATTACAGTGCTTCAACTCATGTCCCATTTCCTCATTGGTACCTAGGTAATGAGCCCAGATTTGTTTCATTTTGTCTTGTCCTGGGTGTCTGAACCTCTCATGCCATAGGTAGCTGTCTTGATGCTTTGTGTCCTTATTGCCCTCTGGGGCATTATCTAGTTTTCCTGTGTTCTGGTTGTCCTCTGGGACATTGTCGAGTGTCTCTTCCAACTCCAGGGCTAGTGCCTTTCCCTGCATTTTGAACTGCCCTTTTCTTCTGTTCCTCTTGTATTGTATTTGTGTGCTGTCATTTTGCCTAATGATGGTTCCAAACTCATTGAAAGTTACCTGTGCACCATTCTCGATCAAACCTTGTACTGATAATAAATTAGAATTAAGTTTCAGCACATAGAGCACATCCAATAGTTGAATGGTTACATCACCAACCCAAAGGGAGGCATCTCCTATGGCCTTCACTTGAAGCCTTTCATTTCCAGCCATACAGACCTGACCATCCTTGCTCATCAAGGTGAGTAGCATTCTTTCATCATTCACCATGTGGTGCATTGCACCTGAATCAATGATCCAGGTGTCTGATGTTGGTTGCTTATCTCTGCTGATCACTAGGAGGGTGCACCCGAGTTCCTACTGACTTGCTTCTTGTGCTGGATTGGTGGTGGGTCTGTCCATACTCAGTGCAGAGTTGTTGTTGGTGTTCATGCAGTTGCGAGCAATGTGATTAGGTCCTCCACAAGCATAGCACTTTGGAGGGGCCAAGGGGTTGCGAGGATCGTGCCTGCCCCTGGGTCCTTGCTCTGCCTGGTCCGTGCTTGTGGCAACCCTTGCTGCTCCTCTAATACAGCCAGTGACCTCACCATCCTGTTGCTTCTTTGCTAATGCATGGTAGGCTTCATCATACTTACAATCTGGTTTGGCTGTCTTGAAGGCATCAACAGAGTTGGCATAGAACCAATCTTGTGCTGTGCAGTGGTATAGGGTGGATTTCTTGAGGTCCTCGTCAAGTCATTTCCCAAGTTGTGCAGTGTCATTCCAGATGGAGTCCAGTTCCTTGCCTAGCCTGACAACATCATGATTGTACAGACATACAGTATGGATGTGGTCCTGCAGGCCCACTCATTTTACTGCACCATTTAACGTTAGCACCTTCTTGAGCTTAGCATATAGTGTACTACCAAGTTGGACATGTTCATCCACACCCCTAACAGTGTATGTATCAATGCAGCTCTCTGGACTGTGATTGCAAGAGGCATGGATAAGACCTACAAGTGCCTTGTCCAAGTCCTTGTCATACCCCTTGCTTCCCAGTGCTATCTCACCATACAGGATTTCCTTCGCATTGCATACTCATTGCAGACAGTTGATGAAAGTAGGCTCCCAGGTGTGCCAGTTGCTATTGCTAAGTTTCTTAATATGGGCAATTGAGCTTGAGACATCCTTGGGGATCTTTTCCATCTCTCCTCATGGGGTTTGATTGCTAATGGTGACAAGACCCATTGCCCACACTATTGCTTCCTCTGCCATCAGTGCCAGGTTTGCTAACTGTAAGATTCTAACTACCTGCATGAGCCAACCCTCCTCTTGACCATTGCCTGCAGCTGTGGCCGCTTGATCATCATCTCTCTCATCCCTTCCAGTCTGCCCTGCTCTTGTCACTGGTGGCATTATGCTAAGCATCGGACACTTGATGTGTTGAATGTTGTGGGTTTGAGCCCCATGTTGGGAGCCAGTTGAAGTTTTTGTATGATTGATGATGGTGCTAAATACAGATGCAAGTCAAGGATTTTCAGATTTTCACTACTTGCACATGCTCAGCATGCATGTGCACGCACTGCTGTGCCCTCTATTCCCCAAGCCCTTTTACTCGGCCGTGAATACTACCTCTATGCTTTGTGCGGCTTTTATCTACTTCAACTAAATTTGGCCGTTGCAGCTAGGAAGAAACAGGAAAAAGGGAAAAAAAATAGGGAAAAGGAAGAAATAGGGAAAAGGAAGCGAGGGTCTTGTGAGCGTGGGTCTCGAGCGAAATGTTGGGAGCCTAGCCGCGCCCGATGCCCGATGCCCGATGCCCGATGCCGAGATTGACTGGATGCAAGATTCAGAGGATGTTAGGTTCGGCTCTGTGGCTCGGATCTTGCCGTTCGAGGAGATGCCCTTTTACCATGTGATGCTAACTCATGCACACAAACACGAGATGGCAATTGAAGAGCAAGCATTGCATTACAGTTGCCGATTGACGAGGAGAAGCATCACTCGTCCTTCTTAGACTTCTTCGGAGACTTTTCACCCTCCGTCTTAGCCTTGCGCTTTTTCTGCTTCTTGTCACTCTCCTCGTCTGCTACCGTTTGGCTTGCTGCATCAGCTGTTGCTGCATCGCTGTTGCTACGAGTACCAGGAGGCTTAAAGTTGCCCTTTAACAAGTGCCAAGGCTGTTGCGGTAGCTTCTTCTCCTCGAACCTGTTACTTGTCTCCTTAGGCTTCTCTGCCTTGTTCGTCTCGGCAGGACTAGCAATTGACAAATGCAAACATCTTTCCACCTTCACCGGTGCCAATACGAGCTTCCCTGCCTCCTTCCCATCCGCCGCAGGCACCAATAGCTTCAAACTCTCTAGTTCCGACGCAGCACCTTGTCCAACAGCTACACTTGCATCTTCCTTTCCCTTGGCGCCTACTGCGCTTTCTGATGCCATTGCAATCAGTTGTGAGTCTGCGGTGTTGGACTGTGACTTTTTACCTTTACCTTTGAGAGCGGAGGGGACCGAAGTGTAGAAGTTGTACGTGTCGACGATGCTGGATGATGTTGTGCGTACGCTGATCGCGCCTAGTGGTTTGACAGCCGCTTTGAGATCGGAGGTGTCGCGAGGGATGTCGATTACTACACCATCGAGCTGAGATGGTGAGAGACCGGCTGGGATACGGACTGCCCAGAGCTGTTGACCCTTGCCAGCAGATAGCTTCTTTTCCAGCAAGGGCGAGCAAGAGGAGAAGGAAACCGCTTCGAAGCCTCGAGGTGGTCGGTAGCCAATCTTGGAAAGGTTGCGCGAAGCTGCAAGCTTTGTGGTGGAAACAGATGCGGTTTGAGCTTCGACGGAAGAGGAGCCGCTAGAGCTGGACGAGGAGCAGCTTGACTCCGAGTCGGATCGTGATCCTTTCGACATCTTGCGCGAGAGTAATTTGGTGCTAATTGTGGGGTCGTCGCTCCTCGAGAGCCCGTGAAAGTATGTTCAAGGTCGCGCTTGCGATGATGAGCAAATCGATAGCATGGTGACTGGAGGCAGGGTTGAGAAGTGTTGACCTTGACAGCGCCAAAATGACAGCTTTGAGCGTTCGGCAGCCTTTTCTTCCAAAAACCAAACAAAACCAAAAAAAAAATAAAAAATCCAAAGACACGCATGTCCAGAAGGTTACAGAGTCAGGATTACGTAATTCAGGAACTCTCCTCCACTTTTGTGTCTCTCGATATGCTGGATGCTCGCACGTCCTTCTCTCGGCCATAAAGTTGGCTGGAAAGGTGTTGAAAGCGGCGACCGCAACAGAGAGTTGTCAGAAGCTTCTTGCCTAACCCCGTCCCTTTGCTTGGCGTTACTTGCATCCATACTACCATCGACCTCCTCATCACAGCGTGACTCGTTCAGGCTAACACATGTCCGCAGCCATGGACCTCATTTCATCAGCATTCGACAAGCTCGGTATATCGATACCAGACACCAAAACCCTCTCCCTCCTCGGCACACTCGTCTGTATCGTTCTCACTGCACCTCTCGCGGTCATGTTCCACTTCTCCGCTCGTCCACGGATCCAAGGCATTAAAATCTACCAAGAGCGGGTCCTCATCCTCGGTGCATCCAACGAGCGTGGTGTCGGTGAAGCTCTCGCCCTCCAATACGCTCGTCGAGGATGTCGCGATCTAATCCTCGTCGGACGCAATCTCGAAGGCCTCGAAGCTGTCCGAAAGCGGTGCATCGCCCAAGCAGCCGAAGGAGAAGAATACGACATGTCAGACGAAGCACCTGGAGACGAGGCTAAACTCAAACACGAATCTCGCATCCACTGCATCGTTGCCGACTGCTCCAAAGCAGAAGACGTCGACAAGCTAAGCAAGCAAGTCTCAGCCAAGTTCAAAGGTCTTGATACCTTGCACATCTGTTTTGGCGTCTCTGCACTCCTACCTTTGCTTGGCGTGGCAGGTGTCGATCCGATCAGGCCGACAGAGAAGCAAGATCTAACCAAAGTTTTCCCGGACGCATCGGGCTTACTGGCTGTACAACAAGCCGTTAGCAGTGCTTCGAAGGTAAATGTTGCAGGAACAGCAATCTGTCTAGCTGCATTTCTACCTATGCTTCAGACCACATCCTCGTTCCCAGCGGTCGTTCTTATGTCTTCGGCAGCAGCTCTCTTTGCAACCCCAACCAGATCGGTGTATGCAGCAACAAAGTCAGCTCAACTCTCACTCTTCCGTTCAGTTGCTATCGAAGCTCAAGCTCACGCTGACAAGTCTGCCAAGAAGGACTCAGGCTCGGGCAAGAGGAGGAACAAAGTTCGCTTCCTCTCCATCTGCCCTGGGACTATTGCTACTTCGTTCCGTCACTCTGCAGTCGACCTCGACTCAAGCAAGGCGGCAATGCCACAGGATCTAGCTTGGGTGAAGGGAGAGAAGATGCTCACATCCGCAGATGTAGCAGAGAAGACTATCTTTGCAGTCGATCGGTATACGGAGGGCACCATTACTCTGCCTCCATTCTACGCTTTTGCGACCTGGCTGGACAAAATCTTCCCTAGCTTTATCGCTAAACAGGCTCGGAAGAAGTATGCCTACTAGACACCTCCCGCCACTGATAGAGCCAATCAATTTGTATCGGATGAAAGTTGTTGCTGCAACAGAGTCAGTGTGACTATCGCTCATCAGCAGGCTCTTGTTCATCTGCACCCGAGATACCTGCTAAGCTCGTAGCAAAGTCTCTCTTGCCCGCCCGCTTCGATCCTCCTGAGAGATCACTGAGCGTCCGTAATGTCCTCGAGAACAGCCGGGTAAACGCGATATCCCACTGTCCAATAGCATCAGAGAGGCTGAAATTGATAGATCCCATTTCGGAGCGGCTCATCCTTGCACCTGCTTCGGAGGCGTCTGCGTCTGTATCAGCCTCTGCTGCTGTCGCTCTTGGACGCTTGCTCGGAAGTCCATCAGCTCGAGGCTGCTCCTCTGGATCTGCTGGCTCCATCTCTCCATCGGGAGAGTCTTCTCGCTTCCTCTTATCATGCGCCTCGTTCGAAGTGACCGCTTCCACAGTACCCAACACGGACGCTCCTAGTGTCTGATCAGAGTCGCCTCCAGTCGCAGCTGGCGCCTCTTGATCATCCTCGTCGTCCTCATCAGGATCAAGTTTGCTCTCGAACAAATCTTGATAATGCCTGTGCTCTTCCGTGTCTTGTTCCGCATCATACCCCTCTTCTTTGACCTCTTCTGCTTCGCCGCCAATCTCGACGTCTTCAAAATCAGCTTCCTCTCCACCATCCTCCCGCGCCTCACCCGCAGTACCAGGGTGAGACTTGATACCGAATACGCCCTGCACGGTGTTGTCGTTCGGCTCTCGTTCCGGATCGAGCTCGTCCATGATCGGCGGCGGTGGAGCATCCAATTCGGTCCGCATCCAGGAGAAGAGCTTCTCGCGGGAGGAGATGGCAATGTTGCGTAATCGGACTTGATCTGTGACGCCGACTGTTCTGTTTCCTCGTCCGCCGTGGATTGGTAGACTCTCCCTTGGAGTGTTATGTGTTGTATTGGAACCCCAGTGAAAGCGGCCGTCGATGGCTGGAGACGGAACGAGACTGCTTGTTGAATGTACTATGCGTGGGTGGTAAGGCAGATGAGACTGTTGGCCATCGCTCGATCGGGCGTCGGTAGCAGCTTCGGGTGTGTCTGGGAACGCTCTTCTTGCATTACTAAGCGCAACAGGTAGGTTGATAAGGTTACCTCTCAACACAGCCGCCCATATACGATCGAGCAGATCGATAGTCTGAAGAGCGAGGTTGAGCTGTTTTGTGCGAGATGCTATTTGATGTTGTCTTTCCTCTTCTTGGTCTTGGTCTTCTTCGCCATCCGACTGGGTAGCTTCATTGTCCGCTGCGCCTCCTCCATTGCGCGTGCTATCCTGGCCAGCCGCCTGTTGAGCCTCCTTTTTCTTCCTCAAGCTCCGCTCAGCCTGGATCTCCATCGCCAAACGATACCCAGTAACTCCATCGCACAAATCCGTGGAACACCTCAAGAGATAGCTAATCAACAAATTCGTACTCGCACTTCCATACGGCGGCACATGAGCCAGCACACCAAGCAACCTCATCCATTCCGCCAAGTAGCTCGAAAGTGTATGCAGCGACGACGAGGGATGGAATCTTTTCCTGTAGCCTCGAGTGATGTCTTGGAGTACGCCATCGAGGAAGGTTCGTAGCTTGCCTTCTTGTTTGCTCGTCAGTTGTTTTGGCGTCGCAACCGAATCAGCGTTCGAGGTGGTTGCATTGGTGGTTTGCTGTAGCTGAGATCTTGAGGGCTCATCGAACACGGTCGAGAGATCATCGATGATGAAGCCGCCACCGGATTGCATCTTGAGAGTGAGGTGCCGTGTTGTGGCGAAGGGCAAGGGGATGAAGATGACTGTGGTAGTACGAGATCAAGGTCCGTGCAAGCCTGGACAATGCGCTGCTGCTTTTTCGCCTCGACTCTCTCTTGGCCTCATTGCGCTGCTGCTCAGTCGTCCTCCTGCCGTCACTTAGATCCGCGTATCGCCCTCGAGAACAACAAAAGCGTCCTCTCTACATGGCAAGGTTCTTGCGCAGCGTCAACGTTTGACAGCCCTTCAGACTACACAAGAATGTCGAGCGCCGAGCCTTTTGCTTTCATCTCTTGCTTCTCCCAATCTCAAATCCAAGGCTTCGATCTCACAATGATGGCCAGCATCAGCATCAGCATCAGCATCACTCGCACTATCCACCAACTCTCATCCCCTTACCAACCCCTCAGGATGCGCTAAACCAGCATGCCAACCAGCGGTCCGCTCATCTGGTCGGAAACCCGTCAAGAACTCTGTGAATCCCTGCCTTACTACCGAGCCTATCAAACTGGCTGCTACGTAAGCTCATCCTGCCTCGCGCGTCCACCCTCTTCGGTTCTGCTCAGGTCCTCTCTTTCACAGGCTACACTTAAAGACTCGATTGCCTATGGCTACCTCCTCGCTGGCTGGCCCTCTCGTCGTGATGCATTCGCACACAACGGCCGTGTTATCATTTCTCATGGTGGGGGGAAAAGCCAAGTCATCACTCCCCGTACTACTACCACCCCATCCACTGCGGCATCAAGCGAACCAAAAAAAGCATCGCTCAAACAAGACCAATCGGCAGACGACAGTAGCACCATTCGCGCGCTGCTGCACTCAGCCAGACACAGCCTGCCAATTGTGTTGATTGCGGCGGAGAACTATGCCTTGTTACCGTTCAAGTTGAATTGTGGTTATGCTGTGTTGGGATGGTATCTTATAACCGATGCTTGGGCCGAGAGGGAGGTGGGAGGTGGCAAGGAGAGGGAAGAGGTCGGGAAGGCGGAGGGGTTTGTAAGGTGCAAGTTTAGATTCGAATGGATTGAGGCTCAGGGCGAGCCTTGGTGGCAGCTATCTCGCAAAGACAAGGAGAAAGAATGGAATCCAAGAAGCAGGATTGAGACTTTCAGCAAGAGTCAGAGGCAAGTAACGAAGCGAATGAAGCAAGTAACGAAGCGAATGGAAAGCAAGCCCTCCGAGAAAGCTTCGGTCTCCTCATCGCGACCTTCATCGGCACCCTCCTCTCACTCATCTTCAACCCCAACATCAGGCACAACTACTCCAACCGCAATGACCCCGGAAGAACGCAAGAATCTCCTCTTCGGTCCCTTGCCCTCCACGACGCTCCCCTCTCTCATCTCAAAAACAAGCAGAAGCCTTAACTCGGCATCACCATGCACCCTCACCAACTCGGCCAGCTGTCTCTCTTGCCGACACCCCTCCCCGATCGTCTTCTCGCTTGGCTGGATATGTCTCGGACCTTCCTGTCCTCAATTCTTCCTTCTACCCAACACCCACCACCCACCACTTGAATCAAGCCTGAACTTCTCCTCTTCATTTCTCCACCCGCTCGGTGCAATCCTCAACTTCTCTTTCCCCTCCTGCCAACCGCCCTTTCCGCTCATCCCGATGCGTCCCAGCTCTCGTTCCATGGACCAATCTCGCGGTCTATGGTGCAAACACTGCGGCCGCCTCAGCTGTCGCGAGCTAATATTCCAACCTCGTTGCTCACACTGCAATTCCGCCGTGGGCAAGTGGAAACCTCTTCCCACCATACCTCCGCCTCAGCTGAATAGCGGGGTGTTTGATTTTGACGGGAAAGAGGGTGGGGCGTTTGATCCCGTAATCAGTGCAAGTTCGGGGATAAAGATGGAGATGAAAACAGTAGGGGAAGGGGGAGAAAGGATGGTGGTGTATAGTTTTACATTCGATGCCATGTTTGGCGATTGTGCTGTTCACCTTGTTCAGGCGGATACGCATGGCGGTGGGGAGGAGAGGGAGGCTGATGAGATTTTTCGAGCTTTTCAGAGACATGCTTGGCCAACAGACTCGAATAAGAAGAGCGTGGGCAAGAGAAAGAGGAAGGAGAGCGACAATCTTGCCTTCATTCCTTCACCAGAAGATACGCAGCGATCATCGTCAAACAGCAGCAGCACCTCTGGTACAAGTCCAGATTCTGGTCAACGCCATTCAAACAAGAAAGAAGAGTGTCTACACGTCATCCCCTTCCGTCGACATCAACTCAAATCATCAGCCGGTTTAGGTCGAATGTTAACGCAACAGTTCACATGTAACTACGGTGTACCATATAAACACATTGTTGCTATGGGAACTCTACCCCTCCACCCCACCTCATCGCCTCCTCCCATCATCTCCACCCTACGCCTCCTTCAGCATCGCACTTGCCTGTCCCTCTCTTGCTCCTCTCCCTCCTCCTCTTCCCTTTCCTCCCCTACTTCCAGCTTTCGAGGCTTTAACGAGATATACCCTGTCCTATACCTCCAGCATCAAAAAATGTCATTCCACGATGACGGCGAGCCCGGCCTAGGACCCATCGTTTCATCCCTCTCTCTCGGCAGCACCTGTCGGATGAAATTCCGCCTTAAATCAAAACACCAACCACACCATACCGATCTCACAGCAAAAGTCAGGACACTGTTGGACCTGCCACTCAGACATGGCAGTGTAGTAGTGCAGCAAGGATCAGATCTGCAGAAGTATTTCGAACACAGTGTCAGTCCAGATGGGTTTCGCATTGCTGTCACGGGACGATGGATTGATGAACTTGTCAATGATAAAACGCCAAATAGTCGACCTTGTCGTGTAATTGCGGGAAAGAGGGAAATGTCGAGAGAGAAGTAGGTAGGGGAAACGTAGCTCCAAGGTGGCAAACATTTATATACCCTGACAGCGTAAGAGGGGTTAAGCAGCAGCATCTTTGCAAGTTGATCACATCTCTGTATTGATGCAATTTACTTTTTGCGATGCAAGAAATGCGATTGTACGTGTACTTGTATCCTGCTTGTGCGAACAAGGGTTCGAAGAAAAAAAAAAAAAAAAAAAAAAAAAAAAAAAAAAAAAAACAATCTAGGAAACCGAGAAAGAGAATGATGCAAGTAATCATATCAAAACTTGCAATCCGCACAGTGCGATCGATGTATAACGATGAACCTAATAAAAGGCTCTCGAATGCTGCTGCTGCTGATGCTGATTATGATGTTGCCTAATCGAGGGTTGTGCATACTGCTGCAATGTTGCAAAGACTTGTTCCTGTGATTGAGCCCAAGGATCGAATGTTGTTGAATCCGTACCCAATGCGCCAAACGCACTTGCTGTTACTCCGCCTGCTATCCCCGAAGTTGATAGGCCACTGGATAAATTAAACATTCCCAATTGCTCAACCAACGCATCCCCTGATGTCGTTGCATTCTGATACGCATATGAATTAGCGCTCGTCTGAACCAACAACCCCATCTGCACCGCCAACGGCCTATAAGGCGGCATCCCCACCAAACCATGCTTGACCATCAACGCTGTAACCTGCTCAGCAAAACTTATCCTTTCGTGCTCTTGCAACAAACCCTGTTGGGCAAAAAGCTTGGTTACAAACTGCGATCCATGGACCTGATCGAGCAAAATCTCTTCCAACAATCTTCGGGCGCCATCTGCCTGGAAAAGTTGAGTAAGCAACTGCCTTGATGCCTGACGATCCTCTTTCTGCGCCATTAGGCGCAAGACAGACTGACTAGCTAGTTTGTGAGTACAAAGATTCGCCAAATGCGGAGCAAATCTAGGAGCCAACAAGGTGAATCTTCCCTTCAACGCGATTGCATCCAACAACCAAGTGACTAGGAGAGCACCATTTTGACTAGTCGCCAATGGAACAGAATTGAGCACAATAGCAAGCGCAACCTGCTTAATATGGAACTTAGAAACCTCAGGTAATTCGAGACAAGTACGCATACTTCTCGCACCAAATCGACCTTGAGCAATCTCCCAACAACGATCAACCATCGCTTCCCATACCACAGCAACATGGGGCTCGCCAAAGGGAATCAAGCGTTGTACAACGTAGTTACCGAATTGATCCAACAGTAGTGGAGGAACGTAGGCTTTGATCTCTTGGACGATGAGTGCCTTTTGGTCGTCGGAAAAGGTGCAATCGATGATCTTTTGTGCAGCCCAGGTGCCGTTCTTGTGAACACCGATGGTGGCGAGGTGTGGAGCGATTAGTTGCAGCATCTGTCGCTTCATCGCTTCACTACACCTCTCGAAGAACTTCTGGACGAGAGTGTTGCCGATCAAGTCAGAGGAGAGTTCGACGATGGAGGGCAAGTAATCGCGGGCGATGGCATCCGCGTCAGCCGAGGTGGAAGAGGGTTGTTCGAGACGCTTGCGAATCTCTTTGAGACGGTTGTTGTCGAATCGTTTGCAAGGCGGCGGTTCGGGAACTGGCGGAATGCGAGTCAAGTATGTGATCTGAGGACGAGCTTGTGCAATACGCGCCAGATCAGATTCCAGATTAGGGTCATCCTCGTCAAGTTGGCGGAGAAGATGTTGAAGATCGCTCACCGTCGCGCGCGGTTTCATTTCGGCAGGGAGCGGAACGCCACCTTTGTCACTGCTGGGAACGATGCTGTTGGATGAGCTGTGGGTTGGGAAGCTTCCAACTCTACCAGAAGACAAAGTGGTAGCGGATGCCGGTGCTCGAGAAGGCTCTCTACTGAGATTAGGCGCCAGTGCTTGTGATCCAAGTTGCAGATGCTGGCGCGACAGCTGATCTGGTCCCAGAGTAGAGTGGTACTCCTCTGCACCTTGCGAGACGTGCCCATCAGCAGAGGCTTGCATGGAAGCCAACGTCTCCATCGCAGCCTGAAACTCTGGCGAGCCGGGATCTAGACTGCCCAAGTAGCTCTCGGGGATCCTCGTTTGCACCTTGGCAAAGCCGATCTTGACTGGACCCAGCTCTGTGCCCAACAATTCTCTCCCATTCAACGCTTTTCTCGCTATGATAGCGTCGTCGAGTCTTTGGAAGTTGATGAATGCGCAACTCTTACTGGCCAAGACGCGTATGCTTTCGATCGGTCCGAAGGAAGAAAAGATGGACATGAGCGCCTCAGTGCAAGTGGTCGAAGGAACGGAACCGATCCACAAGGCTCGTGAAGGCTCTTGGTTCGCCGGCTCAGCGCCAAACACTTCGGTACCTGCAACATCCACTGCACCACCAAACGAGTCGGACATAGGTGCAAAGCTGCCCATTCCAGACTGAGGCATTGAATCGGGCTTTCCAAAGCCGACACGAACTTGCCCCTCCGGTCCAATGGTGCCAAAGCCAAGTCGACAAGCCAAGCGTCCGACAATGTCGTCTCTTGCACGCACGGCATCGACGATGTCGACGTAGTTGATAAAGGCACATGCTTTCTCCGGAACCATGCGGAAAGTCTCGATGGGCCCGTAAGGTGAGAAGGACTGCAACAAGTCCTGGCTGGTAGCATCTGGACGGAGGTGACCTATCCATAGTGAGCGAGTGGGCTGGGCAAAGGGCGAGCTTGTGCCTGATCTGGTGCTTGCTTTCTGCTGTTGCAAAGGGGCAGACGAGTACATGTCGAGCGATGGAAGCGACTCGACGAGTCCGGAAGAGCTCGGGCGTGTTTGTGCTTGTGGGTCCCTTGCCATGAGAGCTTCATACTGGATCTGCGTCATGCGTAAGAGCTCCTGTTCCGCCCTAGCTCGTCCTCCAGGACCCGAGAAGGCTGCAATGGTGCCTGCGCGGTTTCGTCCGTTGACCAAGAAGGCAGATAGGTCGTTCTGTGTGTCCAGGTGGGAAGCTAGGCTGCCCGAGGGGAGGATGAGGTTGAGGTTGCCTGCAGACGCCGGTGATGTCAAGCTCGAATCAAAGGCGCTGTGTGGTGCGCTGGGATTGTTTGGGAGACCGACAGGCTGCTGACGATTCAAAGGAGTACGGGGGTTGGGCTGGTCAAGGACACCCATGCTGGTTGCTCTCGGTCGCGAGGCATTGGTGGGACTGCGATCGTTGTTCATGTCTGCTGCGTATTGAGATGATGCAGGCTTGTACTGATGCAGACGGTTGTGGAGTGCAGTGTTGAGCAGCGAGGAGTGAGGTGCGTTTCCAGGATAAGGGCTTTGCGATCCGGAGAGGTTGCCGGATCTGTTGAGGTTGGAGCCATGTGGTGGTTGAGGCGATGTCTCGGCGGTTGCCTCTGCAGTGCTGAATGCAAATGAGGGCAGATAGCTGCTGCTGCGTGCACGTCCTTCGCCGTTATTGAGCCTTGGCCGCAAGTGTTGTCCAGCGAGGGTGGATGATCGATTGCGAAGCTGGGCAGATGCTAGGTAAGCATCGGCGTCGGTATAGCTGAAATCGGACTCGGTCGTTGTTTCCGAGCTGGGATTGGTGTTGCTGTTGGGACTATGTGGACTGGATCCGGATAGGCCGAGATACTGGAGCATGTCGGCATTGACGAGAGAGAAACGAGGACCACCATCATTGTTGTACTGGTCAGTGGAGCGGTATTGTGATTCGTCTTCCGCCGCAACTGATGTCACATTGCTCAGGCCAGACCGTGTGGGCTGCCAGTTTGATGAAAAAAACGAAGGACCAAAGGGATTGGCAAGGTTTGCTGTTGGCAGGGTAAGCGATCCAGATCGAAGACGATTGGAAGAAGCTGGAGGAGCTCGGCCTGTGGCAAGTTGGGACTGTTGGTTGGAAGCAGGGAGCTGCGAAGCCGAGTTGACTCTGGCGAGATCAGTCAAGGGTGGAGCTTGGGCACGCAGAGCGTGACTGGAATGAATGTGTGGGAATGGAGACTGGCGGTGTTGGATGGCAGGCGGTTGATAGCCGGGCAGAGAATCACCCCAACTGGAGGGAAGAGTGCCTGCTCGAGCTCTGCCTCGGGCGGAGCGGCTGGGATGGGTGGATTGGACGATAGGGTCGGACTCATTGGCGATGCTGGCGGTGCGATATGGTGGTTGAGACATGAAAGCTTCTTCAGCTTGGAGCTGGAGTGTTCTCTTGGACATGATCGGAGACTGAGAGGTGGAAGCACCGTCGCCGTAGCGGTGATCGTGCATAGTGGTGCGCGGAGGGCAGCTGCTTGAAACTACCAAAATCAGAGCGAGATTGACATGACCTGATCCGAAAGCTTGCTGTAGCGGCGATGAGGAGAATGGATATCTGTAGCTGCAGAAGGCGATGGGAGCGAGGCGGAGGCGGAGGCCGATGAGCCTTTCCACGGCGGTACGCAAGCTGGATCCTTGGACAAACAGGTGAAATCAGGGGTGGCGATCGAGCCTATCCTGGGTATTGATGTCGACTTGGGAGCTGTATAGCCTTGGTAGCTGTATAGTCTTGTAGTATGTAGAACGCCGATGGTGCGGTGTGACAGCAAAGTGGTCCGTTTGCGTGGCGTGGTGGGATGGTGCTCCAGATCAGTCGGTGGCCTGTATGTATTGAAGACGAGGAGATGCAGAGGAGTGATGACGATGACGATGAGCGGCGATGATGGTGAGCAGGGATCAGAGCATGGTTGGTTGCGTGAAGGATGGACAGAGAGGGACTGTGCCGAGGCTGGAATAGACTGTGACAGCGCAATCACTGCTCTTTCCAAGTGGAGAGAGAAGAGAGAGAGAGAGAGAGAGGGATTGGACTGTTTCACTGATTCTCAGTCTTCAACACGCGCCTCATAATTCCAATCAATTTGCCAGCCATTTCTCACCAACTCCAGCCTGAGGCGATGACGGCGGCTAAGTAAAAAAGAAATCCTTTTTTTTCCGAAGATTTCATATTTCTGGCTCGTGCGCATCCTTGCAAGCTCGTCTTTTGTTGTGTGGTCCTGATTTCATCCCCATCCCGATCCATCTGTTGTTGTGTGGCCCCGATTTCATCCCCATCCCCATCCCGATCCATCTGTTGTTGTGTGGCCCCGATTTCATCCCCATCCCCATCCCGATCCGTCTGTTGTGTGTTGTAGTAGATTGGCAAGCAGCGAGGAGAGTGGAGCTTGCAATTGTCCTTGCAACCGACCACCCACACAACCTCACCACATGCTCATTTCTAACAGAGTCGACGTCGGTTTATTGCACAGGAACGTCACATTTCCACGCCCCATCTAGTCTCGGCGACACTTGATTCTCGGCGACACTCGGTTGTGCAATGAGGAACAAGATGGCTCCAGCACGTGGATTGAGTTAGGGGCGGTGCATGGAAGCGGCAGTGAGCTTGTCGTCTTTTGAAGGTGTTAGATTGCATCGCCGACGAAAAGTCATGATCCGTGATTCCGTGATTCCGTGACTCTGTGATTCCGTGACTCTGTGATTCCGTGATTCGGCGAGGGCTTGGGTTGTTCAGCCAATGGCTAAGGAAAGAAGAAGGCCAAGAAAAGAAGCTCTGAAAGCATTTTGAGCGTTTGTGTGCGTGTGTGTGCGTGTGTGTGCGTGTGTGCGTGTGTGTTCTGTCTTTTGTGCTCAGATCTTCAGGTTAGAATAGTTGTAGTTTTCGTATGATTGATGATGATAGTGGGAGAGAGAGAGAGCGAGGAGTGAGAAGGAGTCTATATATATACAAAAGAGGAGCAGCAGAGAGCCACATCGACTGCAGAGCAAAACAAAGCATTTGCCTTGAGTAGGTTGTGACACATGTGGCCTGTGCTTGGATGCTCAAGCCTTTTACTCAGCTGTAAGCACTACCTTCACAGTCTCTATGCTTTGTGTAGCTTTTATCTACTTCAACTCCCCCCCTCAACAGCATATGTACCCTGTTCATTATGCTGTTGTTTCAAGGTATGTCCTTCATTCTTTAACACCATCGCATAGCTCGGGGACTCCATTTCATACACCACTGCCAGTATTTGCAGGTGTAGCCCAGATCTTGCTTGCTGCATTGCCTGTCTCCTGATTGGCTTTGTGAGTACATCTGCCAGATTTCTTGTGGTGTCCACATACTTGATCTGCACCCTTCCCTCTTGGACATTGTTACAGATGAAGTGATACTTGGTGTCAATGTGCTTAAGCTTCCAGTGCTGTGCTGGGTCTTTACTAACCTGTATGCAACCAGTGTTGTCTTAGTAGACTGTTGGGGTGCCTGTGGCAATGCCAATCGAGCATAGCAGCTGCTTGAGGAAGAGCACCTCATGTGTTGCTTCCATGGCTGCAATGAACTCTGCCTCAATGGCAGACAATGATATGCATTTTTGTGTTGCTGACTTCCAGGCTACTGGGTTCCCATACACTAATGCCACTGACCCCAATGTACTCCTTCTCTGTATGGTGGCATCACTCACCCAGTTTGCATCACTGTGTGCGATCAGTGGCTCTTGCAACATATCTCCCCTATAAACTAATCCAACTTTCTTTGTGCCTTTGAGGTAGCATAAGACCCATTGTGCTGCCTGATAATGCTCTTGTGATGGTTCATGCATGTGTCTAGCGAGGATGCTCATGGTGAGGCTAAGGTTGGGCTGGGTGCTGTTGGCAACCCAGAGCAGCTTGCCAACAATCACCAGATACTCCTTCTGTTGTGCTGTGCTTGCGACAAGGGTTCCCTCTGGTATGCTCTGCATTGGAACCATGGTTGGCTTGGTGCATTTGTCCAGGTGCTTAGCCAGCACTTGGTCAATGTACCCTGACTGACCAATCGTCATGCTGTGCATCACACAGTTTCAACTGATTTTGATGCTGAGGAAGTGAGAGACCTCGCCACTATCTTCCATCTTCCATCTCTGACCAATCTGCTTCTTAACCTTTAGGACTGTTTCCAGCCATGTGTCAGGGGTCTCGCGCCTGAAACCCAGGTCGGTCTGTCGAGATACTCGGTGACTATCAAACTGTGCGACAGCTATTGTCTCGAGATACTCGGTGACTATCAAGTTGTGCAGTGACAGCAGGTGGCGTTTGTTGTATATACTATCGTAGGTTTCGGCTGACCTCTGTGGACACTCCGTTCAGGGGTAGCTCGGCACGATCAATATCAATGTTATGATGACACCAAGGTCTGGTGTGCGTGTTGATGATGATGAGGTTGATGGTGTTGGTGATGAGATTGGTGATGTCGATGATAATGAGGTTGATGGTGTTGGTGATAAGGTTGGTGGCGTCGATGATAATGAGGTTGATGGTGTTGGTGATAAGGTTGGTGGCGTCAACACGAGTGTCCAGTGTGTTGACTTGATGCTTGAAGTGATCCCCGGACCGCAGTGGACTACTGCCTTCGGTTCTATCTATATCCGGACCGCTAACCTGCTATGGGCGCCTTCGGACGTCAGGTAGTGGTGATACAACACACACACTACGATGAGGAGCAACCTTGATAGATTGCTGCTATGCTGACTGAAACTAATGTATACTTATGCTGAAGTGATAACTAGTTATGGTGAGTAGAGTGGATGAGGATCCACTCGACCTATTGATGAGAAAGCATGGTTATATACCTCTTCTCAGCATCGCCAGCGATGCTGCTCCTGCTCTCTCTCCAGAGAGTACCTTCTTCATCGAGTACTGCTCAGGGGCCTCTCCTGCTTGGCACCCCTGTGCCTCTTGAGCTGTGTCGACTCCTTCGACACTGCTCCTCCTCCTTTGATCAGTGACAGTTCCTTTGGCTCTTGTCTCTCGAGCCCCTGAGTGGTAACCATCTGCATGCTCCTTGAGCTTGGTCCTCTTCGTGGCTGTGCCTGCTCCTTGAGCTTGGTCCTCCTCGTGGCTGTGCCTGCTCCTTGAGCTTGGTCCTCCTTGTGGCTGTGCTTGGCCCTCCTTTGCATGTGAGTCCATAGGAGTCCATGGTCTCCATGGGGACTGCACTACGACCATGCTCTCTACTGGTGTCGACTAGTTCTTCGATACCTGTGCTCCTTCCATATGAACCCATGACCCTCCTGCTTCTTGAGCATCCAGGCCCATGACACCATGGTGCTATGACTAATGTATCATTGACATAGATGACCACAATGGCCATATCTTTGCCCTGTCCCTTGGTGTAGATGCAGGGAGTGCACTCTACCTGGAAGAATCCCATGCATCACAAAGACCTGTCAAACTCCTGGTTCCATTCTCACCCAGACTGCTTTAGGCTGTACAGGCCCTTGACCACTTTGTATACCTGTCCAGGTGCTACTCCTGATCCCTCTGGTGGTTTCATATAGATTACTTCTTTTAACCTGGAGTTTAAGTAGGCCATCATGATATCCAGTGCATGCACCTCCCAGTCATTCTGTACTGCTAGTGCTAGGATAGCTCTGATTGCTCCAAGGGGTGCTACTGGAGAGAAGGTTTCCTGGTAGTCAATTCCCTCTCTCTGTGTGAAACCCCTCACAACCAGTCATGCCTTGTGCTTTATGGGCACACCATCAGCATCAAGCTTTAGCTGAAGCACAACCTTAGAGTCCATGAGTGGTACTCTTGGCAGGTGATTCACCACCTCCTAAGTCCCCATTGCCTCGAGTCCTTCCAGCTCTTTTCATATTGCCTCCCTCCAGAGCTGGGCATCCTCACCATTCATTGCCTCTCCAAGTGTTGGGTCCATGTTCAGCACTGCTGTGTTGGCAGTGCCTACTGTGCTGTCCATGGCTGGCAGAAGGTCCTCCACCACAGCCTCTGATCTGGTCTCCTCCTCCACTGTGGTTGGTGCAGCACCCTCCTCCTCAACTTCCATGGGCTTGCATGCCTCCTGCTAGCAATCACTCCATCCTTTGTCTTCATGGAATGTTGCTGAGTTGCTCCATTGAATTGATGTGGGCTGGTCCAGGTTGCAGAACTTCCACACCTTATGTTTGTCATCATACCCAATCATGATGGCTGGTTTTGCTCTAGGTCTGTACTTGCCTTGCTGATCCTTCCATTGGATGTGGACCCATGCCAGGCACCCAAAAACTCGCAGCTGTTGGGCCAGTTTGTGTGCAGTGGTTCTGTAAAAGGCCTTGTAGGGAATGGTCTTGGTGGCTGACAGGGTGAGGTTCATCACATGCACCACTGCTGTGATTGCATATGGCCACAACTCTCTGGGGCAAGCTTGACCAATCAGCATTGAGCACATCTTTTCTTGGACCAACCTGATTGCTCTCTCCACCTGTCCATTCTGGATGCTGATCCCCAGAATGCTCTTTTGCCACTTGAAACCCTCCTGAGTTTGCCAGTCTTCAGCTTCTAAGCTGCACCACTCTCCTCCATTGTCACTGCAGAGTGTTTTGAGTTTCCTGCCCATTGCTCGTTCCATCCTGGTAACCCACCTTCTCAGTGCTGTGAGTGCAGCACTCTTAGTGCAGAGTGGTTCTGTGTAGATCAGGGAGGAGAAGTCATCCACAGCAACTAGTGCATAGTGGTAGTTGGCATGGCCCTTAAGATCTGTCATCAGATCTACATGTACTAGCTCTAGTGGCACCTCTGCTCTTTTCAACTCTGATTGGCTCATCTGCACTTGGGTCTGTTTCCCTTGACTGCATGCATTGCAGTGCTTCGATTCATGCTCCATTTTCTCACCAGTACCAAGGTAGTGTGCCTGGATTTGCCTTGTCTTATCTCGTCCCAGGTGTCCAAACCTCTCATGCCAGAGGTAGCTGTCCTGATCTCCTGTGTTCTTACCATCCTCTGGGACATTGTTGTGTCTTCCTGTGTTCTCATTGTCCTCTGGGACATCATTGAGAGTCTTCTCCAGCTCCAAGGCTAGTGCTTGTCCTCACACTTTGAAGTGGCCTTGTCTCCTGTTCCTCCTGAATTGCACTTGGGTACCATCATTCTGCTTTATGGTAGTCCCGAACTCATCAAAGGTTACTCATGCACTGTTCTCGATCAAGCCTTGTATGGACAATAAATTAGAATTGAGCTTTGGCACATAGAGCACATCCAATAGCTGGATGGTAGCCTCACCAACCTGAAGGGAGGCATCTCCTATGGCTTTTACCTGAAGCTTTTCATCCCCTGCCATACTGATCTGACCATCCTTGCTCGTCGAGGTGAGCAGCATCCTCTCATCATTTACCATATGATGGGTCACACCTGAATCGACAATCCAGGTGTTGCATGCTGATCACTCTTCCCCATCAATCGCTAGGAAGGTGCACCTGAGTTCCTAGTGACTCAGTTCTTGTGTTGCACAAGTAGCAGGTTTGCTCATGGTTGATGTAGGATTGTTTGTGCAATTTCGAGCAATGTGATTGGGTCCTCCACAGGTGTAGCATCTTGGAGGGGCTGAGGGGTTGTGCAGATCACACCTCCCCCTGGGCCTCTGCTCCACCTGACCAGTGGCCCCTTGCTCCATGCTCATAGTGACCCTGGCTGCTCCTCTGATGTGACCCGATAGCTTGCCATCTTGCTGTTTCTTCACAAGTGCATGGTAAGCTTCATTGTACTTACAGTCTGGTTTGGCCATCTTGAGTGCATTGACAGAGTTAGCATAGAACCAATCCTGAGCTGTACAGCAGTAAAGGGTGGACTTCTTGAGGTCTTTGTCGAAATGTTTCCCTAGGCACACTGCATCATTCCAAATGGAGTCAAGTTCCTTGCCTAGTCTGATGACATCCTGATTGTACAGTCATATGGTGTGGATGCAGTCCTGCAGGCCTGCTCACTTCACCACGTCATTCAATGTTAGTGCCTTCCTAAGCTTAGCATAAAGTGTACTTCCAAGTTGGACCTCCTCATCTGCACCCCTGATGGTGTATGTGTCAATGTGGCTTTCTGGACTGTGATCACAGCAAGCATGGATGAGGCCTACCAGTGCCTTGTCCAGGTCCTCATTGTATCCCTCACTTCCAGGTGCTATTTTGCCATATAAGATTTCCTTTGCATTACATACCCATTGCAGACAGTTGATAAAGGTAGGCTCCCAGGTATGCCAGTTGTTATCACTGAGCTTCTTGATGTGTGCAATGGCACTCGAAATGTCCTTGGGAATCTTCTCCACCTCCCCTTTTGGAGCTTGACTGCTAATGCTGATGAGGCTCATCACTTGTACAATTGCTTCCTCCACTGTCAATGCCAGGTTTGCCAACTGTAAGATCCTTACTACCTGTGTGAGCCAACCCTCCTTGCAACCATTGCCTGCAGTGGCGGCCGCTTGATCATCATCTCTCTCCTCCCTTCCTGTCTGTCCTGCTCGTGTTGATGGGGGCATTATACTTGCCATCGGACTCTTGATGTGTCAATGTCGTGCTGGATGTCACCATGAATGTCGTGGGTTCGAGCCCCACGTTGGGAGCCAGTTGTAGTTTTTGTATGATTGAGGATGATAGTGGGAGAGAGAGAGAGCGAGGAGTGAGAAGGAGTCTATATATATACAAAAGAGGAGCAGCAGAGAGCCGCATTGACTGCAGAGCAAAACAAAGCATTTGTCTTGAGTAGGTTGTGACACATGTGGCCCGTGCTCAGATGCTCAAGCCTTTTACTCGGCCGTAAGCACTACCTTTGCGGTCTCTATGCTTTGTGTAGCTTTTATCTACTTCAACTAGAATTTCAGAGTTGCGATATCCATCAATCAGCTTCGATTTTCCCCTCTGTCTGTCTCTTTGTCATTTTACCGTTGGCAAAGCAAAATTGCTTCGTATTCCACTTTGTCACTCTTATTTTCTTTTCTCTTTTCTCTTTTCTCTTTTCTCTTTTCTCTTTTCTCTTTTCTCTTTTCTATTTTCTTTTCTTTTTCCATTTCTTCACTTTCACCTTACCCAAACCTGAGGCCGCGGCCAGTGCTATTCTGCCCAGCCTGCTGAGCTTCCTTTCACCTGTGACGACTGTGACAGTAAACCATCAGTGCCGCGGCGGCCGCGCCAATTGTTGGTTGGATTCTTCCTTCTTGGGCTCAGAAGTGCGGTCGAGTGGCTGGTTCGGCTAGCTCTCCTTTCTGCTTCAAGGCCTCTTCTTGATCCTCTCAAAGCACCTTACGCTCCCGCCATCTCACACACCACCATCTCACACATCGACAGTCTTTCTCACTTGCTATCATCCACAATCATCCTTTCATCGCTTGTGACAACCGCTTCAATCACCTCATCTATACACTCTTCCCTCTCCTTGTTGCTTCGACTCGACTCGCAGCGCTTCGCTCTCTCTGCACATATCAGCACGCGCTTCGATCCACCCACTTTCACCTACAGTCTCGGCTTTTCTTGCCCACAGAACCTTCTTCCACTCAGCCAGAACTCAGCTTTCACAAAACTTGATCTTTCCTCTTCTTTTGTCGCTCGATTTCATCACCCACTCATCACGGATCGCTTGCAGCCGCTTGCTTCTCTTCCACACACACCGTCCATCACAAGACAACAACAACAACAACCACAACTACTACACAAAAGGGCTACTTGCAGCCGTCAGCTTCTGTCAAGCCTCGGATTGATAACAGCCGGCATCGCTTCGTTGCTTTGCATCTCTTTGCCTCGGAAGCTTTAGTCGCCGGCGGATGATGAACGTCCCCTCTTGTTTGGCTTGATTGAGCGTTGGTGTATCACCCTGACATCAATCGCTCTTGCTCTCGACGACATCCTATTAGCTCACCTTGCGGCCGTCTCTCAATCTAGCTCCACTATCACTAGATCAGTCGCTTTCCTCCCGCCTCCCCATCTCATCAAAGGTCATGACCGCCACTAGAGCTCGTACCGAACTCGCTGCTTCTGCACCACGGAACGTCAAGGTTGTAGCCCCAACTCAAGAGTCGGCATCGGCACCGGCACCGGCACCGGCACTGGCACTGGCACTGGCACCCCTCGACGCCGATAACTCCAACGATCAGACTCGCGCTCGTCGCACCACCACTCGAACTCGCAAGCTACCCAGCCGTCTTCTTCCATCTCCCTCGCCACCTCCTTCCCGTCCATCCTCCCAGTACAACGCTAACAAGCAGAGCAAAGGAGGAAAGGATGCGACCGAGCCTTCTGCAGCTTCGCCTCTCACGACATCAACTCCCTCGTCTCTCACTCCTGCCTCCAAGCTTCGCAAGGCAAGCAGGTCAGATGTCGACAGCACCAGCTCGCAATTCGACACCCCAGCTGACAAGGACGCCAACCTCAGCTCTGAAGATCTCGGCCTTGGCAAGCGCAAGCGTCGTCCCAGCAGCATGTACAAGCCACCCTCGACATTGACCACCGTCGAGACACCTTGGCCTGCTTCAGCTGTTTCAGCATCCAAGTCCAAGAAGAAGGGCCGCAGCACCAGCCCAGAAGCTCCAGCTCAAAAGGGCCAGTCTCCTTCCCTCGCCCTTGCACAGTCTAGGTTGAAGAGCCGCCTCTCGAAGAGCAAGTCGGATGCTCAAACCCCATCATCCTCCAACCCTCTCGAGGCTGTGCCTGGCGATATAGACGACTCGGAAGCAGAGCTTGAGCCTAGCATCTACTCGACCGCTTCCAAGAGATTGCGCATTGGTCAAGACGACGACGACTCGATGCATCTCTCGCCTCCGCCTCTTCTGCCTCGTGATGGCTCCCTCCGAGTTCGCATGCCTACCAACTTCACTCAGCCAACCTTCATCCGCGGTGGCCGGGTCAGCCTCTCGCCCGAAGCATCCGCCAAGAGGCCCATCAAGTTTGCCATTCGCCAGTTCAGCCGTCCAGCTCTCCAGACCGACGAGGCCAGTCAGCTTCCCCGCCCCACCAAGGTCGACGCCCATCACAGTTGGAAGCACGCCGACATCATGTCCTCGTCGCCCATCTCGGCTGCCATCTCCAAGTTCGACAACGACTCAAGCATGCCTTTGACCTATCTTCCCTTCCGATCTGCCACACGCAGCCCGGCTGGCTTCCGTCACATGCACACTACTCCTTTCGCCGTCGATGAGGACGACGAGCAGGCAGATGACGATGAAGACGACGACGAAAACGACTTCCATCAAGCTATGCTGGATGCCGACTTTGACTTGTTCGACTCGCAAAAGTCTGACTCGAATGCAGCTAAGCCTATGTGGTCTGCTGCTTCCCCTCGCGCCACTACTGAGGATGCAGAGATGGATGACACTCCCGCTACCACACCTCGAACCACACCTCCAAGTCCTCAGTCTGGCTGCGATCTGCCCTCTCCCGGCAGTCCTCGCTTCAAGAGGGAGGAAGATGCAGGTCAGTCCACCACGGAGAGCAAGCCTTTGTCCTTCAGCGCCGGTCGAGACTCGGTCTTCGTTCACGCTCTGCCCACTGCTCAAGTCGGAGCTGACAAGCCGCACCAGCATGCAGGCTCGCTCACTCTGTCGCTGCCTTACAGTCCTGCTGTAGCTGTCTCGTCGCCTCAGTTGCGAGCCATGGACATTGACGCCGATGCCGCTTCGCTTGTCGCCCGACCAAGTGCCAAGAAGGCCACTTCGGACTCCAACCAGATGCGCACGCCCGTGTTGCAGAGACGCAAGCACGCTAGACTGCCCGCGGGTCCGCATGGTCTTGCCCCGCTCAAGCTTGGTTCTGACCTCATGGAGCGAGGTGCATCCAACACGGCTCCTTACATGCAGCTTTCACCCATGATCGAGATCGAGTCGCCTCTGCTCAGTCCAGCACTGTCTTTGAGCCTGCACACCAAGGGCAACGACTTGCCCAGCCCATTCATCATGGGCATTGGGACGCTGCCTGACCTCGAGCAACCAGCTCCGCTCGACCTTGCTCCTGCAGACGGTTCGACGACGCCCAAGACAAGCAGTCCCATGGTGATGCTTCCGGCTGCACCCAAGCTGGATCTCGCCCATTCGGCTCCTCTCAAGGACAAGACTGCATCCAGTGACCCGGAAAAGAAGGCCAGCGTCGAGCCTAGCAACGAGGTTGCCAAGGTCGACAAGCCAACGCCTCGACGCCCTGCGCTGCCTCCTCCTCGTCAGATTCGCTTCACCACCTTTACCACTCCATCGGTAGAGTCGAGTGAGAGCAAGACTCAGCAGCCGTCGCAGCCTGACCTCGCCAAAACAACGGTACCCGCCGTTTCTACCCAGCAACAGCAGACATGGCAGCATCAATCCAAGAGCGCCGGTGCCTCAAGCACCAGCTGCAAATCTGATTCGACTCCTGATCTGCTTCACTCTGCTTCCTCTTCGCCTGACTCGGCATCGGATTCGCCCAGCCCAATGTCGCAGGCAGATTCGACTGCTTCTGGCGACGCCCAAGTGGAGACCATCCTATTCGGCCCACCCGAGAAGCTCGATTTGCACGAGCTCGACCATGCTTGGGGTGGCAACAAAGCTGCTCAGCACCAAGCCGCTTTGCATCGAGCCAAAGTGTCCCAGACGCAGATTCACCACGTCGATCTCAACGTCGCTCAATAAACGACCCAATCCTCACTCTTCGACCTAGTCTCGGCTTATTCTCCCTCAAAGAAGTTAACCTTGTACAACAGATCAAGTATTGGGCAGCCCTGATACTTGTGACCACATCGGGAGAAAAAAAAAAAAAAAAAAAAAAAAAAAAAAAAAGAAAAAAAAAAAAAAAAAGAAAAAAACCGATAAGGATGGTGGACCAACACCATCATCATGGATGGTCAATACGACCATATGTTGATCCAGAAAAGACGCTTTCTCTCCATTTATCAAGCCTGTAACAACACCGCTTTTCGCTATTATACTTGTTTCTTTGTTCAACAACTTTTGTGCTGTTCTGTTCTCTTGTTGATTGTTGATATCACCACCACTTGTTCAGTACCGCCACTTCCGGCTCTTGTAGGAGAAGCAAAATACAATTTCAATGCGCCCCTTATCTCTGACTTACGCTAACTAATTTGCGCATAAAAAAGGGGCAGCCAAGCGAGATTGCGGGGACAGAGAGGGGTGTTGTAGTTGAAGTAGATAAAGCCGCACAAAGCGTGGAGACAGTGAAGGTAGTGCTTACGGCCGAGTAAAAGGCCTGAACATCTTAGCACGGACCACATATGTCACAACCTACTCAAGGCAAATGCTTTGTTATGCTCCGCAGTCAATGCGGCTCTCTGCCGCTCTTCTTTTGTATATATAGACTCCTAGCTCTCTCGCTCTCTCTCTCTCCTATCATCATCATCAACAAGACGCCTCAACTCCAACGCACTGACGAATGACTTTAACTGTTGTGTTCTTATTTGGTGTGTGTGTGTGTGTGTGTGTGTGTGTGTGTTTGTGTGGAGGTTTGTGTGTGGAGGCGAGAGTCGTCATTTCACTCTGTGATTGCCAAAATGGCTCAGTTCGGACCTTTGTCTCTCTTTGTGGGTAACCATCAGCACTTATCCCTACCATCTCATCATCATCCTTTACATCTAGCAGATAGCATACCATCCTTACCATTCCGTCCAACGGAACGACTTTGGCCAGATTGCAAAGGACGACCGGCACACAAGACATGCCGATCTGCAATACAAGTTCAATCAACAAACTCGGCATCACGTTTCACATTCGTATGGCTTGCTCGTCATAGCGGCTTGGCCAAGGTCGAAAATCCCACACAATATGTCTTCCGCTCATAGTAGATACTTGCTTCTAGCTGCCTGCCTCCTGCTCTCATTATGGACAGTGGATGCAGTGATGGTAGAAGCGCTGGTCCCGCCAAGATCGCACCAGCTATCGCCACTAGCATTTGAACAGCCTTTCACCTTATCATCATACCTTCAACGACTGTTCGGTACCACTCTCAGCTCCTACCTCCGACCCACCGGAATCACCAAGCCACCAGCGGCAGTGGGCATCAAGACATTCGGATTGAGAGAAGCCTACCATCAAGGACTTGGCGACAAAGCATACCAACGAGCCAAAACACGCTTCCATTTTAGCATCACCGCCGACAACATTCAAGCAAGCTCCTCAAACCCGGACTACATCCCAGCCATCCAAACAGTTCGTCAGAGCATCACTCGAGCCAAAGATGCTCGAAAGTATCTCGAGCTTCGCGGAGAATCGTACAAGGATGCTGTCTGCGCCTCTTCCACCGAGCTTGATTGGGAGGATGTTGATGTGGAAGCACCCGATGTCACCGATCGTACCACCGTGCTAGCTTTCGCAAAGATGGCAGCATCGGCGTACAGGAACGACACATCTAGTTGGGATGGCCAAGGTGGATTTGACCCGACCAACTCTTTCGGTTGGGAAGGGGATGGTATTCGAGGACACATCTTTACCACACACGACAACGATACCATCGTAGTAGCCCTCAAAGGCACCTCGAATGCCTTCCTCGGCGGTGGTGATACAGCACGTCGGGATAAGATGAACGACAATCTCCTCTTCTCTTGCTGTTGTGCACGTGTTTCTTGGTCATGGTCAACCGTATGCGATTGCTATCAAGGGCATGGTGATTCTTGTGGACAGACATGTTTGGAACGTGCATTGATGGAAAAGTCGTTGTACTATCCTGCGATTACGGAGTTGTACAACAACATTTCGTACGCCTATCCTGATTCGCAGATCTGGATTACCGGTCATAGTCTTGGTGGCTCACTCTCGTCGTTGTTGGGTATGACATTCGGAGTGCCGACGATTACCTTCCAAGCACCTGGCGAACGTATGGCTGCAATGCGATTGCATCTCCCTCTTCCACCGGCGAAGAATGCAGATGAAAGCCCAGTATCAGCACTTCCAATCGTACACGTCTACAACAACGCCGATCCAATCGCTACAGGTCAGTGCAACGGTGCAGCAAGCCTCTGCTCCAGCTTGGGCTATGCGATGGAATCCAAATGTCATGCCGGAAAGAGTATCGTTTATGATACAATCGGAAAGTTGGGTTGGTCACAGACGATTAATGCTCATCGGATCAATGAGTTGATTACTGATGTACTGTCCGAGGATTGGAGTGAGAAGCTTAAGAAGAAGAACAACAACAACCTTGACGCTAAATCGAAACAGATTGAGGCCCACAAAGGGGACAACGTGGGGACAAACGGTTACAGATGGCCTTGGCATAGAGGAGAGCATGTTGATGATGGCGGTGATACAGATAAGGATACTGATCAAGATGATAGGTTGGCAGTACCCAGGGCGAGATCGGAGGATAAGTGTAGGGATTGCGACAGTTGGCATTTCACCGATGACCATAAGGATCAGCAGGGCTCTTTGTAATGTTCCAACGAACCTGCCTCGGCCTGTTGATCGCCATTGCTTCTTGTTCCTCTGTCAGACCCTACTGTACAGTGGTTGTGGCGAGGTATGTGTGTGTGTGGGCTTCTCAGCCCAAAGAGAAAGCGGTCCAGGGCAGTGCTGTGCTGTGCTGTGCTGTGCTGTGCTGTGTTTTAAAATATTGACTGCACGGGATTGAGTTGCAAAATTAAAGGCACCGTGCACTCTTGCACTGCCGCCTGAAGCGTGTGTCGTTCTGCTGGGCTGCCTTTTTGGTGAAGTCTTGTTTGGCGTTTGGTTCGACGCAACACCACCATCAGCTTTGGGTCTTGCTGAACGTCGTACTGCCATCATTGTCGTTTCCTCGCTGCTCGATATACCTTTACACCACCTTCGAAACGAGAATTCCGACATCTCCTCCTCCACCGCGCAACGCACACTCGCATAGTGGCAACAAAGGACCAAGGTGCACGCGAACAGCAACTTGACATGGACCCTGGACGATTCTAAATCGTACGTCGAACCAAGACAACGGCTTCGCTGGTCGACGTCGTTACTACCATCCTAGCGGTCTAGTAAGGCATCGCTCCTACCTACACAGCACGCACATCTGCTACCCTCACTACACAGACTGTAGACTTTACATCGATACCCCTTGTGCGACCCTTTGGTAGGATCTCTTGCACCATGTCCAACCTGTACTACCCACAACAGCCACGTCGGCAACCAGCCTATGAAAACCCCCTTCACCAACAACAATCGCAATACACATACGCCAGTTGCGATGGCGGCCGCTATCCATCCTATCGCTCGCCACAACCGCAATCTCACCCTTTGGAATTGGTCTCCTCTTCATCCCATACGGGCATGCTTCCCGCATCCACCTCTACCGATGGTATTGATTACCACCACTACCACTCGGCTCCAACACCGTACCACGACCCATACGCAGCTCTAACTGCCCACAACGACCGCCTCGGACCCAGCGTATCCAAGGAACATCTGGTAAAGCCTAGTTTTCACTCCAAAGACCTTGCTCAATCCACTTCCGACATTAACTACGATGCCACACTCGGCGCTGGTGCAGGCTACACTCATTACACTCTTTCCAAAGACTCGGACACCGGTCGAATCGGCTTTGGTAGGGGACATCGAATAGAAGCAACTGATGGCTTACTTCCCGATACCGCTCCGGATATGCATCGTTTAAACCGGCAACAGAAAGAAATCATGAAACAATTCCCTCCCGACCTCGACGCTCCAGGTGGTGGCAAGTCTGGCCTTCAAGCGGCAAAAGACTTGCTCAAAGATTACAAGTGTTGGTTCAAGTTCAAGTATCTACACTGGTGGTTTATGCTAGTGGTGGTAATTGCAATTGTAGCTCTAACTACGATCTATCATAAACAGATAGTCGATTGGCTTACGCCGATAAGTAGAAAAGTGACTACCGTCGCTTGGGGTTGGATCGTCCCCGTTGCTATTTTGTTCATCATCTCTTTTCCTCCCTTGTTCGGACACGAGATCGTCCTGATTCTCGTAGGTCTCGTTTATGGTATTTGGATAGGCTTCGGAATAGCCTCTCTGGGAACGCTTTTGGGCGAAATCGGTAACTTTTACGCCTTTAAGCATTGTCTTCGCAGCACAGCTGCTAGATATGAGAGGAAGAATATTCATTATGCCTGTATGGCAGAAATGGTCCGTGATGGAGGCTTCTGGGTTATGTTTCTTGCTAGGTTGAGTGCTATTCCGGGACACTTTACTACTGCCGTATTTGCGACGGTGGGGATGAATGTCTTCATTTTTACTTTGGCTGCAGTGTTGGCATTGCCGAAACAGTTGTTGATTGTTTATTTGGGTGTTGCCATTAAGAACAGTGGCGATGGTAAGGAGGATATGAAGAGTAAAATTATAAAGTATGTAGTCTTGGTCCTTAGTTTTATCATCACCCTTTGGACTGCTTACTGGTTGTATCAGAGGATGGAGAACATTAGACCTGCAGTGAGTGGCAAGTTGAGGCAGAAGAGGTATGAGTTGTTGCTTCAGGCGAGGACACCGGGGACGGAGGCCTATAGTGGACCGAGAGAGTGGGAGCAGCAACATCAACATGCTTATCCGCCCAGTAGCCTTGGTGCAGGCGGAACCGGGGTGGATGCTAGTTATGCTTATCGACAGCCGCAACAGCCTAGAACGGACGAGATGTATAATCGTCCTGGTGGTCCGCAACCGGGAGATTATTCCACCGAATCATACCATCCTTCTCACCCTATCCCTCCTGCTGGATCGCTGCAGCACCATGGTCAAGCGATCTCGCAACCGCAACAGCGTCGTATATCATACGAGCCGGATTCAACCGGCACCTTCGCCCAAGTGCAGGGTCGACAAGCAATAACGGCACCAATGCAATTCCATCGGCCCTTAGCTCGCAAAACCACAGCCTCTCCCCCTACATCCCCTTTCCGCGATCCACCAAGCGATGGCTTCACCCATCGCCACCCACCCGCGCAAAGGAGGGAAGAAGGGTTACAACTAGAATCAGTGCCTCTCACCAACACACAAGGCGAATGGGCAAGCAACTCGAGCCTAGCACCAAGTCCAGTCGAAGGACCGCCTCCAGAATACGCTTCCTTCCCCCCTAGCAGTCATGGGCATACACAACTACAGAATAGCTGCAATAGTGCCGCAGCAACAGAAGCGGCAAGAGCAGATGCTGGTGTACAGAGATATCATCTTTCCGACTAAAAAAAACCTGGCTTTTTTTATTATTATTTATCTGCAATCTTTTACCCACATTCATTTTCCATTCACCCTGAATGTCCACAATCAGCTTTCTGGATGAAGGTCCGTCGAGCTTGGGTTGCAGTTCGGTGTGGCGACGATCGGGGCGGAGGTGTGGTGGGAATTTGAGCTTCGTTCTTGAGTGAGATGCTGGATTTCCTGTCTTGGCCGCGCGGTGGTGAGGTGAGCATTTAGTAAGCTGGATGGACTTGCGTTTGTGTGTGGGCGTGATTTTTTGTGTTTGAATTTTGTTTCGAGTGGAGCAAAAGTTGGTGTTTTTGCAAAGGTCATCTCTTCCTCGCCCACCGTCATCTTGTATCGACCTGGTTTCAGCAGGGTCGACTTGTACGCTTGGTATCTTATCGACCTTTTTTTGGAGACAGATTGGAAGTGGGATGCTGGTAGTTAGGATGTTGGTTAATGCGTCTGGAAAAGCAGTGCAGAAGGCTCTGTTTTCATCTTTTTGCTCACCAGGATCGACTTGGCCAATTCGACCAACACCATCGTTTGGCCGTTGGTATTCTTCGGAGAAAAGGATTCATCTTGCGCCTTCTTCCACATCATCGTCTTGCGTAGGATCAACAAGGATCTCAGATAACATTGGGAGAAAAACTAGAGTTCAAAATAAACCCCTTCCCTCAGTTCCCAACAGGCTGCCTTACCTAGCCGCCTTTGTCGCCACTGCTCTCACCTCCTGGGCTGCCTTCACAGCCTATGCTACCAACAACGAGAAACTGTCAAGTTCAATTTTCAAAAGCGTGCTTAACCAAGTTAAAACCTGCAACCAAGTTGCACAACTCCTCTCCTCTCCCCCTTCCCCCAACCCCTGCAAACCAAACCCACATCCAATCACCTTGAAACCAAAACCATGGCTCGGTGCAACATGCAGAGTAAAAGGAAGCGTCAACATGATGCAAGGCCGAGTTGATCTTTCTTTCAAAATAACCATCCCTCCCGAAGAAACGAACACAGCCACAGTATATTTCACCTCGGTCCGAGCGAACAAAGATGCACCCTTTGAAATCCTACGATTTCTAGTAGTCAACGACCAAACTGCAGAAAGCATCAGTCTACTCGACAACGGTAAACTTAGCACCATCGATGTTGATTCTGGCGACATCGTTGAGCATACGTAGTGGTAGTGGGGGAAAAAAACAACGAGATTCGTAGCCTGCAATTCTGTCTTGGAGCTCTGCAAATTTAAAACACTCTCAAAAAATTAATTAATTGTTTGAATCCCACTCCACATCACACTCAAACAAAGATGTCAAAGATGAGAAGGAGAAGGAGAAGGAGAAGGAGAAGGAGAAGGAGAAGGAGAAGGAGAAGGAGAAGGAAGGGTGGAAGACAAGTGCGCATTTCAAGTGTGAGATGCAGACGACGAGGACAGTAGGAAGAAGGATTTTGAATTTTTCAAAAAGAGAAAAGAAGAAAAGAAAAAAAAAAAAAGAAAAAAAAAAAAAGAAAAAAAAAAAAAACCCCAAGAAAGACCAACATGAAAGAAGAATAGGAAGCAAAGAGAGAACAGCTGGAAAAGGATGCAAGTGAGTTGCTGTCAGAGACTTGGAGTAAAGATTGCAGTGCAAAGTGTGACGGGGGAAAGGCATGTACATTGTGGACGTGGAGAGGAGGGGAGGGTGAGCAATGAGAGGGCGATGCTAGGAGCTGGTGAGAAGCAGTAGCGAGCTAAGGAGGGTGCGAGGAAATAAGAGGTGTAAGACAGTGACGTATGCGGAAAGGATTGTTGAGTCTTGGTCTGACTGGGTATTGTTTGCCTCGCATACTCCTCTTGCCTCTTCCCAAAGTCTGCGCTGGGTGTTTAAGCACAGCGACAGGTCAAAACATCCACCAACTTCTGACCGAACGTCTTTCTCTCCGCGGGATGTTCCTCAGGATTGCTAATCCCCACAGCCTGACGACCATCGTTACGTCTTGCACCATCCAATCCATTGCCGGACGACATGGCGGCCGGTGTCATATGACCCACATGGCTGTGTTCCCTAGTGCCGTTCTGGGTAGAAATCCCAGCGACAGTTGCGTCATGAACAGCAACATTAGAAGCGTAACCTACACCACCATATCCCGAACCATTCTGAGTAAACTCGGCGTGATTGGCACGCAATTGTGCAGCTTGCGATCGATCACTCTGCATATGCTGTTGAGCGCCTGCCGACTTGCGTGCACCTTTAGATCCATTACGTGCCAACGCAGCCTGTTGTTGAGCAGCAGCTGCCGAAGCTTGCGGTACGGCAGAAGCACGAGTGTCACGATGACGATCACGATCATCACGTCGATCGCGGTTAGTACCTGCTTCCCATCCTTTGCCATTGTTAAGCAACATCCAGTCGAAAACACCATCTTCCTGTTCACCGGAACTCTTGAGAACCTTGGTGAAGAGTTCGCGCAAAAAGTCGTAGTCCGGTGTCTCTTCGAATCCAAGCTTTCGAACATAGTTGAGATAGATTCCAAACTCTTCTGGGAAAGCTTCACAGAGTTCCTTGATGGGTGTGCTCTGTTTCTTCTCGCCAATTTTTTCGTACTTTTGCTTGTTGGTGGCAGCTTTGAGACCTTGCCATGGCAAACCACCACGGAGGAAGTACATGAAGACGTGACCGAGCGCCTCGAGATCGTCTCGTCGAGACTGTTCACGACCCAAGTGAGTGTTGATGGACATGTATCGTGCGGTACCACTGAGCGACTTGCGTTCACGGTAAGGAATGTGCTGCATCGTCTTGGGATCACGGTACTGCTTGGCCATACCAAAGTCGACGACGTGAACCAAGTTGGCGCCTTTGGTCATCGGACGACCGATCAAAAAGTTGTCGGGCTTGATATCACGGTAGATGAGGTTCTTCTCGTGGATGGTCTGAACGCGTGTGATCATCTGCTTGGCGGTCATGACGACGGTCTTGATGCTGAACTTGCGACCGCACATGTCGAAGAGGTCTTCGAGCGATGGTCCAAGCAAGTCGATGACAAGGATGTTGTGGAGACCTTCCTGACCGAAATAGTAGACTTGCGGGATCCCAGGGCAGCCAGCAAGGATCTTGTAGGTACGGTATTCATCTCGAAGTTGAGGAGCGTCGCTCTTTCTAGGTTCAAACTTGATGGCAACGGTCTGACTGTTGAGGAGGTTGGTACCTTCAAAGATGACACCGAAGGAGCCTTCACCGATCTTTTTGCCGACGCGGTAGTGAACACCGACGACGTTGGAGCCGGAGCTGGCGTGAGATGCGTGAGAGGACATGTTGTTGTTGTTGTTGTTGTTGTTGTTGTTGTTGTTGTTGTTGTTGTTGTATGCAAAAGAATGATGGTAGGGCTGTGAAGCGGGCAGTGCCATCGATTTGGATGATGCCGCCTCACAGAGGACTCGACAGGAGCGAAAGGATGCAACTTTGGGAGAGGAGTCAAGTTGGATGCGGTGGTGCTGGTATGCTGTTCCAGTAAGCGAACTGGCCAAGATGTGGTGGTGAAGCTGCTGGCGAGTGTGCCGGCGATGAGCGAGCCAAGAGACAAGGAGCACGATGGAGGAGGGAGAGAGAGATAGAGAGAGAGAAAGAGAGAGAGAGAGCGTGTATGTGTGTATGTGTGCGTTTCTCTTGGAGGCAAACAGGCAGGGCATTGAGAAGAGGGGTTCAACGCAGCAGATCCAAGTCGACTTTGCTCCTTTTCACTGACTTGCTTCACACACTTTCAGCGACAGGCTTAGCCCAAATTCAAATCAGAAATCGGTAATAAATAGCAGTGAATAGATAGCAGCACGCGACTTGAATTGCAGCTTTGAAAAACAGTCAATTCAGACTCTCTCTCTCTCTCTCCCTTGAACCGGTGCATCAATTCAACCTATTCACACGGATTACAATTCGAGAATTCAAAGTGGGACAATTCAACTTGTGTATCAATTCAACCTATTCACACGGATTACAATTCGAGAATTCAAAGTGGGACAATTCAACTTGTGTATCAATTCAACCTATTCACACGGATTACAATTCGAGAATTCAAAGTGGGACAATTCAACTTGTGTATCAATTCAACCTATTCACACGGATTACAATTCGAGAATTCAAAGTGGGACAATTCAACTTGTGTATCAATTCAACCTATTCACACGGATTACAATTCGAGAATTCAAAGAGGGACAAGTGCAAGTCTCGCTTCAGTCTCTGCAAGTAAAAGTAAGAACAAGTGAGAGTGAGAGTGAGAGTGAGAGTGAGAGTGCTTGTGTTGAGTTGTCTTTCTTCTCCTGCCAACTCACTTTTGCCCGCAGCGATTGCTTTCTGCTCATCGGCCAAGAGCCCGATGTACTCAGCAAGCATTGAGAGCTTCGCCAACTTCCCCGGATCCGATGATGGTGACTAAGCATGTGTTATCAAGCAATGCTATCCTGATTGCAAACGGCTCAGCTGTTCTCCTTACTTTGTGCTCGCCTTGACCTTCTTAACAGGCGAAGGCAACTTGCCGTTCGCGGTCGTTGTTGTCGCAGCCCATGTCGACTCTTCAGCAGCACGTTTCTTCCCACCGTCCTGCTTCTTCCCACCACCCTGCTTCTTCCCACCGTCCTGCTTCTTCCCGCTCGCCCCAACAGCCGCATCACCCTGTAACACCTTAAGCAACTGCTTCATCAAGTCATGAATTGATGTCGAAGCCTTAAACTTGTCGCTATTCTGCAACTTGTCACCCGCCTCTTGCAATTTATCCAACTTCCAAGCGCTCTGTAAGTTGTCCTTGTTGGTCTCGATCCTTGCGCTGATCCTTGCGGCTTGCAACACGAACTTGATCGTATCCTTCATGTGGTTTGAGCTCACCACGGCAGCCGCATCCGACTCGTTGACCATCTGAACAAAGCAGTTGCTGATCTCGGGCAGGAATGCAAGCACCTCCTCCTTCTGATCAGCACGCTGTGCAATCTGAGTAAGCACAGCTTGCAACATCTGCATAACTTGAACCTGTCGGAATGCACGGCTTGCAGCTCCAGGTCGACAGCTGTTCAAGAGCTCGGATCGCAACTCCCAACCAAGCATGGGGAAACGACGGAATGCATCGATGAGGAATTCGTGACGCATTCGGCTGGCTTTCCTCGTCAGATAGTCCAGTAGCGACTGGCGGTACATTTCTACAAGCTTACCGCCAAGTGCCGATTTGACCTTCTCCCCTGACTTGCACAGCGCTACTTTGGTCAGGTAGACGTTGATCGCCTGACTGACGTTGGACACGTCGTTCGATTGCGACTCGCGAGCTTCGGTATGCATTCGCTCGAGGAGCCAAGAGACCTGATCGACGTCAACCTCTTCAGGGACAGCTTTGGCTTTGCTGATGCGGTTGAGCAAGAGTTGACGAGCCTTGTTGGCAACTGCCTCCGTCTCCTCGTCCCTGTTGGTCCAGAGCTCGTAGAGGGGAGTAATGAGATCGAGAATCAGTGGGCTTTGAGGTTGCTTGCGAGCAAAGATCTCGATGAGTTCGAGCACCTTGAATCGCAGTGCGATCGCTTCTTGCTTGGCTTCCTTCTGATCGCGAGCTGCAGAGACTCGTTGGCGGAACACTTCGGCGAGCTTGTCATCCAGCAGCATCATCTCATCGTCGCCCAGATCGGAGAACTCGACACTTGAATCCGAACCAGCATCTGAGGCCGCATCGTCGTCCTTCCCCTCCTCCTCCTTCTCCTCCTCCTCCTCCTCCTCCCCCTCGTCTTCATGATCCTCGGCGTCAGGGTCGGCCATACCAGATTCCTTGAGTACGGCTCTTACACGAGCACGAAGTTCCTCGTCAACCTCGTCGTTCTCGTCAGCGTCGACGTCAGAATCTTGCTCGTCCTCTTCATCGCTGGTAGCCCAAGTGTCCGAAGCGCGAGGCTTGCCATCCTCCATCTCCTCCTCATCCTCCATCTCCTCTTCCTGCTCACCGACCTGTGCAGCCTCAGTGGTACCAAGATGCGAGAGCAGCAATCCAATACTCTCTTTACTCATATGCTTACTAAAAGCCTCGAAAGCGTTGGTAGCCGTCGTACGCAAGAAAGCAGATGAAAGCTCCAAGAAGCTCAACAAGCAATCGCACAGCAACTCGATGCCTGTCAGCGTTTCTCTATCGACTTGCTCCTCCTCAACCTGCTTCTTACCCTTCTTGCCACCGGCAGGTTTTTCAGCAGAAAAGAATTTATCAGCACAAACACACAAGGGCTCCACTAGATGACTCGCTCCATCAGCGGCATCGGCGGAAACCAACAGGGCACTGAGGAGCAACGACTGTAAAGCACATGCGCGCTCCTTAACATCCGCATCCTCACTCTTAGCTTCAACTTTGCGCACCTTTTCAAGGCATCGAACACCGTCGGCGAGCTTAGCGGCAATTTCGGCATCTGTGTCGAAGATCGATTTGAACGACTTGTCCGATTCCAGCTGAACAAGGATATTGTGTGCTTTTGCCAGCCAGAGTTGGCCATCTTGGGCGAATCCAAGAGTCTTTCTGCCGGAAGCGGAGAGGGAGGTGGAGGTGGTGGTGGAGATGGAGGTGTAAGTGCGGGCTTGTTTAGCTAGCTCACTTACGCTCGAGAGGAATCGCGAACGAGCGGCAGCCTTGAGCGAGTCGACAAAGGCGGGTGTGGGGAGACGATCCAGCAAAAAGTTTTTCTTAAGTGGCTTTTGCATGGTGTAGTAGCCATGAGCAGCAAGGAAAGTAAGGATGTCGACGAGCAACTCATCGTCTTTGGGCACAGTAGCCGTTCGAACGAGGAAAAGTAGTTGGTCCAAAGCCCATTTACGACGGTTGTTGATCTGTGCCAGCTGGTCGTCGTCGTCGGTTTGAATGCCTTGGCAAATCATGTCGCCGAGATACTTGACGTACTCTCGCACCCGATCGATGTCGAGCGAGGAGAGCACCTGTTCGACCGTCTTTGTCTTTGTAATCGAGTCAAAGTTCTGATGACCGTTCTTGCCGATCAGCTGGGTGACGAGAAGGAAGCCGAGATGGGGCTGTTCTTTGACGACCTCCTGAATCGTCTCTGTAGCTTTGACGGCAGCACGGTGTAGCAAACGATCGCGATTGCCGAGTTGGTTGATCAGGGTGCGCATAAAGTTGGGCGTAAAGAGCATCGGTTTATCTGCATCCTTGGCTCGAGGGAGGGCACGTTGGAAGACTTGGAAAGCCCAACTCTTACGATCGTGAGATGAAGCGGCAGCGAAAAGCGTTTCGTCGACCACTACTCGGTAGAAGTCAGGGAAAGAAGAGATCTTGGTCTCGAGGGCTGGATTGGAGGATTGGTTGAAGTAGATGTCCAGGATGAAATCCCAAACGAAATGGATTTTGGCTTGCCATCTTGACCTAGCCCGCACGGGTGTGGCGGCTTGGTTCTCGGATGGGATTGCTTCCTTCAACACGCGTGCCAATGTGGGCAGATTTGCGGTGGACAATGGGTGTTGCTTTCGCATCCAAGGCAGAGCGAGGTTGTGGAAAAAGTCGCTTCCCAAACCACGGCTGAGTTGCAGCATAAGAGCGAGCTTTTCAGGACTGGGTTCTTTGGTGGATGAGATCTGGTCCGCCATCCAACACTGTGCCTCTGTGGTCCATTGGAAATTAAGATGGGGTCGTTGAAGTTGAGCAACAGCATTGACCATAACCCAAGTGCAACTCTCTGCCATCCAAGGCTTATCCGAACTCAACGCGATCAAGATCTGCATGGATCTCTTAAAGTCTTGCACCGTCGCGGTCGGCTGAATGAGAAGATCGGATTGGACGAGAGTCATGATCCCGAAGAGTTTAGCAAACATGAAATCCTTCTGTTCCTGTCTGCTTGCTGCCACTTGTGGATTGGAATACTGGAGGATAAGAGTGAGCATCTCTTTTGCGGTAACTGCGTAGTTAAGTCGCGAGAGGAGCTCGGTGAGGACGAGAGCAAAACCAAGACGGGAGCTTTCTCGGGGTGAGGCAAGGCCTCGGAGAAGTCGTCGAAGAGCATACATGAGGTCGGCAACAGTACGATTGCCGAGCGCTTCTTCAACAGCCTCTGCTTCTGCTTGGTCTACGTGCAAAGGGTCGGTGCTGTATTCGGAATCGCCGGACGAGGAGGGGGATGGAGAGGGGAGATCGAGAGTGATTTTGGAACAAGAAGCGAGAAAGTCTTGTTGCGACAATAGCTCTTCGACGAGCTTGTTGGCGGATGACAGACGGGCATCTTGATTCGAGGAGGCGATCTCCCAGAACAGCTCGAGATTGTTGCCCTGCATCGCGGTGGTCTTGCAGCCTGGACTGTGATATGAAAGAGGCTCTACCGGTAGAGTGAGATGAGGAGGGAGGATGGTTAGGCTGCAATGTGCACCAGGGAGTCGTGAGTTGCTGTCAGTCTCCGAACGAGAATTATTGGCGGCCAGGTCCGGATTTGACTGTATAGTCGTCGCTGTGAGGTGGACTTGTGAGCTTGATGACCCGGTTGATTGGTGGTGATGATGATACTACTTGTTCCAAGAAGGAACGGCAAAGGTGAGCGACAACGACCCTTGACTGGAAATTTTCCAAAAAATCAAAAAATCAAGATTCAGGGATTTGTGGAGAGGAAAGTCAAATTTGAGATCGTGACGTGACAGTCCCGATTCTCATCGGCGATCTGTATTTGTTTCATCTTTGTGTACAAGCATCGACCTCACATTGTCGATCAAACGACCAGCACAGGCACGCAGGCCTACGCAATCTTGTGCATCGGTGCCTGCAATCCGGATTGGGTCATCGTGTTTTGATAAGCACCGTTGTGATTTGATGGGCAAACAGGGTCCATTGTGGACATACAGCAGATGACGTCGATCGAGTGTTGTGGTAGCGAAGAGAGAGACAAAGTAACACATGACGTCGATCCTAACGGACGAAAGACGGCTATTCTCGGACGTGTAAAGCAAGCGAGAATAAAACTGCGATTGTCCGAGCGCGATCTCTGCCTGCAAGACAGGGCAAGGAGAAGGAAAATGTCTCAGGCTTTGAACTCCTACACGTGTGGTTGGCTGGTCTGGGTATGTAGATTAAATGATCAACATTTCAGACCACTTTAAGCCGCCTTTAATGGAATTCATCAAAAGATGCTTCCATTCGAGGCCCATTCGAGGCTCCTTTACACAAATATGACTATTGGTACAATCGATCTTGCTGTCGCTTTGATTCAAGACTCGTTCGCTTCCTGGAATGGGCAGCAGCAGGAGCGAGCAAGTCTGAGGCTTAGGGTGGAGGGTGAGCGTGAGAAAAAGCTCAACTCTATTTCTCCGGCTCATCCGAATTCAAGCGGCCTTCGCACAACAAGGCACAATTGGCAGAGAGAAAGAGAGACATAATCCCTGTGAGCTGGTATGTTTCCATCCAACTCCAGAGAGAGGAGAAAGTGGCGTTTGACTTGTCCAAAAGTCACACGCACAAGTGACACTCTTTCGGCAGGACCGACTTTATGCGCTTGATGCTTTTGCCTTTCCACACGTCACACTCACTTTCCACTGTCACTCACAACTCTACATACACGCACAAATCACACACCCACCCACCCACCCACACACAGTGATTTCGCGCCTTTCCCCCTTCAGTTGTCACAGTTTGACAGTGTCGCTTGAGCTCGCCTAAAAGTCAAATCACACACACACACACACACACTCACTAACTCAGTCACACACTCAGTCACTCAGTCACACACTCAGTCACTCAGTCACTCAGTCACAGTCAGTTGGCCATTGCGCTTCTGCGCTTGTCTCACTCTCTCTTCCACACTCTCTCTTGACTTGACTTGGCTCGAGTCGGATCATCCTCAGCCTTATTCTCACCTCGTTGCTTACACTCCAGACCATCTCATCATCACCACCACCATCACCACCACCATCACCACCACCATCATCATCCATTCTTGCTTTCTCATCCTTGACCTCTCACCATCAAGACATCCTTCTCTCCTCGTCCTTCTCTCCTCGACCGCATCCCCCTCCTTACCTCTTTGCTCCGTTTGCTTTGCGTTTCGATCCACCCACCTCCCCGTAGAACACATCTCCAGTTGCTTCAACTCGAATTTCGTTCATAGTACCGTGCCATCCACCTTTTCCAACACACCATCTCCATTCTCAACGATCGTAATAGACGCATTGCTCCATTTTTCGCCGCGTATGTCACTCTAGTGCTCCACTTTGCCCCCCCCCCCCCCCCCCCTCCCTTCCCTCCCCTCTAACAACCCTGGAAAGCCTCGTGTTGCCCTGCTCTCTCATAGCCTGTCATGATGGCAACCCTCCTCTCCTCACCGCTTTCACCACCGCCCAAATTCCACCTCTTCCAACAACCGAGCTCACCAAAACACTATGCACACCAAGACCTCCCTGCCGACTTTGACAAGTCCTTTGGCTCATCCATGTCCATCTCTGACTCGCTCGACGGTCACACATCCCAAGCTTTCCCTACTCAAGCATTCCCTACTCAAGCATTACCTACTCAGCCTTTCCTCTTCAACACCGCCAGCTTGGGTCTCGCAACAACAAATCAGCAGCATCAACACCACTCCTCCTCCTTCTTCCACGATGCATCCACAGAGCCTTCGAAACAGCAGCTCCGTCCAGTCCGCATCTCGCCACCTCCCACCAACACCCTCGGCGCAGCAATGGGAACAACACTCAATGCTCGCTCACCTGCTCTCGCTCCCAAGATGAGCTCACCCAAGGACATGGACATCTCACCCGCACCCCTTGCTCCTGCCACTATGCACAACCTCCCTCCTTCCCCATCCGAGGCCCTTCCCAACCTCATCAACTCGATCCACGTCACAACATCCTCCAACTCCTCTCCAGCTACTTCCCTCAATGACCGCCTTCATCCCCTTCTTGGTGGTTCCAGTCGTCCTCCACAGATAGCTACGGAGCGCAAGTCTTCCCTCCAGCTTGCCCACAGCATGTCCTCCCGTCTCTTTGGCGCCGAGATCGCCCTCAACTCACACCGCCTCTTTGCTGGAGACCAAGAATTGCTCAGCAGCCCAGACAAGGAGCCCCCACCGAAGCGTAGGCCCAATTCCCTTCCCACCAGACAGAGCGAGGCCAACGAGCGCATCTCGCAGCTTTCCTCTGCTCTCATGCCTGTTGCAACAGCAAAGCACAGACCTGCACTCTCAGCTACTTTTGACAGCCGTGGATCATCCTTTGGTGCCGCTCCTTCTTCCTCACGAGCCAGCTCGGTTTCTAGCAACCGTCTCTCCGACTCGGGTTTGCCACTTGGTAAGCTTTCCTCCAAGCGCTCATCTCGAGCTGGCTCAGCAGAATCCTTCTTTGAGGATGTCGAGGATGAGCTAGGCGCCCGCCAGACGATTTTGCACGACAGCGACAGTAACAAGAATGGCCTTTGGCAGGCTCAGAATGATGATGACCAAGGCGATGATATCAACCCTTCTCCATCTCCCTCGATGGGCTCAGTGTCCGGCGCCATGGCTGGCTACTTTTACGACCCTTTGTCACCTGACAAGCTTGCTACTAGGCTTGGAATGGCCGCACCTCTCGATCGACCTAATCTGCTCGCTGCCATGTCTAGCACTGCTGCTTCGCCCAGTGTCTCTTCCCCTCCTGCTTCGTCGCCTTGCACCAGGATGCCTCCACCCAAGAGGACCACTTCGTTGGGCACAAGAGTATTCCAGCGCGCTCGTACCGATGCTGCCGTGCCTAGAGCTGTCAGCGGCACTGCTGCCGCCTCTGGTAGCTCTGCGTTTAGCTCTAGCTTTGCTTGCGGTTCTGCATCTGGTGTCGGTGCTCTCCGCACTACTCTAGGCAAACGCGCCAACCCTTACGTCAAGCGTCCCTCGCTCGTCAACGACAATGCTTCCATCAAAAGTGCCTACCCTGTTCTCGGTGTCCGTGATCAAACGACTCGAACAGCTCGACCTACAGCCCCTGCACCTCGTCGATGCTTCTCTGCTTTCGACCACAGTTCTTTCCTCGGTGGCGTCGGCCCATCCGCCTCCTCCAAACTCAATGTTAGCTCCAACATGAATTCTCCCACCTCTCCCGATCGTCGACGCACCCACCTTTCCAGCCACAGCCAAGTGACCGACGCCGACGGATCCCCCATTGCTCCAGGCATGCGTGCACGTCTTCCACCATCTAACTTGCTCCGTCGAGGTAGCAAAGATGATTCCTCCCCTCTCGCCTACGGTACAGGAATGAAACGATCCGCTTCTCGTGGCAGTGAAAGCATGAACGATGACATGGCTCTCAACGATCCTTGTTTCCTCCAGTCCCAATCTCCTGCTAGTGCTGAATCACTCCCTGGTTTCGGTGCATCGGAAAAAGAGGGTAAAATTCTCCCCTGTTTCAACGTCAAAGAAGACGGCTTGATGCGAATTACCGCTCAAACCATGACCGATCTTCTGGTGGGCAAGTACACAAACGCAATCCAATCCTACCAAGTCATCGACTGTCGCTTCGGATACGAATACGAAGGAGGTCACATTCCCGGTGCGATCAATCTCAGCACTGTCGAAAAAGTGGTTGATCATTTCCTTTCTCCCAATTCCCGTCGGCTTCCGCCTCGATCGCAGAGTGGGAAAGCGGATCAATACGGTAACCGTCTAAAGCAAGTTCTTGTTTTTCATTGCGAGTTTAGCTGCAAGAGGGCACCGACAATGGCTTTGGCGCTGAGACAGGCGGATAGAGGTCTGGCGCACGATTATCCCAATTGCCACTTTCCTGAGATTTATATACTCCAAGGAGGTTATTGTCATTTTTGGAAGAATTATCCGCGTCTTTGTGAACCGCAAGAGTATGTCTGTATGGACGATCCCCGCTTTTTGGCCAAGCGATCTACAGAACTGAATGGATTTCGCAAACAATTCTCACGCCATCGAAGCTTTGCCTACGGTGAGGGGAAAAGGCAACCTTCACAGTCCAGAGGCTTGGGTGCGCAGCAAAGACAGAGTATTCAGGAGGAAGATATGCAGGAATCCCCTTGTCCTAGGTTGACTGCTTCCAAGCTTTCATCCGCTTCACTGGTAGGAGGCGGAGGCAGAGGGGGGGATACGAGTTTTGGTAGTGTAGGAGATTCAAGTTTTGAAGATGGGATCGGGGATAGTCCTTGTGCTGCTGCTGGCAGTCGGATTTTACAGCCCGAAATGATGGGGTCGCTTCTGGGAGCAAGGAGGCCCTTGTTGAGGGCTGGTACTACGGGGAATATCTTGCCTAGATATCTGTCCTAGATCGTATCGACGGACGATTTGATGCTCCGTCGAGAGCAACACTTTCGCATTTACACCATTACCTTTTCTTCGTTTTCCTTTTCGCATTTCAGCATCCTTGTTTCGTTTTCAGCATCTTTCTTAACAATCCATGCTTTTTGTTTCCTAACCTGCATTCCATTCAGGCGCGAGACGGCAAACAATGCAACACAACACAATCTTCCACGGCACCGCCCGGCGTTTGGTCGTTTTCAACAGATCCGGTTTTGCTGCAAGACAATCTGACTCATCGAACAGGTGGAAGCTGAAGAAAGTAGCGATGCATCAGCTCGACTCTCAGCGTTGGTGGCTGTCGATGACGAAGAGGGGTTTCGCTCGAACCACAAATTCAAGTTCCGCGGTGTGAGGCGAATCTATGCATACGAAACCGGGGCGAGGAGTGCGGTTTCTACTGCCCTTTTTTTTTTTTTTTTTTTTTTTTTTTTTTTTTTTTTTTTTTTGGTTTCAGGTTGCGGTTTTTGACAGCCTCCCCTCCGGTCGTTTACTCGCCTTTGATGGATGTGGTCGAGACATGTGCAAGGGTGGAGGGTCGCTGAAGGGGAGGGGGAGGGGGAGAAGATGATGGATGCGGTTAGATTCGGCATCAGAAAGCTAGACCCTCACCGGCGGCATCAACTCTAGCTTTGATGGGGAGATCGGTATAAGATCCTTCTTCCTTCTCTTCCTTCTCTTCCTTCTTGTACCTTCGTCCTTCTTTTCGCACCTCAACCAACATCATCGACACGATCACCTATCACCTAGTACATTTCCCGACGGGATGGTTTCCTGGCTGGACAGCGAGAAACATCTTCTTCCCCTACCTTCCTCCTCCACAACATCCCTATCTCATTGCCAGCAAGAAGAATCGGAAATGCACTCGGCCTCCCCATCTGGTCGCAAACGGATCTTGAAGCGTGGAACGATGCTCATCGTCCTCCCCCTCGCGCTTATCCTCCTTTTCGCGGTGATCTTTTTCCCTGTATACTTCACTCGCCATAGATCCACTCCCTCTTCTTCCAACAGCCTGAGTACAGGTGGGACGAGCAGTACAGAGTCGAGCATAAGATCTCGGACAACCCCTGGTGCAGTTTGGGTTCAGAATGTCAACTTTAAAGACTTGGACGATTTGCGAATCGATTATTATTCCAGTGGACAGGTGAATTCTAAGGTGCTCGTTGCCGGTTTACCTAGCAATGTTTGGAGTGATACGCCTCCAAGTTTGGGCTTGAGGGATAGAGGCGTGGTTAGACGCCAAGTTGCTTCCTCCTCTTCTTCCACTAAACACCCTTCATCGCACCCTCCTTCCACAACTAGAGCTTCCAACACCGAAACTACTCCCAATACCCCTTCGACCTTGGTCGCAGCCTCGACTTCTCCTCAGGCCTCGTCTTCCCCCTCCCCAGCACCGGCACCTGCACCTGCACCTGCACCTGCACCTGCACCTGCACCCCGATCAAACGGCAGTTCAGTACTGCAAATCTTCTACCCAGCGCAATCTTATACCCCCTCCGAACTCCCCGTAGGCGGGACGCAATTCTATGCCTCCACACCCTTCCTCCTCTCCCTTGCCACCTCGGTAACTTTCAACTACTCTGTCTTCTTCCCTCTCTACTACGACTTTGTACTTGGCGGCAAGCTTCCTGGTCTATACGGCGGAACGGAAGGTTGTGGTGGAGGAAACAATGCCGAGCACTGTTGGAGCTCTCGGATGGCTTGGAGATCAGGTGGCTTGGGTGAATTATATGCCTATCTACCGCAGCATAAACAGAACACAAGTGCGATGCTCGACGTCAAGCCTTACAGCTATGTGAATCCTGTTTATGGGATGTAAGTATCACCGCTTCATCCACCCACCCTTGTGTCATCGTTGCAAAAATTAAAGCGGTGACCACCAGATACTGACCAGCTTTCTACTTGAGATAGATCTTTGGGTAGAGGTTCCTTCAATCTTACCAAAGGCGCTTGGACAGATATCTCTCAAACCATCACTCTCCAGAACAACGAGACCCATCCGAACGGCGTTTTCCATGTTAGCGTCAATGGCGAAAGTGTGATCCACTATGATCAGGTATTTTTTCCGACAGGGTTGAAAGGGATTTTGTTCTCTACGTAAGTTTTTATCTTCCCACAAGCAAGGCCGGTTGGGTATTGAAACGCAACGTGTATAACCGAGGTATGTTGGATGCTGACGTCCTTATTGTTTTTGTGGTGTATACGGCATGGTAGATTTTTTGGCGGCTCGACAAGAGAATGGGCAACACCCGTGGATCAATTCAGCTATTTTGCTGGCTTTAGTGTCAGCATCAACTCGGTCGAGTCTTGAGGACAGGTGCAAGTGTTGGATGTGTTTGCGAGAATGCACATGCATCGACCTCTACCCTGGCTGTGATTGCACGAATGACTGTTCTGTAGAGTATGAGCGATATGTGGATAGTGGCCGATCACCTCAAACACAGTCCAGGCGGATGCAGGCTTTACAAATGATTTACCAATCTCTCCAACTTTCGCCTTGCTGCCAACACACTTGCTTCCAACGAACCTCAAATTGAGCAGTGGCCAAGATCAGATGCAGTCCAGCCAAGCAAAAGCTTGGATTCACATGCTATGAGAGGACCAAGCTACTGTTCAACGACCTTGTACATGGTTTCAAAATCCACACTCTCGCTCTTCTCAACATCCAAACTGGGACTTAATGGATCAACCCTATACCCCTGTCTTTCATAAAACTTCTTTGCGCCCTTGTTCTCATCAAACACGGTCAGCATAACTTTCCTCATCCTCGTCGCCTTCGCCAACTCGTACACTACATCTAGCAGCTGTTTTCCCAGACCGTTCCTTTGATTTTCCTTGCTCACTTGAATCTCGTATAGATATACGACCTCCACTTTATCCTCTCCCTTTTTCGCCACTGGGTCTTTTGTAAGATGGCAAGGTTCCGTGTCGAATCGGAACATGGCAAAAGCTGCTATTTCTGCTCCTTCCGCCGCTGCAGGCCGGAGCATGACGAATCGGGATTCAGAGTCGAACAGCTCTTTGCGTTTTGAGCTGCGTTTCCAACCGAGCACTGAATTGAGATACATAGCTTTCATGTTGGATTCGAAGAGTGAGAAGACTCGTTTGCGTTGTTCGGAGGACAAAGAGTCTGCGTGGAGGATTTCGAGTGAGAAATGCGAGCTTTTGAGACGTGTGCAGACGCGTTTTTGCACGAGATCGAAGAGGTCGCAGGCAGAGGCGGAACGAGCTTTTGACAGTGCTCCAGCGTAGTCTACTTCTCCAGCATCGTTGGTAAGAGGCTCTTCTTGGGTTTCGGTCTTGCCTTTCTTCTTGACCGGAGAAGAAACGGTAGTGTCGGCATCTTCTTTCTTCGCCCCGGCAGCATCTTTTAGCGCATTAGCCTTCCTGCCTAACAATCCAGCAGCTTTCAGTGGACAAGGTCGATCTTTTGACCTCTCCTTCTCCCCCTCCTTCTCCTCTCCTTCCTCCGCATCCGTATCTCTCTTCTCTCGAACAGTGGCGAACCGCTTGGCACTACAATGACGACACATCTTGCCATGTTTGATCAACAACACATGCAATGCGTACTTTAAATCACCCGGAACTCTCTCATGTAAATGATAATACGTTTGATCGCGATTCGCCTTCTCCGGTACCCAACGCAAAGCTTTACACAACCTAAAAACATGCGTATCCACCGCCATACTCTGGCGTCCTATACAAAATGCCAATACACAACTGGCTACCTTTGGTCCTACACCGTTGAAACGCACCAACTCCTGCATGATCTCGTCGTCTGTTGCGTTGTGAAGGTGATCGAGGGAGAGCTTTCCGTGTCTTTCCATCGTCTGTGCTAAGATACCCTTTATGGTGCGCGCTTTGTTATTGGCGAGCCCTCCACAGCGGATAGCTTCGACGAGTTCAGATTCTGGTGCCGAATGGATTGCCTCCCAGTTCTGCACTCCGAAGTGTTCGGTCATCGAACGGTGTGCGGCTGAAGAGTTTCGGCTTGAGGTGTTGCAGGAGAGAACGGTGCGAACAACCGCGTCGAGGACCGAGGGCACGTCTCCACATCCTCCCCATTTATCCTCCCCTTTTGGGGTTGTATACTTGGGCAGCCCCCTACCGCCTTCAGAATCTCGTTTGTACCCGTGGAAATCGCCCAGGATCCAAGCAACGTTTTCGGCTTCTTCAGCAGTGGGTAGCGGATGATCAGGAAAGGGAGAGCCAACGATCGATGCTTTATACGCTGCGAGTTTGCGATCTAAAGTCGACTTTTTCGAAGGCGACCCAGAGACCGAATCGGTTCCATCGAGCAACTCTTCTTTCTTCTTGACAGTGGAAGAGGTGGAGGAGAGAAGATCTTCGATTTCGGATGGATCGGCTTTGATGGGTGCTCCACGCTTGCGTTTAGCTGGTGAGTCGGAGAGAGAAGGTAGCTCGGGGTCGGTCGGTTCGGGTTTGACGCTGGGTGAAGCGGTGGATAGCGATCGAGAGGCGGATTTACGCGGCGAGGCTCGAGTGGGAGCCATCTTGTATGCAACACTTGCGGTGGAGAAAGGAGAAGTCGAAGGGACAGGCAAGGTTGCAATCCGCCTGAGAGAGGTGGTAAGAGCCGAAACGCCAAGCCGTTGGGCTCCGGCTGAAGCGGCTGCGAAGGCAAGGGACTGAATCCTGCCGAGAGCCTTCCTGCTGTCACTTGCCTTGACCTTGTTGTGCAAGTGTCAGCAATCCAGTTCAACGGTACACAAAGTTCGTTGTAGGAAGGGGGGGAAGGAGTTTGTCTGGGGTTTGCTACCGAAATTGGTTCTTTTTATGCGCTTCTTTATATGTCCTTCTTTATATGTCGTGTGGATAGTTGCCGGTTGTTTCTCGTTGCGTAAGAATGGATAAAGGAAGGGGGGGAAAGGGTGAAGGATTGTGGTGGTGAGTAGTTGCAAGATTGTCAGCGATGCAGTTGGGAAGGTGAATGGATGCCTTCCCCGCCGTGGTTAGAAGAAGATGACGTCGAGTTGCGCAACCCGAGAAGACGGCACTATTTCAGTCTTTCGCCTTGGCCCAAGTGGAGGTCAAATTTCGACCATGTTCGTTTTGCAACCCTAACAACACGCTTTATTTAGCACTCCCTGTGTTGGCACCATCTCTCACATCCACACAGACTGTCATCAAGCATCAACACTTGGCAACCGCTAGCTAGCACCCATTGCATTAGCATCACTCCCGTCGCTGGACTACTGATACAGAATCCTCACAGCGCCCAAATCACCACTCTCGATCGCCTCTCTATCCAACGCTCCCACCCCAACCACTCCTCCTCCCGATGCTGCACCAACCCAACCACTCTCATCACCATCATTCCCCCAACCCGCAACTCCCACTCCAAACCCACTCGACTCCCCACCCTGCGTCGCACCACCATGCTTACTCGACCCCTGTCCTCCACTACTCGCAGCCCCACTCAACCCACTTCTTGTCCCCTGCACACCACTGATCCCTGACATCATTTTCCCCTTGCCACTCCACCCACTACTCGCACCCCCGACCCCTCCTGCTGCCGAAACGATACTTGCACCCGGCCATCTCCTCCAATCGCTCCTCTGTGTTGACGCTAGATCATCTTCGTCCGTATCTGCATCTGACCTGTGCGGGAGATGGGAGAGCCCGATTTGGATGAGAATCTTTTCGAGTTCGGGCCAAGAGATTGAATAGGTAGTGCACAGTTCGTCGTCGCTATGTGTACCATCCAGCAACTCTAACAGTCCGGGGGGGATTGCTTGGGTGGTTGAGCGAAGGTAGATGCTGCTAGCAGCTCCAGTGCCGACGCCGATGCCAATTCCGGAGTTGCTAGCAGATCCGCCGAGGTTGGCTGTGCTGGGTATGGCGGTGGTTAGACCGATCGCACTGGCTCTTTTTCTTGGTGAACGCGGGTGGTTAACGCCAGAGCTAGAGCTGGCGGGACGATCCACCTGAAAAGCAACGGCAGCAACATCAACAGCAGTCGTCGTTGGGTGTCTGTACTTCTGTCTCTGTCTTGTTCTCTTCGTAGGAGAAACCTGCACCGAATCGGTGAAATTCGACCCACTTCCAGTGGCTACCATACTCGATCTCGCCTCACTCGCCCCTCTCCGTGTTGGGGTCCTCGTTCCCACTCCAGGTGAATCAACACTTCCATCTCTGGTAATGCGCTGAAATGCACTATATGCTCCACTCATACCGGACAGCTCTCTGGGCCGTCTATCTCTCGGTTCCCTACTACCACTATGTTCTCTCTGCTTGATAGCTGGAGAGTTGACCACCGTTGTTGACATCCCAGAACTCTCTGCCGCACCTCCACCCAGCCCTATTGCATCGCCCAAATATATCGGATATCTGTGCACCCTCCGCAAAAAGCCTTGAATAACTCCAAAACTCACAAACCTTCGCACATCAATCCCTTTTTCATCCACCGCATTGTCCTCCACCCAATCCGCCAAAGTCGTTCCTGCCCTCAAGAGCGAGTATAACCTCAGCAACTCTGGCCAAGAAGCCATACCATACCCGGCGCGAGTAACATACAATCTACACTCCCTGCCCAACCCCTCATCATCTGCCATCTTCGCCATCGCCGGTCTCACCGTATACATATTGAAATACTGGAAAATATCCACTACGATGATACATCCATAATACATCAGGTGCTCCAAACACGCGCTTGTCAGCCCGAGGTCTGCGTCCGCTAGCTGAGCGATCCTCTTCACGTGATTGACACCATCAATGAAGGGTAGGATGCGGCGTAGGGTAAGGTCCCAGTTGCCGTCTACACGGGAAAGGAGGTCGAGGAGAGCAACGGGTACATCCCAATCGTTTATGGGTGCAGGGTTGGGATAGACTGGGAAGAGTTTTAGGTTGATCGCATCGCGGACTGTTCTACCCAAGCCGTGCGGTGGTTCTCGTTTTTCGACGAGATTTGTGCGGGCTGTGGGGTCGGTAGGGAGAGTTCGCAGGGCGTTTACCGAGTTGGAAAGGGCTGCGTCGATGGTGCGGAGCGAGACGATGGATTCGGTGAGGTGTTCGAGTGATTCTGATTCAGGGTCTATTCCGTGAGCTGTACTTGCTCTACTAGAGCGGCGAGTACCGCCGGTGTTGATACTATCGTAAGCACCATTGTTGAGCACGTTCCCGAGGGTTTCTGCTGCGCTTAGTTCCCGTGTCAACTCGCTTTGACGGCGGGAAGAGACGATTCCCATTGCTGTATCTCTACTTTCCTCCGATGGATACGCTCCACCGTCGTCAGTTAGTGCAGCGATGGTGGAGAATCGTGCAAAACTAGGCCTCCTCCCTTCAGCCTCCATTGCAGTAGGCGAAAGAGCAGAAGATGGAGAATGAGGTCCTTCACTCCCCGGTCCGCTCGCTCCCGAAGCACTGTTACTTCTAACCATCATCGCAGGACTGATCGTCGTTAAGGGACTCAACACCCTTCCCCCTCCCGCACCACCGTCACTTGATCCTGAAGTAGATCTCGACCTTGCCCCACTCTCGGCATTTCCCCCTCCCAACCCACCCTTGGACGCCTGCCTAGCCTTCAACCTTTCGTTAATCGCATTCCTCTCCTTCTCCCCCCTCAAACTGGCAAAGCTTGCTCCTAAAGTTATAAAGTCTTCCGGACCCATCACCGGATTGACGAGCTTCCCTCCTTCTGGACTATTCATCCTACTCGCCCCACCCTTTTTCTGGTCTAAATAGCTAGTATACGGAGCGTCAGGTAACGCAATAAAACTCTCACAATAGCTACTTAGATCCTCGAACAGCTGCTCTATAATCCCGTACATTCTCGGTAAACTTTTTGGATTTGACAAAAAGCTTTGCGTTTCCTCCAACCCTCTCAATAGCCTCCCGCATTTTCTGACAACGGGTTCGTAGGCACGAACATCGGAATGACCTTCGAAAACGAAGCAGAGGTTAAAGATGAAGTTGTTGCGTTGATATTTTCCTGCGTCTTCGATCAGCACCGGAAAGCCCAAGATCTTATATGTTCTCTGCTCCCTCGTCGCGGCGGTGGTGTGAGAGGGTTTCCGGGAGGATGTTCGGGAAGAGTTACCCGAGCGGACAGAGGAAGAGCGGGCTCGGTGGTGTGGGGCAACGGAGGGAGTGCGGGAGGTGGAAGGACGCGAATGGCGAGAAGGGTGGATGTTGACAGTACCACGTGCTATGGAAGTTACAAGTCGACCACAAAGGGGAGCTTTGGGGATGAGGTATTCGGAGAGAGCGGAGAAGTTGAATAGTGGTTCGCCGCCGAATGTGCCGGATGATGGTGGTGGTGGGGCACCAGCGATAGGGGTGGGAGGGGAGGTGCGATCTTCGGTGATGGAGCCTTCGGGGACTTGATAGATGACTTTGGGACCTTCGGTGGGATGGAAGACGGCGTAAAAGACTGCGATTAGTCGTGGTAGAAATTGCTCGTCCAGGGTTGGGATTGACATTGTGCCTGCTTGTCTCTTGACTGGTGCGAGAGAAGTGAATGCCGTGTGGCGGTGGTATGCCTGATTGAATGCGTTTCAGCGAGCGAGATTAGCCATAGTTTCGTGCTTGTGGGAGCGCATGAAAGCGCAGCGATGAGGAGAGGAGAGGATGGTAGAAGTGTGAGGAGAGATAAGAAGGTGTGGTCAAAGCGAAAGGGTAGAGGATGAACAGCCTCCCGATTTCGAAGGCGGCTATAATGTTAAGTTTTTTTTAAACCAGCCTGACTTAAGCCCGATTTGTGCCCGATTTATACCCGATTTATACCCGATTTGTACCAAGCATTCGAACGCTCGAACCACTTCCTAGGTCTGCTCTCTGTGCCATGTTTCGACGCTGTCAGAATCCGGAGTCTCTCAAATGAACTTGACAGCTCCTCTTTCGTTTCTCCCCACCATCGACGCTCATCTTGATCACTCTGCCCCTGCATCCTCGACCGTCACTACGATGGATTAGCACGTTCAGCAGAACAAGAATGCGATCATAGTCACTCATCATCTTTCGCAGAGCACAAACCCGTGCTGCCTGAAAACCACACAATGTCGACTCACACATCGCCATTACGGCGAGCCAACGCTTTACGGACCACTTCATACCTCACGCTTCTACTGCTACTCCTAGCTGGTCTCTGTACTGGGCATGCGATCAGAAGCAAAACACGCAACTATCCGCGATTCCCAGCCTCTGACGTCGCTAGCATATCTTCCCTTTCCGATCCAGCACCGCACATCTCCCTCACCGACCGCAAATCTTTCCTCTCCCGCATCCTAATCCCCCGACCGCCCGACACGCCCAACTCTCTCTCCGTCCGCAACTCAATCCTATCCATCTTTCAATCGCTCACACCATCGTTCCCCAACGCCAACCCCACCAAAACAGGCAAACTCGGCTGGCATACCCTCCAGCACTCCTTCATAGCCTCTACTCCCGAAGGTGACAAAAACATGACCAATCTCATTTTCACCAAAAACCCTTCTGCGCCGAGAAAGTTGATCATTGCTGCGCACTACGATTCCAAGTTTTTCCCAAGGGGCTCCGGGATGGAGCGGTTTGTGGGGGCAACGGATAGTGCTGCTCCGTGTGCGTTTATAGTTGATCTTGCGGTTGCTTTGGATGATGCATTAGATAGAAGGGAGAGAGGCGGGGCGGGTAAGGGAAGGGATACAACCTTGCAATTGGTGTTTTTCGATGGTGAGGAGGCGTATAGACAATGGACATCTACTGATTCGATCTATGGTTCCAGTGAACTTGCCAAACACTGGGGTGAGACATATTGGAATCCTTCCCCCTCCACCTCCTCATCTAAGTCATCTCGGAATCTAGAAGCAAGAAGGTTCAAGAATAGTTATGGACCGGTACAGCATATTCAAACGATCGAACATATGGTTTTACTCGATCTCCTCGGCGCACCTAACCCCACCATCCCCTCCTACTATGATTCGACCAAGTGGCTCCACACTGCTTTTACAGATGCAGAAAAGAGATTGGCTAAAGCAGGCGTTTTATGGCCGAAGGCAAGCAAGGGAGGAGAAAGTTTCTTTTCCAATAAGAAAGCTTGGGGTGGCATTGAGGATGATCATCTGCCATTCTTGCGCAATGGAGTGCCGATCCTGCATGTTATTCCAAGTCCGTTTCCGAATGTTTGGCATAAGTTGTCGGATAATAGGGAGGCGTTGGATTATGGTACTATGTACGCTTGGTGTATGATTTTAAGGTTGGTGGTTGCTGAGTATCTGGAGTTGGACGTAGGAGGAGGGATGCGAAAGAAGGGGTTACGAGGTGATGAGGTAGGAGCAGAAGGGTTTGATTCAATAGGTAAGTTCAAAAGCAAATGGTTAAAATGGGGTCGGGTCGAGCTAGTAAGTCTCACCCCCCTCCCAACGCCTTTGAATTTGATGCAGATCAAATGCTGACTCCTTGATCTTTGATTGATTGGTAGTGAATGCAACAAGTATCTTTTGATCCCTGGATCTCATGCAATCCACAGAAAAAGCATTCCACTGTTGAAAGTATAATAAGAATACGCGTGTCGACACTCAGTGGTCGACGACGGTCTAAGTACAATGTTCAAGCTATTGAGCAGAAACACTATACTATATTGACCTAGGGAATGAATGTGCTGAGTGCCTCGAGTTCTCCGCTTGATATATATACAAAGTGTCGGCATATGCCAAAGGTGCGAGCATTCCACTTAATGTCCAAGTGTGTCAATGAGCGCGACTAAGTTCTACGCGATCTCTAGTGAGATCAGATTGGCTTTGACCGATTTCTTTCGTATCCGTTTACGTCAACTCGCATCATCATATTGGATCGTTTCCTTCAGCATCCACAACCTCAGCTTGTGTGTGAGCTCAACACGACAGGATCACAGAAAGCGGGTTTGTGATCGCTTAAGATGATAGAATAATATAAGCTGCATTACGCTTCATCGATACTCCTTCCACCTGGCGACCTTTGATACGATGATTGAATGTAGTTATACACGATAGAGTGGCCCCGTCCTGTTCTATTCCGTAACTTGGCTTTATGCGATTACTGACTACTCGAGCTGTCTCTAGAATCAACAGTTTTACCCAAACCCAAAAGCAATTCTGCTGCTTGATGATCGTCCCCCTCCGCAACTGGTCTTGCCATCGATCTCAAACTCGCTTTTCTCGGCGAAACGACTTTCTTGCCTTTCACCAACATCTCTCCTCTCCTATTCTCGTCGTCGTCGTCACTGAACGCCTCGAAGAACCCTGAATCATCATGTCCGAACCTTTCCCCGGTTTCACGAGAGATGAGTGGGGTGCAAGAACCAAAGTTGCTCCTATCCCCGAGCACTCTAGAGGGAGTGGATGCGGTGAGAGAAGGTAAGGGTTGAGAGAGGGATTCCATTCCGCTACCAAGGGGATGGGTGGAACGGGGAGTCCAACTTTCTTCACCAGAGTAAGTGCGAGTGTGGGAGGATTCCCAAGGACGGTTTGTTTGGCGAGAAGGGAGGGAGGGATGACGGGGGTAGTTGGCTGAGATGGATCGGCCGAGGGTTATGGTGGTGGCGGGCGACGTTCCGATTGCTCGGAATCGATCGGATCGGGTGCTCAGTGGGATGGTGAAAGCAGGGGTGTTGGAGGAAGGGGTGGAGGGAACGATCATTGTTGGACCCATAGGACGAGTTGTGGAGGAAAGGAAGGAGGAATGGTGAGTGAATGGACGAGAGGAAAGCATGGGGGTTGGCATCCCACTGCCGAAAGATGCGGGCCGAGTTTCAGGAACGCTGAACGAGGTTGCAACGTCTTCCAGCTGTGCTTTTCTGCGTTTGGGAGCTGGAGCGGCGGTAGCGATCTTCTTTGCAGCAGCAGAGGAAGGCGGAGGTCGGTTCTCGTCAGTGACCTGTATAGCAGAGGCTGGACGCTTTCGACCACCGGTAGTGGTGGGTTTGACTGCATCGTCCTTTCTTTTGGCTTCATGTAGACGTCGAGTGAGGTCTGTGGCTGATAACGAGCGTCTTCCGGTAGCAGCCTTGCTCTTCTTCTCTCCGTTTGTGGGAGCACTGCGACCGAGCTGTTGTTGTTGTTGTTGTTGTTGTTGTTGTTGTTGTTGCTTGCGAGGAGGAGTAGACTCGCTAGGCATCCTCTGCAAGCTCAACTGCCGAGCACTGACGCTGCGTGATAAAGGCGTACCACCAATGCTGATGGGCAAAGCCGAAGTCGAAGCTCGATCTCTGCCTGCTGCCCAATCTAAGCTGAGTTGTCTGGCTGAAGGCAAACCAACTACCGTCGCACCGCTCTTCTTGGAGATGCTACCCAGGGAGCCATGAGCAATAAGAGAAGAGTTGCAGGATCCAGCTTGCGTTTGGATGGCTTGTCTGGCATCAGCGCATCCAGGGTCCATGGGGACAATCACCCGGGTATCCACAGATGATGCAGCTGCCTTCTCGCGCGCAGCCTGAGCTTTGGCAAGAGCGGATGCTTGTGCTTTAGCAGCACGTCGCTGAGCGATAAGTTTTAATGTGCGTTCCTCATCTTCTTCGCTGTCTTGGCGGGCGTTGTGTGGTGGATAGTCAGCATCGCTGCTGGATGCACTGCTGCTGGGCATCATCTGGAGCAGACCTTTGCCTCGGACAACGCTGAGAGTGTCTTTGGTGGGTTGCATGCCGATGATGCCCTGGCGCTGAAGTGCAACAGTGAGCTTGGGAGGGAGACTGGAAGTCAAGGAGGCCGAAGCGGTACCTTGTTTGGGCTGTGGGGCGGGCGAGGCTTCTTTGCGCAGTTCAAAGTTGCCAAGGCTAGCTCGACCACCAGATGTGGTCAAGAGGCTAAGGCTCGATGAGCTAGAGGCACGAGAGAGAAGCTTGGGTGGAGGCAAGATGGTATCGAGCTGCTCTTGCTCAATTTCGCTTGAAGCGGGCTTGGCCAGAGGAGCGTTGTGATCAGTAGCAGAACGGCGGAGCATGTTGCTGCGTCCACTGAGCACATCGTCTAGGGACAGGCGGGGGACTGAACTATGACGCGACAATGCTGACGACTTGGAGCTGGAAGCAGCCGCCTGGATAGGAAGAGGGACAGTGTCGACCTCGACGCGATGAGCAGTGATACCAACACCTTCGGGCCCGACTGCCTGACGCAGATCGCGAGCGATAGCTTCTTGTTGCTTGGTCAAACTAGCAGCAAGGGGAACGTCGCGCTTGATCTTCTCGAATGAGCGTTTGAGCGGAGAAGCCTCGGTGGTCTCGCGGCCAGCCAGGAGCCAGGGTGGAATGTTTTCCTTGTTGTTCTGGCTCAAGTCTTTCAACACTGATGGGTCGAAGGTTTTGGTAGGAGCGGCCGCGTTAGCACTAGCATTACCCAAGGGTTTGCGCTGCACAGGTGCAGGTACAGGTGCAGGTACAGGTGCGGGTGCGGGTGCGGGTGCGGGTGCGGGTGCGGGTGCAAATGCAGCAGCAGATGGTCGTGCCGGAGACTCTTGGGGAGCTGGTGTGGCGCCAGGAGCGATGCCCGAGCCGCCATAGCGATTCGACCTCTTCTTCTCGGCTTGTCTTCTGTTCTGGAACCACACCGATACAGCTCTGCAAGTGACAAAGTGAGAGAGAGTAAGGTCAGCATAGGGTAGCGCGAGTCGTGCTGCATGGGGGTGAATGGCTTACCTGACAGACATGCCAACGCGATTGGCAAGGAAAAGACGAGCCTCATGATCGGGGAAAGGGTTCTTTGCATAGACCTCAGCTAGCAGGTTGGCTTCATCAGGACGCGTGCGCCTTCTTCTACGGATCTCATTCTTTGCGTCTTCACCGAGGACACTAGCGGTGCTCTCGAAAGAGTCGTCGCCGATCATCGAAGCTGCCGCTCGCATCTGCGCATTACGGTAGGAAGGGTCTACTGCATCATCCTCCTGGTTCTTCTGCGCCAGGTTGGAGACTGACAGACGATTGACGTCGATGGCGGGACTTTGCGATGCAGTGATAGGCTGAGCTTGGAGCTTGTTGCTTTGACTGACTTCTACCTGTTCACGGTCATTGTTGGGGGGAGCGTAACTGGCGTGCGAGGGAGGCGGTAGCTGGGTGGTGGTGTTGGTGCTGTGGAGATGCTCAATGGATATAAGACCGTGGGATGGTCGTGGCGGAAGGTGGTGATCGTGATCTGTCCAGTGCTGATGTCTGAAAGCGTCGCGCGAGACGAGAGGGGTGGTGACGATGTGACGCGGACTTGCAGCATGAGAGGCTGGATCGCTGCGATCTTCGGCACGTGGCGAGCTGGAGCGATTCTGAAACAAGGCTGCGTCTTTGTTGATGTAGGAGGAGAAGCTGTCTACGGACGCGGCGGCAGGACTACTTCTGGGGTGAAGATGCTGCTGCGGTGGCGTTTCAAGAGGGACTGCATCGCGACCATCAGACTGGGAAGAGCGGCGATGCTGCGAGCTCATGTCCAGACGATGAGAGCTAGAGGCAGCAGCGTGAAGCGAAGGAGGTGTACACTTTTCCTCACCAGTCATGATGATGGGTGATAGGCGAAGACTATGTACCGACGCACGCGACGTCCGGACGCGATAGTGGCGAGCAAAATGAGGCAGCGAGTTGGCTGGCTGATGGGATAAGGGGGGGGGGGGGGGGGGGAAGATCAGGACCGACAAAGAACGTAGTGCAGGGCCATTTGCAGGCGTAGCAGCTGATGTTGATGATGATGATGATGATGAGCGAATCCTCCGCTATGGTTTGGGGTAGGGCAGCGACAATGTGATGGACTGCAGGAGGAGAAAGTATACGAGATGATGTAGGGAGATGGAAGGATAGCGTAGGATGGACGCCTCGTAAGTGTTGGAGGTGAGTTGCAAGTCGTGGTCGCTCTTCTGTGCCAGTCGGAACTCACGGTGCATTCCGCACGCACCCCTTTGTCGCCATGACGCGGTGGCAGGTCGCACAGACAACTACGCGAAGGCGTGTCTTTTCCTCTTTGGACAAGCTCGTGGGAAGAAAAAAAAAAAAAAAAAAACAAAAAACAAAAAACGAGTCAGGTGGAGAAAGACACGTCTCGTCGCGGTGCATTTGCCAGTTCCGCGTTGGCTTCGGTGTTTTTCTGTTGACAGCTCTCCGCGTGCTTGGCGTGAGTCGTCTCGAAGAGTTAAAGTGGCTTCGTGTTAATGAATCCTCCGCGTTCAACTACGCGCCGTGTCGATGCGGATCACATGACCTAGCCCCCGCTTTGGTTTGTTAGGCCGTAGCATCACACACTATATCACAGAAAGAGGTGGAGGCTTCCAACTCAGTCAAAGCCTGTGACACGCTGCAAGGTGGTGGCACTCTTCTCTCCTATATACCGTCTCATCATCACCCTTGCCCTGACCGTAGATCCATTCCGGTAACAGCAGGACCAGCAGAGCCAGCAGAGCCAGCAGAGCCAGCAAGACGCAAGCAGCCTCCAAGTCGAGGCCCGCCATGTCGATACAGGACCATTTACAGTCCTTTCTCTCGGCAGCATCGAGCTCGCAACGAACAGTAGACGCCGACGAACAACTCATAGGATCACTCCAAGGCCACGTCAATACCCTCCTCAAGTCTACCACAGACCAGCCCAGCTCGGTGACACTTACTGCAAGCCCAGATCTCGCCAAGCATGCTTCTTCTTCAGCTAGCCATGTCTGGTCTCAATTCCAGCGTTTCGTCTCGCTCAATCGATCTGTCGAGCAAGCAGGTCAGGATGCAATCGATGACTATCCACACGAGATGCAAGCCTCGGCCGCTGAGCATTGGGATCGAAGCGACTACCATCCATCTCACCACTCGTCCCCTGCTGTAGCTGGGCTCGAAGACCACCTAGCTCACCTCACTGCTGCTGATCCCCAGCTCGCAGAAAGCTTGCGTCAGACTGTTCTCGCTTCCCTCTCTTCTCCCCGTTCGGGAGATGAGGTGTCAGCCGAGCTCGCAGAAGCCATTGGCTTTCAACATCTTGACTTGGTCGGTAGCGTTGTCAGTGATCGTCAAACCGTGCTTGCAGCACTGCAGTCACACGACTCGATCACAGCATCACACCTGAACCGATCAGCAGATATCTCGCAACATCGCCCATCACTGATTGCACTGCCACATCATCAACCACAACAGCAGCATCATCATCCACACGGCTCTTTCCATCGTGGCGCTCGACCTTACCTTCCTGGCTCGCAAGTCGTTGTCCAGACACAAGGAGAGCGTCAACAAGCTCGCAGATTCAAGAACGACCTTCGCAAAGGCAACCGTCAGAGAGCTGTCGACCCAAGCGAAAGTATTCGCACCTACACACCAGAAGAGCTCGAGCGTATCCGCGAAGAGAGTCTTGCTGCTGCTGCCAACCGTCCACTCTTTACCGGCACTGCCACTGGCGCCGATGATGTACGCTATCCACACGTCTTCTCCTCTGCACCTCAAGGCAATGTCCTTTCTGTCTTTGGTCAGAAGTTTGCCCTGCCACTCGGCACAGTACGTGAAGAGAAGCAATTCTTTGAGCAAGTCACCATCCCTCCACCGCGCACTGTTCCCATGCGAAGCGAAGAGCGCTACATCCCGATTCCAGAAATGCATCCTATCTGTCGCGGTGCGTTCCCAGGGTACAAGAGTCTCAATCGACTACAAAGTGTCGTCTATCCTTTGGCATACAAGACCAACGAGAATTTGCTCATCTGTGCTCCTACCGGTGCTGGTAAGACCGACGTAGCCATGTTGGCCGTGATGCGCGCCATCAGTCAGTATGCTCGCAACTTGGAACCGACAGCAGGCAGTGCCGGCGCAGGCTTCGACATTCGCAAGAACGATTTCAAGATCATCTACGTCGCTCCCATGAAGGCGCTCGCAGCAGAAGTTGTGCGCAAGTTCAGCAAGCGTTTACAATACCTTGCTATCAAGGTGCGCGAGTTGACCGGTGATATGCAGCTTACTCGCCAGGAGATCGCCGAGACACAGATGATCGTCACAACTCCCGAGAAGTGGGATGTGGTGACACGGAAGCCTACCGGTGAAGGCGAGCTGGCCACAAAGGTGAGGCTTCTCATTATCGACGAGGTTCATCTGCTTCACGATGAGCGTGGTTCTGTCATTGAGACTATCGTTGCGCGTACGCTGCGACTTGTCGAATCGAGTCAGTCGCTCATTCGTATCGTTGGTCTATCAGCTACATTGCCCAACTACGTCGATGTAGCTGACTTCCTTCGTGTCAATCGATGGCAGGGTCTTTTCTACTTTGACTCCTCCTTCCGACCTGTTCCGCTCGAGCAGCACTTCCTCGGTGTTAAAGGCAAAGCTGGCTCGCAGCAGTCTCGAGCCAACCTGGACAAGGCCTGTTTCGAGAAGGTATCCGAGCTCGTTCAGGCCGGTCACCAAGTCATGGTCTTCGTCCATGCCCGAAAGGAAACCGTCATAACAGCGCAAACTCTCCGAGAGATGCTCCGCCAAGAAGCCATGAGCGACATCCTGCAAGCTGCAGCCGACGAGAATCCGAAAAAGGCTTTCTTCAAGAAAGAGCTACAGTCTAGTCGCAACCGCGAGATGAAGGAATTGTTCGATTACGGCTTTGGTATTCACCATGCAGGCATGCTTCGTTCCGACCGTACGTTGAGCGAGCGTATGTTCGAAGCAGGTGTCACCAGAGTGCTCTGCTGCACGGCTACACTTGCTTGGGGTGTCAACTTGCCAGCGTATGCAGTCGTGATCAAGGGCACAGACGTGTACGATTCGTCCGCGGGCAAGTTTGTCGATCTGTCCATTCTAGATGTTCTGCAGATTTTCGGTCGTGCTGGTCGTCCGCAGTACGAGGATCTCGGTGTGGGTTACATCCTCACATCGCAAGATAGGCTCTCGCACTACGTCGATGCTATCACTTCACAGCATCCGATCGAGTCCAAGTTCATCGGAGGGCTCATCGATTCGCTCAATGCAGAGATCTCGCTCGGTACGGTCGCTAGTGTGAGGGACGGTGTCTCTTGGCTTGGCTACACCTATCTTTTCACGAGAATGAAACGCACGCCACTCACCTACGGTATGACGTATGACGAGGTTGTTGATGACCCGCATTTGGGGGTCAAACGTCAGCAGCTCATTAACGTCGGCGTGAAGAAACTTGTGGAGTGCAAGATGGTGGAGCATGATACCATCACTGATCGTCTCAAGGTCACCGATCTTGGTCGCATCGCTGCAAAATACTATATCGGCTATAAGACGATCGAGACGTTCAACGAGCGCATGCGTAGCAACATGAGCGAAGCCGATGTACTCGGCCTTCTCAGTCAAGCTGCTGACTTTGAACAGATCGTACCACGAGATGCGGAGGAGAAGGAGCTCAAGAAAATGCTCAAAGTTGCACCATGCCAAGTCTCAGGGGGTATCGAAACTTCAACTGGCAAAGTCAACATTCTGTTACAGGCGTATATTTCGCGAACTTATATCGAGGATTTTGCGCTTGTTTCTGATTCGGCTTATGTCGCTCAGAATGCTGGACGAATCATTCGCTCGTTACTCGAGATTGCTCTGAGTCGAAGATGGGCTCCGACGGCATCGGCTTTGATCTCGATGAGTAAGGCGATCGAGAAACGTATGTGGCCATTCGACCATCCTTTGCAGCAATCGCATCTTAATCCGGATACGCTCTTTGCGCTCACGGAACGAGCGGACGATGTCGAAATCGAGCAGCTCGCCGAAATGTCACCGAGCGAAATTGCAAAGTTGATACGAGTCAATGCAAGGATGGCCAGTGCGGTCCGTCAAGTGGCACGAAGTTTCCCTCGTCTTGCCACCTCAGCTTCGCTTCGACCTCTCAGTCATGATTTGCTGCGTATTGATGTTCGCGTCGATCGAACATTCGACTGGAGCGAACGCGATCTCGGTCGTCTACACGGCTTCTATATCTGGGTAGAAGACGAGGAGGGAGCAGAGATTTTGCAGTGGTTGACGCATCTTACGCGCCTTACCGACTCGCACACCTCGAGCGTATCTTTCACCATTCCACTACGAGAGACCTTGCCATCGGGACTCAAAATTCGATGGATGTCGGACAGCTGGCTGGGTAGCAAAGGTAGCGAATGGATTGCGTTTGACGATCTGATCGTACCGGGTAAACCACCAGCGCACGATTCATTGCTGGATTTGCCGTTGCTTCCTGTGCGATCGGCGTTGAGGGATGAGCTGCTGTGCGAGATGTACGCGCAGAAGTTGAGCGCGTTTAATGCGATTCAGACGCAAAGCTTCCATACCATCATGTATACGAAGGCTAATACGTTGCTGTGTGGGCCGACAGCTTCGGGCAAATCGACGGTTGCAGGGATGGCGGTCTGGCGTGCTTTGCAGCAGGGAGATAAGAAATGCATCGTTATGGTTTACAATATGAGAGACCTCTTGGCTTCTGCACTTAAAACCACCCTGGTTGCAGCGCTGAAGCAGAAGGGGATCGAGGTGAAATGCACTTCGCTCTCCAAGCGAGTCATTCCGTTCATCTGCAACGATAGTGTGGGGGCTAGAGTGTTGCTCACCACATCGAGCAATCTGTTGCGCGCACTGGATGTAAGGCAAGACTTGGTAACTCACACTTCTTTGCTGGTTGCAGAAGATTTGCATCTGCTGGATGCGAGCTACGAATTAATGCTGGCTAAGTTCATGTGGTGTTCCGCTCGAGCACATACCGAGGATGGTGTTGGCAAGCCACGGATAGTCGCGACAAGTGCGAGTCTCAACGATGCCAGTTCGCTATCAGCATGGATTGGAGCGGATGAATTTTCAACGTACAACTTCCATCCCAAAGATCGACCTTCAATCCTCTCGACCTCTTTCCAAGCGTTCGATCTACCGCATTCCTCTGGTCTGCTAAAAACGATGGTCAAACCGGCATTCGACAAGATGAAAGAGACTCGCTCTAGCGGGCCTGCTCTCGTCGTTGTCCCATCCGTTTGGCAATGTTTCACGGTTGCTTCGGACCTAATCACAAAAGCGGCAGCGGAAATGGAAGATGGCTATCTAGGTTTACCCTCAGAAGAGATCGAATCCATCCTTCCGCACATCTTGGACACATCGCTCCACGAGGCGCTGGTACATGGGATTGGAATTCTGACAGAAAAAATGGTGCATCAGGACCGATCGCTGATGGAACACTTGTACCATCAGGGCTTAGTGAAAGTTATCATCACTTCTCGAGACTGCTTATGGTCGGTCACACTTAGCGCGGCGTTAGTGGTAGTAATGAGTACGCAATATGTTAGGATTACAAAGGCCAATAATGCTGGTATTTCCGATCGGGAACTGGTAGACTACAGTCTGGCAGAGTTGGGTCGGGCGCAGAGTTTAGCTGTTCGACCCGGTACGCCGAGTGATCCCAATCCGACTGGGGAATGTTTGGTGCTATGTCAGACGGATAAAGCTGGGATGCTGGAGAAGATGTTACATACTGGTATGCCTTTGCATTCGACGCTGCTGCAGAATGAACATAAGCGTTCTCCCCTTCTGCCGATGGTGCTGGGCGAGATAGTGGATGGGGTGGTGGAGAGGGAAGAGCAGGTAATGGATGTGTTAAGTTGGACCGTTTTGCCTGCTGAACTTATGCGCAATCCGACTTACTACGATTGTCGCACTAACGATGCTGGTTCGGTGATGGCGAGGTTGACGGAAGTTGGGGGGGAATGGTTGCAGACGTTGAGGGATCTAAGACTTATAGGAAAGGGTGGGAAACTAGAGGCGACGGAATTGGGAAAAGCATTGCATCAACAGCCCGGATCGACATTGTTACATGTGGTAAGATGGTTTGTGAATATGTCGGCGAAACCAAATAAGGCAGCTAAAGAGATGGAAACTTTTATCCCTACGCCTCGGCTTAAGGGCGAGAAGGAACCAGTGGAGGGCAGGCTGGAAAGGGAGGTTTTGGAAGCAACATTGACGCAGGTGGGGGACGAGTGGAAGAGTGCATTCCGTCTCTCCACCCATCCCCGCCCCGATGGGAAAGATGGAGAAGAGAAGGAAGGGGAAGAGGGGGAGAAGAAAGAAGTGACTTATGGACTCAAGCACAGACTTTTGCTCTGCCTCTATTTTGCCAAGTTGCAACTCATTACTCCCTCCAAAGCAGCATTCTTAGGGCTTAGTCGGCGGGCGAGAAAGAGACAACAACAGCAAAATCAGCAAAATCAGCAAAACGAAAATGGAGAGGACCATGATGATGATGAAGAAGCAATCGCACCTTCTGCAGGTGGCGACGAAAAAGCTTTTGCAAGGGTGATTGAGAGGTTGGAAGAAGAGCAAGCGGCTGAAGTTTTGGCTCTGTTGGGGGCTATTAGTTCTGTTGGTGGTCGCAATTGACTCTGCCTGTTTGTCATCTAGACTTTGCAATCGTATCAAGGAGCAATGTAGTATGGAATGCGTTTGTGCGATCGTGTCAAGAAAAAAGAAAGTTGACAAGGTGTATTACGGGTCGGTATGAGGAAAGCCGAAGTAACCGAAATACCTAACCTACCAATTCCTTAACTCCGGGAATTTTACCGAAGCGTTTATTTCGCCGGAAAACGGCCCAGGGTCTGTGCTTTGTGACTGGTGCGACCATCATCCTTTCTCACCATATCACTTCTTGCACCCCTTCCAACCACTCGCCACCAGCAAATATGTCAACCCAAACTCGCCCAGAAGTGCTATGTATAGGCTTCGGCGCACTAGGAACCATCTATTCCTACCTACTATCCCGGGGTGGAGCTTCGATCACTGCCGTCGCTCGATCGAACTACACCACCCTTACCACAACCGGTATCCGCATTTCTTCAGCTAAATATGGCGAGATTCCAGGGTGGAAACCGGATAGGGTTATTCGCGAGAGTGAACCCGAAAGCGCTCAGGATAGGGTGTATGATTTTGTCGTTTGTGCCTTTAAAAACGTGCCTGATTATAAGAGCGCCTCTTCTATCATTCGGCCCTTTTTAAGTAGGGGCGCAGCTGGTGGTGGAGGAGGGGAAGGGGGTAAGTCACCCACGATAGTATTACTTCAGAATGGGGTAGGGATAGAAGAAGAGGTACAGCGAAACCTGGTCGAAGGAAAAGGGGAGGGAGGGGAAAAGTTAGCTGGAGCTGTGATAAGTGCTGTTGCTTGGATCGGAGCGAACTTAGTCGAGGGAGGTACAAAAGTCAGCCATGGTGCGCTGGAAAGATTAGAGATGGGCGTATATCCTTCCACCATTTCCTCCCTTCTCCCTTCTGGCCTTCGACAAGTTTCTCCGTACCAACAGGCGGCACTCGACACTTTCACCTCTATCTACACTTCAGGCGGGGGAGGCGGGAGTGCGGTAGGCGACATCGAAGCGGTAAGATGGAAGAAAGTCCTTTGGAACGCTTCTTGGGGCGCACTCTCAACTCTCGCTCGACTCCCAGTCTGCGATCTTCTAACAGAAGATACGCTACACTATTCAGTAGGAGTGGTGAGGAGGATCATGTTGGAGATAATATACGTTGGAAGGGCGTGTGGGATGACAGAAGAAAGATTCCCAATAAGCTCGGTCGATCAAGCATTAAATATCACTTTAGCGACGTCAGACGTGGATGGGCTGAAAGACGAGAAGAATGGTGGAAGGTTAGCGGCGGATTTCAAACCGAGTATTTTGCTAGATCTGCAGAATGGTAGGCCGATGGAGTTGGAGGTGATCATTGGGACTATTGTGCGGTTGGCAAGAGAGAAAGGAGTGGATACACCGAGATTGGATTTAGTGTTGGGTGCTTTGAAGCCTAATCAAGTGCAAGCTATCAGAACTGCTCGACAAAAGGATGGCGGTAAAGGGGAGGCCGAGGTGGAAGGGGTGACAAAGTATAGTGATTTAGTTGCGACTAGTAGGGGTAATTGGCCTGCTGGTGCGCCCGTCTCCTCATCTCCCAGCACTTATCTCTGAAGTCCACTCTTCACAAAGCTGTAAGAATAGTGTCCATTACATTCATTCATCCATCTAGCGTGGTGTTGGATCTAGTGAAAGATCCCATAAAGCACAAACAACAAAACCACAGCACTAAACCCAGCCAACCCGATGACTTTCACATTCTTCCACCACATCTGTCTCCTCAACCCTACGGCTCTTCTTCTAAACGCCATACTTTGGTTCGCTGCATTATCCGTTCGATCCATCAACAATTCTATCCTTTCCCCCCTACTCAAGATCTGTTCCACATTGTGAGTCATTATATCCTTCACTCCCGCCAACTCATTCTTTGCTTGTGCGATTGGATCTACTCCTTGAGGATCCGCGTTGAACTTGTTTACTAGCTCTTTTAACTCTTTTGTCAACCCTGAGTGATCCGTAGAGGAGATTTCGTCTTCAGAAGGGACTTCGTAAGAGGATAGAAAATGTCTCTGAACATGAGCAAGAAAAGCAAAAGGAATACGGCGGCCAGTGTCGGTGTCTGCAACAGCCATATAGACAAGGTTGTCGGAAGAGACGTAGTGGAAGAGCCAATCTTCGAATGCGTAGGAAAGTTTGGAGGAGTTAGGAGGGATACGGGATAGGATCGTTTGGGCTGCGGGGAGGAAACGATCGTGGGCTGGGTCGTGAGTTTCGGCTAGGATGTGAGATCCTTTTGCGACAAGGGCGAGGACGATCATGGGTGCGGTTTTGGGGAGGAGCGGATGTCTAGATTTCTAGGCCGAGACAGTAGTTGGGTCTAAGTAAGGGGTTGATAGGCCAGTGTTGAGGGTGGTGCGTATATGTACCAGAGCTGGAAGGATGGTAGTGACGTTGACTGAGGATAGATTGTGAGATGGTATGGTGATGTAGAAGAGATTAGAGATGATGGTGAGTAAATTGATGGTGTTGAAGGGCTGAGTTGCAAGTGTGTGCGTGCGTGGAAAAGGGTTGAGTTGCGACATTAACAATGTGCCCAAACGTAGATCTGACACTTTTATTATATACGGCTAAATCCTCGAAGAAAAACGGTTTCCCCGGACTTCTTTTCGGCAATTTCTAGAAGAAGGCCGATGTGGGGTAAACCATATCCTTCGCCAAGGGCCCAAGCGCTTTCGACCTCCGGTCATACGTCTTCATCCCGGCTCGAAGACCTTGTCCCCCCCTCCCCACCACAGTCTACCTCATATATATATCCCATTCCTTGCCCCCTCCTTCTCCCTTACCAAACTGCTTCTCTTGACTTGTCACAGCTGTTGAAACTAAGCCCGTCATGACAACAACTCTACCTCCACCCCAACCACTCGTCTGGTTCCCGTCCCCCATCGAACTTGAATCCACCTCGGTCGACAAATTCCGTCGCTTCGTCAACGCTCGTCACAATCTCAACCTTACCACCTACAATGATCTCCACTCTTTTTCCATCGATCGTCTCACCGATTTCTGGTCTGCTGTATGGGATTTTGCTGGAATTCGCTCATCTTCTCGTTTCAGCTCTGTTCTTTCCGACCCTGATGCGCTCCCGGGCGACTTACCAACGTGGTTCCCCGGCGCAACCTTTTCCATGGCTCAAAACGTTCTTTTCCCTCTCCATCCGTCCAATGCTACCGCTTGTAATCCTCATGCTCCGTACAGCTGGCCTCATCCTCAATCCACCGCTTTGATCGAAGTTCCCGAGGGGGGAGGATTGGCCGACTCCGATGACAGAGCAAAGGCGGTGAAAGTGAGCTGGGGAGAACTTCGAAGAAGGGTAGCGTTGCTCGCAGAGACGTTCAGAAGAGTAGGTGTGAACAAGGGAGATAGACTGGCACATGTCAGCGCGAACAGTGTTTCTCCCGTGGTGGCGACGCTGGCGAGTAACAGTGTCGGAGCAATTTACAGTCTGATCGCGACCGATGCTGGACCGCAAGCTATCTATGGAAGGTTGGCGCACATCAGACCGAAGCTCCTGTTTACCGACGATGCTGTGCTGTATAATGGTAAACAGGTTGATATTTTGGATAGGGTTGCCCGTGTGGCGGAAAGGTTGATGGAGGATGACAAAATTGATACCCCGTTAACGTTTCAGGTTGTTATCGTGAGGAATAAAAGGCTGCCTAATGCTAGTCCCCTTTGGAGATCGGCCAAAGTCAAGGGCGTGGAGTTTGACTCCTTTGTCACGAGTACGGGCTTGCAAGCGACAGATAGCCCTCCGCACAGGTTCGAACAACTGGAAGCACAGCACCCGGTACAAATCTTTTTCAGTTCAGGTACAACAGGCGAACCGAAATGCATCATCCACACTCAGTGTCTTCTGTTAAACATGAAGAAGGAGGCTTTGTTGATGATGGATCTGAAACCCAACGATGCCTTTTTGCAGGTCACGAGCTGCGGTTGGATCATGTGGGTCTACCACCTCGTTGCTCTTTCAATGGGTTCTACTGCGGTGCTTTATGATGGATCCCCGATGTATCCTAACGCATTGCACGTCGTTAGGGTAGTATCGCACTTGAACTGCTCAGGGTACGGTGCAAGCCCTCGCTTCCTCAGCGAATTGCAGAAATACTGTAGCGAAAACAACTTGAACATCCCTAAACAGCTCGGTTTGGAGAAAGGAAAGTTCCGTATGATGACGAGCACTGGCTCCCCGCTGTCGCCGAAGAACGTCGAGTTTTTCTATAAAGCCTTCCCGAAGAGGGCGCACTTGTGCAGTATTTCGGGTGGTACGGATATGGCAGGAGTGTTGGTGGGTCCGAGTAAGATGTTGCCGCTGTATGGGAACTTTATCCAGTGCAAGGCGCTTGGCTTTGATATCCAGGTGTGGGATGCAGAGACGGGAGAGAGGATTGACGAGACTGGTAAGCCGGGAGAACTTATTGTGGCGAAGCCGTTCCCAACCCAGCCCTCCGGATTCTTTGGTCCCCCGGAAGAGAAGGAAGCGCTGTATGAAAAGTATATGGATTCCTACTATACTAGATTCCCAGGCAGAAAGGTTTGGGCGCAAGGTGACTTTATTTATCAAGATCAAGGTACAGGCGGTTTGGAGATCCTGGGACGATCTGATGGAGTTTTGAACCCGGTAAGCACCTCCCCCCTTCCCCCCTTCCCCCCTTCCCCCCTTCCCCCCTTCCCTCCTTCTTGACTGACTTTATGTCATTGACTCTTTCTGTGTCTTTCTGGGATGGTAGAGCGGAGTCCGTTTTGGGAGCGCCGAAATCTACAGCGTGGTCGAGAAGTTCGAGTTCGTCGGCGACAGCATCGTTGTAGGTCAACTGAGAAAGGGTAAAGACGAACACGAGCGGGTGCTTCTCTTTATCAAGATGCGCGATCCCTCGGCCACCCTCTCGTCTTCGCAGATTGGAGAGTTGAACAAAGCGATCAAGACTGCATACTCGGCTAGACATGTACCCGAACATACGTTCCAGATTCAAGATATTCCAGTAACGCTCAACGGGAAGAAGACCGAGCTGGCCGTCAAGGCGGTCGTCAACGGCAATCTGGCGTTCAAGCCTTCAAGTGTAAGTACCACCGCGGTCCGGGCATCATGATGATGTGAGAGGAAGAGATTGCTGACATGGGTCCGATCTGTGTTTTGTGTAGGCTACGGCAAATCCTCAAAGCTTGGAAGAATATAAGCAGTATGCCGATTTGGAAAGTGTGCTTGCTCGATCGGCTGGTGGGAGGGCTTCGAAGCTTTGATCGCCTTCTCTTTCGATGCTTTGTCATATTCTCGTTGTTTGGTTTGTTTGTATGTTTGGGGTCCATTGGGATGGTAAGGCCGTTTTCTATGAATTCATCAAATGTTAGAGGTCGAGCGAAAACCATGTGCTTCTCTCGAATTGAAGTTGACGACGGCTGACGGCATCACAGCAAGTTGCAGACTGTGCGAGTGGCACGCCCCTTGAGCCCGCCCATGGATACAGAACAAAGCTTCCAGATCAGCGCTGAGAGTGGTTCCCCCTCGATCTTCAGCTTTGTCTTCTAGGTACAGCTCCAGAAGGAACTGAGACGTCCGTTTCCTGGACGCGGTGTAATCACGAGCTCTCTTTGCGCTCGATACAGTGGCAGAGCCAGCATTCTATGAATCGCGACGAGTGAGCAAATGATAGAAGCTACAAATCATGATGAGGTTGGGTTCTAGACTCCACTTCTGAAGCCAACGGGATCGGCGCAATCAGGAGAGTCGTTTTAGGATTGATAGCGAGGATTACGATCCGAGCAGCATGGATTTTCACGACTGGCTGATACCGATACGGGCCAAGGTCACATGACATATTGTATTAGCCCAACCAGATATCCTGAGCAAAGAAGCTTAGAAGACCACTGGCGCGCACACTCCGACATGAACACTGTTGTTTACGACTTTAACCGAAGTGAGCGGGCTAAAGCTCGCGATCCGAAAAGGATGAGCTCCAGGTGGTCTATGGAGATCGGTAACCGTTTTCGTGAGCAGCGTGTGTGTCACGCCTGGACACCTTCTCGTGCGAACACATGCCGCACGAGAGCGGTCGATTCCTATCGTTGCTTTGTACGCAAACTAGTACTTAAACTAGCTTCCCTCTAGATCCTCCTTCCCGCAATCCACTTCGTTACACCTTTGCATCGCGCATATAGCCTGCGCATGTAACATCTATTCACTTATCCAACGCTATTCGCTTCAACAACAACAACATCATCATCAACAAAAAGATTGATTGAGGAGAATGAACATATTCACTTGGAAAGAGGCACATCGGAATCAAACTGGAATGACCTAGCCATCGGAGCGTGCGTGAGACCTAACTCCATGAGAGAACAGAACGTCAAGGGACGGGAGGGCGGGTGAACTTGAAAAGCGCTGAACGGAGCCAGCGCGAGAGTGAGATGATGGTGAGGAGGGAGGAGAGGTGAGATGAGATGAGACGAGTGAGCGGGTAAACTCGCTCACTTGCTGCCCAACGACTTGCGCGCGGATCTCGCAATGAAGTCAGGTGGGTTGCCATTGGTGGCTGTGAAACAGGCGCCACACCTTGTTTTATCAATTTGATACAATAGAGATTCAGCCGACTGGTGCGTCAGATGAAAGTGTGGGAGGGTCGTGCTTGTATCAGCTCGTACCAGGCCGATCGTCGGGACGACCGATGTTTGTGTCAAGCAGAACGCTTCGGCCTTTCGGATGATCGTATCGTGCTGAACACCTCGACCGTATCAGCGAAAGATAAGGGTCGGCAGGAGGTAAGGGTCAGGAGGAGATAAGCACCTAGGCTCTATCGCTGTATGCTGTTCTGCCGATTCCGCCTCCAAGACTCCTTGCTTCCATCACGTCTCTGGCTCGCTTCGCTCGGCCAACGTCGTTTCTCATTCCAATATACTAGAGGATAATGCAACCCCTATCGTCAAAGACGGTTTCTTGACCGACTTCACCTTCGCCGACAATACTAGTGCATATTATGTCAAATATATGGAAGCAGGCATAAGATTTTTGTACAATCCCGGCGATAGTGGTAATAGTGATAACTGTTTTCGTCTAAGCTGGAACGTAATTGGTGAGGAGAGCTGGACTTGGGAGTTGAGCGGAGCTGTGGCAAATGGCGGAGGGAAGTTATTTGAAACACGCCATAACGGTCATGATACTGTCCAGGTTTGCGATCGTTATGTTGATCTTTGGTTGGAGAAGGTATGACAATGTGACAAGAAAGCTGGATCCTGAAAAGGGGCTTGTTTGGGCTGGCTAGGGCTTGAGCATGATGCATTTATGTTCTCAGCCGTTTTGCGCGCCGACAGAGAATTGTATACACCATACTTTATCGAGTGCTGTCATGCTCGGCAAGTGACTCACTTTCATCTTTGCTTACTACTGCGACTGGTCTATGTTGGGTCAAGTGACAGATTTGGATGGTAGGATGCGATTTTATTACGTGTGGCGACGATGGACGGCAGGGGCGGGGCTCATGTAACGGTAGTGTGTGCGAAAAGCGACAGCGTGTTCCGACACTTCGGAAAGCGAAAATCGGGGTGTTTTTTTTTTTTTTTTTTTTTTTTTTTTTTTTTTTTTTTTTTTTTTGATTGCAAAACGCATGTCTGATTAGAGCATCGGGATGAGAGAGGCAAAGGTGGACCCGATAACCGATACCAGATTGCAACCTCTTGGAGCGCAGGCAACCGGATTCAGACAAATGCTGAGAGTGTCAATTTTACGTGTGGCGTGGCCTGCTGACTGTGACCGGCGCCAGGTTGAGCGCCGCGTAACGCCTTTTCCTGAATCCAACATCGAAGCAGAATGTGGAGGTGGAGATTCGGCATTACAAAATAATAATAAACCCCTCTAGAACATGTGAGCAGTCTGAACTTCAAATTGCTTCAATTCCGTGTCTGAACAGGTTTGTACTCTGCTGTATTTGAGCTGCAAGTGGATCAAGCAAAGTGTAATGCCGCTCAGTTTGACAGCTGCCAAATTCGATGGCGATGGAAATTTTCCGCCATCATCGGATCGTGCATCTCTCCGTTCATTGAGTCTTGCCACCTCCCCTTTTGCCAGAGAGGCAGGTTCGTGTGGCGTCTTTACCGCTGGCGAGCTCGGGGCTGAGAGCTGATTCCTCTTGCATTCAAGGCTTTGCCCTCTCTCGCCTTCTATTTGACCCAAAAAACTTGGTGCACTAGACTCTAAGGACCCGTAAGCATCGTTTTTGTGGCACGCTCGTCTTTCCTTTCAGTTTTGCATCTTTGTTTGCGTCGGAGATGGCTGTTGTCATCGCCACAAGGCACGGTGTGGCGAAAGACGGCGAAGCGAGTTGTCGTTAACCAAGCCTCGAAGAAGCAGCAAGCCGAAGAAGCAGCAAGCCGAAGAAGCAGCAAGCCATTGTTCTTAATCACCTGTCGATGGCGGTGGAAAGATGGGCGGTACCATTGTTTGCATTTCAATCAAGCAAGGGAGGTCTCTGCTGCTGCAAGGTGCATCGTTGAAATAGCTCATCGAATGCATAGGGACGCCGGGTCATGTCCATCCTTCTCTTTGCTCTTCTGCCTGTACCGATCTTTTTGAAGTGACAAAGAGAATGCGGATGATTCGACGGCCTATGAAGAGTCTTTGGCATTCTTGGCTACGCCTTTGCCTGTTCCCCGCTCTGTTCGCACGCTTCACTGCTCTTTGCTTCGAAGGGACAGAGGCAGCGGAGGAGCACAAACACAAGATCAAACTGCGCTTCGGGCGCTCTTTAGTCTCGCGCTTTTCGACAGAGTATGACCGATCCTCAGGCGCTAACAACGATATGCGGTGAGGTTGTGATAGAGGTGCGCAAGAAAATAAAATACACTTAGGATTCGCAAAGCACCGACCGACAAGGCAGTCAGTCTGGTGTGTCAGAAAACGCATCTCAGCTCTTCCGCCTCTCCAACACAACCCAAGCTTCTTGAGCATTGTCATTTCGTGTGATCTCGACGGCGCCCTTTCCGTGGGAAACCAACAGATTGATTGCTTGGCTCAGGATCCTCCTCAAGTCCACACCCTCTTCCACACTTTTGCTCAGGTCAGTTAGAGAGACAGAAGCAGCCCCAGCAGCAGCAGAACTAGCAACCCTCAGGATCCTCTTCGCCCCTCTCGACACTCCACACCGACCGCTGTAGCTATCCCTCACTATCTAGAGGCTGGCCTCTTCGCTACCACATCCACCTCCTCTTTGTTCCTGTCCAGCTTCGTTCGAGATCCTTTTGCTTCTTTCTTGACGACCTACTCCACCTCACAACTTATTCGAACATCTTCTTTATCTGCGAACACATTTCATCGCGAAGCACTTGTTCAACAGCTCCAATCACCGACGGCTTTTCATCTCGGTCTTCATCTCGGTCTTCAGCTCAGTCTTCACATATACCCACCAGTATCTTTCTATCTCTTACTGGTACAAAAACCCCCAAACCCCCACCACACCTCCCTAATCAGTAGTAGGCGCAGCAAACTACCCGGCATCGCAATCGGGCTGCTCATCCGCTCTACCATACACCGTCTGCTTTCCAGAAGCACTCAGCAGACAATCGTCTCTTTTCGACCTCATCCTTTCATTGCAACCCGACAACTCGTTGGAAGCCGCTACTTACTCATCCTGCAAGACAGCATCTGCTAGCCAGTCGCATCTTCCTGCTCCACCTCATAACCCAAACACCGCAGCAGACAGCTTTTTCTGTCGTCTTCCTTTGTCTCACGCTTCTCGACGACTTTAAGAACCCTTTCCGGTCTCTGCTTTCCTCACCACCTCCCGTCACTACCTCTGACGTGCAACCACCAAAGATAGCACACATGTCCCCGACATAGCTCTTTCAAACCACCATCTTCCGCGGAAGGACTTCGACGATTGCTCGACCACGTTCAAGATTCTCCTCCGACCATCTTTCACCACTGTCAAAGATGCATACTCTTCCCGCCGCATCCGTCGTCGGCCACGACTTCCTCGGCAACCACATTGGCGAGCTTCTCATCCGACAACCCGTCGAGAGGAATGCTCCTCCACCTCGCACCAACCAGACCTCCTCCAGTGGAGGCATTGTTGGTGCACCAGACGCCAACGCAGGACGTCGCTCTTCCATCGCCTCCCAGCATACAGCTTCTGTTTCTTCTGCTCTATCCAAGTTTACTCATGGCGGCAGCGCAACATTGGCGCTTGATTCGTTCTTGAGTGTTGGCGCCATCACACCTCTCGGCACTTCGACCGATCCCATTGCTTCTCTCGCACATGCAAGCCAAAGTTCTTCTAAACCCAGCTCAGCCGGTAGCCGATCCGGAAGTGCAGATGTCGATGTGCTGATTCACCTCGACCACCTTCCTCTCGCACGCACCAGGCATGCATCCGAGGGCGGCTCAACGTCACCACGAGTGGGTTTCATCACCAGCTTCGGCGCCAAATCGCGCAGGTCTGCTGGCAGTCGACGGGCTCCTTCCGAAGCAGGTTCTTCTGGCTACTTTGGCAACCCGAGCTCCCGCATGAGCACAGCCAGCATGTCACCCATGGAACAGCAACCAGAAGCGATCACTTGGAACCTACCTTTCCGTGACCACCACCAGTCCTTCGCCCAAGCCATCGAGCAAATTGATACACTCAATCCTAACCTTTCGCAACACAGTCACAGCTCGGATGCTGCTTCTTTACAGCACTCGAAGCCAACTACGTCCTTCTCGAGCGTTGAAGAGGAGGTCGCTACTCCAACCACCTCCAATGGTGGCCGTGAAGCTCGTGTGCACAGCACCAGCACAAAGAGCCAGTCGTTTTCGGCTACGGGATCGGCCCAGCCTGTTCGACAGCGTATCACACGGGCCGCAACCGAATCCACACTGGACCCCATTGGACAGGTGCAGAAGCTTGTCAAGTCGCCTGGCGTCTCTGCCGGCCCATCTGCATGTGGGCTGTCTCACTCAAACAGCATGGGTGCTGGTACTTCAGCACCACGTGGACACCGAAAGATGCCATCATTGATTCCTAAAGGTGACGATGAGCGCACTTTCTGCTTCGTTGAGTCTCCTTCCTCATCGAGCGAGGCTGAGATGGACGATGCCGCGGCGGTGCAGGAGCCACAAGTAGCTACCGACACCAGCTTGACTTCGCAGGATGCTCAAGCCAGCTTGAAGCCTGCTCAGCCTACTTCGGATCACTCGGACTCTTCAGACTCGTACAAGCATATCGTCGAGGTGCAATACAGCGTCCATCGCCGAGCCAGCAGCAGAGCTCAGCATACCTCAAGGACGTCTACATCCACTTCCTCTGGCACGAGTAGCGACGCACAGCATCAAGAGAAACAAGACGAACAGAAAAGCACCTCCACTACAACAACACCGGTCGACCGCGACCAAGATACCCCGCTTGTCTCTTTGTTCCCTTTCAAACCTTTCTCTGTCGCCGCTCAAAATGGTCTATCGCGACCCGCACGAAAGCTCCGAATCAAGCCCAACATGCAGTCCAGGCCAAGTCTTCTCGAGAAGACAATGGAGGATATGCGTCGCACAAGTCGTCAAGCACAGGCAGCTACTGCCAATGGTGTTCCTGCTCAGACTCGATCTCCCGCAGTCACTCCAAGTGCTAGCGAGAAGGCTCCCGAGCTTGCTGCCACGTCCAAGGAAGCAGGCGAACGATATGATCCTGTTGCATATGGTTCTGAACAGCGAACGTTCCGCATCCAGTCACCTTCTTCAGCAGCTCAAGCAGGCGCACCTGGGTTCCCCTTCGCCGCCATCTCCTCAGAGGCAACCAATGGCGAAAGGAAGGAACACCCTGCTAGCTTTGCACGCACCAGCGACTGGGCACGCGAGCAAAACAGGCTGGCCAGCTCGCCACCGGCTAATGACCAAGGTGTTTCGCGCTCTGGATACTTGGACCTCCAAGGATCTTGTGCTTCACTTCCATCGGCACAAGCATCACTACCTGCACCTATGCCATTGCTTCGCAATCACACGGCCAGCCACAGTTCATCGTCCACCGATAGCCCGAGCTTGCTCGACACAAGGGAGTTGCTGAGTCCACCAGAGACTGCTATCTCTACGCCTGAACTCGAATCTCCTCCCTTGCTCAACAAAGCTGCGCTTGGCAGCAGCAGTGGACGACGTTCTTCACCACTCTCTTCCTAGTCCTTTCTTGCCCTCCTTCTCTCCAATTTTTCATGTCCATCTCTCTCTCTTTGTCTATCTCTCGGGTCTTATATCTCTCACTCTCTTTTCGCTCTTTCAGGTTTCTTACGGGGTTATGGGGATTTCAAGGTTACTATACACGCATACCAGCTCTTTCTCTCGTCCTCGCATATCGTCTTTTGGTTTTCATTCGGTTCTCAATGCGGTCCAACGTTGTATCTGTATTCACGTCATATCTCACTCTTAACTCATTGGTTTATTAATCTTGCTGTCAGAATGCAATTTCTCGACATCTCTGCCATACATCGATCCTCCTGTTTGTCTTGTTTGCGTGCGCCGTGTCGAGGTGAGAACGAACGAATATCGCTGATCGATGCTCTGACACACGTGCGAAGTCGTTTTTCGCAGGTGACGTTAAACCAAACTGCAAGCTGTTCACCGTTGCTACTTCGAAGTCGTGCCGCACTTGCCAGATTACACAACATTGTACGATCAGGCAATGTCGATATGCGTCGTGAATTGATAGATGTCGATTGCACAGACGTCTATCCATCAGTATGAACAATGACAGGGGTGCGATCGAGTGATTTAGTTTAGCCAAATAGCATGACTAGCACCTTGCCATTCATCACCTCCTTGCAACTTGGGCAGCCTTGTCGTAGCTTGCATCCTAAACTGTTGCTTTTCAAAATCAAAACTTACCACGTCGATCCAACCCTGTTCGTCATCGGTTAAGACCAACAGGTCTTGCCCGTTGGCCGCTTCCGCTTCGGTTCCTTCTTCGGTTTTTGCGAGGGTTTGGGGTGCAAGTTCGATCGCATTTGCTTTCCCACCACTTGTTCTAGTCTCCCATCTCGCCACTGGCTTCATCTCCACTTGCAACTCTCCGTTGTGCGCTGAAGATTCAATTACTAACCTGTACGCTAGCAGCAATCCTTTCGTATCCACCGTTTTACCCCTCGTACTTGCATAGATATAATCCAGATTGGAGCTAAATCGGAGCGTATCGCCTCTATACTCGCCTCTTTTGGTGGCTTGCGTGCGAGTCAGCATATCTGCTCGAGCCAAGTGTATTGCTGTAGCTTCCAACGATATCTTGTCCGTCTCTGAGCCTGAAGAGGGAATAGAGGAGGAAGGGGGAGTGGAATAAGCATCAACGAAATTCGTGTGTTCCGTCACAGTAAAGATCAAAGGTAGATGCGGGTGAGGGATTGCATGTCTCGGTCCATCCCCCTTTTGGATACTAGGGATAGAATAGAGATGGCGGAGCGAAGGGAAGGAGTAAGCTTGCACTGCGTTTGCTCCTAGGTCTGCTACAAATGCTACCTGACCAACAGCGTTGCCACTTTCCTCTCCTGCGCCTGCGCCTGCGCCTGCCTCTTCGGCTCCGGCATTGTTGTTGCTACAATCAAAGCTGTGCGCACCAAACCTCAAACTACGCCTACTTTTATCCGCAAACTCTAACTCCTCCTTCCCCCCCTTCAAAAATATTATCTCTTTTACTTTTTCCCCTATCTCCCCCGTCTCACTATCCAACCTATGCAACTCCCCCGTAGGACCTCCGGCAGATGCCAGCCACCTCCCAACACCAGGCTTACTACCAAACCCAGGCGCGGTCAGAGTGTAATAAGGAGGGGGTTGAACATGAACGTAGCTCCCCGCAGCAGTAATCTCGACCGAGTTACCGAAAGAAAGCGTTGAGGTTGAGGGAGAGAAATGCCATGAAGAGAGGGTTGAAGGGTTGGCCCATGTTGTTGCATACACGGTTTTAAGGTATTCCGTGGAGGAATGAGGGGAAGAGAGGCCGAAGGAGAGATATTGATGTGGGCCCATAGCGGGTAGTTCTTGGGTGATGGCAAGGGGTTGGGTGGGGGAGAGGGGGTCGTATGAGAGGACGTAGAGGTTGGGCGAGTTGAACGTGCCTGTCACGATCGTTCGACGTCGTGGACACGACTGGGATGTCGTGGTTGCGGAGGTGAATGGGAGAGATGATGGTGCTGTGCAGGAGATTGACGGGTCGTGGGTTGCGAATTGCGGTTGAGGCGCCTGTATATCGCACGAACAAGAGAAGAGAGAGAAAGGTGGTCAGCCTCAGATGCCCACATCCTATCACATCCGATTCGAAGGTTTGTAACACTATCGCATTCCCTTTAACACTAAGACTACAGTACAGAAACGTCAGTACTCGTCTTCTTCCTCTTCGTCCATCTCCATCTCTTCTTCAAGTTCGTCTTCCATGTCTTCTTCCGATTGGAACTGCCACCCTTGCTCCTCATCCTCTTCATCCTCCTCCTCTGCTTCGTCTTCTTCTTCTCCTTCCTCCTCCTCAATATCGTCCGGGGAAACGATTCGAACACTCACAATTCCACTAGCAAACGTATACCCCACCAATCCAATCACCGCTGAACAGATCCACACTGCTCTACCCCACTTCAACTTGCTATTTTCCGGTGAAGCCGAAGAATTCGGTTTCCTCCTCGCACCACTGCTTTGGTTGGACTGATATTGGGCCTGTGGTAGGGTATTGGTGGTGAAACTTGCCTTTGATTCCAAACCTCCTCCTCCAAACGAAGGCCAGATGTAACTCCACAGTCCTCCCCCTTCCCCTCCACTTCCTCCTTCTGCCACTGTTGTGGGTGGGGTTTTAATTGCTTCTGACTGACTCAACCATTGTACTCCACCTTCCGGATATAGCTTCTCTTTCGTTTGAGATAGATACTCAACCAGTTTCGGATACCGAGTTGAGATCAGGCGGGGTAAGATGTCGATAGGTAGTTTTGGATGAGCCAAAAGTAGTGGGGCGAGGTAGGAAAATACTTTGGCATCTAGACTCCCCACCTCACCCCTGCTTAGCACTTTCGATTCCAGTGCAGAATCAAGCACCTCTAGCACTTCAGAGGCTTGACGGGTGAGTTTGGATTTCTCAAACTCCTCCCTCACCACCTCCTTCTGTGTTGCTGCCAACCCGCGCTTTTTGGTTGGGATGATGCCTGCTCGAGCTGCAAGATCATCTGCTTGACCAGATTGAGCAGAGGCTTCTTTTCCGCCAAGACCCCACAACCCGACTGCGGTCAAGCGCGTTTCTACTGCATTCCGCAACCGGGAGGGAATGCTCGGTTGGAATCGTAGTGGTAAAGAAGCAATCTTCGCCAGGGTTGAGCTGCTGGGGTTGGAATCGAGTGGGCCGATTGAGGAATAAGCCGGAGCAGTGGTAGTGCGATAGTTAGGTGGAAGGGAGAATAGCGAGTGTAAGGTTAGGTCTAGTAGTTGGTCGTCTAGCAATGCGTGTAGTGCTAACGTCTTCGCGTTCAGTTCAGCATCGGTTTGAAGGGCGGAATCGAGACCGAAAGCGACGCAAAATGAGAGAATGGATTCGATCGAAGTGTGCACCTTAGAGGTGAGATTGTTCTCGTCCAGCACCTGCAGTAAAGGTACGCGGAGGAGTGAAGTCGTAGCAGAAACCAATTGAATCTGGAATTGAGGGTTGGAGGAGAAAGTAGCATAGAGGATGGTAGCGGCGTAGAGTGAGGTAGGATCGAGAGAGGGGAGTGTTGGCGTTGCTCCCCAGATGTAAAGACGGAGGCTTTTGCTGCCGTATAAGGCGGTTGAGGTCGAGGATACCCAAGGTTCTGTGGAGGTGGACATTGTTGCGGTGGATGGTGGTGGTCAGAGCGGAAAGGGCTGATGTTGACTTTGGAGACTTGCAAGCCTGGCAAAGGGAAGGGAAGGTACAACTTTGCAAGTCTCGCAAGACAGTCGTTGCTGCTGGAAGGATAGGAAAAGGTGGTTGGAAGTGGAGTGTGGAAAAAGTATTTGCCTCTTTCTGTGTGCTCGGACCCGTGCGATCCCGATTTGCCCCGCTCATCTTTGAAAATCGGGTCAGGCAATGCCGATCAAAGTCTCACCTCTTCATCCCTCTTTAGACGCTATATATCTTCACAGCATCACACCGGCACTTGCCTCCGCTATGATAAAGGATGGTATTGAATGGAATAAAAGTGCAATGCGCTGCCTCATAGGTTTGCTGTTCTATAAAGCTGCTAAAGTGTCTTGCTGCTGATCGTCGTATAGCGTCTCAACTCGCTCAATCTGCGCACTTCCTAAACACCAGGTCCCTCTCCACAACCCCAGCACTTGACCTGGTGCAACCGCCAACACTGGCTCCTCGAATTCCACTACATACCCTTCTCCTTGCTTACTCTTTACAATGCATTCCGTTTCCATCTGTCGATGCCTCACCTGAGCCAAAAGCTTCACTTGGCCTTCTCCACCCTCCTTCAGCTCTGGCGGAGGCTCGTTCCATATCCAACCGACGCCGCTCACATATAGTCTAGTACACATCAACATCGGATGCCCCTTGCCCTGAACCACCACGATCTTGTTCTCTTTGATGTCTTTCCGAGCGACGTAATACTTTGAGAGAGCACCACGAATGCGTGCGCCTTGGCCGACGGTGAGTGTGTGTAAGCCGGAGTGTTTGCCGACGATTTCTCCTGTATCTCCATCAACAATTTCCCCCGGAGAAGAAGTGATGTAGCCGTTGAGGAAAGAGCTAAAGCCTTCCTTATTGGATATAGACTTGCCATCGCTTCCACGAGTACCAATGAAACAAATCCCCATAGACTCCTTTCTACCCGCCGTAGGCAGATCATACTTCTTCGCCAACTCCCTCACTTGACTCTTCAACAGATTTGCCAGTGGAAAATGCGCATGTTTCAACCGTTGCTCCCCTACGTTTGAAAGGTAGTAAGTCTGATCCTTTGTTCTATCTCTTGCTCTATACAGCATTGGTCTTCCCTCGTTACTCCAGTTTATGCTGGCGTAGTGTCCTGTTGCTAGCCAACTCTTCCCCCCTCCCTGAACTCCGAGGGGAGGGGAGAGAACGCGATCCATGAGAGCACCGAACTTAATCTCCCTGTTACACCCCACATCAGGATTTGGCGTCACACCTTCCTTCCAATCGTCTAAAGCAGGTTCGAAGACTTGTGTCCAATACTCCCTGCTAAGGTCGATCATTTCAACCGGAATGTTACCGAGATGACGACAGACAGATTGAACGTCTTCCCAATCCTTCTGCCAGCTACAACCAGAGGAGCCACCGGAACCGGGTTGGAGTGAGCCGGATTCATCAAGTTCGTTCCAGTTCCGCATGAAGACTGCGGAAAGGGAGTAGAGGGATGATTGGGCGAGAAGAAGGGCGGTTACTGATGAATCTACTCCGCCGGAGAGGGCTATCGTGATTGAGTCGCCATTTTGTGGGCCGTAGCGAGACGTGTCATTGGTGGAGATGGGGATGGAGGTGGTGAAGTTTTGACGAGGTATTGATGGTGTAGGTGAAAGTGTTGGATGAAGAGAGTGAGAAGCTGTGTGAAGGGTACGGGAGGTTGGTGTTGGTCGTAAGAGTTGTTTTCGAAGTGAGTTGAGGGTGCAAGTGCTCGGCTGGCCCGATTTTAGTGGCCAAACTGCCGGTCTCCATGCATTCGTCTTCATGGCTCTGGGTGCGGGTTATGTCGGTATTGTCATCCTAGGCATGTAGAGGTCGTGTGATGGTGGCGAGCAGAAAAGATCAAGATGATGGATTTTTTGGAAGAAGAATGTCAAAAATTGCTCCACTTTTCTTACAAAATCCGCGGAGAAGCCAAAAATGAGCTCCCATCTCCACTCCTGCCATTCTTGTGCTGCAAAACCATCGGCACTCTAGGATCATACTCAAACACACAGTACACAACCATTCACACAACCGAGCGCGAGATGGACAGGAGGAAGGGTATAAGGTAGCATACCTCAACTGTGAACTGGATGCTATATACGACGAAAGACCCTCTTTTTAGTCTTAACCTGTCGACTAGTCTCAAAGTCATCCTCCTCTTCTTGGCTTTCCTCTGCATCGCTATCTGCTGTCATCACCGAGCCCTTCGCACCTCTCTCCTCACTTTGCGCCTTCTCCCTCTCTCTCCCCCTCCCACCGACATTCCCTAACACCTGCCTCACCCCAACGCCCGCCGCTGCTGCTTTTGGAGTACCATAACTAGTATCCGAATATTGAGTGAAAGTTGTCAGATCACCCATCCCCTCCCCTACCTTGGTCGTTTTCCTACATTGCGCAAAGAACAACTTGAGATCCCTCTCGCACACATTCTCCAACGAATAATTGTTCCCTGCTGGAACCTGAAACACTCCCTCCGGCCCTACAATGAAACTCTTCCTATGAACCGTCGCCCTCAGTGCACCTTGCAATACACAAAACACAAAGGAATTATCTTTGCTTGGTTTCGTCGGTTTTCTCGTCCCCGGTGGAAGATGCAACACTCCTGTAGCCATTAAACCAGCGCAATTGAACAATTTTTCAAACTTAAACTCCTGCCCTGCCGCTGCCATAGGTCGGAGTGAAGCTTTAGTTCTCACAATGGAAGTGGTAGTTTCATGTCCATCAGAATCGTCGATGACGAGACCGGATTCGAGAGTGTTTGCATCCCATCCGTCTTCCACGTGAACTGTGTTTGCGGTGGGATCGAGTTGGATGAAGTCCAACCCGTCCAGATCGGGTGTGCGGGAAGGTGGACGGGGAGTTTCGGATTTCCGGTCCATTTTGGAATGAGAGGTAGTGTTGCGTGGACGAGTGGTGGTGCCTGAGAAAGTGCCTTCTCCTGGTGCACGAGGCACTCGGATGACTTCTTTGATGTCCAGCACGGGTACCCGACGACGAGGAATCATGAGGGAAGGGTCATCTTCGAATTCGTCTTCTCCTGGTCGTCGGCGAAAGTCGTCGATGGTGGTACCGGAGGGCAAACTGGGTCGTCCATAGCGGATACGTTCTCCACGCCAGTATTCGAGTGGTGCGAATCGTTGACGTGTGCTTCGACGGACGCCGTTTTCGTCAAAGACCGTGGCTGTGACTGTGGGTTGTGAGCGCACTTTTTGGACTACTTCGCCTGGGTTGCGTTTGGTTTTGGAGGATGCGGAAGATTTGGAAGTTGTCGAGGCTTTAGTTTTTGACTGGGTGCTTGTGCCGTTAGTGGTAGCTGACTTTGGTGGTCTTCCACGCTTCTTCTTTGGCGGCTGTTCTGGTGATCGAGGAAGGGTAAGTGGCGCAGGCTCGTCGTAGTCGTCATCGTAGTCCTCTTCTCCGTACATCGTCGGTTCTGGTTCCGGCTCTGGTTGTCGAGACTTTTGCAACGGTTTCGCTGCTTTCCGTTTTGGTGATTGCGTTGCGTACGACGTGGACGCTGCTGGCTGTGACCTTGAGGTTGTTAGAGTCCTGGCAGGGCTGAACTGCGGCGTTGTTGGTGCTGCTGCCCGCTTCTTGATTGCTGGCTTTGCTGGTGACTTTGGCTTCGGCGGTTGCGTCCTCGGTGATGGAACATGGACTGGAACTTGATCGTAATCGCTCATCACATCGTCATTGCCGTATTCCGAATCGATCCGTTGCCGCAAATCAGCCAAGATTCGGTCGTCTTCCGAGTCCGACAGATCAACCCTTCCTCGCCCTCTTGGTGCTGATTTCTCTTTGCCCTTCTTCGATGCTGTTGCTGCTCTCGGTTTCGTCTCTTGCCTTGCATTGAGTCCACGCTTAGGTGTTGGTGGAGCCAGATTTACATCATCATCACCTACCATCTCACCAAGGTCAAAGCTCCTCGACCCAGTCGAAAGGTTTGGCAAATCCAAATCGTAGATACCATTGTCATCATCATCTCTTAATGTTACATTCGATGCCGATGTCTTTCCCTTGTTCGCTGCTGATTGCCTTGCAGAGCGCAGCATCGACCGTGGCGAAGGAGCAGAACTGTCCTGAATATCCATCGTCATGCTACTACTCGCAGCAGCTGGTGCACGGCCATTTACGCCAGATCTATGGCTGAATGGAGCCTCATCGAAAGAGTCATAGTCCTCCTCATCCTCTTCTTCGGGTACCGCTTGTTGCTGGTGATCGAGTGCAGCTTCACTGGCTTTGTAGAATGCTTCGAGATCTTCGAATCCATCTTGATCTCGAGCTACCGCTGAGAGACGGAGACCGGTACGTGAGCCAACGCCAGCCTCATGGAAGCGACGTGATGCTTGTGGTGCCATCAGGGGCGACTGTGTGCACGTCAAGCGTGTGTTGGTGATGATTCGGGTATCAAGTGGAGGAGGAGGGCCGCTTATGCGTGCATTTGCCGGCTGTCGGTTGCGTCAGTGTCGTTGGTGATATTGCGGCTGAGGTGGCTCCTAGGGTCGAGCGATAGGATACATGGTCATCATCCCGGCAAGAACGGCTGGGTGGATGGATGGAAGGAAGGAAGGACGAGAAGGATGCTTCCAGGGTCAATGCGCGAGCATAGCCGTTGCTGCTGCAAGTACACAACTCACTCAGTGTCGACTTCTGTTTTGGCTGCAAATGCTGCTCTAACAGCTTGTTTATTTCTCGTTGCTCGGCTTGGCCTAAAAAGTCGACGCGCCTCCGGACCAAAAGCTATACGCGCTCACTTGTTCAGGGTCCAGCTCGAATTTGAACAGCATGTGCGATCCTTTCTCGACGAACAAATTTAGCAGAATTTTGGTCAGCCTGTTGCGTTTGCTAGTGACGCTAGAATCATGTCTATGGTCTGAGAAAGGACGCTGTCGATATGCAAGATGAGTGGAATGCGAAAGTCTTTGCTGTATTGAGTAGCACTGGAATAGCAAAAGTATGCATATGCTTTCACTTCAACGCCTAGCCAACGGCTGTCGCCTCACAACAGGCCTCTTGGTCGGACTCTGACCATCCCTTGTCTCCCAATAATGTCTCGCTGGTCTCCCCGCCCCAAAAGTATCCCCCGCTCCTCTTTTCTTCGACTCTGCAGCTCCCTCTTCGGCACCATCCATACTCTGCATTTGCTCTTGCTCTGTCTCCGTCTCCTGCTGTTTCCCATTCTCATCCTCCCGCACCTGGACCGGCTGCGCTTCTAAAATCTTCAACAACTTCATCCTCTCCCTCCTCGCAGCTGGATCTTCATATACAATTCTTACGCTCGCATCAAAGCTCTGACTCGCTCCCGGTTGCAATGCTACGTCCTTATCAATCCCTAAGGAAAAGCCTTGTGCAGCAGCCTCTTCCGCTCTCTGCGCATCTCGTGCTGCTTGTGCTTCGAGCACCTTCTCGGGTGGAAGCATATCATTGGAGTTGGATCTGTTGATGGGTTCGTCGGAGCGAGGTTTGCGAGCACGTGGAGGAAGACGATTCTTCTTGCGTCCGGATGAGGCTAGCGTTCGGGTACGGAGAAGTTGCATTACTTCATCTGCTGAGGTTAGGTCTTTGGTCGACTTGAGAAGCGGGGTGGGTGAGGCGGGTGGTTGAGGAGAGGCCTTCTTCACGATACCACAGATGTTGGGGAGCGGAGAATCATCTTCGCCCTCGAAAAGGGTCTGACTGGATGGTGCCACCTCCTCTACGTCCGGATTGGGTCGAGGACGAACGTCTTCACTGAGGGTAATGTCCGCATCGTCGAAATCAACATCTTCCAAGCCCTCTAGATTCGCATCGCCAAACTGAGGAGCTACTTCGATCTCTTCCGATCGCCCCCTCGCAAACCTTTCTGTCTCAGTTCTGCTCGCTTCATTATCGGCATATCGTGCAGCATCAACAGAGATGGATCGGTGCCACGGCTTAGCAGCAGCCACAAGTTCTGCTTGTGTCTGCGTCTGTTGTTGCGATTCCGAACCTCTTTGGGAAGCTTGAGATAAGAAGTTGCCCTGCGCTGAACCGTCCGAGTTGGACAGCACTGTAAGGAGCGACCTTGACGGATCCATCGAGGATGGGAATAAGCTTTCATCAACGCGAATGTTTTGCCCAAGACACTTTTCGAGCCAGTTCGGATGAACGAGGAAGGTGCTAGATCCAAGCTCTTTGTATTCGCGAGGCGCACCGTTGCCACGATGTAGAAGATGCGTGGTTGATTCGTTGGGTTGGACTTGCCAGCAACCACCGAGTTGCAACACTTTGCGTTCCAACATGACGCTCTGGGAAGCCAGGACTTTCGAGCGAGAGATCGTACATCCTGAGAGCGGAAGTGCAGGTTCGTCGACTTGTTGTTCGTTGGTCAGGATGCTGTTGTTGGTGAGACCGGTACTTGTGCTGCTGCTGCTAGTAGTCATAGTCGATGAACTTCGCTCGATCACTGTTGCTGGCTGAGGCGGGGGGATGAGACAACCTGTTTCCCTAGCTCTCATCAGGAACTCCAGCGCTACAACAGGCACACCGGCATTTCGTGCCTTTTGCGCCCTCTTACCCTCAAAACTCTCCTGCGTCGCACATACAACATGCGTCAAGGCCTCCCCCTTCATCTGCTTAGCAATACTGCCACCAAGCTCGCCCACCACCTTCTGCGCATGGTACAGCTCGGGCGAGTCCGCATCAAACCCAAGCAGCAACAGCCTGAGCTTGTTTCCATCAGGTATGGGCTGCGGAACTTGAGCAGGAAGGCCAGCAAAGTACTCTCGCGGCTCCATAAACATCTCGTGATAGAGACAGTATTCGATCCAGAAATGCAGTACTGGCTGAGCACCATCGCTGAATAGTGCATCCAATGCAGCAGGAGAGATCTTGGGCTCGACGACTGTGTAATGTGACATAGCTTTGTGCTCAACCGGAATGATTGATGCACAATTGTCTTTGAGGACTTGCTCCAGCACTCGCTTGCGCTGCGGGTCGTTGAGGGCAATCTTGAAGGATTTGCGAAGGAAGATGCCGTGCGTGCTGCTCTCGGTGGTAGATTGGGTACTGATAAGAGGGCTTGAGTGGGGTAAGACGACAGATTTGCTCGTAAATGTGACATGGGATGTTGATGCCTTGCGCATGGGGAGTGTGGTGGCGGTGGAAGTGGATGGTGGTGGTGCGGGAGAGAAGCTGGAGGCGCGAGACATGCCAAGGAGGCTGTTGCGATGCGGATTGTACGGCGCTGATGTGGTGGCGGTAGAAGAAGGAGCAAGGGTGGAAGCGGAAGCAGACGCAGATGCCGAAGCGGGGGCGAGAGTTGTTGTTGCTGCAGTTGCCGCTTTGCCAGTCGAAGAGGAAGGCTGATTGCCTCTGAGTTGGGAGAGAATGTTGTCAAACGACTTTTCGCCTGCTGCTGCTGCCTTTTGTCGAGAGCCTAGTGTGATTGGCTTTTCGTCCTCATCCGCTTCGTCTTGATCTCCTGCACCGCGCGAGTTGTCATTGTCTATCAATCGAAGCTTAGATCGACTGGAAGCAACAAAGGTACCTTGGAAGGGTAGCGCGACTTGTTCCTCCTCGTGCAGGAAAGGTGAAGGGATCTTAAATCGGGCTTTCTCGATGAGTGCCTGGCGCTCTTTCTGATCCGGTAAGGTGGCAAAGATGGAGTAGACCTGCTCGCTCAAGCAGCCGCCTGCCTTTTGACAATCTTGGAGCCATTCGGGGCGTACCGCCAAGATGCGTGATGCTGCTTGCTCGCGTGTTCCGTTTCGACCATGCCTGGATCGATCGAGAAAGCGAAGCAAGTGATGAACGCTGCTGGAAGCATTTGGATCGGCTGTGGCAGAGACGAGATGTGTGATGCTGCCGTCGAAACGCAGCTCATCCGACACTGTGGCACGCAACTGTTTAGCTAGAGCAACAAGCTTGCGACGTTCTGCTCCGCCTACGGCTGAGAAGCAGACGGTAGTGTTGCTCAAAGGAGGTAAGAGATGCTTCTCTTTGAGCTCTTGCGCGTCGATGTCTTTTCCCTGCAGCCAAGCATCGCGGGCATCGAGGATCCAGTTTGGGCTGACAATGTGCATGCCGAGTTCGAGTGCGTAGCGATATTTTTCCGAGCCTGGACGGTCTGCGATGAGATGGGTGACATCTTCGGTCAAGTTGCCCTCGACTCTGGCTCCAAGCTCTCGAGCATATTGTGTTAGAGCGGCCTTGACATCTGCAAGACCAGTGATGGAGATGATAGCACCTTTGAACGGTCGAGCGGAAGTTCCAATAAAGTCAGCATCCAGATGGGCTCCGTGATCGTGACCTTGATCTCGGAGCTGCCGAAAGTGGGCGGCATCTTGGCGATCGTCGATGAGTTGATCTCTTCGTTTAGCTAGTCGATTCTGCTGCTGTTTGGATGCTGCGGATGATGATAAGGGTGATGATGCGATGTCTGACTCTCGTTGTGCGGGACGGAGCTTGACATTGGGTATCTTTGTGGAGCGATGCGCTCGAGCTGACCTGTTCATGGCGAGGCAGTGGTTGGAGCGAGGCTGCTGCGCATGGGCTCGAGATTGCGATGCTGATCTATGCTGTGACGGTCGAAGACGATGTGCAAATATTCGAGGCTACTTTTGATATCGGGCTGAAGAAAGTGAGGATGTGGGCTATGATGTGACTTTGCAAAGTACTAATGCTTCCTGTAGTGTGGTGTAGCCGTTATCCAGATGGATCTATATAGGATGCTGTTGATACATTAGGTTGATATGATGAAGCCGAGCCGAAGATGATAAATGTGTGAGCGCAAGATGTGAAGGATATAGCGAAGAAGATGTAAGAGAGTTGCAGTCGGCACCACACATCTCAAAATCTCGACACAGCAACACACGCTCACCGCGACACGCTCAACCTCGACACGCTCAACCTCGATACGCTCACCTCGACTCTCCAAAATCTCGACTCTCCAAAATCTCGAAAAAGAGAAAGTGCCCGTAAAGTGGAGTGAGACGCGACAAAAAAGGAGACGCCTGCGATCTAACACCTCGCCAAAGGGCCCACACAGAGGTTACCAACCCACTCAGCTGTCCATCAACTCGGTGCGGCGAAGGCAGGTTCTGCACGGGTCTTGACGAAGCCGAGAAGCCGACAAGGGGGATAGTTGAAGATTACAGGTAAAACGCGACTGTTTAGGAGCTACTAGCAAGCTCAACTTATCAGGCATATAATGGTTGTTATATTTTTAATTGATAGATGCTACAATGTGAACATATATATACTTGATTGCTATCTTCAGCCCATACTAGATCATAATGAACTATTCTTCATATCACCCCTGTGTTGTCACCTCCTGAGCATTGCCATCTCCTGAGTGTCATGGTTGAAGTACTTATATGTCCCACATGCATATCAATGCATGTTGACATGCAGCTCTGACTCACTGGTGTCTCGCTTGTGCTCTGCAAACCATGTGATTCAGTTTAGGATGCTGATGCATCTTCAACTCCCCCCCTTGATGGCATTGTCAATCCTATTAGGCATGTGATCCAAGATGTGGCCAAGCCCTTTAACAGCTTCATGAGGATGTCCGCGATGTTGTCTGTTGTCCCAATGAAATCGATTTTGACTTCTCCTTCCTGAACATGGTCTCTGACGAAGTGGTACCTTGTGTCAATGTGCTTCAACTTCCAGTGCTTGGTGGGGTCTTTGCTTACCTGGATGCATCCTTGACTGTCTGTCTGCAATGTCAGTGGATGGGCCTCAACTCCCAGGTCCCTGAGAAGGTATGAGAAGAAAAGAGCCTCTCTCATTGCCTCTGAAGCAGCTACAAATTCGGCCTTGACTGCTGACAATGCCACACACTTTTGAACATGTGATCTCCAGCTAACCGGGCACCCATACATGTATGTTACTCCCCCTGATGTGCTTCTTCATCCATTTGTTGGGTCTGATGCCCAATTTGCATCAGTATACATAACAATTTGCTGTCCCAAGTGTTTGTTTGCTTCATCTCCAAAGAGTAACTTATATTTGCTGGTTTGATTGAGGTACTTCACCAAATGTAATGCTGCCTTCCATGCATTGCTTGTTGGGCTCGACATGTATCTTGCTAGTGTTCCTACAGTGAATGATATGTCAGGCCATGCTGTGTTAGATACCCATAAAAGCTGTCCAACTAATTCTTGGTACTGTTTTGCTGCCAATGAGTCACACTTGTTGCCACCCGTAACACCCATCAGGCTCTGCATCAGTACCCATGACTTCAGATCAGTTGTTTGTAGCCACTTTCTCACCATAGCCTTAATGTAAGCTGTTAGGTCGAGTGTCATTCTTCTCTGTATTCTGTCTTGATCTATCCTTACACCTAAGAACTCCTTCACAGGTCCTTTATCTTCCGTTCCCCATTTTGCCATTATCTCATCCTTAGTGCAGCTTACCTCCATACGACTGGGTGATGTTATAAGCATGTCATCTACATAGGCTGTGATGATTGTCATGCTATCACCTGTCCCTCTTGAGTATAGGCATGGAGCACTCAGCATGCAATAGAAACCTATCTTTCGTAGGTGTGAGTCTAGCTCCATATTCCATTCTCTACCCAATTGCTTTAATCCATATAGGCCTTTCACTAGCTTCAGGGCCTTTCCAGGGGGTACCTTCATTCCAAGCAGTGGCTTTAAGAAGATACTATGATGTAACATCGAGTTCAGGTATGCATGTTTAACATTGACATAATCTACTTCCCAGTCTCATATGGTTGCCATGGCTAGAACTCCTCGAATTGACTGGATAGGTGCTACAGGGGCAAAAACTTCTGTGTAATCAATACCCTCTCTTTGAGTGAAGCCCCATGCCACTAACCTTGCTTTGAACTTGGTTGGGATTAGGTTGGCATCCATCTTTATCTTTAGTACCCAATGTGTGTCAATGGTGTTCATACCCTTTGGGAGATCGGCGACTTCCCACGTGCCCATGGCCTTAAGCCCATCCAGCTCCTTATGCATTGCTTCTTCCCAATGTTTCTTATCCTCTCCAGATAGCACCTCGCTAACAGTTGGGTCCAGGTTCTTTCTTTCATTGTCATTGGTCACTGTAAATCCATAAAGTTTATTATCATTCCATCTATCAGCAATGGTATTGTGTTCGATCGCTTCCTTGGCAACTTTGTCTGGGGTCTGTTCTCCATCTGTTTCATCAACATTATCCATGTCCGTGTATTCCTGCAATGTGTCATGGGCCTGGATGCTCAAGAAGCAGGAGGGTCACGGGTTCATATGGAAGGAGCACAGGTATCGAAGATCTAGTCGAGATCATTAGAGAGCATGGTCATAGTGCAGTCTCCATGGAGACCATGGACTCCTATGGATTCACATGCAAAGGAGCACTGAGCCCATATGCGAGGAGGACCAGGCACAGCCACGAGGAGGACCAAGCTCAAGGAGCAGGCACAGCCACAAAGAGGACCAAGCTCAAGGAGCATGCAGATGGTTACCACTCAGGGGCTCGAGAGACAAGAGCCAAAGGAACTGTCACTGATCAAAGGAGGAGGAGCAGTGTCAAAGGAGTCGACACCAGGTCATGAGGAGGAGGAGCAGTGTTGAAGGAGTCAACACCAGGTCATGAGGAGGAGGAGCAGTGTCAAAGGAGTCGACACAGCTCAAGAGGCACAGGGGTGCCAAGCAGGAGAGGCCCCTGAGCAGTACTCGATGAAGAAGGTACTCTCTGGAGAGAGAGAGCAGGAGCAGCATCGCTGGCGATGCTGAGTAGAGGTATATAACCATGCTTTCTCATCATCATAGGGCGAGTGGATCCTGATCCACTCTACTCACCATAACTAGTTATCACTTCAGCATAAGTATATATTAGTTTCAGTCAGCATAGCAGCAATCCATCAAAGGTTGCTCCTCATCATAGTGTGTGTGTTGTATCACCACTACCTGACGTCCAAAGGTGCCCATAGCAGGTTAGCGGTCTGGATCAAGATAGAACCGAAGGCAGTAGTCCACTGCGGTCCAGGAATCACTTCAAGCATCAAGTCAACACACTGGACACTCGTGTTGACGCCACCAACCTTATCACCAACACCATCAACCTCATTATCATCGACATCACCAATCTCATCACCAACACCATCAACCTCATCATCATCAACACTCACACCAGACCTTGGTGTCATCATAACTGTCAGGGGTCTCGCGCCTGAAACCCAGGTCGGTCTGTCGAGATACTCGGTGACTATCAAACTGTGCGACAGCTATTGTCTCGAGATACTCGGTGACTATCAAGTTGTGCAGTGACAGCAGGTGGCGTTTGTTGTATATACTATCGTAGGTTTCGGCTGACCTCTGTGGACACTCCGTTCAGGGGTAGCTCGGCACGATCAATATCAATGTTATGATGACACCAAGGTCTGGTGTGCGTGTTGATGATGATGAGGTTGATGGTGTTGGTGATGAGATTGGTGATGTCGATGATAATGAGGTTGATGGTGTTGGTGATAAGGTTGGTGGCGTCGATGATAATGAGGTTGATGGTGTTGGTGATAAGGTTGGTGGCGTCAACACGAGTGTCCAGTGTGTTGACTTGATGCTTGAAGTGATCCCCGGACCGCAGTGGACTACTGCCTTCGGTTCTATCTATATCCGGACCGCTAACCTGCTATGGGCGCCTTCGGACGTCAGGTAGTGGTGATACAACACACACACTACGATGAGGAGCAACCTTGATAGATTGCTGCTATGCTGACTGAAACTAATGTATACTTATGCTGAAGTGATAACTAGTTATGGTGAGTAGAGTGGATGGGGATCCACTCGACCTATGATGATGAGAAAGCATGGTTATATACCTCTTCACAGCATTGCCAGCGATGCTGCTCCTGCTCTCTCTCCAGAGAGTACCTTCTTCATCGAGTACTGCTCAGGGGCCTCTCCTGCTTGGCACCCCTGTGCCTCTTGAGTGGTGTCGACTCCTTCGACACTGCTCCTCCTCCTCATGACCTGTGTCGACTCCTTCGACACTGCTCCTCCTCCTCATGACCTGTGTCGACTTCCTGTCTCTCGAGCCCCTGAGTGGTAACCATCTGAGCTTGGTCCTCCTCGTGGCTGCGCCTGCTCTTTGAGCTTGGTCCTCCTCGTGGCTGTGCCTGGTCCTCCTCGCATATGGGCTCAGTGCTCCTTTGCATGTGAATCCATAGGAGTCCATGGTCTCCATGGAGACTGCACTACGACCATGCTCTCTACTGGTATCGACTAGGTCTTCGATACCTGTGCTCCGTCCATATGAACCAGTGACCCTCCTGCTTCTTGAGCATCCAGGCCCATGACACTACCCCCCTCTTAAGAGCCGAGCTCCGTCGAGGCATGCTCTGGTCTGGTTCATGCTGACTCCTCCTCTTCCTTGACAACATCGCCCCCGTCATCCTTCCTCCTTCTCTCAACGTCATCCTCCTCTCTCTACTCCTCCTGTTCTCTCCTCCTTTCTCTACTTTGTCTACTCACTCGTCCCCCCTCCGACACCTCATACTCCTGGATGAGGTCGGGACAGTTGAGGTTCTCTACTGGTTCCCATGAAGCAGCTTCTTCTGAGTACCCTCTCCACAACACCTTGTACTCTGTAGTCCCATTGTGTGAACGCTTGTCGATGAGTGCTTCGACTTCGAAGTCGAGGTCCTCATCTGGAAGTGGTGGCATGGTGGGCTGTTCAGCACGTTGAGGAAGAGAACTTGTTCTTGCTGGCTCGAGCATGGAGACATGGAACACATCATGCACCCTAAGGTTTGCTGGCAATGTGATTCGGTAAGCTCGGCGTCCTACCCGTTCCTGAACTGGGTAGGGTCCTGCAAACCGGGTATCCAACTTGGGTGTGGGTCTCCGTGTCTTCCAGTTTCGGCGGTTGATATAGACCATATCACCCACCTTAAACTCAATGTCCTTGTGCTTCCTGTTATACTGGTCTACTGATCTACGTTGTGCCTCTCTGATCTGCTCCTGGAGGTACTTGCAATGCTCCTTTCCATCCATGAGGTACTCGAAGCGACCTGGATCATTGACTCCTAGTCGTTGAGGGATGTCAGGATGAGCTTTGGGGTTCCATCCATAGCATGCAAAGAATGGTGAGACACCAATGCTGTTGTGGACCGTGTTGTTGTATACAAAGGCCGCAGTGTCCAGCAGGTTGGCCCAGTCATTCTGCTCATAGTTGCAGTACATCCTGAGATATTGCTCTATGACCTGATTGACTCTCTCTGTCTGACCATCAGTTTGAGGATGGTAAGCCGTGCTAAGTGAGTGCTTCACACCCATTTGCTCTGCAAATGCCTTCCATGCTCCTGATATGAACTGCCTGCCTCGGTCCGAGACCATGTGATCTGGATATCCAAAGAGTCTAACCATGTGTCCATATAGCAATACTGCAGTCTGTTTGGCCGTGACTGTCTTATGGGTTGGAGCTAGTATGGCAAACTTGGTTAACCTGTCGACGATGACTAGGATAGAGTCATAGGTCTTGGAGTCATACTTCTTCGATGTTGGTAGTCCTTCGATGAAGTCGAGGGATATGGAGCCCCAGGGCCTGTCTGGGGTTGCTAGTGGCTGTAGCAAACCATATGGACGATGACGAGGAGCTTTGTACCTAGCACATACAGGACAACTTGCTACATAGTCTGCAATCCAAGCTGTCATGTTTGGCCACCAGTAATGTCGTTGAGCTGCCTTGATGGTAGCATCTCTTCCTACGTGTCCAGCAGTGATACCATCATGGCATTGGGTCATCACCATGAATCGCAGATGCTCTACAGAGAGAGACTGTCCATCTACCTCTTTGGCACTCCTTGAGTGTCGGTTGTTGGTCCTCCCTGGCATGATCACTTTGGGGATAGCCAACCTTCCTCCACTGTACCATAGGTCATCCCTGACCTCGAAGGGCTTCTTCCTATGTATCTCCTGTAGCTCTTGGTCTAAGGGCTGGAAGATCTTGACCAGGTCTTTGAGACCTTTTGATGCTATGGACTCCATCGAGATCATGGGGGCCACTAGGAGCGAGTCATGGTCTGCTGTCTCCTTGAACACTCGAGGGGGCAGTAGTTGCCTCACATTGTGATCCTGCTCTTCACCAGCTGGTTGCATGTCTGTCCTTCTGGTGAGAGCATCGGGTTCACCACCTTTGTCTCCTGGTCGATACTGCAATATGAAGTCGAAGTCTGCTAGTAGTATGGCCCATCGAGCCTGTCGACCTGTGATGCGTCTCTGTGACTTGAAGTACTTGAGGGCTTCATGGTCAGTGAGGATGACCAGTTGGTTTGGTAGTCCAGCTAGCATGTGTCGCCACTGAGTGAGGCAGGCGACCACAGCTAGGAGCTCCTTATCATGGATCTCATAGTTCTTCTCGGCAGAAGACATCTTCCTAGAGTAGAAGGCCACTGGATGCCATCGTCCTTCATGCTCCTGCTTGAGCACTCCTGCTATAGCAAAGTCACTTGCATCAGTCTCCAACCTTGTTGGAAGGTGGTAGTCGAAGTGCTGAAGCACTCCTGCTGATGTGAAGGCCTGGATGAGCTTGTGGAAGGCCTGTTGGGCCTCCTCTGGTAGCTCGAACTTCTTGAACCGTTCTATAGGCTTTACCAGTGCTGTCAAGGGCTTGGCTATGCGAGCAAAGTGGGCTATGAACCTTCGATAGAAGTTGGCAAAACCCAGGAACCTCTGGATGTCATGGATTGACTCTGGCATTGGCCACTCCTTGACAGTGCGCACCTTTTCTGGGTCCATCTCTATGCCCGTTGGCTTGATGATGTACCCCAGGAACTCGACTGTCTTGGTGTGGAACTCACACTTTGACAGCTTAGCAAAGAGCCTGTTGCTCCTTAAGCGAGTGAGGACCTCGGTGACATGCTTCACATGTACCTCTTCAGTGTCACTGAAGATCAGGAAGTCATCTAAGTATACCACTACATATACTCCAATGATGTCTCGGAAGATGTCATTGATGAATGACTGGAAGTGAGCCGGAGCATTGGCTAGGCCAAAGGGCATCACTAGGTACTCATAGAGTCCCAACTGTGTGCCAAAAGCTGTCTTCCATTCATCTCCTTTAGCAATCCGGATGAGGTTGTATGCTGCTCTAAGGTCCAGCTTGGTATAGATCCTTGCCTTCCTGAGTAAGAACAGCTGCTCCTCGATGAGGGGCAATGGTGCCCTGTTCTTGACAGTGA